GGTTGACTCCAACGGCAGCCTGCTCTATGCATAGTTTGGTCAAGTTAAGCATAAGAAACTCATACCAACCATACCATTTACAGAGCTACCATTCCCTCAGGGTTCATTTTGACAAGCATGATACTTGACTACAGAGCATGGTAACTGCCTATTGTGTACTATGCGCCTGAAATCGAAAACATGCCTCGATGTCACCGTGTCTGATCAGAATGCTGAATACATTGTCTCCATCAGACGTCACGCAGTGCCTGCCCTCAGACCATGTTACGGGTTACCCAATCGGCTTGTCTGCTTTCTCAGGGTCCTTTTCTGTCGGTCATTTGTTACTGACAGACCCAATCCAGGCTGTCACGCTGATCACAACAGTGAAATATGTCTCACCAGCATTCGCCTATACATGGATACGCTCAAGGATTCCACGAGGCGAAAGAAGATAAGGCTGCACGTGCTTGAGGCATTTAAAATCGCGATTATGAGCATCCCGGTCACGTTTCCTCAGACGCAAGTCGGTTAGACAGACCGAGACGAGACGGAGCTCTCTGTCAGTATGCAAAAGACGGAGATATACTCCGCCACATCTTCGATCTCGACTTTCGGTATTCGGGGTTGATCGTGTACTTTCCCTTCCTGCTTTCCCCATGATTTTAAATTGCCAAGATGTATAGAAGAACTCGGGTAAAGTTTCTAGCCAAGACGATCGACATGATTTGACGGAAAGATAAGCATAGGATTGGTTTTAGGTTGTACTTGGCATCAAGTGTAAGTGGATCTGGACAGCTGGATGCGCAGGAGGAGCATGTTTGATCAGCTCTTGTCCCGGGCAGCTGAGGCATCCCGAGAGGTCACTGGACTAGGTAGTTGGGTAGTAAAACTATGGTATCGGTTTGGGCATAGATAGTTGGCGTTGTGATCGACAACCGCTTGGGAATTTATGACAGCAGGTTGGAATTGTTAAAAGGTGGGGTTAATACCAGATACTGCATAGGGATTATAGACTATTAAAACAGGTTTTCAATAAGGTGCTACGGGGTATACTGCGTAACGGATACCAGGAGCTTTTCTTGTTGCTGCCAATGTTAGTTATGTTATGGCGATAACATTTTAAAATCTATATTGATCACTGTAGGGTACCTTGGAGATGTTACGGTGTCAGACGTAGCAAGATAAGCTGTGGCGAAAAGCCTCAAGAAACAGGAAAGATATGTTTGATCGTTTCGACAAAAAGACAGAGATGTTCAGGGTAGTTGCGAAGATGGTAATAGTAAGTTGACAACAACGTCTTCTGTGATTGATTTGTGGCAGAATTTGTCGTGTGAAGATCCCATCATATCGCTTTCAAGACTGGCTTCCTCTCTGTCATCATCGCCCTGAGTTGCTACAGTGTTTTGTGAAACTCACTTGCGGCTCTAAAAGCCCGTTCTGTCAGATTTCAATCACCAAATGAAGTTTCCTCCTGCCACCAGCGACTCTTTTTTTTAGCCATCTCCCTCACGTTTATGGCTTCCATCTCTGGTAGTCATCAGATTTATCTGGATATTGGTAATACCGTTTGAAACCTCAAACGTCCCTGTCTCTTTGCGTAGTCATGGTCTTACTTTGACAAAAATTTCTCGCCCACAATGCTCTTACGACAGTGCTTCTTTCGGGATTTTTTTATTTGATTTTGGTGCAATGGTGTGTGGGACCTACTCTCTATAACTCCCTTTCGCATCCGGTGATCTGACCTCTTACTTTTCGTAGTTTTATCTCACCGCGGACCTCCCCGCAGATCTAGTTCCAGTAACTGACATTCCATTGACACAAAGCATCTTTGACTTCTCAGCGCCAGCTTTAGAAGATGTCTTAGATCGCTTTGAACGCAACAATTACTTTTGTGATCGAATTTCCTGTCCTTTGTTGTTCTTGCCCAGTATGAAATTAGGGATTGTGGAAATCGGCTGCCAGAGGCATTCGCAAACCGGCTTCAATCTCTGTGCGCAAAGCGAGTCGCTCTGGTCGATCAAGAAATGCTTCGGTTGAGTTCTTTGATGCAGGGTCCCTGCTTCTCCCCCACGACAGGCGTTGTATTGGTAAAGCTTCTACCAGATACCCATGCCGCTTCTGTTGCATCGCTCGTTCAGTCATCCTCACAGACGTGAGGTCGCCTAGCCTTTTATTTCTACACCTTTCCTAACGAATACCACTTTGAAACTAGCCGATAGAAGCCCTTCAATAGCCTGGAGGTGGCCATCAACGACAGCATAGACATTGTTGGGGCCAAAATATTTGCCTCCTCTTTGAGTTATGGCCAATCTCATGGAAGAAATGCTCCCGCTACCCAGTGACTCCTGGACCTTGGCGCTATCATCGTTCAAAAAATTCATGGACGCAGAAGATCCTATAGGAGAGTTTGTGGACTTCCATGCTCCCCTGGAAACCTCATGGGGATAGGATCGCGTCCCCTGGTGGAAACTGAGAATCAGGTTTAGGCAGCCTGGTCTCGACATCGGATCGTCATCGAACACATAGAGAAGATGATATCGAGGGGTTGGCCACATCCTAGAAATGTTACGTAAAGTGCATTGTAAGCCTTCGATATGCCCGTAGCTCGAAGAACGAGACCCAGAGTAAAGAGCATTAGAGACAACCATTTCCTCAAGCTGTGAGATAATGATGGCAGTCGCTGGAAGTATCTTCCAGTTGCGGTCTCGCTGGGAGACAACGAAGACGACCGGTCCATGGTTACAAGTTCTCCGATTGAAACCTTAGAATGCAGTCTTAATAAAAGTCTGCCCGTATGGGATGGACTTGTTCTACAGAAACTGTAACTTTACCTACTTCCCATCCAATGTTTGAGCTAGATACTTCAGTTTGAACCCTTTTTATCCCTTCGAAGAATGTAAATTTCTTTTATAGAATAAAGTGTGCAAATCTATGAACGCAAAGCTTACCATTTAGCTGTGCTGTAAAAAAAACCTATCTCATAAGTCATATCGCAATCTGCGAAACAACGTGAACTCTGTTATTTGAGTTGTTGCAATGCCCCACGCTTTGTATACTAAGAACGAGGACCCTATCACATGTCGTCTCTGCTTTTAATCTAGGCTCTTCGCAGTGAAGTATTGGACACTTGTGTAGACCCTGCGACTTGAAACAGGCTTTGTTGGAACACAGGAAGAAGAGGGCAAGAGGGAGGAAGTCTCACAAAGACCCGGATACAATTTTCACTGCTTTCTAAGTGTAATTCCCATCAACCAGAACAACAGAATGAAAAGGGAGGATGCTAAAGTAAGAAAAGATTATGTGATGGAATCGTCACTTGAATATCCAAGTCTCAAAGACCTGTTTTCGGGGCGTTGCCACGATGTGTTGATTCTTCCAAGCTAGCTATAGTTCACATGAATGAGTTCCACCGACTACAGGTTGAAAGATCATCGCATTGCATCCACAGAGATATTAGTTACTGACTCAAGCCATTTTCAATCCGTCTGCCATGGCAATAGTCAAGTAACAGCTGATGAATAGCCTCTACTGCTAGCCGAGTTTTGCGGTCCTTATTTTGAGTTTACAGAGTCATCTTAATTTACATCAATATAGACAGGAGTTTAATTTTATTTTCATCCAAATTACAGACAAATGCGCGTAACGATTAAAACCATCTATCTGTCTAAAGCATATTATAACTTTGAGAAACCCTTTTTTATCCCTACAAGAAGAACATATAAAGACAAGATGATGAGTCTCTGCTGTCTTTCTTTCCCTTCCTCGTCAACACCACACACAAGTCTTCCCTCGCGTTCGTCTTCGCAAACGACTTTAATATCAACTAACTACCACCCACAATCACACTTCACCCTTCACAAACTTGTCCTATCAACATGTGTTTTGGAGGAAGCAGCAGTCGAAAAGGAGGTGCCCGTAATGTCAAACGCGTCAAAGGGGACTCTTTCTCCGCCGTCGCCTATACTGACTGCAAAGAAGGCCCCAAGCCCAAGTTCTTGTACAATATCCCCTCGTCCGACCCACGGCGTGTATACTAGTCTCTTGAAAGCTGACATAGAGGCAATAACTGATATTACTTGTAGTGAGGCTCGTCGAGCCGCCAACTGCCGATATTGGGGCCCCTTGTCCCGGGAGTAGCAACCAAATACCGGGCCTAATCCCCCTGAAGAGGCGAAATCGCCCGAGGAGAGCTTTTCTAGTAAAATCTTATCCACTTACCCCAGTTCCCTACGAAAAACCAACGAGGGCTTTCTTGGCTCGGTTTGCATCTTGGCAGAAGCTCTGATATTCTTTACTGCGTTGCTTGTGTTTATGCCTTAGTAAGGATAGGGTGTGAGTCGTTATTTGAGAGACTTGAAAGTTCAGAGTATCCCTTTCAACAGAGGAACTAATCACTGTTATCAATTATTCTTTCTCTAAACTGTGTGGAGTTTATCAATATGCTCGTCTCTGCATACATTCTCGTAGTCGTGATGGAGAACCATCAAGTGAATCTAAGAGCGACATTGACTCTATGATTAGGCTTGAACCCTTTTCTCCAATAAGAAACAAAGGGCCACTGTCAATGTCCATCCAATCACCACTTTCTGATGATTGTTAATGTCGGTGTCGAAGCGGCGATATGGCCAACTCTATTTCTGAGCCCAACATCCTCCGACGGAAGAGCGAAAGCTTATTACCAATCATCAAATAACTTTAGGAATAGCTCCTAGCCTTACCTACAAGCGAACGCCCGTTTCACGGCTGATCACCCGAAGTAGCGAGCGTCGATCGCTACCGTCGTACTTGTTTGCTGGCATTTTCTTTGTTCGCGTAAATGGCGAAATCTCCGTGGAGCAACTCCATGGGACGATAGACTGTGTGTGTAGCTTCAGGTTGATTGTCGTATTAATCGTAATGGTAACGCCATAGCGTCATTGATTGTGTATATAACCAGCCTACATATCCTCCTTCTGTGCACTCTCAAATCTCGTTTCACTACACAATTCATCGCTACTCAAAACATACAAGTTGTCAAAATGCCATCCTCTTTTATACGTAACGGTTCTTTGTCCCGCCGTCTGCTACTGAAAGGTGGAACTGTCCTCATACACGACAATCAAGACAACGTGCAAGCTCTAGAAAGAGATATTCTCATTGAGAACAACCAAATCATCAAGATAGCCTCAAAGATTGAGGATGTCGCCAATGCAGAGTTAATCGAGTGTGACTCAAAGATCATCTCGCCTGGTTTTGTCGACACACATCACCATCTTTGGCAAACCCAACTCAAAGGAAGGCACGCAGATGAGCTTCTTCTCGACTACATGGCGTCAGGTAACTTGTAGTCGTCTAATTACACCAAAGAAGACATTTACTGGGGTCAACTTGGCGGATGTCTTGAAGCGATCAATGCTGGCACTACAACTGTACTTGACCACTCACATGTAAATACCTTTGAAGGTGCTGGTACGTGAATCCTGTGGGCAGCTGCGATGATAGTGATACCAAAGTACTGACTTTTCTTGTTCATCAGCATCAACTGCCATTTCAGCCACTGTATCATCAGGTCTACGCAGCGTCTATGGGTACTGCCCGACTGCTCGTGTTGCTTCATGGTCACCGTTCGAAATGAACCGGGAAATGATTGCATCATGGAATCTTTTGGAATTACGAAAGCTCGGAGCCAAGGCTCCTTTTGGAGATGGTCGAGTGACCATGGGCTTGGCTTTTGACCTATGGTTCTTGCCTGAGCAGGTTGTCCAAGAACTCTTTCAAACAGCCCGAGAGGCTGGTATCAATTTGGCGGCTACCCACGCTGTTCGTAACCATCAGTTGAGCATGAGTGATGTCATACAGCAGTTCAAAAGCCAAGGCTTGTTGGACGATCGAATGCTATTCAGTCACGCAAATGGGTACCCTACCGAGAGTATCCAAGCTGTAGTAGATACTGGAGCACACATCAGCAGTACACCTTCGACAGAAATGCAGATGGCGCTAGGGACTCCAATCTGTCTTGATGGCGATTATCCTATGGCTCAAGCACAGTCAAGTCTGGGTATCGACTGTCACAGTAACCAGGCTTCGAGCATTGTCTATGAGATGAGACTTGGTTTGCAAGCCTCCCGGGCTAACCATAACCAGAAGCTCATTAATCAAGAATTGGCCCCTCGACATATCTCCAAGACGGTACAGGAGGTATTCAACCTAGGTACAATCCAAGGTGCCAGAGCGATTGGGATGCAAAACCAGCTCGGTAGCATTGCTGAAGGGAAATTGGCTGACCTTGTCATCTTTGACGCCAACACGCCTGAACTGCTATGTGCTGTGGAGCAAGACCCATTGGCCGCTATCGTTCTGCACAGTAGTATCGGCAACGTCGATACCGTTATTATAGACGGGATCGTGAGGAAGAGCAGGGGCAAGCTGGTTGATGTGAAAGTCGAAGAGGACATGAAAGACGTTGCAGGCAAAGGCTCCCTTGCCTGGAATGATGTGGCAAAATCAATGAGAAAGTCTAGAATGGAGATCCTCGAGAGGGAGAAGAAACAGAACTTTGCAGAGTTGAAGCAGAGTGTTATGCGTAACCTTTTCGTAGATGAGTCAAAGCTGCGAGACTAGGGGATTGACTGCGCGATGAATAAACAATAATAACTAAATTAGATTACACAACTGATAACAGCGGCTTGAGATTTATTTCGCATGCTGTACTAAGCCTGTGGTATCAGTCCTTTGGATAGTGGCACAGGCTTAAAAGCTTGTGTTCCACAATGCACGATCTCACCCAAATATAGCTCATGAATGGGCTAGAAAATGAACATTAATGTTCAAAGGCTAGACTTGCATTCTAGCAGGTGGAAGATAAAATATTGTATTTTTTTCTCTCTATGAATTGGCAAAAAGAGGGAACACAGGCAAAAAACATACAACACCGGGGATTCGCTGGTCGTCACCGACCCAACTACTAATCCAGCGCTTCGCAGCTTATCTATGGGAGAGCGGACGGGATCCCGAGCTTTCTGCGAGCTGTGGTCGTATGTGGAAGAATTGAGTGCAATTAGGTATTATAGCTAGTCCTGATGTACCAAATTAAACGATTCTGGCCTAGCACGCCATCACGCTTGATGTAACACTCAATGGTCAGAACAACAACAGAGATCTTTACCTGTGTAACCCTAATCACTATCATATGAAGATAATTTTGAATGAGAGTTAAGAGGAAGCAATAGCGAACTAAACGGTGCTTTGAAGAAATTGATACGTAGCTAACCAAAACCTGGGGAGGCGGAGGCACCAGGGATCGCAACATGACGAGTGTATAAATAAAGACCATTTGTACTCTATCTTGATCTCAGTTCTAGTTTGTTAGTCTAAACTCCCGTTTATCTATCCACTGGTAGTCCCATTTTGCTTAACATCTTCCACGAATTCGCCCAACTCTTGAACTTTTCTAACGACCCTCGCTGGCGATCCCAAAGCAACACTCCACGCAGGAATATCCCTAGTCACAATGGATCCTGCTCCAATAGTACATCCATTTCCAATCGTAACACCTGGCAAGATAGTAACACCGCCTCCAATCCAGCAATCGTCACCAATAGTAATGGGGTAAGCATATTCGATATTGGCTCTTCGACTAGCAACCTCGGTCTCATGAGTTGCTGTTGAAATCATAACATTAGGTCCAATCATAACTCTATCGCCGATTGAAACAATTGCAGAGTCCAAGACTGTCAGATTGAAGTTGGCGTAGAATCTCTTGCCGACAGACATGTTGGGTCCGTAGTCGACTCTGAAGGGAGGTTCGATAAAGACTTCATCGTCTGCTACATGCCCGAGGAAAGACTTGAGCATCTCGGCTCTTCTTTTAGTGATAGTTTCAATGTTGAAGTCCTCGCCTGTGGGGAACCAAGTGTTGTATTCATTCATGGCTTTTCGAGCAGCGAGACGAGAATTTGTGAGTTTCGGAATAAGTGAGTCGTAACTAAATCGCTGTTAATTATACGTGTATGAGATCAAGGTATTATTTGACGCACAGCATGCCCGAGATCATCCTCTCGTATTGTTCGCAGTGGGGAACATTTGCCAGCTTGGAGGCCTTCTCCAGCTCGACTTGGTTCTTCTCTTGAGCCGCCATTGTTTATAATCAACTTGACAATTGAAGGGTAATTAATATACTGCGAGATTGAAGTTTGTTTAATCAGTAATGAGAACAAAGAAATAATCGTGATCCATTATATCTAGTCTTCCCAGTACCAACCGAATGGGGTAATTAATTCTCTAAGTCAGCATCTCCGACTCCGACTCCGATAATGTGGGACGTCGGCTTGTTAGAAAAATAGGTAAGCATGCTGTGACTGCAAAAGCTCAGAACAAGTCTGTAAGCAATCGGATTTAGTAATGAATCTCCATAAAAAAGAGTAATCGGACTTACGTATTCCATCCAAGGAACATTGGACCAGCCATGGGGATTCGTCCGCCGCCCCTCCCATACTTTGCTAAGAACTTCCATCATTGCTGGGTGCTGAAAGCCCGTAGAACGTTTAATGTTGTCAATACATAGACTGGCATAGTGCATTTGATGCGGTGAACAAGTGTCGGCGCCAGCCAGGAAGAGTGGAAAGAGGAGACGTTTGTAAAAGACGCTGTCTGAGGGCATGACGGCACAGATATCGAGAATTGTCGTGACAGATTCCTTGATTCGGGAATCATCGCACGAAACTGCGAAGGTATCAGGAAAACGCATGATTCGAAGGAGGCAGGCATGGCGATATGCCTCGGCCAGCTGTCGCCATTCTCGATGCGCAGTGGGATAAACGGCTTGTTCAGGATCCCAGCCTCTTAGAAACTTCTCAGCGCTATCAAGCAATTTCTCAAATTGCTGAAGTGTAAGGTCGCCCGCAAGATATGATTTACCACCTTCGAGAACTTGACCTATCTTGAAGAAGATAACTGGCGGGCAGCCAACTAATGTGTGGAGACTAAGACTTCCATGATCTCGTACACATTCTCTTACGTCTTCAGAATAGGAGAGTTTTTCGGCACCACTGAAACCTCGGAGCATGTCAAGCCTACGGATGTCAGTCAGCTCACTAAAGAAAGGTTTACGGCAACTTTACCAAGATAGCGCGGAGATGAGAAATATTCCTGCCTTAGAACGTGTCGAGATATCGTCGTCACCCGCCATTCGTTTACAGAGGAACGATATCCCAGTAAGATGAGCTCCATGAGTAGAGACACCAGATTCGCAGATCTGGGCCAGTGTTAGTGAATATGTCGCCTCAAAAGTATAATATTGCTCACATCGTGCAGTACTAGCAATAGTACCATAGCCAGGAGATATTCTTCCTCGATACGTGTAAGTGTAGACGTTTCTTCTTGAAGCAACAAAGCCGCAACCGATCTTATAGCAGACAGTCTATATCCGAGAGAAGCGGTAATTAAATCTTGATCATTGCAGTTTCCAGTGTTGTACATATGGCATAATGCGAGTCCAAGTAAAGCGTGAAGGATACCCTGGTGCTTATGCGCAAGCGGAAGAACATGTTCCCGGAACGGATTGGTCAAGCCGGTTACATGTATTGCCAGGCGCTCGCTTAGTATCTGATCAACTAAGGCAGGCTTTAGCAAAAGATCAGTAGCGAGTCTGGAAGAGTCTTACAGTAGTAGAGTATATACTGGTTCGCAATAATATCGCTGTCGAGATCAATATCACTGGCCGCTATCGGATCAGAGTCAACTTGCGCAATCGACAACTGAGGAGGCGATTCAACAGGAGTCAAAGCAAAAATTGGCGAAAGGAATGAAGTATCCGAAACATCAAGAAGCGCCTGCTGAGGATCGAAAATTGGGAAGTTTGCATCAGGTGACTCGGCCGAGAGCAAAGACTCTTGAGGCGATTGTCGGACTTTGATAGAGTCCTGAATATTTGTATTGTCCTCTGATTCGTCAGAGACTACTGTCAAGCTGTTTTGAAATTGGAATTTCGGGGGATAGCCCTCGCACTGAAGTCCCTTGGTGCGACATCTATCGCAGATGGGTCGTTTGCGATCGCATTTCCGACATTTCTTGCGGCATGTACCACAAGCAGGATCTATTAGCAAATTAAGTATAGGTTCAACAGATGGACTGTATAACGCAATATGCTGCAGATATCGAACCAAACTGACTGGATGAATGGCTGCTTACCTTTTCTCCGAGCTGTTGGGCGGGTCGACAGAGGCTTATTGAGGCGGGCCATGGTGCTGCTTGTATTGCCAAATACGGTATAGAATGTCGAATAATAAAATGATCAAAACGGTATGAGTCTCAATTTATGTCGAAAGAGAAAAGGCTTGGGAAGGTCGGTCAGTCTTTTACAGGGTTTCTGGTTATGTCCGATTGCCGATTTACTAAAGCCGATTAAGAGCCTCCTCAGTCGGAGTGTCTCTGACTAGATAGACATCAAGTAGAGATTAACCTTGTTAGATAATTAAATATGTTTAGGTCATAGATCTTTCTTATGCATGGAGAACTGCTTTACATAGGTAGTTACGCGAATCTTTTTATCCTGAGTACTCATGATGTTTGGCAATGGTTACATAGTATGAATGGGAATGTGAAGACGGCGATGTCGAATTTCTGTCGTTGCAGAAGGTAGACAACCAAGCTATTCCTGGTAAGCCGTCAGTTCATCCTCCCACAGGCATGCATTACAGATATATCCTATGAAGGACTGGACAGAGATCGGGAGGCTATCTCAGAGAATGCAACTCGTAGCATATTTGGCTGGTTGCGCGTAGAGGGCTTTGTGCAAGGCGAGCAGGACATATGGAAACATGAGTGGTTCGAAATGTCTAACTCTGACGGTGATGATTTCGAGGAGGATAAAACAATATCTGACGCCTCGGCGCGACTCCCGTGGCGAGTAGGATTTTGGGTTTTGGGTCTCTCGCATTAGACAACAACATTCCCGATCAACGGAAATGGGGAGATATAATTGCCCAGAGGGAAACTCAAGAAGTATTTCAGGGCAACGGATTTGTTTTATGACTATAAGTGGTTCTCGTCCCATTCAGGTACCCAATTCAATCCCATGGAGGAAGGACTTTGCTTCGCCGTCAACACACAGTATCAAATCTAGGCTTTACCAGGATCATCCTGGCAAACCCAGGCTATAAATACCTGGCCAAGCACTGAGCTGGAAATTTGTTCATCAGCCTGGTTTTTTTTATCTAGGCAAAACTTACACCACGTACGTCTTCACTCCGCGGTCAAACACTAAATGCAGGATGTTTTACTGTTGACCGTCATGTTGATTCCGCCTGCTGACAGTAACGTGCCAAGGCCCAACATTATAACGATGGACAGTGCTGAAAAGGACTTCGGTCAGTAGTTATCCATAAGATGTGCTACCATAGACAAGCCACTTAGTCAGTTCTCTTCCTCCCCGGATGTTGTGTGACCCGATGCTGATGGTATGGGGGCCAAAATACGATACCCAGACTGGCTTGATCTGTCCTTGTAATTTGAACGCCGTCGGGCTATCATTCTTCCAAATACAACGAGGCAAGTTCTTCTTAGATTCCAGAACTGAGAATTTATTGGTGTCAAAAATGGAATTAGCTTGAAAATCTAAAGGACGCCGCTGAGTGAGACCGTAGACCCCGAGCTTGAGAGATGATCTTGACGACTTAGTTAGCCCTAGGCTTAGCCTTAATCCCCAACTTTGTTATATTCTCTTGCGCCGCCGGTCACTAGATGAAATGACACTAAGAATGAAATTAAGTTTAATTTGTTTCACAAAACATTGTGTTAAAGTGTCGACAGTACAGCACATCAACTGCGGGGAATTTCCAACGTAATGTAATAATATCTTTTAGTTGTGGAGCACCAAATGAGCAGCCTGTCAGAGTGAAACAAACTTCTAATATCCAATAAGAGCTTTATAACGCAGATAAAAATAAGATCCTGATCACTTACCGTCTTTCCAACACCACGTTGAGGCGCAGTCAGAACCTGGGGGCTAGCGTAGAAATGGCTGACATTTGTCAATGCCGAGAATACTGTCAGCATATCTAGTCTAAGCCCATCTCAGAAATTGCATTTGGCCAATTAGATCAATCCCATTCAAGGCCGTGCTGGGTTTGACAGGTCTCGGGAGGTAAGAGTTCCGGGAATCTCGGCTGGGCTGAGTCGAGATGTATGGCTTTGTTTCTATTCCCAGCTGAGGTGAGGCGGTGGCATGGACATTAGAGATGCAGATGTGGTAGTATACTAAATTTCATGTAGTAGACAGTAGACTCGATGAAGAATTGATTTTGTATATAATGAGATGGCATATCCGCTTCAGTTGACAATTCTCATCATCACTTCACTACAACACAAACAAACAAGCAACTCCATAACTCTTCACTCTAACTACAACTATAACACCAACTCATATCCTCCTCTTCAGTCATACTACAACAACATCAACATGTTCTCCAAGATCTTCTCCGTTTCTCTCCTCCTCGCTGCGACTGTCTCTGCAGCACCCGCCTCAAAGACAGTCCGCTCCACCCCAGACAAGACCGTCACTCTCACAGGCGTAACCCACTCTGTCAATGCAGGTCTTGGTGGTCTTCGCTTTGATCCCGACAATGTCGTCGCTGAAGTCGGCGACGTAGTCGAGTGGCACTTCCTCCCCGCCAACCACACTGTCGCCCAGTCCAGCTTTGGCGAGCCTTGTGAGCCTCTCGCCGACGGTACAGGTTTCTTTGCCGGCTTCAACTTTGCCACGGCTGAGGGCCAGGCTCCCGATGTCTTCCAGATTGTCGTGGAGGACACCAAGCCTATCTGGTACTACTGCGCTCAGCAAAAGGGCAACCACTGCCAGATGGGCATGGTTGGTGTCATCAACCAAAACTTTGACAACCAGGACTTCAGCCTCCGGCGACACAAGGAACTTGCTGCCTTGACTGGTGTTTCTGTCATTCCCGAGGTTCAACAGGGTGGAAGCGTTATTCCCAACCCCAACCCCAACGGTGGCTTTTGAGAAGGTTACTGTGATGGGAAAGGTCTAGCTAGACTAGCACTTTCTTTGATCTGATATGGCTTCCTAGCGAAGAATGATATGGTACGGGGCTTGGGGTTACATGGGTGGCTTGGTTACAGAATAGCGGTTTGCTTTCTATTTTTCTTCATTCCTTTCGAGATATATATTTTTGAATTCAATAAAATTCATTCATTTACTTTTGAAACCATTTGACTATTCTGTGTTCTCCCAAGGTCTATCATAAGGTCCACGTGCACATCCCTTGTATATACCCAATTACCTAATTTGAAAGTCTCCGACAGTAATATGGTGGTACCCTTTTCGGAACATGCCGAAAGATGTCCCATCTGGAACAACGCTTACCCCCTCATGTCCGCCATATGTCCGGCTCCGACTCCATCAACATCCTTTGGAATCATCAGCTTGTTTTTAGCATGGCTGGGTCAGATCACCATAGTCGGCACACAAGACATGAACCCAGTCACTTCCAATGTATTTAAACCAGCCAGGAATCCATCATCGACACCTATTTTTACTTGTTACTTGCCACTTGACATTGGACCCTTTATGCGAAGATCTACGATAAGACCCCAGAACGATCTGGACCCTCAGACCCTGAAGCCACTCAATCTGTGAAGATTAAGTAATTTATTTAAAGACGCTTAGTTCCTGCGTCTAAACGGCGAGCTATCACCGCAACTCTTTACCGCTTCCAACACATCTACTGCAGGTGAAGCTGACCGACACAACCACAAGCGACCCGAGTGTCTGGGATATGGCCTGATTTTGTTGGCACTATTGAAACCTCATGCGTCCACCTCATACCTGAGAAAAGGGTGTTTTGTAGTAGGAAAATGATAACCGAATTCTATTATTGGTTCCGTCTCATTCCCTCGGATACTAGACCCTGGAGCTTGTGGACGCTATACTTCTTATAGATGCTATAGTAGTGAATGATTGGACCACGTGTGGGCTTATTCGCTCGATTCTGACGTCAAGCTTCGATCTGTAAAACTGGACCAGGATCCGAGGATCGAATCTGAAACTACGATCAAGCTGAATATTCTTAATCTCACCGCGATCCTTCTTTTCTTCCTATTCCCTTTTCTCTGATTAAGAACGCTACAACTCTCATTCATCTTGCTCCCTCACTATCGAGTGATACACATTCGCTTCAATGATTCCTCAAGCTGATGAAGCCATGGCCGTATCCAGGAACTTTTTCTTGCCGCCTACGAGCGGGGCCAACACTATTGATGTGAGAAAGATCCAGACGGTACGGAATACTACCACTTGACACGCCCGCCAAAAACAAAAAAAAAATTGTCTTGTAACCTTTGAAGCAGACAAAGCTCTTGCAAGATGCGCACATGACACAACAGCTCCAACAGTCTTATGATATTGACCAATTCCTCAACAACCCATCACCCATCGATGAGACGGTCATCAACTTTGCCGACGACATTACCCAATCGCTAGGCGACGCGCTTCGATCTACACCCTGCGAATATCCTTCATCGGCTGCTCAGACACCAAACAGATCTCACCGTCGACCCAAGCGACTATCACGACAAAATACTACATCTTCTGTGGGTGGAAGCTCTGTGTCTAGAAAGTCCAAGCGCTGCTACCTGTGCGGCGCGACTGACACACCTCGCTGGCAAGAGACTGGTTTGGGGAGTCGTTTGTTCTGCAATGTTTGCGGGTTGTTGCACTCTAAGAAATTGATTGCGCGAAAGCGTCTTGCTGAATCCAGCCGGGGCGACACCATGTCAACCACTGATAGTGCTTGGTCATGACTATCAAGTGTTGTCGATGTTTATATTTATTTATGGATATCTAGAATTTGTATGAGCTGGAGTTGGGTCTTGGTCTGTTTTTATTCTATCACATTGGGCTTGGGTTATTTAGACGATTACTATCTCGACGTAATAACAACATCATTTAATCACGTAGTAACCGCTTTTCGCGGTTATGTTCTCGTCATCTTGATGGCAGCGACAATCCCCTTCCCCTTCATCACGTTTTCCATCCCATCCTGGACGGATAATTTCAACGTGTTTGATACGATAAAGTTCCAATCAAGGTGTGATTCACTAGACTCAAATGCTATGGTGTTGACGGCCGCGAGGGAAGTAACATCATTTTACAGGGGTACAAAGTCAACGTCTTAAAGTTTATCCTCCCACAGATCATAAACTCTTGGGGTTTAAATGACCTGCATTCATCGTATCTTTCCCCAATCACTTGGCATCTTTTAAAACTCAGTCTGGGGTAAATCGTACTGATTTCTCAATCACTGTGGAGTTTTGTTTATGGATATTGTATGCAATTGGTTACTCTCGACGACACTTAGAGTCATCAGCCCTTTTTTTCTCTTTTCTCCGTCTCCATCTAACGGAAGTCCGCCCTTTCTTGATTGGTCATGATCCTGGACTCTCGCTTAAGTTGATGTGAATCGTCGATTCGTACAACCACATCAAGACTTGGCCATCGGCACTTTTTTAGAGACCAAATATTCTTCGCTATTATCATTTAGAATCCCCATACTCTGCGCTCAACATCTCGTCATTCTTTCAACATCGTAATCTCATCTTTTCGACATTACCTCTTCTGCGATTGGAGCTAAACTTATCAGATTTGACTTAGATCTCGATTGATCTGTTGTGTCTCAAAATGCCTGGCAACAGCAACTTCTTTTTACCGCCAACTGCCCCTCCCTCCAGGACCTTTGACACAAGAGAGCTCCAAACTGTATGCGCTCCTTTTTTTCTGGGTGCATATCCTTTAATTTAATAAAAATCATCAAAGGTTCTTCAAGATTATGAGACGTCAATACGTGAACAACAACTCCACAACCATCAATCCACACAACTACAAACTCTCACTGAAGTGGCAGAGTCACCATCGTCACCATCAATAGTTCCAGGCGCTATCCCCAAGAAGCGTAGCTCACACAGGGATACAAGGGTATCGTCGCAATCTCATACGCCATCACGCTCCCAACGTCGAAGTAAAAATGTGCTGCAATCCGTGCGTTTCATTTCTTTCTTACATGTGGTTGTTACCTGACAGAAAAAACAGGTCCATGACCATGCTACAACAGCAGTAAAGCGCTGCGATACATGTGGAGTAACGGAAACCCCTCGCTGGCGAGGGCTTCTATGCAACGTGTGCGGTCTTGTACAGACAAAGAGAATCGCACGCAAGAATCTCACAGTCAGTCGAGATTCCACTTCCACCATGGGTAGCAGCCATCGATAAGATGAGATTCACGTATGCACTTTAGTCCCTTTACTGCAAGTCTAGAGATACACCAGCCGGGGCTTGCGCTGAATCATTTGAAAGAATGCTGTCCTCCATCTCTTTTCTCCTTGTTTAGCCACAAGGCCAAAAGGATGTCACTCGCTCAAGCACGGCTAAAACAGCACGACTGCCACTTACTCGCCGTCATCATGGCCCATCTCACTCATTTCATCAAACTTCCTCGCAAGTTTACCACCCTGCGCCTCAACAGAGTTAGTAACCGCCAAGTCCAAATCGATCATCCACTTGGCCATCGTCTCATCCGTGCTATTATCATCAACCACGAACCGCTTCCCAGTTTCATTCAATCTCCTCCTCGCACGCCTCACCTGCGTCTGCTCTATGCTCCCCTGTCGGATCGCCATACTCATAACGCCCTTGGTTATCGCCCCGAAAACTTTGTACGACATGAAGAGCTCTTCAAGCCCCGCAACGCATAGGTTCACAAAGAACTGCATCTCATCTTTGTTGTGGTAGTCTGCGCGCATCGTGGCGTTGGCGACGTATATCACCCCGGTTTGCCACATGACCGAGAGAGCTTCCAGATGGAATTCGAGCCGATAAGACAGCAGAAGTCGCTTCATTTGGCGGATGGAGACGTGATATACATTCTGCGGATTTGCGCGTTCGGCGGCAAATGTTCGCAGTGGAGTGGAAGAGCGATTAGGCTGGTGAAGAAAGGGACGAAAAAGGTCTGTGATTACGGCGTGATAGTATATACTGGAAACGTTAGCGTTGGAAATCATGCAGTGAACTTCAAGTCTTACTGCATGAGATAAACGGCAGAGCTGCTACCGGGTTGTCGAACCAATCTCAACGGTAACTCATCTGCCCAGGTGAGAAGTTGACGGTAGGTACCCTCAACATACTCAAGAGCTTCCTTCTGATTCAAAAATCCCTCTAGGTCTGGGCCATAGTATATCTTGGCGATGGAAGCAAAAATTATCCAGAGTTTGCACATGGCACGAAACACCTCGACACTTTCAGGTAGCGAGACTGCAACTTCGTCTCCAGCGGCAAGGGCTATATCAATATCGCCAGGCATCATCAACCCGGGTGGGATATCAACATTGACTTTATGGTAATGAAGAGTGAAAACGCTGGATTCATTGTGTCAGCTTCAGGTGGGAACAGAATACGGCCAAAGCAAACGTATCGACTCACCAAGACCAATTGAAAACGCCCCACGCCGTATATGAAGCAGCCTTCTGCCAATCCGGATACCCATGAACCCATGCTGCTGCAGACTGCGATTGCGGATCAACATTCAAAAGGCCCATTGTTTGTGCAATCTCAATTCCGGTTTTGTGAAACACGAACGCAAGTTCGTCTTGTCCGTGTGTTACAGATGCCATGGACATGAGTTGCGATGCAGATATGTTGCACAGCGTAGCGGATTCACGGCGGTCCAGCTGGTTCCACTGCGCTTGGGCATCGAGAAAGAAGAGCCAGCTCCAGGAGGCTGCTTTGGGGTGAATGGAAGTATAAGCTTGCTGCACAGCCAGCGGTCAGCTTGGGTTATTTTCCTGGTTCGACATACTTACACAGGCCCAAGCCAAAAGAGCTGACACCAGAAACCGAGAGCAAAAATATGGTCGCTTTTGGGAGAGATCTTGCAGGAATAGATCTATATTGAAAAGAGGAAGAATTGTGAAATCATTATTGAGATAAAGCGCGATCACTCGAATGGCAAAGTCATTGGGGATGGGCAAGTCAGTCCAGAAGGATATGTCAACCTGGAGCAGAATATCAATATGTGCTTGCGCCAAGTGTAATAGGCTATTGCACCAATCAGAAGCCCCGTCACAGTGTTCGTCTTTCTTCTTGGATGTGTCAGGCAGTTCTGAGTCAGCGACATCGGTTAGCAAAAGACGCTCTCTTAGGATCTCGGGGTTTCGAGGAACAAGGAGCGCCTCAAGAGGCAGCGAGTTGACGGCAATGGGCATCAAAACCGGATACGCGATAGGATGTCGGACCATGAGCTCTTGCTCCATTGGATTGGATGCCGGCGGCAAAAGACTCCCGGCGAGAGTATAATGCATCGGTGACGGACATTGCGCAGCCAAAGGTGTCCACGCAGGAGGTGATCTTGACGATGAAGATTCCGGGGTATGCATCGATGAAGCAGCAGGGCATGGATCTCTGGGCATCTTTCGAAACAAATCAAAAAGCTCCAGGGCTTCGAAATACGGCAGCGTCGCCAAGAGTTGAGAAAGGGCGCTTGGATCTTGGCTTAGCCTGTCCAGTCTTTCAAGCTGAACCGAACTGGCCGGCGCTGGAGGCCCATCGAGATACTCGCATCGCAAGTCACGTTCTGTACATTTTATACAAGTTGGTCGGCTCCGATCACACTGCGGTACAAGATTCCGTTAGTTAATTCATGAGCCACCTTTTGGATGAAGTTATCGTCAGCACGTGAGCGTCTAGAAAGAGGCATTGTGCAAATTTCAATTCCGACTATCATGCCATACAATTTAGAATCAGTAATAAAATTCCCGAACCTTTTTCTTGCGCTTTCGGCATGGTTCGCAGGCGGGGATGTGTCCGGCCCCAACCTTCCGCGCCGATCCAGACAGCCTCGCCAACTGAGTGTCCGGCGCCGACGAGGATGGAGTCTGCGATGGCTTTCGACTTATAGGTCGTAGAGACTGCTGAGGAGCCATAATACCCTCTTGCTATGCCGAGACACGTTCGCGGGGATGGAGAAATGGGGGCTGAAGGAGAAGATAGACTTTTTTCCCCTTTGAGGGGAGGAGAAATTGCGGGATTCCAGGGGTCCATTTCATCCAGTTGGAAGGATTTCATCTGCCACCATTCTGGTTTAGCTCCTAACTTGCCAACAACTGCCGCCTGACTCAGCCTTTATCATCCCGGCACGTAAAAAACAAGGCTGCGTGTTGTGTTGCATTGTTATCCTGTACTTGTTAAATCACTATTGAATTGTTTACGCTCTGCTTTCGTCGCTTGCATAACCGGAGGCTTCACTAAGCCAATCATCCATTAACTCGGCTCTTGATGCTTACCCGTCTCTGCATAGCTGAAGTAGAGATGCAATAGAACAAAATCAAACTACCGACAGAAATATGTCGAGTTCAATCTTGAAATCCTATAGAAATACTGACTTGATACAAAACAGAGAGAATACACAATAACGGATTTCCAGTCAATATGCTTTGACGTCCGCGGAGATACTATATTCCTATGACAAACGTCATTAAAACCTTGTTCAACACGAGTCTGACAACAGTTTTTGCAAACGTCTACACTACTTATTAGAGGCTTTGACTCTTTAATCAAACCAAAGTATAAGGTTCTGACCCAGACAGCATCGTGGCTCAAACGTTTCCAGGGTAAAAAGCATAACTTAGCTGTACACGTAGATAGTTCATGGTGAGAATGCACAGGTTCACGGCTGTCAACAGCAAACCAGCAGTTCCACTTATGCAAAGTTCGTCCCACAACAAAACGGTAAAGAGGTCGATCATAAATACATTTCTTGAAATGTATATCGTAAATTGAACACTTACAAATTAGAATTCTACGTTACGAACCCTATTCATCACAATGTCAAAAAGTCGAGGTGCAGCTCAATCTCAAATACCCTATGCTTCCCCACGGCCTAATCTCGGCTAAAAATGCCCACATAATAAAAACCTTGCCTTCCCACCGAAACTTCTTTCTTTCCTCTTCAAGCCCATCGCCCTCCCCAACGCTGCGTTTCCATGCTACAAACAGAGAGATTCTGCCCGAATCTCTCAAGACACGAGATCTTCGGTTCTCATCGTCATCTACATGCATGTGGGAAATTCGGAGTAAGCCTCAAATCCACCAACCGTACCGCTATCTAGCAGTAACTGGTTTGGTCTGCCGGTAACGGCCTGGCGTCAATGTTACGTCTGCAAATGATATCAGAAATCTCAGAGCGGCGACTCGTTTCGTCGATCTCTATGGGAAGTCTTTGCGAGGCTTGTTGCAAAAAACTGAAGTGCGATACGCGGCGTCCTGTTTGCTTGCGAGCAGGATGACTCAATTCCGATCACTCTGGGGAGGGCGATGGCTTCACCTTTTTTTTCTCAGGTCAGTACTTTCTTAGCGTTCAAGGATAATACTAATAAAGGTGGTGGTAGGAAGGGAGTCGACGGACGGAAAGAGGAGGAGAGGGAGTAAGAGGAGGAATGGGGTTTTGTCATTTCGGTCGTTAAAATACGAATATTCTCAATCATTACTTTTTCCCATGCGATCAACCTGTCCTGAACCAAAACAATTCATCCGTCCTTCGCGAGGTATACACTCATCCTAACCCATCCAGAAAGAAACACCATCGAACGCCATAATCGCCTTGATCGTCAGAAACAAATCCTTGTCCAAGCTCAAACATCACCCGAATCCAATCCCCTCACGATCGCATAACTTGTGCCCGCCGCCAACATTCCGATAACAAGCGTTTGCACCGCTCCCCAAACTCCCGCGCGATGGTTTCGAATGGCAACGTAGTTTTTGACATACCCAAACACCAGCAACACTGCGACCGTGATACCGATCGAGACCAATAGCGCTTCGCGAACGCGGGACATGACAAAGTAGGGAATCATGGGGATGAGGCCGCCGATGAAGTAGCTCAGACCCATGGTGACAGCAGAGATCCATGCGCGGTGCACGTTGGGTTCTTCGAGCTTGAGCTCAAAGTCCATCATGAAGCGCACCCACTCGCTGGGGTTCTTGCACAGCTCGTCGACTAGTGGCGCCGCGGAGCTTCTTGAAACGTTATACTTTTGCAGCACATCGTACACACCCGTTCTCTCGTCAGCGGGTCTGTTGTGCACTGCAAACTCTTTCTTCTCCGCTTGTGAATGGTAGGCATCGCGCTCTGTGACGGCTGCTAGGTAAGCGCCTAGACCCATGCTGATCATGCCGGAGAAGAGCTCTGCCAGGCCAGCAATGATGACAACTTTGGCGCTACCGAGACTGGATAGACCGGCTGTCAAGGCAAAGGGTACTGTGAGGCCGTCGGAGAAGCCAATGATGATGTCGCGTAGGATGTCGCTGTAGTCGACATGGCATTCTTCATGTTTGCTCTGGCAGGGGTGCAGAGCACGGGTATCGTAGGGAGTGTGATTGCTTTGGTAGGAGATTGAGCGCTCGATGGCTGGCTCTGAGGGGAGAAGGGGACGTGTTTCTGAGATGTGCGTCATTGTGGTAGAGTAGGATGGTGAGAGTCTGGTGACAATCGTATGGTGTTTTAGACTTTATTTTTGTACTTTTAAATGAATCGATCAATTCGCCACAGTGTCTTGTCAATTTATAAGCAATGGCCACAATGGAAATTCACCGATGTTCTCTTGATGGCTTTTCTTGAATTCACCGTTCTTGATGGCCTGTCTTATACCCTTTACTCGCCCTTTGTCTCTCCACCTGCTGCACAGACCGAACTCGACGCTTCTCCAAAAGGGAATAGACCGATGCCGAATCCATGATCTCTCTTCGTGTCATCCACCAATCAGAAGATGTGTATTTGCAATATGGTAGTAAACAAGACTGGTATGGTTGTCGTACAGCCAAGCTACTCGTTAGTACTCCATACGCTAGAATTAATTTAATTGATAAAGAAAATTCTTTGTAGACAGAGAAAATGTAAAATTTTATTAAATGCTCGCTCGGCTTGTTCTGTACATAATTGGTATGGTCTAAAATTGTCTCCAGTTCTTCGGGTCTAGAGCTTGGCGTCGCGCTTCTTGCGCTGGTACGGCATCACCTCGAAGCCCTGCACACCACCGTCGCGAATCACTCTTCGCAGGATCTTTCCGCTGGGTGATTTTGGGATCGCCTTTACAAAGACAATTCCACCTACGAGCCACTTGTACCTTGCAGCGTGGCTCTCCACCAAAGTTTTGAGATCGTGCGCCAGCGTCATGAGGTCAGCCTCCGACTTGTTCTGGTCTGCAGCTACCACGTACGCGCGCGGCCACTCTGTCGCCTCGGTCTTGTCGTGTACTCCCACTACACCGGCATCCGCTACAGCGTCGCTACTGCAGAGGATAGCCTCCAGCTCCGCGGGCGCGACCTGGAACGCGCGGACCTTGATGAGCTCTTTGATACGGTCGGTGATGCACAGGTTGCCTTCTGTGTCGAGCGTTCCTACATCGCCGGTGCGGAGCCAGCCGTCGGATGTGAGAGCTTCGGCCGTGACGCTCATGTCGGGTGTTTCATTGCTTCCGAGACCTTGCGTGGGGACGTAAGCAGTCATCAAACCAGGCGATCTAACAAGAATCTCGCCTGGTGCACCAAACGGTGCGGCCTTGGTGGTTGAGTCGTCCGAGGTCGAGTCTGCCTCTCCCGATGCTGCGATCATGAGTTCCACACCCCAGTGAGGTTTGCCTGTGTCATTCTTGTAGCCGTGCATGTCCTTTTCCCGTAGACCTCTTTGCACAGTGATGCTGCATGCTTCAGACATGCCGTAGCCCAATCGGACGAGGAAGCCACAGCGTTGGAAGACCTTTTCTACGACTTCATGGCCCAAGGGAGCGCCACCTGTCACGCCTGCGACAACGCTGCTGAATGCATTGCGGCCACGTGCGTCGCGGCGCGCAAAAGGTTCCACGACAGGTGACTTGGCGAGCATGACGGCGACGGGCGGCGCCATGTGAAGGTAGGTGATTTGTCGTCGGGGAATGGCGTACAAGACGGTATCAAGCTTAAATGCAGGCATGGTGAAAACGCTTGATCCGGTAGCGAAAGCCAGTAGAAAGATGTTGGTAAGGCCAAAGACGTGGTAGAAAGGTACGTAGCCCAGCCATCGCTGGTGGAAGCTGTAAAAGTCTGCATCATGCCACAGCGACGCGATGGAAAAGTTGATGGCTTGGTGAGAGAGCAGGACACCCTTGGATCGACCTGATGTGCCGGATGACCAGAGTATGACGGCTGTGCGCGTAACAGCTGATTCAGGAGGGAATGAGTGACCAACAGTGAGAGCAGAGCTGGTGTTGACGAGAAGGTTCCTCCAGTCCCCTTCCTCAGCGTGCGACGCAGGCGAAATAGGATACAAGTCCCTAGCTACATCAACAGTGTAAACGCGCACACTGTTCTTGTAGGCTTCATCTTCCTGAGATTCGAGCGCCTTCTCAACGGTGTCAAGAAGGGCCTTTGCCGTGAAGAGGACGCGCGGGCGAGAGTTCTTGAGGACCCATGCGAGTTCAGTGGTTGTCAATGATGGGGAGGCGAGTGTGGCGGTGAGACCAGCCGCGATTGTGCCCATAAACAATGTCGCAAAGGGCAGGCAATTGGGGAGCTGGATGAGCACGACTGGAGCGATTTCCGGGCCTGTGCATGATGCTGTTGGAGGGAGAGTCTCCAGAGCGTTTGGGTCGAGGCCTAGGGATTGGAGGTTTGAAGCTAGAGTGAGGGCGTCGCGTTTCACGCGGGAGAATGTGAGGGGACGGTCTGAGCGTGTTAGTGAGATGTGCGATTGAAGGTAATGAGTTTATGCGTTTTCACATGAGGGTGAGAGTGAGAGAGGATGCGTATTACTTACCGCTGGCGTGGTCTGTGAAGATAGGCTGGTCATCACGAATCTTGGGCACCCTTCTGGCTCTGGGCACAAAGTCGCTCTCATGCTGAAAAGGATTGCTGAATATAAAGTCAAAGACGTTTGCGCCTGGTACATTGGCAGGTTGTCCCACATAAGCAGGCTGAGACGTATCTGTAGCCATGATGTTTTGTGTTATGTATGTACCCTGCTGTGCTCTTGTGTCCTGTCCTGTGGTGTTTTCTGTGTCGCCAAGGTAACGTGGCTGGTTGACAGGGGTTAGATTGAGTACTAAGAAAGATGATTTTCTTGATGAACTGTTGGAGTCTTGGTAAGAGACGTCTTATATTGAGGCTCTAGAATAGATTAGATCTCCCTCTACCTTGGGTATACCGATACGGATACCGTAGAGGTCGGGCCGGACGTGGAGATTGAACATTGCGGAGACCCCGCGTTGACTCTTTGAGCACTACGGCAATTGGAATCGGCTGCATCACCCCGCTATAAGCATTAACCAGATTTTATACAGTGACAGACCAACAACTTTTGAAAGACGATGAGATCCCAGTCTCAAGATAGATTTATCTGTATATAACTCTTAGAAGTCATGGAATGTGTTCCCATTATTGCTCTTCATCATCGTCTTGTTGTGTACACAGACATCCTCCCCGGATATAACAATATCCTCATCTCTCCTCATGTCCCAAATAGGCAACCCGAGGCCTAAGTCCAAGAATCGTTACTGTAGCCAAATCTTAAATAAAGTTATACCTTGTCCTTGAATAAAATGACCAATTCGTTCACCTCGGTATGGACTGAAGAACCGTTCTTCAGCTCCTCAATCGTCGGTAGAGCTTGCGGGTCATTTCTCGGATGAGTTGATCTTATGTCAGGTCGTGCCTTGCCCTAGCATCAACAGGGAATGGTGTATCCATTCGTCGTCGAAGGGCTTGTTGTATTCCGTTTCGAGTATTGTATGCACGTAACCATATAACTATCCTCATCCTCGTAATTTCTCGCCCTTCTGTGAAGCCAAGTGTCGTGTTCTTGCTGTGATCCATCTTTCATCACTGTTCGTTATGGCCACGGCCATTCGATCTCGATATATCGTTGAGCGGTAATAGCAAAGCTGCTTCGTCCACACTATCCAGAAAGTCGTGGACCGACTTGGCACTCCGAATCTGACGTAGCATCTCTTCCAACTCCCCCCCTTCCGCCATGCGGATCAGCTCGATTACTGTCAAAAGAGATTGGTATCTTTGCTCCGTGTATGGTAGTTCTTCGAAGTTGATGATCCGTCCGAGTCGTGACGTAGGGAAACTGCATTTTTCATTTGAGGATTGACAGGGAGTACATTTCGGTCTGCGGTCGTCGCACTACGACCCCTACATTAGATGGGGCAAACACATCTTCCTTTCGGGAGCGAACGCACCTTGACTTTACGGCGTCTGCAACCTATTGCCAGAGTCAGAATAGTGGCTAGCTGTTAGAAAACCTGTAGGCTTACCATTGCATGCAACAGGAACTTGTGATCTCTTTGTTATACCCTCGCATACATTCGATCTCGTAACATCATGTGTCGTTGACATGTCCGTTTTTGGAAGTATTTTCCTCATTTTATTCTCGGCTCTGTGAGATGGAATTTTCTCACGTTTTGCCCGGTTTCTTGAATAAAATCTGGTCAGAAACAAATAATCGGCGTTATTTGACTTGGTCTATGTTTTTCGTGCGGCGATATATTCGTGGTCTTAACTCTACTGGATTCCCTCGCTTGGGTGGGGAAATGGCCGGAGAGTTTCCGCCGAATGAGTGATTTGATTCGATGGGACCCTGTGGGATAAGACTGACCGGCCTTTTGTCTCCTGGAAAGGAGCCTGATTTGCATGCATCACGGCGTTGGCATTGCCTTTTGACTGAGCGCACTCGACATGTATACGACAGTCACTTGTAATATGCGTCTCTTATTTCACAGGAAGGAAGGAAGGAAGGTGGCTGATATGGACGTAGGTATTTATTTCGCAGTTAAGATGTTTTTTGAACTGGATGTTCATGGTCGATTACAACAGAATGGCGAAATTCCCCCAACATCAAGGCAACAAGACGCGTTTTTGTACAGCAACCACCTCTATGATAATATCCTGCAATTGGAAGATGAATTATTAGATCTCGCAGCATATTTATACAGTGTGATGGAATGATCCCACAAAGATTGCTGACGTATCATCTCGGGGCTTCCAACACCATATGACGGATTATCGCTCTCACACTCCATACTCGACAGAAGGTTAGTGCAGAGAATTTTGTAAACAAAAGACAGGATGTACGACAAACTCTGATAGCTAGATGAGTAAGGTTCACTCATGATCGACCCTGACCAGTCCAACTTCTCGTGTGTTACTTGAGTTGGGCTGCAGAGACTTGTCAAGCTTGTTGCCCCCACCATGAGCCATTTGCTGCCGATTGAGCGTTTACGTGTCATCTACTTGTACTCTCAGTGGTGTACGTCTAGCTAGGTATCATGTGAGGATTTGTGATGAACCTAGTAAGCCCGCTCCCGTAACTAGTCCCTCAATTCACAACGTCCCTGTTTGAGATGCATAAAAAGGTGTCGTTGATACGTCACAAAACCTCGGGCCGTTCTTCCGTTTCTATTTGGCTCTACTAATGCAAGTAGAGATCAACAGTGGTAGGGTGGCAGGTGGCAGGGTGGATAAATAAAACTATGGTACTCTGTATGGTGACAGAGACCACGATGCACAAAGCGCTTGGGCCAAGGGGGACCAATACAAGAGATCTGGTTGCTTGCACTGTATGTACTCGCCATTGTGGAGAGAGACAGCGGCATAAGAACATTCCTTGTGCATTATGAAAGGCGGATTCCCGTGCAATTCGGACCGGCTCCGGCATCTCTGGCTCGTCTGGAAGTTGTAGCTTGCGGGGTGGCCCAAGCAAGACAGACGATGGAGATTGCGCCTTGTTGTGATAGATCACTGCTAGATCCATTGCGGGCGAATCAAATACTCAGTCCTATGACGAGCTCGACCGAGTAGATTGGTGTATACATGCATGACTACATAATACTATATCACAAGAACGATGAGGTTGATGAAAGGGTCTCCATAGAGGACAATGGAAGAGACCGCAGCGCCCTGGAGAAAATTTACGGCAAAAGGAGTATGACGCAAAAGCCAGTAGCTGCTAATAGAGTAGTACATGTGTGATAAACAGATACATATGTTCTCGCGGTTCGTAGGCTGGTGCGACGACTGTGAGACACGAGGGCTACGAAACTACAATAATAAGCTTAAGTTTATCCAGGCCACTTTGGTAAAGGTCTGATCCAGGAGTCGCGAGAACAGTTCAGGTCATTAAGGGCGTTACACGAACATTAAACCTGCGGCATTATCCTCAAGAGACAATCTAATCTGCCAACCCCCGTATAATTGACGAGAGGAAAAGGAGAACAGGGAGACCTAGACTTACTTGTGTCCAGGAAAGAGAGTCCCACCAGGTGAGAATGTTATAGTGACGAAGTCCGAGGCCCCCTATTGGATCCCTAGGCAGGAAAGAGGTTCGTTCGTTTTCGTTGACGCGGACGTAGTGCTGTGTAGTTGTCGCGCTGTATTATCGATGGGCGAGATAGATCTTACGGACATCCTGCATATTAGTGAAGCTTCTGTATCGTAGTTCTAGTCACAATCGGCGATCAGGTATTATGATGAACGCGATGGGGGATGTTGATGGACATGATTTTGACTTTGTAAGAGACATCATCCGTCGCGTACGCGCTCGCACCAGTCGTATTGTGGTACACCGATTTAGTGTGCGAGTATATCGACAGGATAAATGGATACTGCCGAAGAGTACCTGTAGTTGACTCTTTACTGGTAGCTATCTGTATTTTTGTTTCGTTCGGCATGTCGTACTTCGAAGGCGTAAACTCTCGGTCTGTTCTTTGGACGGTAAGATATGATCTAAGAGGTTAACAGTATTCTATAGATTAGTCTACCATGTTGACAATCGAGTTTACCAGGACATTGTCTTTCTTGCTTTAGTGTGCCGACCATTTTGGGACGAGGCGAGGTGCAAAGGTTCGTACCAAACTGGGCTGCGAGATGAGGAATTTATGAGACAGTTCTACGGAGAAGTCGAGGATCTTGCACACAACATTATTGTATAACAAAATCAGGGGGGTGTGTGACAAGACGTCGTATCCACTTCATCTGGAAGGGGTGCTAGGTGTGAAGGAACTTGAACCAAGAAATACAACCACCGATGGGAAGTAGAGTCTAATATTGACAAAAAGATCATAATATGCAGCTCCGTAAGAGAGAAAGTAGGCTGTTGTGTTGGACTAGGAATCGCCGCTCGTCAAGGCTACACTTGATACTGTCACATGATTTTGCCTGTCGAATGAATCGTGAAGTACGGTTGGCTAGTAGGGAAAGAGCATGATTTGGACCCTTATACATGTCTGTGGATTATCGTTCTGTTGAGTATGTATATGAAAGACAAGAATCTTGGCTAAATGTTTTATCCAAGGGCAGTGGCCTTACTACCTGCAATCAGTACGCAAGGGACTCAACTCGACCAACACTACCGTAAAGTCTGTTCCACCACAAAACAAACGTAACAATATGACGACGATGGACGAGTCTTTCTGTTTTCTGCCTGGAAGTGTATCGCCATAGCCCAACGGAAATTGCAAAGCAACCATGTTTAGATTCTGATTGGTCAGACTTCAAATCGGAGTCTTTGTCCGTGTGGTTTTGAGTGGTCAACAAACCAGACGGCCTTGAGCTCCGTTTGTCTATGATTGGGCGAGAGCTTTGACTATCACATCGGACTAACATGTCAGATGCTGCCACTGTACTACCGTACTAAACTTTATACTGTATTGTGTCACAGCATGGAGACAGAGTTGATCTGATCCCTTCTCAGAGTAGGATTGACTTTCCACGCTGTTTGCATTTTTTTTCTGTAGAAGTCACACCTTGCTTCCCTATGGGGGTTGACGATGCCCCTGCAGATTGGTCATGGCTATCACACCCCAACCGTCTTCAATAGAACTCATGTCGGCCTTGCATCTGGTGTGTCTTGAATATATTGAAAACCTGCAAATCAATTCACCTCAACCTTGAGATACGCATATTAGTGCCAGACTACCGCTGTGGATCAACCCAAGAGGCAGTAATTCGGAAGCTACTTTAGTTTCCAGGTCTGTAATTGAGTCCATAAGTCTATTCCCGGTAGCAGGTCCATCGTTGGTGCCATGGGGCGTGGAGCTCTTTACCCACACACCATTCAAATGAGCCCCTGACGAACCCTAACGTGTGCAACACTGTAATTACCACCGCCACTTCTCATTTACTTCTCCGCGGGCCAAATGGGCTAGATAAATCTGAAAGAATGGGTCAGCTACACGAGGAATTGCCCATTCACGTTTCCTGGAAACCCCCCAGCAATTCCAGTTAGGTTAAACCCGAAGACTCTCCCTTTTAGGTAAGGGTGAGTTAAGAGAAAGCTTTATCTTCACCTTGAAGGTAAGCTCGGATCTTGCAACTAATCTATCATTGTGGAACAATAACAGCTTAACATCAAGATACGGATCAACTGACAGCGCCAATAGCTTGGTTATAATGATATGGATCACAATATGCGAGAATAATAACGGGAAAGTTACAATAGTTTCGTAACTTGGCCTGTGGGTACCATCTGTAGTTATACGGATACAGATTTGACCAAAGACGACTGCTGAGCGGTTCAACGTTTGGTATGTAGCTTGTAGCCTGTAAAAAGATCTAACTATGGTCCAGGTCAGGCTTCAAAACTTGTTCCGATCTTTGTACAACCTAAGCATCCCTTCCCCAAAGCACGATATCCCGAAACCTATCCATTTATAAAGTGCCGCCCAAACATGGTGGCAAATTGATACGATTGTGACTTGCAAATGGCTTCAAATCGAAGGTCTCGAACTCCCATCCCAATCTACCCCTTCAAAATAGAAGTCGCAAGGGTGAATATGATAGACATTCTAGTTCGTATCATGTCCCGTGTCGAAGATGTATCTATTATGCAACAGACACGCGCGTCTACTAAACGTGATGCTAATGATAAATGTGTTGAAAAGGCGGTTGTGGTGGAAGAGGGGGCGTCGCATTCGGATGCTTGCCCTCACCCAGATCCTTGATGTATCGCTTGGCTTCGCTCGCAATGTAGTCCTGTATCAAGGCGCAGTCGCAGTCTGTGTGCTGCAGTAGCTTCATCTTGAGGTCGTAGATCTCCATCGTCAGGTCGGATACGCAGTTACTCAAGTCGCGGTTGGATCGCTCCATGTCTTCCTCGTCAACCCGGAGCTTGATGGCATCCTCGCGTTTCTTGACGCGGAACTTGTTGGACGCGATCCGGTTTCTCTCCTGTACCTTTTTGCTGTGAATATCATACTCTTGTTCGGGGTCGACTTCCGCGTCATCGTATTCATCGTCGTCATATTCTTCATTTCGTTCGGGCTTTGGTGGTGTTTTGGTCGTTGCTTTTGATCTTTTGCCCCGTCTAGGCTTTTCTGAGGCAGCAGTGGTGTCGGGTTCAGCTTTGGATGTCTTTCTTGCGGAAGCGCGTCTTGTCGGCTTTGTGGTTGTGGGTTGGGACTTGTGTTTAGCTGTTGCTGCTACTGCTGCTGTGCTTCGCTTGCGTCGTCGTTGGTCGGTTTGGGTTACGGAAGAGCTTCGACGGCTCTTACTAGGTGACTCAACAAAGCTTGTAGCTTCGGTTGATGGTGAAAGTAGAGGATAGCTGTGTGTAGAGGTTGAAGGAGAGTCCCATTGTGTCACCTGTTCAGGGTTCAAGGTGGAATTGTTATAAAATAAATGTTGCTCCTGACCAAAGTGGACTGGAGCAGTCACGTTGGCCGACTCGGCAAAGGCAGCATCGTTGGGGGACCACCATTGTCCCCAGTGGGCCTCAGGTAACATGCTGCATGGGTTCATGCCTGGAACCCCTTGGGCGATAGCGCCCATGTCAGGCACTGGTGCGAAGACGACGCCAGGTGGGTGTTCCTGGACTTCTGGCGGTTGCTGGTGGGTAAGGTCGACGTTATCCATGGTCGATACAGAAGCGTTTGTGTATACAAGTCAATTCAGTCCTAGTGACCAATCCAAGAGGCCAAGACTCAAGACGAAAGGTTTTGGTGTGCGGTTGTCAGGTTTCGACCGCCAGAGTAGTTTGTGAAGTGGATATATACGGACGAAAGAGTCACAGGTTTGGACATGGAAATTTACAAGAGAATTGCAGATTATATGTAGTTTGATGTAGAGACATTGGAGACGGGGACAGTGGGAGATAAATAAGGGTTGGGACAAGGCTTAGAGCCATACCATAAGTGGCAAACACGGATATGCTGTCATTGTTGAGACGTTGATCAGCAAGGGAGAGATGGAGGGGGTCTTGGGGTCCTGGAAGTGGGAGCCATGTGGATGGGGAAAATAAACGAAAACGCCAGGTTCAGACGTGGGAGTTAGCTAGTGAGACTTGTGAAATGAACGCAACCAAATCTGTATCGTATGTACTGTGTCAAAGTGGATTCAGGCGGCTGCACTACAACAAGCCATGCAATGGGGGACGCAACTAGCCTAGCTACCTAATACGGAGAGATATCAGAGACTGACTGGCATTGACGAGCAAGCATTGAACGACCCGGTTTCGAGTAAATGTGATGTGGATTCTCAATGTATGTCTGCGCACAGTCTACGTAGTGGATCGTGGATGAAGCAAACGGTCTTGAACCCTTTAAACTGTGAAATCGATCAATCTGCATCGAGGTCCCATCGATAACAAGACCCTGTAGCGTCGCGTCGTCAACCCGGGCGAGAACCCTGAAGAAATGACAGCCTACCAAACTATCCGGAGACCACGGCGAGAACAGATAGCGTCCCCGCCATGATGTACCTGGATGTTGATAGATCATAAAATAGCGTGACATCTTCCGAGTGTCTTGAACAAAGACGATCCCCGCAGTATGCGCGAGGATGGGAGACAGACGGGAAAGCAAGAGGAATGATCTCTCGATGACAGCGGTGATAAACTAGGCTTGATACGTCTTAGCCCTGTGAGGAAGAGTGTGAAAAGCAAGAAATGCTAGAGAACGAGGGACTGAAGCTCAGTTCGAGGGAACATGGCCCAAGTCAGTGTCGGACGCTCCTATTGGTTCCGGGGATAAATTCCGTTGCTCATGGTTGGTAGACAGGGTCCGAGATATGTAATTGGGGTAGTAACGCATATTTAATTGGTGCTAACATTTACAACGGGCAAGGGAGGGAGTGACTGATATGTACAGACAGCCACTGTACCTACCCGTAGGTGAAGAAGTGACGTACAAGGGACAAACACGAAGTAGGTGATACGACGCCCAAGAAAAATAAAACAAAGAAAAAAAGGAAAAAGCCTTGGCTTGGCATATCTAACATAATCCTGCAGGGAAATTGGCTAGCAAGGATGAGACCAGTCACCACATGTTGGCAAAGTATCTCAAGATATTAAGTCAAGAAAACACAAGACCTAAGCTGAAGAATGGCATATTTTACAGAGTCATGAATTTCAAAGAAGGAGAAGAGAAAGAGGTGGAAGAGAAAAAAAAAGAACGGGCTTGCCCCTTTCGATAAGGGATGGATGGCCATGTCACAACAGCCAGCCTTGCCAGTCACGTCATGCTGTCTATCACCTGAACAGCCTCCAGGTCCGTCCCACCCTTACAATCTTGTCTCTTTTCCCAAGCCCATCGCATACCCAACGTCCATCATCATCACTATTCACAGAGGTTGCTTGAACGCAGAGCAGTTGTCTGTTCGACTTGAAAATACCATTCTGCAACTCCTCTTTCAACAATAAAGAGCCACGCCCGGTTAGCTCAATCGGTAGAGCGTGAGACTCTTACGAGTACGCGATCTCAAGGTTGCGGGTTCGACCCCCGCATCGGGCTGTTCCTATATTTCGATTGCGAGCGTTAGCGAGGCTTTCTTTTTTTGCAGGCTTCATGTTCTTTTGCTGTGACTTTGCTTCTTTGAAGTCTGTGCTGAGGATTGCGTAATGGGCAGCTCTGCGTGGCTCACCACTTCAGTGATGTTGTAAGATTGATCAAATTGTATCTATTTTATAGCAGTGAAAAGACATGATGGTAAGCTTGTTCTTTAGAATTGATTAAAGGTGATCCATTGAGATAGTTAGTTGTTTTCTCATTGTGGTGATATGTCCCTATTCTCCCAGTAGTCTCTCTCTGCAAACCCATTGGGAAAAGAGTTGCCATTACATAGTGAACCTGTTTGTAGTCCCCATAACAGCTAAAATATGATTGATAATGTTCAAGTACCAGGTAAGAATTGATCGTAATTCAAGACATGTTACTCTGAGTTTAATTTTGCCTGTGTATCAAGAATTGACCGCCATTCAACATAGCAACAATTGACCACAGGGTAGGTGTAGTGGAAAGACGCTGGAATAGTGCCCCGATTTTAGGACGCGCCCACTTTGAGGACAAGGTGATTGACGGGAAGCTCGGAAATTATTTTAAACTCTTGGAGACTAAGCACGGCACTCGCACGTGTAATACATGACAAGCGTCTCAGTAGCGAATCGTTCAGTTGCTTCTTTATATGCTGCGTCACGGCATGTCAGTTTGGCCGTTGAGGTGACGCGCATGGTGGCATCGCAGAGGAACCTACGGATGCCCTGGCTCCCCAGTGTCATGCATCTGATGGCTGGTGATGTGCTGTACATGTCTATGGAGAGTCAAGTTATCGTCAATTATAGAATGCTCAAAGAGGGCTCGAAAATAGCGATCACCTGTGTAAATGGCGACAACTCTAAGCAATTGGCAATCGACATCACGCGACACGATATTGTAATAAACAAAAGAAAAGACCATCGTTTGGGTCTATGTAATGCTGTATGTAGTACAAAGAAAAATAAACAGACAAAAAATCCATCATCATAAGGGGAATCAACCGAAACTCCAGACAGCTGATATAAGACAACATACAAGTCTTGGTGAACAGCCTTTCTTCCGTAACGCCTCGGGCAAAAAAGCGCCCTCCCTGAACCCGTTCATCTCAGAATGATATGTTCCACTGGCAGTATTTTTCCTGTGTACCCAATCCTCAAGACTTTGACGCGGTAAAACAATCGTCAACAAAGATCCTGCGTTCTGTAAACATGGTACAAAAAACGCGTCATTACTCCATATATCCTCCAGTCAGTGTACCCAACCACGTCTTTACTCTTTTGGAAACAGGCGATGGCTCGTAGTCCTCCTCGGCGGCTCTCTTTTTGGCTGGTGTTTTGGCTGGTGTCTTAAACTCGGGTTTTGTTTCTTCCCCAGCCTCCATCACACTTGTCGCAGCCGTCGTCGCGCTTTGTTCTTTGTTTGGTGAGTCAAAAACTGCCGACGCCACCGTTATCGCTTCCGACGCCTGATCAGAACTTGTCTTTTCGATACTGGGTAGTATTTGTTCGCGGGGTGCTGGGCGACGTCGTTCGGGAAGTTTCATCGACATACGGACCGAGCTTCTCGTGCTGCGGGGAAGTTCGCGGCGCAAGGGCGAGCTCTGGACAAAGACTTCGGCGGGGAGGAGGGCATTGTCGTCTTCGTCTTCGTCCTCATCGTCTGGTGAATCCTCTCGGACTTGAGGGGGTTTCTTTTCGTGTAGGAGGGAAGACAAGGAATGTCGGCGGATCTCGACTTTGGTGTTGCGCAAGTGCTTGGCCAAGTCACAAGATGGGTCGAGAGACCATAGTGCGCGCTCGATGCTTGCGCGAAGAATGTTGAGATTATTTTCCTCGAGGGCTTCGCGCTCAGCACGCGTGAGCTTGGCCGAGTTGGCCTGAGCCGAGTTTTTGGTCGAGGGGCGGTAAAAGGAGCTCATGAGGGTTTAATTATTGTTGAGCTCGGTGTTGAGGATATAGGTTTATTAGGGGCCATGGGAGAATGACAGAGTAGAATGGCGCTATGATTGCATGTATGTCATCCCCTGGTGATGTTCAGGAAGCGAGGGGATCAAGTAAAGATAATTAAATTCGCTTGTCTTATTTCTTGATACTAAAATGGAGAATTTTTTTGACATGGGTCGGGATGTGCTGGGAAGGGAAGTTAATGCGCGATGTGCTGGCGATTGAATGGAGCTGATTCCAAGAACAAGGGACAAGAGAGAAATGGGAAAATGGAGATTTTCAGGCTTACGTAGCTTCAAGTGGGGAGACGAACCAATTAAATATAACTAAATAAATGAGGATGTGACGCTGTGACTCACCAAAATAGTGGCTGGATAGGATAAAGGGACAAAGATGGAAGTGAATATGTTGTGTTTGTGGTGTTTATATAGTATTGAGTAACTGTCTATTCCTTCACTGAGTTATAGATGGACAAGTCCAACATTCCATGACCATCAGAATCAACTCTTCGGTTATCTCAAGTCTCATCCCAAGGGTTGACTTGATAACCGCGACCGCTTAAAATAAGCCCGAAACATGACCCCGCTCGATCGTGTTGAGTTGTTGGTTCAAGACATTCCTTTGTCTGTTGGCAGGATGGTTGTCAATACAGTGATTACAAGTATACTTACTTATCCTGTACCTACTGATTTAATCATAGAAAGTAAACTCTTTAATGTTATCATATGCCATCTTCATTGACATTGGATTGCCCATAGACTCTGTTTGCCTGGATCAAGCGGTGAATACAAGTTTGATTACACTTTAAAGCAAGAGGTTGATCAGGGACCTTTCAGCACAGACAACCCACTAAAATACAGGTCATCCGCACGCTAGTTCCCGTTGCGCCCGGGAGGGTTACTTGATGCCCAAATAAATCACCTAGAAGTATGACGACACTGACAGAATGTGATAGTCCTAGCAATCACTGATATTTCTAATACAACGTGGCACACTTCTCATCTCTGTAGAGAATACTGGTACAGGATGTTTGTCGTGCCAAGTGTTTGCTGAGTTGGTGCATGTCTTATCACAGCCCCTGTACACTAATGGCCCGCCTGACAGCAAGCGAGAATATGCACTCTAAGTACTGACCCTCAGTCCGAACCACAATTCTTAATGTAAACTCTTTAGAAAGCAGGTCATAAAATGCATCAGCAAGGATCTCAAGTTATCCTGATTTGAGCCATCTGGCTGGTATAAACGTTGTCAGTCTGGCCCTTTCATACCCAGTACTTATGTAACAAGTAGTCATGCTTTAGGCGCCCTTGCAGCTGTCTCACAGCACTAAACGCTGTCACAAGAAACCCAGGTTGGGCTGAGGTGACCTGAAATAATGATGTGTTGCCCACAGGGGCAGCCTGACATGCGGGCTATCCTCGTTGAGGTTGGTGCAAATGACTTTCAGCGTCACCATTCTATTCTTGTTCTGAGTTGATAAACCTTCTAGACTAACATTGGAATGGAGCAAACTCACGCCAACAGTCCAGTAAAAGGGTGCAAGTCCAAGGTATTCACCAATTGCCCTCCAGTACTGTGTCTTAGTAGGCTAATGAACCTGTAGTCAGCACCCTTCACCATTCAACTATTGGGTCCCATCAACAAGCAGGATGAACCCAACCATTCAATCAACAAGGTCGATCCATATCCGAACCTCTTTCCAGCATCCTATTGCACACAATCCTACGACCTGGCATCACCAAGCGACAACTATTCTACTTTGATCGCGTCAGAACTTGACATCCAGCGCCTCAACAGAATCCACCGATGGCTATGGATGGCAGGCAACGCTGTGCCTGCTCGGTCGCTTCATGACCAACTTTTTAGGGGCCGCGAGGTTATCATTACAGAGGCAATGGACATGCATCTTGTATGGACAACAGGAAAGATCTTCATCAAACCACTTCCTCGGTTTTTGCTTGAGCCCACTGTTTGGACAGAGTATCTGTGTTGCAAAGAGAGCTGCGAGTGTTTAAGCCAGCTGAACACTGATGCCCAGCCCATGGAATGTGAGCGACGGGAGCTCTACAAAGTAGCTCTCGGATTTCTCTATTCCTATGCCGCTCTCATCCGTCACGAGAGTGACTTTTTACTGGCGAAAGACAGATATCTGCTGCCCAACTGTGGTATGTCTTGGTTCAATTGGATAACTTTTGTAAAACAGCTCAACACAGAACACATCTACCCAGACATCAACCCGCGATTCCACCATAAAGAGCTACGACTAAGTAGGCTGAACCACATTTACTACTTTACTCAAACTAATCCGGCGGGATTTATACGACAATGGGACCGGTACTCAACCTTCTTCCACTCGAACCTCGGTTGGCTGGCTGCTACAACTGTCTACATAGTTGTCGTCCTTACTTCTATGCAGGTTGGACTTGCTACAGACACACTGGCTGGGAACAGCGCTTTCCAGTCTGTGTCGTATGGCTTTACCGTGTTCTCAATTCTCGGGCCATTGATATGTGCTGGTCTAATTGTTGTAGTATTTGCATGTATGCTGGTCTTTGACACATCGCATACGCTTGCTCAATTGAGGAGGCGAGTAGAGCATTTCGGGCTACATCGTAGTAACCGGGGAACGAGATAGAAGATAATAAATCGCAATTTGTTGGTGACCTTGGCAGCCTTGTTGAAGATTCGTGCTTCCCTGTTTCATATGCCTGGCGCTGTTGGTTCAGCGCATACAAACGAAACACCATTGGCCAATCTGTCTTGTGTTCGGCGGCTGAGTGGACAACCCTGCTGTTGACTGCTTTCATAAAAATGAGGTTTTGGGAAGTTTTCGAATTGAGAAAACTTTCCTCTCTTCACATCGTGGACTGTCAATATGGAGGTCATTATCAGCGTTGAGATACTCATCCTTTTGTTAACATTTACTATTGCTTTACTTGCATACCAGCTTACAAGGACGCAACCAAGGAAGACCATAGTAAGTGCATCTAGAGAAGCGTCTAACTTAATACTGAGTGCCTTACCAGAACCCCCGGAACCGGCGTCCCATAGACATTCTTTACGACCCGGAAGACGATCCTGATAATCCAAAACGAGTGACTGTCGAGTACGCGTTTTCCCCATCACGAACAAGGCAATTACTGAGAGAACACCAGTATCGTTGCAGTCCACAGCCTAGATGGTCTCGGCTCGAATGTTGACGGACCTTGGACCTGGTCATCAGGCCAACCTAAAGAGCCAGTGCATTGGCTTAGAGATAGCAACATGCTTCGACGCAAGATCCCCACTGCCCGAATCATGACATTCAACTACGACTCTACATGGATAACCAATGCTCCTCAAACGCGCGTCGAGTTGCATGGCGAAGACTTGATCCGCAGCTTGCATAATATTAGACAGGATAAACAACGTCCTGTAGTTTTTGTTGCTCATGGATTTGGCGGGTTGGTTGTCCAGGAAGTATGTCAACGCCGATGCCCCGATCGCCGTTGTAAGAGGATGAGACAAGTAATAATAGTGTGAGCAGGGCCTTATCTTTGCTCTTTGCGACACAGAATTTGAAGACATCCTCCATAGTACCGCCGGCTTCGTTTCGCTAGGAACACCCTTTCGAGGAATCAATATCCACTGGGCTGCCGACCTGATAGCGAGAGTTATGTGGTGCTTTGGTTCCAACCGTGGTATGTTGTCTGTGTTAGCTTATGACAACCCTCAACTTCGAGACAAAGTACAGAGGTTCGGACGCCTTCGAAAGAGGTTTCCGTTTCCACTGGTTTGCTTTTTCGAGCTGTGTGAAACAACCTTTATCAGGTTGCCGTTCCGACTGAACTTCTTTAAAGCAATCGTAAGAGATAATATCGAGGCGAACCTTGATACAATTTGCTGACATGCTACAGGTTGTTGCCGAAGCATCAGCTTGCGTACCTGGAGATGAGCGTGTTCCACTTCAAGCCGACCACCACGAACTCAGCCAGTACTCAGGTCCCGAGAACCGATTGTATCTGAGTGTTTCTACCGCAATCGTTAAGATGTGTGAGGATGCATCGACGGTTACCAATGGACAACATCATGGGGACGGGCCTCCACCAATGGGTAATTGGATGGTTCCTTTCGAACGTAAAGGAGGGTTCGTCGGGCACCAGGGATTCCTAGACGGCCATCTTGAAAGAACAACCCCAAACTGCATGAAATATGGAGGCCAGAAGACCGGCATTGAAGGTTTCGATGGTGTTGGAAAGACCCATATTGCCCTGCAAGTTAACTTGCAACCCTGAAAGTTGAAGTCTGCGTGGGTTATGCTTTATGCTACCGCTATTGATGCGATTGGCCTTCAAAAGGCGTTGGATAGCATATCAGAACAAGTTCAAGCGGTCCTTGGTAATTAGGATGTGGACAATTGGTTTCTTATCATTGAAACCACATGATTTTGCGGAGCTCATGTATCGACAAGTAAAGAGAACGTACTAACGGACTTGGGACTCTGGGCAAGAAACATCCTGATACAGCTCGTATTGCTCGATTGTGGACTGGGGACCAGTGCTGCGAGAAAGACATAGGGCCGTTCATTGTTCCGATACTGGAATTCTGTTAGGATCCCACATTGATCTGCCAGATCTGTCTGATGGCATCGAAGTTACGGTTGAGGCGGAACGGCATTGTTGCAAAAGGTTCTTTAAGGTCCCTATTTGGACAAAAATTACTGGGCCTGGGGTGGTATGCACAGATGTTTCTTGACAACGCCAGTCATGATTCATTTTAAAATAGCTAGTTACATGGATTCTCCGACCATTCATCGCTATACCCCAAACGCCAATGACATTTTCTTCTTCATCAATATCCATACAATAGACTGCTGCCAAAGTGTTTGTGGACTTATCACAAGACAGGATCATCGATGTGGCAAGAACATTTGCAATTCTTTACTGTACAAGAAGAACCCCTCTTCTTTTTCACTAGATAGATTCTAAGTACCCTGTTATTGAACAATCTTTAGGATCTTGAGAGAGAATTCACTTACCAATTTTGGAGGACTCGTCAACATCACCAGTCAGAGCCTCTCTCTTCTTGGCAGACTTGACGCTGGACACGGGAAACTCAACGTCCTTGGTGGTAGTAGTACCACTCTTGACGCCTCCGCCCTCTTTTTCAAACTCGGCCATGGAAATGGCGGGTGCAACACTGGCTTCGTGGAACTCGTCGTTCAACTGTTCCTTCTCGTGGATCTTGTTCTTGGTGTGGATGACCTTTTGTTGAACAGTTTCTCGCTCGATGACGGGTTGAATAGTTTCGTGGAGGTGGCTGACAAGATGTTAGATAGGTTGTCATCGAAACAGTTGGGTTGCACTTACTGGTGAACATGCTCATGCTCCTTGGCAGGAACATACTCCTGTGATTTGGTGGTGCCATGGACGTTCTTCTCGTCGTGAATTCTGGCAGCCTCCTCCTGAGCCTTCAGCTTGGCCTCGTTGTTACGATGGTCAATCTCCTCCTCAAACTCATTCTCCTTGTAGACATGCTTGGTGGGTAGAACGTTCTTGTCCTTTACAGGCTGAATGGTCGTGTGGTAATGATCCTGATGGACTTCATGGTCGACTTCAGTGTCAACCTTTTCATGCTGGTGGGATTTGACATCCTCGTGAACGACCGGTGCTGTCTTTTCCTTGTGGACGGTAGCGTCATCGGTGGTCTCGACAGTCTTGTCAACAGTCCTGTCAAGGGTCTTGGCCTTGGTCTTGTCGACGTTGGTAGCTTGAACCTCGGTCTCGGATCGCTCCTCTAAGGGCACACCAGTGACGATGTTCTTGATGGAAGAGGCAAGGTTGCCGAGAGCGTTGGGTGGAAGTTCGGAGGCCATTGTGAGATAGTGTGATTATGTTTATGATGGATGATTAGATGTAAGTTGCAAGGGGAAATACTCTGACTGAATGAGGTCTTGACAGCTATCTTAATAGAAGGGGAGCTGTGGCAGGTTGATGAGCTCATGCCACAGTCCTTGGTAGCAATTGTGGCTAATGCTGTCATCAATCGTCACTTTTGTTGTAGATTTCACCAGATATTCGATCTATGACGACGGACAAAAGAAGTAAGTAAACCAATTTCCGAATCGCTGGAAACAATGGAATCTGTACCTGGTTTGAATTGTGATTGTGTCACCCAAAGCTCTCTAGGTTCTGTCATTCCCTTGTTTTGAATGGCAATCGCGATTGATCGGCGACGCCACAATGATGTAGCATCTACGTAAGGTTAGTGCGAGATCATTAGGGGCCAGTTAGACACAATATGACACACAGAGCTTGGCTTGTCGATCACGTCTGTGGCGTAAGCTCAACCTGAGCTCCCCCTTTGGATCTAGTTCTGCTAAAATCATGGCTTTCAAGTTTTCCCACATGAAAATGAGATTCTAATGACTCACTGGTGCCACTGTTTGAGACCTCAACCTCGGCTGCCATTAATTCTCCTCCAATTATAACCTGGTCTTTGTTCTGCGGGTCCAGCCATGACAAGTAGGCTAGCATGTGGGAACAAACCGTTTGTGAACATTGGCCTGGTCATGTATTCAGGCACATCTTTTAATTGGGTAAAAACCGGCAATGGAAGAAGCTTGTTTTCATGACGTGCGAGTTGAATCTGGTCAACAGTGGTGCCACAGAGATCAACTTGACGAAAGCTTGTATCCTGCTCAGTTGAGGATTGACTATTTTGCTGGGTAGCTGTTCACTAATCAAGTCTCATCATGTGAAGCAAACACATGAGTCAAGAGTTTTCTGATCAAGTTTGGTCTTAGTAAGTCCTACAATTGACCTTTTTATTGTGGTGAAAGAAAACAACCAGTGAGGGTGTATAGCACTTAAGATGCCCAACACGTCGTAAACAACACAGCAGGCTTACACAGTAGATTTCAATAAGTAAAAATAGTAGAATCAGAATGCTGCCCCGTTTCAAGTCTTTGATGGGGTCTCTGGTGCGACACAGACAATTTCCCCATAATTTGATCGACCCCGGTTTGACACTATTTTCGGGCGACGGGCTACAGAAAGCTTAAACACACGAGGTTTCAAACCAGGGACTCTTCCCTATCGGTTTCATGGTGTAGATTTACCGCTGCCTTGTTGGATGTAAGATCTGCTAATGCGACATTCCTCTTGCGTCTCTAGAAACACTATTACCCTTTTGCACACTCTCCTTAGCTATTAGGGTGTTTCCAATATTTTAACCTGTTGGAATGTGTCGCGCTCCGGCAAATGTCAAGCTTCATCTTCACATCCGGGGATGTCTCCTAGGAAGATATTTTAAGGCAACCTATTAATAGTGTTTTGTTAAAATAATAAGCATACTTGCACCCATACAATGCCTATTAAAGCACCACGCACCCCGATACTTGGCACTTCTGTTTCTATTATCAAGCGCAGCTTCAGTCAACAAACAATCCCGACCTCAACACAGCTCACTTCGATACTTCAATACCCTCTTTCATCATGAGACTCACCGTCCTTCTTGCTGGCCTCGCCGCCATTCTCCCCATCTCCATGGCGGAAGAGCTTGATGCCGACGATGTGCCTTCAGCATGCAGGACCATCTGCCAGCCCATCGTCGACCTGAGCAGCGTATGCGACATCGACCCCAAGGACAACAAAACAAAGGACAAGAGGGGCGATTTTCTCCTTGTGGCGAGAAGCAGGGCTGAAGAGGCCATCGAGGCAAACTGTATTTGCACAAACAAGAGCTTCGATGTAGCCGCCGTAATGGCCTTGTGTGAAAGCTGCATGGTACAGAATAGTGACGACGCAAAAGGTACGGTGTCAAATATGGATTGATGGAAATAAACTGCTAACAAATGTCATTATAGATGTCCAGAAGATGATGAAGCAATGCGACTTTACCTCCGCTTCGTATGTGAGCGCAGCGACAAGTGTTGTCTCTGGCATTTCGGTGGAGGCAACGAAGCCAGCTTCCACAGATATCCCTCAGAGTACTACTACGGATGCAGCAGTTACTGCTACTGAGACGGCTGGTAGCAATGCTGGGAAGATTGTAGTTTCTATCATGGCTGTCACCTGGGCTAATTTGATGTTTGCGTTCTTATTGTAAGAGGCTTGGAGGGGCCATCTGGATGATATCTACCTCGATAGCAGATGCAAAACTGAACATGGATCACCGATTCTGAATCGCTAATTAATAATTTAATTGTGTATATGGCGAAACTCAGTCTGTGAGCTCAACACAAATGATTGAATGACTCAACCTTTATTGCTCGAACAACAGGTGTAATCGGTTAATCACCCCGTCGCAAGATGATTGACACGGGTTTTCCTTTTGCCGCTTCGCTCGGTTAATGAATATCCTAGGATATGGAAAAAAAATGACACCTTCTGAAAATGCATCGGCCCTGTTCCCCGGCATGCATACGCGAAGCACCAGGATTGGAACAGCATCCAATTGGTCACCCGGTGTCCATTGTTGGTTCTGTATGTTGGTTAAACATATCATGAGAAACGACAGACTTTTGTCTCCGCATCTCGAGCGTCTTTTAAATAGCATGATACCGCCTCTCGTTTCAGGTTCCTTTTTCATCAGCGAAGCGCAACAGTATCAACAAACATGTCTAGGCCCACGCCCCCCGAAAAGGCTACTGATAACTCTAAGGCAGTCCCTACGTCGCCTAAAGACCCAGTAGAAACTTCAGAGACCGAGACTGGTCTTCTGCCGCCACAGCACTGGGCCCAGTTGACTGAGGTGAGCGACACTAACATCAACAATATCCACTCAAGACACCTTAGCTAACATACATGAAGGATGTTGACGAACAAGATGATGCTGACTCTATCATCCCCGACAATGCCAGCTCAACGGCGTCTCTGACATCTAGCATACTGAAGTACAGAACACTGCACGGCAGACTCTACCAGAGTGAGCGGGGGAACACTGACTACTGGTTTGTTCAATCATCCACACGAGGTAACTGGCAGCTGAGTCGTCCATAGGGGACCCATCGATGAGACTCATCGGGAAGCTATGGATATCAAGTGAGCTACATAATCAACCTTATCCCAAAGAATCCCTGTGCTGATGATATCAGCCATCATGTGCTTACCCTCTTGATGGGAAACAAGCTCTATTTGGCACCAATTTCGAATGACATACAGGTATAGACCGTTGAAGTTGACACAATGATTACACTGGCTTACGCGAAGACAAAGGCGGCTGCAGATATCGGAACAGGGACAGGAATCTGGGCTATGTAAGATTCTCAAGCTTTGTAAAATGAATATGTTAAGCTTACAAAACCAGTGAATTTGCGGACCAATTCCCCAATGCTTCAGTAATCGGAACCGACCTCGCTCCTATCCAGCCAAGCTGGGTTCCTCCAAACCTCGAGTTGTAAGTGTATTGGCACCACAGTTTGCGGCTACCCCACTGACAGCCCAACTATCATAGTCAAATTGATGATTGTACCCAAGAATGGACTATCGCGCCCAACTCACTTGACTATGCGCACCTGCGCTGGCTTGTCGGAAGCGTTGCAGACTGGACAGCCCTGTTCAAAGAAGCCTACAAGAGCCTCAAGCCTGGGGGTTGGATCGAAAGTTACGAGCCTTCCTCAACTATCGAGAGCGATGATAATACAGTCTTGCCTGGAAGTGCGATGAGCCAGTGGCAGAATTTCTTTGTCGAGGGTGGACGCAGAATGGGTCGTACTTTTAAAGTGTTTCAAGACGGTATTCAGAAGAAGGCTATGCAGGAAGCCGGATTTGTTGACATCGAGGAGAGAAACTTCAAGGTACGCTACCGACTCTCATGAAGTGAAAAGGGCTAACATGTTTGAAGAACCCAATTGGAGGTTGGCCCAAGGACCCGGAAGCACGAAGCATTGGACAGTATACACAAGCTGCGTTGGAGCAAGACGGCAAAGGGACAGTTTTGCACATGGCGACTGCGCTGGGATGGTCGGAAGACGAAGTCACTGTGTTCATCTCTCATTTCAATCGGGAGATTCGATCACCAAAGATCCATGCATACTTCAAACAGAAGGCGGTATGGGGACGCAAGCCTGATACAGTATGAAAGATAGGTCTGTTGAGGAGTTTCTGAGTGCAGTTCACGGTGTAACCATGAGTGATTAAACGGAAGTGTTCAAGTGTCATTGAATACGAATGTAAATTTGGATACATCTTGGAAATAACGAAGTAGCTCTCACATGTTTCTCCCATCATCAGATTTAGTAGGACAAGCTAGTTGCCTGAAACTACCAGAGTCTGTTGGTCCTATCCCCAAGACTGTTCTGGTCTTACCGCTTCTCTGGCCCCTTTCTTCATCGTCCCAGGTCGGTTCGTTCAATCGTGTCTTCTCTACCCAAATACCCCTCTCCTCAAGTAAAGCCTTACACGCATCTTTACTGGTGACAGCATAAATTACAGCATTCCAGAACCCTTGCAGAGGAAGTACGGTAGCGCTCATGAACTGTAAAGGCTTGCTTACTTTGTCGGGGTGAATGTGCGAGTACATTCTGTTGGCGCTTGATGGAATCCATGTAATGAGGATAACAACGAAGAATAGCATCGCGACCTTGGTGTAGGCCCATGCGGCTTTGTAAACATCGTTACTCGGTCGGAGGGATGGTCGAGGGGTTTTAGATTGTACTGCTATACTTGCACGAGCAGTATTGCCAGTAATCGTCGGTTTGTGGACGCGGATTGAAGCTTGGTGGCCCAAATTCTGTAGCTGCACTGCCTCTGGTTCGTTTATCGATTCGCGGACGACGGTGACTTCGGTTGTCTTCATGTAATTCGTTGTGCTCTGGTTGCTGTATGAGAGACCTCCCGAGCCAGAGCCAGAGCCAGAGCCTGATGCATGCACTTTCAGAAGTTGCTGGCGTTTGCGATAAATTGTGCTACCGGATCTGATGTAGATGCCTAAAGTGATTGTGATGACGACCCTGTGCCACGTTAGTACTTTCTTTGTCAAGTGGCCAAACCTTTTGCTTACCAAATCGGTGCATAAAATGTCGCAATGCGCAAGAGATCCCACTCGGGTGTGATCCAACACCATTGAACAGCGCTACCGTATACGCGAACTCCACTCCCATCTTTGACGAAGATAAAGACAAACGCTGGTAGAAATGGTATACCGTAGCAGGCGATTAGGTATGGCCATTCCATCTTCCGTAGGCGCTGCGCATCGAAACGGTGGTAGAAGGCAAGGTAAACGTTGACAGACATGGCCAAAGTCCACATAGCATCAGCGCCTACAAAACTACAAGTGGTCAGCGAGAACAGGGACGGCCAAAAAGAGATATACGTACGTGTGTAGAAGAAAGGCTTGTGTCTGGCACCCAGCTCCATTGGGTACTCTGACAAAGGAGTCTGCCATTATGAAGCAAACACTTGCCATGATATTCCCGAACGAGGCATAAAAGACCAGACGGTTGATGGGTTTGTGGAAAGCATCGCACAGACAAAAGGTACCAATAATGAACAAACATCCAACGATTGACAAAACTGAGCAAACTTGCTGGATGACAGTGATAACCCTCACATCACCGAGCGAAAGGCCTGATGTTAACATTTTGATGTGCTTATGCGGTAAACAGAGTGGAAGAACGAAAAACTCCTATCCCTAGAAGGATTGTCGAGTCCGCAGAAGCGTTGGACATGTTGTTTGGGTTTTATTAAATCATTATACTCTCCTTTCGTGCGAAGTTAGACTTCGAAGGATCTGCACTGGGGTAAATCCTTGCGTGGACCATGATCTTCAACCGGCTGTTCAGCCACTGAAGATCTTGTACTGAGACAAGTCTGATGTAAATTTCAAGATGACTGGTAAGAGTGTTCATTGGTATAAGAAAGTCGAGACTGGGGTTGTGGATTACCTTCAAGGGGTTCAAATGCACGCCAGATGCTTTGTTTAGTTTAGATAAAAAGCTGATGCAATGGTAATTTACCTTGATCGACGAGACTAGTTTGGAATAAGAAGGCAATAAGGGCAAAATATGCCGTGTGGAGAATCTTGTCGGCTCTTCTTTTTGGGGCTTGCAAATGCTTGTCACCTGGTAGCCAATTATATCCTTGAGCCTCATATATGATTCTCGTGTGGCTTCGGCTGTTACGAATTCATTTCCACCAGACTGTAATTAGATGCATCATCATGTTCCTTCTCGTTCTAGCGCTGATTGCTTGACTTATCATCCTGGAGGTCAGCAATGAGGCAATACTTGCGGACCCAATCGGAAGAGCTGATGGGTCCTCTATTCCCACTAGCTTCATGATCTACAAGGCTTATTTCAATATGACAGGCATTGTTTCGAGGCGCGACCTTCTCCTCCAACTATCTATATGTTCGCTTGTACCTTCTTTAGCCTTTGTAAAAACCCGGAATTTGGTTCTGTTCAATGGAAAAGAAGCTTCGATGTTGGTTTGCATTGCTCTTTTTACAATGAACGCTTGTGTGAAATAACACCCCGATTTGTGCACTAGCGCTACGTCCACAGTGACAGCTTCAAACGTGTTTGAGGATAGTTCTCTAATCCTTTTCAGGCAGGTTGTCAAGTGACCTGCAAGTCACATATACAGGCATTGCCAGCATTAGACATTTCACAGTTTCTGTCAGGTACTAAAGGATATGGACAATCGCAATCTCAAGAAATGAATGTATTAATGCTTGTTTTTATTTTATTAAAGTTTGTATCTAGTTTCTTCACACAAATACAGAACTGGGCGGTTGAAAACAATCAAGACAAACAACTATGGTGCTTGCTTAATACGTCCAATCTCCTTCAACTTGGCCTCCAAGTCCTTTGGCTCTTCAGCCATGACCTTGATGACATACTGATCGCCATCGATGGTCCACCCAAACTTTGGGTTGTCATAGGACCACGACCCATAAATAAGCTCAAGGCCACCGAGAAATCGGTTCTCATCCTCGACGAGCTGTTGAGATACCTTGCGCTCGTAGGTGGGTAGAAAGCACTGTCGGTTGAGTTCGCCCATTTTGGAAACGTTTATGTTAATAAGGAGCGGGAAGTTGGTATTAATATTGCTGAGTTTTTCAAGTTTGGAATTTAGATATAATGGTTTGGAATGTTAAAATTGTTTCCAGTCCATATATGTTTGCTTATATAGTTTATTATTTTCTCTTAATCACACTCAAGCGAGTGTCTATGAAAGCATATTCAGTTTCCATGTCAGGTCCAGAAGTATCAATATTCAGTCTGCATCCCCAAAACAGTACCACTGTGCCATGAAGTACACCTGATACCGTTGGGTTCAAAAAGTTATTAAGAGATTCCAATACTAAGCGAGAGAACGTGGATTTTCCTTCAAAATGAGTTTGATTCAGAGATTCAGAACGAAGAATGTCTCAGAACAAATGCTGCAGATTTCTTGCAACTTTATCACTTGCTAGGTATCTTCTTATTGGTTACAAACACGGCGTTGGCTTCATTCAGCGGTTGTCTTCCATCTCAGTCCTTTTGAGACACACTCCCGCAATCTCTATCGGTTCTGAGTTCTTCAGCGTCTGATAATACGCTGAAGTGATTTGGCGCTGTGAATTACCTAACGAGGCTACTGGGTAGCAGAAAGAATGGCGTCATAAATCTTAGGGTATAAAATAACTAGTCTAAGACCTATAGCCTAAGGGGCTTAAAGTGACCTACTAATTTCGTCTCTAATGATTCCCGCGGTTAATCTTTCTGATACCCTGAGGCGAGGCTTGACAGATGATAGGAGGCGCAGCTAATCACAGCTACGCCATAAGAAGCAACATCATGACAGGAAAGGGTCTAAGGTCAAGCCAGACTTCACACAACACAATCTCACTAGGTACACCAGTTATATGACTGGATGCATTGTTGAGTCGATGGATACCGATGGCCCTGAATTATAACAAGAGTCATTTAAATGTCAGGATAAATGAATATCTATAGGGTATTTCCGAGGTTGTACGACGTATCATTGGCGAGCCAAGATTTAACCTTGTTTTCTGCTGACAGGGACATCTTGTTAGCGAAGTCTAATCGAGCCTTCTGAACCACGTTGGAACCGAATATTCAACACGAGTCAAAGCACGACACTTCTACCGCATACCTACTGTAAGCAAGCTAGAACACTCACATTACCACAAGCGATATTGAAAGCTTGCAAAGTAGATTTACTTGTCATAAAAATCATCTAGCATCCGCGAAGATGTTCCTGAGTTTGAGACTGGGAAACCATCTATCATACATAAGATCCCCAGTGAGTTACTGACACGCTATAGGGGTACAGAAATATACAGCCCAAGGACGATGGCTTGCGTAGCATATAATGAAATGCTAATCTCATCCCTTGTGACCAATCATAGCATCCCAGATATCTTATCTCAGACCTTTGTAGCCTTTAGTCTCGCACACCTCATTGTCCTTCCGAACGAGAAGTTGGAGTTTCCAAACGACATTGTCACCTCCTAATCCGGTCCCAAAATCCAGTAGTTCTCCAAAAGAATCGAAGAAAGTGTGTACATCGGACAGCCCATGAAGGTCAAACCAGTGAGCATGGATGTAGTCGGCACCACAATCGCGGCACACTGTTCGGCGTTCCTCAGGACTATATGTAGCCCAGCTAGCGGTATCATCCACAACCCAGAGAGTGCAGTTGGGAATAATTCCGCCAACAAATACGTCGATCTAGTTCGCCAACAAGCCTCGTGGGGAATTCTCTCTCTGCAGTTTGCGGAGAGTGCGTGGGAAGCCCTTGTTCCAGCCGCTGTCGAACTTGAAAGCTATTTTCCAGTCTTCGGTAATGGTGAAGTTCCGCTGACCAAGGAATGGGGCCAATGGCTTCATGCCGTGCGGGTTCTTTGGTAAAGCTCTGAGGGGACCGGCGGCGATACAGAAGATGTCGCTGCGAGGGACCACCATTGGGCGCCAGACCTTGTCTTTCTTATGCGGGACGAGAGTTGATAGGAATTTCTTCTTGTACCATGAGACAGGACATTTCTTGATCTCGCTGTCACCGACTTGCAGGCGTGCGTCGATATCCAGATGCTTGGCGATGGCATTTCTGGACTCTCTGCAGGCAATCCAGAGACCTGCATCCCATAGGTAGGCAGATTCCTTGTAATCGTTTGAAGTTGTCGGGGTGTTGACAGATCGATTTTTGGTGTGAGCCAAGGCTCTCAGCACGACATATCCATTCGCATCGCGGTCCACTCGAGCGTTGGCGTCGTAACCGTCGAGGTTTTCGTTCAAAATGACAACATCTTCATCAACCCCGTCCTTTACCACAACGTCGACGGTGATGTACTGGATGCCGTGGTCGTTGTCAGTTCGAGGCAGGCATGCTGCTTTCCAGATCTTGACTCGGAGCTCCGGAGGTAGTTTTGGGAAGCCGTGGAAAGTTGGCGCAGTGATTTTGGTGCTTGAGGATGCCCCTCCTTCAGTTCCTTCAGGAGGACTCCTTGCGGGCGCTGTTGAAGTCATGATTTCTGTAATGGAAGTGTCAGACGATATGCTAATAGCAGTAGCAGTAGCGGAACGTACCTCTGATGTGAGCAGATGCCCGGATTGAAGGAATGTTCAGATGACAGGAGGAAACTTTTGCCCTGAGAGGAACAAAGAAACGTTATGCTGGTGAATAACACCACATGACGCCTGTCTTGCTTAGGCGTTGGCTGACAGTGACAAGCAGGTGGCACAAGATGTACCTTTACGACGGGTAAGCAGCACCAGAAGCATTGGGCGTCAGAGTATGCCTACTAATACAAACATCAAGGCTCATCCAATACTCCTCAAATTGATCTTGCACGGAACGCGTTTTTTTCCATGCCGGACGTTTTTTTGGTGGAGTTTCAGTATACTCCTCCAGGCATCAGAAATGAAATTAGTATGCCGTTTTGACTCTTTTATCTTGATCCTACGGCTTACAAGTCATTGCTTCTAAGTAGTGAAGGAAACGTCGGTGAAAGGATCTTTGATGCTTGTACAAAGGATACTTACACGATACCTTGTCAAAGATATGTATGGTTGAACATGGGTTACACCCATTGGGTTTAGTTCCATTATGGCCTCCCCTCACTTCTTTCAGAATTCCCTCATACTTGCATAAACTTCTTCTCGGTAACTAGGTAGCGTGTTGACCTACCTCGTTACTAACGCGACAATTTGTCTTGATATTGTGATCATCATGTCCAGCGAGACAGCCGTCATAACCCAGCCGAGGTCGGCTCACATAGCCAGCCATGAGCTCAACGCGTTCAATCAGCCTCGAGATGACCGGCCTGGCTCAGAAGTACAGCAACAATCTAAACCAGTCATCCCCAAGTTTCAAGTTCTTGCGGCTGGTTTCTCGTTTTTCTGCGCTGGAATTGACGGTGCTACTCTTGGACCTCTCCTCCCGTACATCATCCAATCATTCACCATCAATGAAGGTGAAGTAGCCATCATGTACGTGCTCAACATTTCTTTTCCGGAACGGATACTGACACAACAAACGTAGCTATGCGTGCATCTTCGCAGGATGGGTCATTGCTGCAGTGACCAATCTGTTTCTTGCTACGAAGCTCTCTTTCTCCGCTCTCTTGACGTTTGGCGCTACTCTGCAGCTTGTTGCACAATGCCTGCGTCCGTGGGCATCTCAGCCAATATTCTTCCTAAGCTTTGTGGTACAAGCTGTTGGCATGGGATATCAGGACACGCACGCCAATGCTTGGGCAAGTGGATTGCCAAACGCTCACCGCTGCCTCGGTTTTATACATGCCATGTTTGCACTGGGCTGCCTCGTTGGACCTTTAGCCGCGACAGCAATCGCGACAGCTACGGGGTCGGGCCATTCGAAAACGAATGGTATTGAGGCCTGGAGGATGGCATACTTCCAGCTTATCGGCATTCATGCTCTCAATCTTGTCTGCATGCTGCTTGCGTTTGGTAACCCGATGAGACAATGGAAAGCACCCGAGACTGCAGTACCTCAAGCCCCTGCCACCGCTACTGCGGACCCAGACGTTATTCAACGGCGACGCAATAAAGAAGCTATTCGCGATATAGGACAGCTCTTTAAAATGAAGAATTTCTGGTTGATTGGTGGCTTTTATTTGTTCAACTGCGGCGCATGGTCCGCTGCCGGAGGTAAGTCTTTGCTGTTTTCTTAACTTCAATTGTTTCTCAGCTGAGGACTTGCTCTTTCATATTTCTAATCTGACTTGGGTTGCAGGTTGGGTTGTGGAGTATCTTGTGGCCCATCGCGACGGAGCTCTCGAAAAGGTCGGCTATGTCCCCACAGGTTTCTGGGCAGGCCTCTTCCTCGGTCGTCTACTCTTGGCCGAGCCGACACATCGCTTTGGTGAACAAAGATCAATTATGTGTCTCAGCGTTGTGTGCTTGATGTTCCACCTCTTGTTTTGGCTTGTTCCAAATCTTGTAGCGAGCGCTGTCGCCTTCTCATTCATGGGCTTCTTTTTCGGCCCCTTCTTTGCAACTGGCATGAGTGTTGCGTCGAGAATGTTTCCTCGCAAGATTCAGTCCATGGCTTTGGGTAAGTATTAATATTTTCTTCCAACTGGCTGTTTCACATGCTTCCATCTTATCGCGACGAAAACCCCATGTAAGCTTAAAGATAATTCTCGTGCTAACTCGTGATACAAGGCCTCGTTTTCGTACTCGCCCAGGCTGGAGCTGCCATATTTCCCTCCATCACCGGACTTATCGCGACGCGAGCTGGGTTAAAAGTACTCCAGCCAGTGATCTTGGGCCTCATTGTGGGCGGGGCCATCTGTTGGTGGTTTATTCCGAGAATACCGGAGCGCATGGACGAATTTTCAGACTAGATATTGGCACGGATGATAGTTTCATGTCTTGCATCTATGAACAGTAAAGATTCTCTTACGAATATTACACCAGCAGTTTAGAATAGACACATGCTTTTCGGTTTATTGCTTTTTCTGCTGCTGCTCAACCATGTATGGCGCTGTCTAGCTACGACAATCTCTGAGGATGCCCATACACACATCCCCCCCCTCGTTGCCAGTCCGTATCTTCTGGGTGACGTCGCTGTTAGCCGCGTCACTTGCTCCCTCTCATGACAACCTTCATTCAGGCTTCTGTCCATAGACCACATTTCTGCACTAGTTAGCCATCTTACGTTCTTGCCACAAAGAAATCAGACTTACACGCGCCAGTATCCATGCATCTCTTTGTTATGTAGATCTTTCCGGACGTTGACAAGGAAAAGCTCCAGATCGTTTACATTCCAGCCCAACACTTTAGTAAACAAGGCGAGGCTAAGACCTTGAACTCCTCCGACAAGATTCACGTTTCCCCACGCCCCTAAAGGAAGTCAGTCTCATCTCTATCACTTTCCCGCCTTAGGCAACATACCAAGCTCTTTCAGTTTCTTGTCTTGTGGCCAACTGTTCATTGGCCATTTGTAAGATGTTTCAACCACGTTCACAAACCCAGCTTTGATAAGTTGGTCTTTGTAAGTCAATGCAGAATCAAGAGCACTTCCCATTTTTGTAGCGGCCTCATTCATCAAATTGCTCCATTTGTATACTGCAGAATCTTTGGAGACAGTCCCGTCATCGCTCACAACCGGATAAATCGGGTCCATCAATTCGATGTAACCGCCGGATGAGAGATTCCTAGTAAACCTTGTCAGAGACTGTCGAGTAGAGGTAATTGCGAGATTGTTTTACTTGAAGGCCTGATCAAAGAGCCTTGGCCAGTCACGAATGGAACCAGTCATTGCACGTAAATAGATAAAGTCGAATGCCTTGGTGTATGTCCAGTCGGCCTCGACGTCGTCGATGAAGAAAGAAACATTTGGTGGTACACTGGTAGTTATCAGCTCTCGTGCCGTACTGCAGTGGTTGTCTGGCGCCTCACAATGTTGGTTGGATTGGACTCAAGTCAACACCCGTCACCTAGGAAATCAGCAAAATGACTCGAATCAAGAAACAAGAAGTGCACCTCAGCCTCTGGATGTTCATCGGCTTGTATTGTCAGTCTATTATTCGGCGATGTGATGGCACAACGTACCGAAATCCATAGCCCAAATTCCTGTTCCACATCCAGCGTCAAGAACGCGTTTGAACGGCCTATCCTCTTTTACGGGGACATTGAATAGACGGTCGTTAAGCGTCAGTAAAGCCAAATGGTGTTGCTGATCTAGATAGTCTTGGTTAGAAGTAGCGGCAATTGTCTGTTTTGTTCCAGTTTCATACCTAGACGATCATTTTCCCACTAAGATGGTGTTTGTAAATATGATCACTATTCACATTATGAAAGAATTACTTACCTCGTCATTGGGTAAGATATAGGCTGCAAAACGCGAGTCAGCTACTGCCAATGGTGTTGTTTATGTCTACTTACATCCCTCTTTGTAGGCGTGATATGTGCGACCATTTTGTACACGGTATTTGAATATGCTGGATTGGAGGGACCCTGTGTCGCTAAAGGCTGAGATCTAAGGCCGACATGTTAATGCAAGATCTTGTTGTCAATATTCAACAGTTACATACCTCGTCAAAAGAAGAATCGCCGTCGTCCTATTACAGTTAAAAATCAGTCAACTTCATCATAAACAGCTGGTTACTGACAATGAGCTCAGTGTTCACCGGATGACTCTCGACGGGCAGTGCGCTATGGGCGAGCTCGGATGATGGTGTAGCCATGATGACCTTGGCTCTTATCACGACAGACGACGATATCAAGGACAGTAAGAACCTCACCGGAGAGGAGGAAAGGATTGATGACAAGAGAGGGATCAACCTGGTTGTTATTTATCACATGAATCTCACACCATGTCTATCACGGCTATATGCAGGCTTTCTTCCAGCCGAGGGTTCAAAGAGTAACAAATCGGATCTCATACTGTTTTTCTGTGCATAATGCCCTGGCGATTTGTGGAGTTTCCACCTTACGTGAGACGTGCCAATTGGATGTTGTCCGCAGGGATGAACCAACAGCATAATGCCTACACTGCAGTCTGCCCAAATAGGCTGCTCGTTAACAAACGGCACAAGAAGCTCTATCATGACATGCCTGTCTAATAATGGAACCGGAAATCAAGCCTCTTATTTCCCTCGCCAGATTCCTCTTGAATCTTCTCCAGTTGTTCGTCCTCGGAAAGTGAATGCCACAATTCATCCCTCGAAACATTTCTCCAACGGTAGTAGAGGAATGTGCCGAGATAGACGCACATATTCCAGCCCAAAAGCCCAAGTAATACAGAGTTTCCAGTACGGTACAAGGGTAGATCGTCCTGGCGGTAGATGTTTGAGCCTATGATGACGCCGAGTTGAACTGACATGTTGTAGAGTGCTGCAGACACTGTGCGTGAACGGACCGAGTTTGAATTCCGCGAGGCCAGCCCAACAATAATAGGGTGTGTCACCGGAGACGATACAAGGACCGTAATAACACCATAAACTGTCCAACGAGGTGACTCAACAGTATAAGACGTGCGGAGCCATATAAGGCTGGGAAGGACCCAGATCATGGGGATGAAGCACAGCGCAATCACTCGCTTGGTCTTATCTGCAAGCCAGGCTATACTGAGCATGGTAAACACTGCTTCATGTTAGGGCGGAGTTGATATGAGCATGGATCGGGTGAAACTAACTAGTAAAAACCTGTGATGGGATGACGAGGAGGTTTGAATGGAAGGTGTCAAACCCCAACGCCCTGAGAGATAGGGTAAGATATGACCGTGGAACATTTTGAGGTATCATAGAGGTGATACCGATCAAATAGATTGGCCACAGGTCAAAGTCACATACACTCTTCCACAGTAGACGCAGCGTAATTCTCTCTCGGTTGTGCATTGAAGATTTGCTGGGATCCTCACGGATAACGCGGTTCACCATGATTTCTTCCTCTCTGGCGGTGAACCAGCCATTCTTACCACGGAACCAACTGGCTGTTTCAGTAGGACCAGCTGGCATCATGATGAAAGATGTAAGGCCGATGAGCAAACTGAGGAGACCCTATTGTATTGGAGTTAGTTCTGAGATTATGTACCTCGCAGTCAACTTGCGTACCTCGATCAAGAACAACCACCTCCATCCAGCATAACCAAGGACACCCCGCATATGGAGGAGTCCGTAGGCAAGAAACGCAGCAATGATATCAGCAGCGGTCATGGACATCCAGAAGATACTAAGGCGTATTCCCATTTCGGTATGCTTGTAGAAGTATGAGAGGTACAAGATGATCTGTCGTTCTGTTAGCGCATCCGAATAGGGTTGGATGGTGTGTCTAGTACATCAGGGATAAAACCTCCTTGCAAAAATCCAATGAGGACACGACAAGCGAGGAAAGAAGATCTTCCGGATATCCAAAACTGAGACGCAGCAACCACAGACCAGAGGGTGAGCTGCGTAGGAATCCATCGGTCGGGTCCAGCCCACTTGGAGACAAGCTGCGATGGCAGCTCAGCGGACAAGAAAGCAACAGCAAAGACGGTGTTTCCGAGATTGTAATCTATTTTTGGAAACGGGATGTATTAGTAGCCGAATGAGTGGGAGAGTGACCAGCGATGTGCTCACCATTGGTGTTAAGTCCCAGGTCTGTAAGGAACCCATCGGTTAGTGCCTGGTGGATATTTGCCCGATCGATCTCGAGCCCGAAGAACATAACACAGGTCCAGATGAAGATCCGAATGTCAATCTTTCTGACGACGTTGTCTTCTTCTCTCCACGTCCATCTGGCTAGAGGATCGAAGCGATGGATATTTTCCCTATGTTATCTTAGCAATTGATAACCACCAAGCAATAACGTATCGTAGATGAAGAATCTCACCAATTGTTAGGCGGCTGATACTCAGCCGCAATGTCCGGGTCGTCGAAGACACTTGGCTAGTAGAGCGTCAGAAGCAGCTCCGGGGTGTCAAATTTAGATACGTACTTGGGTTGCTATATCGTCAGGGACATAGCTGCCATCTTTTTTCTCCCATAAGAACTTTCGGTCCTGCCTGGGCTTTCCCAGAGGCAGAGTCTGAATCGTATGTCTGGTCAGATCCTTCCCCTCGGCGACCTCTGTCGCTGCATAGGAGACTGCTGCCAGCTTTTGAGGAAGAACGGTACTCATTGTAATACAATGAGAAATAAACCTACGCTGGAGATCCTCTGAGTAGAAGAGAATATGTGACATGTCTTTGGTCTATATATCGAGGCATTGTGACCATGAGCAGACAGACGTGCGTCTGTTGACGCAATTCAGTCGTAGACCAGCGTTATCCTACTAGCCCACAGTTTATTGACTTGGACGAAACATATCAGATGTGCTTCAATGCATCCTTGCTATCTTTGCGGACTTGTGGGCTACCCGCGGGTAGGTTCGCAAAGATCTGGATAAGCTCTTCCCTGAGGTTGTATCGGTGTCTCATTCGGGACAGCGAACTAACGGGCTTAACCTCACCTCAGCAGCGCTACATTGAGACGATAGCCAGTTAAAGTTGACGATTGCGCTGGATCAATGTATTAGCATCGGATGTAGCCATGGTTGTCTATATCCGAGCTTACAATATCAAGATGAGCAAATGATAGTAGCAATGGCATCATCCCGAGATCGGCAAACACACAACGGGTCGGTTTATCGCTCCGACGGGATCTCGCTCTGTTTCTGTTCCGCAGGATATCCGTCTTAGGTCCTTAAATAAAAATAATGCTTCTTAGAGGTGTGCTTCCCTGTGGTTATGCCATTGCTAGCCGTACCAAAATGAGTTCAAATTTGAAAGCCATGTTACTCGCAAGCCTTCTGGGCTTTGCTTCAGCCGCAAGCTTTGGCTTTGGCCCCGAGAACCAAACTCCCCTTGGAGGGCCTAATCCTTCTCACAAACAGCGCAACAATGTCGTCTTTATTCTCACTGATGATCAAGACCTTCACATGAACTCGCTCGACTATATGCCACATTTGCAGAAGCACCTTGTTGATCAAGGAACCTTTTACAAGCGACACTATACCACCACTGCTATCTGTTGTCCAGCACGCGTTTCTATATTGACTGGCAAGGCTCCCCACAACACCAATGTCACTGATCTGACTCCTCCATATGGTGAGTATCCACTGCAATTCACAACTCAATGAAGGCCATGTTCACTGACATCTGCAAGGCGGCTATCCCAAGTTCATCCGAGAGGGACACAACGACAACTACTTGCCAATCTGGGTACAAGCAGAAGGCTATAACACGTACTATGCCGGAAAGCTGTTCAATTCACATGCAGTGAATAACTACAACGATCCCTTCGTGAAGGGTTGGAATCAATCCGACTTTCTCCTCGACCCGTATGTCTACATGTACCTCAATGCCACATTCCAGCGCAACCAAGATCCTCCAGTCAGCCATGAAGGAGAATATGTCACCGACGTCCTTGCCAGAAAGACGCAGAGTTTTCTTGATCAGGCCCTGAAAGAAGATGCTCCATTCTTCCTCACCATAGCCCCAAACGCGCCACACAGCAATGTTGACGCCAGCTTTGCCAAAATCAACTTTACCGACACTCCTCGAAACTGGACTTTCAAGATGACCACTCCCATTCCTGCCCCACGTCATGCACACCTCTTCAAAGACGTTGTTGTTCCCCGAACTGAGAACTTCAACCCGGATTCTCAGATCGTTCCTAGTTGGATCCGTGATCAGCCCAAGCTTACGCAGGAGAACATCGATTGGAATGACGACTTCTATCGTAATCGTCTGCGCGCTCTCCAGGCAGTTGATGAGCTGATTGACGATGTTTTCAAGAAGCTTGAAGATGCTGGTGTCCTCGACAATACCTACGTCGTCTACACCACCGACAACGGTTTTCATATTAGCCAGCATCGTTTGCAACCTGGTAAAGAGTGTGGCTATGAGGAAGATATCAACATCCCACTCATCATTCGGGGACCTGGCGTGCCGGCAGGCTCCGTTTCAGAAGTCATCACTACACACGCTGACCTGGCGCCGACATTCCTCTCTGTCATCGGTGCCCCTCAGCGAGCAGACTTTGATGGAGTTGTCATCCCTCTCACAGCAAAGGAACAAGCTGAGGTTGTAGGAAAGCGACATGAACACGTCAATGTCGAGTTTTGGGGAATGGCCGGGTCCGAGGGCAAGTTCCCTTATCATGACAAAGAGGGTGAGAGCTTCTTCCTGACAAACAATACCTACAAGTCAATCCGCATCGTCGGTAAGACCTACAACTTGTACTACTCTGTTTGGTGCCACGGCGAACACGAGCTGTACGATCTGCAGTCGGATCCCGGTCAGCTACGAAATCTACTGGATACAGAGGCCCCGCAGCCGGATGAACTCCTAGGTTACCCGCTCGAATCTGTCGTCGCACGACTTGACGCCCTTCTCCTAGTAGGAAAGACTTGCAAGGGCCTGGTTTGTTCTCAACCTTGGAAGACTCTCCACCCGCAAGGAAATGTCAAGACATTGGATGATGCCCTCAGTCGTGAGTTTGACAATTTCTATGTGAAGCAGCAGCCCAAGGTTTCGTTTGGTTGGTGTGCAGACGGACATGTGCTTGATGCTGAAGGAGCGCAGTCTGAGAAGGAGGGATTAGCTTACTGGCGCCCAGACTGGAGTAACTGGGTATGATTTGATCACGACATCTATGCTAGTGGGCCATTGGCGGTTCTATTACTGGTGAACAGATTATGTAGATGCCGTCCTCTTTGCCGATTGCGTGATAGACTAGGTTGATTAGCAATCGAACCAAGTCCAGATAAGATTCTGTCACAAAGTTGGCGAACCACAATCAATCAAATTTGTTTAGTATCATGGAATAAGAACGATAATTAATACTAAACCATGTAGTCGTGATTATTGACAAGGAATGTGGCAGATTGCGTCCGAAACCGCAACTCGGTGGATGGCGTGCTATTGCACCACTGCCTCGACCATCCCAGCTTGGGAATTCACTCATTGCGCTACCTTGATAGCGACATCCGAATGGAGGACTATGCATGTTTCGGGATCTAAACCGCTTTTGTTCTTCTCCATCCATCCCGTGGGTAATTTAACTGTAAATAATGGTTATCTTGGCCGTCAGTACATTCTTAAGGTAGTACGACTAACTCACAAGAACAAAGCCATCAACAACAACCGCCATTATGTCGACGCTTGCAGAAGGCCGTGATCCAGAGACTGGTGAGGTGAATCGCCAAGATGAGACATCTCCTCTTCTCAATACATCTCAATCTCCCGTTCCATCGTCAAAGACCTCTTCAGTCGCCGTTTTTAAGATTGTTTTGGTTCTCATCATTGGCTCCTTCACTGCCAATGCAGATGGCAGTCTCGTGCTGGCCACACACCCGACAATTGCCAGCGAGTTCAATGCCCTGTCTGCGTCGAATTGGCTATTCGTCTCTTTCAACCTTGCAGGAGCGGCTACTCAAGCCTTGGTAGGCAAGCTCAGCGACATATATGGTCGACGGAGCCTTATTGTCGCTGCATATGCTCTCTTCGCTGCTGGCTGGTACGCTACCCTGCCCGCTACCAACTTGCATTGACTGACAGTCTTCAGTATTATTGTGGGAACAGGCACTTCCATAGGATTAGTTATCCTTGGCCGTGTTATCTCTGGCGCCGGCGGATCAGGCTTGACTATATTGGCCATGCTTATTATAACAGACTTGGTACCTTTGCGTGAAGCTGCTGCGTGGCAATCATATCTCAACCTCGCTGCCACGACTGGTCGTAGTCTGGGTGGACCTCTTGGAGGCTGGCTGGCTGATACCATCGGATGGCGTTGGTCATTCAAGTGCCAAGTTCCTATCTTCCTTGTTGCCATCATTCTCACCTACTTCTTTTTGCCCAACAAGAAACAGGACAAGAAACCTACATCACTCTCTAGAATTGACTTTTCCGGCGCGGCCCTCCTTGCTCTGACAATGATGACATTACTTCTGCCTTTTGAGATTGGAGGTTCTCAGGTGCCTTGGTCGCACCCTGTCATCCCCATCTTATTTGTTGCTGCTCTAATCTTTGGCGGCCTCTTCATACTCTTTGAAGGCCGCTGGGCTCAAGAACCCATTTTCCCACTCGACTTGCTCCGAATCCGGAATGTCGTGCTCGGATACGTGATCAGTGGCACTCAGTGTGCTGCCCAGCTCGGTTTGATGTTCTCTGTTCCTCTTTACTTCCAGGTTACAAAGAATGCCAGCAATACTGTTGCTGGGGCATACCTGTTTCCGGCTGTAACAGGAAATGCAATCGGTGCAATTCTAGCTGGAATAGTTATCAAACGGTATTTTATAGTACCCCCTTCAAAGATACCTTTTGATCTTATGGCTGACTCGCTTAAAGAACTGGAAGATATAAATTGGTTCTCCTTGTTGCCACTGTGACATCAGCAGTGTCTTACATCCTCCTCCTACTTCGCTGGCATGGCCAGACAAATGTCTGGGAATCTCTATATATCTTCCCAGGAGGTCTAGGCACTGGTGCCGTACAGACGGGAGTTTTTGTTGCGGTACAAGCTGCCACTGATCCTGTTCATAAGGCGGCTGCCCTGGGTGGGGTCTGGCTGACTGTAATGGTTGGAGCCATTGTTGGTATGACTGCTGTCAGTACAGCAACGATGCACGTCATGGCTTGGAGTCTGGCCACTACGCTACAAAAACGTGGCTTGGCCGTAAGTGTGATTGAAAAGGTTCGTCAATACAGAAAGTCTGATAGGAGACGTTGTGCTGACGCTTGCAGGTCGTCGATTTGGCCACTTCAGATATCAACTATATTAGCAAAGCGGATCCAACTACCGCATCAGCCGTTGTAGACGCATACGTACGTGGTCTGTCTTTCAGTCATATCGTCTCCCTTACCTTCTCGGTCATTGCTACATTTTCGGCTAGCTTCATAAGCGAGCACAAAGTTTAGCGGCCAACATAATACAAGGGACATTTCAAACGTACAGCCGCATTGAGAAAAAGAGGGAACAGAGCTACGATTGCGTTCCATGGTGTTGAGGCTGTTTCTTACTTGATTGTTGACCATCTGCAGATGGCAGTTGTCATTTATATCTTTAGGTTAAACTAATACAAAACGCATACTTGAAGATAGGAGATGGTATTGGGAGCGAGTACTTGTTACGCAAGGATAGCGTGAGAGATTGTCTTTTTACTTGTTTCCATGACACATCTACCTCGAAGTTCATATATCCAATCCTTGGTGTATATACTTTTTGTCAAAGTCAGTTATCCGCGGGAGCAAAATAAGTTCAACGCATAGTCTTCCCATATTGCCACAGCAGAAGATTAAAACAGTCTTCACCTGATCGGCATCTCAGAAATGGTCACTCGATGGAGTTAATGGCTCAACGAATAGATGAAAATGATGTTTGGAATAATTGATGAAGTACTACGCCGGTAACACTTTGTCGAAGAAAACTTATGTCTATATACACCCTGATCCCTCCGCACACCTGCCGTAGTCGATGGCCTGATCACACAGCCTTGTTTATACAGTTCCTACAGCCCCAACAAACCCTTCTGATGCTGGTCATCACAGACTGATGTAACATGGCAGTCATCTTCTATGATCTCGGTTCTTCCTTAGTTGTAAGAATCGCACTTGGTGCGGCCAACACCGGTGAACCAGCTGATCTCGGCATTTTTACCACCGGAGTTACACTTGGTGCCGTCCCTGCCGACGTTTTGGCACTCAACATTGCAGGGGGCATCCAGGAGCTAGATCCATGAAAAAGTCTTGGTTAGTCTTCAGGAGTCTTCAAATTGGATAGAGCTAGAACTAGATGGATCTTACAGTCACACAGCAGTGGGAGCCATCTGAGAAAAGACATTGGCAAGCTCGTGTGACGCTGGCAGCAGTAGCGCTGCTGATAACAGCGGCAACAATAGCGAAGACAGAAAGGCGGACCATTTTGTTGTTTGGGTTGGGTTTGGTTGTTGTTGTTGTAGGATGGAGAGGGAGGATGAAGAAGAAGGAACAAGAAGTGAATCTCTGCTGTCTTTATAGATTCTCAAGTGATTATCCTATTTGCTACTATGTTAATACGAGAAGTTTTACCACCAATACTTGGTCGAGATATCTGAGTATTATGCCGTTCAATCCAACTACCGAAGCCAATCATTCGAGTCAGTAGATAGTACCCGCTGAGCAGGGGTGCTGACTCAACGAACTATCAAGGTTCAGCATATATCAACCACTTCACTCCGTGTTGAACCCCACGTGTGCCTCAGCCAAGGTGCCGAGCCGAATGCCCGACTTATTGAAGCGGGTCAACATCCCATGACCTCAGGCCCACGATACAGCCTCGATTAAGCCCCACCTATAATTAGATTGCTGAAAATGCCGATGTGAGGTTGCGATAGCCCAGTGTAACACTAGGCTGTAAAGTCGATCACGGAACATCTAAGGTGTTAGTTCCTGTTTTTTGGTCTGTAATTTCGGCAGTCGCTACGAAAATATGGTTCTTTCGTATACAGATTTCTGTTTTCTTTGCCGGCAGCTGCTTTCTATTGTTCCACTTAAGAGAGTTCGGAATAATTGTGATATACACGCGTGACTTGAATGCGCCATTTTCTTCGGAAAGAGGCCTACCAATTTGACTATTTCGAACTCTGGATTCACTTTTACACCAGTTATGATAGTAATAACACCAACGGGAGATGTAAACTCGAGTGTGTCTAGAGGTATCGTTGAACTGCGCAAATGGAAAGACGTAGCGTAAAACGACTTACGCATAATCCTACGTCTATGGTTTGTCACTTAATTTGCTTCGTACAAGTTGATTCAATGCATTTAATAAACATAGGGCTATCGGGTCTCGGCACATTATCCTTGTCATTTGTCCAGATTTAAGTTCAACAGTTATCTTCATAACTGGTATACCCTGTATGAACTCTATTTCATTGACGTTTCCCGCCTGCCGTTTCTGAATAGTGGAACTGGTATATATCATCACTGTGAGAGATTTCTACATAAAGCCTCCCAAACATCCCATATCTGTTATCATCCCCACCAACCCAGACATCACTCAATCTTTACTTCATTATCATTGCACCTCTTTCCAAACTCTCAAGTCAATTGATACTCCTCAAACCTCCTCATAAACACTCATCATCAAAATGGTCCGACTCGCAATCTTCGCTACCATTATGGCTGCTGCCACCTCCGTACAAGGCGCTATCTGGTGCCAGTGTCTCTTCCCCGATAAGTCTCACTGCTGTGTCGCCAGTGTAAGTCCAAATCTTGCAATTTCCCAACTCAAAACATAATCTTGAAATGAGAAGTCCGGAAAGTTGCTAATCTGAGTACCTTTACTTTGACAGGGAGGCGGCAGTTGCCAAGAGAAGTGCCTCAATGCTGGTAGGCCTATAATTGATGGATCTGTTGTACCACACAAGACGTTGTGCAATGCTGGAGGCGATGGATTTGGTATTAGTCCCATTACTGCTCAGGGACGCACTCCTTGCGACACCAGGTCCTAAGCTCTGTGTTCATCGTTACTTTCTTCCGAGAAGGGCTCTAATAGCGACTAAGACCGTGGCAGTTATCTAATGGCTATTAAAATGCCAGCAATATAGTGGCTGATGTTATATTCTCTTGTATCTCTTCTTATGGAGTGGAATATTTTATATTGTGCAAGACGTGGTATTACATAACGTTATACATAGCATGCAATACTATACATACTATGTATGCTATACATATTCGTGCTGAATTTCAGAAATCGGATTGCCTGTAGAATGGAAGTTGACTCTCCCGTTGCCGAACTCCTTCTCGAGGCGTATAAGTTCGATTTACATCAATGATAAATAAGATATCCAATGGTATTACATGGTTGTTACCGAAAACCGGAGACAAGCGCGGTCAAGCTCTTTGTAGACTAGCGAGCGGGTGACGGCATATTGAGTTTTAGGCGAGATAGAGTGACGAACCTAATTCGTGGTTAGGCGAGGGAGGTACTTTATAGGTTCCCTCCCTTATTAAGACATTTGGTTGATAGACATCTGGAAGAATTTCAAAGAACTGCCGTGCTGAAATGTTGAGCGGTTTGGCATCACCATCATGTTGAGATCGTGTTATGCATTGCCGCTTTTGTAAGATTAACAGCTTGGCTCTTGACCTATGCCATCCTTAGTTTGAGGTGCAATATTGCTTATTATCAACTAAATAAAACACTCATAGGTCGAGAAAACTGTCTTTCGGACAATTATTCGAAGCTCAATGATATGAAATACTCATGGCTTTTGACAATTTCGAGATTATTATAACCTCAAGTTACCCTGTACCCGGGAGCTTAGGTCGACGTAGACAGACCCTAGGAAGCTATGACGGTAAGAGCAAAGTGGTGTAACTCTGCTCCACTGAATTGTAATGAAGTATGCCTATTTATCGGATCGTGGCCCGCGGGAAGCGATCGGACTCACCGTTCGGCAAAGGAGCCGCACCCACCACCCGACTTGGTTGTAATCATCCCACCAATCCTCATAGTTTGAGTCTGCAGGGGTACTTGTCATGTATGTTCAAATGCTTGAATGTGTTTCTCCGTGGCTTGAATAGAGATATGATCCCTCGGAGCTTTGTGATATTCCAAATCCATATAAAGTTCGTGCTAAAATCATACGTTCAGTTCATTAACCGAGATTGTGAGACTGGTGGTTCCTAGGGTGCTACTGCATCATCATCGTTCCACGTTCTTTCGTTTTGCGAGGGATCATATTGACAAGTCCCGTAATTAGTAAAGAATCTTCTACAGGGGTTGAGTTCCCAATAAAGATTGAACCAGTACTAGAGGTGACTGGGTTTGAGCTTCGAAAATGCCATGAAATCTCCAAAGCTAGACATGATCACGCGTCGAGCTGACGTATTAGCCAGTATCTCTGTTAGCAAGATATCCTACTACGATAGGAGGGTCTACTGTCACGATATGTACAAGTAAGTTCGGTAGATGTATGTTAAAAGCTTTACTATTGAACGTGCCAAATGACTGATGTCCTTCTACAGTGTATCATTCATATAGTGGGTGTCTTGCCACCGCATCCATCCCGGCGAGACATAACTTAGAAGCTAACCATTATCAAAGCATTCGCCAACTTTCACCTGGTATCTCCACTGAATCCTAAGCTTATCGTTCTAGTTATCCACCTGACTCGGCGCTTACTCAGTCACAGCTGCTTTCTTTTTCAACAGAAGACCAAGTTTGCCGGTGCTTATATCCAGGGAGCAATTAGTCTGGCGCAAAGGATCCTGCATGCATGAGAGCTTGATCTTGAGCTCGTCACACAGCTCCAACATTACACGAACAATTTCGCCCATTTCACCGATGCCGTTGGCCATTTCTTGATGATCATGAATTCGCTCTTCAAGTAGATTAATCTCGGTCGAGAGCTTGCGACGGCCGTTACGCAACTGTTTGCACACTTGTAATCCCTTGGTGATGCGTTCTCCCAAGGTCTTGGCATCAGGAGTGGAGAATATGAGACCGCCAGGAAGCTGGCTACCGGTGGAAGACCAGGTAGAAACTCCCTGTCTTATAGCGCCGGAGTCGCCCGGGTTGCTCGCATTATTCTCGATATTCGGAATCAGGGTAGACGGGACGTTTGCTTTGTACACGTTAGCCTTTTACATTCTATGGACTCTCGATGTTTTTCTACTCACAGGCTTCGGAATCTTGATCCTTGAGCCTGCGACGAAGCCAACGGATTTGGCCGTTCTCATCCCCAGTAGGTTACGCTCTCTTGTCGCTGTTCGTCTGCTTGGTGGGCTCCATATCTTGTTCGAGGGAAGGTTTGACGTTGAGGAGGCTTCAGTGCTTCACTTTGGAACGCCCTGGAGGCGTGATAATGTAGTTTCCGTCGACGGGGTAGTGTCTATCTCGGGGATCTCTTTGATCGGGACGTATAATCGCGTCGCACTGGTGGTTTTGCTGCTCGCTTTGAACCAAGCTGGGACTGCGCAGACAGGAGAGTTGCGCTTGATCGGCGAGATCTTGCGTGAGAGGAGAACGTTAAGGGAAGAAAAATGAGATTGGAGAATTTGAGCGTTTGCCTTCCGCTTCAAATGCGTGATCATTGCAAGGATCGGCTGCCACCTGCCTGGCACTGCCAACGTTTGATCTCTTTTGCAGACGGCACTTGATATCAATCAAACGCTGGGAGCACAAGGGACGAGTTTATTAGGCCAGTTTATGGTAGTCTGATTAGATTTCTTAGGCTATTTATCTCTACTTTAATCTAATAATAGTGGCCCATGTCGACACCCTCCCTCGTGTCTAATGTTCACAAAAGCTGTATGTTGCTTTGGACCATTTTTGCTCTGTCTCTTGCTGAGATCGACTCCTCTCCTGCATCAATTTTAGCCTATGCTCCTTAGCCTCCTGTAGAGTCATAGGCATCGCAGATTCGCCAGCTTCTTTTTGAACCATACTCATTAGTTCTGCAGGTAGAGGCGTTCCTCTCTCGACGGCAGCTTGGATGCCTGAATGATCAGGCGCAGCTTCAGAGACTATCTTCGCAACGGGATGAGGAATACTCTTCTCCGCATCCAGATTTCCAAAAGCCTTCTCCATCCACCAACTGTGCTGTTGAGGCGGAACGTTGCCCGTGTTGATAATCCGTGTATGGGGGTCAACAAGCCACAACGCGATAAATCGTCGATGACCCGGTTTTGTTTTATCCTGCAGTTCGAAAGGCGAGACGCAATGGTGGAAAACGTTAGGAAACGCGAGCAATCTTCCCTCTTTAGTCTCAACGCTGCCGTATTGTTGAAGACAGTCTCCCCCGCTGAGGGCGGTGCCGTATACCAGTTCCATCCAGTTGTATTGACCTTGGCCAACCAAGTCTTGGAACTTGTCCTGATATGGACTTGTCTGCATGCGGAATTTCAGGGAGCTGGGTGTTACGTTCTCTGAGTCCAGATAGTAGAGGGCTGTGCCGACGATGTGCTCATTCATCTGACCCTCGACGTGCCATCCTCCTGCAGGAAAGGTGGGCTTGTCTGGGGTAAGCTCGATGGATGCCATTTTGACGATGACTTGGATGTCCGGGTAGCGCTCTCGAAAAGAACAGGCTGGTTTGACACCGTAATCCCAAGCCTTGAACTCTGGAGCTTCCGGTTGGATTGGCTCCCTTACTTCCTCCCACTGTTCACGTTGCCGGTCCTCCATTTCCCACCTGTAAGAATCACTTTTATCATCCTCGTTTTCTCCTTTTGGTAAAGGGATGTCATCAAGCGATACAGTCCAGTTTTTATCATTCTCGTCACTGTCACAGTGTGAGTAGGTATAAACCAAAATTCCAAACAAATCTCGAAAACTTACTCAGGATTCTCAGGCATGCCAAATCGAGGCTCCGTTCTACCAGCCCCGTCCTTTTCGCCCGTTAGATAACACGGTACGCAAAGGTCCCAAGCCGTAATGGCCCTGTCAATGAGCTTCTCAATAGTCGCATAAATCTCTGGATGCTCTGTAGGGTGGAGACCGTTGATGTAACTCGTGAACTTGGCGCTTGAATCATCCTGAAAGTTAACATTGGACGGTAACCACTGGTAGTTTTCGGACCAGTACGAGTCATGAATCTGGCCGCCTCCAATACCTGTACTATAACGGGATCGGCTCATGTCCACGGGCCAATCATTCTTTTTAGGGATGACGTCTCCTTTGCCGCTCCATCGGTCGATAGCATCTTCTACGCCAACAACCTCATCGCGAAAGACTCGTGAGCGGCCATAGACGAGTGGGTAGAGTGACGGATGGACAAGGTTCTGAACCATTTCATTGGTGTTGGGGTGCCAGTCCGGGTCATCCTTTTGCTCTAGCTTGAGCTTGGCGAACGCAGCTTGAAGGTTTTGATGCAGGGAATCATCAATGTAGCCATCTGCTTTTACCACAGACGCAGAGGCGTCCAGGGTCGGGATAAGACCCGTCTTTTCAAAGAACTTGGCCTTTGCACGTAGCTCTTTGATACACTGGCAGTAACACGTCAGTAAAGAACAAGGAATGAAGCGGCATCAGTGTATCAGAACCATTAGCCACTAAGCTTTAGGGTGCAAAACTAAATTGCCCAATATACTCTTTAGATCAGACTTCATAGATAATTCAGTTTTGTACCCTAAAGCTCAGTGTGTCCTTTGTGGTATTTACTACTGGTGTTCAATTTCGTGGAAATGTACGACCGGGCGAATAAAATGAAATTCTCACTTACATATTCAAGACACTTCCTGTCGAGGATAGTTTTGAGCTTTTCTGTGTAATTGTATTTCTTTGGTGGGACAATATCGTCATAGAGAGGCTCAACAGGGAGAGCAAGAGCCTCTTCGATCCATTTTTCGGCGATGGTTTCGTTGAAGACTTTGAGATGCCAATCCGGTTTCTCGGTCAATTGATTCATGACAATCATCATGGCGACCTCTCGCACGAGAAGCATTTCAGAGTCAGCCCCATAACAATTGTAGTGAATCCCTATGGGATAGATGTCATTCCTGTCCTGATCGTGATATCGGAGGTCCAAGCCGAGGCCAGGATAGAGGGTTGGGGTAGACTCAGACATGATGTAAGTCTACTGGGTGGTAGAAATGTCAGCATCCTAAGTCTTAGGGTACAAGAACAAACATCCTAAAAGGTCTGATCTGAGTATCATAAATTCACTTACCAATTCTGTCTTCTTGTAGATAGTTCTTGATACTGAGGTGAGATGGTTTGATTCGAGACGTTGGAAGGAAGAGAAAGGACCACTTATATATTCATTTGCTGACCGTGCGTTAGACTTCTTAGTGTAGGCAGTTTAGGCAGCAGGTGGATCTCACTCGGACGGACCCTTGGTTATGCGCTAAACTTTAGACGTATGAACAAAAGAATTACTATTGAGAAAAAGATACTTTCTTAATTGAGTCAAGGTTCCAGAGAAAGTGTCTAGAAACCTTCTGTTGAACAGTCACTGCAAGCTGGGCGGTAAAGGGCATCTTACTAAAGGTAATTAAAGCTGGCTGGTGAGTACCTCCCAAGTCTTGGGTTATAAAAATAAACAGACAAAAGTCTAGTCTCAGAGCAAAATTTTACTCCAATTGGACTTCCTGGGAGTTGTGACCGATTGTTGATGAACCATCTGACAGATGTCATGTTGGAGTAAAAAAGCCGAGTTGTAAAGACTCGACAGTTCCAGCTCTGAATATGCAGAGGATAAGCGACTAGCCTTGTAAGGATCAGTCAGAATCTGATTCGATGGGCAATCTCGGTTATGCAGTCTGACAAGCTCCACCGTCAGACCAGTAAGAAATGCATAATAGCTCAGCCAAGTCTCTTCTTCCAGGGGAACAGGATTGTCAACTTGCATTTGCATCTGTCGTTATTTTGTATCACTCTCTTCAGAGTCTATCTGTAAACATCCAAGATGGAATCAAACTGGAAGCCTTTTATGAAGTCCACTGCCGATGATTGGACAAGCATCCCGGACCCTGCTCAGCGTAAGCGGATCCAGAACCGGCTATCTCAGCGGGCAAGACGTAAGTACATGAACGCTGTCTTGCTGCAGTAAAGGGTCGAGCTGATGGCTGGGTATAGGTATGCGACAAAAGAGAGAAGTGCAATTCGCCTCTGGAAGCGTAGACACCGACGCCTCCTCTGCAGGAGATACTAGGCCTGCCTCTATCGAAGCTCAATTATCCACTCACCATGACTTAAGCGCGGCTGTGGTGGACACATTTGGCTCAAGTCCCTTGGCAGACAGTCACTTTATCATATTAGCAGATATGACCGCCTGCGCTGCTCTCGCCGTCATCGCCCAATGTCTAGACCTCGACTGTCAACCACGACCAGGCTTCCATATAAAAGCTATGGTCATAAATCTCCCCTCAGCTATCGCACCAACTGATCTACAAAAGGTTGTTCCACACAAACCTTATTTAGACATGTTGCCGTGGGCTTCGCTACGGGATAAACTGCTCAAATCTGTGTCTGTTATCAACGAAGACGAGTTCATGGCTGATATGAGGAGTGGTAGTCTGAGGGTCTGGGGCCAATTACCGTGGGATCCAATGGGTTGGGAGGTCAGTGAGAATTTTGCGAGAAGGTGGTGGTTTCTAATGGATAGGGGAATTATGAGAACAAGTAACTTTTGGAGAGCCCAGAGGGGGGAGCCTCCTTTGGCTCTCGTCGCACTGTAGTGTGTCTCATAGAGCATGAGTGTGTACATAATAGCTCGTTTCTTTGTTATATCTACTTGGGCTATCACTATGTCGATTCTGACGAAAATGTATTCTTACTCTCTGTTCCCCACAAAATATTGATGCTACATGTCAGACTGCATGTAAGAGGCCCAGAAAATGACAGTATAGACAAGAAACAAGTATAGATATAAAGACCAGTCGCTCTCCAGTTCAAACGAGCCAGACAATCACCTCTATAAAACCCAGCAACAGATTTCTCAACCCTGTAATTCCCCGAACTTCTATCCTCGTCAACGTCGAGACAACGAAATCATGAGCGCGTCTTTTTCACAGATGTTTCCTTCGAAACCCACCTACACAGAGGAGCACGTCTCATCTTTGCATGGGAAAGTCTTTCTAGTTACTGGCGGGACCAATGGCGTCGGACTCGAGCTCGTCAACATACTCTATTCCAAGGGCGGCACAGTCTATATCCCTTGTCGCTCCCCAACCAAAGCAGCAAAGACAATAAAGGATGTACAAGCATCCTTTCCAGAAAGCACTGGTCATCTCAAGACTCTTCCCCTCGACCTCAACGATCTTGCTTCTGTAGCAGCTTGTGCCTCTGCTTTTCTGGCACAAGAGACTCGTCTGGATGTGTTGTGGAACAACGCTGGCATAAGCTACGCACCTCATGACGAACTTACTGTTCAAGGATACGAACCTCACATGGGCATCAATTGCCTGGCCCCGTTTCTTCTTACCAAGCTCTTACTTCCTGTATTAAAGCGTTCGGCCAGTATCTCTTCTGAGCCATCGACGCGAGTCATCTTTGTGGCCTCGGGCATGGTGGACATGTCAGCACCACCAGGTGGTATACCACTAGAGGAGCTTAAGCCTGGCAATCAATCACGAGATCTCTCCCGAAACTACACTATTTCTAAAACGGGAAACTGGTTTCTGGCATCTGAGTTTGATCGTCGAATGCGAGCAGACGGGATTGTCTTTATTGCTCAAAATCCAGGCAATCTCATGACTAACATTTGGGATCGTGTTCCATGGTTTCTGAAGGCACCCATCAGAATCCTACTGCATCCACCCAAACGAGGCGCGTATTCGGAACTTTGGGCCGGTCTTAGCACTGAGATCAAGCTTGATGACGGTGGTCGGTATGGTGTGCCATGGGGAAAGTGGCATCCGAGTCCCAGAAAAGATTTGTTACTGAGTTTGAAGACTCAGGAAGATGGTGGGACTGGTGTTGCGGTCGCCTTCTGGGACTGGTGCGATAAAGAGACTGCCGAGTTCGCGAAAGAGTAGACATTCAAGTGACAGAGGAACAATTACTTGCAAAATCTTATGATGTATTATTCTTAGTTTCCAACACAGTCTTTTCAAAATTGAGTCAATCATGAACCGTCCTTCAGTTGAACAAAGTCATCTTGTGGGCTTTCCGCTGCGTCTCGAGGTCTTTGAGGGGCAATTGAGGTTCGGCGTTCGTGTATCGGGATCTGCGGAAGAAAACTGAAGTGCCTGTGTTCACTCAACGGTTCAGCTTTCGACGCAAAGGAAAACGCGGCCAATAGGTTAGGAGACAGATGCAGAAGGATCCTGGAATGAAACCCTGCTAGTCTTAAGAAGATGGTCTAGATACTGCGGCTGAGGGTCTAGATTGCCGCCTCCAAGAACTATCGAAACTCTTAACACATGATGCTTGATTCCCTACTTTACAGGGAATTGCTAATTTGTTGTTCTTTTATAAAACTACGGCCATATCCCTCGCATTTCCACTTGCGTTAACGCCATTTTATTTCATTGTTGTTTGCTTTTGACAAAGACTAATACTCTACTACCGAACGGTAACCATGATTGCACGAGTTCTTCTTTCCTGGCTAGCGGCTTCGGCCACTGTATTTGCAGCACCTACCACTGATGGCCCCAGTGTACTCGATACGCGAGCCTGCACTACCCCGGCAAATTCACTCAAAAACCCCAGCTTCGAGTCCAGTTTGAGTAAGTTCACGGCGATGATTGTAACAATATGTTCAGCTTGACTAATATACTACAGGTCCTTGGGTATTCAAGCCCACATATGCAAAGCTCGGTAGCGCAGGTGTCGTGACTGGTGGCTACAAAAGTAACCACGCTGTTCAAGTCACTGCAACTTCAGGCCCCAACGATCCAACAAGCTACAACAAGCTCTCCCAAACCTTCAAGATCTGCAAAGCTTCACGCTTCCAGCTCTCATGGTCCATGCTCCTCCCCAAAGACGGATCTAAATATGTAGCGCCTAATATTCCGGGAATGTACGTCGAGGCTCAAGCACCAGATGGTCTTTGGCATCAACTGGGAAATTTCCAATTTTCGTCAAAGACATTCAGCAGCACCATCTTTTCACCAAACAAGAAGGGCACACACAACGTTAACCAATGGGCGAATTTTGTTTCGGATTTTCCTACTTCGCAGACTGGTACTTGGACCATCTCGATGGAGTGGTATGATCAACCGGCGACTGGTGGTAAGACAACAACGTTGAAGGTTAAGATGGACAACTTCACTGTCAAGCCAAAGGCTTAATTAGGGGGAAATTTTCATGATATTCGAGATAATTAGTGCATGATCACGATATACGCACTTCTCCCTGTGCCGTTTTCGCAACTGCGCTATCTCGTATGCGTCTGGTATGTAGTTCAATTCATCACGGTCCAACGCCAAGCTAAAACACGGGGCGCACAAAACAAACATGCTATGGAATGTATCATGAAAAACTTGTTGAGTCTTAGGACGTTTTTGTACTTTCCAATGAAACACTTTTACCGCGTTCTATGTCATGCGCCTTGACTAACAGTAGGTAGGTTAGTAGATTAGAATGTACAAGTGCCACTGAACTAAGAATCAATGTAGAAGCTATCGGGTAAGAAGAGTTAGCAAGGGTGTAGGATCCAAAAATAAATGATCGAAGAGAGTGACCTAAATAGAATAAGCTGACCTGATTGTTTGGTCTATCAAGCCTCCACATTCAATCCCAACCACCAAGTTCATACTGACCGCTTCCTTGTCGAGGTTTGAGATTTGGAATGAAGCTTTCCACATCCAGCTTAAAGTAAAATTGACACAACGTCAAACGCCAGCATGACTAGAGTTCGTGGAAGCTAGCCATTTACATCAAAATGGCCTGCGAAAAACCCATGATTCCATTCAAACGATTTGTACATCATGGTATACTCAAAAGAGCCCGTCGTGTCAATTGCCAAGATGTCTAGAGTACGTACCCCTCCCACTGACCCCTCATCTTCTTGTTCCTTGCCATTAATGCTTCGCCAGTTCACCGCCAGCTTGCAGGACTGCCCTAGAGATCAACAGCAATTCTTCATCCTGAGCAAAGTATATGACCCTACCCTGACATCTCGACCAGGGTAGTTTCTATCATGAATACAAAGATGTTATTGTTGAGGTGGATGGGTTGGTTCCCCCGGCTGTGATTCTTATTCATTTCGTAAGCAATCCGACTGCTTCAAATGTAGTTAGGATAATGGGTTCATCTGTATCGATTTCTTCGTGTTTAATAGGGGTTTTGTCTGTTGGAAGTCGGAAATAAGGACTTGTCATGTGGCTTTTACCGTCATACAATGGATGTGATTTCTGTTATTTATCTCACCGTGGACAAAGTGTAGCGGATTTGTTTAGTAATACCCACGCTAACGTTGAAAAGTGAGCCTCGCATGAATGACTTGGGATAGTTTGTGCGATAGCCTGTGCAGTCATCCACAGGAAACATCTCTTATATCACCTACTTCTGCATTGAAGGTAGGGATGAATTTAGAATTGACCTTCATTATCAATTACTGTAGCAAGAATGTCTAATCTTATGCGTGATCCACTTGCGCATATTTACCTCCAGTACGACGTTGGCCAAACCAACCAGCAGTAGTATACGATGAGCTTAGAACACCATCCCCCCCCCCCAGACCCAGTATAGGGATATCATCTCTTGGTGAGTCAGTATCTTCGGGAGTAGGCGTGAGTTCTTCAGCGTCTTAAACAGTCGTGTCGCCAATTTCCGATGTCTCATCCGTCGATGTCCTTTATTTCCCCTCCTCAACTCCAAGCAAACCTACCATGCCACTTCGGCTTCTCAAATACTCTGCATCTTCTTTACTGGCGATTGTCAGTTCACCTCCACGAATTCCGTCCAACTGTGTACCGAGTTTCGCCAGCATGAAAGAGTCAAATCGATCTGTCCATGTTGGCGTTTACGCAATGTACCACACTAGCCATATCAAACACACAGACTATACGACAATCAGCGTAGATATAACTACTATCATTGTCGTTGTCTTTCGTGGCTTGAGGATCGTCCAGCCAGGGGATGAGTATATCGATCGAGACTGCACAGTTCCAAACACAGTGGCGGATTCTCTGAGTAGTACCTCATTCGCAAAGAACATTCCCATGTATAAAAGAGATTCGGCCTCTTTCGGATGACGGAAAGTCTCCAAGACACGTGCGACGAAAATGGGTAGGACCTCGTAGTTAACCTTGCCATGATAATTCCCCATTGGAGGATATTCCTGCCTATATTGACTTGATCCCGCGCCACCAGCACATAATCTGTTGTAATACATGTTCTCGACACCGAGACGTTGAAATGGATAATTCTCTGACTGACAAATTTCGCGCATGGTGGAATTCATATCTTTCTGTGGCCGTTCACTAGCGAGGTGGAAGAACGACCCATTGCCGAAAAGCGACAGGGCCACAAGAGCCAGAGGTCCGGGTGTACCTATACCGATGTCCTCGAGGATATTCATGGGATGATCCCAGGACAGAGCTCCATCATGTGCTGGCTCACTATAGACTAGTTAGTTTTTTTGTGTTTCTTATTTCACATTTTGATTCGAACCCCTGCGTGAAACTTCACTTACAGAGTGACAGGTCGACGGTCGCGATGTTCATAATCGCCCCAAAAAGATCCGTGATCGTTGAAGTTCTGGCGAATGTCGTCTCGACTCGGCCATTCTTCTAACAGTGATTGAAAGATTTGGTCGTTACAATGGTTGCCTAACTCGAAATATCCTCGAGTTGACGAAGCACGACATAACAGATTAAAAGCAGTGACATCTTGAAGGAGCGCTTGTCCATCAGCCTTCCTGCCATCTTCACCTTGAGCTACTTCGAGGCTCAGCCACGTGTGTTCCATGATATCCTGTCTGTCTCGGCTTCTTGTCCATGGAATAGCGTTATGGTTGCCATCGACGCATATAGATGCTTTGATTCCGGAAGTTGCAAATCCTGTGTGGTTAAAATGGTGAAGAACGGCAGTGGGCCTGAACAGGTTGACGGTACAGGGCCCGCTTCGCAACTGATAGTCGAGTTGGCTCGCATTGCGTGTTCACGTAATATGTCAGTCATTGTGCCGTCTGCAAGAGACGAAGCGAAGTAACTTATATTCTTATCTCCATTGGCTTCTATCCAGGCAAAGCTTTGGGCTTGCTGCTGTTGCAGAGGGAGACGCTTGTGAGTTGTATCTTCGTGCCATAGATATGGTTGAACATTGGATCTACTAACAGTCTTCATCTTTTAGCGTATCAGATTGACAGGCAGAGTACGCGACATAAGATCCATAATGTTTGGCTCTGGATCGATGCCGACAACACGTGAATGTATACCTATTTTTCGCATGTTTTATCCCAGTCCGTAATCTCTACGGGGTTGTCGTTGCAAGTAACAACAGTCAGAGGATTATATATAACAAGAAGCGATTGGAGTGGCGGCTGTATAATGGCTAGCGGCGAGATGTCAGTATACTAGGTCCAGGTTTCAGAACCATTGCTTGAGGGGGCGACTCACTAATAAGCACGAGAAATGCAGCTAGCCAAAGGAATCTAGACGAGTGATATCTTCCTCTGAAGCAGGAGGTCCATAAGATTGGTAGATCCATCCATCCTCTGTCAGAGAGGGCAAAGAGCTGGAGTACGTTGAGTTTCGTTTCTTGGCCTTCCTTTTTAGCTGGGAATACATCACAACAGCCTGGGCCATCAAGGCTGATACAATAGGTAATGCAAGAGTGACGGTGATACGACTGAGAACAATTGCTGCAGTAGCCCAATCTTGGATCTTTTGCACATCCGTCATGGAATATTCGCCACGTTGGTTGATGTACGATGGGAAAAAGACTGGGTGATGCATGAGTATACACGCGATAACCCAAGGAACGTTAAGAATCGGTAGATAGAACGTGAGGATCCACATTGATCGTTTTCTATATCTGACAAGGGGTGGATTCTTTTCGGCCATGTCTGCATTTGATGTTGTGCTGTGTTGATGATAGCTGGAGGTGTTGTGCTTGGGACTTATACCTTGAGTGGGTTAGCCAGGCACTTAGTAATTTTAGGGAGACAGCTACAGCACAGCCATAACATAGCCACAGTTTATATCACCATGTTGACCTTTATGCGGTTGATCCTCCAGTTTGCCTCGTTATGTGCGACACCGTGACGCCTGAGGCATTACTGCTGGCGATTGTATTACGCTGAAGATTAAATCAAGCGAGCGACCTTTGACCAATGCCTTCTTCCAGTTTTGCCCTGATTGAAGGCGATATTGTCTTTTGTCTCTTCCCTCTCCACCTAAGACCAACCAAGTGAACATTGAAGCGCCCTTAACAGCTTGGTAAGTACCTCATCCTCATCTTGAGTGGCTGTCCTTCTGAAACATGATGACGCTTGCTCCCAATTTAATAAAAAAAGCAAATATCGGTGCAATTATCCCAAGCAACATTTACGTTGTAGAGCAAAGTCTGTTTGCCGTTGGTAAATTCAAAAGGCGAAGCAGAACGCCGAGATGCCATTTTATTGTATATCAATGTCCTGATTCCGTTATTAGCTCGGCATGATATAGTACGGCAATAGAGAGGTCGTTTTCTGACTGTCTAGTGGTGTGTGGACATACAGCACGGAAGCGCTCTGGGTCCAAGGTGAGGCCTGATCAACGAACGAGGACAAGTTACAAGTTCAGAGAGAAGAAGTTTTGGAAGGAGTGGGAGGAGTTTTACAATAAGAAGACCGATACCTACTGGGCGGATGAGTATCCTATAGAATGGAGTCTGACTGTACGACCCATCCTTGCTCACTGTAAGTTACTCCCTTAAGACCTTAGTAACCATGTGCATACTAATAACTTATAGTGTATCGGGCGGGTATCGTAGCCCCATTCAACGCCCAACCGAACCCTGAAGTCGTCCTGGACACAGCAACAGCAGAAAAGGAGCCTCACCGTCTTGAAGAACTCGACCTCTTCATCAACTACGAAGACAAAAACGGCAACTTCCCACAGGATTTCCCACACAGAAGATGAGAAGGACTTGTTGAAGTATTGCACGACAGTTATGTTTGCGATTCGGACTAAGCCGTGGTTGAGAGAGGTTGATCTGTGGAAGAGTTTTATCGATGTGGATGTTGAATTTATTGAGAATTTGGATGCTCATTGGCTTAAATAGTCAAACATATCACAAGATTGTTTACAATAAAGGTCTTAAATGGTACCTATGTTTGGATCCACAGGCAATAGGAATCTGATAAAACAACAGGGGGAACTCCATGATAATAATTCAGGGAATACTTGAAACTAATGATGCTTAGAGATTGCCAGCCTCATACCGTTCCCAAATAATTTGGTTGTCTTGCAGTATGCCCGCCCCGGCAGGATATAGACACACAAGGGTCTATTCCAATCTGGTAGTGGGTTCTTTTCTGGTTGCATCATAAATTTATGTTGCTAAGTTGGCAGTAATGATGAAATGAAATGTTTCTTTTTACCATATTTAACTATACGATCGAAAGACTTAGAATCGTGAGCTGTTGAGTCTTTGAACGTTACTGCTACATACGTCTTTACCACGAAATTAGCAATAGAGAAGTGAGGTGAGGGAATACCGAAAATTACCAGTTAAAGCAACGGTTGTCAAACTAAATATTTAAGCTCTCAAGATGATGAATAACAAATACTGAGCCGCCTAGTAAGAGTTCTAGTACTTCCTATACAAATACAAACATGCTGACGGCATGGGTAGGATGCAATAAAGATCAGACGGCCCGTCGCGCAGCCACTAGCGCCGGATATGTACTAATCAAGAAAGTCCATCATGATCATCAGCCTTCCTATTTAGGTTCTGCTCAGAAACAATGGTGTGAGAATGTAACATCGAGAACCAAACATTTTGGCCCCCCTTGCCCAAGACATCATTTAACAAGGACTTCCGAACCAGGTGGCTTCTGTCAGGGATACGAGGTGATTTAATGTTTATAGGGAAGTTGTTGTTTGGACGGACTTACTCAGTGGTTCCTAAGGAATGATGCCATACTAGCAACGATTCTGGTCCGGAAATCCTTCCGTTTTCTTCCAGAAGGCGAAGTCAACGTGGATGAGAATCCTGGTAAGTTGAAGCGTTTCTTAACCAATCGGGATGTAGTCCGGCTTCCTCCAACCGAGGACTCCATTACCGCATTCCCCTTACGGATCTCGCCTCGCCTGCCTATCTTCTCTTCTAGGGCATGCACAGATCAAAACTTGCAGTTGTGATTACATGAATAAAAGGGCAATTTTCTCTGTTGAAGAGGACCCAAATTTAAATTATTCTGTACGACAACTCGGAGAGTGATCTAGACATGCGAAAAGGACAACTGAAAAACGAAGGCACTTGAGTTGGCATTACCCAAGCAGAACTTACAGAAAAAGGATCAGGTAGTCACCCACAAATTTCAGATACTGGAAGTCCTCAAGTATGTTAAGACAGCTGCGAAGGTAATCATGCTGAGGATTCATATCCTTGCCCAACCGGTTAATCAGAGCTGCCATGCCAAGGAAGCCGAGACTTGCAGGTGTGACTGCTCCGGCTAGTGCAGTGATATATGCGGAATGTTAATCAAGGTAATTGACATAAGCACGGTACAAATATTTCTAGATTTACAATATCCCATGGACGACTTTGGAGCTATGTAAGTCGAAACGTACATTCCGATGACCTTCCTAGCGCACGCCATCGATCGTGGCTTACTTAATTTATGGTAAGGATGTATCAGCCGTGCGCCCTAGTTGTTGGGTTTTACAAACTCTTCAGGTAGTCATGTGTGGCCTCGGATTCTATTACACGTATTGATAATATTACCTTAGTTGAGCAACAAAGTGGATGATGTGAACAAGATTAGAAAGTCGGTGTAGCGAAAAGATAACTTAGCCAATGAATAACCACCACAGTATCTTATGACGGCGGTGTCGCCCGAGTTAGTGTAATGTCATGATCAAAGCTAGCAATTAGCTTAAAAAGGCGCTGTCAAAACCTGTGAAAGTGAGGCCTCTGACCAAAGTATTCTCGGAAAACCTCAAAGAACTATCTTGACCTTGCTCGAAGGATGGACGTATTCAAGATCAAACGTATTTGGCGACCTCCACCTCAGCGTTCAGCTGTCAAAGGTGAAAAGCGAAAATTCTGAAAAGAGGGTGGAGTTATTGTTATCAGAACGAATGAATCGTTGACACAATTTGTTGGCCTCAACGTTGAGCCAGTCGCGTATTTTATTCAGCTGCAATAATATTACGCCACAGCTGAACAAGGTTAACAGCAAGGGGCATTGAATCGTCGATTTAGTCAACATATGAACATTTTGCAAAAGACAGTGCGGGTCTAAGGGTCCCAATTGACTTTTATTGCGCCACAGCTGAAGACTATTTAAACTACTGCAATATGATCAAAGCTTTATCATGGGATTCCCACATTTCTGTACCAGAGAATTGGAAATGGCATCTGCTAGCGTTGTCCTAGTCTGTCGTAGAATTTGCGGCTGAGAGCAACTACCGTTAGATAAGCAGGGTTCAGCTTTTTACTAGCACAATCTAATACTCTGCCATTGGCCTATTGAATTCACAAGCGAGAAACGTTCAGACTCCTTGCAGCGCCACGGATGCCACAACCAAGCCAATAGCTCCAACTCTTGCAGCTGGGCCCAATACACTGGGTAGGCGAATCCATAATACCGGGAGAAGCCAACCAAGACTAGTAAGTAATGGAAGTAAACACAGGTCTAGAATCATCAGTTATCTTCGTTAATCTCGCTACTAGACGTTGGCTGGCTGAATCGTACAGCACTAGCAGTGACCAAGACTTTGATGCAGACTTCGTCATCCGAGACAAGGTAAAGTTTGGTCTGAGCATACGTGTTCTTCCTGCACCTCTTCCTACGAGGCCCCTTTCTGGGCTCCTTGCTTCTGAGTCTCTCCCTTCTGGGCCTCATTCAAAGGACTTTTTGACATTCAGTGACGGAATCTTATGAGTATGCTCCGAGGGATAAACTTAATCCCTCACATGCGGCTCTTGACTCTACTTTAAACGGCAATACCCTATTGGTTGGCGTTTAGATAAACACGCAGTTCAAGATGGGGCCTCTGGCTGATACCAAGATAAACTACCTACTCGGTAAGATTTTAGCGCTATTGCTTGGCCTTATTTGAAAGAGGTAAAGCGTAAGGAACTTTTATTCACGTTATTTTTATCATTCTTTCAATAGCCGGCTTTGCCTAATAGGAGACAGGGAAGGAAGGGAATCAAAGCCGATGGATATTTAGCAACACGATCCGTGCAAAGTATTAATACTAAGCTAGATTCCACGTGAAATATGTTTATGTTCTGGCTCTCTTACAACATAAACTTTCGTTATTCAGAAGACAAGTTACTTTCAACATGGGTGAAATACTTGTTACATCATCCGTCAACAGCCTGGACGCTGGCGTCGATGCTGCGAAACTTGAAGCAGCCAACCGATATTTCCGCTGGAACTTACTCTTCCTGCTAATAATCTTTATTTTCCTTCATTTCCCTATATGGATGCCCTTTGTTCCTTATATGAACCAGGCAACAAATATCGTCATCATAATACTAATCGGCCTGTTCCAACTCATCTGGCTAGTAGCAACCGTTTGTGCTATTCGTCGAACCATAGCCATCAACAGTCGGAACAAACGCAAAACAACGAAAGCCCAAGATGCTGAGGCATCCGATTCCACGTCTGACGAATATTCAACGGTCCGTCATATAGTCGCCATGACCTTGTATAAAGAACCGATGAGCGTACTGGAAACTACCTTGGACTCTCTTGTGCGGCAGAAAGATGCCAAGTCACGTCTCTCTGTCATCATCGGCATGGAATCACGCACACCCGACAAAAAAGAGAAACGTGATGAAGTCTATACAAAGTACAAGAGCAAATTTCTTCGACTCATCGTCACCTTCCATCCATCAGGCGTACCTGGCGAGATCAGTGGCAAATGTTCAAACATGAACTATGCCTGTCGCCAAGGTCTACAGATTCTTCGTCAGGATATCGACTACGACTACGAGACATACGAACACATATTCACCAACTGCGATTGTGATGCTGTTTTCGATGCCGATTACATGATGGAGCTGGAGGCTGAATACTGCAAGTTGGATACTGCTGACCGCCACTCATCCATTTGGCAATCCATCATTGTCTACAAGCGAGATTCTATGCCCTTTTTTGTTGACATCACTGGAGTCTTGCGTACCTTTTTCTTCATGGGTATTTTGATCCCCTGGAACATCAACCCTATGTCGCATTACTCTCTTAGTGTCAAGCTATTGGAAGAAGGTGCATTTACCCACCCAGCCTATCAGATGGAGGATATTATTGCCTTGATTCGATATACAATCATGACAAAACGCGAGATCCGCATCAGGCCTCTGAATCTTATTTCTATCAATGGTCCAACTTCTGGAAGTAACTACGTCGACGAAATCCGCGAATGGGCTCTTCAGATTCGGCGATGGACTATTGGCGCTGGCGAAGTCTTCCACTACTTCATTGTCAAGACCTACCGTATGCCTGGGATCTATCTCTCTATCAGCTGGGCCAGTCGATTCTTCATCTACTATGGGCTTGTCCTCTGCGCCAGCGCCATCTTCTCCATCTTCTCTCCAATCTTCGTCCAGCTGATCAACATGGCTGCTCCCGATCATGAACGACTCTTGATTAGCGATATCCTTTTCCAGACCGTCTGTCTTATCTTTTTGGGGTCACAATATGTTTTTCTATTGGTCGCCACCGTACTTGTCCGGTGGAACCTACCTGTCCCCGGCGATAGCAGCAGCAATTACAACAAGGGTCTCAAGGGTGTCACAAGAGGCCTGTTGCATTGGATCTTGATGCTGCCGACTATCCTCGCCTACAGCTTTGTAGAGCTATACTCGTTCTTTGAGTTGGCGTTCAGAGGCAAAGATGTTTGCAAGCATAATGCTGCTAACAAGAGTAACCTGGTTCTTGTGACGGGCACTACTGAGTCGTCATAACTTGGATACCTGAGGAACCAGGGTGTTTCATAATCTGCAGTCTATTTTATTTGGCAATCACGACGGGATTGATCAGCATGAACAGCGAACCCTGTATTTAGATATTATTTACTTTATAATTTGCATTGGAAGGGAATATATATTAGATTATGTATGCTCTCGGGAGCTTATTAAATGACATTTCTAGGTCTGGCACTCATGGGTGAGTGAAGCTCTTCTTGGCTTTCACTCGCCGCTGTTCTTGATATCTTGACCTCCCACTTTATCTCCTTCTTGATGCCGGCTTCAACGTCGCCAGAAAAGAAATTTGTCCCTCTCTTCTCGGGGGCATTGCGACTGACAGATGATAACGTGTAGGCGTCGCGCCCAGAAAATGCCTTGGGGGTTGCAGCGCCAGCAGTTCGTGAGTTGTTCTTGTAGCCCGAGGGGCCAACCGATACAGGCTTACTTGTCAAGCCGAGACGGAACGCAAATTGCTTGAGCAGAGGTCGCAGGGTCGCCATGCTACTGGCAGTGATTGCCAAGCCTTGCTCGATTGTTGACCAGATCGCAATATCTGTCGTGTCCCCTTAGAAACTCTTTGTTAGCTTTTTCGATTTGGTGGCAGAGGTGGAATTCTTACAGAGAAAATCAGGCGATCTGATCAGGTGCAAGTACGGGAAGCGGGTGATGACGGCAGCACTCGCACTATTTTTATGATTAGTCGGTCATTCTCGTAGTGAAGCAAAGGTCAACTTACACGCAACCCATTGCAAGAAGCGGGATTAGTGAATATTTCGTTCTCTTGTGCAGTTGCAGGTTCCAAACGATGAAGCCTGGGAGAATCGCGAATACAAGGTCGGAACCCACGGCAAAAACACTGTACAGGACGGCCAGCGCGATGACAACGGTGGGGTTAATACATGTGCCATCCTGTTCCCTGTTCCAAAAGTACGATATAGGATGGCATTGAAAAACAGTGACAAAGAAAAAGATGATGCCGGACAAGGCAGTAGAGAACATGGCGAGATAAATGATCCATTTTTGGACTTTTTCGGTGGCGACTCGAAGTAGAAAGTATCCAATGGATAACTTGCAGGTAATCATAGCGAGGCAGTACCAGAGATAACAGAACCACCAACACTGTCGATACTGTTAGAAAAGAAGCACTTTGGTTGACAATTAGGCTTTCTCACCATCATAGCGTTAGAGATTTGGTCGGTCTCGAGATCATCGTGGTGGCGGCCTGTACCGAATGTGACACCGACAGTTGAGAAAGTGGCATATAGAGTGAAGAATATCTGTTGATCAAAAGTCAGTCGAGACGATGTGTGGCAACACGTGTGAACGTACCGTTGATAGAACCATAAGCCAATCGTCTGTTCGAAACGCATCAACCACGAAGCTGCGGACATAACATCGCAGTAGGCATGTTATTAGAGCTATAGAGTAAAAAGAGATGTTTACTCCCATGAGCTCGGCGCCCCTGTTCTCGATTACTTCCGCCATTCTGGGACAGGTGAAAGGATGCTTCTCAAAGAAACAAAGTTTGTCAGGATCTCGATCCTGAAGAGGGAAGGAGACATGGGATGGGGGGACTTTATATGAAACTTTGAAAGGTGGTCACCCAGCATGGTTTTCAGCCAAGCACACTATAATAGACATTGCGCTATAAACTATTTTCCTTCGAGTATCGCCCGCCGACTGCAACCGTCAGCGTACCATAGATGCAAGTCAGGTAAGAGACCTGCATCATGCATATCTTTTGTTTTAATTGATTGCTCTGTTGAGCATGTTCATCCGCTCTTGCACGGGCGTTGTGACAGGGATCAGACAGATAAATCCGGCTTGGTGTATTCAGTTCAGGGGAATTTCCCCTCTCGAGATCCCTGCCACTGCGACCCTACCCTGCACCTAACGTTTTGACTAGTCTCGTTGAGGTGATTGTCCGATAAAACCCTACGCAAGTCGGACACTTTAAGAAACACCTTCCACATCTTGCCCCTTATATCACGTTTGACGTATAGGCTAACCGTTTAGCGCAACTGACAGAAGATCTCCAAGGATTATTTTGTCTGCTTATTTGCGGATATCCGAGTTTTTGCTTGGCGCGGTACCTAAAGAATCTGTCGACATACTTGCTAACCAGAGATAGAAAGGCTAGACCCGGTATGCTCGGATACTCCACTTCGCCTCTCTCTCATGTCCCGGAATTAGAGACTCAACCCGGCAATTCCAGACAGCTTAACTTGCATGGCAAGATATATGGTGAGGCCGTTGCAAGCTCCACGTTGCCACTGTTATGTCATGAGATAAGATCTGACTTGACGGGAAACATGTCTTGTTCTAGTGAGCAAGTCTATAGTAGACAACATCTATCCAATACTACCCACATATCAATCGGGCGACAGCACTTTCTTAGGCAGGCGAGTTGTTTGTCTTGATCAGGTGAGCTCTGAGCTTGTTATCGAGCCATCAATTAAACTTCTACTCAGTCAAGGAGGATTATCTTTGTTTTTTTAATCTAAATATTCTCAATTAAGCTTCAAATCTCTTTTCTTTTTCTGTTGATCTTCATATGCTCAACTACTGTACTGGGTGCATCCCTGACAGGGGGTTTAAAGAACCACTTCTAATCCTCAACTAGGGGTTAGCCGGGATCTGGACCCGTCGACCTGGCTGTGCTATGACAGCCAGTTCTTATCATCTGGTCTTCAAGATTGATCGATGTGTCTAAAAATGCCGCGTGGAGTATGGAAAAGTCAGGGCGTCCCTACTTTTGGAGGTAAATGATGTTCTCCGCGACTCTCAGAGACAGTGTTCAAATAGCTCAGTCGTATCCAGATGGAGTACATTTTCTTTCAAAACGTATTAACCGCTATCAGTGGGCTGTGAACAGTCGATGTTTCAGTTTGAACTGGAAGCCCGGAATAATCCGCCATGGGCAAATGGCCTGACGGAAGATATTTAACCATGCTATAAGGTAGGTCAGGCTAAAGTAACAATGCTAAGTTAACATAATGGGTTAAGAATATCAGAGCTTCCACTACAAAAACTAAGTATTCAAAATTTCAAAGAACAGATTCATAGCAACAACTTGTCCTACTTCAACTGTTGTGATACAGCCAAATGAGATAAGGTGAGTTAGCACGGCTACAATTCTGGCTATTTGAGATCCACCAGTCACATGGTAGCCACATGGTAGCCACGGAGGCCTGTTGACACGTTCAGGGGCTAGCTAGGCAAGGGATATAATCTAGGATAGGTGCTCCGCCATCAACTCGAAGAAGCTGTCATGTTAACCGTAAACATCAGATGTGCAACAAAGATAGAATCGAAAGTAATTAAGAGACTAAGTCCTTAATTCATAATGAGAAATGTGAAGTTATTGTGCATTCTTCAACTTGTACCTCGGTCAATTTCCTGCATTCACTTCCTTTACATGTTTATCTTTGGAATTTAAACACAACAGTGTCAAAATGACATCGTGTCTCAATATGTTTTTTTACGACAAGACCATGTAAAACTCGTTATTTTTAGTACGCGAAACCCATTTCCGATGTCGCTTGCACTATTAGCTAGCATATGGTTAAGGGGTGGTTCGGAAAACCATAACCATGTCCGATGCAGCTGTTGATGTCATTCTCTCTAACATTCAATTGACTTTTAGGTCATTTCTATCACGGGGATAACAACCCACTAACAGGTATCTTGCCTGATATGGGACTATAGGTCAATTGGTACTTAAAGAGTATAAGACAAGACTAGTCTTGTCGACAACATTGGACTATTGTGCCGGGATTGCTCCTGTTGATGAGCTGAGGCACTTGGGTTGACAACAATTTATCGCAGTTCAGAGGATCACATGTCAACAATAATATAAGTTTGATCACTATTCACTCAGGATACATCGTGAATGAATGTGGCGTTGTGAGACGCTTGACTGTTGGGATGATGAAGAAACGCGAGAATTCGAGCCCAAAAAGGGATAGCGCCTGGGTACGTCATAGCGATGTCTGGTGAAAGGAAGAAAAGTGACTGAATGCTTCATGTTTCCCAGTACCTTTTGGCGATGAACTAACCGGAAGCATTATAACCGTGGTAGCATCATGGGGTATAGTAGTGGACAGAAAAGACAGGTGTAATCAACACGACGTGATATTAAGAGAGTTGATGTTGGGATAGTATTGGCCAGGCTACAATGTGATGAGACAATAGTGGGAAAAATGTGACAAGACTACATGTCGTAGTCCAATGTCTTACCACAACGCTTCTTATAGGAGCCTTTGACTCTGAAGGTCTCAGAATGGCCGTCTTTTTGCATGCTATTGGTACTTTTGTTCTCCGTATATTAGTTGGAGGAACTTTGATAGCCAGATCTTTTCGTTTGTGAGGTAGGCCTCATGATGTGTATCGCACTGAGATACAAGACCCCTTCACTGGCTGCAGATTTCGTCCCATTTGGGTTAATGGCATGAATGTCATTTATGAGATCTGATCAACGCATACCTAATCATTTATTATCCCGATAATATTGCCCGCACGGGATCTACCCTAGCGACCGCGTGGCGTCAGAGGGATCCGTCACCAAAGCCCGAGCGTTGATCTGCAGTGCTGGCGCAAGGAGATGTTCAAAAAGGCTTAGACGCTTGTAATTCCCAAATGAGACGATGTAGTTGCTTGCTGGAGATGTCACGCCTCTCATAACAACGTTGTGCTTGCATCGATGAAAGCGATCATGCTGCGATTGAGTGTAATATGGAAAAGACAGTTTCAGCTTTTGAATGCCAACACGTCCGCCCCTACCAATACGTACACATCATTAACCCAGCTTGGTCCAGCTATCATTCTCCGTTCATGAACCCTATCTGGCATGACTACGTCCGTGGGTCCTTGGCATACATGAGCCCTACTTCCACTGATCTGCAGAAGTCAAGGATGTTTATGCCGATGGTGACCCATCCAAAGTTTATTTTGAGCTGGACAAGGGAGTGTCCCCATATCAGTCACTGACTCTTTCAGCAAAGCGGTGAAATGTACACGTCAAACGTATGTGGTGTGGCACAAACATAATGTTGATGAAATGTGTTGGTTGTTTCAAGAGTGTACTTCCCGCTCAACAATGTTTCTTCCTAAACCACCTGAATTAGACAAATAATGCCATATTTCTTAATAATAAAGATTATTTATCCAGGAAATTGAAAAAGATGGTATGAAATACACTACAACTCAGACTGACAGCCTATTTGCCAGCTCATCTTTAATAAAAACTTCCTTGCGCTCAATGAGAGTAATCAGACCGGAATGAATGCTCACATCCAATCCTGTATTCAAGAATCGCGCCATATCAATGATCCAGCCATTAAAATCCCTTATCTCCGTTTTTCTACCTGCTTCTATATCCTGGAGCATAGAACTCCGATGCTCACTTATCTTGCGTCCGAACACGAACAGGTTGGATTTGAGCATGGGCTGTGAGAATCTTTGTGCTATCTTGTGCCGAGTGTTCTTGAAGCTTTTGTAGAAATGCTGTTTGCTGGTGATGTGCGGCTGGCTTTCTCGCACGTAAGAGATGACCATGTCCAGACTTGAATCGTGATAGATGAGTTCCTGGATTACGGCGCTGGTCTGCCAGAGCAACTTATCAAGAACTCGGGCCAGAGGGTCGCGAGGATCGTACGACATGAAAAGAAATCCTGTCTTGCAGCGTAAGATCGCCGTAAGTGGATTGATCGCAGCGTTGATAACCAACTTCTCTAACTGTAGAAGCCAGAGCTCGCCCGAAGATACCCGATGGGTGTTCAAACAAGGAGATGTGACGATACATCTGATGAAAGGATCATCGATATGTCGCTTGAGTCGTTTTGAACAAAAGACAGTCCCAATGTATGCATCTGCTGGAGCTGCATGGACACTGAGAAACGGTCCCGCTGACGATACGCCATGTTTCACCACGCAAGCCGAGAAGGTCGGTTCATCGCCAAGACTGTACCGACTGGCAACATACAAAGGCCCATGAGGAGGCCAGAGCTTACACATCCCATTCTGAGCGAACACGACCGAACTCGACCTTCCGAGGTAGCGACGCATTCGATCAACTTCAGCCAAACCATCTTCAGCTTTTGTTGATACAAAGACGTTTCGCAACTTCTTTCCGTCTGCAACCTCTCTTATTGGACCATGGTTGGGTTGAGTTTCTGTCCACCATTCAACATCAAAGTCTTTGTTCTTCAAGACGGTGCCGTTGACTGGATCTATGATCCCTAGGCCCTCGCTCATCATCCAAGAAGAGAGGAGCTCTTTCCTATGCACCACTAGGGTGATTGGTAATTGGTTGGCATGCTGGGCCATGTAGCAAGCGTAGAGTCTTCCAATGTTACCTGGCCCAATGATGTATATGCGATTTCTTGGGCTCGGGGAATCATCTTGAAATCCAAGTTTTCGTTGGTCTTTCGGGATTTTATCGATTTGGCCACTGTCGAAGTCGAGGTTTGCAGGTGACCAGGCGTATAACTTTGGAGGAGGACTTGTATCAGCCAAAATACTAGCGAGCCAGTGTGGATATTCTTGGACGGCCATGGTTTTGCTAGCTTGGTTGTTCTCAAGGTTCAAATTGGAAAAGAATGAAAAGAGGAAAAAAAGAATTTACTATACGTGGGTTCCCAGAATCTACCAGAACTGATCATTGGATTAGAAAGATACGACCAGAGACATTCGCCCTCGGATTGGAAGAATGATGCCATGTTATTGATTGTTATTCGAAACAAGGTTCAGCAAGCTGTAAGGACGAAGGATGCGACGATCCTACTTCTTTCGGTTGGATCTCAAATCCCATGGCATGTACCACGGCGTAGGCCTGACTTTCGAAAACGATGATCGTCCGATATGTCTCGGAAGTGCTGCCTAGGCTACATATTCCGTGTGGTAGAACCTCCACTGTCAATCAGTAGTATTTCCCGGGGAGAATGGCTTCGATTCAGAGATCATTATGCTGGACCTATAACGTGATGTTATGGCTGGGTGTTTTTGCTGCACATCTTTCAAAGAGGAAATCCCAGGGATATCATGTACTAGGATGCAGGAATACAATCCTATTGGAGATGTTAAGCTTGCAAACTCTGGGCCGCATGAGTCTTCCTTCGGACGAACCCTACTGCCGTGTTCAACCATGCAGAACGGGACGGACGGGATGATATCTGCAAGGGTTAGCTACACCTTGGGGGACAGAAAACAACAGAGATGAAGATCCACTTTCACCGTAGTCAAGGGGATCTCGATGTAGCTTGTTTTCTGACTACCCCTAACAGTCTAACTAGATATCGCCTGGAACCCTTGACACCTGCCCATGTCAGAAACTAGGTTCTCATGATCCGCCAATAGTGTAGGCGCTTAGGAGCTTTGCCGTGTGGATAAATCCACTAATTTAACAACCATACATAGAGAGACTGCCTTGGATACAACAAAAATGCGCACGTCACAATTCAGAGAGTTCCAACATGTCTTATTATCCCAGTATAATTCATTAGCTTTCAGCTGAGAACTCAACACGTCGTAAATCTCTTGCCTATTTCCTGCAACGCAAAGCAATGTCTAAAAAACCATCCGGCTGCTTCATACTTGTCACTGAGACACAATGCAAATCTCTTACCGTTTACTACACCGTATAGCAATGTCTCGGCATTCAACTATATATATCCATGACGAGATTGTTATAATCTCTTTTCAGGTCTTGGAATCTGCTGATGTTTTCAATCATGAATTGCGGGGCTTTTTAGGAAGGTAGTTATGAGCTAATGCATAAAAAACTTTTGTAGGATGAGAAGGATTTTGCGATTCCTGATATTGCTCATGTTGGCCATGCTGAATTGTGGGTATTCCAGGATTGACGCAGAGGCCAAGGAGCTGAGGGAACTCCAACCTGGATCCAAGGGCCAGCAATGACATGATCGATGCATGGTGTAGGATTTACCGAAACAGGGTATCTAGGGATCAGGGTGTGTGAGGAAGTGGGAAAATTAGATTCCACTAGTACGCCATTGTAGAATCAAGGCCAAGATATGAACAACCCATAAGTAACGGCGATCCTGTCTCATGTATCCAAAAATAAGAGACACGGCATATTCACTGCTTTGCAGATCTTTCTTCAAATCTCTCCCTCGAGAAGCTACTGGGATGAATGAGTCTCTTGGCTCAGATTAGATATATTCACTGTATCTGCCGAATAGACTTTGCCTGGTAGCATTAACGTTCCTATATTCTATTATCAAATCCTTACATTCAATATGGAATATCTTACTGCTGTCGATGGTAGGCAAGACCTGCCACCTACACCAGCTTCGTTTTGTAGTCATGGAGATAGTCCCCTCAATAGCTCTTACGAGCAACTCTTCCATCTCTATGGTCTGGATTCGAGTCGCATCGAAGCTATCAAACCATGCACACCTTTCCAGCTTGACATGATCGACTGCAATGCTTTGGATAAGCAGTCTGCTATCGGCCATGCGGTGTATGATGTCCCAACCGACATTGACATCTCTCGTTTCGCGCTTGCGTGGAAGGAGATCGTCAACCAAACCCCAGCCTTGCGAGCCTTTGCCTTCACCTCGGACTCTGGAAAGACTTCTCAAGTCATCCTAAAAGATAGCTTTGTCTTCTCATGGATGTGCTGGTCTTCTTCGAGCTCCCCAGATGAAGTGGTTCGGGATGAAGCTGCCGCTGCTGCATCCGGGCCACGCTGCAACCGCTTCGTTCTACTTGAAGACATGCAGACGAAGAAATGTCAGCTGGTTTGGACCTTCAGTCATGCATTGGTAGACGTCACTTTCCAACAACGCGTCCTGAGCCGTGTTTTCGCGGCTTACAAGCATGAGAAGGACACACATCGGCCTGAGACACCCGAGTCATCTGATGCCACTGACACTGACTCTCAGTCAGTCTCCGTGGTGTCCATGAGCTGCGAGGACAATGCCGTATCGGCGACTCATTTCTGGCAAACTCACCTTAACGATCTCAATGCGTCCGTCTTCCCTCACCTGTCTGACCACCTGATGGTGCCCAACCCAACTACAACAGCAGAGCATCGTATCACATTCCCTCTTTCACAGAAAGCACTATCCAATTCTGCCATCTGCCGTACTGCACTCTCAATACTCCTCTCGCGCTACACTCACTCTGACGAGGCCTTGTTTGGTGCGGTAACTGAGCAATCTCTACCATTTGACAAACACTATCTTGCAGATGGTACGTACCAAACAGTTGCACCCCTTCGTGTACACTGCCAATCAAATCTTCGTGCATCAGATGTCATGGATGCAATCTCTTCTTACGATGATCGCCTTGGTCATCTCGCCCCATTTGGCCTTCGCGACATCCGCAACACTGGTGATAATGGCTCTGCCGCCTGCGATTTCCAAACTGTTTTACTCGTCACCGATGGCAGCCACGTAAACAATGGTATCAACGGTTTCCTCCAACAGATAACAGAGTCAAGCCATTTCATGCCTTGCAACAACCGTGCCCTCCTTCTGCACTGTCAGATGGAAAGTAGCGGAGCTCTGCTGGTTGCCTACTATGACCACAATGTTATCGATTCGCTTCAGACAACGCGTCTGCTACAGCAGTTTGGTCATCTGATCAAGTGTTTGCAAAGTCCTCTAGACCTGAGCTCTATGGCTGAGGTCAACTTGATGACTGAGTATGACAGAGCAGAGATTGAGAGTTGGAACTCGCAACCGTTAGAGGTACAGGATACCCTGATCCACCATGAGATGTTGAAAGCTGTTTCTCATTCCCCCACCAAAACGGCCATCCAAGCGTGGGATGGAGACTGGACCTATTCCGAGCTCGACAATGTTTCGTCAAGACTCGCTGTCCATATCAAGTCACTTGGCCTTAGAGCTCAGCAAGCCATTATTCCAGTCTACTTTGAGAAGTCGAAATGGGTCATTGCTTCAATGCTGGCTGTTCTCAAGTCTGGTAATGCTTTCACTCTAATTGATCCCAATGATCCACCAGCTCGAACTGCCCAGGTCGTCACGCAGACTCGGGCGACTGTAGCGCTTACTTCCAAGCTACACCGCGAGACTGTACAGAAGCTTGTAGGCCGTTGCGTTGTGGTTGATGACGAGCTTCTGCAATCAGTTTCTGCCAGCGACGATTTCTCAAGTCTGACCAAATCGCAAGACTTGGCCTACGTGATCTTCACTTCTGGTAGCACGGGCGACCCGAAAGGCATCATGATTGAACACCGAGCGTTCTCATCATGTGCACTCAAGTTCGGCGCGTCTCTTGGCATCAACTCTGATACTCGTGCCCTACAATTTGGAACCCATGCCTTTGGCGCATGTCTTCTCGAGATTATGACTACTCTCATCAACGGTGGCTGCGTTTGTATTCCCTCCGACGATGATCGTATGAACAGTATCCCGTCCTTCATCAACCGATACAACGTTAATTGGATGATGGCGACACCTTCGTACATGGGAACCTTTTCACCTGAAGACGTTCCTGGCCTTGCGACATTGGTACTTGTTGGGGAGCAGATGTCATCTTCAGTCAACGCAATCTGGGCCCCCAAGCTCCAACTCTTGAACGGGTACGGACAGAGTGAAAGTTCCTCAATTTGTTTTGCCTCCAATATGTCAACTGAGCCCAACAACATGGGCAGAGCAGTCGGAGCTCATTCATGGGTCATTGACCCGAACGATATAAACCGACTAGTTCCGATTGGAGCTGTGGGAGAACTGGTCATTGAGAGTCCAGGCATTGCCCGCGACTACATTGTTCCCCCCCCTCCGGAGAAGTCCCCATTCTTCACAGACATTCCAAGCTGGTATCCAGCGAACACGTTTCCTGATGGGGCAAAACTCTACAGGACAGGAGATCTTGCAAGATATGCCTCCGATGGGTCCATCGTTTGCCTTGGGCGCATAGACTCGCAGGTCAAGATCCGGGGACAGCGTGTTGAGCTGGGTGCCATTGAGACCCATCTCCGACAGCAGATGCCAGACGACTTGACTATTGTGGTAGAAGCTACCAAGCGATCCCAATCTGCCAACAGCACATCCTTAATTGCATTCCTAATAGGGTCTTCTTACTTCGGAAATAGACCCTCGGATGCCCACATTCTGGACCATGATGCTACCAAAGCTATCAACATAAAGCTGGAGCAGGTATTGCCTCGACACTCTATCCCCTCATTCTACATCTGCATGCTGGAGCTTCCACGTACTGCCACCGGGAAGATAGATAGGAGGCGACTACGAATCATGGGCAAAGACATCTTGGACAAGCAGACCCAAGGGGCCATTGTTCAACAAGCACCCGCTCCTATCCCTGTTTTCGCAGACACAGCAGCAAAGCTCCACAGTATCTGGGTACAGAGTTTGGGTATCGATCCAGCCACGGTCAATGTTGGGGCAACTTTCTTCGAACTCGGAGGAAACTCTATCACTGCTATCAAGATGGTGAACATGGCGAGGTCCGTTGGTATGGACCTCAAGGTCTCTAACATCTACCAGCACCCGACGCTTGCGGGAATTTCCGCGGTCGTCAAGGGTGATCCTCTGTCCTACACTCTCATCCCCAAGTCAACTCATGAGGGACCTGTTGAGCAGTCTTATTCACAAGGCCGACTATGGTTCCTGGATCAGTTGGACGTTGGCAGTCTGTGGTATCTGATTCCATATGCTGTGAGAATGCGCGGGCCTGTCAATGTCGACGCGTTACGTCGGGCTCTTGCAGCGCTTGAACAGCGACACGAGACTCTTAGAACGACATTTGAAGACCAGGATGGTGTCGGTGTACAAATTGTTCACGAGAAGCTTTCTGAGGAGATGAAGGTCATTGATCTCTGTGGTTCAGACCTTGACCCGTTTGAGGTGTTGAACCAAGAACAGACTACTCCCTTCAATCTCTCATCTGAAGCTGGCTGGAGAGCGACGCTCTTACGACTTGGTGAAGATGACCACATCCTCACTATTGTCATGCATCACATCATCTCAGATGGTTGGTCAATTGATGTCTTGCGACGCGATCTCAATCAGCTCTACTCAGCTGCGCTCAAGGACTCAAAAGACCCGCTGTCAGCACTCACTCCTCTACCTATCCAGTACAGCGACTTTGCAAAATGGCAGAAGGACCAATTCATAGAGCAGGAGAAGCAACTCAACTACTGGAAGAAGCAACTCAAAGACTCTTCCCCAGCAAAGATCCCGACCGACTTTGCCCGCCCTGCACTTCTGTCTGGAGACGCAGGTTGCGTACATGTTACCATCGACGGCGAGCTCTACCAGTCCCTTCGAGCCTTCTGCAACGAACACAACACGACCTCTTTCGTCGTTCTTCTAGCTGCGTTCCGTGCCGCTCATTATCGTCTCACAGCTGTTGAAGACGCTGTCATTGGTACACCAATTGCGAATCGCAACCGACCTGAACTGGAGGATATCATCGGCTGCTTTGTCAATACGCAGTGTATGCGAATCAACATAGATCATCACGATACCTTTGGGACTTTGATCAACCAAGTCAAGGCTACGACGACAGCAGCATTCGAGAACGAGGATATTCCGTTTGAGCGCGTTGTATCAGCACTACAGCCTGGATCCAGAGATCTGTCAAGCACACCTCTCGCACAACTCATTTTTGCAGTGCACTCACAGAAGGACCTTGGAAGATTCAAGTTCCAGGGTCTCGAGTCCGTACCTGTGCCTAGCAAAGCGTACACTCGATTTGACATGGAGTTCCATCTGTTTCAAGAAACCGACAGCCTTAAAGGTAGCGTCAACTTTGCCGATGAGCTGTTCAAAATGGAGACTGTTGAAAATGTCGTCAGAGTATTCTTTGAGATTCTGAGAAACGGGCTTCAAAGTTCGCGGACACCAGTCTCAATACTTCCTTTGACTGATGGCATTGTGACTCTTGAAAAATTGGATGTTCTCAACGTCAAACATGTCGACTATCCCCGAGAATCGAGCTTGGCTGATGTCTTCCAGACCCAAGTCTCTGCTTACCCCGATAGTCTGGCTGTGGTGGACTCCTCGTGCCGATTGACCTACACCGAGTTGGATCGCCAGTCTGATATTCTCGCTGGATGGCTTCGTCGACGGTCAATGCCTGCAGAGACGCTTGTCGCAGTATTTGCCCCACGGTCATGTGAGACAATTGTCGCGTTCTTTGGTGTGTTGAAGGCGAACTTGGCCTATCTTCCTCTCGATGTACGATCGCCCTCGGCGAGAGTTCAGGATATACTTTCTGGACTTTCTGGGCCTACCATTGTTTTGATTGGCCATGATACAGCGCCTCCCGATATCGAGGTTACTAACGTCGAGTTTGTTCGTATCCGGGATGCGCTGAATGACAGCAATGCAGATGGCTTTGAAGTCATCGAGCACGACAGCACAAAGCCCTCAGCCACGAGTCTCGCATACGTGCTGTATACCTCAGGATCCACTGGCCGACCAAAAGGCGTCATGATTGAGCACCGTGTCATTATTCGAACAGTCACAAGTGGCTGTATACCCAACTATCCTTCGGAAACGAGGATGGCTCACATGGCGACCATTGCGTTTGACGGCGCATCGTACGAGATCTACAGCGCCCTTTTGTTCGGAAGGACACTTGTTTGCGTTGACTACATGACAACCCTCGACGCTAGAGCACTCAAGGATGTGTTTTTCCGAGAGCATGTCAACGCGGCAGTCATGTCACCAGCTCTTCTCAAGATGTACCTCTCCGAGTCCCGAGAGGCTCTCGAGAACCTTGATGTTCTTCTTCTTGGTGGTGACAGATTCGACGGCCCAGATGCTCTCGATGCGCAGGGACTTATCAAGGGTCAGTGTTACAATGGTTACGGCCCAACAGAGAATGGAGTCATGAGTACAATCTATCCCATTGACTCGACTGAGTCGTTCATCAATGGAGTCCCAATTGGACGAGCTCTGAACAACTCAGGAGCGTATGTCGTGGATCCTGAGCAACAGCTTGTTGGCATTGGTGTGATGGGAGAGCTTGTTGTCACTGGCGATGGTCTTGCGCGGGGCTACAGTGACAAAGCCCTTGACGAGAACCGTTTTGTGCACATTACTGTCAATGACCAGACAGTGAAGGCGTATCGCACTGGCGATCGAGTGCGGTACAGGATTGGAGATGGCCTCATCGAGTTCTTCGGACGTATGGACACCCAGTTCAAGATTCGTGGCAATCGTATCGAATCAGCTGAGATTGAAGCGGCCCTTCTGCGCGACTCCTCCGTCCGAGATGCTGCTGTCGTCCTTCAGCAGAATGAGGATCAAGCGCCTGAGATCTTGGGGTTTGTTGTTGCTGATCATGATCATTCTGAGAATGACAAGGGACAATCTGCCAATCAAGTCGAAGGATGGCAAGACCATTTCGAGAGTGGCATGTATTCCGACATTGGCGAAATTGACCCGTCGACGATTGGTAGCGACTTCAAGGGTTGGACATCAATGTATGATGGAAGTCAAATCGACTTCGATGAGATGCACGAGTGGCTTGGTGAGACTACCCGGACACTCCATGACAATCGCTCTCTAGGCAATGTCCTTGAAATTGGAACAGGTAGCGGCATGATCCTCTTCAACCTTGACAGCAGGCTTGAGAGTTACGTTGGTCTTGAACCATCCAGATCAGCAGCTGCATTTGTCAACAAAGCTACCGAGTCTATACCATCGCTTGCTGGAAAAGCCAAGGTTCAGGTTGGAACAGCTACAGATATTGGTCAAGTCGATGACTTACACCCTGACCTCGTGGTTCTCAACTCAGTCATTCAGTATTTCCCGTCTTCGGAGTACCTTGCAGAAATCGCAGACACCTTGATTCATCTGCCTAACGTGCAGCGGATTTTCTTTGGCGATGTCCGATCGCAGGCCACCAACGAGCACTTCCTTGCTGCCAGGGCTATCCACACACTGGGGAAGAATGCAACGAAGGACGATGTTCGACAGAAAATGGCAGAATTGGAGGACATGGAGGAGGAGTTGCTTGTTGAACCTGCTTTCTTCACCTCGTTGAAAGACAGGTTTCCAGGTCTGGTGGAACATGTTGAGATCCTGCCAAAGAACATGGAAGCTGTGAATGAGCTCAGTGCGTATCGATATGCCGCTGTTGTGCACGTTCGGGGTTCACTTGGAGATGAGCTTGTGCTTCCGGTTGAGAAAGATGACTGGATCGACTTTCAAGCGAATCAATTGAACCAGAAGTCACTGGGTGACCTTCTCAAGTCTTCAGATGCTGCTATCATGGCAGTCAGCAAAATTCCTTTCGAAATCACGGCCTTTGAAAGACAGGTCGTCGCTTCCCTCAATAGCAACATCGATGAGTGGCAGCTATCAACCATTCGGTCCAGCGCCGAGGGCGACTCATCACTATCCGTTCCCGACATCTTTCGCATTGCTGGGGAAGCCGGGTTCCGTGTCGAGGTCAGTTCTGCACGACAGTGGTCTCAGAATGGTGCATTGGACGCTGTTTTCCATCATTGTTGCTCCCAAGGGCGTACTCTGGTCAACTTTCCTACGGACCATCACCTTCGAGGGTCTGATCTCCTCACCAATCGACCCCTTCAGCGACTGCAAAACCGTCGTATCGCCATCGAAGTCCGCGAGAGGCTTCGGTCCTTACTTCCATCGTACATGATCCCATCGAACATCGTTGTTCTGGACAAGATGCCTCTCAACGCCAATGGTAAAGTTGACCGGAAGGAACTCTCTCGCAGGGCAAAGGTTGTACCGAAGCAGCAGACAGCAGCGCCGTTACCGACATTTCCCATCAGTGAGGTCGAAGTCATTCTTTGCGAAGAAGCCACTGAGGTGTTTGGCATGAAGGTTGACATTACCGATCACTTCTTCAATCTCGGTGGACACTCTCTCTTGGCCACGAAGCTCATTTCTCGTATCGACCAACGACTCAAGGTCCGTATCACTGTCAAGGATGTCTTTGACCATCCTGTATTTGCGGATCTAGCATCTGTCATCCGTCAAGGGCTGGGTTTGCAACAACCCGTTTCTGATGGTCAGGGACAAGACAGATCTGCCCACATGGCACCCCGTACCGAGACTGAAGCTATACTCTGTGATGAGTTTGCAAAGGTTCTGGGGTTCCAAGTCGGGATTACAGACAATTTCTTTGATCTTGGTGGTCATTCACTCATGGCTACTAAACTCGCTGTGCGCATCGGACATCGACTTGACACGACTGTTTCGGTGAAGGATGTTTTCGATCATCCTGTACTCTTCCAACTTGCAATTGCATTGGATAACTTGGTTCAATCCAAGACCAATGAGATAGTTGGAGGTAGAGAAATGGCTGAATACTCACCTTTCCAACTCCTCTTTACAGAAGACCCAGAGGAGTTTATGGCGAGCGAGATCAAGCCACAACTTGAGTTACAGGAAATCATTCAAGACATATATCCGTCTACCCAGATGCAGAAGGCTTTCCTCTTCGATCACACAACTGCGCGCCCGAGACCTTTCGTGCCGTTCTACATCGACTTCCCCAGCACTTCCGAGCCTGATGCTGCAGGTCTAATCAAGGCTTGCGAGTCTCTGGTAAATCATCTTGACATCTTCAGAACAGTCTTTGCAGAGGCATCTGGAGAACTATACCAAGTGGTCTTGTCCTGTCTTGATCTGCCAATCCAAGTGATTGAGACAGAAGACAACATCAATACGGCGACAAATGAGTTTCTCGATGAGTTTGCGAAAGAGCCAGTTCGTCTGGGACATCCGTTGATTCGTTTTACAATCATCAAACAAACCAAGTCGATGCGTGTGATAATGAGAATATCGCATGCCCTGTATGATGGTCTGAGTCTAGAGCATGTCGTGCGCAAACTTCACATGCTCTACAACGGGAGATCACTTTTGCCACCACACCAATTCTCGCGGTACATGCAGTATACTGCTGACGGTCGCGAAAGTGGACATGGATTTTGGCGCGATGTGATTCAAAATACGCCCATGACAATATTGAGTGATGACACGGTTGTTGATGGAAATGATGCAACCTGCAAGGCGTTGCACCTATCAAAGATTGTCAATATTCCTTCACAGGTACTTCGAGGCAGCAGTAACATCATTACTCAAGCTACTGTGTTTAACGCAGCCTGCGCGTTAGTCTTGTCACGGGAATCTGACTCGAAAGACGTTGTCTTTGGACGCATCGTCTCTGGTCGTCAAGGCTTGCCTGTTGAATACCAGGACATTGTCGGGCCTTGTACCAACGCAGTTCCTGTTCGCGCTCATATAGAGTCGTCAGATTACAACCAATTGCTGCACGACATCCAAGACCAGTACCTTCTCAGCTTGCCACACGAAACAATTGGCTTCTCAGATCTCAAGCGCAACTGTACAGATTGGCCAGAAGCAATCACCAACTTCTCATGCTGCATCACATACCACAATTTCGAGTACCATCCCGAGAGTCAGTTCGAACAGCAGAGAGTTGAGATGGGTGTATTGACAAAGTTTGTCAACATTGAGATGGATGAGCCACTATATGATTTGGCGATTGCGGGTGAAGTTGAACCAGACGGAGCAGGACTGAAGGTTACTGTTATCGCGAAGACGCAGTTATTTGGTAGGAAGAGAGTAGAACATCTGTTGGAGGAAGTTTCCAAAACGTTTGAGGGTCTCAACTCTTCTTTGTAACGCACGGGTTGGTCTCAATCGTCGCGACAGAACAACCGATGTAGGTTTGTAATTCTTAATGACGTCTTTGACTTTTTGGTTTTTACCATTCGGAGCAAATAGTAAGCAGAACACTGGCAAATGTCAGATATTACACTTCAGAACTATTATCTTGACTATTATCTCACGTTGTCAGCTTTCACATGCTTGCTACGTTCGATCGAGTCAAAAATTGAGATCTACAGGGTAACGCAGGAATCCAGAACAATTGACAAGGATTCATCGATCGAACACTATGATTGGTTCGCGTCTCTGACAGGACCATTTGTCCAATAATAGAAGTATAGATAAGATATGCGAGGAATGCGACAAGGATTGGAACTATCCGAGTCAGCTTGATCTAGTCCCTAAACAGTAAATAGCTCGCGCTTCTTCGGATTCGCTTTGGTGTATGAATTATCATAGTTTGTTGTGCGAAGAAGAACGATGATGACAGCTTGTATTTTGGATATATAAGTTCATAAAGGTATGACTCTTGATATGATCAAATTAGAAACAATACCTTGACAATATTGTGTTCCAACATTACACAACACTTGAACGGGACACTCCTTCAACATCAACACAATGGATCTGTCCAACAAAGCTGCCTACCTTGTCAGTCCCAATGGGCCCACCATCGAAGTCAGATCTGCACCTGTTCCAACACCTGGTTCAGGAGAGTTGCTTATCAAGACACATGCTGTCGCCATCAATCCAGTCGACGGAGTGAAGCAGTCCATGGGTAACATGATGTTTGAATGGCTCAAGTATCCTCTCATCCTTGGCTACGATGTCGCTGGCGAGGTCATCAAGACGGGACCTGGTGTTAGTCGATTTAAAGAAGGCGATAGAGTTGTGGGTGCTACAGCAGGCATGGACAAGCGAGGAAGAAGTCCCGACGAAGGCGCATTTCAAGAAGTTTGCATCATGCGAGAGCATTTGGCTGCTCGAATTCCAGAGCGTGTTACGTCCACCGATGCCAGCGTTTTGCCTCTGACTTTCGTCACGGCTGCATGTGCCTTGTTCCAAAAGGATCAACTGGCACTACAACTACCTCAAACCAAGTCAAAGCGCAGTGCAACAAGTCAGACAGTCTTGGTTTGGGGAGCGAGTACAAGTGTTGGGAGAAATGCTGTACAGCTTGCTGTCGCGGCCGGCTATGATGTTGTCGCGACAGCATCACCTAAGAACTGGGATATCGTACGCGGTCTCGGCGCTTGTGCAGTTTTTGACTATCACAGCTCATCGGCCATAAACGATGTGGTATCTGCTTTCAAGGACAAGAAATGCGCAGGTGCTGTAGCTATTGGTCAAGGGTCACTGGCGAAATGCGTCGACATTGTCAAAAGCGTTCCGGGAGCCACCAAGAATGTTGCGCAAGTTACCCTCTCAATGCCTGAGTCACAGCCAACAACCAAGATATCCATGATTCCGTTTGTCGCAAAGTATTTCTGGATGGCGGGAACTGATCGACTCAAGGTTGCGAGCAGTGGAGTCCAAAGCAAGTTTGTTTTTGGTACAGACATAATTGAATGGGATGCTGAGGGAAAGATGGCCTCATTTTTGAGTGAAGCATTAGAGCTTGGAGAGTATGAGTTGAGTTCCGAAGCTCAAGTACTCGAGGGAGGTTTAGATAAGATTGCCCAAGGGCTGGATATGGTTCGTGGAGGAACCGGCGGTAAGAAAATAGTCGTGAAGATTTAAGTAGCCTTATCATATTAAATCACTGGAAATACTATTATACTCGTGTCTCTCATATGAACTTGTCATTGTCAAAAGGAGTGACATCTGGATCACTTAATTATTTATGTATCTATATATGCAGACGGGGAATAGTTATGCATGCTTCCTCGCCTAACAATATTAATCTTCGGGTTCACCGGATGTTAGTAAAGAGTAACGATTGAGCCTCGGAAGATTTAAAGACCCACTTCTTCAAAGAGGTAGTCCCTAGCCTTAGGGTATCAGAAAAATTGACCGCTGCAAGCATAAGAGACGGAATTAGCAGGTCAGTTTATGCTTCTTTGACTATAGGTTTTAAAATACTTATTTCTATACCCTAAGACTTGGGAGGCCAACGTTCCTGCTACCCACTAGCCTAGTTAAGACAACCGGCCTTTACCCAGGGTGCGCGAATTATTGTATAACGAACTATTGTATATACGAATATACTGACTAGTATTCTTCTGTGCATGTAAAGAAACTGCTTTATCTGACTCAGAGGGTAAATCGGCATTTGTTCAAGCGTAGCGTAACTTGGCATCGTGTAAGTCAAAGAAAGTGGGTTGTCAGACGCTAACAGGAAGAATATTGTGGTTCTCGGAAATCGGCAGGTCTGCCAAGTGCCAAGGTCGCTTGGGATTTTCAGGCACATGGACAAGCAGTGAAAGCCTCGAGACAAGAAAAGTACAAGTTCTGTCTTCATCTCCTGCGAGATGATGCAGCGCATGATGAGAAATAGCAAAGGAAATCAACTCGACGGGAGATAATAAGATCGATATACTACTCAAAGGCTCCGCCGAATCGTGATTGTCTGATAACCCTCGAGTTTCAAATGTAATGTGACGGAAGACCACTTTAGGGCAAGTCATTAAACGCGGCGCCACCCGTCGGATCACAACGGCGAACCACCCTTAGTGCGATCCTGTACTGGTCAATTGGCTTACTGGAAACTCATCTTCTCAATTCCCATCCTTCCAAATGCAGAATTTTCAAGCAGGGGAACTGATCCTACCCCTGACTAAGAAGATGAGGCTCCGTAATCGCGTGTTCTGAAGCTTGGTTCACTCCACAGAGACCCAAGGGAATTGATCCTTCGCGTGAGGCTATAGTGAGACTCCGCCACCGTCAACCTCGGAATCACTTCTAAAGTTATGCATTGCTCCGGAGGCATCATAATTAGGCCTAGTTTATTCGGTAAGATTGAATTGAAGAATGTCATCAACAGGCATTGGATTGAACGACTAGGCCGAGTTAGACAACAAGTGAAGAGACAGTTTAGGTAGTGGGATTGTACAAATAAGACTATGGTTGCACCTTAAGAACGAAATCAGCAGGCTGTCACTCCTTTTCAACCTAAGCAAAATGCAGGGTTTATTCCTCCAAGGCCTTTTGGCCTCACTAGCCTCTGCTAGTATCACCCATCAGAACCCAGCCGTGGATGGTCCTGATGTTTTGTCGCGATGGCTTGATATGCGATCACCCGAGAATGACACAACCAGCAACCTCACCAGCCGAAATTACGTGTCGGCATCACCTGCGCAGCTCTTTGGAAAGCGTGCTGATGAGCCTCCGGGTGAGGGTGCGCTGCTGTGCCCCAACGGCGAGTGTGCTGACAAGAGGTAAGTTCACCAAATTGCAATGCCATTATTGTGATACTGACCATTATCGCTTCTAGTTGCTGTTCGGCCAAAGGTGTCTGCGGCTATGGTAAAGGCTTCTGTGATGAAGGCTGCCAGAGCAACTGTGATGCCACGGCTATGTGCGGTGAGCTGTCTGAAGGAGGTGACATCCCATGTGGCCTCAATCTTTGTTGCAGTTCCGGTGGCTGGTGCGGTACTACAGAGGTTCACTGTGTTGGTCCCAATAAGTGGTCACTCTGCCAGCAAGGTTATGGTAGTTGCGAGATGATCAAACCCAAGACATGTGGCGAGGGTTCTGGTACTGCCGACAAGCGTATGATCGGCTACTACCAGGCCAACAATATGCGTAACCGCGCTTGCAACAAGATTTACCCCAAGGACATCAAGACCGATAGCTACACTCATCTCTATTGGGCCTTTGCCACCATCGACCCCAACTCTTACGCTGTCAAGCTTGCCGAGGCCGAGGATGAGGACAACGTCCGCGACTTCACTGCTCTCAAGGGTCAAGGTAGAAACCTTCAGACCTGGGTGGCTGTTGGTGGTTACGACTTCAGTGATGAAGATAAGCCAACCCACAAGACTTGGGCTGACCTTTGCGCCGATGCTGGAAAGCGAGCCGACTTTATTAAGTCAGCCGCTGCATTCATGGACAAGTACGGCTTCCAGGGTATTGACCTTGACTGGGAGTACCCTGGTGAGCCGAAACGTGGAGGTAGTCGTGCCGATATTGCCAACTTTGTCTCCTTGCTCAGGGACATGAAGAAAGCATGGGGTGACAAGTATGGCATCAGTTTGACTTTGGCGCCTGATTACTGGTACCTGCGATATTTCGATGTCGCAGGCCTGGCCCCATATGTGGACCATTTCGGATTCATGGCTTATGACCTGCACGGTTTCTGGGATGCTGACGTCAAGACCTTGGATCCCATCGTCCGAGGCCAGGCTGATATCCGCGAGATCATGAACAACACTATCCCACTGGCCTATGCTGGTGTCGACTTCAACAAGATCAACTTTGGTGTTGCGTGGTATGGTCGTGGATATACCTTGACCGATCCCAAGTGCCAGACCCTCGGTTGTCCCTTCTCCGGCCCCAGTAGCCCAGCTAAGTGCACAAACAGTGCGGGTGTTATGTCTCTATTGGAAATCCAAGACAAGGCAAAGAACGGAGGCAAGACCCGTCTTCTTAAAGATTCGGCCATGAAAGAGCTTGTCTACGAGGACCAGTGGGTTGGCTACGACGACGAGGAGACGATTGAGCTGAAACGAAAGTTTGCCAACAACCTTTGTTTTGGTGGTCTAATGGCCTGGAGCGTTGATTTTGAGCCTGGTACCGGACAGAACAGTGACATGGAGCCTGAAAAGTCCACAGACGGTTCGTGCGGACCTAAGCACAGGGGTACCATTTGTGAGGGCACCAGCTATGGCGACTGTTGCTCCGAGTACAGCTCTTGCGGATCCTCATCGTTGCACTGCGGCACAGGATGTGTCAGTGGCAAGTGTACCAAAAATGGAAAGTCAACCAATGGCCGATGCGGTGTCGGCTTCCTCGGAGCTACTTGCAAGGGAACTTCTTATGGCGACTGCTGTTCGCGCGAAGGCTGGTGTGGTAGTTCCGACGGCCACTGTGGCGATGGATGCCAAAGCGGTTGCGACAAGGACGATGACAGCGAAGACGAGGAGGAGGATAACGATGACAATCCTAAGATCCCTGCCTTGGCTCAAAAGGGTACGACGGCGGGATCTTCCGGTGATCAAGGTAGCGACTGGCCTCAAGAGCTGAAGGACGACATTTGCAAGTACAAATACGACTACGAGGATGAAGGCGAGGTGTTCAAGGCATGGTTCCAGAGTGGCGCACTCAACTGGTTCACAGCGTGGCTGAAGAAGAATGGTGCCAAGAACTGGACGGATAAGTTCTTCAAGGACGTTATTGCTGGTGGCAAGCAAGGCAGTTCTACCTTTGACTGCAAGGACCTCGGCTCGACAACGTGTACGGGCCCTGGTGCCACGCCTTGCGACACTTACACGCCGCCCATGGCCTTTTATGTTCACGTCCAGATCGCCAACATGTTCAGCGCATTCCACAAGCTATGGATGAAGAACATCAATTTCAGCATCAAGCAGTTGTCGAGCGGCATCAAGGAGATTGTCAAAGAGTATGGTGATCCTCCCAAGGATGATCGCAGCATGCTTCTCAACATGATGGTTGGTATCCTCACCTCGGGTGCCGGTCTCAGCGCTGGAAGTGCAGGTCTTGCGGGCGGTATCACTTTCTTTTCGGGTGCCGTCGCCTCCATCGCTGCAAATGGCGACCTTTTCGGCGACAAGGTGACGGTTGATGATCTCAATGACGACCTTGAGAACGCCTACGGTACTGCCTTTTCTGCCGTGCTCAATGCTACTACTGGCTACGTCGAGGACGTCATGTCTGGAAGGATTCCCGGCAACTGGGAGGTGGACGAGAATGAAGAAGACAAATACGCCGAGACCTTTGTTTTGACCCGTTTCATCAAAGGCGATTGGTTATCGGAACCTTTGATCAGCAAGGCCATGCAGACTTATGTTACTGCCACACACAAGAAATGGGTAAGTCTCTTGATGTATTTATTCCACTGAGCGTCATGTTGACTTATATTGCAGATGGAATTCGCCAAGACAAGATGTCTGTTGCCTGGCCACAAGGGCTATTACTATTCTTTGATGTGGAGCGGTGTATGTTCTCTCTTCTCTCATTCTGCTGGAACTCATCACTAACTTCATCTTCCACAACAGCCTAACAGTGACGTTGACTGTCAACTGGTACGTTTGAATAATAACACTATCTTCTTCACACTATTCTAACACTTTCCGGTAACAGTTGAGAACGAAATCCTCAGACCCAGTCGGCAAAACGCAAAAGTTGACAGAAGATGTCTGTCGCAACAAACTCCCCGGATGCATTTGGCATGATAACGTATGTTGAAACCTCTTAATTATACACTCGTACTGACATTTTCATCCTCACAGAACTGTGTTTGCTTCGGAAAGAGTACTCTCAGATACCCTAGTGCCAAACGACAGTATGACCCGCTGTCCCGAACTGATATCGAAGAGATGAAGAAGATTGTCGATGACTATGAGGCCGCCCTCATCAACAACTACGAGTGCGACAATGGCGAGCCTTCAATTCCCAGCGCGAAGGATTTCAACATCAAGAACCCCATTCAGTACCCCAAGTGCTTTATCCCCTTTCACAAGCTCACCAAAGACGAGGCATTTCACTGTGATATTCCGAAGGACCTCTGGTGAAAAGGTATCATATTTTGGAGTGATGGTTGCTTAAATCTTTGGGCGTTACTTACTGTCAACATTATTTGCTTTGCGGGCGGGAGGGGTTTAATTGTTATTGTATTTGTTGCCCCGAATCAATACCGAGACCTTTGGAAGTTGAAATTATGTGTAAATTAAGATACGAAGTTTTGTAAATATCGATATTATTTATGTATTTTCCCATTTGAACAGTTGGAAGTACGTTTGTTACTAGATACGGCAAATGTGGTCCTTACACAGCGTCTCTTTACTCACTAACCCAACTACTTTGAACAACAGTACGTACACGACTTGCTACATTTACAATAAAATATGCATCTATTCTGTTAAATGATGTTTCTTTCATCACAGTTGATGATCTCCAGTGACTGTCAGACAAGGTTTTGGCCTAGGACGGGTTTTTTTGGTTGCACGTGCAAGGTTTATACGAGTGGAAATTGCGATTGATAGCATGGTTTATTGATCTTAGCATACTTACTTCAACTAATCTAAATAGCTGCCTGCAGCCTTCAAGTCAGTTGACAGACCTCCAAATCTTACATCTTACATCATTTACAGTCTCCTTAGTCCTCATTGAGCAGAAGAGACTCGAGAACTGTGTTGAAACAATCCTCCGCCTCTCCAAGCTCAACCAGAGTCTCATTCAGGCGCACTGGGTCCAGCTTCAACACCCTTGTATGGATGTCTTCGAAAGCAAACTCGACTGATTCCAGCCGCTGTACCAGGTCGTCTCCCAACTTTCGATGCTCTGCATGCGATGATTGAGAAAAAAACATCTCCATTTCATTTGATACCTCAGATAGATCTTCATCCAAAGATTGCATGAAGTTTCTACTAGGAAGATTAAAAGGAAACAGTACCAATCCCATCTCGCACTGAACGCGATTGAGAACTGGGAAGTCGTGATACATGTGGTACACAATTTCACTCAGACGGTGTATCTTGGTGACAAACTTGCGCACGGAGCCCGGGTACTCGGTGCCGGAAGAAGCGTAGTTAGTCATTTTGAGAAGTGTGCAGGAGACGATGTTGGTGTTGTGTTTCGCTTGAAGTACCACTTGAGCTTTACTGTGAGTAAACAATGTGAGTGGAGTTGTGTTTACATTATTAAGTTTTGTAGTAATATAGTGGCCTTCTTATACCCGACATGAAAAGAAATGAATAGGAAGTATTTAGAGGCATGAACCTCATGTACACTGCACAGTATCGAGCATAGACCACGAACAATCGAGATGTGCGACAGGGCGAAAGGCAAAGAAAGTCCCCCTTCGAATCTTAGAGCGACTGAACAAAGGGTTGGCTAGAAAATTATGTTCAGAATGAGATTTGTTCCATTGTTCTGTAACTGTTCTGTCAATCTGGAATTCATGTCAGACAACAAAGGCATCGTTTACCTTGTTCATCTGTATGTTGCCACCCAAAGCTGACCTGAACAAGATGATGGATAGTTTGAGTAATGGAAATCTGGCTTCAAATCCTAGTGTCATAAGTCCTACCCGGTGCGTCGTGCTTCCGTAGTGGCCAGGATGCACTATGCGTAATCTATGAATGTGTGTCTTGGAGCAAACTGCAACCATAACCCTTCAACGGATAAACTGCCAATAGTCTTTATGTAAGATGGTGTTTAAAGATGTTCACGCTAAGAATTGTAACGTAAAGCGTTTAAGGGATAGGCGGTAAAGGCACCACAGGAAACCGCACGTTTATCATTACAGCCAGATAAGATGTATTAAACGAAACATATCTCTATAACTAGCGATAAGTCATAATGACAGCCTGAGTGTACAACAAAATACCGAGATTTTAATAGAACATGATCAAGTTAACGATCTTTGCCTTGACAAAATGTATAGGAACATCGTTGCTGGTAGGCAAACTCCATGGTTTGACGTCCAGGTCATTGTTTTGCCGCTGATCATACAACTGATGAATAATGTCCCATCCATGTTCATGCTTAGGATGGCCATCTCTATCGCAGAGATCCACTTGTCTACCACGACGAAAGATAAACCTGACGTGATCTATATTGCAAGTAGCTTCGGACCAATAAACTCTATCCTTGAGGCTCTTCAAAAATAGTGGCAAAGCTTGAGACCTTTCATCTGATTCAAGCATCACGCATAAGGCATCGGATTTTCCTTCAACATAATACTCTTCTGTGTAATCAATATAGGGCGCACTTGGGACATGACAGTAAGAACATTGCCGGCGTGACCGTCTCGTTTCTCTGTCAATCAACCAGATATTTGGCGCCGTGGGGTTGAAGCGATATCGATTCTGAACGGGACGGGAAAATAGTCCGCGAGGAGAGCTCTCTGCCATCAGGTCGACCTCATTGGGAAGATTGATGAGCCAAGTAGGATCGAATTCAAACGCGATATTCTTAACGATACGAAAATTGATCAGGCCGCCCAATTGAGAATCTGAGATTCCCATTTCCTGCACTTTAAAAAGGTCTTTGTCAACATTCCAGCTACGTGCTCTGATGCAGAAGATATCCCGAGACGGATCAACCAGGCAGTAGCCCCCCGAGCCGCCGTCGATCCCCTTGATTTTCATTTCCGTCCTAGCATGAGACCTCGCAGCATTGTTGTGTTGGATAATGGCGATTCGAGAATCTCTAGAGGCACCTCGTAGGCCGTGATTAATCAGGCAGGCGGACCCAAATGGATCATTGCCGAACCCAGGATGAAAGGCTAGAAGGAGAGGCCGCTGAGGGTGGGCTTCAATGTCAACGTAGTGTATGCGTTGTTGTTGAGGTTGTAAAGTAATACAGGCTTCCTCCCAAATCTGAAGCTGTAGTTCAGTAGGGAGAAGTGGGAATGAGTGAAATGATGCAGTGGCCATGGCGTTCGTTCTGTGCGATGTGAAGACCGTGGCTGAGTTGGTGAGTTGTTTATTCAGTGACAATACGGTGGTAATCTTGTCTGCGAACCAAGGGTGAAGAAGCAAGTGAACTATTGACTTTTATATAAGAACAAAAAAGTTTACTAAAAGTTTATTGTTGTAGCAGAAGCCTTGTCGAGTATATATGATATTTGAAAGACAAAAAAAGACTTAATTGCTAAGAAGCTTAATTATGAAAGCTAAAGTGCTGTCCGCTTCGCTGTATAGGAAACATTAATCTTCTGCTGTACCCTGTGTAGCCAAAGTTGAACACATGACAAGTTGTAAAAAAAGTAATTGCAGAACTTTTACCTTGTTATAGGGATGAACTTCGTTAATACAACTAACCATCCATGCATTGACCCTTGTTTTGATATTTCATGCCAGGAAAGTTTCCTCAGTGGCAATGAGGTATATTTGGACAAGCGCTGAGCACTTGTTTATTTTTCATCGTAGTATGTCTTAACACACATCTTTTGATGGTATAGAAGTAAAGTCAACTGAGCTAATAATCGAGTCGATGCCTCAATACGACAGTAGAACAGACCAACCATATTTGAAGTTTAGTTTATTGTGAAATAAGTTATAACCTTCTTGCCAAACTGCTCTTCTGTATGTCTCTTACAATACCCGTCACAGAAGTCAGTCTGAATTATGTTTCTCCCCCTCTTCGATGCAAATTTTACTTCTCTCACGGTGTTGGCCACTTGAACCTGATGTGCTGTCCGGCCATGTACAACGTGTTTAAGATATCATTGAAACAGGTTGTAGGACTTCACAAGCACTGGAGGGGACAATGGCACATTCAGTCTGACTCGCCTGGCTGAGGAATCCTACGTTGCGTCAGATTGCGGCCAGCCTGTATCGGAATCTAAGGAACGCGGTCGGACTTTGCAGCAATTATCCATCACTGGGGCTATGGATGGAAATAGTCTGCCCAGCGAAATTAAGAGGCGTCAATCACAGTAGTGGATTCTAAACAAGCAAAGCCAAACGGGATATGCTAACTCCATATCCGGAGAACCGGAAAACACGGGGGCCGGTCCGCTTTTTTACAGAGACGCCACAAAGCTGTGATGGCCCAAGCTAAAGTTGGACACTCGTATAGCTCTGCCCTTGAAAATACATTCATCTGGATTTTGTACCACATTTCCGGCCGGTGCGTCACATTGATCGGACTGCGGCTCGTATTAAGATGCGATTGTCCGTAGGTAGCCCATGCGCTTGAGAATTCGAGGAAATAGTCTTGGCGAATTCTCCAGAATGGAGGGCCTTTCTGTGTTCATCGGCCGTGCCTCTCGGACTAGGACATATTGAGCACGTTCCGGAATGCCGTGTATATTCTTCTGCTACATAGACTTTAAACCACATTAGTAAGAACTAATTTGTAGCCAACTCGCCCCCTGTCTCAAGGTTGAGCGTCACAATGATAATCCCTTTAAGTAAAGTACAAGGTTCCATTCCTGCATTCCATACATCTTCTTCACTATCATTAATAATCCTCTTTCTCCAGCTTTATCTTGATCATAACTGTCCTTACCACTCCTTGCGTTGTCACGCACACAGTGTTGAAGCATCCTGCCAACATGGCTATCTCAGAGAAGCCACAGACGCCGATTTCGTCTGCGCTGCCAGATCCCAAACAAGATACCGATGAGGATGCTGGAGCAGGAAACGGCTATCTGGTATGTGTAACTGGAGTGTTCTCAACCACCTCTAGTTGACGGTCAACAACTATATGCTGACGCATTTTTCACTACAGAGGATTTTCAAATATGCAACCTCAACCGAACTTTCACTACAAGCTGGGGCTTCTGTTCTAGCTCTTGGCTCTGGGGTCGCCATGGCTATGGTTAACCTGATATTCGGCCAGTTTGTTACTGTCATCACCGATTATGCGACAGGCAAAAAGTCTCCCTCGCAGCTCCGTGGCGACGCAGCGAGACTGGCGTGAGTAAGATTGATACGGCTTTGAAATTGCGCTGACACTAAGATAGGTTGTACTTCTTTGTCATTGGGATCGCCCGATTCATTGCCAGTTACGGTTTCAGTGTTCTCTTTACGCTCGCCGCCTATCGCATCACCCATAACATCCGTTACATTTACGTCAAGGCTGGTCTCAGTCAAGAAATAGCCTACTTCGACTCTGGGGTTGGCGGGTCTATTGCAATGCAAGCTACGTCTAACGGTAAACTCATTCAGGCTGGCATTTCGGAGAAGCTGGGTCTTGTCATCCAAGGACTGTCTTGCTTTATTGCCGCTTTCATCTTGGCCTTTGTCACTCAGTGGAAGTTGACCTTGATCTGTTGTTGCATTGCCCCAGCTACTCTTCTCACCATGGGCGTCAGCTCTGCCTTAGAAGCACACATCGAGACGAAGATCCTCCAAGTCCATGCTCAGGGTGGCTCCTTTGTTGAGAGTATCCTGTCGAGCGCTCGCAATGTGCAGGCTTTTGCTCTTCGAAAACGGCTTGTCCGAGATTTTGACAAGTATTTGACCGACGCCCATGAGCTTGGAAACAAGAAGAACATGCTTCTCGGCTGCATGTTTTCTGTCGAGTACTTCATTATATTCGCTGGTATGGGTCTGTGTTTCTGGCAATCCATCAAGATGATTGCTAGAGGAGAGGTAGAAGACCCTGGCGACGTCTTTATCGTCCTCATGTCAGTTATCGTTGCCTCTGCAAGCCTAACATCAATCGCTCCCTACTTGATCGATTTCAGCCGAGCTGCTTCCGCCGCTGCCGAGCTATTCCGACTAATCGACCGGGTATCAGCCATTGATCCGTTTTCCTCTCAAGGAGAAGAGCCTACCGATATTCAGGGTACTATTGAGTGCGAAAACATTACCTTCAGCTATCCTATGCGTCCTGGGGCCAAGGTCCTTGAGAACTTCTCTCTGCATATCCCTGCCGGCAAGGTGACAGCTCTTGTTGGGGCCAGCGGTTCTGGCAAGAGCACTATTATTGGTCTTATCGAGCGATGGTACAATCCAAATTCGGGCTGTGTCAGGCTAGATGGAAAGCCAATCGAAAAACTCAATGTCCAATGGCTCAGGAAGCATGTTCGCCTTGTTCAACAGGAGCCCGTCCTTTTTTCTGGCACAGTCTACGATAATATCAACAATGGTCTTGTCGGTACGTCGTGGGAAAATTGCACACGGGGGGAGAAGATGGCCAAAGTCGAAGAAGCAGCCAAGATTGCTTTTGCCCATGACTTTATCAGCGCTCTCCCGAACGGTTACGATACAGTCATTGGTGAACGTGGCGGTCTGCTATCTGGAGGTCAGAAGCAACGAGTAGCTATCGCTCAAAGCGTTATTTCACAGCCAAAACTTTTGCTTCTTGACGAAGCCACTAGCGCTTTAGACCCCCAGGCCGAACACATTGTGCAGCAAGCTCTTGACAACGTATCCAAGGGCCGCACTACTATCACAATCGCACATAAGTTGGCAACTATACGCAATGCGGATAATATCGTCGTCATGGAAAAGGGTCGCATCATTGAGCAGGGGACACATCATTCCTTACTAGAGGCCGGCGGCGCTTATTGCAGTCTGGTCAAGGCCCAGGACCTCACAGCAGCGGCAACTCCAGAGGTCGACAGCGATTCCATCACTGAGGCTGGTCAAGATGACACTAGCCATGAGTTGAGTGGGCTTGCAAGGCCTTTGACACGATATTCGACCACGACCAAACGACAACTCGAGTCCGATCTCGACCGTGATGATTACGACAAGTTCAAGCGAGTTGGGCCCCTGACGACTATCTGGAGACTCGTAAGATCAAGCCCAGAGCTCAAGTGGACATACCTATGGCTGGTATTGTCCTGCATATTTGCATGTAAGATAGATCGCTACTTTCGTAGTAACGTCGCTAATTGATCGATAGTTGCCGCTTACCCTGGTCAAGCCATATTGATGTCACGTTTCATCGATGTCTTCAAACTCACCGGAAATGCAATGGAGAAGAAGGGCAGTTTCTTTGCTCTTATGCTTTTTGCCATGGCTTGTGGCTGTCTTGTTATCTATTTCGTTCTGGGATGGATGTCCAATGTCGTTGCTCAGGTAAGAGACTCCCATGAACAGATCTGGTTTGATACAACCGCTAAGATTCCGTCAGACAATGAACCACAAGTACCGAAAAGCAGTTCTCAATGATATCCTCCGACAAGACATTCGTTTCTACGACCGTCCTGAGAACACCACTGGTTCACTGTCAAGCCGGGTAGATTCATACCCTCAGGCGATATTTGAGCTTATGGGTTTTAATATTGCGCTAATGTTGGTATCAACGCTCAGTGTGCTGGCATGCTGCATTGTGGCCTTGGCCTACGGGTGGAGATTGGGAGTTGTCATCATATTTGCCGGTCTTCCACCCATGTTGCTATCAGGTTATTCTCGCCTCAAGATGGAGGCTATGATGGATGTCAAAATCTCTAAACGGTTCTCGCAAAGCGCTTCTATTGCATCGGAGGCCATCAATTCCATCCGAACAGTCTCCTCCTTAGCTATCGAGAATTCGGTGCTTTATGACTACGACAAGGAACTTCAGCACGCTATCACTGACTCAGTCAAGCCAATATGTCTGATCATGCTTCCATTTGCTTTTACTCAAAGCGTTGAGTATGCTTTCCAAGCACTGGGATTCTGGTATGGATGCCGACTAGTCTCCAATGGGGACCTTTCCATAATGAATTTCTTTATTGCATTTCTTGGGGTGTTCCTCTCGGGCCAACAAGCATCCATACTCTTTGGATTTGCTGGTAGTATGACGAAAGCAACCAATGCTGCCAACTACATCTTCTGGCTTGAGCAGCTGAACCCAGCTATCCGGGAGACAGACGAGAACCGAATCATCGTTCCGGAAGGTTTCAAGTCTCTCAACGTCGAGGATGTACACTTTTCATATCCTCTGCGATCAGACACCCAGGTCTTGAGAGGACTCAATCTCGAGATCAGTAAGGGTCAGTTCGTGGCCTTTGTCGGTGCCTCAGGTTGCGGTAAGAGTACCATGATTGCCATGCTGGAGCGCTTCTATGACCCCGTACGTGGTCACATTGTCCTTGATGGTAAGAACCTAGACGATATGAACCCTTGGGCATTTCGGGAAGAAGTTGCCCTCGTCCAGCAAGAGCCAAGGCTGTATCCCGGTACCATTCGTGAGAATATCGCTATGGGTGTTCCCACCGATGACCCCTCTAATGTGCCAGATGCAGACATCGTCAAGGCTTGCCACTCTGCTAACGCTTGGGATTTCATCTGTTCCCTGCCTGAAGGCCTGAACACTCCCTGTGGGTCCAACGGTCTCCAACTGTCAGGCGGCCAGCGTCAACGCATCGCTATTGCCAGAGCTCTTATTCGAAACCCTAAGTTGCTACTGCTTGACGAGGCTACTAGTGCTTTAGACACGCAATCAGAACGAGTAGTCCAAGATGCGCTCAACGAAGCTGCCAAAACCGGTGATAGGATCACTATTGCGGTTGCCCAGCGACTCTCGACTGTTCGTCATGCTGATATGATTTGCGTCTTTCACAATGGCAAGATCTTAGTGACAGGAACTTACGACGAGCTACTGGCCAAGAGCGATATGTACCAGAAGATGTGTGAGGCTCAGAATCTTGGGAACTAGATATTGAGGCTGTCTACACTGTATTTTTTACCTGTTCTATTCATTAAACCTTTTCTTTCTTTAGATCGTTTGGTTCGCAAACCACGACTCACCAGGTCAAAGAATGCAACCATTTTAGTTTAGTTAGCTTCCCGTACACAATTGATACTTGCGACCTATGGTTGTCTCCATAGATCGAATCTGGTAATGGACATGATTGACCAACTCTCAATAGAATTCCTTTTTTGACTCAAAATCATGAATCGCCATCGTATGGTCCCCGACAGCCCTCGGGGTAGTTGTCTGGCATGCCGCGTCCTAGACATAACGCGCTGATTCTAGTGAGCTTCATCATTCATGTGAAACCCTTATCCTTCAGGCTGTCTCCTGTAAATGGAATGCAGCTTGGCATAACGTCGCGTATTCGGGTTGAGTCAAATATCCTCAGTGTGAAGGTAGTGTAAAGACATCAGTCTCGCCGATCGTTTCCCTTTTTTTTCCGTATTCATAGTTTGACACACTAAATCCGTTGGAAGGGGATCAGAGTCAACATAAGAGCCGTCTGACTTGCGGAGCCAGGTGTCCTCGCAGCATGGTTGTAGTACCTAGTCTATACAAAGCGACCAACACAAATGCTGCAGTAGCTACGGACCTCAAGAGGCTCGTTGACTGCTTAACGGCGTTACCGAAGCACCAATTTACACCAGAGACATTCTTGTATCTCATTTTCCACTGGATACGTTATGGGCGAACTAATCAATTTCATCAGAACCCTGCCAAATCTACAAATAGTCGGCCCTCGACTAATCAGTCAGTTCGACCCACATACGTTGATGATCCATCGGCTTGACACGGCTACAGCACGTCTGCGGATTCCGCACACGCCATAACTCCGTAAGGTGCTGACTAGACCTGATTGACCGATCAAGTACAGGGCGGCTATGTGGGGAATTCACTGTACTCCGTTTCTACCATCCGTGGTAGTCATAGGCTGATCTTGTTACTAGACGGCCTTTTTAGACATTTTGGTACACGCAAGGTGACATAGAGAGCGCTGAGCCCAGCCTCGATATGAGATCATAACACTGCGCGACGCACCGTTGCCGGAAATCAAGGAGTCCGTGGAAAAGGTCTACTTCGGGCCGGTGTTTGGCGAAAGAGCGCCGCGATGGCTCGTCTATCAGATATCTCGCTTGTAGGATTTACCAAAAGCCAACACATCAGCAATTCGGTTTCCTCCCATCCCACATGCTTGCACAATCACTTCATTTTAAATATCCCAGGGCAATTCAATCCGAACATCCAAACAACACCCCCATCAATATTAGCAAATGGCACTGCACGCAGTGGACAATACTACGACTTGGACGGGTTCTGCGGTGTGGACCAAGAGAGATTCCTTCAATAAGCTGGGAAACCATGGATCAGTTTATCTTGTCTTTGTACTCTTGATATCGGCTTGTGTCGTCTTTCGTGGCTACACTAAGCCAGTGGACAAATGGCCCGTACTCAACCCGACTGGATTCGAGATCATGGGATTCAGACGGCGAGTTGAGTTCGCTGATATTGCTGGCAAACTGCTCGAGAAAGGCCGACAAATGTTTCCCGAACAGCCTTACCATATGATCACAGACACCTGCAATCTTCTCATTCTACCGCCCAAGTTTGTTGAAGGAATTCGGAACAATCCCGACCTGAATTTCTCTGAGAGTATCACGGAAGAGTTTCATGCCTACCTCCCCGGTTTTGAGACATTCGCCGCTGGCCGCGAGGATGACCTCTCCAAGATTGTGGTGAAAAAGCAATTAACAAAGATGCTAAGTACAAAACAATCCACGACCCATTACTCCACGAATCATCACTAACAGAGTAATCATTAGACCAGATTACGGAACCTCTATCTGTCGAGACCGACTTCGCTCTCAGAAACCGCTTTGGAACCTCCACAGGTGAGAATATGTGTCCGAAATGCTATATTCATGATACTGATGCTATTGAAGATTGGATGGAATTTGATCTTTATGATGGTATTCTTGATATCGTGGCGAGAATCTCTTCCCGAGTTTTTCTTGGACCTGAACTTTGTCGTAACCAGGAATGGCTTGACATCACGAAGAACTATACCGTCGATAGTTTCATCGCCGCATTCATTCTGCGACTTTTCCCAAAGCCGCTTCGATGGATTATCCACTGGGTTCTACCCCAGTGTAGACGAATTCGAGGCCAAATTGCGGATTCAAAGAAACTCATCGAGCCCGTATACAGGAGTCGTAGAGAGCTTCGCCAGCGCATGAGAGAGGAGGGAGGACACGTCCCAAATTTTAACGATGCTATCGATTGGTTCGACCAGGAAGCGAAAGGGGAGCCCTACAAAGAGGCTTACTGTCAGCTCGGACTGTCTATGGCTGCTATCCATACCACGACGGACCTACTGACTGAGACGATGGTGCAAATCATGGTACACCCAGAGTTGTTTGTTGCCCTCCGCGACGAGATCAGCAAAGTGCTGGGTGTGGAAGGCTGGAAGAAGACTTCGCTGTACAATCTCAAACTGCTTGACAGTGTCATGAAGGAATCTCAGAGGCTAAGGCCTGGGGGTATGGGTAAGCTTCATAACACCCTCCCACTGGTCCTGATATTGTTTGACATGCCGCTAATTCATCATCTACAGTTTCTATGCAACGCATCGCCCTTCGAGACACCAGGCTACCCGATGGCTCTTTCTTACCCAAGGGCCAGCGTTGTGCTGTCGATCTCAATGGCCCTGGTGGCATGGTGTCTAGTGAACACTACGACAACCCACAGAGTTTCGACCCATATCGGTTCGCCCGCATGCGAGGTCAACCTGGCCTTGACTCCAAATCGCATCTCGTAAGCACAGGCCCTTCTCACCTGGGTTTTGGTCACGGTCAACACTCTTGCCCGGGTCGCTTTTTCGCATCCAACGAAGTCAAGGTCGCGCTTTGCCATCTACTGATGAACTACAACTGGAAGTTGCCAGAGGGCGTTGTGCCCGATACTATGAAGAGTGGATTTAGTATGGGAACTGACCCCAAGCTCAAGATACTCTTTCAGCGACGCAGTAAACCTGAGATTGACTTACTTAATCTTTAGAGTATATATGTGGGTATCGTAGGTAGTGTTAAACTCTTTAGGTGGAATTGATCTGCATATGCTTGTGTTCTGTCCAAACTGTTATTTCGCGTGACAACTTCCTCCTTTTGTTTCTAGTCCCGCCTTTGGCACAGAGGAGGCCATGTTTTTTATTTCCATTACATCGTCAAACCACAAATGGAGGATGGAGGATAGTGTAATGACTTATGGCTCCCGTACCCTACGCCTGGAAGCTAGCCTCAGGGTATCAGAAAAATTGACCGCTAGAAGCATAAGAGACGAAATTAGTAGGCCACTTTATGCCCCTTACTTAGGCTATAGTTATCAGACTACTTATTTTCATACCCTAAGAGTTAGGAGGCAATTTTTTCTGTTACCCAATAGGCTAGTTGTAGTCAGGTACTTGATTGCATTTATCGAGCATAACGATAACCCATGTCCATAATGTACTCATGTGGCAATTACAGACACTAACGGAAATGTGGGCGTCTAGGATCCCTGGTCTGTCTTGGCATAAGCCACAGCATAGTAGTACCTCATTTTGGTAGTAGGCTCCGTTAAAAACTATATCAGTTTGCCGTTAGTGCTTCCGCCGTTCTTGGCTTGCCGCCCTGAAACTCCGCGGAATCCGGCCTTTGGCAGACTTATTGTCCTTCAGCTCAGGCCACATGGTCCATGAGAATAGGAATCGGGTTTCTTGTTAATAATGGACAGCGGCGAATTAGTCCTAAATAAAGCAAACCGACATGTATTGGCCCAGTCAACGAATGCGTTTATTGTTGTCTTCTTCTCGTGAACGCTTCACCGACACATCCCAGGTTGATATTAATCATTGACCGCATTACTGCAACCATTGGAAACGTCCACCCTTTCTCAGCTTCCACCTCACGATCTCCCAATAATGCTTTCCCCCTTTCGCTAATCAATGCGTCTCCATCTACAGAAGCAATTGATCAAGTTATACCTTCGCCACAAGACTCTTCGCGCATAGGGGACTGCCAAGCCAGTGAAACGTCTTCTGAATCTTGCCTTGAAGATGATGACCACGTGGTATGTCAAGCGCTTTTTGTTACTGGTCATGTGCAGTTAAATGTCGAGAACAACCTCCTCAGGGTTCCTGAAGAAGTTAAATCAAGCCTGGATGCCCTAAAAAGGATCGTGGGAAGACATGATGAGCAGACTGCCAGCTCCAAGCCTGCCTTCTCACAAATCGGCGTTAGTAAGGACGACTTGAAGCTGCCGCCTGTATGGTTGACAATGCTGGCTATCCAGAAGGTGAAAGGTAAGTAAGGAACAGACAAACAGACACGCCAGGTCATTAAAATGTCTACAGATACTCCTGCCTTGGATATTTCATGCCTGCTCGCCTTCAGTGATGTCAGCCATTTCATTGACTATCTGTTGGATGGATATTCTGAAAAGGCTTCCCTGATAGATTTGGTCATCCTAAATTGCGGACTTTATGAAATCTTCATTCACTACGAACATATTGAAACAGACTCGGCATTGAAAGAGGAGCTTCTCGCTGCCATTCCAATGTGTCGTCATAATCTTGGAAAACTACTAGCAAATCTTCCCCTTAACCTACCCTGCAATATCCATACCATCAGAGCTCTGCTGATGACGGTAAGAGGGATCAACAAGCTCAATAAATCCCTGGCGCTGACTGTCTTAAGGTCTATTATCATTTGGGCGAGTGCGAAATCTCTCTCGCCTGGAGCCATATTGCAGCTGCCGCTCAACTGTGCTTCAAACTTGGCCTTCATACTGATGCACATTTAGGACATCGGCTAGAAGACACTCGCTCATCTAGGGCAATGCTGTTCTGGTTGATTTACATGATCGACAAGGTTGTATCCCTGCGACTCAATAGGCCGTTTTGCATTGACGACAGAAATGTGTCAATAGGATTGGATTGCATTGAGGGGCTTCCAGGGAAACGGCTTTGTGTTGTCGTGCCAAAGTGGATCAAGATTTCAATGATCTATGGTAAAGTATATCTTGATTTGCACTCGGCAAAGGCTTTAATTGATACACAAGATGCACGAGAAGCGCGGGCTCGAAGTCTGGCAGATGAACTAGAAGCCGTGTTCTACTCAAGGGATCCAGTGGAAGTAAGTCGATAAGGTACTCCATGGGGACACAGAGACACTGTACCGGAAAAAGGGTGACATGGAGCTTGGATGGATGCTAACTCGTACTAGGATCAACTTTTCGAGAGTATGGGCCAGAAGCTGGGAACCGCCGCAGTGGATATTCAGCGAAGTGTCGACATGGTCTCCCATCTGTCGTGTCTCACTTTAATATACCGCACTATCCAGCCTACACAAGCCCCCGGTTCAGCCTTCTCAGAAGAATGCCTAACGACGGCCAGAGAGTGCCTCAAAAAGCAACGTATTTGCTTGGCCAAGCTTGGCAGTGCTTCGCCCTTCTCTCTTGACGTATATATTGAATGGTAATTATTTACGTTTCACAGTTTGCGAGTTACTCTGACAATACTTTAGGGCCGTCATGGGATGGCCATTCGTACCTTTCGTGGTTGTATTCTGCAATACAATCGAGAATCTTGACTCAAGTGGACTAGCTGAACTTTGGAGTGTCATAGAGCCTTTGAAGCTCATCGAAAGTATTTTGCCAACGTCTTATAAGAAGCAGTTGCGACTGTTGGTAGTTATGTACGACGTCGCGAGCAAATATCTCAGCTCTCAGTCTGATGCTCTGTCAGCAGCATATATGGAGCCTTCGTTTGAAACTCCTTTTAATCTTCTGTTCCCACAAGTCGGCATGCCTGTACCAGGTTGTGAGACGCAGATGCAGCAGGATTTCAACGTAAGCCCAGATGACAGGACGGCGGGGCAGAAGGCAAGTTTGATACGCTCGGCGGCAAACCAAATGAATTATCATGGATTACAGGAAATTGACTACGGCAGCCAGTTAGGGTATTGGTTGGAGTGTGATCAGAAGCTGCTTCAAGCTCTTGAACATAGGTTTTAATGATGTATGTTGAAACCCCATTAGAATAACAATTTGCAGTTCTTATATCCAAAGTTCTAAAATGGCCCGGAATGAGAATCGTCGAACATCTCCGAGTTATGCGCATTTCCCCCCAGCCAAGACTCCAAATCGTGAATATTGTATGACAAAAACGGCGGATAGACACTTTCTTGTTCCTGCGCGAACGCTCCACTACTGCCATCAGCATGTCCAGACTGTAAGCCGAGGCCGAGGTCCCACCCATATGGATTGACTTGGCCTGAGAATGGGAGGCTCAAGCTCGCCAGCTGACCAAGGGTCGGGTGGGTTGCTTCTTGCGAAACTGGGGAGCATTCAGCGTAGCGTAATGCAACTTCATAAAGTGCTTTGAACAGGGGATGCATCCTTCCTGCAGCCTCCACAAGGACTGGATTCGATTCCATCGACGTTATGTAGTCCTGTAACCGCTTAAGATCTTGTTTATTACGGGACTCGATGACATGACAAGCCATAACAATGAAAGGAATAAAGGGGGAATAGTTAAGTGTCCTGGAAACAATTGTGAGGTTAAAATTTCAAAGTTATTTGTCAATTATTTGCAATAATTGACAGTGATCTTACATACCAGTGAACGTAAGTTGACAAATATTGTGGCTTTATATCCCTGAAAGTCGCGAGGAAATCATGGTGTCGTTGCATCGCCATCCTGGCTGCTTCAACACATAAGGGAGACAATGCGGATGGAGGATCCGCAGATGAGCAGCTGGCCCGATAAACAAGAGTGAGAAGCGAGGCACGCGACACGTCGTCAGAAAGTGTAAGGTATTCGACCATTCTTTGGCCGTACTTGTCTCTGGCATGCTGTAAATGCTGGTCCTAAAGCTGGGTGTTAGATTTGTAAACTTCTCCTTTTCCTCATTGATGCTCATACACTTATTTCTCGAGATCGTTTGTCGAGGTCATAGAGCTCATTTGCAAGAGCCTCGACCCGAGATTGTCGAACATGAGGGGGGTTAGCCATGGCTTCAGGGCTGTATAGCCGCTTATAGATATTGCCTTGACAACGAGCAGTATCGATCCAAAGTGCTACTGATGCATTCAGAGATGAGGGGCCCTCATGTAACGCGGGCATGGGCGTAGTGATCTCCCAATCTTGGATGACCGACGAACGACCAACACGTAATGATAGATTTTGTCCCATGAGATATGCCATCCAAAACAACAATTGTTTTGTTTTCATGTCATCTGAGACTTTGCCATTCTGTGGAAGGGACAGTCGGTGGTAGCCAAGCGTTCGACAAAGGTCTAATGTCCTGGAGGCTAGATTCCATGCTAGAACCGGTTTGTGAATTTGCATAGTGTAGATTGCCTTTAGTCACTGTCAGTTAATAGTAGACATGATTCCAAACTCATATAAAGACCTACGCCCAACAACAAAGCAGTAGCCATTTCTATCGTTGTAGGGAGATAAAGTGGCAAATCAGCTAGAGCCGACTCAAGATTAGTACGACACATGGAACAATACCGCTGACTTTGACCTTCATCTCCCGTCTCAAGCTGGGATTTTTCGATGAACAGCTCGAGCAGACCATAGTGGACAATGATATGATCAGTCACCGAGGCATCTTCAGAAAAGTAGACCCTTAGGCACATGTATGAAAAGGACTCCAGGGGAAAGAAGTCGCTAACCCACGCAACTGTGTTGAGAGGGTTTGACGAGTGGTTGTCTGCGACGTCAATATTGAGCACACTGCATAGGGACAAAAGTGTGGCATGGCAACTCACCTTTTGCGGTGCGTATAAGCTCTACAACCTCTTCAATTGGTGGTAGATCACACTTCTGTAAAGAAGGTTTAGTGACTTGTTTTGCGACGGGAAATGACTCCTGGGGCTTCAATAGACCATGTTTCATTGCTTCGATGACACAGCGAAGCGACTCTAATGCCTCTTTGAGATTGCGGTTAGACTCTGTCGCTAGATTGATGCCAGAATCCCTATGGAGAAACTCATTCCCGAATTCATGTCGGGAAGTCAGCGAGCACTCAATTTCCGAGCCAATGTTGTTCACACGGGAGGCCGTAGACCAATTTCCGGATGACAAAGATTGGCCAACATTATTCGTTTGATTGGGATGTTTAGATGTTGATTTGATTGGCTGACTGTTCGACACTGGGATACTCCTATTGATTTCGTCCAAGAGTCGAGTGATGTCATCAAGCCTGTGATCGATGAGATCGATCTTTTCTTTGCTATAGTGCCGTGGTCAGATCTTGAATCCAGATCAAGCCAGACCGACAAGAGATGTGCCAAATCTAAGATTACTAGGAGCTTGAGGAGATACGAACTACTTATCAGAAACTGTTGTAATACTTTGGGTCTTTGCTCTCGGTTGCCTCTCTGCTTTGGCGCAAGCAATATTCGCCTGGAGACATTGTGTGCATGGGCAATTGCCGTCACATCGGATCTTGGAGATAAATGTCAGAACGAAAGATTAAATAGTCGTGGTCAATTTAATGCAGATATCTTACTTTGCGTGAGCGGCATTGTTCACACTAGGCATGTGCTTGTCAGCAGGTTACATGTTCTGGGTTACGGATTTACCAACGGCTTTGCGGAGAGACATTCCAGATGCCGATGGTTCAAGCACGCCCCTATTTGGATCTGAAGGTTCTCCGTGTGAGTTCGACATGTCATCTAAGTGGACTGAGTTCAAAACGTGGGCCGAAAAGGATTCCGTTATATGAAGAATGGCAATAAAAAGAATGAAGTGGAACTACTCTGTCTAAGAAATAGTAGAAATGCAAATCGACTAGCACTGCGGCCCGAGATAATCCGGGACGTACCCACGAAAGCTAAGCTTAAGAATTTCATAAGAGAAAACAAAAAACACAACATAGTCCAGGACAGTTAAGGTTATTGAAAGATGAATTTTGTGACTTTGTGAATCACGGCCTTATCGGGATAATCTCGACATCAGCACAACTGAGGAGGTGTGTTCTGGTCAATCCCTAGCAACACTGCTTCATCTACCTAATTATGCCGAGGTCACCTATGCACTGATTCTGCTCATTGAAGCCTTGATCTCCCAATGGTCTCGATCCCTGATATATCGGGGGTTCTGAGCGATGATGGAGCAAGGTAGGTAGTGCGCGTGGTTGATGTTGTAAGTCACACTTCCACTGACACCAATCAGGGACGAAGCAAGTGCAGCATCACACATGGTATGGCACGTGCTTCCCCATCGACCAGCAATAGCTTCCCTGACCCATTTCTGTTCCAGATCCTGCTTCAAGTGGAGTGCTTTGCTCTCTAGAGTAGCAACTTCAAGATGTCGCAGTGCATCCATAATGATGGCCGCAGCCGGAGCCTCGCGTACTTCAAGAACCTTGGCGTCGGTTCGAATCGGCTCAAGTCCAACAAATCGGCCATGTCCAAACTTTCCTACCTCGACGTTGAGGAGGGCGATGGCTTCGATGAGAGGCAACTTGTTTCCGTTGATCGAGATGAGGTTTCCATCCTTGAAACTCAGCGTAAGCTTCTGGGGAGAGCAGTCCATGTTGCGCTGTGTCCACTGGTATGCAGCTTCTGGAATGGTGAAGCTCTCAGGGTCATCCAGAGGGCCACTTTCGAACTCTCGACACCACAAATTCTCATCACCGCTGAGCTTTCGGTCTGATAAGAAGGTCAATCCAACTGCAGACAGCTCTTTGGCCTTGTCCTCTCGAGAAATGGCCGAACGCACATACGGACTGCCAAAGTCTCCAGAAAAGGCATAACGTTTGATGCTGTTGTTGAGTCGGGGCAAGCTGTTCTGCGACAAGTTGGCCGTATGAAGAAGAAGCTTCGCGTTGAGACTTTTGGCGTAGTCGGTGACTAGACGAGCGATAACAGGGCGGCTGAGAGAGCTGCTGACGGGGTACATTCCCATGTATTTTGCGTGGGCACGGATGGCTGGTATGACACCTTCCTTGACTAATCGCTCTCGGCCGTCGAGGCATCTGAAAGACGCACCAAAATGGGCAGCGTTCTTGGTGAGTTCCTCCTTGTCGATGGGTTCTCCAACGTCCACAGCTACGGCATGAATGTTGGTGAAGCCAAGATGGTGAAGTCTCATGAGGAGATATGTGCTATCCAAGCCACCACTGAACATGGTGACAACAGGAGCATCTCGGTTCTCGAACTTTTCAGCAATATGCTCAAAACTTTCAATCCGACTACTCTCCTCGCGGAGTAGTTGGACCATGGGCTCTTCGGGCTTGGATTGCTTGACATTCAGCACAGCTCTCTCGTTAGGCTTAAATGCTGGGTCATGGTCAACATGAAAGGCATTGGCTTTGCCATGATCCATGAACAGGACTTCAGATGCTTGAGTCTATCTAGGTCATTAAACTTTGTTCTGTGTATGTATTGCATTCAGTTGCTTACCATTTTGTTTTGTTATCTTGCCTCTGAATTGTGGAAGGGGCTTTTGGTGAAGAATATGTCGCTCTCAAGATGGTTGAAGATGAGGATGCTATGATTTACAAGGTGAAATAATTTTGCACTGTAATGAGGATGTGTTTAGGTCAGATTCTCAAGATTTATGACGACAAACACAGCGACCTTTAATCTATTGTCTTCTTCCACCTGTTCTGTACAACGATCAACACAGGTTGTTAGAGCGACTGCGTTCACCTATCGTCCCATCTTGTTCGGGACTTTGCGAAACCATGTGCGTCATTCATTTGTCTACGAAAAGGATAACTGATACCAGAGGCATATAGCACTAGTAGAATGCATCAGTAGTCATGTTTCTCCTGCGTGCGCAACTGGCGGTGTCGTCTGCTGTTCCATCACACGCCCCTAGGTGTAATGACCGAGAATAAATCTAACAACCCGTTCCGCAAATTGACTTTTACCAGGCTTACCAGGGACGACGTCCAGCATGTGAGATTACTTGGTGATGTACGCGGGTGGAGTATGGAATAAGTGGCTTGCTGAATGGGGGAATGCAGCTGCAAGTCTCCACGATAGGTCTTGGAGTGCGTACGGTACGGTACGTACACGTAACCTGAATATATTGCGCCCGTGCCAAGAATGTTTCCGGAAATTTCCCCTCAGTTGCACTAGAGACAAGTCGCCCAGTTCAACTGCTCTTCTTATCTTTGTGGTCTATTTAACTTTAGGCTTTGTCTCTGTATAGCAGTCTGCTCAGAACACCACACCAATCTAAGCAACAAACAAACAAAGCAATGGCTCAAATCATTCAAAACGGACATCACGTATCTGAGACTCCAGATAAGCCATCATCCAATGGCGACCAAAACCCAAGAAAACAACAACCTGAAGACCAAGAACTTGTTGCACTTTTCGCCGCATCAGACACCCCTGCAGTCTCCGATGCCCTCGACAAGCTGGGTATACCAGGCCAAGTTATGAACATCATGCCCTTGGCCAACTACCAAAAAGTCACCGTCGGGCCAGCATTTACTGTGCGATACGTACCTATCTCCAGTAGCGGCCCACCAAAAGGTGTCGGCGACTGGATCGACAACGTCGCTGAAGGCGATGTCATTCTCATCGACAATGGCGGTCGGACAGACTGTACTGTCTGGGGTGATATTATGACTCAGTACGCTGGCATCAGAGACATTGCCGGGACGGTTATTGACGGTGTTTGTCGCGATGTGAACCGTGCCATTACTGATGACTACCCCATGTTCACGGCTGGTCGATTCATGAGGACTGCAAAGGATAGAATTGAGGTGGCAGCTGTGAATGAGCCTGTTGGGATTGGACATGTGCATGTGAAGCCTCGCGATATTGTTGTTGCGGACGCCAATGGTGTTGTTGTTGTTCCAAGGGATCGCGCTCGCGAAGTGGCTGAGATAGCGCGTCACATTGACGAAAGTGAGGAGCGTATTCGGGAGATGATCGCTAGCGGGACGACACTTGGCCAGGCACGCGCTGAGCTCAACTATCATAAGCTACAGCGCAAGGGTTAGTTAGTGCTTAGATGTTGAAGAATATCATGACTTGGAACAATGTCATATATTTCCACAAGCCATATGTAATTTATAGTAAAGGTGAGGTATTGTAATAGTGTCATTATTGTTCTTTCAAACAATTCGTTGTGTAACAAAGAATCTCACAAAAAGACTCGACCCAGGTAGCAGTGACACAAATATAGTTATACTTAGGTGAACCGATTCAACATTTTCACTATGTACACTGAAGAACGCCCAACTATCGCAGAATCAGTAGCTCGGGCGTAGATAAAATGAAAATGGTATTATGCCAAGCTTGGTCAGAAGCTACTCTGTACCCACCGCAGGCGGCATCTATATAGAGCCTAGTCTAATGATGCCCATTGGTTATCCCATTGCCGACGCCGTTGTTCACCCCATTAGTGATGCCGTTTGCTTTGCCGTTAGCTTTTCCATTGGCCTTTCCATTGAGCTTCCCGTTGGAGGCACCGTTTGACGACGCGTCTGCCACTCCCAGAGCTTCCTTCATCTGAGCTAGGTCACTCCGATGAGTCTTCATAACAGACAAAATATCAACACTGGTAACAACCATTTTGAAATTCTTCAGCCAGTTAACATCTTCAGGCTTCAGCCTGAAAGCAGGAATCATGAGTTGAATCCCAGTTTCCTTCGAAGTAGCTATCATTTTGGAGATAGCCTCTTGGAACTTGGACTCATCAACAAGACCATTGGGGTTGCGGACTGGAATACCCAGAGTGGCCTTCAGGTCTGTAACACCAACCATGAGCACGTTGACTCCGGGGGTTCTTGCAATGGCATCGACATTCTCAACGCCCACCTTTTGTGACGGTCAGCAATGATATTAAAAATTCCATGGTGGATAACTCTTACATCGCTTTCAATCTGGCAAATCACTGAGACATTTCTATCTGCAATAGTCTCTGATGTCCATCCCTCAGGAGCAATGTTTGTGATTCCATCATACAATGCAATTGGAGAGATGGATCTCATTCCGCCATTGTAGGCATGTCTGACCTTGTAAACAGCTGCTGCTGCCTGCTCAGGTGTATCAATCTGGGGGAAGACGATACCACCCGCACCTTTTCAGGTTAGCTACCTCGGTCATCGATGTTGATATCAGATACTCACCTGCGTCCAAGGCATAAGCTAGCAAGTCGGAGTCAGGACTGGGAACTCGTACAAGAGCAACAGTCTTGCCCTCGCTGGCAAAGCTAATCGTCTGAATAAGAGACACAAGAGTCTCTGGATTAGTCGGCCTATCCTCGTTAGATACTGACACTGGATTTTTGCTGTAGCAACATACACATGTAAAGTGTCGACAAAGATAAAATCAAAGCCAAGTACAGCTACAAGTCGGGCCATTTGGGTATGAGGAATCCCCAACATGCAACCGAAGATATGTTGTGGTCGCTCATGGTCTCCTTCATAATCAGCAGCACCGATTGCGCCGTTCAAGTTAGATGGCTGGAAGAGGGATAGAGCTCGGAAACGATCCATGTTGGGTGATTGATGTCAAAGCGAATAATGAGATTCCTTGTGTGCTGTAGTGTAGTTGTTTGTTAGGTAACAGTCAAGATTTGTCCTTGCACTTTTGTTCACGACCCTTCAGATGAGGACTCCAAGAGTAGTAACAAACATAAAGCGGTGTGATTTGATTGCATCTCAGTGGCTTGTAAGTTGAGGTTTGCAATACGCATTGTCAGGGCAGCTGTAATTAGCGTCGTACATGATGTCTCAATCACCGTGTAGAGTGTTATGCCTTCACCGTCCAGCCTCGTCTAGCGACACCCCTTATTGAACCCATCAAGTGATGACGACATTTTGTTTGATCCCGGTGCCTGTTGAGGGACAACGTCGAGAACGGCTGACAAGGTTCAGTGAAAACAAGGTCGTTAGTCGAGGTACGGATGCAGGAGAGGGGAGATCTCGTTCCCGCGGATATTTGCATAGGTATGTGTCGTGGCCGGCAGGGCATCTACCATATTCACTGGTCCGGAACCACATTCCCGGTTAGATGCGCCACTGCAAACAGCGCAGATCAGAGGTGAGCTGTTTTTCAACATAGACTAATGCAATGATAACGACTAATTTCTTATGCCACGGCAGTAAAACGGACTATCCCGCTCTGATCGGCATAGTAGTTCAACTCAATTTTATGTGTTAAGGTTAACACATGCAAGTTTTCAGCATGTGTGTCTCTCATGTTGTTCAACGTCAATAGGCGGTAATCTTTGATGAGTCCGACTAGAGCCCGTCGGTGGCTTGAGACTAGGTAAGCTTGGAAGTCTATTACCCCGCCAACTATTGCATAAAGAAAATGATAATGAATGTATGTCTCTCCCGCATTGACGCATGTGTCTCCTTCAATGGCTTAAATGTTCCTGGTGCTGCAAAGTTCCTCCCATGTGTATCCATATGTCATCGCGATAGGCTACTGGGACACTAGCGTGATAGTCCTGCATACATTTTCCCGAACCTGCATCCCTAGACTAGTTGCGGAGTCGGATCACGGGCCGCTGTTTGGTGCATTCCAAATTTAGGCGGGAGAAAAGGAAAACTAGTCTAATAGGCGGTTATTAAGTAAAGCTAGTTCATTCCTTGTTGTCTCCACAGTCGATTGCTTACTTGCATTAGACTCAATCTTGTTACAACAGCAGCAAGACATGCATCCGATGGATCAATTAACTACCGGGGTTAGGTCTCCTTTTTATCTCACTGCAGATTGTGTCTTACACGTCACCTCCCACCTCCCCGATCCATGCTTTCAGCTTACTTTGAGTTTGCTGATCTCTACCATATCGGGAGAAATCTCATCTCACTCGGAACGCCTATCTGCAGATCTGATTCCGGCACTCTTGCAACTATCCTTGATGTGTGCTGACGTTGCAGAATCAGGAATAGCAGCACCGTTAGTGTCCAGCAACACAGACCGCCATTTCATGTAACCGCCAAGGGAGATTACACTTCTCTTCGACTTAGCTGTACCCTATAGCATCTGGTTGACTTACATTGCTCGAGAATCTTTGTTGTCTCTCCAAGTTTCTCATGCAACTTCTGTCTACATAATGGTTACCCGTGTAGCTATCCTCGATGACTATCATGGTCTGTCATCTTCGCACTTTTCCAAATTGGACCCTTCAAAGTATTCTTTCGAGCACTTTCCAGCTACATTGCGTCCGTATCACAATGACGACACATCCCAGGCTGAGAGGGATGAATTGGTTCAACGATTGGAACCATTCGAAGTTATTGGTAAAAGATAACCTGCACCGTCACACCAATCAAACTTTGCTAATAACCGCCTTCAGCTACCATGAGAGAAAGAACACCTTTCCCTAAGCAGTTGATTGAGCGTCTTCCTCAACTCAAACTCATTCTTAGCAATGGTCGTCACAACAAGGCCATTGACATGCAAGCTTGCCACGAGAGGGGTATCCCGGTGACAGGCTCTGATGCCCAAATGGCCACGGTGGCTACCTTGGAACACATCATTACCATGATACTAGCGATCTGCCGTGACATTGCACACAACGATGCAGCTGTCAAGAGTGGTAAGTGGCAGACCAGTATGGTCACTGGTGTCACTGGGAAAACCCTCGGCATCGTTGGCTTGGGACGTCTGGGTAGCTCTGTTGCTCGAATCATGAGTTCAGCTTTCGGCATGAAAATCATCTGTTGGAGCTCAAATCTGACCCAGAGCAAAGCGGACCAGCAGGCGGAAGCCCAGGGGTTGTCAGTTGAACGCCCAGATGGCGAAAAGACATTCAAGTATGTTAGTCGCGATCAGCTCTTTTCTACCTCTGATGTAGTCAGTCTGCATTTATTATTGTCCGATCGAACAAGGGGACTAATCAAGTCCGAGGACTTGTCAAAAATGAAACCGTCTTCATTTTTTATCAATACTTCCCGTGGTCCATTAGTGGTTGAGGAAGATCTGCTTGAGATTCTGAGGGCAGGGAAAGTCCGAGGAGCAGCGTTGGATGTTTTCAACTTGGAGCCTTTACCAGTGGATAGTGAATGGAGAGACGGAAGTTGGGGGACTGAAGGCAAAAGCCGGGTTATTTTGACGCCTCATATCGCGTACGTAGAAGAGCGCGTCATGAACGAGTTTTATGAGCATCAGGTTGCAGAATTGGAAAGATGGTCAAAAGGAGAGGCTTTGAGGAACACAATGTCCTAGATAGTGAAAAATTATGGTAGATGTTGCAATTAGTATTCAGTCCCAGAACTTCAGATGCAAAATTATATGATATCGTCTGTTGCCTGGACCGTTTTTATAATGCTCAAATCGGTTTCCTCACACAGCATCAAGACTTAGAGACTACTGAACTACGAAGTAAATATCTTGCCGTCATGGCGCATATTATAGAGATGTAGCAAAATCAGGTTGGCGCTCCAAAGCAAAGACACCTTGTTACTAGCATGACCACTGACGACAAGGTTGGCTGGTCATTTATGGGCCATTTTCTGGCTACAATAGCATATAAGAAACACTTCGCACCCCAACCATCCCACTCTGCAAAAACGCCACCTAGCCTATTTTCCTCATTTTGTACCGAGAACTTTACCGTCGCGTCTGCTGCTTAGTCAAACTCGCAACACAACAATGGCACCTCTTTTCCCCTCCGTTACTTTTATTCGTAATGGAAATCCAGTTCCCGACGTCGAACGTCAGAAGCGTCTGGAGAATCCTGAGCTGGGTATCTCCGACACTGATCATATGGCCATCGCTAAATACGCCGATGGTCAGTGGCAGACTGCAACTATCCAACCATTCTCTCCCCTAACACTGCACCCTGGATCGAAGTGCTTCCAGTATGGACAAACACTATTCGAGGGCATGCAGGTATACAAGACACCTGATGGAAGGATTGTTCTCTTTCGACCTGACAAAAATGCAAAACGCCTCAACGTCTCTGCCGACCGCGTCGCCATGCCAGAACTACCAGAGAAGCTTTTTCTCGACATGATTAAAGCACTGGTATGGGTTGAGCGCGACTGGTTCCCTTCTGGTGAAGGTGGCAGACTTTACCTACGTCCCTTCATGTTTGCTGCCGGAAACTCCGTTCGGTTCGCAGTAGCCAAAGAGTATATCTTTTGTGTTCTTGTCTCGCCAGCACGGTCATTCTTCAATCGAACTGTACTCAATGTCTACGTCGAGCCGCACTTGAGACGAGCATCTCCAGGTGGCACAGGCAGCTCCAAATGCGGTGGCAATTACGCAGCGGCTCTTCGATCACACCAAGAAGCTGCTAAGTATGGATGTGACCAGGCGCTCTTCTTGGAAGATGACGGCAAGATCCAGGAACTTGAAGTTACCAACATCTTCTTCGTCATGAAGAATGGTACAATCCGGACACCTTGTCTGAATGACACCATTCTGAACGGTGTAACACGCGCATCAGTCATGGAACTGGCCAAGCGACGAGGCATCAAGGTGGAGGAGCGCGACTATTACTTCAAAGACTTCCATGCAGACGCGACGAACGGCGATGTAATTGAAGTATTTGCCTGTGGTACAGCTGGTGGTCTCATCGCTGTCGGTTCGTTCTACTGCCCGCCTAGCGAAACAAAAGCAAGCAGTGGAACTAATGGAAGCACCGGCGGCGAGTTTCTAATTGGCGACGGTGAAATGGGCGACTTGACCAAGAAGCTCAGGTTGGAGTTACTAGGAATACAAAACGGGACCAGAGATGATCCTTTTGGGTGGTTACATGAGGTTCGGAGTGATGATCTGCCTCATTATTCTGGTAATTAGTGGTTATGGTTAACGATCATAAGCTCCTTGACTTATCACAAATTGAATTGTTTTTCATATACGAAGACCTGATGTTTTAGACAACATGGGTTAATAAATCCATAATGTATTACGATTCATCGCAGACTTACTGGCCCATTGCCCTCGCGTTCCTTTGTTTCGCCAACACTAAAACCTAAAAGGTTTTGTTCTAATACCACAAAGACTTTGTTTCGTTCGTCAGTTGAGTTGTTCAGCCTCGCCAGAGATTGCCACAATAGCTTGCGGCGGAACACTGTTCAAACTTCTACACTAGGATACATAGCAGCATCTGACCCAGTGCACTATGTCCTATCCAGCTTTGAGTGCAGCTTATGTTCCTTGACCAACGAGATACTAAGAAGAGCCAGCACAGCCCAGCCCGCCATCATCACCCACACAACTCTGAATGACTCAATGAATGACTCTAGGACCCCGTTTAGCCAGCCTTCAGGAAGATGCTGCAGCTCTTCCAACCCATTCAGAAGCCGACGGATCTCTTCAGGACCACCAGCCTTGTCGCCAAGCAAAGTCCACAGCTTCTCTTTCAGCGTATTCTGGTAGGCTGCAGACGCTATAGTTATTCCAACCGTACCGCCGACGCTCCTAGCTAGAACTGAGGCGGATATTAGTGTCATTTCCAAAGTTGTCAGTGGAATATGGCGGTACTTACAGATTGCTGATGTGATGAGTGCTTGCTGAGAGTGGTCGACTGCAGCGAGGCATGAAACAGTAGCGATTGTCAACACCGCACTGAAACCTCCACCAACAAATAACAGCCCGATACAGGTGACGTAAGGCGGGCTATTGTCACTTTGGAAAGTGAGTATCACAGTGCCTATTGTCAATGACAAGGCACCCAGGATACCAAATCGTCTGTACCTCCCAGTCCATGCCATGGCATATCCTGTTCCAAGAGCTCCGATTGACCCACCAAGAGGCGAGGGTAGAAACTTGAGGCCAGCAGTCGTAGTAGAGTCGCCAAGAACCTGGAGGTAGAGGGGTACATAGAATGTGGTGGCCATCAAGAGCATGGAGATAAAAAGACTGGCAGCACAGGCAGACAGGATGGTGCGATCACGAAGTAGTCCCACGGGGATTATCGGTTGCTTGACCTTGCTTTCCCACCAGATGAAGCCGGCAAAACAGACAATCGACAAAGGTATCGTTGTCAAAGGAATTGGATGGGTCCATGGTACTGTGTTGCCACCTGTGTTGAGGCCAAGAAGCAATAGAACCAGGAATGAAGAGGTGAGCAAGACGCCCAAAAAATCGATTCGTGCGAGATAAGTCTTCTCTGATACCTTGGCTGGCACCTTTACTAGCCATCCGATGACGGGAATAAGTAGTAATGCAGGTGGCACCTGTACTAAGAATGCAAGCCGCCAGCCAAATTCAGTGCAGTCGTGAAAGAGGCCGCCTATGACAGCTCCAAGCATTGCACCTGCTCCAAACCACAGGTTGGCAATACCTTGCATGATGCCTCTTTTACGAAGTGGTGTAAGGTCAGAAGTCAGGAACGTTGCAATGCTTATCATTCCGCCTCCGCCGAACCCTGCTATAACACGACCGATGATCATGGTGTAATGATCAGTTGCCACGCCGCAGACCAGATTTCCCAGGGCGAACAGAAAATTGCTCAGCATTAGACCGGAACGACGTCCGAAGATGTCAGTAAGTCGACCTGCAATAGGTTGACAAGCTGCATTGGAGATAAGGTATGCAGTTGCAAGCCAGGACAGCAAGCTGAGCGAATTGAATTCGCTTGAGATAGGACCTGATAAGGTTGCAATGATTGTTGAGTCCAAGGCGCCCAGGAAGACTCCGAACCATGCAGTAGCCATGATAAGTATCAGCCTTCCTAGGGGAGGTTCTTTGACGAAGACGATGGTTTCCTCATCTCCGTGGCTTGCACAAAGGGCATCATCGTCTGGCTTGTTCAAAAGAGGCGTTATCTCCGTCACAACTTGGGTGGCTTGGGTTTTTTGTGTAAGGCATTCACCACACCGAATTTCTGCCATGATTGATGTGTGAGTCGTGTTTCTTCAGTTAAAACGATATTGCAGTATGGTCAATATGCTCGCTCAATCTAAAGATGGTAAAGAGGAGCTCTGGCCTGATGACTATTTATGGCATCAGTCCATACTCCTTGATTACTTGGCTTCATAGTAGAGTTATACGGTAGCACTGAAAATGGTTACACATACATTATTCGATTGCATTCACACTTCAATGACGGGTACTTGGTATGAGGCTGGCAGATCACTTTGTCTCCTTGCATGAATCCCTGTGCAGAGTAATGCAGAGCACCAATGTCGCGAGAGAATTTCGAGACTTCTGCCTAATACTTGGCGATATGGCGGTCCAACCTAATGCTGATCGGCAGCCGAGAAATCGATATGTCCGACGGGGTTTCAGTTCAGTTAGTGGTTTGAACCCTGCTAGGACGTAGATCATGAACCAGCCGCTATGGGTCCGGGATTTGAACCACCCAGTTGGGTACTGACGATGTGAGACATGTGCTCCTCTGGTTAAGGTGGAAGTCATTCCAGTCCTTGAACACCTGAACCGCCTGACTCTCAGCTTTGACTGTTCCTCCTACCTGTCCACAAACGAAATGCAACTGTCTCACAATGATATCGTCAGAACAGACCCGCGTCAAAGCGTGAGGCCACTTGCCAGGTTCGAGGAGCAAGACGAGGAATGAGAGAATTGGAAGGCCTCAATGGCATTTCAAATCTGAAATGCGATTAGAAAACTGACAGCTTCTTAACCATAGAGAATAACGGAATACTGGCTCAGTAAGTTGTCTCAATGCTACAGGGGTTTCGTTTGAGACATGTTTTTGTCAACATTGCTTTGTACGCAGATCATCCGAGCTAGACACTACTCAGGTGACACACATCAGTAATCAAATTCTGTAACTCAACAAAATGTTGGGAGGAGTTGCGCAGAGGCTGAAAACCCAAAAGACATAGCAGACATGAGAAGTGGTGGATAATCGTAGAGAGAAAACTTACCTTGATGGTCTTCTGAATCTGAATAAAGTCTTGTGGCTGCATGGAACTATTGAGAGGATTGCGGAGATGTTATCCGGTCTTTGTTATCCCTCTACCTTTCTCCCCTCTCAGACTAGCTACCCATGTTGCATTACAAAAGTCCAGTCGTACTTACTTAGCATGGGAAAAGAAGCTGTGAGTAAAATATCACTAGCCAATGCGGATAATAAATTAAGAGATCGCCATCTTCGTGACGAGGCTGAGACTTGCAGCTGTGCCGTCCGTAGAACACGACTAAGACCTTGTCACACATAGGTCGCGGAGACGGACAAAGCCCCGACACCTCATCAACTAGCTTGTACCCGGAAACTTACTTGCCGGTAAACAGAAGATCAAATCAGCACGTCAGTTCCAGGATTCTTATGAGACCCTCTCTTTACTTGTTGTCAAACAACCTGAAGAAGTCTAGTGTTCAACTGATTGGCTATGAATCTTGGACAGTTTTACGCCACAGACACGTCCTATCTCTTTAAAGCCGAGTGACTGTCTTTCTGATGCGCCACAGCTAGATGCGGCTGATAAGCAACAAAACCAGATATCCACGTCCGTGACACTGGTGCTCGTATCCAATATCGGGAGTTGGCCTAGGTATATCGAATAAACAGTTACCTTTTGACTCGTACTAGCCCGAGTTTAATACTTGAGAATTTCTCAATTAAGTAATAGTTGAGTTTTGTCTCGGTTGTGAGCTGAATAATTATGATGAATTGCATTGTAATCTTGGCAAAAATTCCATGACTTGAATGGAAGATTTGACCGGATGATAAAAAACATTATGGCATCCGTTGCTCAACACAGGGGGAAGACAATTCATTACTTGGGTCGTGAACGAAGAAAGAGATATAGCATTAATGATAGAGATTATATAAATATAGAATTGCGTTGTCAAGGTATTATTATTCTTTTTATATAGTGATTCTTTCTCAGTACCGGGTAATTAGAGATTGGTTGCCGAGGGCTGTTTAGTCACGGCATGATCATAGTGTTAATCTAAGGGCAAAATCAATAACCAATAAGAAATCGCCTCGATGGCTCAGTGGTAGAGCGTGTCACTAGTAATGACAAGGTCCACGGTTCGATCCCGTGTCGAGGCAAGATATCTAGGAGTAATACTCCATTCTCAGAGTCTTTTCTTTTTTTATTATATTTATTGTTCTCTTATTTTGTAAATCGAAAGTTAAAGTTTTCCCCTTACAACCATAGGCATGTCAGTAAATACAGCCTGAATCTGTTGGACGCGTTTTAGCGCCTCAGTCGCGTAAATTAGTATACGCGGTCGCACAGTTAGGTGCTAATTTAAGCGGGCGCGATTTTGTTAAACTGTAAAACTCACATTCGTATAGTGATCGAATATGTATACATGAAGCCCTTAAATACACCAACGCCGTTCGTATCACACTCCCAGCCTTCTAAGTTGTTCAACGCCCATCAAATGCACAATACAAAGTGTTGCAAAACACGTTTTCCAGAACAATAATTTCAGAATGACCCCTGTTGATTTGCCAGTAATTTCGGCTTGCTTCTTTCAGTAGCCTCTCCATACAGCCATACAGATACTACATCTCCAACGGCATACTGAACTCCCAGAATCCCAATAATTGTTTAATGTTCGCCCCATTGGACTTAGTAGTCAAACTGATCATGGTCTTCTTCCCACTTAGAGTATCGAGTTGCACAATAGAGAGTTCCATCGCCTCACTCAGCTCCAGGTTGAGTTGGTGGGCTCCCGGTAAAAGGTTAGGCGTGACATGAGTGCCGTTCCACATCCGAGAGGGTTGCATGTCGTCATTCATGTCATATTGGGTTTGCATAGCAAGCAGTGGCTGGGATTGCCGGTGGACATCAGATCCTTCAAAGTCCACGCTAATGTGTGGCTGGAGGCTGCGATAGCGGAGGTCGATCATTTCATCCTCAAGTTGTCGAACATGATTGACGGCTTGACGGTATGTGATGACAAGGTCATCCCATCTCTCTTGTGCAGAGAAGTCTGATTGAGTGGAAGGTGTTGCAGGTGGAGTAAACGAGAAGGACGAGTCGGTTGGAGTCATTATACCCGTCTCAAACAAAGACATTGGCTCGTCTATGTCGAGTACTGAAAAGTATTAAGATCATTCCTTTGGCTTCACAATGTCTGGGCTCTTACCTTCAAAGTCAGAAGGGGACAAGGTGTCAACAGAGTCACCACTGGAAATGCTTGACACATCTCCATCGTCGTCCCAAGCGATACGAGCCATATTCTGCTGTAGATGGTAGATAATACTGAGATGCAATCGTCTGAGATAGTTGGGCGCTTTGCTCGTCTGGGTGGTTGTGAGATGATCGTGACGAAAATATTTATACGGTTCAGGAAGTATTGTAAGGACGATATGAACTTTGAATGTCGTCGCTCAGATTTCAAGTTGAAAATAGCTTCTATTTAAGTGACATGTTCAAACGGCTGTATATGTTGTACTGAAGCCTGGATTGCTGGTTAGCTATACATATACAGCCTTTGTTGGCGAGTGGAATTTCAGGAGCGAACAAGGGGAACAAACACCGACGGGTGATTAGAAACATGGAAGTGTTACAAAGAACAATATGAAATAAAGATCATTGTCATGAAGGTACAGGAACATTCACATCCCTTGCAGAGCTCCAGGATGGACAGACTTACTTACAAAAAGAGTCACTGAGAAATTAACGGAATCACCTCAAGTGTAGTTTTTGTTCTGAAGAAAGGTGAGTGAGCGAGCGTGGAATTGACAACAACTGACTCTGGAGTTCTTTTCTTCTAGCGCACCTCTCCCTTTTGTACAATTCTGATTATCAACTAACCAGAGCGGGGACAGTTTCACACCAGCAAACTCTGAAAACGCCTTCTGCGGCCAACGGTCATCATCATCCAATGATAAATAGCGGCACTACGGCCCAGCGACTAGACACAGCTTATGACAGGTGGTGGGACAAACTTTATTACCACGAACCAGTTATTTCAACGTTGAATTCACAAGGCGTCTTCTTTCATTGCCAAAAACAGCACGTGGTTGTTGATCTCTTTGGACCACCTTTGAACCTTGTAGCCACCTTGGGAAAAGTTGTCACAAAAAGGGCACAAGCGGTGAAGCAGTAGAAGGGTCTTTCGAAAGTTGTGCGACTCTGATTCCGCACGTGAGTATTGCTCAATACGTCACGACAGCCCCTATTTGAGGTCTACCCACATGGTCGTTTCTCGAGACCTTGCTGGGCCTGACTAGTGAGACTTGAACATCTGGAAGCTAAAACTCGATTCATTATCACGATGTACTAGTCTGCATATGAATTAATGGTTTTATTGCTGAGCCTACCTCTTTCTGCGACTTTGACTCTGGACCATCTTCAGTAACTCAGAGTAAAGCTACATATCAGATTCCACCCCCAGAAAGTGTTAGCTTCCTGGATAAAGACACTGATACTACGACTTACCTACGACGTGTGAACGTATTGGGGTAAACACGTTTTGGCCACGATTCTCCTCCACCTCCCTCCGGCCAGGTCGCTTAGTTTATGAAGCGACGAGTTTCGGGACGAAGCTCATCCTCGCGAGCAGCGGCCTCAGCACGCATCCTGCCCCTGCGAGTAGCATCATCGACACGAGCAACGGCCTCGGCATGCATACGCCTCCTACGAGCGGAGTCAGCACGAAGTTGGGCCTCGACGCGGAGCTGGGCCTCGGCACGAAGCTGGGCCTCGCGAGCCTCAGTCTCGCTCTCGTACACGCTAGAAGAACTAGAAGCAGAGCCCTGACGCTCATCCATCGTATAACGACGTGATTCAGCATCAAACTGTTCCTCATTAACAGCAATCTCATCACGAGGTTGGCGTCTGCGAGCAGCGGCCTCGCGCTCTTTCATAGCATGGCGACGAGATTCGACATGATACCGATGCTCATGATAGGCAGCCTCAGCACGAAACTGACGCACACGAGCGGCGACTTTGCGCTCACCCATAGGATGACGACGAGGTTCATCACGAAGCTGGACCCCATAAGCAACGGCCTCGGGGCTATCCATGGGAGGACGATAAGGGCCACAAAAAAGCTGGTCCTGATCTGCAATGGCTCTGTATCTCTCCAGAGTCATACCTTGGTCAGCACGATACTTGTCCGGGCTCTTGTCAGGTACACAGTCGGCCAAGACTTCTTGGTGGACGTAGGCCCAATCTGCCTCTTCCTGACTGGACCGGAGGTCAGGACGTTCTTGCAGCTTGTACCTGTGCTTCTCCCTACCTTTCTCCTCGTTACTGCTCTCGGAGTTACTGGAGAATGTTGAACGAACCGCCTCCTTTAGAGTCGACAGAAACTTGGAGGACTTTTCACTAGCGGCCTTGAGGCCGGACTGAGTACGGGAAGAAGGCATACTTGCGGTATTCCGGGTACTGGTTGCGTTGCTAGAAGTTCCAAAGGTGATGTCGCTTCTGATTGGTGAAGTGTCTCTAGGTGTGGAAGAGTACAATTTGTGGTTGCTGTGAGTTGGAAAGAAGGCTAATTTCGTAGAGTGGGCACGGACCAGGTATATATATGTATAAATTTCGTGTTCACTCGCTTCTTATTTAAGTCCTGTCTGCTAGTTCGTTGTATGTTTCCGATTTTATCTTTATTTTGTTCGTGTCATATGGTGGCTTGTGTACATACCCAGGTGTATTGTGCAATGGAGCAGCAGGCTGTTGTGTGGAAAGGGGTGTTGGTGATGTATTGTTGAACTGCAGAGCAGAGTATTCTTACTAAATAAGCAATTGTGCTGCTTTAACTGAAGATAGGCTTTGATAATGTAAGTCGAATGAACGCCACGAGACGCTTTGAGAACACAGTAGCACACAATACGTACACAGTCCCTTTGTGTGTGTGTATGTACTAAATGCACTCATGGAGTGATCGTCTCTACTGCTGCGGACTAGTTCGATCTTCGTAGGTATATGTGAAATATGGCTGGCTCAGTCACGTTACTATGGAGAATCTGTACCAGGTGTACGCCATACATGTTCAACTTGTCTACTGCTCCATATTAACATTGTTATGACTTCCCATTTTGAAGAGCGGGCTTTCATTGCTTACAATCGAACAGTTTTCATCCTACAGCCCACAAAAAAACAACAGCAGAACAAAGACAGAACAACATGTATGCTAGGCTTTGAGTTGAGAGGACACAAGTGACTTGGGCTTATCAACAATGACCCTTTTGCATCATTTTGGTCGCATCCTTCCCAACTATGAAGCTCGATTTCCCCCTCGCCCGATGGAACAGGCTCATCGGGATGGCATTCGCTATTGGAGCCCTCATTTGTTGTTCAACGAGGCTGATGTTCTCTTTGGAACAAAGAAGACTGAGACTATGGGTCTGTTGTGACAAGAAGAATTATGGTGGCTATCCAGAGCCACAGACTCCACAATTTGAATAATGTGGCGTTATGGAATATGACTTCTTTCGCGAGAGTGTGTTCATACCTTTCTCAGCTGAAGCGCCCATGGGAGGATCATACCATATTCATTTGAAAAAGGGCGATGCTATTCCTTTTACGTACCTTAAGGCCATTGGTGGAGGCTATGCTGGCAATGATTTGCGTCTTACCACACCTACTGGGAAATCTATTCCAGGCATGCAGGGATCAACTGTCGAGGCTTGTAATGCTGGCAAGTTTACTTAGATGTGGTGACTTTTTCTTCCTTAGACATTATTTATTCATTGCAATTAATCGGCCATCAAACAATCCAATATTATTTATGAACCGGTGCTGCCTCTCACTTTAGGATAGACTCTTTAGGTGATAACCATTATTACAAGGGTACCCTGAGGGATTTGAATTGCTCAGATGCTGTCAGCCAATATGAAACCAGGCCAAGACTTTGTTGGTTGACCCGTAATTTTAATTTATCGTGGGGTTATTAAAGGAAGCCAGCCGTCAGAATGCCCTCCTCGCAATTTACCGATTCCATCTGCGGACATTTCATATCCAACATGCCTTCCACGACCATTACATCGCTTCTCTGGCCTGCAGGCAGCAGTGTAGCTGTTACAGGCGAGGTTTTCGAAGCCGAACCCACCGAAACACGATACATGCTACGAGGTTGTAAAGACATCGAGTGCGATTACCAGACAGCATTTGTCAATCTCGGCCCATGGGCCAGCGAGACTTTACCGAAAGGCGCTGCCGAGACAGGCGTCTACGATGTGCATGGAACTGTTGATGGAACTGTATATTCCAGCGTCTGCGAAATGAGCCGGTCCGTGATCGAGAAGTGCACTGTCTCGATGCAATCCGGGTTCGACGATTCGACAGAGTATATAACAACCAGGACAAAGGGCGAGACGGGTGCAGATTTCACCCTTTCATACCACGCTGTCACGCTTACCCGCGGATTCGAGAAATTTTCTTCCACTTCAGACGCCACACCGGCCAGCAAGGATTCATCTACTGATGCAGCTTCCTCAACCACTGCGGCTTCGACTGCCACCGAGACCAGCCTTAATAGCGCAACAGATGAGCCCAACAGCTCAACCGACACGGATATCCCAAACAAAGCAGCCACCGCCACGGAATCATCTGACTCGGCTGCTCCCACGGAGACGAATTCCGCCGGATCTCAACCTCTGATTCGTGCATTCGCTGCTCTGGCTTTAGCCGGATTGGCAACTACGTTGGTTATTTAACTCGGAGCGTACCAGACTGGAACATTCAATACCAGCTCTTGAATCACCTCCCATTCACATAATTATTCGGACATTTATTTAATACATGGCTACTGATACTGTAGAAGTGTTAAGCCTGTTATTAATATTTTCTGGACTGTGAGAACCAGATTGCTTCAACTTTCGCACGATATTGCAAGGAAAGGATGATGTCAATATAACCCCCAATTGAAAAATCCGTCATATACCGTAATGAACGTAGGGCACCCACAAAGGCCTAATATCAGATTCTTCGTCCACTGCGACGATATCCCGTGCTCGTCTATGTCCATCTTGTGCCATCTCAGCTTCAATCCATCGACTCCGCAACTCACGTGACGCCCTGTGAAGACTTCTACTCACAGACTCATGGCTCATGCCCTCCTTCAACAGCCCATCATAAGTGATCCTGTCCATGTCAACACACGTTCGATCATTCACATCCCACAGTGTTCCGATAACATGCTGAAATCCCGCCAGCTGGAAAGCACTTGTCATGTGGATGGCCTCGTCAACGAAGCCTGCGGTCCGAATTCTGCTTGTTCCACATGCAGATAGGTAGGCGAGAAACGGCATCTCTCTGCCAAGATTCATGTCCAGAATGTTTTCTACCGATAAAGGATCATCTTTCCAATCTGAAAGCAAAATACGACTTTCCAATGGGTTCAGGGAGTTGGTCCCTCCGTGACCTGCGAAATGGAAAATGGAACAAGATCTCAAAGTTGACAAAACGTCTTTCTTGTAAGTTAATGGCTCTTTGGGTGATATTATGTCCGAACCCTTTGTAACATCGCAGATAACTTGGATCTCTTTGACTGCGTGGTCGAGATGGCCCTGTTCGGGTGTACTCTCCATTGCTACTAGAATAAGGTCTTCATTACCCTTTTGCTCCTGGCGCATCGGAATGTGCTGGCGTCGGCTGTGAATAAGCGTCTTTACTGATGGACTGTAAGATGAAACTACTCTATCAAGAGCCGTCTTTTCACCTTTACCCAAGTGGCATCCAGTAGCGTGAAGTGGAAACCCAACAAGTCGTCCTGTCGGAATCCACCATACGTGAGACCAATTGTTATCTACAAGTGTCTTGACAATGCCCATGGCATCGAGGACAGGTGACACGATAACATTCCAGAGCCACTCTAGAGTCTCGAGCGAGCCGCGGTCGCGACGATGGATGTCACCCCAGGACAGAACGGGTAAAGGCACAGTACGTGCCCCTGATGGTTCGATAATCAAGGCGTGGCAACCGAATTGGCTAATGTTTATAATCACAACTGGTCCATCCCTTGCCGCTGCCAACAAATCTTCAGCAGATGGAGCAAGCAAGAAGGCCTCAAAGCCAGGTTGAGTTCGAATATCTTCCAGAAGGATTTTTAATTGCTCCTCTTTGTCATGCATTCTTTCTGCTTCACGCGAAGGTTGTCTAGGTTTGTCGCGCTCTGTAATGCTGGTCTTGGCAGCAGGTACATCAAGCTGCCCACGAAGCTGAACAAATCTTCTGGCCAAGTCTGGGTGCTCTTTCTGAAGCATGGATAAGTCAGTCCGCAGATCTTGTAACGAACTTGCAATGATGTTGCGTCCAGTTTCGAGCAACTGAACAGCATCAATTGTGCTTCGATTGTTCAGCAATGCAACAGCCGCTGCGTCAGATGCAATAGCAACAGCTTGCATTAACAAAGTCTGCCTATCAATGTTTTGTATAGAACGCGAATTCAAAAGAGGGATCAATTCGACAGTGAATTTGGCGATATTGTAGGCTTGGTCCAAGTCTGCAAGTATATCTGGCAATAGCAAGAAGTAGCGACCGGCGGTGACACGACTCAGTGTAGGTGATGCTTTGTGATAGATAGCAGAAGTAAAGCATTTCTTTGCCTCTTCTAATTCTTTCGGAATATTGGTCTGGGAGTAGCTTTCTGCTAAATGTGTACCGAGGTTACTCAACAATGACGCTCGGTCAGGAAATTCAGCCGGAGCTGCCTCAATAGCCCTCTGAGCCATTTTGATAGCGTCTTTGAGGTCTGTGACTTTCATCAACTGAGAGTATCTCATCCTTAGTAAAGTTGCCAAGTTGTGTAGATATCGAACTCGCTCAGGATGAGCAGTTGGTACAACTTGAAGAACCTGGCGTGCGACCTGTATGGCTTCGTCTAGGTCATTGCTCTTTCCGGTCTGGACAGCTTTGGTTCCGAGTATTGTAGCAAGTGTAGCCTGCATCGCTCCCCTATAAACATTGGTCTTTGGCGTGTCTTTGATGCCCTGTTTGATGAGGTCTCTGGCTTCTATCAAATCCGATAGTGCTCCTGACCTGGTGTTTCTTGCAAGAAGTAGATTGGCGAGATTATTAAGATGTCCAGCTCTGCCATTTTGGGATTGAGGTGGAACTAATGACATCTCTCCTCATCTGAATCGCTTCGTCCAAGTCAGAAATACCTCCGGTTCGATTAAATCTGTAATATAGTAGGTCTGCAAGGGTACCCAGTCTGTCGCCTCGCTCGGGATGTTTCGCCTCTGTGTGATCAACAGCTTGTCTTGCAGCTACGATTGCCTCGTTGAGGTCCTCCACATTTCCTTCCACTGTGTATCGCTCTCCCAATTGTAATGCCAAGCTAATCAATATCGCGTGCCGGTTTATATAACCTTCAGGTGCGGACGAATTGGCAGTTCGGAAAGTCTTGACAGCTTCGTCCAAGACTTCTCTTTTACCAGCAGCGGAATAATATTGCCCAAGACGATGTCCAAGGTTGCATAGAAATGCAGACCGATCAGGGTCCGACTCAGGAGTGCACGTAATGGCTTCTCGGGAAACCCTAATAGCCTCTTCTAAGTGCTTTATCTGACCTGTCTGCCTGTATTTTTCACCAAGTTGGATGCCTAGGTTGCTGAAAAGAGCACCACGCTGAACATAAGTAGGAGGCGCCAACTCGATTGCCTTGCGAAATGACTGGCAAGCAGCATCCAAGTCTATTATCATTGTTGTTCGGTCGTATTTATCGCGCAGGCGGGAAGCCATGTTATTCAACAACCCGGCATGTTCAGAAGGATATGAACTTGGAATACGCTCAACCGCTTGTCGATAGTAACCGATGCTTCTGTTCAGGTCACCCAGAGACTGGGTGTATAGATATCTGGTATATGATTTTTCTGCAAGTAGATTGAGTTGCTCGACTTGAGAAATGGGGTCATCCAGGTGCTGTTGTGGCTGGAAAAGCCCTCGAAGAAAGTCCATCGTTTATATCAGACTTTGCAGTACGGGAACAAGTACTGCAGGCAAGTTGGATGTGTCGAAAGCAACCTATCCTCTGGCTAGGCTGTACAATAAAAGCTGTAATGATTCCTGTAGTGGCGGGGTAGAGGAGAAAGATTGAGAATAGGAAGACAGTAAGCATGACGACAGCTTTTTATTTACCAAGATTGCAGCCTGATTTCATCACGTGCAGTTACTGCAGGATCGAGACGAATCATTGTGCATAAGAGACCTAAAGGGCCGTATGGAACTTGAGTGGCAATTTATTATATGCTATATACTAGTTAAGACATCGGCGCTGATACACTTCTCCCGTTCAAAATTGTGATCCAGAACAGTTCCACAAATACACCAGTAGCGTTGGTCAATATTCCACAGACTATTGACTATTATCCTCCTACAATCGGTCAGGAATGCTTCGTGGGGTAAGGATCACATCAAGAGGATCTCTCTCCCAAATAAAGTATGACTTGGTCCTGTGTTCCCATCCTATGGTGTTAGGGTCCAGGCTAATGTCAAAGTTCCAGAGCACTCGAGCCAGCATCACTCTCATTTCAGCATATGCCAGACTATAAACCAGTTAGTCATCATTGTGTTCCAAAAGTCAGACAGGATCACAAGAATGAAGCGAAAGAGAAATAACTGCCTTACTTCTTCCCAACGCAGTCTCTGGGGCCAACTGAAAAGGGTGTCAGTGCCCTTTTTGCGTCGTTCGCAAATCGTGGGTCATCTAGCCAGCGTTCAGGGTGATATTCGTCAGGGAGCGCAAAGTGGTCAGGGTTGTGATAGACAGCCCATTGCCAAACGTCCATTGAGGCCTGAGAAATTGTTAGCCATGATCAATGTCGTACTCACTAGAGTACATACTCCGCCAGGAATAAACTGATCGATGATGACATCTCCTTCATCACGGATCTTGCGCTGAATTCCATTAATGACAGGTGGGAACATGCGAAGACCCTCGTTCAGAGCAGCCAGCATGTAAGTTAAGCGCTGTGCGCTAATCATATCAATTTCGCTTTCCGATTTGAAGGATGATCGAACCTCATCGCAGAGTTTCTTCAACGTCTCTGGGTTACTGGCCAAGAAGTACGTGGTGGCTGTGAGTAACGTCGCGGTGGTTTCAGACCCAGCAATGGTAAGGACTTGTGCATTGGAAGCGAGTTCCTCAAAAGTCATTTCCTGTTCGTTTGAATACAGGTCAATAGTGTTCAGGATATTTGAGAGCTGCGTCACTTACATTCCCAGATGCTCCCGTCCTTTTTATCATGGCATCGATAAAGTCAGGGCGATTCTCCTTCGTCTCAAGTCTCCTGCGCACCTTCTCTCGTCGTATCCATGTGCTCCGCCCATTTTGAGCATGATTTTTTTGGCGTCAGGGCTGTGATGGCCTTTCTCAGCCAAGGCATTCGGGCAAGACATCCCTGGTACGCAATGTCTTTGATACCGGCAAAAATGAGGGTGACCCAAGGATGAAGCTCCTTGTTATCGAGACAGCCAAAGGGCTCTCCAAATGCCAAGTCGCCAATAATATCAAATGTGGCAAAGTTGTACCATTCAGCTATATCAACGGGTTTTGTGCCATTTTCGCATACCTCACGAAGCCCGTTGATGAACTTGTCAACATAACCTAGTATAATGGGCTCTTGATCTACCATAGATTGATGAGAAAACCCGTGGGCAACAGCACGACGGAAACGCTGATGATCTTGACGATTGCCGCCGATGATGTTGTCATGATTGAATTGAGCAACGACTGGGTCCTTGGAGTTCTCCCCGGTCCCGCCCTTGCGATGGCCACGAAGATCCTTCATTCCATCAGGATGATTGATAGAAAGGTCTTTTGGACCAATTCTCACAATGGGACCATACTGCTGATGTAGCTGAAGCATCTTGAAATGGCCTTGGCCAGAAAGAAACAACCGCGTGTAGGGAATGTTGGAGATGGCCCAGAGCTTCGGACCGGGGAATTTGCGCAGTGGATTGAAGAAGAGGTTGTAGACAGCTTCGAAGAGGAGATATCCGATCACCTTGGAGTTTTTAGTTGTCATACGGACAATATAGAAGCATGATACCAGGACAAGAGGCTTACCGAGACTAGAGCGAAAACTGGCAGTAATGCCAATGGACGTATAATTGCTCCATCTTCGAGGAGGGAGAGTAATGCCATGGTTATTGTTGAAGGAATTTGTTGCAAGTTTGAATGTAGATTTTATTGATGAGCTACAACTTTCTGACTGGAATCTTAGACGAAATGACGAAGCTTATATAGACTATTCTCTCGATACAGCTTGAGATAGAGGCAATGGAACGCCTCTTGGTCTACAAACTTGGCGCCTCATCGAGCATTGCACTCTCTCTAATACTCGGGTCCGAGCAAAACCCCGTGGGTGGATATAGTTTGCATGACTCACGTATCATCTCATGCGAAAAGTATCCAATTAATTTAAATTTACACGAAACTGATCAGTTGTAGCGTCTGCTAGAGAGGGTTATGGGTAAGGTAACTTAAGGTGAGCAAATCAACGAAGGCCTCCCATCATTGTTTTCTAGCCTATATGATAAATAGAAGTGATTGATATAAGGCCCAGTGGCGAGCCTTGGGCTTGACACCACTGGTGATCATTTTCGTGGAAAGTTACAGTATACCAGATCAATGTCGAACTTTATCTCTTCTGAGTTATGTAATGCAACCCCACGCGGAAACATTTGTGTTACAGTAGCATCTTGGGTCTCCTCAATATTGAAATGGTATCCATCAGGTAGAGATCCTCACATTTGACATCATCATGAACTGATACCATGTGTGATCGATGCATCTGAGGTTGTATGAAGATACAGTTTAGCGCTCGGAAATATGTGTATCAATCCGGTTAGCTGAGATACGGCCAGTATCCTGCTGCCAATTGGACCGGGTCCCAAACCGGACGGGCCGGTGGACCATGGGGTAGCATATGAACCTCTTCTTCTATGCATGAAGTTGCTAGTCTATCGTACTCGTTACAGCACAGGTTTTACAACTTGGTTATTGGAGGGCCACATGCTCGATTCCGAAACGAGACACTGCAATATTACCAATCGTCTGCCCGAATACAGAAATATCTATGCCACTTCCAAGACTCTTTGCACGGCTTGTGACTGGGATAGCCTGAAACCCCACTTGGCTAATGTCCAGCCCTTCAAGACAACTGCCGTGATTTATCACATGTAATTTTCAATAGGAGGTTTAGGCCCCATATTAAGCATATACGAGATGCATTATGCAGAAACAAAACGGAGCATGACCATCCGACGACATCCAGGATGATACATAACCGTCGTAGATAAAGATATCGGTATCCTCCACGGGCCCGAGACAAAAACTAACGTTACATTGCATCGCAATATTCTTAATTATACCCAGGATCAAGGTTTCCTACGTATTATTCTGCACCTAGACGTCGTATTGTGACGTGGAGCATGAAACATGGAATCGTGCGTGGGTATATGGGACTGAATTGTATATATGAAGGATCTAATCTGATAACGATAAGAAGATATAAAAGTAATTAATATATAGGCGATGGAAGATTATTAGTGAGTGATATCACAAGTGCATTATTTGAGAGGAGTTCCCTTGCGGTAGTCACAGTTGTGGCTATCAAAAGGACTTCCGCAACCATGGGAGCTGTCATGCTCAACAAACACAGCAGGCATGTTAAAGAAACAGCGAGGAATCTCTCCCTGGACAAGGTTGCTTGTGTCGACCTGATCACTATCTCCCTTGTTCAGGGCGCAGTCGATAAGAGCCTTGTAGTAAGTCTCGCGGTCGCCAAGGCCATAAGAAGCCATCTTCTCGTAGATATCTGCACTAACCTCATGCCACTGACCTTCACCGATAGGATTGGGGTCGTTTCGCATGATGTACCAGCAGTACTCCTCACCATCACGCAGAGGTAACCATTGACGACCAGTAGAGAAACCACACTTTTCACGGGTATCCTTGCCACCAAGCTTGTCTGCAACAAGGGACAATTTGGAGGCCTTCATAACGTCATTGGCAACCTTCTTCTGGATGTTGTTGGTGATGGAACCCAGAGTAACACGGACAGTCTCGACGTCGTCATCGAGCAGGAACCAGCCGCCATTGAACAACTTGGCGATCTTGGTCTGGTATGTATCCCACTTAGGGGCAGGAAGAGAGTTGTACTCATCTTCATTTCTACCGCCACCGGTGGCGATTCTAAGGGTGTCCTCCAGTCTGACCGAAGCCGCTTTGAAGACTTCGGCAAGACCAGCGGATACGGTGGCGGCTCCGTTATCCTCGTCATCTCCCAGCGACATGCCAGACATGAGACCAGCCATGAGACCCAGGCCAGCAGAAATGCCAGAGCCCTGCACGTTGGTGGTTAGAAATAGTTGACAAAAGGTGAAACAAGAGATAACCTACCACTCCAGGGATAAGACCTCCAAGGGCGTTGCCCATAGTCGCCGCCGCAGAAATCCAGCCTTTCATGTTATCAGGACTGTTCTCATCACCTCCAAAGTCCTCCATCATCTTGGGAATCTTGAGGCCATTGATAAGAGTCTCGGTGGTCAGTTGGCGGTGCAGTTCGGCGAATTTGCCATGCATGCCCTTGACAGACTGGAAAATCCAGTACGAGTTCTTGTTGATAAATGTTGTGCCATACTTCTCGAATTGTTGTTCGCAGCCGATGCCCCCCATAGGATTGCAAGAAGTTCCAATTAGACCACAACCACTGGCACCAGACTTGCCGTCAGTACCACCCATGACACGATCCTCAAGGTTCTTGAGCCAGTTGTTCTGGTGCTCTTAATGATAGTTAGTATTTGGAAACAATATCATGAGGAAGATGCTTACCGGGATGGCCGTTGATGAACAGCTCGAGATCGATGCCGGCTTCAGTCTTGGTCCAAAGGTCATCGACACCTTCGGCAGTTCTCAGATTCCAACCTTTACACATCTTTCCCTTGTCTGAGAAGACATCATCGTTGTCACGCTTGGAGAATAGAGGAGAGCCCTCTACCGCAGCAGCGAGGGCCAAAAGAGCAATGGCGTTCTTCATTGTGGTGAAGTAGCGAGAGACATATCTTGACTTTGTTGGTATTGTGAAGACGACTGTTGAAGGCTTGTTCCTCTAGCCCTTTGATGGAGTCAGACAGCCTATATATACTCATCGTTGTGGCTCAACTATCTTGGCATTATGCTGAGCTTGGCCGACAGTGAAAATTCACAGGCGTTTGCCGAGATGAGACTTGGCATCGTAGGATTCCAAGTGGTGTTGTATATTGTAATATAAACTGCCGTCAGGTAGTCAAAAGGATCTGAAGGATTCGTTGCCAAGAACATTGCCGCTGGGGTAAGGCTGTGTAAGGCTATAGAGCCTATAAAGATCGATGCTTATTAAGATACAACAACTATCATAATTAATGCAACAGGTTTGAATCCACAAATCGCATGTCAAAGGGAAATTGTCTCGCAATTCCTATAATCCCTGGACCTTTTTTCTTCCATCTGGGTCATTCACGAGGTGGGTCTTTTCCGAGCTTACTTTAATCGCTGGTTGGACACGCTAAAAACATAAACGAGGCTTTGACAACCCTGAAGAAATTTGAAACACGCTGGATTTCTGGAAGGGTTATTAGGTTTTACAGTTCTGATTGACAGTCTTTTTATTATAGACAAGGGAGGGATCAGGTTACATTTACGCGTTGCTTGCACGCTCATTCGTTGACCAGCGGCCATCCTTGAACTCGAGTGGTAGATGATGAGAGTCAGCACAGTAATGGTAACTTGGTAAATGTCAAAAGACTAGTCTAGTCCTATGTGTTAACTCCATGGTTGAGAGTGTTTCTTCCATGTGCTGCAAAACATGTTGGGTCTTCAGCTGTCAAATTTTCAGTAAGTAGTACAAACACGCGACCTGGAAGAAATGGCCGTACATACCTCGGCACCAGTAACACCAACATCTTATCCTGGATATATCTTGACTGAAAAGGAACTCTCTTTGAACTTTCCAATTAAATGAAAGCAAAATTTAACTATTATTATATCGTGTTACAGTAACTCCAGGTGGGTGAATATACATAAACTGGGCCGTTACCCTGGAGGTCAGCCACGTTGGTTGTCCTCGCCTATTATGTCCTGCACGCCGGGAGATGTTGTTAAAGGATCCAGTTTAATGTCAAGCAAGAATTACCTTACTACTTCTTCGTATTGCCTCAAATCGAAGGATTTTGTGGTGCAGCCTTTAAGCCACGGGGAAAGCAGAACTTATCTAGTCACTGTCACAAATAAAGTTCTTTACACACATTGTACAAGCAAAAGGACAGCAGTCAGGGAGATCAGATACACAATGTTTACGATGTCTTATGATTAAAGCTCATATATTGATCTTGTGGATAGTCAAGCCGATGTCGAGTTGCGCTTGAGCAGACTTGACGTAGTCTCATCTTTATTCACGGTGTTGAGATTGGCAACGCGCATGCACTTGTGGCCAGGAACCACAGGGAACCGGACTGTCCCACCCATCTGTTCCAGTCTTGTGAGAAAAATATCGCATAGAACTTGGACAAGAGAGAGGGTCACCAGAACGTGGTAATGGGCTTGACAACCTTTAAACAACTGGCGCGACACGCTCGTGATTGGGAGATCTCAGGGGTGGTCGTGGCCAATGACCTCTGTCCACACGAGACGTGCTTTCTTTATTCACCAAGCAATGACGCCCAGCCCATCCGTGTGTTGAGTGAGGTATGCTCCTGGTGGTAAATTGTGTAGGATTATGCGGCCTCGGTGTCTTCGTCAATTGAAGAGGTGGTAGGGTCGGCGGCGATGGAGAATATTTGAAGGCTAGTATCATTAGTGACAGTTGGGACAGCGGATATCGAGGCGTCGTACCTTGAGTTGCTTTCATTGTCTTAACCCTAGCTGTAGGGGTTAACAAAGGTGTAGCTGGCACGCGACAGACAGCATACATCGCTCGGCCATCATGACTTTGTTGACAACGCGGCAGAAATAGCCAATCACCCGAAATCATACAGCGCGCAAGTTGGCGGCAGCGGTATCGGCGAGGGGGATATCGAAGCAATCTCCTGGGGTGCAAAGAGCTTGTAGGTGGAGCTAGAACGGTGTTGGCCACCGTCGGCCGGATGAAGCTGGCTGGTCGCGCGACACGGGGCTGGGAACGGAGATGGGTAACGTCGCGGGAAAACATGACCGAGGTCAAATCACTTGGATGGGAGACGGTAGAATTTGGGTTACAAGTCGATGATATGTCCTTCAATCGTTCCCCCATAGACGTATCCTTATGTATTCGAGAACATCGTTCTTAACCATCTCTACCAGGTCGCCTCTTTCGAGAGAATCGGCCTTGACCACCAACTCGTCGACATCGTGCCTGACGTGCGTCAGTTCGTCGTCGATAGTTACCAACTCTGCGGTATTCTCGGAGGTCTGCTCCCCCACGCGGTCAATGTCGTCAGTCTGGTTCTCAAAGAGTGCACGTAGCTTGACTATGCCTTCTCTTAGATGCCGATTCTCGTTTTCCAGTCCCTTGATACGCTCTTCCATTCTTTCTTTCAAGCGTTGGTTCTCGTTCTCCAGCTCTTCGATGCGTCTGTTCAAGTCTTCTCTCGGGGGTTGTTTCGCGGTTTTTAGCCCCTTCAGCCGCTCCTCCATCTTTGCTAGCATTCGCGCTTCCATCTTTTCGAGCATAGCTTGTAATTCGGTCGTGGCACCACTGCGTTCAGCCCCGGAATCTTGGCGCCGCCGCTTTAACGGATTGATTGGGGCGCTCGGTGGTGGAGACCCGATTTCGTTATATGATGGAGGAGGTTGTCCAGTCTGGGCCGAGAGATGGATGACCTTGGCTCCATCGCCACCGTAGAGACTGGAGAGGTCGTAATCATTGCTACGAACTGATTTGGAACAATTTTGGCCGCACGCGTCACTGATGGATTGCAGCTGGCTGTTGGACAAGACACCATCTTGAATATAAACGGATAATGTAGTTGTATTGGAGATCTGACGGATAGCATCAAGAACTATCCTCGATTGCACACGAGCTGGTACAAGAGACTCGTCGGCATTTTTAGGGACAAGGGTATCAAAATTTTGGTTTAATTTAAAGTCAAGGCGCGTCGTACGAGATGTGAGCTTCTTTTGTATCGTGTCGGGAGCCTCTGTGGTGGAGGCGAAGGACAAGGTGCTGACAGCAGAAGAGCAAATACGCATAAGGAGCGCTGAAACGCCGTTGTCTCCATCCTTATCATCCTTCAGTCTGGTATTCTTTATCTTGATCGGTATGCTCAGTTCGAAGAAAGAGGTAGTTGCATCAAAGCGTGTCGTGAAGGTTATGCTGGCGTATTTGGGATCAGGCTCGATCAATGAACGGGTCGCGTCACCGTATTGCCATTCGATGACAGCAGGTGTCGATTTATCGATGTTTATATTCGACATATCTATATACGCAGAAAAAGGAGTAGGTTAGTTAGATAAAGTCCAGACTTACCAGATCACTCAGAAACAATACAGCGCAAAACAGACGGAGAACTGGTTTCGTCGACAGGTAACCCGTTGATCTCCAGAGCATAGCTGGCAGACCAAGCGTCAGCCCTCCAGAGCATAGCTGGCAGGACTGAACCAGGACCCTTCTACAGCCCCCGGTTGTTCCAACGAAGGGGCAGACTGGCGCAGAAGCGGAGTCGCTCGTTCGATGGGTACAAGTCGGAATTTTATACGGACTGCAGCGACGATGCGCAGGATCTTGACGCGATGTGCTGTATTGCGATGTTGTGATGGCGTTGTCGATGTTAATGATAGAGGCATAATTAAATGACAAGGCGGAGTGGAAACGAAGCAGAATGTCAGGTGATCCAAGGTGGATCAGTATGAGCATTCTTGTGATTCGTCAGAGCTGTGGCTGATTTTGGCCTCAGGCATTAACAATCTCGCAACATGCAAGTTAAATGGCAGCGATTGATGTACAGATTTTGGAATAATTCATGTCATCCGTGCAGTTTATATAAATGACTTGAACCTTTGATTCATCCACTAGTCTTTCAATTTTATTTCTGCATCTTGTTCTCTGAGGCACCTTTCTCTCCTCCGCTCAAGCACGTGTTGTAGTATGTGGGAGCGGTACAGGGATTCAAACACTTTGCCGCTATTGTTAGCGCAGTATCTGTTAGTGCTGCAGTTCTTTTTCACGGCAGATAAGTTCAACACAGCCAATAAGAGCCTTGATCAACTCCAACTCTCATTTCAGACTGGACGAGTCGACAGTCGACAATATCATCCGTTGTAGAAACTCATTCGATGTTGCATTAAACTTTTAAAACCCAATACAAAAAAAAAAGCCCAGCTGATCTTTTATAAGAGACCGACAGTAGCAACTAATCCGACTAGAGCCCAAACACTCAACACACGTTTCGCGCAAGCCCCACTAGTAAATGTCTCTGTAGGTGAGGCTTCACCAGTCACAACAACTATATCTTCATCAACGGTGCTTGTCGCTTCGTCACTTGCAGTTGTCGCCTTTGCAGATTGAGCATCGCTCGTGACGGATGCCTCAATAGAAGCAGCAACAGCAGTCTTGGCTGCCGAAAGATACTTCTCGCCGGCCGTGACTGTCACAGCAACCCAGTTGAAAGCTCCATAGCCAGCAAAGTAGTAAAATCCGTCGAACGCCGTGCCGGTGGAACGCGGGAAAGTCGCTGTAGGACCGAAATTGGCATTTCCGCCAATGTTGATAGTGGTGCATGTCTCAGCCCATGTTTTGCTCATTTGGCATTCGGCAGAGAAAGAGTACCCTTCTTCTCCCTCTTCAATGCCTTTATCGACATAAGATTCTTTGTAGATTCCTTTTGTAGGAGCTCCAGGTGTAGTTGTCTTGTCAGCCCACGGCCCGACAACGACGGTTTGCTTGGTAACGTAGCAATCGTCTTCGCCCTCCCAGGGGTACTTGTCCCAATCACAATCGAGGACGAAAGTAGTGGCCGTGGGATCAGCACCGACGACCTCGGCGAGGAAGTGGCCGTAATATGATGGAAGAAGAAGTGAAGTAGTTGTGACTGAAGACATGATGAGCAAAACTGATTTGATAGTAAATACAAGTGCAAGTCTGAAGAAGTGGTAGCAGAAGAAACAAATACGTGCAGGGACGTCGAAAATAATGGAGCTTTAATTGGGAGTTCGGAAATATCAGCCGATAATAAATTGAGCCAAGGCTTTGGTGTCTTGGCGAAAACATCGACTTTCAGGTGTACTTCCAAAACACGGAATAAATATGATAGTATTGTCCTATCAATATCGAAATCATACATTTGCACCAAAACTCCTGCCACTAAATCAACTACACTTGATACACTACGCCTTGAACCACTGGGTTGCGCTCTGATGGTCGATCAGACACAGCCGTTGAGGTTGGCCTAAAATAGAGGGCTCCATAACAATACATGCACACGACCAACAAACAATTAAAATTGCCTGCACGCACGACTCATGCCTCAGAATCTGGAGTTTCCAATATTTTTCCTCTTGCAAGTAGCAGGGATTATCTCTTTAATAGCTGTATTTGTCGAAATGATCTGTCCAAGGCAGCGATCAATACAATTCCCCCATCTACGTGCAATAATGAGCATAGATTGTGAAATCCGTTAGTGAAAGATCCGCTCCTCAAGTTTAATTACATAGCGTCTTTAAACTTACATCCGCAAATGAGTGGGCTCTGAATCGGCTATTGGTCTCAGCGGCGATGGTCTGTGTCTGTCTTAAGATAAGAGGTAAGCAAGGGGAACTAATTCATCACGAAATGTCAAGTACAGGGTCACGAGCGTTATACTCGGGTGAACCATTCTACCAACAACTTACCAGTTAATGTTCACTAAACAGAACTTTATCTTTATGCTACATAAATCTAATATAAACCCCGAGGGCATCGGCATCAGTGCCTGCTCCTGATTAGATATCCTCATTATGAGGATATCATCTGAGGAAATGGCAAGGAAAAAAGAAACGGGATAGTGTTCTTTGGCATTCAGAACGGTATCCAGAGCGTTTCCCCCCAAAGTTTGAACTTGGGCATAAGTTGATTTGCATGGGAGGAGACTAACAGTGAACACTGTGTTTAAACGCATATTACCGACGACAAAGACAACTGCAGAATCAGTGACATCAAGATGAAGAAAATCATCAAGGATATTTTGTGCATTACTATATAGTCAGTCTACATAGTCCATGGCTCGTCCATTGCCACGATTCCAGATTAGGCAGTCTTGTCAGCAATTGATCTTATGAGTGTCGACTACTGCCAGATCTGGCCAGCGACCCAACAAATCCTTTCTTATAAACCCCACCGACGGATTCAGATCAAGGATTATCTATAATAACATGGCCTCTTATTGGGAGCGGCACCACTGCCAGGTCCATATTCTGGTTGACTGATGCCGTACAGAGTCGCCTTCATATACCCCGCACCAGCCTCTCAAATAAAATAAAGTTTGGTGGCATTCCCTGACATCAACAACCTGAAGACCCAATCCATCCATCTTTCTTCAAGACACACATCTACAAACATGAACTTCACCTTGTTCTCGGGTGTTTCTGAGCAGCCTCGTTTACCACATGACCCGTCAACTGAGTCTTTTGAACTCAGGGCCGTCGCGGGACCCGATATCTGGCGGACCCCTTCTTGTGCTGGAGGGCGAGACGATTTCAACGGTCCAATCTATGCAACTCCTCTTGCACTAAATTCGTTCAAAAAGGCCAAGGTCACGGTATCAGCCAATTTTCACGCCCCATACTCCCAGGGCGGTCTTATTCTGTTTATGCCCGAGTCTGATCCGACTGTCGATACCGATGGGCAGTCGTCGCGCCTTCACGTATCGCCAAGTACATGGATCAAAGCTGGAATTGAACTCGTCGATGATCAGCATTTCGCCTCTGTAGCGGCAGGCAAACCATACTCCGACTGGAGTTTGACGAGATTAGGCGAAAGCACCGCCACGTTTGAGTTGAAAAAGACAAATGGATCTCTTTGGGTTTACGTTACTGGGTCTGACGGACAGAGGACACCGTTGAGGAAGTTGACATGGGTTTTTGATATGAAGCCTCAGCGGGATATTTGGGTTGGTGTGGCTGCCTGCATGCCCAAGGGAGATGGGACACCGAACGGCGGATCGTTGGCGGTCCAGTTCAAGGACTTTAGTATTACAACAGAGTGATGTTTCGAAGATCATGTGGCAGTAGACCAATTCTACAAGGAAGTTGCCTCTATTTACTTGGTTCAATCATGCTCGAGATACCACATTTCGTGTAATAGCAAAAAGGTAATTGGACACTTTAAAGGCACTCTTGCACTCTTGGCACACGTCCATTTCCGAATATTGGTCACGGATTCGGAATCAGACCGATGGATTCTGAATCGTAACCCGGTTAAGCTTATCTGCTTGGCTGTACGCGTGAAATGGTAGGCTAACTTTGATTCCGCACCTAACACGACATGGATTAACCCCGCACAACTATCAACGAACTATCCCAAACTTCCCCGGATCTCCCAGAGACTTAGAGATAGTCTTCTATGAAATCGCGGGGTAACTGACATCCGTTGCATTCCCGATTCCGATTTCCGAACTGCATGTTCAACGAGGGAGTTGCAATTGCAGTCTTGATTTAAACCATGGAGTCCCCTGCTCTTTTGAGAGTCTATCCCTCGTTACTTACCTTGCGGTACGGCTAACAGCGAAGATCGGCACCAACAACACCGAGTCTGATCTAATATTCTTTCCCGTTAAGCCATCAAAATGTCAGATAAAATCGACGAACTAGCCACCGAGGCGAGAATCAGCCAAGATGAAAACCCCAAAGCTGAAAGTCAGCTGATCGATCCCATCCTTGAGAAGAAACTCATAAGAAAGGTCGACCTTAATCTTGTCCCCATCCTCTTTTTGCTTTTCCTCTGCGCCTTTATCGATCGGTAAGCTATCTCTGAGTCATAAGACAAGTCTGCACTCTCTAATGCGCTCAGTATCAACATCGGTAATGCTCGAATCCAGGGCCTCGAAGCCGATCTCAACATGACTGGTCAGGATTACAACATCGCTCTTTTTACCTTCTTCATTCTCTATATCATTCTTGAAGTCCCGTGTAACATTCTTCTCAAGAATACGCGACCATCACTCTTCCTCTCAGCCATCATGACAGGATGGGGCATTGTCACCATCTGCCAGGGTCTCACCAAGTCCTTTGCAGGATTGATCGTCTGCCGTGTCATTATTGGTGGGCTCGAGGCAGGGTTTTTCCCAGCTTGTGTGTATCTACTCAGTATGTACTACTGCCGCCATGAACTCCAGTGGCGTTTCAACCTCTTCTTCTCAGCCAGTATTATTGCGGGCGCCTTTAGTGGTCTTCTAGCTTATGCTATCGCTCACATGGATGGAATCGCTGGGTATGGTGGTTGGAGATGGATCTTCATCCTCGAAGGTATCGCCACTGTTATCATCGCTATTGGTAGTTATTGGCTCATTCCAGATTGGCCCGAGACTGCAAAGTTCCTTTCTGACGATGAGCGAGCACTTCTCATTCATCGCCTTGCTGAGGATAGAAAAGATACACATATGAACACTTGGAATGCCAAGACGGCCAGGCGGATATTTTCAGATATCAAGATCTATCTTGGGTAAGCCATTAGAAAAATCTCCTTTTCGCATTGAGCTCTAACTAATATTTCAAGCGTTCTTATGTACATGGGCATTGTGACAACTAGCTATGCTGGCTCCTTCTTCACTCCGACCATTCTAAAACAACTGGGCTGGACATCAATTCGCGCTCAGATTATGTCTATCCCCATTTTCATCTTTGCAACTGTTTGCGCACTTGTCTCTGCAATTGCGAGCGATAAGTTGAAGCATCGCTCGGGTTTCATTATAGGGGGTTGCTGTTTCTCAACTATTGGCTATGTTATCCTACTCAACATGATGTCTGTCACTGTAGGCGTTCGATATTTCTCGCTTTTCTGTATTGTTGGCGGTGGCTACATTGCCCAGCCAATTGTACTGGTCTGGTTGAGTAACAATATGTCTGGCCACTACAAGGTTGGAGTCGCTTCTGCTATGCAAGTTGGCATAGGCAATGTGGGTGGAATTATTGCTAGGTTCGTGATTGCCAGCTACTTCTTTAAACTGACCAGCTAACCAGGCAATAGCAATATGTTCATCACGACCGAGGCTCCAACTTACCCTCTGGGCTTTGGACTGGGACTTGGCCTTGTGTGGCTCTGTGTCCTCAGCTCTCTCACATTCTTGTTCTATATTCGACGAGAGAACAGATTGAGAGAAGAGGGCAAACGAGATGACAGATATAACTTACCCGAGGACGAAAAGAATAATCTGGGTGACGACCACCCAAGCTTTCGCTTCACCTTCTAAGTAGCTACCATCACTCACAACAGTTATGTTTTTCTAGGCATTTCCAGAAGCTGGATAAATCTTTCTATGGTTTCAAAATCTTGTTTATAACACCTTAACATAAACTATTTGCTATATACTGCGGATATCTGGTACCGGTTATCCAAATTCCACGGAAGTACTTTGACAGTATTGAACCAACACAATCAAACGTCCACATCCAACTCTCACAGATATTGGTTACATGTCCTTCCAAAATGATAGATCACTGGTAGAGCTTCAAAGAGTTGATGGTCCAGTAAGCTTCCTTGAAAGCACCAGGCTGGTTGGTGACATAGTCGTCGCAGGTGGCATAGCCAGTCGAGGCTCTGCACTCTTGGTTCCAGATTCCTTGGTCGATGTTGCTTCCGCAAAACGCCGTGTTAAAGATCTGTAATAATCAGCATAATTCTTCAATCTCACTCTGCAGGGTTATCTTACAATAGTCTGCTTCTTGAAGTATTTTCCAACATCACAGTTGCCATTAGCATTGACAAACTGAGTGGTAGCAGGCTGACCCCAGGTGTTGGGCTCTGGCTTGCCGTTCTTGATATCAGCGGGAATACTGTTACGAGGGAACCACCAGATCTTGACAGCCTCAGTTGTCAGCCATGTGGCGTACACACCACCCTTGTTGGTATTGAAGGTCTTGCCGTAGGAGCCAGACGGCATGGTGTTGCCACATCCGGAACTATGCAGGTTAGCTCAGCTTGAATTTGGATACTATCGATGCACTGACTAGTTGACTCCATCAGAGCAGTAGCGGGTATCAGAACCGCCTTTGTTGCAGTTGTTCCTAGGCTCAGCACCTCCGGGACGGTTGAAAATGCATGCTCCACATGTGTGCAGAGAAACATAGTTGCCGTTCTGGTTGCCATTGATACCCTCGATGATATCAATCTCACCAATAGGATCCTCGTCGAAGTTATAAGACCAGCTGCAGTTGTCAGAAACCCCCCTGTATCTTTTAGAAACCACAAGAAACTTACTAGGCAGGCCAGACACCACAGGCAACTCCCGGCATGTGCTCAATATCAGCGATCAGGATGCCCGAGCTGTAGGACTCCTTAGACTCAAGACGAACGCTTCCACGTCCATGCTTGAATCCTCCAGGCGTGAGGAGCGCTGCTTTATCTGCAGAGTTCACTCCAAGATGAACTTTACCATTGTTGGTGTGGACAATACCAGAGCTCACTGCTTGGTTTCTGCTCAAGTAGTTGACGGAGCCACCAGTTGGATCGCCCTCGTAACCGGGGTCGATACTATCAAAGTAGGCACGCTACACGAAGTCAGTAATGCAACATATCTTATAATTGGTCAAAGTTTGGTCTTACATCTCTGAAGTTGAACGAGTCCAGGAAGTTACTGGAGTCATATGTCTTCCTCAGTGTAAAGGCAGCCTGGCCTTGAGTGGCCTCGGCAGCAATGAGAAGAGCGAGAACTGTGTTTCGGAACATGGCGAAGTAGTTGCGTCTGAGTTACTGAAACTTCGAACAGCATCTAACATGAGTCTTATATATACCCGCAGTGTTCGGATCGTGGAGTATCTGTTCGTATAGCAGGCGTTTTCCTCGCTTTGGTCCGAATAATGCGACCATTAGTCTGATGACTGAAAAACGCAACTGCAATCCTTCGACCGGCCCAGATCCTTCTCTCTGCATGTATGAACATATTTGTGGTCAGTTTGGGGTCCAAAGAACATCAGACCAGCTTGAATTCGAGCATAGTAATCCTGCCTATTGTTCCTGATCTGATACCTTGTAGTCAATATTATACCTCATTATAGATGTGGTAGGCATGTCCGTCCCAACCATCTCAAAGTGGTATGGCGCCAATGGAGGATAGAAACCTGGTCCCGGGAATCCTTCGAGAATCCTTCCAAGTTCTTTCGTGACCTTCCGGATATAGTCTGGTCGGTTATCCACCGCGTAAAAAAACAAGATCTTTGGTTGAGTTCATGGTATAGCACACCATCCAGGCTAGGGTTACACTGACTATTGGTTTCAATTGGACGGTACCTGGGCAATTTTCGCTGATCCCACTATAACTAGGCGCGGCCCGGGCTGCCGAGATTACATTGAGCACAAGATTATGCATACACGAGGTTCCCTTGCATCTCCCTCTTTTATCCCGTCGAATGGTTTTACTGAGAAATCTCTTTTCTCATGGACAAGCATGTTTGAAAATACTACTTGTATAGGGAGACAGAAAACGAGCCACACGTCCCCCTTTGCGTAAGCGAATGCGGCTTGCGTCTTCGAGACCTACTACTACATAAAGTCTCGCTCAATAACAACTGTCTCGTTTCTCCAACGGCGTGACCGAATCTTTGAAGCCGAATTTAACATGCTTCGCGCTCTTTTCTTCTCCTGTACTTTCGGACATGTCATTGAGTAAGCCGAACCGGAGTTACACATCATCTAGTGTACCGTCGTTCGTCTCAGCTCCCAGAGACAGTCCCGCGTTGATGACTGCAGTGTCCAATTCGGCATTGCATGTTGTGTATAGAAGACTGGAGAACGAGCTATCATGGACAACGTCATTCGAATAAATAGCCCAAAATCCAGCTAAAAGAAATAGGAGGGTGGCGAAAGCAGCTAGTGCGTAAGAAAGGGCCAGGCGACGGGGAGAGTATTGATAATGTACTTCAGTCGTCGAAACATCTGCCGAAATATTAGAGACAGTGTGAGCTCTAGTGTCCAATTAGCACTTGGATATGGTCTTATGTTGGTAGGTCCTCACGTTAGTTCAGGTACACTTAGTAAACTGATAGTGATATTATTCATCAAATCCTCGAGTGCGCGGACTAACATCCGATTTCAACACAACTATTCCTCCTCTGGAAAAGGTGACTGAGTGAGAGCTTTGTGATTGTAGAAGTTTGGCCTCATCCAGCTGGTATTTGTGAACTACTCACAGGCTGTCAGGCCGGTCGCAAGCACCGGGTTATTCCCGCCCTGGCGGAGTTCTTCTTGTGAGACGTCATACTTTCCGCTGATTATCCCGCCTAGTGTTGATGGAAAGGCACGGAAGACGGAGTAATATGCGCCGTTTTCGCCAGAGGATGGTTTCATATACCCAGGGTCTTGGACCTTGTTCCTCTTTGTATTTGAGTATACGGCAATCGGCCTTGAGTTGAGGTAGGAGTATTGTACCACAAAACTGGCATTGACCAAGGAACAAACGATACTTTGATCCGAGGTTTGTACTCAAAGCTGCTGTGTTATATTTTCTCCCAGTCTAGGACGCTTCCACAACACACTGTGATTCAATGGACTTTCACCTATGACAGGTTTATCGATAGTCGGCGGGAAGGCAGCATATATAAGTAGCCCATCTTGGTTAAATGTTTCGTTCGGGGGGCGCATAGCCTCAGGATTCACGACTGCAAGATTTTTATACCTGAATAAATCCTCGGCAACAATTGCAAACTCTCTGTCTTCACTTTTTGTGCTACGGCGACAATTCACCGATGGGCCGTAGAAGCTATATTGGAAAGTTGAGTACGGGGCGGGAGCAGTGGGAGCCAACATAATGCCTCTGTATGCAACACGTTTCGCATATAAGTGAGCGTTAGATGTAGGGATTAAATAATTGTAAACTGTGCCATTTGTGTTTCGTTCTAGCAACCACTCGACAGTCCTGTTGAAGTCCGGAATTGAGATATTTCTGGTTGATGTACTATCGTCAAGTCCGACCGACAGCGTTGCCGGGGGTGCTATAGACGCTAAAGGAAGACACCTGCAAAGAATGACAAGGGATCCGATGTGAGAGTGAACATCTTATCAATCACGGATATTTCAATATCATGACATCTGAGCGTGCGCCATATCACTTGCTTGAAAGCCGTAGTGACGCAGGCTTGAAAACAAACAGTTGCCATTAGAGCGAACAGCGACCCAACCCGGATAGTCCATTGCTGGGATTTGGTAGATCGCGTAACTGCGACTGACATAGACTGGTAGAAAACATGGTGGCCGATAGCTAAAGCAATGCCGCATAGGAAGAAGAGACACATAATGGCAGGCTGGCGAAGAGTGATGCGCCATTTAGCAAGCCGATGCTGCACAGCCTGATTCCCGCACGTGGACTCATTAGAATCATTCAAGCGCTCGATTTGCGAGTCGTCGTGATCGATTATACGAATACCTTGCCTGCGGTTCATTACCATGTTTGCGTTGATACCGTTGGCCAGAGCCTCCGGCGCATGACTCAAAAGACCCTTAAAGGGAAGAGTAACACGACGAAACGGGGCTAGATAACGAGCGTTGTTCGTAGATAGGCAGATAGGCTTGTGAGATTTAGGTGACACAGACACAAAGCTACCATTAGTTCAGACAGCCATAGTTGTGTAACAGGCTTAAGTGGACGCAACCACCACAGCCTTCGCAATCAGGAGGGCGATATAAATGGAAATTAGATTTATCTTAGTAGGTAAAACTGATAAGCTTTCGGGGGAATCCACTGAGTACGAAGTAACCATTCTCCATGCGTGTTGCGTCAGAATTAATTAAAAGACAACCACAGGGTAGCAGCCCCTGACTTGATTCAGGCCCATCCTGCGGGGCAACGTATCAATCACGCGGCAACCCTGACAATATGTGACTGGGATCTGTTCTCAGCTGAATTTTTGGGCTCTGGATTTGGAATATGTAGGCAAAGGAAAAGGTACAACTTCACACGTCACTTTCTTATATATTCTCTCTGTCCCCTAGGAACCTCATCCGTGAAACTTAACGTTAGTTCGACATCGTAGCTTTCCTTTAGGCGAATATTCTCTAGTCAACAGACAGGAATGTCAGCAACCTGCGACGTGGCGCACAAGACGAGCGTCGAGATTGTGGCCTCAGCTCCAGCCACCATCGCCAACACAGACCTCACGGAAACCTTCGCTGCCGCGGCTGAAGCTAGGACAGCCACTGAAGGTCTCATCGATACCGATATTACTATTGAGTTTGCCACCACTGAATCTACTGCAACTGATTCTGATAGTCTGCGACTGAGACAAAAACAACTCCGAACACCACAACTATAAATGAGTAAAAGACAGTCACCTCAACACATCATATTTGAGAGATTCATTCTCGGAGTTATAAACGATCCCGGATATACATATATACGTAATACGCATTGACTCCACAGAATTAAGTGTTCTCTAGGGCAAGATCCGATAGGTTGCTGAAGCCACTTCCGCAACCACTACAGATTACCTGGTAGGGCAGAGAAACACTAAAGATAAACAAGGGAACACTGAGTCGTGTCTCGCATGACAGAGAACCAAGGGATGAGATGGGTGTGCCAAGTTGGAGCCGTGCCCTCATAAACAGACGAAAAGATATGATCAGGACTCGGGCTGTTTCCTAAGCTCTGTCGCACGATGACTTGGGAACCATCCACTTCTTTATCCTTCATCCCGACAATAATAAGATGAGGATGAATTGAATGCCCTTGAGCAATTACCTGTGGGTGGCCTTGAAACTCGGGTCGTGCTCTTAGTTCAGCCCGGAATATGGTACTAACCTACGCTATCTACTCACTGACCAGCTTTACTAGGTTACCAGTACTAGACTGTCGTTTTACTAGCCATAGTGTGGCGCCAAACATCTCCACCAGAACATTGAAATCTACTTGGTCAGTAACAAATGAGTCTACATTTCGCATCTGGAGTTGTCGCGCATAAATGAGTTGTTCGTAGCCTCCCGTCGTCCCCATCAGTGATATTCACGGAATAGTTCGTTCTAGATAACAAAGATCGTGCGCCGCCAACCTGGTCAAACGCAATTTCCTTGCTTTAGCTTTATCGCTACATTCCAGGATGTCGCCTGTAAAGTTTAAATTCCCAACAGTCAGACATCCTAGCCAGGGACTCTACTACCGGTTCTCTACTAAGGCATCCGTGCCTGCCGCCCAGTAGAAACTATTTTTACGCCACTAACGCATCCGGGGGTCCGATCACCAGTTCCACTACGAATATCGCTTAGTCGATCATCCATCCAACGCCTCTAACGCCTCTAGGGTCGATCTTCATTCCTTGAGTCGTTTCGCAAAGAAAAGACTAATTGCTCCAATATATACCCTTGGCAAGGCCCCTCTGCCTTTTCCTGGTCTGCATTTGCGACCTGGAAAAAATGCCTATTGATGGTCTCCTCGAACTGTATCGGGGCCATGTCGTCCCTAAGGAATACAATGCGGGATACGTCGCCCTGAGCTATCTCATCAGTCTCGTGGGCGCTGCTTCCACTCTAGAATTGATCAATCGGAGATCATGGTTCAACGGTATTTCGAATCAGTACGTGATATGCCCCAAGATGTAGATTTTTCCAAGACGGCCTGCTTACACGTGCTTTAGCTTGGTGCTCGTGTCCTCAGCGATCACCATGGGCGGTATATCAATATGGTCTATGGTAAGTTGGGACAGTAATTAATCCACAGCATCTTGTTCTTATGCTTATCTACGGTTTAGCATTTTATCGGTAACCAAGCCCTCACTCTCGGCCGAGGGGAGGCAGAGATGCAAGTCGACTATTCCATTGGCATCACAGTACTCTCTTTTTGGATGCCTGTCATCTTTCTTCTCGCCGCCTTTTACGCCATCGGAATCTCAAATCGAATTGCTTGGTGGAGAGTCATCACAGCCGGCATCCTATGTGGTTCCGCCATTTGCGGAATGCACTACCTGGGTAACGCGTCAATCAAAAACTATGAATGCATCTATAGCAAGGTTTACATCGTCGGGGCTGCTATAATTGCCGTCGTTGCCAGTACTGTCGCATTAGCAATGTTCTTTATCTTGCAATCTCTATCGGGTGGTACTTGGTGGAAGCGAACAATATCCGCTTTTGTACTGGCTGGTGCAGTATCCAGTATGCACTGGTGTGCATCTGTTGGAACCGAGTATCGACTTGTTCGGCTTAGAAGAATCCAGGAAAACTCACGCACTGCAACTGTAGTAGCAGTTATCTGTTTGGTGAGTGTTTGAGGACATCCGTCCACAGGTCAGCTGAGCTAACTAGGGCAGTCTTTCGGCGCTTGTATCATCATTGCTGGATCAGCTATCCTTCGGGCCCGTACTCTCAAACAAGCAGCTCGTCGTGCTCAGCAAATCGAACTGGGCGCTATTGTGTTTGATAAGAACGGCCGCCTACTTATTGATTCTAATGGAGTGTTCCCTAGTACTGTCGTTACTGATTTCTTCATTGGCGAGGTAAGACCAAGAATAATTATGCTTCACTTTCATTCGAAATACTAATTCACCTTCTCTTCCTGTAGAACAAAAAGGAACGATTCAACACTTCGCATTCTCAATTTGCTTGGATGTTCCAGGCCTCACGTAATTGGATTGGTATTTCAGGACTAATCAATGGAATGAGACGGCATCTTGAACAGTTGCCTCACAAGAGCCGCCACAGGGACGCCAAGAAGGGTATCCAGCTCATCACCGACGATGGGAAACTTATCGAAGGATACGATGTCATCTTCCGTGAGCTCTTCTGTGTCGCAGCTGCCGAGCTCAGTGATCAGCTCAATGAACCTCTTATCAACGTCGGCGTTCTATGGGACGAGGTATTACCCAAGGAAACAGCATCCAACCAAGCATACCTCCAGGCACTCGAGAAGTACAGGGCCACTGGCGACTCTAGCGAGACAAGTTCCAAGGGCGCATCTGAGCATCACAACATGGAGAAAGAAGTCGGACTCGAGGAAGAGATAGATGGACGAGGTGCGCTGATGTTCTTGGTTCGCCGCCTTACATCAGACGAAGAGATGCAAAGACTGGTATCAGCTGGATACCGCTTTGTCGATCCTGGTCAAGTCAGCAACAATTCGAGGTTTCACCAGCAGATTCAGTCAACCGAGTTCAAGACAAAGCTTCGCGATATGAGAATCTTTGTTGATCAGAAAATTCGGATCAAGGCCGGAGTTCATCTTGGCTTCTTTGCCATCCAGGATACAGGAGTCAACAAACCCCAAGTTCTGGTCCGAAAAGATGCTCGCCATTTGCTTCCTTCAATACCGTTACCAATGAAGACTATTCAGAAGTCCCAAATAGGGCTCTTGGAAAGGATAGCTGGCTTGCCGGTGCCAGAAGCCCTTCAAAGGTTAAGGACTAGAGGTGCCACACCAAGGTCTCCTGATGAAGAAAGCTTCGCCAAGCATCTCTCCAATGCGATCCACTCACTACGGAAAATGGTGGATGAACCTTCTTTCCAAGATGCGGTGCTGACGACATCGATGGTGCGACTTCCATTCGGCCTCGACGGCGATCAGGTAGACGAAACAGTCATTATGGCGCTGCGGCTCAAAATCACACATCCCGTTTTTTCCACCAGCCCCAACTGCCAATGGATGCCGCTTAGCTTCTTCAAGATGCGGCAAACGTTGGCTCAGTCCCGTCAAGAGTTCATCCGAGTTCTCCATGACGAGTTTGATCCTTTAACGTTGCCTGCAAGCCGGGCGAATAACAAGCTCACATCTGGGCCTGTTTCAACAATGCGCCGACTTAGGAGCGCTGTGACAACAACAGAGTCCAAAGTCAAGAAGTCTGAGATGACAGTGATGCGGACCAGAGCTGAATCGAAAGACTCCGGACGATCGTCGTCAACAGTCAACTTGTGTCCTCCTGGAGGTAGCGATGACACCCCTCAAATACCAGAAACGATGGACATTCAACCCCCTACGGAACGCCATTACTCGGGGTACCAGCAATCATTCTTGAATGGTGGAATCGTGGTATTTCAAGAGGTGACAGTTCAGGTTGAATCAAGAAAACCTGAGCCTCCTCGCGATGACTTGGCACCGTCGTGGAGTCATGACACGGTGACTGAGCCACCGTATGAGATTGAGTCTCATCAGCCTGGACTGCCAACGGCAAAGGCGATTGAGTTACAACCGTTGGGTTGGGGTAAGACTGATGTTTCTGTCAAGTCACATCAGTTGAGTGATAGACAGATGGATCATAATGTTGGGACAATAGCGGCTTTCATTGATACCTTACTTATAGAGTTGTATATATCTAGCATATAGATACCTTGAATAATGACAAAGACATGATATTTATACATGAAGAGGAGAGAATGAAGTTGATGTATGGCCTGACTAGTATGATGGCTTCGTATCCAGATTTATATTTCTACACTTGTGCAACCTCGATACTACCTTGGCACTCAGAGAATACCATCAACAATTTGGGGGTGTTGGTAACAGAGCTTGAAATTGTGTTGGTAGATACGTTGGCATATCTGCCCAGCCTTGGTTGTCTCGCCATACAATTGCCTTCGATCCTCCAACTCATGCACCCCGCGAGGCAAAAACGCGCAGCAACATGATGCTTGTTTACAATAACGAAATCCATCCAAAATCGGGCGAATGGTTTAGTGGTATAATACTCCCTTAGCATAATTCGACTGAATAATCTGGGAGTGGTCCAGGGTTCGATTCCCTGTTCGTCCATCGTCGGTGGTTAGATTCCGCCATTGTACCTTCATTTTTTGTCATTTCTGTAGGATCGTGGCCTTTTCATTTTTGAGCAAAATATTTCTAAATTACGTAGCGTTGTGTTTTTGTTGCAGCCATTGGTCGAAACATAGTTGATTAATCGCCAGAGACGCTAATGTTGCTGAAGTCGCTTGTTGGCTCTCTTGGCTAAGCGTCCTCGATCCGGTAGTGTTGATAGAAACTAAGATAAGTCAATCGACAATTCAATAGTTCAACATTCATAAATATGAAAAACCTGCAACTATGAGATAGTGGCGTGGTTAGTCAACGTTGAAAGTTTGGAGAGGCTGTTGGCCTTCCTCAACTACGAACTTCGTGAGTACAGAAGTCATTCGAAACTCTATACAACCGATGCTTTCGAAGAGAAGATTCGATGTGATACTTCGAGATGCGGTGTACCTAATAATACGAGCAAGATAAAATATAAACCAGGACCCAGAAGTCGGCTTAATATTTGGCCTTAAGGTGTTTCCTGTTTACCGTGCTACGCAGACTCTGGAGTATAAGATCGGGTGCGAGACTAGTGCGTGGAATTAGATTTTCTGCAATATTGCTGGAGACAATCTTGGCACTTTTCAAAGAGCAGACAATGTCCTGATTCCATGTATATCAATCATTCATTGAAATGACGCACAACGTGCTTTTCTTATGATCGGGGATTTCTCATAATCTGGGGAAAGGAAGATGACACTCCGAGAATCCCGCCGCGTATCGTAAATGCCGGGTGATAATTACTAGAATAGGCAGGTAACTGGCACCAAACCTTGGCGGATGCAGGGGTGGACAAATTTAAACTTGATCGGTCTCTTACCCCTGGTGAGATTTTGGCTCAATGCAGCAGGTCTGCTTCTCGAATCTGGAACTATGTAACGATTCGAGTGACAGACCCTTGGTAGATAATTTATTGCTTCCTATATGAATCGAGTTCCTTACAGGTGGGGTTACGATATCGTGAAGCTCAAGGCCAAGAGATGTATCCACGTGTGCTGCATTGCGATCTGCATTGAGGACTCGTGATCATATTGCCGATGTAGGTGATACTGCAAGAACGGACTGCAACGCTAAAAAGAGAAGGTTATCTGGTAATGTGTATGATTGCTGTATGAATCGGTAGGTGGTGTTGCAGTCTCTTTGATATTGTCTTTGGCGGTATTTTGGCAACATTGGTGTTAGCAAAAGTATAAGAAGCAGGATAGATCCTCCTAACAACTATTCCTACTCATCAAGCCAATCCAGGACAAGCCCACTACATTCGTTCAAGAAAACTGCATCATGAAGCCCACTCAAGTCCTCGTTGCCCTTGCGGCTATTGCCTATGCCGCCCCAGTGACAGAGGGCACCACGGCCAAGGCTTTGGAGATTGACGATGACTTTCCCCTTGCTGAACTCGAAGCTTACTTTGAGGCCCACATGAACAGCGAAGACTCTGAGGCCAACTCTCTTCATGCTCGGCAGTTTAGCTCCAGCACTTACAACCAGCTGACTGATGGGACACCCTGCCGTCCAGTCACAATGATTTACGCTCGAGGCACCACTCAGGCTGGTAATGTTGGAGACTCAGCTGCCGTTGGGCCTGTCCTGTTCAACAACCTTGCCTCCCGCATTGGTTTGAACAACCTGGCTGTCCAAGGTGTCACATACCCTGCCAATATTGCTGGATATCTCGCGGGAGGTGACGCTGCTGGTAGCAGGACTATGGCTACTCTGATTGCCCAGGTATGCTCATCAACAAAAAGAAAGGTGACTGGATCCGTTTATTAATACTATTCGCAGGCCGCTAGCCAGTGCCCCAGCACCAAGATCATCATCAGCGGCTACAGCCAGGGCGCCCAGCTCGTGCACAACGCTGCTGGTATGCTGTCCGCTTCCGTGACCAACCGAGTCACTGCTGGTCAGTACCTACACCACCCAACTCAAGACCCTTGACTAACTAGATGTCTGTGCAGCTGTTACCTTTGGTGACCCCAAGCGCAACCAGGCTTTCGGCACCATTCCTTCTGCTCGTACTCGCGTCTTTTGTCGCGCTGGGGACAACATTTGCGATGGTGGAATCATTGTCACCCCAGCACACAGCCAATACCAGCAAGATGCTCCTGCTGCCGCTGAGTGGATTGCTGCCCGTGTTTAAGAATTGGATATGTTGAAATGATCTTGTACTGTCGCAGTCTGCTGTTGTCCACCACTATAGATATACATGCATGATTAGCGATAGAATAAATACACTACAACGAGATTATACCGTATCAATGTAGTTCTCTTGAAAAGCCGTTGAAATATTAAGTGACCGGTCAGACACCACAGGTCAAGTCTAGTGATTTCTAAGAATACATTCAGAAGGTACCTAGGTGAATCAATCTCTGCTGCATTTAATTAGCCAGGAGAACGAAAATCGTCCTTGCATCTAGAAAGATGTCCAATCTCAATCTGCCATCATCCCAGTCTTGGCGTTGTGAATGGCCAAGTGAGGTCTCCTTCAAATCTGCTGTAACGACAACCGTACCGACTGCTTGCAATTTGTAATTATCTGTACCGTCATAAATTCGAACTATGACGGCTCTTCGCGGGAATTGAAGCCAGCAGATGATGTCCCCCACGCGTATATCGCTGGAAGAAAGGCCCAGTATCTTAGGTACCCCATTTCTAACGAACATTTAGAAGAGGCGAGGGCTATTGGCAGAAGCCTGTTCTGTACGTGAATTGTCTTCCTTATAGAGGTTTCGAGCCTCGCGTTGCAAACGTGCCGCCCAAGTTAGGTTTATGTCCCCTCTGTAGTGTCCCCATTGTATAGTACTCCTGCAATCGAAGCATTTCCTTGAAAGGCTGTCACCGTCTAGGTCTAGGATCGTGGAGATAAGATCATCACTCTCTCTATGGGCATAGCCAAGGCTGTCCCTATAGTTCGCTTGAACCTGTTGTATCCACTGGTCTACCACATATAGGTTTCCGATAATTTCGTGAGGCTGTGGACCAACACATACGACACACCCTAATACCACACCAGGTAATTTGAATGCTTTGCAGTGCTCCTTGTCTGTGATGATTGTGTCATTTCCATTCCTAGGTTCGTATGTTCTCAGGATTTGCTGCAAAGGGTCGCATTGGGCCCCCATGAGTAAAAACTTGACAAGGTTTCCAACTGCTATGATGCCCACATTGGAAAACAAATTGTGAAGATTCATAAATTCCATTATGTCGGTCCAAATTTCGAACAAATACTTGTTGTAATCGATATCGAAACAGCGAGCATCCGAGGCCAACCCCAAAAGGCCGTACACCTTGTCTTTTCTGTCTTGACACTCGGCTCCGCGGCGTTCGTTTGGTAGATGGAGTAATGTACTTGACCCGGAATATTTATCTTCCCTCTCCTTGTTTAATCTTATGGGTCCATCAGATCCAAGATTATGCATGATTAGGAACTGGGTAAAATGCTTCCATTCTACTGCAGAGTCCCCAAAGCAAACTTTGATGCTCCGGGCCAGCTCAATCTCCTGTATTATCCAAAGGAGCTTCCAATAGGCATCATTGCACAACTCTGTTGCCAAACCGCGAACAGCAACGTCGGACTGAATAGGTTCTGGTGTTAATTCTTGAGTTTCTACTCCATCACGAGTATTTTCATGACTGAGATTCCGAAGGTCAGGCAAAGTTGCTTCGTACGTTGAATAGGTTTTGTCTAGCCATATAACCACGGTCTGAGCCCTGAAGTAAATAAATGTGGTGCATTATGCGAACCTGCCTATTCCGCTCATCGTTGGCGTTCTGATCGATGCATATTGCGTCGATCCAGGAATCGGTGCCAGGGCAGTGCTTTCGGAGGTAATGCAAAGCATTTCAAAGATTTTGTCGGACACTGAAGTCGTGGCCGTTGAGAATGATCTTCTGCTCCGCCTTCCCAGTTCCCCACATGTATGAAAGCGCGTCAAACTTTGGCTTCTCACAAAAACCAACTTCGAACAATCTGCAAGTGATTGGGTCGCTTTCTTTGGCAGGTTCGATTCGTAAAAGTCGCGTGCAGTCCCGATCTTGGTTGAGTGGTTCATAAAGAGACAAGGGCTGTCCCGGGGAGTGTCCAGAGACATTCTTTGCGCTCTGGTCTTGGTTTTGGTTTGTACTGTCTTCGGTTTGACTAATTTCTGCGGTGCCTTCATTCGTTGTAGATGGAATGAATTCAAACAGTGGAAGTTGTTGCACGAGGGCGGGGTAATTGTCATATCATGCTGTTTGATGCGATGCATGCAGGTCTATCACCTCGCTTACGTTGTTATCACAAACCAACAAACCGACCTCAAGGCTGCATAGACATTAATTTCTGATAGCAGGAAAAAAGGAACTAAATGCTGCAAGCTTTCTGTATCTTAATGGCCGGTACCTATCAGAAGCATAAGAGACAAAATTAACAGGTTGATTTATGCTATTTAGGTGACTTCTTAGGCTATTTAGTTTTGTACTTTAATCTTTGCTTCAGCCTGATGCAAACCAGCCTCATAGGCACATTAACGTCACAAGCGTCAGGTTGGTTGTTACCCCACTTGCAGGATAGCTGATCAAGTGTCACGTCACTATATTGGAGTAGAGAACATTGAATGCGGGAAATGTAAGCCACTTTGTCTGACGGAGTATGTCAACAGCAGTTCAGATGACTGTGCCAGGATGGAGTAGAGCAATTGGCATTCATTGTTTCGAAATTGTGAACGGTGTGTTTACGTGGTAGAGTATTATTGGTCATAGGATGTGACACAATGGGCAATTGTAAATTCCAGGGAGGCCGACCATCATCATTGCAACATAAAGGTAGACAAGACTTCGTCCATAGATTCTTAGTCTATTGACATAAAGATCATCGTAAAAGTTAATCCAAGAGCATCAATCTCCTTTTCAGTTTCGTTTTCGAGGAATTGATAGGGCCACAATGCCCGAGCATTGTCAAATTCATTTGAAGAAGCCGAAAACAAGTCACCAGATACAGCATAATTATTGCTATCCAACAATGGTATAAAAGACCACAGTCACCCGATGCCCAAGGATTTGTTGCCAGAGCTAACATGCAATCTAATACATAGATTCAACCATCTTCCGATCCTTCATCTATTTCCCTCGCTGCAGCGCCAGAACTTCCACCAGCTTGCTTCCGATGCAACAGTCCTAGCCGAAGACATATCACTAATTTCTTAAACCCTAACGGAAACGCCTCTCGCCCATACTATAAGTGTACCAACTGCCGCCAGTTTCTTTGTTTTGCAGATAAAAGAGGCAACGATCCGAATAACACACCATGCGAATGCGGCAAGTCCAGCAAACTTCAGGCAGCAGGCTGCAACAGTGAACAACCCGGGGGCTTGCATCTTGTATGTAGACTGGGAACTTGCGGCTTCTATGACCCCGTCGTGGATGGAAACGGTAAACAGATCGCGCTGAGTCGGGATGAAGTAAACCTTCGGATAGGTTGTAGTATGGTATAGTGGGGAAGAATGTGTACTGGATTAACGAATGTTCTACGAAGCGACTCCACTATCATTACTCCATTGGTCTCACCAATCAATGGAGAAAGACGCAGCTGCCATACACACAACTTAACAAATGCTTTTCCTATCAGTTATAGCTTATATACTGTCTATCTAGAAGCTACGTTGTTACTTGATACGCCGCTAGTCTGCCACTTATGTATGTGCATGCACGTACTGAGAAACTTGGTTACTATGGGATGCACAGCTAAGTTAAGAGGAGACCTAAAAACAAAAGTATAAAAACGCAGAAGTCGCAATATACTGCTCTCATCTAGGCATACATATTTACCTTGTGCCTAATAATCGTCATTGGGTTTGGAGGGACGAAGCTTCATGCTAAAGTTAAAATGAATACACATAAATAGGGAGCGAATAACCACACACATTGTACATCCTTCATATTACTCTTTCTTCTCACATTTCGGCACCAGAAATCGACAAGATGGATTCCTTTCAGAAACTATCACCTGGGATTCGGCTCGAGATTATGAGCCATATTCACTCACACACGACTCTATGGCGGCTCACAAATGTATCCCCAGTGATGTGGAATCAGTATGTTGCTTCCAAATCTACTCTTTTCCAAAGGTTCATTTCAAGTTTGACTCAAGTTGACAACGGCAATCAAGAGTTCATTCAGGATGCCATGGCAATCATCAGGTTCAACGAATCAATGGGCAATAAGGAAAAGACAGCCTTCTTCTTGGACAGATGGCTTGTCAAGTGTCTGCCATTATTCGAAACAGACGCTGAAATGACTAAGCTACATCGCCTTTTACACGCACTGGTTTCTTTATCGAGGACGACATGACAAAAGAAACATCTACATCGCCAACCCAAGCATATATGTCTCTACCCAGAATCACGTTTAGCAGTACGATCAAAATGAGAGTCACCCTTGACGACTTGACATGGCCCGAGAAATATCGTCTTTTCAGGGCTTTCTTCAAGTTTGAGGTACTGATGAAGATCTACGATCCACGCCTGAAACATTCGATGGACAATACCTATTATCGAGAAAATGCTCATGACTTGCTGAAAGAGCTTGACCCATGCGTCCACGAATCCGTCATTTGTGTCCATGCCTATGTCGAAGCTTCCTATGGAGTCATCTTTGCACAACTAAGAAAGACGCACGAAGCCGCAGCTGCTATCGCCGAAACTGCAAGATGTAAACCGTTACTGTTTCCCGACAATCTATATTTTCTTCTCATGCCCACTTCACTGATGTATATTTACCCGGGGGTTGCCTAGATATCTCCTGGTGGTTATCATGCCACGGACTGGATCTTCTTGTCCACGTGCTCATATCGACGTGTCAGACCCTCGAAAGTCGCGAGCGTCTTCGCAGCTGGCTATACTTTGTCTCACTCGAAGTTTGTGCCCCATACACGCATCTTTACGACATTGAAAGGCGAAAGTTGTTCGTTCATCGACCTGTTTGCCTGTCACAGCTTTTTGCACATACGAATAAGTCATTTGTTGGCCATCTTTGTCAGATAGACACCCCGCTAGAGGATGATGAAAACTCGGACAACGACTCTGTCGGCAGTGATATCATGGATGCACTCTCCTCAACTCGTTTGCCTGAAGAAAAGCGACAGGCCTCCATACAGTTCCAGATATATCGGCAGCGAGCATGGATATTTTGCGACAATTGGAGATTATATACAGCACCACTTTTTGAACACTTCCCGTCTCCTGAAGATATTGAAGTGCAACAGTCGATAGTAGAGTTCCGTTATCCCATCACATCCTTGCGTGAGCGCCAGAGATGGCGATCTACGGAGTGGCAAGATTACTGGGCTGGGCGAACACTTGAACCGCCGCCTGAAAGAGCACGCAATCATTTCTGGGAGGTAGAGTCTGGGAAGAATGACATCAACGATATCCCTCATTTTTACGAATATGTTGCTGACAAAGGGCTCGGCGCCTTCTAGAGATATAGAGAGAAAAAGGCATCCTTAAGTTGAGTAGCATCAAATAAACAGTCAACATAAAGATAACTTCAAATCCACTCAGCTGGGACGATCAATGCTGCCCATGTCTATCACCCTTTGAAACATTTAAAAGATCATGCCGTCCAGGCTCACTTCGCTAGGGGGTAAGATAAAGCCGATATTACTGAAGTAGAATTTGCCAATGCAAACCTCATTGCGGAAGATGCTGACATGAAAATCAGGCTGCATGCCGTTAGCTTCCTCCAAGTAATAATTTGTCACTTTCACTACTTACTACAGATACATGGAGTTTCAAGGTAGCATCGCCAGGGAGGAGCTGTTCCAAGTCGTTGTAGAGGAGGGTACCACTAAATTGCGACAGTATTATTATCTACTTGCGCAACAGTCGCTGTGTATTTTACTCACACGTTGAGAGAGCCACTCCACGGTACAAAGAAGCCCTCACCGCTGGCCTCAAACGTCAACTCAAGAGTATCAACTGCGAGCCTAATGGAGACATGAGTCTTGGTGATGGCGATGGTACCATCAGCAACAGCCTGTATCTTCCAGAGCTGGTGGTCGGGGCGGTCGGAAGCAACCAGGGCTTCTAGGTGGGCTCGACCGCCGGGCCTGGACATGGTCTCGGTAGCAAGTTCCTGAATATCCTGCTTGGTGGTGCTGCCCGTATCCGTACCAGTGGTGACATATTGAGCAAGAGCCTTGAGGAGACTGTCGTCGATGTCACTCGGGGAAGCCATGTTGAGGAAGTCGAACTGATGAGAATAGTTTGGAAAGCCTTGCTTGCAAGGTCTCGAGGTGGTTGGATTGTCGGGGAATGTTTCTTGTTTTTACAATCGAGGGTGTGTGAGGTTTATATGCATGCAATATGATCCCTGAAACATTGTCGCACAGTCACTTGGCAAGTGGCTTACAGGCCAATGGCACAAAGTAACTTTTTGTCTCTCATCTGCAAAGCAGCCAATTGGCGTTCTAATTGCTATAGCGCACTGTAACGCACAGACTCTTAACAATTGCCTAGAAGCCAATTGCTAGAGAAGGTAATTCAGCCATATTGTTTCAGGCTTCTTTATTCATCTCAAGTGTATGTTGCACTATTCTACCTCACCATCCAAAAGGAAACCAGCCAATCCAAAGAAAGAACATTGATAGCTAAAATGCATCACATCACCGTTCTTACCACACTCAGCTCTTGAGTGCTGGTGAAGCTACCCCAACACGGTTAGTCTAAAGGGTTCATCGTCGTTATGTCTCACTTTCAGCCAGCCTTCCGCCAATTGTTGAAGTCATGATGCAGCCATCATATTCCCAACATGCTGCTACGACGGCGTTCAAACGAATACTGGTAGGCTTGCGCTTCACTATTGCGTAATATATAGGTTAGCTGGCATGTCTTTGAGTACAAAAATAAACAGTCTAAAGAGTCTACTAAACACATGAACTGACCTAATAATGTCATATTTGATGTTTGTTATAAATTATTATTAAAGAGCATCCAATTGAAAAGTCCCAACTTCACCTGAAAGGCTTCTGAGTATAAAGCACACGATTTCACTGTTGGTACAAGCGTTTTTTATATGTGACGGGAAATAATGTAAAGATAGGCTAGTTCAACTTATAGACAGGATGAATGTATATACAGAAGAAATATGGCAGATAACTAATCGAGAGACGCTTAGAGAGTCTTCTTGGCCCAGCCAACCTGCTGGTTACCACCGTCAAAGACAACAAAAGCAGCCTTGAGGGCAATATCACCAAAGATGTTGATACCAATGTCGTCACTGGGCTGGATACCACCGAGGCAGGTGGAAGATCCCTGCTGGACAGGAGCGTAGTTGATATAAGAACCAGGAATAGTGATGGTGACACCACCAACAGCGAAGCTGAAGTTGGGCAGAGTAGCGGAGCAGCTAAAGACGTAGCCTCCATAAGATGAGCTGTAGCGAGCACCGCTGACCTTGGCATAATAGGCCGAGTTGACAGCGTCAGGGAGGAGAAGGAGGGTAGTACCGGTGTCAGCAATACCAGTGATGGGGCTCTTGTTGAGAGCAGCGGAGCCGACGGCGTATCCGGAGGAAGTGAACTCCCACCAACCACCAGAGGAATCAATGGGAGCGTAGCCAATCTTGCCGGTGTAAGCGGAACTGTCAATGTAGCCAAAGTTATAGGTTCCTGGTTGTTGATGCTTCAGGTCGGCACTGAAGACAGGTGACTGGAGAGTGGAGATAGCATTGTCGAAGAAGGTCTTCTGCTTCGTGGGCTTGACAGTGTTGATGGAGCTGAAACCTAAACCGAGAAGACCATCAAGGCCAGTCTCCTGTTCAAATTCATCGGAGACGCGCTGAGCAGACTCGACAGCTTGTGAGGCGACAGCGAGGCCGCCGACGGAGACCTTATCCTTGTACACGTCTCCAGATGAGGTGCTTCCATCTCCGTAGCTGATAGACCAAGTAGCACCAGCTAGCTTCTTGGAAGTGCTGCTCTTGGCAGGGTTGTACTCGTCGTGTCCACTGCTACCAGAAGTCTCAGTGCTAAAGACCCAAAGGTCGGAAGAACCAGTGTCAAAGTCCAGGTTGAGAGTCTGAGCAGGTGTACCGATCTGCACAGGAGTCAACCACTCGATATCCTCATCAGCGGGTGTGGTGATGACTGAACCACTGCCGTTCTGACGCTTGGAGTGAGATGAAGACTTGACGGCCTTGACAGCCTTCTCGAGACCCTTGGGAAGGGGAACGCCGTACTTGGAGTAGACGTGGGCAAGGGCCAGGGGACCGCTCTTGATGAACTTGGGGTTCTTGACTTGTTCAACGGAAAAGTGCTTGTCTTGGACGGCGGGGGCGCCGAGGGCAATGGAAGCAAAGGCCAAAGAGGCAGCGAGAAGAGCGTTGAGAGAAGGCATCGTGAAGATAGTACTGGAGGGTTAGAGTAGTGAGAAGGCAGAAAGCGAATGATGGTGATGATTCAAATCTTGGATAGGACGGTCTGCACCGCTTCTTTATACATTATCAACACGATACGGAATAGTCGTACTTGCAAGAACTTGGTAATGTCTTGATTGCGTGATGCTTCATTGATCTCGCTCCCACTTCAATCGGCTTCCATTATCCGACTCACCTTCCAAGAACAGATGATCCATTTGATATGTCTCGGGCTATTTACTCGCTGAATATTTGCCGTCTCTAAACTCTTGGCTTGATCTGTCAATGCAGCCTCCCGTCCTTGGCACCTGCTTGGCTCCTTGTGGCAGATTCACCTCCGCTTTACTCTCGACAAAGGGTCCCTGACAGCCTTGTATTTTACAATTATAAAACATCTAGTAGGTATCGGGTAGTCTGCTCCGCGTAGCTACCTACCAATAATGGATGTTACCGCCGATTATGTCCGGAGTTCGGCATTGCTAAGGCCTTTAGAGGCAGTTAGATCGGGACTCGGCATTCGAGAATTGAGGAAGCACCTGAGGACAAGGGTCTTTCCGCTACTGTTATCAGAGGATCTATTGGGCTGAATTGTCATGTGAATAAATTAGAAGAGAGATTGTCCAAGATTCTATTGGCGCAAAGGGCGGTTACGATAAGCGTAATGCCCAGCTCAAATTTCATAATGCGGATACCCCTGCAGATCATTCCTTATCCGTTCTTAGTGGCACATGGAACGGCACTGCTTGTTTGGAGCTAGTCAGTCGTTAAAGACCTTTTGTTTAGTTTCTGTATAGCTTCGTACTTTTGTCATGTGTTCGTGATAGTCAGAGAAAGCTGTATGCGGAACAAATCCCCAATCGTGCTCACAGGAACGATCCGACCGCAACAACACTATGCGCGATTTTGATACATGGCGTGTTAAACAGGTTCCAACATGCAGATAAGGGACTAAGAAATGTCAGGTTTTGAGGTCTTAAACTACAAGCACGACCGAACGTGTCATTCCTTAGGGTATCAGAAAACTTGACCCCTAGATGTATAAGAGACGAAATTAGTAGGTCAGTTTGTTCTCCTTAGACTATAGCTCTTAGACTACTTATTTTTTATACTCTAAGACTTGGGAGGCCAAGTTTTCTGCTAACCACTAGCCATTTTAGGATTCCATACAAGTCAACATGTCTATCCATATGTAAAAGCTCGTGTAGCAGGAAACTACCCCTCAGGAAAATCATGCCGTCGATTAAATCTAAGTCATACTTAATATACTGAGGCACATCAAGGTTATTTTCAACTAAAACGAGAATGGAAAATATATACAGTATATTAGAGTATATCTATCAGCCCGCTTTATCAACGATTCGGACAAGCCTTTTCCCAAGATGCATACGGAGAGTTATCCCTCACGATATACACTTCTCCCACCAAAACCAAGCATCCAACCGCCATGGAAATAGCAATTATAGGAAAGTTCACTCGTGCAAACTCGTGGCTTTTTACATGAATGTGCTTCCGAGCGAGAATGTCCCTCCAAAGAAGACCAGCCAAAGACGCGCTAAAAGCGGTGCTGAACGCGCCATAGTTGACGCCAAGAGCCATGCTGTAAATCGTGGCCCAGTATGTTCGATCAGTGATGAGACTGGTGTCTACTGTGCAGTTGATTTCCTTCCAGGCTTGGATGATACGTGATAGAAGAATCGTGGTGCCAATGTTAGTGCCCGAGAACTAGAATTAGTTAGAATGTTGTACAGTCTCTGCTTGAGGGAGACGACTTACGTTGGACAAAACGACTGAAAGAAATGCCATTCCACCAATACTTCCAATAGTACCGGTCCTCTTGGACCAGTGATACCATCCCCACGCAAAAACGTTGACCCAGCCTGTGCTCACAAGTGCTTGAACGAGCACAAACATGGCAAACGCAAATGGTACCAAGGCGAATGGAAGATGAGCCGCTACAGCCATAACAGTTGGAAAGGTCTCTTGGAGCCACTCGTATGCCTCTCGCGACTTTGAAACCAGGTTGGGTTTATCAATCGGCTGTTTTGATGTTTGTTGGGAATTGCCAGCTTCAAGTTTCTCTGCATCCATCTGCGCCGAGGGTAATGTTGACATGTTCTGGGCGTGGAGAGTGTCCTCGCCACCCGGGGGAGTGTTGAACTTTTGCGCTGGCGTTTGTGGCTCCGATCCTGATATGATAACAGGGCTATTTCCTGCAGTGTTTGAAACCACCAGCTTTGGGATTTCGAATTGAGAATTGGTATGGTCGTTGGTGTCTGGGAGATTCTTGAGTGCAATGCCTTCTGTTTGCTCGCCATTTGCAGCGGCACCACCATCGGAGACGCCAAACGTGGCATCCAGCTTGGGTTCTGATTCATCCTGCGAAATTGCAGATCTTTGAAGAGCTCTTTCGGCTCTTGCGGTTACCATTTCCGCCTTGTACTTTGCAGCTGTTTCACGCGTATCGTGTCGATGAATCCAGCCAGATCCTAAATCCCAGCAAAACATGACGAATGCGGCTGGAACAGTCACCCAGAAGACAGGGATCTCGCCAGTACCTGTACTCGCGGCGTTGATAGCTAAGACGGTGATGAGGGTGGCTGACATAATTAGAGCGCCAAATGCTGCGCCTTTGCGGTCGAGGAATGGATTCATGATGTAAGCAAGTGAGAGAGTCATTTCTTGTCGGCCCTCACCCGATTCGGCGGATTCTTCGGCCTGGTGTTGCACGTAGGGGATGTTTGGGTTGACCGGTTCTTTTTCTTTCGCTGCTTGAGGTAGGGTGTGCATCTCGATTTCGGAAGGAATGAGCTTTTCATCGGCAAACACGACATAGAGGAGGAATGGGAAGAGAACGATGGCTGTAACCACAACCGGAACGATCATATTGGCGGTGTAGACGATGAACTTGATATCGAACGCCCCAGCCAGGACAAGATTGGTGGGGTTAGATGAGACAAGGATGGCTGAAGCGATATTGGCAACTGAGAACTGCGTGAAGATCCAAGCTCTCGGGCTTGTGATGTTTTTCGAAACTCGCGTCATGTATGCGAGGAAAGCTGTCCCAGAGAGAATGATGGGATCGTTGCCGATGAAACTTCCAAGCAGGAAGAAGAAAGCATAGAGGTAGAAGAAGAGTCGATGGCCGACCTTTCCACCCCAGGACAGCACCTTGAAAGCCAACCATCTGATGATACCAGACGCGTCGATAGATATGGCAATGTAAGCCAGAGTGATGAAGAAGGCCATGATGTCAAGAGGATGGATATGGTTTGCGCCGACGGTTCCATCGTGTACTTCTTGGCGACCAATCGCAGAGATAGCCAAGAGGAACAAATCAGCAATTAGAGGCGCAGTAATGAAATTGACAGGAAAATTGAAGCGCACAAAATGTTTTGTGCAACGCTCTTTGTTGTGAAGAATGGCATGATGTGTGGTTGCTGGTATAATGCGAAGGTGGACAAAACATCGCCATGTCACGTCCACGAGGGGTTTCGGGACGTACACAGGGATATGGAAGGGCCAGAGTACAAGGATATCTGTTACCAAACAATAGGACAAATGTTAGTGATACATGTGATGTGTTGAGCGTTGTGCAAGCTAGAACGTACTAGCAATTACAAAGGCGATGAGTGTAACTATTGATCTCCATTGGCGGATCTCGCTGGTATCAACACCAGCCATAATGGAGGATGATTCACAAAAGGCTGCCCTTTTTCGTTTCGTAAGAAAAGTGGCAGACAGCCTCGAATTAAATTAATCGGTAGAAAGAAGGTGAAGAGAAAAAAGGGAGGAAAACCTGCCCAACGAACGGCTCAACGGCAATTTAGTGGAGTCTTTTTCTCGAGTGGGGAAACGTTATCTTTAAGCATGTCATCACAATCGATGCAAAAGAGCCTAAAGAAGAAGCATTTTGGTGTGTGATATAACAAAAGTGCAAGGACAAGATATGAAACAACGACCTTAAATCTCTTGCCAAGTCATGGAAGAAGAAAAGATGTTTTCTAGAAGAATAATCTTCCGATCATCGTTCATTGACAAGGATAAAAATGCTGATGCCTAACCCCGTTGATCAGCCAGTTTTTGGTATGCAGCCCGAGGCGAGAGTAGCTAGCTAACTAAGACTTGGTCCACCTATCAAATCAAGCTTTTCTTGTCGCAGATCAAGTTAGCTCTCGCCCGACTGCTAGGCCATGAACAAGTGGCTGTGCAGTCAGCTGAGGCACAACAAACGACAGAGGCCAGTCGAAAGAGGATGCCTACAAAAGCATTGACCATTTGCTGAGAAGTGAGTGACGCTTACAGCATTTCTGATGTCAGGTTATTGAGGTCTTATTCCCTACCGGGTATTGATGAATGCGCCTCATTCACAGCAACCTCCATACATAAGCCATTTAACTTCCCCCGCATTATGTGACTTTTAACCGTGTACTCAGTGTCTGCCCTGCCAAGACCATGCTACTAAAAGCGCCATGCCTGCGGTTTCTAATGTCTTTGTCGATGCAAGGGCTGTGACGGGGCTTGGAAACGAAACTGGTAGTCCACTACAAATGATTTGTGCCTGGCCCGTCTCTGGCCAATACGGTACTGGAACACGCGTTCTGTAAGTAACTCAAAAGAAAAAGTCAATCGTGGCAAACACTAATCTTGATTCACAGATACTACGTCCTTATTGCCGCGTGTCTTGTTGCGCGGAGAGAAGAATGGCTAGTAAATCCTTGTTTGGCTGCGGCATTGGTGCTGCCGGCTGTTGCTGCGATTCATGGCATCGTCTTGACAGCGATGCATAATCCCAGTGAGTTCAATGCCTCACACATGACCAAAACAGAGCGCTAATTGTCTCAGATGCTGTGGATATGGACATCTATGGAGCTTTTCAGCTGTGCGCAATTGGCATTCTCGCCGCCCCGGTGACAGTTATGATGTCAAAAACATACTTCAATGACCCTGGAAGAAACACCATCTTTCTTTGGACATTCCTACTTCTGATCGGTATGTATAAAACACTCACCAGGTATCCAGCCTATTCTAACTATTCCCAGGTCTCTTGAGTATGACTATCGAATTCTACCGCATAGAAACACACGATTGCACCAAAGACGCCACAGGAAACCCCGTTTCGAACATCGCCTCAGACTTCAACTATATCGATGGAAACAATTGCGGTCTCATCTGCTCTACCCAAAATGGTCCTACATCGCCCATGAGAGGTGGATCAGCTGACAACATATACGTCATTCCCGCACCGCACACACTTACTTTCAGTGCTGCAACTCTTCTTGCTGCTGCATGCTGTGTGCATGCTGTTCTTTGTCTGGTGTCCATGTGGGACAGAGTACTAGAGATCAACTGGCGGCGACGTTTTGGACGACAGGAGGAAGAGGACAATGCGAATGAAGAGGAAGATTCCAACAAGGGCGTCATGAAAACGGTCAATGATACGATTGGCTTCTTCTTGAGGATACTGGCTGTTCCTGTTTTTGGGGGCGCCGGGTTGGCCATCCTGATTGTGGGGGAGATTAACTTCTTCAGTCCTCAGGTGAATTACCAAACTGAACCCATGGCCAATATTGGTGAGTCATTTCTGGAAATATCGATTATTCATAGGCTAATTTTGCCAAGGACAATGGGCTCCGGTCACAGGTACTGCAATGGCTATGATCGGATCGTTGTATCTCCTACTTGCCCGACATGCAGAAGAAGCAGGCGATCCATACACACCACACAAATGCAATTGTCCTCATTGTCATATCGACAACAGCGCACGGCACAGTCAGGTTTCGCATCACGACAGCATGTCTTCGTTGAACAGTCGACAAGCTGGTCCTAGTCTCTCAGTTACAGAAACCCACCCAACTGTGACAACCACTCAACTCTCACCCAACACAGATCTCACTCGTCCTCGGTCATCAATATCATTGCAACATCGAGAACCATCACTAGAAGGACACCAAATTACCAACATCCCGACAAGAAACCCTTACAGGCAAAAGATCGAGAATGCATTCTTCCGATTTGGCGAGATAATCGGGACTCCACCTCACGACTTTATTACAGAACCCAAGGTTCGAAAACCAGATCATGTTGACCTGCCAATGATTCCAGGAGAGCGGTATCGCAATTTGCGAGTATCAGCGGTGGAAAGGGAGAGAGATTTACAAGAAGATCATGAAGAGGAAGTTGCTTCAATGAGATCAAGATCCAGCAGTTTTCGCATAAGCGAAGTTTCTCCACCCCACGTTGAGAGATGTACATCACTACCAGTCGCGCCACCGGCCGCAATGATAAGAGCGAGATCGAGATCAAGATCAAATACAGGACCCAGAACTAGATTGACATCTTTTAATCACCAATCATCATAGAATTTGCAAATAGAGAGATATTTTGTTAGACAATGTTGAATTATGATTGCTATCAATATTTGGTTAAACAAATGCTTCGCATATGGAGGCTTTATGCCTTTGTATCGACTTCTTGGTCTTTGCTTGACACATCAGGTGCCGCGGTAACCTTGATCTCGTGGCTGTGTTCCAGTCCGGACAAAACGATCCAGGTGGGCACAACGCAGAGAAGTGTGATACCAAAGTTAAGGCCAATGCTGACAAAGTGGTTAGCATTGCCTTCAGATTGCATCGCCCAAGCAACAGTCTGTCCCAAAGCCTCAAATCCTCGGAGAATACCACAGTGGTAAGACAAAGATGAGATGTCGGTGGTATACTGTCCAATGAGCCAGTACAGGAACTGTTGGAAAGCCTGGCCACCGAATTGCCAGAAGAAGATCAGAGCATAGGACTTGCCGAAACCACCCTTGAACCAGTCAAAGACAGGTGGCTCAGCAGCATCGTAGAACTGCTTCTGGAGAATCGTTGCCCAAATCCAAGTACCAGTGAGGATAGTGATAATGGACAAGAAGGCAATTCGGGCTCGTGTCTTGATGTAGATCGACTGTCGGTCCAACAAGCCTGCGATGAGGAACGAGCTGATAATTCCGGAAAAGTTGGTGAAGAAAGACGAAAACGCGCGCGATCGAACGGTAAAGTAGGTCGTCAACCAGGTGCTCATGAAGCCGTTGTAGAAGTAGCTGATGAAGAAGGCAGGAATCAGAAGAAGCATGCGCTTGGTGAAAAGCAGAGAGAAGACTGCCTTGAACTCAGCAGCCCAAGTAGGCTGCTTCTGCACGACGACGAGCGTTTGGTCCTTTCGCTGGACCTTTTCAGCGGGGCTGAGAAAGAGGGAGATTGGGAGGCCGAGACACATAATCACAATAAAGACGATGTATGTTGCGGAGCTGACAGAGCCTTTGGAGGAGGATTGAGCGTTGAGACCGAGGTTGATGGCACCTCCGACGATGGGACCAGCTGCTTTGGCAGATTGCCAGATAGCTAGACACAGTTAGTTTATTGTTATGACTATTGGAGATTCGAGTGATCGAGAAACATACCAAGGTAAAAAGCACGATCTTGGGGACTGGGATATCCGATGATAATGGCTGCTTCGGCTGCCCAGAAGAAACCAGCTGAGATACCACAGAGGGCACTTCCAAACAGCAAAAACCAAGTCTTGGGTGCAACATTGTTCGTGTAAAGACCAGCTCCATAGATGGGGTATCCGATGGCTCCGAGCGCAAGACCGTATCGAAGTCCAATTCTGTTGTTGATGGCACCAGCCAAAATACACACAGCAGCGAAAAGTCCGTAGACAAGCGCATTGGCTGCTGACACTGCGTATGGCTCAGCTGCGCCTCCAGCGCCTAGGCCACCGAGGGCATCCCACATGCCCGGCGCAGTGAAAGAGACACCGCATGCTATGGCGATCTGAAAGGGGATTGAGCGGAAGAACGAGGGTTTTCCCTGTGAAGAGACGACTGCCGCTGGGGCGTCGAGGGATGCATCGCGTGAGGACGCCATGATGGACTGAATTCGAGACAACAGGATCAAGAGTCCAGAAACGGGTCTCGGGATGAGTTGGTATTTATCTATTCTATTCTATTTGAGATGACCCGTGCAGAGACGCTTTGCCATTGCGTGCGATTGCGTGCTTGCAAAACTCGTAGTTTGACCTCTCCGATCAACGTTGAAACCAAACTAAAAGGGGTTATTGATGGGGTTTGCTATAAGAGCTAAGACCCATAATCGAGGATGTACCTGCAGTAATCCCGCATCCAAGGCCTTGGTACGATGGGAATAGTGTTTATATGTGGTGTTTCTGGTGTCGCTAGTCAGCCAGGGTCCCTGCCTGCACCCTTGATGTCTTGTTATCTATAAAAAGTGTTTCGTTCTCTCACGATTCGACTCTACAAACAATATGAATGTTGTTTCTCTTGTTAAAAGTGACTTGAGCTTGGATTCAATAGCCCACCGAGAACCGCCGAGCCGGACGAGTATCCCACGGGGCATTACCTAACATTAATGGGAATGATTGGGTCCTCAGAGTGATGCGGGTTAGTGTGTGGATGGCTAAGAAATTACTCATGTTTGACAGATTAGGAGCAGGACCCTTATTCAAGCTGTAAACTAATTCTAGAAGTGATCAAGTTGCTTCAGATAAGACTGACATTTTGGCATTAATATGTCGTGATCTCGTGCTCATTGACCAATATTTCGCGTGAGTAAAAGTGATATCGATCAATCTTCAACCGGTATCGCCGATGAAAAACTGGAAACGAAAGAAATTGAAGATTTTTAGCTCGCCACAACCGATGACGACTGTCAGACTGCCGATCGAAAACTATTTATTTTTTATCGTAGTTTCTTATCTTATCTTATCAGACATAAGATTATCGCCAAAGACATCACTCTAGGGTATTAGTCTACCTAGGTATTATTCTGTGCCTCAATCCTGCAACATCGTGCCAAGATTCTATAACGCATGTGAGTTCCCCTCAATAGATCATGGGTTGGCATTTGCACATGAACCTCGGTAGAGGTCAAATAGGTATGAACCCCTCTTTAGAGAAATAGCATGATATATTTTCGAGAAGGAACATGGACACATTAACTTGATGAACCGATAAATACCAACTTTGTGTCGTTGAAAGTGGTCAATAAACATGGTCGTCGACAACACCCAGTCAGAAGGCGAAAACCCTATTGGTGATTTCACCGTTGAATTTCTCGGTACTCAATCTTCCAGCAACAGCGCCAGTCGTCGTGATCTAGGCTTCACAGGCCAACTCGGCGGGAAATGGTATGCTGTATACGGTGATGTACTATGGTGCGACTCTGGCGTTACCGATCCATCAGAAGACACTGAAGGCTTCCATGGAATGGTCAGGAATGCTGTATCTGCTTTGACCGATGACCCATTGGTTGTTGACGACTTGCATCTCAATGATGATGAGCCTGTCCCCCACCAAAAGCAGTTCATGCCGTTCAACGAAGAGTGGGGAGAAACCAATACTTTTGGTTTCGGAGGCACCGGAATTGCCGAGACGGACCCTGATAGCGCAATTGGTGTTCTTTACTACCTTGTGGTGAGTATAAATATTCATCGAACTGGAAGAAATACCCACTAACGTGGCAGAACGACAACGAGCATTACAAAGGCGCTGGTGTAGCCAAGGTCGAACTAGTCGATGATGTTCCCACTATTACAGATCGATATGGTGACTATGGTATCTGGTGGAATGGAGATGAACTTCCCAAGTACGGCGACGTAGCAACCTACCGAGATGTCAACAGCGAATACATCTACATCCTTGGTAATCCACCAAACAACATTCAGGATTTCCCGGATAGCAAGTACGTCTACATGGCTCGCGTACCCGCCTGCGACGCGTTTGACCTTGACAAGTACGAGTACTGGTGGGGAAGGGAACAAGGATGGAAGAGCGAGCCACTCACAGAATGCAACTGCGAAACCGCTGTCATGTGGGGTGTTGGACAAGGGCAAATTGTTTACAACAAGCATTTCGAAACATACTTCTACGTTCATCTTGATCTCGGTAAGTTTCGCCAATCTTGTGCCAGTTACGTGGAGCTTTACTGATGACTCCAGGTGGAACGGTACTCTTAAAGACTGCTCCCAGCCCTGAAGGTCCCTGGACGGAAGGAAAAGAGATTTACAAGGATGAGCCTATTGATGGTGGACTGGTATACGCTGGATTAGCGTACCCTCATCTAGACGAGTCGGGTGAGACATTGACAATTGGTTTCACAAACAATAACTGGATCCGCATCGTCAAAGTTACCTTTACTTAATAGGTAGACAATTCGTATTCGCTTGAATCTATTACTTTTACAATTTGCTATCATACAGCTCCATCATTATTGAAGTTACCACATTACAACTCATCCTCCTTCTCATTCTCGCAAACACCATCGAAGTCTCCATACTTTTCCATACCAGCACTAACAATCTTCTTAAACTCTTTGAATGGACAACTAGCACCTGGTCCATTCTGGCAGAGTGGCAGAGGTCGTGGTGCAGTGTTGGCAATAAACCTGATAAACTCTTCTCCCTCGCCGGAACCATCCTTGGTGTCGGGTCGCTTGCACGTCATCTTCTCCATGCCGACGTGACCCAAGAAGGGAATCAGATCAGACATCTTCCAAGCGCGAACGTGGTTCACGTGCGTGGTAGGAAATTCGTCATAGCCTTCGTGGGACGAAGAGTTGAAGATGCCGAGCGCTGTGGCTACAAAGGGAGGGACTTCGCGATGGGTGAAGTAGAAGAAAAGACGTTGCTCCTTGGGCCAACCAGAACCAGTTGATTCATCATCGATTAAGTCAGAGTTCTTATCGATATTTTCAAAAAGCTTTGACTGGGAGTGCAACCAAGGGAAGCCAAGGTAGTTGGACAGAGGGTTGAACGGCCCAACCATGTGGGCGTATTTCATGTCCCAAGCGTACTCGTACGAGAGCCACTCTGCGTCAGAAAATAGTCCGCAGATTGGCGACTTCTTTCCTCTGATGGCAGATTCATAGCCACAGATGGACTGAAGAGCAAAGACATCCTTAGGAGCCAGTTCATAGTCCTCGGGCGTGTAAGGGCGCAGGCGACGCGACACCGATGACGCGTAGTTCTCGACAAACTCATTCTGCTCATCCGTGCCAGGTGACTTTGAGAATTTTGAACAAGCCTTGTGAGGAAGAAGAGCACGTGTTCCGTCATTCAACTCCTTCTTGTCGAACCTTGTAATCTCAATGTTTCCATCCTCGGGGAAAGCCTGTAAGAAAGCCTTGGCGGTATCGTACGTTCGAGACTTGGTATCCGCAATGACGCGCTTGACTGAAGAAGCAAGGTGCTTGTATCGCTTGAAGAGATGGTTTCCGACCTTCTTAGCATCCTTCTTGCCCGAGGGCGTGACGTCCTCCAGATGATCCTCCTCAATTGGAGAGTGCCACTTGTTCAAAAACTCGAGCGGGCCCGAGAAATCACCACGATGCTTCTCAAGCTTGTAAAGGAAGGGCTGGATGTAGTCTTCGTATTCGGCATCATTGGCGTAGATGGCAGCGTGACGGATGAGGTACGACGCAGACGTGACGGTGCATCCATCTGGCGCAGCGTGTGAAAGACCGAAGCCTACAGCATCGAAATAGGGCGAGATACCGGGGAGGTGAAGAAGGGGATCGAATTGGTAGCCCTGGGTATGATCGAAAGTGTCAATGGGCTGTTGGATGACGGATGAGAGGACGATTGAAGGCAGAGCTGCGGCCGCAATGGCGCGCAGACTGTGAGGCATCGCGAGTCTTTGAAGATGGAGTGATGATGTTGTATGAAAGATGGAGTAGAAGCAAAAAGCTGCAGATCTAGGTTCCTGGAATAACTGGGGTAAAGGTAGGTACACGAGAATATGACAGGGCCGGGATGAAGGAATCGATGACGTACAGGGAATATGGTGGAAGCTAGAGGCGTTTATGGAGTAGGAAAGATAAGAATCAAGGCCGGTGAAGCCACTAAGATAAGCCTAGCGTATCACTGACGTCGCCAACTCAGGTCCTGCTTATTTCCGAGACGATTGCAATTGACCAATCGTTACACAGCTATGTCATTTATGCATTTCATTAACCTCATGTCTTAGACATGCAAATGAATTGCTTAGTTATTAATATGCACGAATTATTCAAATCATTTTCACTCCTCACATTGATCATGGTTTTAAATTGGTTGATTTGAGCCTCTTTCGCGTCTGTCCACACCAAGTCAACCACACAATGTTTCCTCTCTGATGGTACATCTGATAATTTGCTCGAAGGTTGGATTGAGATATTTAAGTAAACAAATGTAACGAATTGCAGCAAAGTACACAGTGAAGACCTTGGATGTTGGTGATTAAAGTCTCTAGGGTAGTATGGAGCACAGAAACAAGTGCAGCAATCTTAACATTTGATGACAACACGTTGGCTGTGTTTAACAGGGTGGACTAATACATTAGGTACTGGGATGGAACACGTGTCGATTGAAATGATAATGTCAAACTTACACGAATGTTGAAATATATACATATAAAACGTGTGTTCAACACGAAGTGCTCAGGGGACTGCATTACATCTGATGGTGCAGCTCAATGCGGGACGAAGAATATATTAAACAAGCCCAACTAAAGCCCAACGATCTAACAAACAACTCAAATCTCATTACCACTCGAAACATTCTCAACCACCTCAGCCTTTCACCCACAATCCACGGTTCATACACATGCCAGGGCATGCCCAAGCATAGCCTGCTTACAGGAGGTAAAAGAGGCTGAGGGCGTTGGGACCACCACAGTTGGTAGCAGGGTCACCAGCACAGGCCTTGTTACATGTGCTCTGGGCGATAGGGGCACCGGAGTTGTCGATCGTGTTACCACAAGAGCCGAAACCAGTCTGGCAGCCTGTACCACAGTGAAGATCAGACTTTCCACAATAGCCGAACTGGGAGCAACAGTTGCCGTAGCCAGTGCCAAGGCAAGAAGCCGATCCGTTGAAAGCACCGCAGATACCATCCACGGAAGTGGGGACAGCTCGAACCTGGAGCATCTCGGCTCCCTGTAGATCAGCGTTAGTTTACTGGTGGGCATTGAGTGGTGACGTGTAGCTTACAAAGGACTGGGCTGGAACTGCACTGACAGCAACGACAGCGGAGAGAATGGCGAAGGTGTTGGCTGTCATGTTTGCTGTTGAGAATTGGATCGTCAAAAAGACTGGAATGGAAGCTGTTGGGGATGGAACTGGAGCTGACGAGATACTGGTGATGACGCCTTATCAGAGCGAGATAGAACATCTCTTTATAGTCCGTATTGAGAATCAAGCAATGTTCTGGACTCAACAAGACTCACGGTGTCAGTAGGAGCTAGAGTCAAACCAGATGGCAGGCTTCAATAGTAAGTGAAGGCTGTCGATAGCTTCGCAGACCATTCAAAGGCGACAGAGAAGTGTCCAGCCATCTTGAGAGCTTTCACCGCTCCATCAGACTACCATTCGGAGTGTATTCTGTTTTGGTATGTCTTCACTCAGCTGTGGCGTACTCAGGTCCAGTTGAACAGCTGGTTGGAGAGGGATCGGGTCGTCGGCTGGTCCGACTAATAATAACTTTCTCTTCTTTATTTTCAGCTAATATGTAAATCGCAAGCATGAGTGGATGGCTGGGGTTTCTTTGAAGAAGCCTCGCCGGTAGTTTCACTAAACTATTGAACAGTGACCTGGAAATCTCAGGATCTAGACCACGACTAAATGAATATTCTCAGCTTGCCACCTTTGTTCAACCCCCGTGGTCGGTATCTCACTGGAGCGAGATCATGGTTACATTGACAAAGGAAATTATTAAATACCTTGTGGAGACTGCTCTTCAAATGACCGCTGTTTCCGCTGTCAAAATGTTCACTGTAAGTCGACATCTTATCACTTTATCAGCCTGAGGACCAGGAGGCGTTATCTATGGACAAGGGGCTATCGCCATTCTAGAGAAAACCGTATGATGTTTCCAACATCGCACAGCGGCTTAATAGTCTGAGCGGTCAATGACAGGAATCACAGTTCATTTAGCGCGGAAGAAATGCAACTCAGGGCGTGTGCCAACACAACAGCGCCATACATAGATACCGACCAGTCAATGGATATCTTGGCACTGTGTGCCAAACCCAATAGTTCAACGTTGGTCCTGTAGTTTGGCAAACAGGAAGATACGTGGTACTTTACACAAACGGGAGAAGAAAACATTTGGACAATCCACGCAGTTGGTCAGTGTGGCGCTCATAACAAAGAAAATTGAAATTTGTTTGCAAACTGCGCGAATTACGTACTGATGGTTGCTGAAATTTAATTATCATTCTTGACAGCGTGTCCATTGATTGACTCCTTCATTCATCCCATAACCATATCCAGTATTAATCCCAAGCATTAATCCAAGTGTTAACCAGCCCCCTGCCCGTAGCTGAATCGCCCAAGATAGCGAGTATCCAATCCGTTTTAGCCCTCTAATTTTTACAAGTTCCCTCTTGCCACATTTTAACCGATCGAACAATCATGCCACGGTCTTTCTCCTCACCCCAGCTGGGCAGCCAGGTGTCCTTGGCATCCCAAAAGTCACGCATGGGCGCTGAGCTCTCATCGGACCAGGGCTTCGCGCCTAGCTTGTCACTGAATTTTGTTGTCAGCCTTGACAATTTGTGATGTTGGAATAGCGAACTTACGGGAACCAGCCATTCGTTGAACCAACTGCAACATTGAGAATGAGGTAAAATGGTTGGTCAAAAGGCGTGTTGGAGCGTCCAGTTTGACTCCAAGTGTCCTTGTGGACGGTCTTGTTGACCGTGACACCGGCGAATTTACCGTATTCCCACATGTTTTTGTTCTTGGTAAAGTCAAAAAACACGATTTGCTGCAGAGGAAAAATGTTAGCAATTGAAAGAAATATGGGATCAGCTCTTTTCTTAGAACTTACGCGAAGTCTTCCGTCCAGCCAAGTGAAGAGGTACTTCTCATTCCACTTCAGGCCGTAAGTGTGAAAGTCGTCCGACATCTTGGTGCGTTTGGAACCCCATTCGCCCTTGCTAAGTCTGAAAGCATCGGTGTCGTACAGTGTACCCCAATGCATGGCAGAACTGACGATATTGTTGCCAAGAGGGTACTTCTCAGCATCGTTGCCGCGGGACTCCATGATGTCTATCTCTCCGCTGCGGGGCCATTCGCCATAGATGTTGTCTTGCGGCATCATCCAGATGGCTGGCCACATCCAATCGCCAGAAGGCAGTTTTGCTTCAACTTCAATACGGCCATATTTGATCGTTTTCTTGCCTGAAGTTGTGAGTCTTGCGGAACGAACAGGATTGATCATGGCGCGGCTGGTGGCATTAGCACGTGCCCAGCAAGGATTGTTGTAGGTGAGATTGGAGAGACGCTGATCCATTGAGGTGCAAGTCCCGTCGCGAGTCAGATTGACGACATGTTTGTCCAGCATCTGATCGAGGGTGATCTTCGTATGATCGAGGGTCAGTGTTGGAACGATGTGAAGTCCTTGATCGTCAACGTAGGAATTGGCCTCGTCATCGGTTGTCCAGTCGAAAGATCCAGTGCTGGAGACTTTATGTTAGCCACAAGACTGAAGGATAGACCAAGGAAATACGAACCCGAATCCATTCATTTGTATTTCATGGCTCCAAATATTCGTGTCAAACTTGGAAAATTGGTCGTCCATGATAAGACAGTAATCATTGTGAGGAATCTTGTGGACGGTGTTCCATGCAATAAATGCTGAGAAGCCTTGGAAATGTCAGTTTTGAATGGTAATTGACAGAGAAGCGACTGACAGAATGCAATCACCACACCTGTGTAGAAGATGATGCTGTCCCAATTGATCTCGCGCTTCCACTCTTTGAGCCATGGTTTCTCATACCTAAACAGTCAGTCGGACCATCTTAAGATAGGACGGAAAATAGTTAAACTTACTCTCCAACAAGACGCGAACTTTTGAAGCGTCGTTGACGTTTGTCTGGGAACGATATCAGTAGGTGCACTGACGGTTATGAGTACGTTCGCCCACTAACCTTCGGCAACTGTAGAAGTGGATGAGCACCCGTGACCATGGTAGGAAGACATGCGACTTCCCAAAACAGGTGTAGGGGTGGATCGTCTTGAGTCAGTGACATAATCTTGTCCAGCTTCAGGAGAGACTCCTTGTGCCAGGGTTAGAGACTCTTGGATCTGATCTTGAGTACGTGTGGGCATGGCAAAACACTTGTGTACGATGAACTCAGAGAATGGGAAGTTTGGAAAATCCAGTGCCAAGTGCGATGAGAGTGTTGATATTATAGATCCCAACTGAGTTTTTGCCATCGCCTTTCCATACTCGCTGTGGAATTCAGCTTCAGGCGATATCTCAATTCTGTGTCTGTGCCTAGTGAAACTATTGTTCGAGACTTAGTCGTCTAAGCCCATCTTCGCAGAACCCGGGCAAATCCACTTGCAACTCCCTGTTCTGGACTTCTTATCAGTACAAAGTACAGAATTCAAGATGATATTAGCGCTAGTAACGGATAGCGACTTAGCTGAGGAGTCCGCCAGCCACAGTGTTTCATCATTAACCTTTTACGGGTAGTGTTTGTACAGCGTTTGCGGGCTAAGTGGCTAGTAGAGCAACTGTTACGCGAAAAGCTCAGAGGTATCAACACGATACCGCACGGCCACCCAGCAAACGCCTTACAGCCCTACCTAGTCACAGTGTTCAGACGTTGGACTAACCTTTCCCAGGTCTTACAGTGTTCAGTCATGTTTGATTAGTGGCGGAAGCTACTTCGTAGATTAAATTGTAAGCGTCACATTGAGTCTGTACTAAACCGACGTCTCTGTCGACGTCATTACCAATTTTAATTGTTATAAATATGAATTGATAGGAAATAATTTTACTTGTATGTTCGCGGATTCCTTTTTTGGTATTCAGTCATGTATCGTATTGGGCCAAACGTCATACTGCCAATTAAACCGCTTTGACAGAGGTGATGAACAACCAACAGCTTAGGAATCCTTGTCGTGCCAAGCCAATAGACCAATTAACTGTATCAACTCTCTGATAAAGACCATTAGCCACCAACAGTTGCTATTAGTTGTCTGTTACAGTACCAGGAACTTGGTTAGGCCCCAAATTTCTCATCGCCTAGACCATGAATATTTGTTTGCTAATTCCGGAACCTCACATTGTGCAAAGTCTTGCCACAAGTACCGCTACGTACATCGAAGTGACAGTCCAGCCAGATTCTACGGACCCTCAGGGCGTCAGAGCAAGTGGCCGCTGTTAGCACAAGAGACGAGATTAGTAGGCCAGATTATGCTACTTAGATTAGAACTCTTAGGTTGTTTATTTTGTACGCTCACACTTGGTGGCCAACTTTTCTGCTGCCCACTAGATGGTGCAGTGTAACATTATGTGGCCTGACTGTTGGTAAAAGATGGCCCTGGATGTCAACCCCCGGTTTCAATTTCGAAAGCGACTAGGTAATGGCCAGGATCAGAGCTTTTCCAACTTCTTTGTCTATTTCTGACCCCTTGTAACAAATAAGTCATACGTTGACAGCTCACTTAAGCGCCTATTGTACCTCCGTATCAAAGCTCCCACTGTGCTCAAGCTTAAGCTCAGTCAGGGCTCAGGCACCAGGGCCCAAGCTGTATCATTCACATTAGTTGGTGGCGTCAAAGTACCAAACACCCCAAAGCCTTGTCTCTCCTTAACGCTTACTGGGGCCTTCTCAGCTGTCAGGGGATTAATGACTTGCTAAGGGTCTATATCGCTTATCGGCGCTGGTGGTTGCGTAGCTGAGTGTCTTGAGCGACGATATAATGATGAATCAATTTACACAAACAAAAAAAGATAACGGTCAAGTCTACATCCGTTACAAAAGAATCTGGACAATCCGAAGTTATTGATTATTTCTTACACCAGCTTTACCGAATAAAGAAAACCAGCTATCTGGTTAATCTCCACTTGCTACACAAGGACCAACACTACTCTTGTTGTGGCCTGATTCATCTAGAATCCCTATCACGTACTAGAGAAATCCCATTTAACTGATTAGACCAAGCGATGTTGCGTCAATAGTCGATATGATTTCGACATTGCACGGTCTAGCCAGCGGCCGACCAGGCGAATGGCCTTCATCATGAATGAGGTAACAATGATCACCGAGCTGAAAGTCCGATAGGAGATCCCAGCTTCTCTAATCTGAAGCCTCATCGGTCGTTCGAGATGTCAATAGTTTACGGTGTTATCCTATTCCTGGCAATCTAGAACAAAACATTGATGCCGTCTTTATCAAACTCCCAGGGCCCTCAGCCGTATAGTCAGTCCGTGGCGAGCTTTGGTGCACTCATATAACTCCGGATTGAAGCTCGCTGTTGTTCAACAATCTTCATCACACTAACACGCTATCCCAGCAACCATCCAAGATGAGTCGACTAGTTTCTCACCAGGCAAGGGAGCAGAGCTTCAGCAAGATGCTCGATGGAACTACCTTGTCAGCTCTGCAACCTAAATCCGGAACCAATTCCGTCTCCAGTACTCCCAATCGCTGTAGTACCATCCCCTCCACTATCTCAACCCCTTTCAAGCCTCGCATGTCTCGGCGTGCCACTTCTGATTTCCAAGGGAATGGTTCACGATCTCGCCCTGCTTCCATTGCACCATCAAGACACTCCTTTATTGGAGACTTGGATATCAATGATCCTGCCATGGTATGTTTAAACTTTTCATCTGATATTTCTTTCTTATTGACCATTTTAGCTTGCCAAGTATGCATCTCGACGTGCAACTCTACTTGGGTGGTTTGAGGAGCCAGCCGAGAGAGCTGTCCTTAGTGGTGTGTCACTCACTGGACTTGCAATTAAAGCAACGGAGGGTCATGTCTTTCAGCCTTCTGATGTCGACCCTCTTTTGCAATTTGCTGTCTCAAAGCTTGATGCAGAAGCGTTGATCTCCATCTCATCCGAGACATTGGTAAATATCATCGGAGATATTCCCCCCGCACAACGCTCGCTTGTTTCTGAGTCAACTGGTGCCCGAATTCCTGTTGTGCCCAACTTGGAGGCTGTTACTCCAGACTTGTGCCACTATTCTCGTGCATGCATCGCACTAGAGGAGCGCATTGTCTTGGTGTGGTCCCAAGACCCCAAGGCTATCATCCATGTCGCCGATCATGTGCAACAGGAGATCTATGACATGGTAAGTCTACAAGTCATCTTGTATACCTGCTAAGCCAGACTAATTCAGTTGTAACAGACACAAACACCTTCTGAAGAAGACTTTGATCAACCCGGCCGTGCTCGATCGACCGTTACACAACTCAGTTCCGATACTGCACCTGTAGCGACTCCTGCTGTCGTTCGAGGTGGACTTGATGAGAAGAATAAGATCTTCTCGCGTTCTATCGCTCTTGAAGAGAATGAGGATGAGAACGACGATGTCGAGATGGCTGCCCCTGTTCGACCAAGGCTTAAGATGCATGCTTTCAAGGTCAGCTTTGCCATTATGTTGGTCATCGTTACTCAGTCCCTGGGTGTCACCAAGGTACATCAAAACACTCTTCCTCGTTGATTTCCCCTACTAACACTGAATAGCTCCTTAACGAATACTATTGGGACGGCGGCTTGGCTCGTTTTGGTCTCCTTGCCACCATTCCACCTTTGACCCTCTTCTCCCTCTTTTTCTTCATCGTACTTGTCACCAGTGTCTTCCAATTGCTTCTGCCTGTCAGCGCCTGTCTCAAAAACTCCCGGTTCCACTCTGCCATCAAGCCCAACCCCAAGCGTCATCGCGACTATGGACTGCCCCACATCACCATCCAAATGCCTGTCTACAAGGAAGGTCTCAAGGGTGTCATTGTTCCCATAATGATCAGTGTTATGGCTGCCATTGAGTACTACGAGCAGCAGGGTGGCAGTGCCTCTGTGTTCATCAACGATGATGGTATGCAGATCATCCAACACGATCTCGCTGAGGCTCGCAAGGTTTATTACCGCGAGAACGGCATCGGTTACACTGCCCGTCTTCCCAACTGCAAAGTTGCCAAGAAAGGCGGCTTTCTGTCGTGGTTTAAAAAGTCGGACAAGAATGCTGGAAACAATGCTGAGAAGGACGAGTCGGAGATGTCGCCGCAAGAACTTTCCAACAAGATTGGGTTCCTGCGAAAGGGCAAGTTCAAAAAGGCCAGTAACATGAACTATGGCCTTTCTTTCTCCAACCGTGTTGAGGATGAACTGATTCGCTTGACCCAAACCGAGTGTCCGCGGCGCGAATGCAGCGAGGATAATCTAACTGTCGACGACGATAACCTCATCTACCAGCAAGCCTTGGCCAATATGCTGGCTGAAGACAACGGGCGAACCTGTAAGTATATCGCGAAATTTAAGTCTGTAAGTTTACTAACGAACGCAGGGGCTGAGGGCAACGTCCGTATTGGAGAACTTATCCTGATCATCGATTGTGACACACGAGTCCCTGTTGATTGCCTCTACTATGGTGCTCTAGAGATGCACGAGAGCCCAGAGGATCTGGTGTTATGCAGGTTGTTCACAACACTTTCGAGAACGGCAGTAAGTTCCACATCATTTCTACTAGCAGGCTCATCCACTCACACTCGCAGTTACCTACTTCACCAACGTCGTCTATACTGCCATCAAATATGGTGTCGGCTCTGGTGACGTGTCTCCCTTCGTTGGTCACAATGCCTTCCTCCGTTGGAAAGCCATGCAAGACATCGCCTTCGTCGATCCTAGTGATGGCCAGGAGAAGTGGTGGTCCGATGCCCATGTGTCTGAAGACTTTGACATCAGTCTTCGTGTCCAGATGGCAGGAAGTATCGTTCGCCTTGCAACCTACCACAATGGCGGGTTCAAGGAGGGCGTCTCGCTCACACTATACGACGAGTTGACTCGCTGGGAGAAATATGCTTATGGCTGTAACGAACTTGTCTTCCATCCTTTGTGAGTATACCACATTGAGTATACTATGGCACACCACTGACACATTGACTAGCTACCAATGGCCTTACAAGGGTCCTGTCACAAGGTTATTCCTTCGCTTCCTCTGGAGCAACATGCCCATCACCAGCAAGATCACAATCACAGCTTACATCTTTACCTGTAAGTCCAACCATTCCTTCTTGCTCCATATTACTAACATCAATAGACTACGCAATTGCTTCTGGCCTTGCCTTGACTGTCGCCAACTACATCATCATCGGACTGTTCCCCGACAAGCTCGATCACCTCTACATGCCATCTTAAGGTATCTGGCTGTCGCTTGTCGTTGTCTTCAATGGTCTTGGTTCGGTCGCTTTCAGTATGGCTCGCCATCAATTGAAGGAAGAAGTCTTTTGGCGAGCGTTCCTCCAGTCCATGAAGTGGCTCCCATTCTTGGTCATCTATTTCGGCGGTATTAGTCTCAACTGCGCAAAGGCCTTGCTTTGCCATGCTTTTAGTATCAATATCGAGTGGTCTTCCACTGCCAAGGAACCAGGACCTAGTGGATTCTTCATTGGTCTCGACAAGATGATTGAGAGCTTCAAGTACACCTGGATCATCTGCATCGTTTTATCAGTCATGATGATCTACTTTGCTGTCGGTGCACCTTGGGGATATACTATCACTCCTGGTCCTCACTCGACTGCTGTGGTAGCCATCGTGCCTCTTGCCATCCAGGTCTGTAGTGCTTTTTTCTTACCTCTCACTCTTGGGTTGAATTAAATTAGATGTTTTGGACTTATTAATTATGGGTAATGTAAATTGGTTCTTTCGAACGGTGTCATTCGAAGTGATTTAATCGATAGATAGCAAGCTATCTGGAACCTTTCTCTTTTACTTAATCCATTAGCTTGTTGGTATATCAACGACTACCTTCTGTCTAAATCTTGTGATCATTCATTCTGTGACATTGCGCTTATTGGTTCATTAAAGCCTATTCGTCATGGACCATCGAGATATACCTGCTGCAAAGTAAAACGCACTTCTTCTTGGCTTCAATCTTCAAGATGCGGTATGATCATCGAATACCGCGAGACTAGTCGGACACCCCTTCTTCACCATCAACCTCTTGGTAAGGATTGAATTCTGGAACCATCCTGAAGCTACCAGCAGCCTTCTCAAGGGCCCTGCCGAATTTCTTTCCTCCAATACTGGGCTTGATAGAATCATGCCAATGGACCAGTTTGTCTCGCAGCTCGTCACTGGGCCAGTCATCCCACCCCACAAGCGGACTCTTGTAGAAGCGGTGAAAGTGATTTTCGGCTTTCTCAATGTCACCTTCGCCGTCCTCCTTGGCGAAGCGAAAGCTGTGCATGTCTCCGTGGACTTTGTGGTAGACAAGTAGAGGATGTCTTTCTCCCTCGAATGGGATAAGGCAATCCTCCCAATCCACACAGTCTTTACTGTACCGGTACTTGTTCTGCAAAAGGAAATTATGTTAGAGAACACAGTCAAAAAGAGTAACGTTTACTTACGTGTTCTTCAGTCGCAGCGACGCGGACAACTTGAGTGTCACCCTTGGTAAACACAACGATGTTTTCCCAGTCATGCCTGTGTCCGCTCAAACCAGTAGCTTGATCCTTCTCAAAGTAGTACTCGTACATGATGGCGCAGTAGCCGTGGTTGCATCGCTTGCGGGAGTAAACATTGCTGTTGAGGAGCTGTTTCTTGTTGCGGCAATGACGGCTTGACGAAAAGCTCTTCATGATTCCAGGGTTTCTGCGACCATCCGCACCGATAGCCGCTGTGTTGTAGCATCCGTCCTTGTCGAAGTCGATGTAGGGTTGGAAGCGGAGCTCCTTTCTAGTCGCGGCTTCCGGGAGGGGTTGAAGAATCTCACCGGCTGATGGAACGGCACAGAGGCCGATCAGAGCCAAGATGTTTGCCTTCATGATAGAATCTGTCCACCACGTTGTCTTGGTGGAGAGCCGACAATTCAAGGGAAGTTTGTTGTATATCAGAGGTAGACTCCAGACAGTCCAACAGGGGTATTTTTATAGCTCTCTAAGATGGCTGTGTTTCACTCATACTTTAAATATTGAATTTGGCTCCGACAACTTAGTTGATGTGGTGTAATATCCACACTTGACCACCCAACCTGAAAGTTCAAGTAAAACGTCCGAATGAAAGCCCTGTAGGATGGTAGTAACTCTCATGTCTCATGAGCAGCTAGATATCGTAGATGTCGACGTGTCCCTCCAGCTACGTTACAAGGAATTGAGACTATTCCCCCTTCACGCCATGGTCTAGTGTTAACATAGAACCGAACCAGGGTAATAGCCATCACTAAGCCCCTGCTTAGACGACTTTAAATGCTGCCAATCCCATTTCTGTGATTTGTTGGAAACATTTCAGCAATTTGGTGTGTGTCACGTGGTAGCTACTTATCGTGCTGTGTCATGTTTGCCAAGAGTTTCTTTGGTATTTATCTTTTTTGCAACCTTGATGCGTAACCTTGATCCTCCCCCAAGGAGATACATACAAATAGGTAAAGTTCAAGCTAATGCAGTTAGGTCATTCCTACGTAACAATCACCACGTGAATCGTACACAAAAGCAGCCGAGTCTACGAAGTGTTGTGATTCGTGCCACCAAATACGGGAACAATCAGGTCATAATCTTACTAAAGCAGCCACGTCCACATTCGCCGGCGCGTCGGTAACTTTGACCGAATATGGTGTTGGTATTGCAATGCTCCTATAACTAGACCCTTGATTCCTTCAGTTTGAACCCGTCGCCTCATGTTGAGATTCTGCAATAATTTATCATATCATATATGTCTCTTACCTACAGGTTTAAAACGATTCTGTATTATCCTTCTTGCAATTCCTCCTGTGACTCAAGAGCACTGCGCCAACCCATTACAGACTTGCTGCCTCATCGAGAATGCTTTTTGGAAACTCTACTCGCATCACTCCAGGCATTATGAATATTGGCACTGTCACTGAACATAGCCTAGATGACATGTCATCTGCAAAATACTCAAATCCATTCGCTCCCATCACTCCTTCGATGTTCAACACCGGGCTCGACAAAGAGAGCAGGCAAAATGGTATTCAAGCCTTTACAAAAGACGCTGCAACTACAACAGAACTAAGAGAAGTTGCTCAACGTATCATTCACCTCCATTCATCAAGATTACTGTTCAATTCCGTTCATGGATGGAGGATTCAGGCGCAAGGTACTGCCGGGTGCCCGAGTGCCTTGTCTCCTATTGAAATCAGAGATACAGACAAAGGAAATAAAGAGAAAGTCAGAAGCTCGCAAGTAAAGTCAGTTTCGAAATTTGGTCACTTTTCCTGTTTTCCCAAGAAGAAGGCACTGGGTCCGCGCAAATCTGTGCATTTTGATCAAGAATTAGAGCGCGTTTGCTTCTTTGACAAGACTGATTTACCACGCATAATTGGCTTCTCTGCTTCTCATGATAAGTGCAAATCACACGCTGATGGTGACTCGGTCGTCAAGGGTATTTTGTATGGGCACAATTGGACCATTTCTACCCCAAACTTTCCCCAGAATGTCTCGGCACGGAGGTCTATGCCTGTGAGAGTTTCAACAATCTATTTCTCTGATTATCGCAAGGCTTTGGCTGTATTTATTGCCGTAGAAAACTTAGCTTTTGAGAAGTCTGTTACTTGTCGCTTTACCAGAGACTATTGGAAAACAGTTTCTGAAACACCAGCACAATACTATGGTACTGCAGGCAACAGAGGGGGGAAAAGTTACGACAAGTTTGTCGTAAGCATCGCCTTTGCGAAGGATGATGAACTCGGCGATAGCCCATTCTTTTTCTGCGTGAAATACGCTGTGAACGAAGAAGAGTATTGGGATAACAACTCAGGGATAAACTTCGAGGTTGATTTTCACAACTGCAAATAGCAAAGAAAATCTTCTGCATCGATCAAACAAGAACTCAAATAATTTTACACGTTTATGGGCAATAGATAACATGCATAATCTTCATATTAGTGCAACTACTCTCTGCTACCTGCACCAGTAGTTTTATGGTCTATAGTATTAGACAACCTTGCTGATGGGGCCCTACGCTATAGAAGGGTAGTAAGATGATAGGATGTGTCTTTCAGGTAACGTCTGTCAAGCTCACCAGAACTGCTGTAGGACCTTTGGCGACCATAAGCTCAGTTTCATTATCGTCATAGTCTAAAATCAGATGGGTGTCTTCGACGGGTGGTAGCACATCGACAAATGGTCCCATAATTTTGCTGTTTGCTCTGTACACATTTGATAACACATCACTAGATCCGAAATTTGAACAGCAACAAATTTTAGTATCATTATCATGAAAGACCTCCTAGCTTAGTGACAAAGCGGGAGGAAATTCCATGTTCAAGGGTCTAATACCTTTGGTTGAACTTTGGAGCCTCTCAGGGTCTGGCCAATCATAGGATAACCATGTTGCACACTGGTAAACTGACCACTCGCATCAGATCATCTTACCACGTTAGTCTCCTGGTACAGGTGATCTCAAGGGTCTCAACAATATGCCTTGATCGGGCGATATTGCACGTCTATTTGCTGTGTAGTCGCTTCGTAAGCGGAATCCTCTGGTTCTATTAAAACTGGAAAATAAGGTAGGAAGGCAAATGTCCAGTATTAAAGTCGGAGCTACCCCTAAAGGTGAAACTACCGTTTTATCTCACGCAAGTCTTTTACCAGAGCCTGCACTTAATATTTGAGCAGCTCGACTGATCGAAAATACTAATATTGTTATCCACGTTCCATACACGTCCGTCTTCACAGTCACCTATCACGTATCTTTGGCGATATCTACATGACAGTAGAACAGAGATCTGGTAGTGACGATACAAGGATCCTCTTCCAGAGTCTGGAGACAGTGGGTATAAATCATGACACAGAAGACAACAACGCAATGCGAGGAGTGGTTAGAGGCTGGCTGGATGTCAGAAATTAGTGGCTTTTGCGAAAGCTACAGGTCTATCACAGACAATTGCCTGATTGGCGATACTTTGTCTGATTTGGCGACGTGTCAAACTCAAGAGGAATGGAACGATTTCCCTGCTCCTGCTTGTCCCACAGAGGCAGACACTACGCAATACGTGTGGATTGCAGACAACGGTCCGGGGTGGCATGAGGTCTCGGTTTTTGCAAACGAATCCGTCGACGAACGGCACGTTGAGACAAGCCCTTCACAATCGACAGATTCTAGACCTTCACAATCGACAGATTCTAGACCTTCACAATCGACAGATTCTAGACCTTCACAATCGACAGATTCTAGACCTTCAATGTTGGCTTCAGCTTGGTCTAGCAAGCTCCATTCATCCTCGGCAGAGGTGAGCACAAAGGATACTATTGGTCAGCCACACGATGGGAACAAACACCAAGAGTCACCCACTCTACAGGCCGGAAAGAGCCGGAAAAAAAGGAAGTCGCCGTCTGGGGTAACAGACCACCCAGTCCAACAAAGAAAGAGGTCATCGCGTTCGACAGTTACGAGCAACCAGAAACAAAGATTGATGGAACAGAATCGGCTAGCCGCTCTGAGATGCCGCGAACGAAAGCATGACGAAGCACGAGCACTGAGGATAGAGTTGGAGAAATTGGAGGATCAGCACAGAAAGCTCTCTGAGTACCACGATGCATTGGAAGACGAGGTATTCAGGCTCAAGAGTCAAGTCCTGGAACACGGGCGCTGTGATTGCATTCTGCTGCGACAGTATATCGAGAGCGAGGCGCTTAAGATCGTGAACCTTTCGTTCGTGGCCTCTGGGTGCAGTCCGGGTACCTATACCACTACGATTCCCTAAGGCAGTGTAATTAGACACCTTTCGACATGTACCATACTATTCAAACTGCGCCATGTGGATTTGTCTCGTGCCCTGTACAGTTCCTTGGCTAGCAACGTCATGTGCGTATAACGACAGCCCTATGGGTGGGTTAATGAAACCACGTAGCCAGCTTTGTTTCATCAAGGCGAAATGATTGGGCTTTGTAGACGACTAAATGGACCGTTCTAGACTCATCCACCATTACATTTCTCAGCCACCTAAACTTAAATTACCTAGAGACAGATTAATATTTCATGAAAGCATTAGTACTTACTTACCCCTCTTTCACTTGTTCCGAGACAACCCTACAAAAAAAAAAGACGTTGGACCTTGTGGAACCTTCTCGACATCTCCAATCATGTCAAGACAACAAAGCCAAATCCAACATCTCATTGCTTTTGCCGGTTGTGGCTCTGTAACACCATCCTATACAGCTGAGCCTTTTTTCACTACCGTATTTCTTCAGCTGTACTGCTGAAGTCATTACCATTTTTTTTTCTTTCTTTCGCTTTTTTGTCTTTTGTTTTTTTTTTTTTCCCCAAGAACAAAAAAAAGAATTCCAGGATACCGAACACCTGCCACAATTCAAATGATTGACCTCTGGTGCACGGCTATGTAGGCCTTGTAATTAAAGTGCTGTGCCAATGACATAAAATCCTCCTCGTTGAATTAACAGATTAGTCGCACATGTCTCTGTGTGATCGGACGACTATGCCATCACAGTAGTCACGCATATCATGATCCAGCTCTCAGGTAGCGCCAATAATATTTCATTGCCGAGGAGCAAAGCGAATGCTGTCACATATCATATTTTCTCTCCTGATGGGGGGGATATCGGATCCCAGAGTACTCCCTGTCTGAACCTGAACAAGACTCTTGGCAGTCCAGATCTAGACCAGCTTGCTTGTGCAAGGAAGAGAAACAAGCATTGAGATTCCAGACATTAAAGTGCGTTATCAGCCCTACACTGTTTGGACCCGTATTACGAATTGTTTTACAAATGCGAGTAGGGACATCGCCACTGAGAGGGCCGGTCGTGCCATCTCGCTCGTAAAGGTATTTTTGAATCATAATCGGGGAATTGATTGAAAAGCGATCAAGTTGTCTTTTTCGTGCTGATCGGGTTGTTTTCTCCTACCTCCGACTACTGTTACAATGCTTTGGAAAATGACATGATCATCATCCTGGTCGGCGATCTAGACCTCGACGCCACCTTGTTCGACTTGCATCGTAGGGGCAACAAAAGACAGGTATACCATGATTGGCGGCGGAGTCCGATAAGATGACAAGACCGAATCGGGTACTTATAAGTTCGTACTTTGAAAATGATTCAATGCCGTTTAGTAGAAGGCAACCAACCCATCATCAACATTTCATCCATTTCTGGCCGATTCTCATTTCAATCAATCCCTGTTCTCTGACTCGACGTTATTCCACATGGCCACTTGTGACATATTGAAAGATAATGGTGCCTTCCATTACGGTATTGGCAACAGCCAATTTGAGGTACGTACGGCATGATAGCAGCTCATGGCCACAAACAGGTAACACTTCATTTGCTTTCACCGTATTTGCCTATCTCCAAAACCACAGTCACATTCTACAATGGATTGTGTGCAGCATCTTTTTTAGTGATCAATACTGATATTACCAAGCTGCCGATCGAGTTCCTCCTGTGTCCGTCTAGCCAGGGTCAGTATGCACATACTTTCACCATCTATGGTTTCCTGAAACTGACAGCCGTTTCAAAGATATCTTTTCTCAACCCTGCAGTGAGCCTGTGACAACGGGTCTACCAAACGTATCATCAAGTCTGTCTTTCACAACAAGACCCGATGAGCATGACGCCACTAGATACTGTGCGCCGAATCTTGACTCCACCCATCAAAGTCTTTTGACGGGCGGTGATGGGAGCTTCGACCCAATGGCTCATGCCAAAGACATAGACATCCCCGACTTCATATCTACCGGAATATGGACCAAGGACGTCCCGACCCAGATATCGCAAGACGGCACAGCGGAGGGTCACAATGTCAGAAATAACCAGCAAGAAATAAAAGACGGTAGTCAAAAAGACTTGGTAGAGGTCAAGTTGCGGTCAGCATCCCACAAGCCAAAGCACTTCCGTTCAAAGCCGGCAGTCTCTCCAGGTGTCGAACAAGCGCGCAACTGCCACAACAAAGTGGAGAAGCAGTATCGAGCCCGCTTGAAGAAACGTTTCGAAAGGCTGCTCGCGGCACTACAAGTGCCGACATCATCGCAAAATGTGGATGGGATTGCAATTGGCTCACTTGATGACAGTTACTACTATAGCAGAGGAGAGGTGTTGGATCTCGCGACGGAGCGAATTTTGATACTGAAGGAGGAGAATGAAAGGCTCACTCGCCGAGCCCAAGCGTCGTCGATTTATGTTTCGAAGTAGATACCGACAATGTAACACACGATATTATGATGGTCTATCGGTGGTAATACGGGAAGCCGGGAACAATGACGTACAACTTATAGTGGCGGAAGACCGACCACATTCCGTAGATGAGTTGACGCCATTGTGGTACAAGAGATGCTGGAAATCTTTTATTTACTCATAAGAAGTTGATCATTAGAGATTAATGAATATGGGCCAAGGACTACCAACGGTTAATTGTCCCCAAGGCAAAAATCCCGTGGCTGAAGGTCCGAGGTAATTGCCATGATCAAAAGACAGCTGTCCGCCTTATGCAGGGTAGCTTCGGTCTAACAGACACCAGAAGCTTAATAAGCGTGTAAGGTTGAAACCTTCTGATCCTACAGATTAGATTATACCCCAGCAAAAACATTGGCGTAAAATACACATGAGAGATTGATAGAGTATCTAACATAATTGACTTTGTGAATTTAATAGGTGATATTGCCTGTTTCTAAGCATGCCTGTTCATTATATAAAATCGCCGACCCACGGGATCTTCGGCACATCAAAGACGTCAGATGTCATGCCTGTATCAATGACCCTTTGTGAATCAGAAAGCTTAGATGACAAGAGCACATGGGACATAATTAAGAAGTCAGTATGTGGCATTTTAGGTCAGTATTTATTCTTTACACTCTCAAACTCATAGCCAGCTCTACTGTCAGCCGAAGCACAATTTTGTAAGCTACGATTTTGCTAAAAAAAAAAAAAAAAAAGTTACCAACCGTTACATCGCTTGATAACTTCACGACAAAGATCCTTTATCGACCAGTAGAACAGTTTTCTTATACAATTGTGGGTTTTATTGGTAGTAGGTGACGAATTTGTCGCTGTGTCTTGGCGTCACCATGATCAGCATGGGGTTGTAAATGACACAATTTGCAACCCGATGACTCGTCATAATCACGGCATTGTACCGCATGTTATATAAATCTCTACCGGACCATTAATCCATTGAACTGAAACTGAAAAGTGTGCTTTTGATGGTTGATATCACCGAGACGACAAAATGCAGGCAGACATTCCATATCGTCGCGGATCTCAAGCTCACGGTCAGGTAGGTAACGTGTCCAGAGTCAGGCTTTTCTAAGTTCTAACAAATGACTAAAGCAACCAGATGAGTGGAAACTCGAGCAAGGCCTTGAGGCAGCCCGTCTCAGTATTCGCAATCAGAGCAGCCTCCAAATCAACACTAACCCACACGAGTTGAAGCCATCTGATTCAGAAAAGATCATAAGCTACGACGACAACGATCTAGACGTTCAGGATGAGAGAGAGGGATGGAAGGGCTATGTAGAGTGGGAGGATTACCCTGAGAAGAAGGCCAAAGCTCATCAGCGGTTTCAACGCTTCAAGTTTCCACCACCACCTGAGTTTCAGCTCGAACCTCTTCCGGCTACGAATCCTGTTCTCGAGGGGAAAAGATGGAAGTTATGGCATAAAGCTATTGGAGGAGTTTTGACAAAGGTCCCTGAACTTAGTTGGGAGACCGTTCTCAAGGTAGATCTCCTCAAACTGGCAAGGAACCTTGAACGCTAACTATTGTAGGAAAAACATCCCGAGATGCTTCACCTTCTTGAATTCCCATACAATGGTGAAGCTCCAAAGAAGCTTCTGACAAAGAACTATATCATGCCAAACGAACTTCACTTCGTTCGAAATCATGGAGGTATTCCTGACATTGGCCACGACGCTTGGGATCTTCGTCTTGACGGTCTTGTCAACAAACCCCAAACCCTCACACTCAAGGACCTCCAAGACGAAACCCGCTTCCCACGGGTCACCAAGCTCGTCACGATTCAATGCAGTGGTACTCGCCGTTTTGAACAGATTGTTGAGTACCCTGGCGAAGGCGACGAGATGATTAACGCACCTTGGGCTGAAGGTGCCATCGGTACTGCGAAATGGACAGGCGTGAGTCTAAAGAAGGTAATCAAGCACTGTGGCGGTTTAAAAGAAGGCGCAAAGCATATCGAGCTTTATGGTGCGGATACATATTTCAAAGGTGGGCAGCTCATGAATTATGTTGTTTCGGTACCATGGTCCAAGGTAAAAATTCATGAGGTTCTTTTGGCGTGGGAGATGAATGGTAAGCCAATGCCTAAGATCCATGGTGCTCCGGTTCGAGCCGTTGTGATGGGGTACATTGGAGCTAGGAGTTGCAAGTGGCTGTACAGGATTAAGGCGATTGAGACACCAAGTCTTGCACCAGTATAGAGCAGGGAATATCTGTACTTCCAACAACAGACCGGCAAACATAATCAATTGCCTACCAGTAAGTGTTTGGCCATTGAATAGGCGGTATGCTGCATGGTTAACGCTTTGCAGTGGGTATTCAAATCCAGGAGATGCCTGTTAGCAGTGCCATCATATCCCCTTGGAACAAGGAGGTGGTAGTACATGACGGAGAAATAGAGGTTACAGGTGAGAATATCGACCTTAACTTCTTCCTTTGTATCTAATATGATCAGGTTGGGCATACTCAGGCGGAGGCCGATGGCCAGAACGCGTGGAAATCTCCTCCTCTGGCGGCCACGTGTGGTATGCTGTACCCATCGACAACCTCTCTCCCAAACACAAGTTCGCATGGCGCACCTTCAAGGGAAAAGTACCATGTGACCATGAAGGCTGGACCGAGCTTGTTGTCAGATGTTGGGACAACAGTCTCAACACACAGCCCATGGAGGTCAAACACAGTTGGAACTGGAGTCTCCATGTGACGAGCAGTTGTCATCGTGTGAAAGTGTATAGTGTCAATGTGAAGAAGGAAGCGACCAGAAAGAGGCTCATGGAGTTCAATGAGCATGAGGAGGGGTTCACGCCGATTACTAGACCTACAGGTTTCGTGCCGATGAGCATTGATGAGTATAAGAGCTTGACGAAAGAAGCTGAGCCAAGAGATGTTGACGAGTAGTTATGATTAATTGATTGGCTTCCAGCATTTGGCAATTATGTGCTTCGGTCAACTAACATATTGGTCTTTCTTCAAGTATTTGGCCATAAATCGCATGAAACCGTTTTAAAGGACTACTTGCTACATGGACAACTGGATAATCACATAGTCTTCTGACTGAAGGAAGCAGGGCCTACAGTAACGATAGGGCCTGGTATAAAATATATGTTTGAAGAACAACCCCGTTAGAGATCAGAGAATATAATTTCACCACGTGTATTTTGAGTGAAGAACAATTTTATATGCCTTGTGATTCGCTGAATCAGAGATGCGCTTGACAGGGCTTCTGAAGTGGTGGCCTGGCCAAAACAAAGTCATAAGCACAGACTGGGCATGTGTCATGTGCCGCAAGGTACCACGCTGCAATGCAACCAGAATGAAAGGTATGTTCGCAAGGAAGGTGACGCACATTGTCGGTGTCGGTAAATTCCTCTAGACAGATGACGCTTTGGAAAGTAATATCAGCTCTGCTAAGTTATCCTGGGCCTGTAAACTGAGATGCACGTACCATGTCATATTGGCTTCCATATTTGCCCACAAAGGATGGAAGCTGTTAGAGAGTTCCTGTTTCAACTCTTTACATGTCTTCTGAGGGGTTCTGGCATCCAACTCGGCTAGGTCCCTAGCTTCAGTGCTCGTTGATTGAGAAGGCACAGAAATGTTTGAGTTACTAGCATCACTGGAAGAAGCCGAACGTTGTGGTCTAATTAAATTATAAAGTCTTTCATGGCGTCAGCTAGCCCCGCATGTAGACAAGACGGATGAGGGGGACAGACATGGGTAAAAATAACAAGATGAAGGCAATAAAGCCCATCAATGGAAGCATCAAGACTGGGAGCAGCGCAGACTTTCCGGTGCCTGCATCCTGTCGTAAATAGTCCTGAGAGCTATTATTGGCCACACGGGCGTTGTTGTCTAATGCAGGCATGATCTATAATGGAGCCTCTAATAGAGTAAATATGTGCTTCGTAAATGTAAATGTGATTAAATTAAGTACCACAATCAATCGACATATAAGAATAGGCACAACAGTGACAAAAGTCGCTTATAATCATATATCACCTTAGATGTGATTTAGGTTTGTTTCTGTGCAAGGCCCACTGCATTTTATGATCTGATACCACCATTTCATTTATCAAGTCACACGCTGCTTAATCTGTTAGACGTCTGAATTGCCTACACGACGTTGGTGTCACCGACCGTGGTCTAGAATGTCCCATTAACGCCACCAAACGAAGTAGCCGGGAGGCGTCTGGACGAGACCGGAATCAGATCAGCTAGATGCATGCCACGATAACTTCTTACCTTTGATCACTCGATGACACCGAAGAATCTATTCTTGTTCAGGCTCCAAGTCGTGAGCCGAGAGGAAACGTAGCCAGCATATCAGCAGGAGGAATATCGGGTTAAACAGCAAGTTCATGGTATAAAATGCTCCCCAGATAGCTGCAACGCACCGTACCCTCTCCCATATCGGTGATCTTCTCTTATCATATCCCCTCAACCAAATACCTCTCTCTAATAGTACATGTTGCATGTTTTTCATCATGGAAATCCGACCCGAGCTTTTATATCATGTATTAATCACTGTCATTGACTATGATAAGGACCCCTCTGGTGCTCAACGCTCCACTTATGTTCTCGGCACGCGAGGTTCCCTCGAGTCGGCTAAAAGCTCAGCTTACCGAGTTTTAAACACCCTTCGGTATACGCCTGGTGACTTTGCCGAATATGCCGTACACTCAAGTCATCAGGGGACGTGGAGATATGGCGAAGGTGTTATGGTATACGCCAGGACACCAGCTGGTCGAACCTTTTTAATTTCACTGCAAGCAACCCCAAACGACGATCAATTTGTAGTCCAATACGACGGCAGCATTATGCTTCCTAAAGGAATATCATCTCTGCAATACATTTTGCAAACAACCATCGACTACAATAAGGATAGGAGTGGCGCTCAACAGGAGACGCAGATCGAGGGAACATTTCTTCACCGATCAGAAGCGCTGGCAGCAGCCCGCAACTTACTAGACCCGCTTGACTTTGAAGACTTTGAGACCCCAGAAAAGATGGACGGAGAATGGCCTTATGGTGACAACGTCGTGGCCCATGCGATTTCGGAGTCTGGTCTCAATTTATTTGTCGCTGTACAAACTACCTCATGCATTGAAGGGACATTCAACGGCCTGTAGGATAGTCGGAAGAACACATGAGATTGTTTGGAAAACACCAAAGACAAGTGTAGTTTGCCACTCATGCAAATATGGAATCTTTTATCCACATAACTATTATATATGAGACGTGATTGGTATTATTCTGATAATGGGGTAATTCCCTTACCCGCAACTTGTTAAGATTCGGTTATCAGCGCACCCTACCATCGGACCTATAGAATGTCGGGTAAAGCCTACTAGAGCTCTAACAGTGACATGGTTTTGAAGAAAAAGTCCAACATGTTTAAGACAAGTAGAGTCGTTATTCTTGGAATTGTACCGTCTCGGTGTCACTTTCAGATATAGGCAATGCATCGACGGTAAAGTTCACAATCCGTGCAGCACAGAGGCTTCGTCCAAGAGCCAAAATATTTGAGCGTCATACGGTAAACATCTAACAGTGGCAAAAATGATGCCAAATCATAGTGACATGCGAATGCTACTAGATAGGCAAAATTAGAAAGCGGATAGGGCCAACGCCAAAGGATGTCATGATGTTATAACTAGCTTTTACTAATCAACCCAACGTGCGAGACGCCACAATGTAACTTCTTGGAACCCGTCAGCCGAATGATTCACTGCATTCACAACGCAAGTACATCGGAGTTTTGTGAGATGGGCTTGATCAAGCGATTCTAAGACCCCAATTGCTGTAACCTTTATAAGACGGTGCGTTTTCAAAACATTTCAGAACTTCGAAAAAAATCGGAACTGAATTTGTTACTAGCAAGCTGCTATTTCTAGTGCAACATGCTGTAACATGTGACATCAACGTCAAACTTACGCGATATGACTTATCATGCATCAGGCCATCTGTCTTTGGTCTCCGCTGCGACACGGATGGCTTCGCAACCAATACACCCTTGGACCTCCATTGGCCCGAGGCAACGGTTCACAACTGATGTTATAAACTTTACTGCAAATGATATGATTAACATCAGTTTCATAATCTTTCTAGGTCCTCGTAAGAAGAAACCAAATATGACCCGGTCAGATCATGAAACGCGGTTGTATCATGATGATACGCCTCTGACAAAGGTGCCCGCTTTACTTGACCTTCCGACAAAGCGTTTCTTATAGGTATCTTCTCGCCAATAGCCCAACTCTTGGAAGTCATTAAGATACTGATCTGCCGATTTGTCCGCTATTTTACATATCGTCTCGTACAAATCTCCCGTCGCAGCCAAAACCCTACCCAATGAGTGACGGCAGCTGGACTTCTGAGCCTCTTGTGCTCAACTTTGAGCACTTGGGTCGAGGTGATGTTGCCTTGGTAGGCGGGAAGAATTCTTCTCTTGGCGAAATGATTGGAGCCCTTAGCACTGAGGGAATTCCTGTTCCGCCTGGATTCGCCACGACTACATATGCATATTGGCATTACGTTGACGCCAACAATATCCGAGGAAAGATCACAGGGCTCATCGATGAGTGGCAGTCTGGCCACTACAGCCTTGGAGAGACCGGCTACGCAATCCGGAAGTTATTTCTCAAGGGAGTGTGGCCGGCGGACACTATGGATTCCATCGCGGCTGGCTATCATGAACTCTGTGCCAAGGCCGGAAAGACTGAGTTGAGGGTAGCTGTGCGATCGAGTGCAACAGCGGAAGATCTTCCCGATGCAAGTTTTGCAGGCCAACAAGATACATATCTGCACATCACCGGCGAACGTGAGCTTCTGCACTATTCCAAGCGATGCTATGCTTCACTGTTCACGGATCGAGCTATCAGCTATCGCCAGATCAATGGCTATTCTCAAACAAGTGTCGCGCTCTCTATAGGGGTACAGCAAATGGTGCACTCTGATCTCGCTGGCTCTGGAGTCATGTTCTCCATCGACACTGAGAGTGGATTTGATAAGATCGTGTTGATCAATGGTGCCTGGGGTCTCGGTGAGAATGTGGTTCAAGGAAACGTCAACCCCGATGAATATCAGGTATTCAAGCCTCTTTTGTCCAACAAGAACTTGTCACCTATCCTTGAAAAGAAATGTGGAAGCAAATTGATCAAGATGGTATATGGTGACAAGCATATTCCCACCCGCAACGTCCCTACTTCCATGGCAGAACGTGCTGCGTTTGTGCTCACCGATGCAGAAATCCTACAACTAGCCCGATGGGCCTGCGTCATTGAGAAGCATTATGGATGCCCCATGGATATGGAATGGGCAAAGGACGGTACAACCGGGCAGATGTTTATAGTCCAAGCCCGTCCAGAGACAGTTCAGTCCCAGCGTGACACTGCGGTCTTCAACACTTACACTGTTGGAAAAAGAGGGCGCACACTAACGACCGGACTGTCCATCGGCGACAAGGCAGCGGCGGGCCGAGTATGCCTCCTGACGTCCGCCAAAGATATCAGTAGCTTCGTCGATGGTTCTATCCTGGTAACAGAGGCGACTGATCCAGATTGGGTGCCTATCATGAAGCGTGCAGCTGCCATAGTCACGGATCAGGGTGGACGCACTTCCCATGCCGCCATAGTCAGCCGTGAACTGGGTGTACCCGCCGTTGTGGGCACAGGTAATTCCACATACGTGCTACACAGTTGCCAGGATATTACCGTGTCATGCGCCGAAGGCGACACAGGTCTAGTCTATGATGGTCTGTCTGAAATCACAGCCAAGAGCATTGATCTGTCTCAGCTGCCTGCAACTCGCACAAAGGTCATGCTCAATCTTGCCAACCCATCATCTGCTTATCGCTGGTGGCGTCTCCCTGTTGATGGCATCGGTCTTGCTCGCATGGAATTCGTCATCAGCAACTCTATTCAGGTCCACCCAATGGCACTAATTAATTTTGACCATCTGAAAGATGAAAGTGCCAAGACAGAGATTGCCAGACTGACAAAAGGATACAAGAACAAGCCTGATTACTTTGTTGATAAATTGTCTTACGGCCTTGCTACCCTTTGTGCTGCGGTATATCCCAAGCCAGCTATCATTCGCATGAGCGACTTCAAGTCAAATGAGTATGCTGGCCTGATTGGGGGTGCTGAACTAGAGCTCCAAGAAGACAATCCCATGATAGGCTTTCGCGGAGCCTCACGTTACTACTCACCTCGCTACAAGGAGGGGTTTGCACTCGAGTGTCAAGCTGTGAGGAGGGTGCGCGAGACCATGGGTCTTACTAATGCTATTGTCATGATCCCTTTCTGTCGCACTATAAAAGAAGCCAGAAAGGTACTTGATGTCATGAAGGAGAATGGCCTCAAGCGAGGCGAAAATGGGTTGGAAGTATACGTCATGTGCGAGATACCTTCGAATGTAATCTTGGCCCATAACTTTACTGACTATTTTGACGGATTCTCTATCGGCTCCAACGATCTCACGCAACTCGTCCTGGGTATAGATCGGGACTCAAGCGAGCTCGCTAATCTTTTCAATGAACAGGACGAGGCTATCAAGTGGATGATAGCCAGGGTCATCGAAGTGGCCCATACGAAGGGGTGCAAGATTGGTCTATGTGGTCAGGCTCCAAGCGACCATCCAGAGTTTGCCAAATTCTTGGTGGACCACGGAATTAATTCCATCTCAGTGACTCCCGATAGCTTTGTTTTGGTGAAGAAACAAGTTCTGGCCAGCGAGAAGATGTAACTGAAGGTCATAGCCCTTTGGTTAGTGCAGAGTATCATCATAGGACTTTCCTTTGTGCAATCCATCAGAACCTTCAACGCAATTTATCGTTTTATTTACTTTTGAACTACATGGGTATAGGGTGCAACTGGCTTGGTTGCAAGATTCGGGACAGTTTTCATTCTTGATACTAGGTAAAGCAACTCAGATTGTAATGTTTTCACTTGCTTTCCATGCCTCATGCTATGTCAATAATGAATATCATAAATACGTTCAAGTCATACTAGCCATGCATGAAACGACTGTAATGACTCTAAACCAACTGAATTGTCACCTGTTAGAGTGCCTGGCGGCTTGTCCTGTCTCTACGCTTCCAGTATTCTCTAGTGATGTATACAGCATGTCATCGTACTTCCTGACCCTCATGGATCACATAAATAATGAGGAATATTCCCCAGATGAAATTAACTATTGAAGAATATTTTATAACTTCATCCACTAGAGAATATGGTGCATGTACATTATCACCTTTACAACGCACTTCCCCATTTATAATCAGATCTCAACACGAGAATCATTCAAGCAGAGAATCCTCACTATAGAGAATCCTCACTATAGAGAATCCTCACTAGTGATAATCACTGGGTTAATTTGATCATTTCACTGTTTAACACTAGATGAGCTTCGAGATACTAAATTGACAAAATCACCATCCATCACTACTCACCAACTCAACCTTTCGTTTCAGCTCCACAGCAGAAACCGATAGCATACTCTCTTCCTCTCCATCCAGCACCATTTCAACTTGACTGACGATTCCTTCTTTTCCAATAACGGCAGGCATGCTAAAACAGCAACCGAATTGTGGCTGAAAGAAGCTGACTGGCCCCCAGATACGTTTATCGGAAAGAATTGAAGAGCAGATGTTGGCCACGACGGTACCAATCCCAAAGCCGGCGGAGCCTTTGGCACGTATCAGCTCCTGGGATCGATGCTTGCAGGTGGTCTCAATCCTTTCACGATCGATACCTTGACTGTGCGGCGAATCTGAAATACAAACGCCTCCAATGGTTGCTGATGACCATGCGACAATTTGACGTTCCCCATGAATGCCTACCACATATGCGCACACCTCGCTTGGCATGACCTACACAGTCAGTAACTGAATTCTTACGAGCTGCGTTATATCAGGGGGTCTCAACTGACAAGGGCTCGAGAGGCCAGCATTCCGCAAAGCCTATCAGTGTCCAAAAAGGTTCCTGTTCCCATGACTTGTGAAGATGGTAGACCCGAAAGCTCTTTTGCCATGGATGTCAAGAGATCGACAGGATCAGCGACTATGAGCAAGATAGTTTCGGGTCCAAAAGGCTTCATCGCATCAATAACTCCCCGTAGCATTGAACAATTTCGGGATGTATAATCCACAGTAGTCTGGCCTGTGTAGGGATCCTTATTAGCACATCTTCTCTGTATTCCTGTATCGTATAGAACAAACCTATCGTGTGCTTGACTGCCGAGGTGATGACGACAACATCACATTGGGATGCTTGCTTGAATGTGCCGGGTCGCACCCGCGTGCCCGTCTTGGTACTGTAGGCTGCATCGGAAAGATCCTCAACTTGAGCATTTCTTCGTTCAAGATCAAGGTCGACGAGTAGTAGTTCTCTGACGACGGATGAAATAATAAGATTGTAAGCGACTACTCCGCCCACTTCTCCTACCCCAACTATAGCGACATGAGAAGATGAATTCATTGCGCCTAGATCTTTGACCCCAATAAATGCGGCGTAAACCATCGTAACATATGTCTAATAAGTACAGCAGCCGACAAGAGTGCTCTACACTCGACTACCAAGTATCCGATGCTCAGTGTTCTGATTTCGGCACATCGTACCATTCCAACTCCATGTGTCAGTAATACTTACGTCAAAGTGTGCTTACATCTTTGCATCCACTGCTAAGTGCGTATCCAACCATTTTCAACCGTACAGCCACGGCCGGTTCTGGACGGAGGAAAGTCTAGATCAATTAGCCACATACACTGTGGCTACCACACCATTTCATGGATGCATGATGTACGATCAGATCATGTACGATCAGATCATGTGATACAAGATTCCTTCCATGATAACATCTAGTGATCCGTGTGATTAGACTTGCCTAGTTTCGTGCTTACACTTACGCTACACATGGATCATTGCACGTCAACATTCTATATTTGTGCTCCACACAAGTCTACAAAGTCGTATCATACGTGAACGATTTACGTCGTAGTCATGAATAAATTGAATCCTCTTTTTAGCATGTGACTCCATAGTACTTGATGTCTGCTACGTATCTTTTTGGTCGGGGACTTGGTTAAGAATAATCTGTGGCGAGTTTTGGTCCAGTACCGAATGTTCCAAGTAATTACAACTTCATTCTGAAGTTATCCAACCGATACACATCATCCAAACTGACTGGTCTGAGATTGACATCTTACACCATGCCTCCTTTTACCGTGGGCAACTACCTTGCTGAGAGGTTGGTTCAGATCGGCATTCGTCACCATTTCATTGTCCCAGGAGACTACAATCTCATTCTTCTCGATAAGCTCGAAGCTCATCCATCTCTGACAGAAGTTGGATGTACAAATGAGCTTAACTGCTCTCTAGCCGCTGAAGGGTACAGCCGTGGCAAAGGAGTTGGCGTTTGTGTTGTCACCTTTAGTGTGGGTGCTTTCTCTGCTTTCAATGGCATAGGCAGTGCATACGCAGAGGATCTTCCTCTCATAGTTGTCAGCGGAGCTCCAAACACAAACTATGCTGGTCAAAAGCTACTTCACCACACCCTTGGTGAATGTGATAATTCTTACCAGCTGCAAATGGTCAGGCATATCACATGTTATGCTGCGAGTATACGCCATGCCGAACAAGCTCCAGAGATTATCGATAACGCCATTCTGTCGGCTCTGACACGGCGTAAGCCCGTCTACATTGAGATACCGACTAATTTGGCTGGCGAGACTTGCATGCATCCCGGACCGATTAGCGCCATTACCAAAAGACTTGTTAGTGATGAGCATGCGCTGAATTTCGCCGTTTCCAAGGTCTCCGAATACTTGGAGGGAAAGCAGAAATGCGTGGTTGTGGTCGGTCCTAAGGTACGAAGGGCGAGGGCGCAAGAAGCTCTACTTCAGCTATCAGAAGCCATCGGATGCGCCGTCGTTCTTCAGCCAGCAGCAAAAGGATCGTTTCCAGAGGATCACACCCAATTTGCCGGGATATTCTGGGGTCAGGTCAGCACGCTAGGGGCAGACACCATCGTCAACTGGGCGGATGTTCTTCTTTGTATCGGGACGGTCTTTACCGATTATAGCACGGTTGGTTGGACAGCTCTACCGAGCGTTCCACAGATCATTGTCGACATGCACAGTGTATCTGTAGCCACGCGCTTTTATACTAGCGGTCTTCAGCTATCCGACTTCTTGCTCAGACTCGCAGAGACAGTATGCTGGAATGATATTACCATGGTTGAGTATAATAGGTTGCGCCCTGATACTCAGACGGTGCAGAAGCCACATGGACCAGAGAGATTGACTAGAAAAGAAATCTCTCGCCAGACTCAGCTTCTGCTGGACTCTGACACGACGGTCTTTGCAGATACCGGCGATTCGTGGTTTAACGGCCTTCAATTAAACCTCACACACGGTGCGGAATTTGAAATCGAAATGCAATGGGGTCATATCGGATGGTCTATACCAGCATCGTTTGGCTACGCACTGGCGAGACCACAGCAACAAACCATCGTCCTAGTAGGCGATGGTGCGTTTCAAGTGACTGGTCAAGAGGTCTCGCAGATGGTCCGATTCCATCTTCCAATCATCATACTATTAATGAACAATAAAGGGTACACAATTGAGGTGGAGATTCATGACGGACTGTACAATCGTATACAGGATTGGAATTATGCGTGGTTCGTTGAAGCTTTCAATTCAGAGGGTGGAGAAGGGAAAGCACTCGGTCTACAAGCACGGACTCCCGCAGAACTTTCTGAGTGTCTTCAAAGAGCCTTGGGGCACAAGATTGGGCCTACACTTATCGACTGTAGCATACACCGTGATGATTGTAGCAGGGAGCTGATTACTTGGGGGCACTTTGTTGCAGCTGCCAATAGCCGTGTTCCAAGAAGGGAGGATTAACTTTGTTTCATGCTAGATTGATTCCCATTATTTAACACTGAAATGGAAACAGCCTTGCCTTCCCTGCAGTGGAGTGGATAGCTTCGTAATAAGTGTAAATGATAAGCAACCAACCAACCAACCAACCAACAGACGTGTTGGTTTCAAGGCGGAGTTCTCGGTCGGAAAATAAGTTTCGGCAGTTAGCCTTTGCTCCTGTCGCTAGGTGTCCACCCGGTTACCGTCACCCGAAATTAAAATTCAAGGATCGATACGGCATCTAAAAATATCAAGATACACTAAAGTGTTTATATTTTGCAATAACGCCCAACTTTCAACTGGGCCAATATTCCAACCAGCGAGTTTTGGTGCGATTCGAAAGTTATCATGTACAAAAGGGATTTTGATTCTGTCTATTTAGAGGTAGATGTAACCGTGGTAGCAGATTGCTTCCAGTCGTGGGGGTGGTCTGTATCATGCAAGATGTTGCGCTGACTTTCACCATCATCAGAATCCAATGGAGTTGGGTCGGGCATGTTGACATATTTCCGGCGACCCATCTCAAAATCATTCTTGCCACTGATTCCTTGACCACTGCTGTCAGCAGAAGGACCCTTGGGGCCAGAGCTGCGTCCGATGCTACCGAATGGTAGATACTTGATGAGAGGACGGAAGGCAACCAAAGAGGCTGTCAGGATGGAAATGCCAAACTCAAGGACAGAGCTGTAGAAAATTGTAGTCAGTAAGATTGCACTCCAAATTGGATTAAATGGAAAAAAGGTTGTGCACTTACTAGATGAAAGACTCCAGCTGCTTATCCAAAGCCTCAACAATGTTCTTGGCATTGACAATCTGGATCAGGCTCTGCATTCGAATGATACTGATGACGACAGTCGAAGCACCGAGACCAAGTAGAATGATGATGGCAACCTTGGTTCTTCTACCCATCTGCAAGCCCTTGAGTAGAAAGATGGGAAGAACAGCGTAGAACAAAGCTGATGCAATGTCCAACGCAGCCACGGCAAACCCCAAACCTGCCAGTTGCTTTGAGCTGAGACACTTGCCGGTACCGTCTCCCCAAACAGCCTTGAGTGGTATGCATTGGAAGACATCAACCAGAAGACAGCCTAGGGCGTAGATGCCGATGACAACCATAGTTCCCACGAGTAGTTGTTGCGTACGAGGCCAGCCTTGCACAATTCTATGAAGAACCAGCGCTACACTGATGCGAACGATAGGAAATCCAGCGACATATGTGATTTGGGCGATGGTGAAGTATCGTTGGGCTTCCATGACATTGTAGTTGGCCATGCCGGCAATAACTTCGGGGTCCGAGACGCCGAATCCGTAGTGGAGAGAAACGAATGTGAAGGCGCACATGAGAATGAATGCGACCATGGCTACAGCGATGACATAATCGTCATATCCGAGAGTCGTCAATTTGGTTCGCACACCGAGACGGGCAAGGACGATGACGCCGTCGATGGCGATGAAGGCGGCCATCACAGGGCCGAGACTATCGCGGACAGCCATGGTATGTCTGTACTGCAATCCATTTGTTAGCGCTTGCAAACAAAGGAGCACGAGATGAGTACTTTGTACTTACAAAAGATGGACGATAGTTGGTAGGAGTAGCTTGTTGAAAACAACTAAGGACGGCAACTAAACTAGTTCGCACGGGATAGTCGATCTTATTTAGACTCCATATGGCCAGGAACGAATTTGGTTCTAAGACATTTGTAGATTAAATTCAGGACGGATTTGACGTTGGTCTTGAAGATTTTTGTTTTCAACCTTGACCCTTGCCTCGTCTGCCGCAGCGGCGAGCGGGCGGATGGCAGGGGTCAACAATCCGTGGCGGGGCGAACAAGGTCCTTGCCGGGAGAACTAGACTAGTTGCCCGTTTGTGGGCTTGACGAGTTTGATTAGTAGGATGATTGGATGTTGATGCTTGTTGTCTCCCTGTCGAGTCCACCGAGGAAACTGGTTTCCGTTGAAACGGTTCGTTAGTCCAAGGCATTGTCAGCGAGTTGTAGCAAAAGAAAATGCCTGGGGCTTTCACTTCTCACATTCTGAAATATGATATAATACTCGGGGCCGAGGTCAGCAAGGCATTTCGATGAATCATGTCTCGTAATCAACTGGGCCCCCCTTGTCAGGTCAGGAGAGGTTGCAGAAAGAATTTGCGGAATTTGTTGCGTCTACAGTCCCGACTGTCTGTACTGGAGGGGCTCATTCTCATCTACCGATGGGTGCCAAGTTGTTGGTCGCGAGAGCAAAACATTTACTCGTTTGGGAGTACTACGCGTTTAACCCTTGAGTCAATATGCCGCCTTGTACATATAACAACAGTTAGGTCGCTTGACGCGTCTAAAACAGAAGGGTTGAATGAGCTTATCTTCATTTTCATGCACTGACAGCCACAAATTCGCCGAACAGTCCCACAAGGCGAAACACACGGGAAATAGAATAGTCAGCGTCGCCCCTCGCAGAAGCAAACATACGAAGACTCGGATGAGACTCAGCCGCTCGCAAGGTTTTCCCTGTTCAAGAAGTGATGATCATTTGTTTGCGTCTTCAGCTGTCTTGAAACTGATAATTCTTTATGCATCTTTATTTTACTTGTCATGTTTGTTATTGTGGCAGTGGCTGCATTTAAATATCATTTTTATTTTGCTTTTTCTTTCTCCGGTCCGTTTTAGCCGTGCCTTTGTCATTGGATCCGGAGGTTTCCCAGCGGTCACTTTTTTTTCTTACGAGAGAATTGACAATTGAAACATGACAAAACTTGGGGTCTGATGGTCTCTGCCTGCCCTGGCATGACAATCAGCTAAGACAAGACAAGACTCGTTCACGAACGGGACCCCATTGTGGTCCGAGAGATAACTAGCACGCAAATCATGTCGACGGACGCGGGAAGATCCTTGACCCCTCCGGAGGGTTATTTGGTTAGACCCAACGGTACGAAGCATTGAATGTGGAGAGAATGTCGCAACAAGGGAGTTCTTTCGTCAGGCACATGCATAACCGAGATAGACAAACCCACAAATACAGGGCCAAGTATCAAATAATTTGCTTTGCCAGGCCTCCCCATAATCAACTAGTCCAAATGCTGACCATGATAGGAAAACAGAACCGTTGAGACGGGATCTCAATCATGGATGATTTCTTGTTGGTTACGTTACAGACGCATGTAGAGTATAACAAGTGACCCCTTTCCCCTTCACCCCCAAAACCCACATATGTCGTGTCTTCTTCTTTCTTTTTTTCCAACTTTCTGCATGATACGTCAGTTGCAGCATACAATTTTATCTCTACCCATTATTTAACCGCCATCACATCAGACCACATCATACATACAATGGCTACTACCCAAGTCCTCCCCAGTCTTCCCCAGGACATCACCACCGATTGGCTCTCCCCCAAGATCGGCGTTAAGAATGCCACGCTCAAGTTGAACAATACCATTGGCGGAACAGCCACGCTGGTCCTCATGACAGCCACGCCTGAGAAAGGAGAAGGTGACGAGGCCAGCAAGCCCATGCGCATCTGCATCAAGGGTGGCTTCAACCCTGCCATACTGGCTCAGTTCCCATTCATACTGTCACTTTACAACCGCGAGGTCGACTTTTACAATAATTTGGCCCCTCAGGTGCCCCATCTCAATGTTCCACGAAAATTGTGGGCCGAGAAAAGTGACAACAACGCCATCCTTATTATGGAGGACCTTGCTGCCGCTAACTTTTCCTTCGCCGACCCTGTCGATGCCTGGTCTGTCGATCGCGTCAAAAAGACTGTGGAGCACTTTGCCGCTTTACATGCCGCAACATGGGGTGTCGAAGCATCTACCGTTCCTTGGCTGGATAGCCACTATGAGACATCGGTGCTCGGTCTCTGTAGCATGTGGGATGCCATTGTGCTTGCTGAAGACCGACCTCCGGTTCCCGACTACATGAAAGACCAGAAGCGCATGACTGCCGTCATCACCAAGTGGTTTGCTACCAGAAACCCCAAGTTCCAATGCGTTCTCCACGGCGATGCTCATCTGGGCAACATGGCCTGGTCTGAGGAGCAAGATACTCCCATGCTTGTCGATTGGCAAGTCATCCATATTGGATCATGCTTTACTGACATTGCCTACTTCACCATGACGGCTCTAACAGTCGAGGACCGTCGCGCCCATGAGATGGAAGTCTTGGACCACTACCTTGCCAAGCTGCACGAATTCGGTGGACCAAAGCTTTCCAGGGACGATCCCGAAGTCATGACCGAGTACCGCAAGTCTCTGATGGCAGGTTATTCTTGGGTTCTGTGCCCCTATGGTATGCAGACCAAGGAGAGAGTATGGGCTATTGTGTCGCGGTTGGTGCCGGCTATGGAAGACCACAACCCAGTCGAGCTGTTGGAGAAAGAGTAGATATCTAATTTTAATCGTAATATACTGCACCTCACATCAACGTCTGTTCTAAATAATCGCGTAATAGCGCCTGTCGGCGAAGATCGATTCTGCACTATGTCTGTCAAACACCTGTCCCGTCTCCCCGTCGTTTTTCACTTTGCCTCAAATGGCGTTGAACAAGTCTTAGCGAGATCTGAAAGCCACTTCTCGTATGCACTGCCGGCGGCTGACGATACTATGCCTTACGGCCCGTTGATTGCAGAATCGACCTGTTGGCCCCAGTCCGAGCGCACATTGACTATATGGAGATCAGCATCAATAGCAGGACGCGATGCAGAGGTAATAAAAGGCTCTAATCTGTCTTTATGACTCGTGTCGACTGGGTATTCATGTCATATCAAATGAAAGCCTTAATATTGTCTATTTTTATTAATGACATCGGATGACTACACCCAATCTTCACAAGAGGCTAAACTCGTATTAGCCCTTCACAGATCAATAATTTCAACGGTTATAGTGTAATCATTGGGCTAACAATGTATTTCCCGTCATTTTAACCATATCATTGATTTCTCTCAAACATCACGGCGCTCTGCCTCAAATTGACAATCTGATCTGCCCAAGTATAGGATTAATAAATTACGATGATCAGACAAGGAAGGAGAGGAAATATGTACACATTAGGTGCCACAGTGTCAATCTTGGAAGTTAAAAGTCAGTTGGCAAGTGGAAGCATCATTTGTCGGGCACTAATAAAATCATGTCTTGGGCAGTAAAATGTCTTGCCCGGAAATATGCAACTACGCTTGGCGATACACTGTTAATTGCATTCCTAGGGAGCCATAGAAAATTACATATAGATGAATGTGGATTAAACTTGATAGACACGTGATAAGCCGACACTTGATAACAACTGTCCAGATAAGGTATTGCGATAAAGAATTAGTTAAGAAAAGCCTCAGTTGAGTACAGGGTATTTTAAGAATTTCTATTTATACTTTAGAACATTCCTATTTTACCATGATTAAACATGCTATTCGAATACAAAATCATAAATTTAACTAAAGCGTAATCATGATGGTAGAAAGGATTCAAATTAGCAATCAGATATCAGTGCTGTCAATACAGCCTTGAACAGTGATAAATCCCCACGCCATGGACCTCCACATCAAACTAAAATCATTCATGACTTGTATTCTCAGGCGGATGATGGGATGCTAGGTACCACACACACTGTTAGAGAATCAATTCATGGTTTATGATAATATCTATGGGCAGTAGTTGTAGTACAAAAAGAATAATAGACAAGCGCTTAGTATAAGAAATGACTATCGTTATCATCATGGCACATGCATTGAAGACATTTACATCGGTTTACATTCGGCCCGGACTTTAACCGGAACAAGCCAATATGCACGGAACCTCAAGAGATAATATCTTGTGACATCCCCCACACTCGGATGATAAATAATGAATTGTTCAGCCGCAGCCGAATATGTATCTAGCTCATCGAAGAATGGGGACAGGTTAACATTTCGGGAGCTTGATTCCTGAACTTGAGTCACGAGCTGTCACTGCCCCCACTTACCTCAACCCCCAAAGGTACCTTGAACATGAACCAACAAAGGTCTAGAACTTCCAATGAAACTCTCGAATTATATGAAAGGTTCTATGTGAAATATCAGAGTCTAATGCTATGGAATTAGACAAAGCATAGGGTAGAACTGTTGAGCACTGGGATGATGGATTGTCTCTTGAGTCAAGACATCCTATCACTACTTGTATCTTCAATACTATCTCCCATTGTTCGTAGGCATGAGAAACAGAACTTGCCAAGTCTTCCCAGCCAGGAAATAATTTGATGTCGATAATGGTTAACCCCGACTTTGCATACCGATTAGGAAAGGACCTTGCTCTTAGCCAACCTCTAAATTTAACCGTAATGAGACGGTACATCTATTTCCACCAATTATAATACTCTATTTCACCAACCCCAAGGACTGAGACAGTATCATTGGTGCTATCTAGTGGTCCGGAGCAGGGATTCCCCGCATTCATCCAAACAATCTACAGCTCCAGCTCGCCAAGAACCCCAGACATGAGCTTCAATGCATGGACATAGAGAAAAACAACGCAAAGACTCTGAGTATATAACCATGAGTACAAACACAGCTTTGAGCCATTGGCACCTCTTACCATCATCCTCTCCCTCGTCTTTCTCTCCTCCGCCAAGATGAAGCTGTCGTCGGCCATTTGCTGCGTTTTCGCGACCCTCACCGTTGCTTTCCCTTCTGACTACCTCAAGATTGCTACTTGGGGTGTCGAGGGTTACGCAAAGAACAACCCCATTGGAGTCACCATTGGTGGTAAGGGTGGTAAAACTGTCACAGTTACGACTGCTGAGCAACTTGTCGAGGCTGTCAAGGGCAATGCGCCCAAGATTGTCAGGCTCAAGGGCAAGGTCGAGCTGCCCGCTCGTCTTGCCATTGGATCCAACACTTCACTCATCGGTGTTGGCCTCTCCGCTCACATCACCGGCAAGGGATTGAATATCTACAATGGTGACAATGTCATCATCCAGAACCTTAAGATCACAGAGATTCTTGATAACGACTGCATCACCATCCGCAACAGCACCCGCGTCTGGGTTGACCACAACGAGTTCTCTTCCGATATTGATGGCGGCCCAGATAAATATGTGAGTACAAAGTTGATGACCATCAGATTTCGAAAGATAGCTAATCATGCGCATAGGACGGACAAGTCGATATCATCCGAGCCTCTGACTTCGTCACCGTCTCATGGAACTACTTCCACGACCACTGGAAGTCCTCTCTCGTCGGAAACGATGCTACCTTCCGCGACCTCGACCTCGGCCACCTTCACGTCACATACCACCACAACTACTGGCGACACATGGGTACTCGTGGACCCGCTGGACGATTCGGACACCAGCACATCTACAACAACCTTTACGAGGATTTCCTGTACCAGGCTATCCACAGCCGATCCGACAACCAGGTAGGATCTCCCAATACCCAGAAAGTTGCACTGATGAGCTAATATGAGCAGGTCCTTGTCGAGGGCAACGTTTTCCGAGGTAACACTAGCGAGGCTCTCAGCACTTACGGTCTTGTCATTCCTATGGACTCTCCCAACACCTGTGTCTGTGGTGATGAGGAACTTGATGGCTTTGCCAACCTTGGAGCCAGTATGTATCTACGCAATCCCTTGATCAAGTATGGATATTAACAATGAAACAGAGAACGATTGGGGTAAAGCTGGAGTCAACATTACACAGAAGGGCAACTTCTACAAGGCTGACTATAAGTTCAAGTTGACACCTCTCCCACTTGTGCCTGCTGTCGTCAAGCTTGGTGCTGGTGTTGGCAGAATCCTGTAGGCGATTCCTCGAGGGCGGGTCTACTGAGGCCCAGTGATCAGATAGCTAGATATGGGACCCTATATCGTAATTGAAGAGAGATAATCGTCCTGGTACGAGCTGAATAGATGTTATACAGTCTAAGTGAACGCTGCCAACAGTACCAAACACAGAATAAGTACCGTTTCCGGGCTAGACGTAGCATATAACAGTCGAACAAGGTTGTTCCATGAAATAGAGGCGCTATTTATTCCTTTGTATTCAAGCTTGAGTTAAGGCAAATGCTTTAGCAATGCCTCAAGTAAAATCCATGGCCCAAGTTATGTAATAGCTCATGAGAGACAACATTTAACATTTGCCTACTGTATAAAATGTGAGACGAACCCCATCCCGTCTATCGAATGATATTGTATGCTAGTGAAAATTCCAATAATCGCGCAGTGGAAACATCTCGTCAAGACCGGCAAACGAGTAGTACTCTGCGCAAATCAACGGCAAGTCAAAAAGAGGACACATGTCTATCCCTTTATAGACTTCTGCTACTGTCGGATCAAGCCCATATTTGTTATCCCCCTCCTTTGGATATCTCCAATCACGATCGACAAATTTAAGAAAAATACCCTTGAAGAGTTTCTTATCCCTGTCGAGATCATCAGAGAAAGTAATTCCTGCAAGGCTTCCGATTGTTTCCTCATCTAGCACAATACAGAAACCGTAGCGTTGAGGACCAGAGGGTCTGTTAAGATTGTCTTTGAACCATTTTTGAGCTTGCTTTTCCCAGCGTAAGTCGGCGGGAAAGAGCCCCAGAGTACGGACGTAGGCATTGAATTCCTCTCTGACTCGATCGTCGGAGGCATATTCCAATAAGTCTTTGTCTGCAAGAACCTTGAGCTCGAGACGTTTGAATGCCTCAGAAGCGTACGATGTGGCATCAGGATAACGAAGGAAATAGCGGTGGATAGTCTCGACGAGGTTTGTAATAGCTTGGTCCAGATTTTCGCTAGCCTTCTCGGAGTACGCAGTAACGACGATGACAGGACCCCAAGTCGGCTCACCAGTAACGAGACCATCTTCACGCCAATCCATCCTGCTCATGTTGCTCTCACTCATAAGCAGTTTGTAGAGGTCCTCAGGGACATTTCCCCACTTCTTTCTACTGGCACTGGCATCTACTGACAGTTTTTTCAATTCGTCAATGGACAGGAAATTCTGTTGAGTTACAGGAAGACTTCCTGGACCAAAAGACCTCACGGCAAAGTGTCGTTCGCGCGGCACTGGACGGGTTTGAAGGGTTGGGTCGGGTGGAGGTAGAAATATAGGTGGCTTCGGCCCGCGTGAAGTCATCTTTCCAAGCCGAGGGATTTTGGTCGAAGCCTGTTGTGATTGTGTAAGAAAAGAAATGATATGGTGATTATGAGCGATGTTTCTGTAAAAAAGGTGCAGAACATGCCGCTTATAAGTTGTTCTAGTACGTCGCCTGAGGCATCATTACAAACAAGTCATGTCCCTTGGTGTTGGTGAGAGCCAACACGTTGACGAATCCATGTCTCGACTAGATGAATATATCCATAGTAAATGGCGTATAAGCCAATTGGAGGGCAAGTTTTCACGCATTGACATTAATTGAATCACGCCCTTCTTCTCGATGATCTTGCAGGTTTACCAGTAAGTCTTTGCCAAGTACACAATGAGACAATTTCCATTCGACATCTACGCAATATGAGATTTCGAAATACAGAAGGTATCATCTGGCACAAGACTTTTTGTTCTGTTGACCTTATTCCAAATTGTCTGGGAATGGGTGAGATAACAACCGAAGTGTGTAGCCAACAGTGCACACGTTACAGTAAAAGCTGTTGGTTCTGCGGTTCTCGTGCGACCAAGCTTTTCTGGTTCCAACTGGTCCACTGCTAGGCAGAAGCGTATGATTCCGGACATTGGTGCCTAAATGAACAAAATGCTGCAATTCCATCTGACCGGAGACAGAGTACCTGATATATAGCAAGATGTGATCCGACGTCCTTTGTCTACCGTGAGACTTAATTGAGGAATCCAAGAACAGAATAGAAGAGATAGTACATCATGCTTAGAGGACCAAAAATTGCCATTGGTACTAACGAGACAAGGACATGCCCTAAATTGTTAGTCCTGTGGCGCCAGAAGTTGGTAGGGACTTACCAAACAATATCGGTCGTCTTGTAATGGTCTGCCAAAACTCGTTAGATACCAGAAGTTTTTCTGCTCCCTCCTACGCCCACGGTCCAATGAGGCGAAACTTGGTATTGAAATGGGCGCCGAGAGCCCATATGACCAAAAGGTGGAATTTTGTCGCGAGGTTGGTGAGCGATTCTCGTTGCAGAATATCGACAAATCCAGGAGTAGAGTTCATGTCCAAGGCCAGCTGGTAGACATAGCTTTCATGATCAACCCCATACGTAACACGATTAGTCAACTTTGTGTGAAGCTTGTAGTGTCTCTCATGTGCTGCTTTAAGTTGAGCGACTTTGTGAGGTGACACGAGATTTAGCACCCATAGCTGGGCCTGCATCTCTGCCAAGGGCGGGATGGCCTCATGAAGCCTATAAAGCCAAGTTCTGGTCGACTATCCTCCCAAATTCCACGTACAAACGACAAAGGGTGTTTCTTGTCGCCTTGGAGTGACTCTCGAAGAAAAGTAAATGTTTGTTTGTAGCCGGTGCAAAGAACAATCATATCAGGTCGAATGGCTTGACACTTGAGCCGCCCATACTCTGGTTTCCCGTTATCATAAAACTCAACTATTCCATCTTTGTTGATCTTCTTGGGTAAAGGTGCAAGATCCACCTGTTTTCCATGCGTATCAGGAACTGGGGTCTGCACGATTGCAGATCGTAGAGAATAGAGCCATAGATTTGGACCTGGCTGTTTGGGACGATATGGAAGACCTAGATATGGACAGACTTTTATCGACTTGTTGAAAAAGACTGCAGAATCAATGAGTTTGAACCACATTCAGTCGGGATAGAAGGAGTAACATAATCTTGGAGGGATGATGACGGGTCTTGCTGATCTCTCCAATCCACTGGTCCATACCAAACTTCGTACCGGAGCAGATCCAGAGCAGTGACTTGATGTAGTAATTGTAATAGTCCCATAGTATCATGCTATTACGGAGGAAGGGATGGACATAAGTTGTGTCGAATAAATTTGCTCGACTTACGTCGATGGGGATACCTGGTTCGTTGGGATCAGGTTTCCTACCAAGGATGGGGAGCAGAACCGGCCCAGGATTTCGCTGTTGAATCATCATTAGCACTGGAATTCTTGAAGATTGATGTTTGGCGCAAATACCTTCGGTGCAAAGTGAAAGCCATCGTTATGACACATGAGAACCTGCTTCGTTGGGGAGTTGACAGCGAGATAAGCTATATCAGCACCAGTCTCACCCGATCCAATGACCATAACGGTCTTGTTGGTCCCAAATTGGCTTTTCGTCTTGAAATTGGATGAATGGATGGCTTCAGGAACATGGTGAAGACCTGGGATGACAGGTAGGTTTGGCTCCCTATGCAGCCCTGAGCACACTGCAACAGACAGCATCACACCCCCATGTGAAAACTTTGCCATCTTTGCCTGCACACGGAAGCATATAGGCCTTCGATGAAGGAGATGTTACACGTCGGGTCTCCACCCCAAGGTTGATATGGGGCCAAAGATTGAAGTGGGAACAGTAGTCCTTCAGATACTGAAGGTAGTCAGTGGCACTAAGGAAGTCCTTCTCTTGCCGGCAACGAAAGGCAGTGATTTAATAACATGCAAGGATCTCTAGTATCTGTGTGTAGTGATGCATTGTACCAACTGGGGGTCATACACTAGCCAAGTGTTAGAGCAGGAACACCATTTAAAGATACTTCAGGATAGCTATGTTACTAGAAGCGGGAGCGTCAAACAGAAACGACGTACACATATCTCACAAATAGAACGCAAAGCGTAGTTCTGAGGTCTCGGAAACCAAATTCAAAATTAAGCTAAATAAACTAAACGAGTGATTTGTCGATCGCCAGGACGATGAACGAAATTTGCAAAGAGCGAGTTTCCACAATGAGCTCTGCGTGATTTCACCAACATCGAACGGCCAAAGTTTGTAAAAGCCAGCGACAAACAAACATGTCCAGAACCAATTGGAATGCCCAAAACCGAACCCCCTCATTTAATCGATGTCAGGCGACAAAGATAAAGAAACGCCACAACTTGACTACCAAGATGGACGAATTATTGAAAACAAATGTATGCACGGCGACCTGATTGTCGTGCTATGTCTGCTTGACTGTCAATCAAGAGTCCAAGACTTTATCCAACCAAGCGAACAGAACTCTGGCTAGTTCTTGAGTGGCTCCAGTCTGACAGTGGAATCCAGCAGTACCGTTGAAGAAATGCAGTTCCGCGTTGTCTCCCAGCTTGTCCTTGACGAGTTGAGACTGGCCCGCCATAAGAGTTTCGTATTCGCCGTCGGCAAGCCAGACAGGGATCTTGATACGATCCAACAAGCCACCCTTCAGAGTATACTCTTTTGTCATTTGGAAAAAATCGTAGATTGACTCGGTCTTGAAAGCCCACTTGGCCTGAAGCATACCCCATTTGAGATCGGTGGATGCATCTGGGTCATGTAGCAAGTCGTCCATAGCCTTATCAAAAGCTTCTTTCTGACCAGACTCGAGTATCTTGAGTAGTTTTGGAGGAAGAAAGTTGGTGTATGCCTCATATCCATCCAGGACTCCACCGTTGAGCATCAGTGCAGAAAGACGCGGTTCGAAGACAGCTGCACGAGCCGCAAGATAACCGCCAAAGGAATGACCATACAGTGACAGCTTCTTGGGGTCAACGAAAGCGGCCTTCTCTGTGAGAAGGTAGTCTACTGCAGGTGTTACAGTGCGTTCCCAGTCAGGAATGAATCCCACACCCTGCTCTCTGCGGGGAGTTGGCTGACCAGGACCTTCAAATGAAAAGATGTTGTAGCCACGGGCAAGTCCAGGAGCGACAATGGTAGAGTAAAGATCCTCTTGGGCAGCATCAAAGCCTTGAGTAAGGATAAGTGTGGGGTGCTTCATCGTACTGTTATTTGCTTGAGGCTGCGAGTACCAGATCCCCGAGATGTTGAAGGAATCAGAGGGAAGTTCGACTCTTTCACCCGGAACAGGCAATGCAGCGATAGCTTTGTCAAAAGCAAACCGCTGCTCACCCCAGTAGTCGTTGATACGTGGGTCATCCCAGTCAGCCCGATTATACACATCGGCTCGACGAAAATAATTGGCAATGGAGAACCACGTAGCCCTCACGTTGAGAGGGTCATAAGCGATTTCGGGATCGAGGACCTGAGCCTTGGTCATATTGGCAAGCTCGAACCAGGCTTTACTGTAGCTTTCAAAGTCGCCTGGGATAATGTCCTTTGCAACAGAAAGAACGGGATTGATGTCTGCGCCGTCGTTATGGGCCTGACCCAAACCAGTGAGAATGTCAAAGTGGAAATTATCATCTTCATTAAGATGGAGAATGGGGCTTTTGGTACTACTGTTATCTGCTGCTTTGGCAAGGCCATAACCCGCACAAAAAGTGAGGAAGAAGGTTGATTTCATTCTGAAATGATGCTTAATGAGGAATATTGGTAATTCGATGTTGTTTATGATTAGCTTCTTGGGTGGGAGTGTCTCGATATTTATATACTCTACAGCCCATACAGCAAAACACCTTCCGCTCTCATCTCTGAACTTGTTGAACATTTCATCGGCGTATGACATGTTGGTACGATTAGAAGTAGACGTCGTCATCGGATACGACGATCGTGTTCTGAAATTCCATCTGCTGTAGGCGTCGCAAAGTCTAACCACATTTGGAAAGAATTTTCCGACACAGCCTGCGTGCTGTCGTGGGCTCAAAGTGTGTGACTGTCAGCATTCAATTCATTCGGACAACCTTAACTGATGCCAAGATAAGGCTGACATATCCGGTCATACTGTATGCAGGTGTCGCAAGGATATTCCGCGTCCTGATGATACATGGTATTGGTTACCTTGATTACTTATGTGGACAGCTTATGAAACCTACTACGGCTTACGAAAGAGTCTAGCGGGAAAGCCCAATGGCATGAAACGTAGGGATCTCTATTTCTATATACAAGAATTTAAAGGAGGATAAGCTGGAATGGACTTGTGAGTCGTACTCAGTCGGACCCAACAAAACGATTGCAAGACATGAGCCCTCGGTCTTAAGCACAGTCATAGGCGCGAGAGCACCCACCAACTATACAGATTAGCGTCGACGACAAATGCCAAGGTACAAAAAACTTACTGCATCCGTCGAGACAAGCTTCAATGCCTTGTGGTCCTGCAGCGACGCAAGAAGTTCCACAAGCCAGGTTGCATCTGGCCCTTGCGCCGCCATCACAGCATTGGTTGCGGAATGACCAGATGTGATCATTGAGGAAGTCCGGCACAGTGGCTGCATCACCAACCTGTTGCCAGTTTGCACCCTGACAGTCGCGTTCACTATTGCCGAGTGAGTAAAGCATCTGGAGATACAGTTGACATAGCCTTACCGGAAGAACGTAGTGCACGTTCCCAAGTTCTTTACAGAGCTTGCTGTGTCTCCTTTGCCATTGAGGTTCCCTATGTTGTTATTAGCTTCAGACGCTTCCATATTCGAGATGTAGTGTCACATACAGCAATCGCTGCCGAGATTTTTGGTCTCGGAATGAGACGCTCCACCAAAATTGGAATGCTCGTACAAAGTGAATTTCACTTGTTGAGCTGAAGCCACGGAGGCAAAGAAAGCGATTTTGAGTAAGTTCATTTGCATTTTTGTAGTAGGATCAAAGTGATATTGCAAAAAAAATACCCTGTCTAGTGAACTGGATAGTAGAGTAAGTTTGTGGGACCAAATGGCGACGGAATCGATATAGCTTTTATATGCATCTCGGGCTCGAGAGAATATCATGCTGCTGGCTTACATTGGGGTCCGAAGGAAAATGGATGAGCTCCGTGTCTGTACTAAGGAGCTGTGGTCTAGAATGGCACAGCCTCCTCTCACTTTGTGTTTTCATCGCTGTGCCGCACCTAGTGAGGTTGCATAGTCACGGCGATAATTCAACTAGGCAGGTTGGTACTAAATGCCGCTACTATGATCCTTCGAAGGAAAATTCACTGCTTACCATTGAACGATGAAGTTCGCCATTGACCTCGTAAATCAACTCGAATTCCTTCGCTGCTTATTAAGTGATACAATAAGCCTGTAGTTATACTAGTTAAAAGTGAATCTGGATGATGATCGATATCGTCAATGTTAGATGTGAAGGAAGACAAATTGACCTGGTCTTAGTACTGATTGATGTAAACCCTACACAAGCACTAGAATACTAACATCAGACGACACATGCATCTGGTCTGGCGACAAAGACAAAGGAGAATTGATCATAATCTAAACGGAACAAATATGTAGTGACGAACTAATCGATAAACCTAAACTACCAAGCCTCAAGCTAGTACCAAGAATAAAAATATCTATGAACTACCTGTCCGAAGCCAGGGGACAATACCCTTGCCTTGGCTTAGCGTCCTCTGCACTAAAGTACCAGTCAAAGGATCAAGACCGGCATTTTTAGCACGATCCAGCCACTCCTCCACGCTGACTGTATCCATTGCTTTGCCCTGCTGCTTCTCAAAATAATCTTTCAGATCATCGACAGCAATTTTCTTCGTACCGCAGTGGTGACGGTAAACCAGCTTATCCTCTCCAGTCTCCCTAACTGAGGTGACAATGCCCGCAGCCACGTTCTCAACAGGAACAAAGTCAAAATAGCCCTTCCAGCCTGACAGTTCTGGGAGAGAGCTTGTCTCAGCCGAGTAGCGGAAAATGTTCTGCATCAAGTCATGGGTTGGCGCATTAGTTCCCGTGATGTTGGCTGGACGGTGGATAACGACAGGAAGACCCTGCTTTGCATAAGACTCCAAAATGTGTTCTGAAGCCCACTTTGAAGCGACATAACCGTATGATCCATCAACAGGTGGCTTGAAGTCGGAAACAGAAACCTCTGCGAGGCCGTTCTGTCCAGTAAGGTTGACAACACCACCAGTAGAAACGAAATGGAAAGGAATTCCTCGTTGGGCTGCCATGCGTACAAGTTCCCGCGTTGCCTCGACGTTGGGACGTTGAAGGGACTGGTATGTCTTGAGGAATGAAACATCAGCACCATTGTGGATTATGCGATCGACAGACTGGGCAAGTGTGTCGAATTGTTCCTCAGACAATCCCAGGCAAGGGAGAGATAGGTCACCCTGGTAGCATGCGACTCGCGGGGACGAGAAGATAGGGTCTAGTTTCGCTGAGGGACGAATAGCAAGACAGTGCACCTGGGCTACATGCTTGTCGGCGAGAAGGGACTTGAGGATAGAGAGACCCAAGAAACCAGTGGATCCAGTTAGAGCGACCTGTAATTCGTCTGACTTCGGAGATACTGGTGACTCCATGATTGAAACTGTTGAGTCCATGCAGGTTTCTTTGACCCAGTCAATGGGCTTTGTATCGATGATCTCAGAGGACCCATCGATCTTGGCAGCCATCTCGCTTAGCGTGCTTGCCTGGAAGAGATCGAACACAGAAACAATGACACCAAACTCACGAGAGATGTACTCTCGCAGCGTAACAATGCGGAGGGAGTTACCGCCAGCAGAAAAAAAGTCGGTATCGGGTCCAATAGTAGCGTCTGCGGCTACAGGTGGCAAGGCTTTGAGCCATCCTAACTTGAGTCTCTCTTGAGTCTCAGAGAGTGGTTCCGCAATGGCATCATCATCAAGAGGTACGGGAAGAGCATCGAGCGCGCGCTGATCCAGCTTTCCAGAGGCGTTCATGGGCAGCTTGTCTGTGGGGACAATCCTAGCGGGTATCATGTATCGAGGAAGAGACAACTCCTTGAGTAGTTGCTTGAGGTAGGCCTTGATGTCTGAAGGACAGTGGGCCTCGGAAATGATGGCGAAAGCAACTAGGAAAGCGCTGTCTCCATCACCATTCTCACCCTGTCTCAATGATACTGCCGCTTCGGGAATGACACCTTTCGAGGCTTTGACGATGGTGTTGGCGACATCTTCGAGCTCGATACGGAACCCTCGAAGCTTGATCTGAGAATCACCAGCGATACGGCCAAGGAAAGCAATGCGTCCATCAGGAAGGAACCTTGCCTTGTCACCAGTGCGGTACATGCGAGTCCAGCCACGAGAGATATCCTCGGGCGAAGCAAATGGATCACGAAGGAACCTGGCTTGGGTAAGATCCTCCCTGTTCAGGTATCCAATGGCGATACCGCAACCACCAACGACCAACTCGCCGGCGAACCCCGGTCGGGCAGGTTGCATATTCTCATCCAAGATATAGCAAGAATAATTGGGAAGAGCGAGACCAATGCTTGGGTTTCGTGTATCATGAGGGGTGTTGTCGCTAAGCTCGTTTAGCCCACAACTACTGATGATTGTAATCTCGGTGGGTCCATAGCCATCGTGCAGACTGAGGTTCTTGAGCCCAAGGCGCTTGAACTCGGGAGGGACATGAGCGCGGACTGCTTCACCAGAGAGCAAGGCAAACTCCCAATCGACACACTTGCTCAGATACTCATACCCATGATGAATCACTGCCAAAGCCAGCGTAGGTGTCATGAAAGTGTGCGTGACCTTCTCGGCGAGCATCAATTGGGCGATCTGCAATGGGTCTTTGCGAGTCTCACTTGAAGCAACAATTAGAGTTCCTCCAAGCATGGTAACAAGTGACATCTGGGTGAGCGACATGTCGAAGCCAAGAGGAGCTTGTTGAAGCATGGTGCATCTCCTCAAGCTGGTGTAGTGGATAAAACTCTCGATGTGATGTACCAAGTTGGTGTGAGTGAGTGCGACACCCTTGGGCACGCCAGTTGTTCCACTGGTGTAGTAGATGTAACCCATACCTGAACCTTGAGCACGGTTCTCAATCTCGGGTGTGTCCGAAGAAGTCGGATCAATCGCATAGATGTTGATGAATTTGGCAGCTGTATCTAGTTCAAGTGCTGCGTCTTTGGTCGAGTCGTCAACGACAACAACTTCAGGCTGACAGTCGTTGACGATGAGCTGAAGACGCTTGATCGGGTTCTGAGCATCAAGTGGCACGTAGACACCACCGATCTCAGAGATGGCCATAAGTAGAGCGAAGATGTACAAGCTTGGCTCACAGTAAACACCAACCTTGGAGCCCGGGGTGACGCCACCTTCGACCAAGATAGCCGCAATCTGGTCAACCAATCCCTTCAATTGACGATAGGTCAAGGTCTTGCCGCCATCGGTCTTGAGTGCAGTAGCGTCGGGCTGCTTCTCAACCCAATCATCAAAGTAGTGAGACAGCGTCTCAAAGCGAGGAGATGGAATCCTCTCACCCTTTCCGAGGCTCAGAGCCTTTTGGATCTGGGAGGTGGAAGGCTTGCAAGCCTGACCGAGAGTCTGCGAAGATTCACTGGCAAAGAGAGATAGGACATCCGTGTACCGATCGAGAATGAAGCCAAGCTCACTCTGAGTGTAGAGGTACTCTTGAGTCTTGACAATAATAGAGGTAGATCCATCATTGTAAGTCTCGACGTCGAATGTCAGATCGTACGGATTATTCGCGTCCCTGAAAGTGACAAGCTGTGCCTGACAGTCTGCGAGGGGTACCTTTTGTGTGGAACCCATCTTGAAGTTGAGGACAACTTGGAACAGAGGACTGTGCATTGTGGATCGGGGAAGCTTGAGTTCGTCAAGAAGGACATCGAAGGGGATCTGAGATCGCGCAAGGGCTTGGTTGGCCTTAGTCTTCGCGTCACAGGCCAATCCAGCTAGTGTCTGCGATGCTCGTGACTGAAGACGCAAGGGCAACAGATTGACAAAGAATCCGACTGCATCCATAAAAGCAGTATCATTCTTGTTGGCGTCGGTGATACCAATGCAGACATCATTGGTAGAAGCGAGATCGGAAAGGACAACTTGAAGAGCCGCGAGATGGATGTGAAAGGGAGTCACTCCGAGATCTCTGGCAGCGGCCTTCGTCTTGGCGCCTGCCTCAGCAGAAAGAGTCCTCTCAAACGCTCGTGTGGTGTAGTCAGTTAGTGTAATGCGCATCTTGGTCTCTGCAAAGTCGAACACGGGTAGAGTCGGCGGTAGATCCTCAAACTCAGCTTTCCAATAGTCAATTATGACGATTGGGAGCTTGGCTGCCTTCTGAGCGATAGCAAAGTCGAGGTAGCCAAGCTCCTTGGGCTTGAGTGTCTGCCCAGAGTAAGCCATGGCCAAGTCCCGTACCATGATCTGTGCACTGAAACCGTCGAGCGCAATGTGATGGAAGCCAAAGATGAGGTCGTGTTCGTCGTCCGAATTGGGAATAATGACGACTCTTACCACGTCACCCTTCTCGAGATCATAAGTCGTCTTCTGCATACGCTCATGTTCAGCCTTGGCGGTGGTATTGTGCTTAACGTCTAGGCTGAAAGGCGAATGCCTGAGCACAGCCTGTCTGGGTAGGTCGGTCTCTTTGTCGATGAAGAAAGCCGCTCGAAGAGTCTCGTGGCGCTGGATGACCTGTTGGAAAGCCTCACCCAGGTCCTTCAAGCGCAGAGGGCCATTGATGCGGTAGTGCATGGTGACATTGTAAGTTGTGGTATCCTGCAAGAATTGCTGGAGGAACCAGAGACGTTCTTGGGCGAAAGACAGAGGACCACTTCGGATGACAGTAGGCTTAAACAAAGCCTTCTCCTCAGAGTCAGCCTCACTCGTGGTGACCTGAGTGGAATTGGGTCGGGTGAAAGGCTCATGCTCAGTGGGCAGTGCTGAGGAGACCGTCGTGGAAGCGTGGACGGTATCGAGGGACTTGATAGCCTAAGGAAGTCAGAAATGTTTAAAACGATGATGGTGGATGATCTTACCTCTTTTGTCACCTCCGTCTTGGACTCAATGGGCTGTCCAGAAACAGACGGCAGGTTAGAGACAGCTGTAGAGCAAAGCTCTGAGATAGAAGCAGTATTGAGAATCTCCAGGACTGGAGTGTCAATATCGAGCTCTTTGAAGAACCACGATCGGATCTCAGCTGCGATGAGAGAATCGACGCCCAGACCTAAGAGAGACTGAGACGTCTTGATGGACCCCGCCTCGGCCTGAAGCATCCGCTCGAGCTTGGTGCAAAACTCCTCCTCAACAATTGACAAGATCTCGGCAGCGTCCTTGGCTTCCTCAAGGCGTTGAGACATGGACACCTTGGTCGAGGAAGAACGCTCTTGACGTTCCTCCTCGAGAGTGTGGTGAGAGAAGCGCATGTTGTCCCGCCAAAAGTACTTCTGGGCATCGGGTTCGAGACTGTATCGATTGAGACCAGTGATGAGCTCAGGGCCACGGGCGGAATCCGGCTGACCAGCTAGAATGGCTTGGGAAAACATGTTGCGGAGGTCAGTCTCGGAAATAGCCATGTAGTTAGAGCTTCGCAGAGTAGCCTCATATGCGCCCGTTGAAGACACATAGCCAACACCGAGAACCATGCCGATATGCATCACAGAGGCAGCAAGGCCTTGAGCACGACGCTGTTCGGCGATTGCGCTCATGAATAGGTTCGAGGCAGCATAATTGACCTGACCACGGTTACCGACAACACTAGCCAGCGAAGAGAACATGATGAAGAAGTCAAGCTTCTGGTCCTTGAGCAGGTCATGAAGGTTCTGGGTGGCCTTGACCTTTGGTCCGAAGACCTTGATGAAGTCCTGGACCTTGAGCTCGCTGAAAGTGCGATCAGACAGAAGTAAGGCAGCATTGGCAGCACCGCAGATGGGGGGCATCTGCTCGACAATCTGCTGGTAGACCTTTGTCAATGCGTCCCTCTCGCCGACATCAGCTTGGAACAGCTTGACTTGGGCTCCCTGCAATCGCAACTCGTCGAGCCAAACCTTGTCGATGGCATCAACGTTACGAGTAGTCAAAGCAATATGGCGAACACCGCAGGAGACCATCCATCGACAGAGAGCCTTTCCAAGACCTCCAGTGAAGCCGATCAGAAGGTAAGTCTTGTCTGATCGGAAGAGGCGAGCACCCTCAAGAGGTTGAATTACAGCGGGAATCGCAGAGTCTGTGGAGAAGTCAACCACAGTGGCGTAGTCCTTGATAGACACCGGCTTGTTGGCCAAATCGGTGATCATAGTGACCGGTGCAACTGCATCCAAGTTGAGAGTAGAGAGAATCGCGTCACGAACGCCATGAATAATCGGGTCTTCAATGCCTTGGGGTTGGCTATCGATCATATCTTGCAGCTGAACAACCTTAGCATAAGGAGAGATGAATCTGCTGAAAGGAGACCCGATAGTATCGCAATCTCTACCAGAGAGATCTACGAGCATCTTGGTGCCTTGGGGAATGAGCTGCCTCATCACGCGCTCAGGTGCTAGAACGTGCACAAAGGTCGTATCGTCCGACTTGGCCTTGCTAAAGTCGGACGTGGTCAGCACGACTTGAAGGCCAAGATCTGCGGCCTTCCATCGAAGAGCAGCCCCAATGAAATCATCCGCCTCGTGAACCAGGATGGTTGAGCCACTTTCCACGTCTCCCAAGACCCTCTCAGCCGCGATGGTAAATGCCGCCTTGCGCAGAAGGCTAGAGGGCTCACCATCGCTGGCAGAAAGATCCCATACAAAGAATGGAGGGACAGAGATTCTAGACCGGTTGGTTCCAGATACAGCTAGAACTCGCGTTCTGGGTTCGCTATCTGTGTAGCCATGGCAGAGATAACCTGAGGACTTATGGCCAAGCTTGAACGGGTAAAGAAGAGAGTGTGTGACAGTGATGTCAATCGGCGATAAAGAGCTGGAAAGAGAAAGGCAGGGAACTGGCTCCATGAGGACGAACTGGCTGCGTCGCTGCTGGATCTCAATCGTGTCGCCAGTGAGAGACTTCTTGGTTTGAAGAGTCATCTTGCTAGCATTGAGCTGGTCATTGAGTGCCCGATCAGACTTGACGCGGGGAAGGAACCATTGGTCATCCCGGAGGATCAACTCGGCTTCGATGGACCACACAATGTCTTCAGACTTGAGAGATCCTCGGTACACCAATTGAAGGAAAGCTTCCATAAGACAAGATGAAGTGTGCTCGGTGACATCACCTTCCACGTCGACGTGCTGCAGATTGATGTGTGGGTACTCAGAAGCCAAGCTGCGACACATGCCAACAGACATGTTGGCATAGGGATCTTCTCGCTGACATCCCTTTGAGACCCAAAGCACTTGACGACACTCATTGATGAGCCTCTGAACTCCTCGGAGCTTGTCATCAGTCAGGTTCTTGAGGATGGGCTCGTCAAGGTCTTCCAGCACCAAAGCTGAACGAACATGGAAATTAGATGACGCGAGCTGCTCAAAGCTCTCGAAGCAGTTGATCATACTCTCCGGGATCCCGCTGATCTGGTCGAGAGGCTTCATCATCTCTGTTGACATGTCCTTGTACTTGCCGCCGACAATGGTGAGAGAGTGCGAGGAGAGCCAATCCCCAGAAGTAGCAAGAGGCTGTCTCAAAATCTGCATTCTGTCATCGACAGCCTGCGACAGCATAACAGAGGTCATGTACTTCTTGTCGTCCACAAAGTCATTGACAGTCTTGTCAACTCCCGAGAAGCCAGTTTGCTTCAACAAGGAATCCCACTGAGACACAGGGATAGTCGGTCCATAGCGACGTCCATCGTCACCTCCAAGCCACCATCCCGAAAGGCCGGACATCATGAGCTTGACTCGCACAATGTCACTTGTGACCTCCAACAGAAGGAGCTGACCACCAGGCTTCAGAAGCTTGCGGGTGTTTCTCATGGTCACTTCAAGGGATTTGGTGGCATGAAGAACGTTGGACGCGATGATGAAGTCGTAGTGTCCCTCTGGGAAGCCTTGCTCTGTAGGTTCATTCTCGATATTCAGAGGCTTGAAGATCATCTTGGCAGCCCAGTGGTCAAAGGTCTCAGCAGCTGCCTCAAAGAAGCCAGTAGAGATATCGGTGAATGTGTAACTCTCAAAGGTAATGCCGAGCGATTCAAGAATGCCTTTCGTGGCACCTCCAGTACCTGCACCAATCTCCAGGATATTCATTCGGGGATAACGATGAGCAACCTGCTGGGAGATTCGACCAAGGTAGACGTTGGCCCTCTCGAAACCAAGACCATACTTGTAGATACGGTTTAGCATATCGTCCTTGACCATGTGTTCCAACATAGTAGTCTGCTTGCGGACGACAGCAGGAAGGTTCTCGCCTACAGCTTGGATAAGCTGAAGATCGATGCGACCAGGGAACTTGGAGGATTGCTGCATGAGCCAATCGCGAGAGTCATACGACCACTCCTTCTTGATGGTGGGATGGCTACCAGATTGTATAGAAGGGAAGAGGTGGTCAATCCACTCAAAGATGCGCTGGTAGTGCCAATCAAACTTGGGAACTTCATCGCGGCCGACAACGTTGTTGAGTTCTCGCAGGTAAAAGTAAGAAAGACGCTCACAGAGATCGACGAGTTCAAGGTCAGATGCTGTGTCCGCCTCCTCTGTTTCCGCACTTGCAATTGCACTGGAGATGTCGACTTCCCATTCGGTCTTGGTGTAGAGCTCTTTCGCATTGCTGGGACCAGGTCGGAGGAGGGAAGTACAAGTCAATCCCTCGAGTTGCAACACAGACTCGTCATTGCTAGCCTCAAAGACATCCATGTCCGCAGTAAGCTCGCGCTCATTTGTGTTGGTCAAGAAAGAGTCAATAACCAACTCATCGCCATGTCGCAGTTGACTTGTGTTGACAATGCGAAGACTGCGGAAGTAGGTGGGGACAAATGGTGCTTGAAGGCTTCCATCGTCGGGCCAGCAGTAGGCAGCAAAGATGGATTGGAACGCTGAGTCCAAAAGCGCAGGATGGATCATCGCTGAAAAGTCGGGAGCGATTTGTCGTGCGCGAGCTGATGCGAAACTCAATTGTCGCTCAATGCTGTCGAGGTGCTTAAACTCGCCGGTGTACTCAAGACCAATGCTTGTCAATGAGCTATAGAACCTCTCAACATCCACGGATGTCAAAGACGCGATTGGCTTGACTCGTGTAGGTAGAAGCGAAACACCGCGACTAGAGCCAAACTCAACACGAAGCTGACCCTTGGCGTTGCATTTCCAGTTGCCGTCGCGCAAAGGCGTGGACAACGACCATGTGGCGGTCGCATGGCTGGAGTGATGATCTCCAACCTCAAGATTGAAGACAGTCTCAATGGCTTGTGAGTCCTGACCCAATTGAATGGCACTCATAATGTGGACTTCCGTCAATTCTACAAGCTGAACCTCTTTAGTTTCATCGATAGCACGGGCGGACTCCATTGCCATGACCAAATAGGCAGCGGCTGGTAACACAACCTGACCTTCGACCTTGTGGCCATCTAGCCAGGGCACGTCTTCCAGGCGTAGATGGTTCAGCCATCGCAAGCTATCGCCTGGATCCTCCACGGATCGCACACCCAGTAGAGGGTGAGGTGAGTGAGTGCGTTGCCGATACTTCAGCGACTTTCTAGATTCCCTCCAGAACGACTGCGTGTGATCCCAAGGATAAGGAGGAAGACCCGTTGTAAGAGTTGTGTTGGTGGATGTAGAAAAGGCTTGAGCGTAGGAAGTAAAGTCGACAGAGCTCTTGCCGAGGTGAGACCAGAGAAAGCCGAGAGTATCGCTCAAGGCAGCAACATCATGGAAGTTTCGAGACAAGGTAGCCTGGTACGGTAGTTGAGATCCCGTGGCACGTTTGTAGGTCTGATTGAAAGGGCCCTTGAGCGCAGGATGAGGTCCAACTTCGAGAGCGACATGGCAAGGCAATGCAGCGCCTGCGACAAGTTCTGAAGTCATGGAGAAGAGGACAGGGTTGATCATGTTCTCAACCCAGTACTCACCAGCCAATGCTTCACCGTGAAGCGAGGCATCGATACGCTCACCCAGTACACTTGAGTACCACTCACAAGAGTCATTGCCAGGGAGGGCTTTGACCTTCGCAGTCTGAAGCAGATCAAGGTATGGCTCAGCACAAGGGTGCATGTGGTGAGAATGGTAGGCAGTGTCAACCCGAAGAACACGAGCAAATGTGCCTTGTTGATCCAACAGCACCTTGGCCTCCTCGATGCTTGCCTTGTCTCCCGAGAGTGTGGTGCTAGCCGGGGCGTTACTGGCAGCCACGTCAACGAGCCCGGGGAAGTTCTCTTCGCAGAAGATCGAAGCTTCCTCATAAGAAAGACCGACAGCCATCATAGATCCTGGAGCCCCATTGGCTCCACCGGCAATCTTCGCACAGACACCACGGAAGTATGCGACCCTGATAGCGTCATGGAGAGAAAGGAATCCAGCAGCATAAGCAGCACTAATCTCGCCAGAGGAGTGACCAATGACACAATCAAAGTCAATACCAGCTTTACGCAATAGGTCGACAACCATGAGTTGGACAGCGGTGCAAAGAGGTTGTGAGATGGCAGCTTCGCTTAAGCGGGAGGTGTCTTTGTCGGCCATTATCTGCTCGGTAAGCGTCCACGATGGAGGCTCGGGTAGACTGGCTAGAGATTCTTCAAGAATGTCCATCAGACTTCTGGCAAAGGGCGAGGACTTCAGGAGCTCCCTTCCCATGGTAGGCCACTGAGCACCTTGGCCGGTGAAGATACCCAAGATACGCGGAGTTGGACCTAGTGGGACGTCCTGCTTGGCGGTTGGCAAAACGGCATCCTCTACCGTAGCACTCTTCAATTTCTCTTTTAGACTCTCCAAGTCGTACCCAGAGAAGAAAGTTCTGATGGGAAGTTGCGAGCGTCTGCAGGCCAAGGTGTATAAAATACTCTCAACTTGGTGGCTTTCCGCATTCTCAAGGACCTGAGAAAGTTGAGAGATCTGAGCACGTAGTGAAACGTCACTGTTCGCTGACAGAACGAGGGGAGTAGAGATAACATCATTGAATGATGTTTGTGAAGATTCATTGTCGTAATTCTCGACGATAGCATGAACATTTGTACCACCAAATCCGAAGGAGTTGACACTGGCTCGTCTGGAAGACCCCACAGCCAATTTGGGCCACGGCTGTGACACAACGGGAAGCTTCAGGTTAGACGTATAGGGCTTGACAGCTGGGTTTAAGTTCTCAAAGAGCTGGTTTGGTGGGATGATGCCTCTCTTGACGGCTTCAAGAGCTTTGATCATACCTGCAAGACCGGCGCATCCCTCAAGATGGCCAATGGCTGTCTTGACAGATCCGACATACATGGGCTCATTGACGATATCGCCACTGCTGAAGAAGGCTTCGTGGATTGCACGAGCTTCAAGAGGGTCTCCTGCAGGAGTACCGGTTCCATGAGCCTCAAAGAACTGACATCGATCTTTGAAGACGTCAAGACCAGCATTTCTGTAGGTTTGCCTGATAAGTGCCTTTTGGGCATCAGGGCTGGGAAGGGTAATCCCATTGGTGCCTGGAAAGCGGTTAGTCTTGTCTTAGGATCTTCATGGTCAGACTACTCACGTCCGTCCGAGTTTACTCCGATTTCTCGGATGATCCCCTCAATATGGTCGCCATCAGCCAAGGCCTGCGACAAGGTCTTCATCATGAGGGCTGCTACACCCTCACCTCGAGCGTATCCATTGGCTGATGCATCCCACATCTTGCTTCGGCCTGTCGGGGAAAGCATGTGCAGTTTGGATTCTGAAATCATCATTTCAGGACCGAGAATAAGGTTGACACCTCCTGCACAGGCGATGCGAGAGACTCCGTTACGAAGGGCCGTGACTGCATCATAGACCGCGACAAGACTGGAAGAACAGGCTGTATCGATAGTCATCGAAGGACCCTTCCAGTCGAAGAGGTAAGAAATTCGGTTGGAGAGAATGCTGCGGGCTGTGCCAGTGGCCATGTACTTGGGCATATCCTGAGGATCACGCATGAGCATCTCATGGTAATCTCCGGTCATGCATCCAACGTAGACAGCAGTGTCAGATCCTTTCAGATCCTCCATTGGCAGTCCAGCTGTCTCTGTTGCCTCGTATACAGCTTCAAGCAGGAGCCTCTGCTGAGGGTCCATGGCCTCAGCCTCACGAGGATTAATCTTGAAGAATGAGGCATCGAACAAACGAATATCCTCGGACAATAGATACGCCTTCTTTACGTCGGTGCATCCATTTTTGTCTCCATTGCTGCTGTAAAAAGTATCAACGTTGAAACGTTCAGGAGGGATGTGTGATTGAACGTCTCTCTTCTCAATGAGAAGATCCCATAGTTTGGAGGGAGTGTTGGCGCTGCCTGGAAAGCGACAGGAAGTGCCAATAATGGCGATGGGTTCTTTGGTGAAAGATTGACTAGACATTATGGTTGAGTCTGATAGTCAGAAAATGTTGAAGATAGTCTTCACTGAATGTTGAATAGAAGGATAACGATAGATGCTAAAGATCTTCTCTGATGATTGACTCCAGGCTCGATCGTATAAGTGTAATTCGAATCATCACCGACTACCACCAATCAGCAACTTTGACAGTACGTATTCTTCGTTCCGTATTTTTGTGGACTTTTTGAGTCAGACAGGGGTGGAGATCATGCACGCCTGAAGGATTCGCAACACCCCTGAACACCTTCTTCTTCTACTTGATTTCTGGTCTATTTCTCTTTCTTCTCCATACATATTCTGAATGGGGCGATGAAATCCTCACACCGTAAGCAAAGATCGTACTTTACTGGCACACACCGGGTGGCGGCGCTGACCGTAGGATCTGACAAGTCGGCATTATCATCAGATGCTAGCTTGCCGTGTAATATGCCGAAACAGTCTATTCGTGTTTGCGGCTAATCATCGTTGTTTGACTACATCTACGTACTCATGGGGTTTTTGAGGACTTTGCATTCGCCCTCAGATTCACAGTACCTCACAATTCTTCTTGTATTCTCTGTCTAGGTACTGACAACTGCCCATCATGCACAAAGTTTTCCCCTCTGACTTTTTCAATTTCGAGTTCCTGCGTCTCCTTGGCACTGTTCCCTTTCAAGGTGCTGAAGTTGGAGAATGCCTCACTACTGCTAGTCGCATCAAAGATGGCGACCCAGAGAGTTGGTACAAGGCATGGAGAGAGCAAGCCGAAAAGGCACAGGCTCTGGCTGAGGAAGCTGCTGCTGTCGGTGACAAAACAGGAGCATGCTGGGCTTACATCCGTGCAGCTAATTACTGGCGTGCTAGCGAGTTCCTCCTGCATTGCACTCCCAATGATCCACGCATTTTATCGTCGTCAACGGCCAGTGTTGAGGCCTTCGACAAAGGATGGGTCTTGTTAGATGCCACTGTCAAGCACTTTGATATTCCTTACGACAAAGACATCAAACTGCCAGGAAGGTTATACGTTCCTGCTCCTCAACACCGACTACCTGGCAAGATTCCACTGGTTCTTCAGACTGGTGGTTTTGACTCTACCCAAGAAGAACTTTACTTTTACGGTGCTGCTGGTGCCCTGCCTAGAGGCTATGCTGTCTTCAGCTTCGATGGTCCTGGCCAAGGTCTTCCTCTGCGCGTGGGAAAGCTGAGCCTTCGACCAGACTGGGAATCGGTGGTCAGCCAGGTTTTGGACTTCGTCACGGATGAAGTCGCTGCTGACTACGATCTGGATCTTGATCGTCTCGCGATCTTTGGAGCCTCATTGGGCGGCTATCTGTCACTACGTGCTTCTGTCGATCCCCGTATCAAGGCATGCGTCTCATGTGATGGGCCCTACGATCTGTTTGAGATCACTCGCAGTCGTATGCCACCCTGGTTCATCAACGGGTGGGTATCCGGTTGGTTAAGCGATGGCATCTTCAATTGGGTCGTTGACCGCTTCACTGCCGTCAATTTCCAGATTGCATGGGAGTTCGGTCACGGAAAATGGGTCTTTGGGGTAGATACCCCCGCCGATGTCCTCCGTGTGATGCAGCAGATATCGCTCAAGGGCGGTTACCTCTCCAAGATCAAGTGTCCCACTTTGATCACTGGCGCGGCAGATTCATTCTACTTCACGCCCGACTTGAACTCGAACCCTATTTTCGAGGAGCTAACCTCCTTGAGGCCCAATGATAAGCACTTGTGGATTGGCAAGGGAGTGGAGGGCGGTGGTTTGCAGGCTAAGATTGGGGCTCTGGCTGTGGTTCACCAGAAAATGTTCTCCTGGCTGGACGGTACTTTTGGGATCAAGCGGGACGCGCTATGAATGCTGATCGGCAGTTGTTGTGACGAGTTACCTATTTTAGAAATTTTCAATCTTACTTTATGTTTAGTCTGAACTTGTTGTACCCATGTAGACTGTAAGATATGATGTCTTAGACCCATACACTTTGGGTCTGTCTCATCCTTCTTCCCAAATAGTATAGAATTATGCTCTTAGAAATGAACCACCTTGTCAAAAATGATGTTTACCTAAACACGCCGGCTGAGTTAATCCCACATCCCTTGATTATCTTACGACAAAATCGACCGCCAATGCTGACTTCCAATTGTAGCCACGTGTATCCGAGATTGAATCTGTCATGGAACCCGCACACCCGAGACAAGTGGAGACTTAGCGAGATATCTGCCTGCCTCTGGTATGGAACCATGTTGGGGTAATCTGATCAGAAACAACCTGTTTGGTTAAGCGCAGGATAGATACAGATACGGAAGACCAGATTCAGCCATACGGCCCAATTCTTCGAAGGATGGGAATGGCGTGCCATGCAGGTACGTGGGTGTTGGTTCGTAGGATCTTCACAGCGGGTAGTGACTAGTCTAGTGACTGGGTGTAGATGGATGGACATGGGTGTCTGCATTACAGGGGGTGAATCATGAATAGAGGCGCAGGGCTGAGGACAAACACCGTTAATCATCTGATGGTGGACCTAGGTCGGAGGGTTTTAAAAATGCCAAGACTGTGAGGATGCAATTCAGGTTAAAGCACTCTAGAATAGTTGTGTCTCCAAGTCATTTAGTTACTACTCGAGCATTCCGAACGTTCACAAACAATTAACATATTACACATTTCAGACACTATGGCACCATTTGGAACAATTTATTCTTTTATGCCAAATGGCAGAGTCTTCAAGGTGAATCTCCCTTCCCATTTCCGTACTGTTCTCATTTAACCTGAGGTTACCCTATACAGATTCTGGCCGCGGCTAAGCTCAACAACCTAGACATCGAAGTTCCTCCTTACCAGCACTTTGTGACTAACAAGTCCAATGAGTTTCTCACCAAATTCCCAGCTGGCAAAGTCCCAGCCTTCGAGGGAGCTGACGGGTTCTGTCTCGCTGAGTCAGACGCGATCGCCAGATATGTTTCCCAATCCGGACCTCGTGCTGGTCAACTCCTTGGAGAGGACGCTGTGACATCAGCAAAGATTCAGCAGTGGATTTCCTTCTTCGCTGATGAGGTTTATCCAGCTATTCTGGACCTCGTTATGTGGAGAGTAGGAATGGCCCCCTTTGACCAACCTACTGAGACTAAGGCGCTGACGCGTCTGGAATACGCGCTGACTGTGCTGGAAAAGCACTTGTCGTCTGGCAATCGACTCGTTGGGAGCCAATTGACACTTGCTGACTTGACTGGCGCTTCATCCCTTCTATGGGGGTTCATGCATGTTGTTGATGAGCCCATGAGGAAGCAATTCCCAAATGTTTTGACTTGGTATTTGAGCACGATTGAGAATGATGACGTCAAGGACGTTTTTGGAGAGCCTAACCTGGTTGAGAAGAGGCGTCTTGGCGGTGAATAAGTCTTGCTTATAGCTAGACTAGGTAGATAGACAAAACATGTACAGATTTCTTCAAGAACAGCACAACAGAGCACAACAATTCGATGAATAGCAATTAAAAGTATGGTCCAAATATGCAAGAGAAGACAGGACTCGGTAGTTTATGATGTAAAATGGATAACAAGACTGAACAACTATGTACACACAGCAATTATAAGACAAGAATTAGAGAAAAAAATTACTTCCTACGAAGCGGCGCAAGACCAAAACTGCGATCCTCAAAATCAAGCACAAGATAATGCCTCTTCAGAAAGGCCCTACCCAAGAGGACGACCTTGGCGTTTCCAGCGCTCGTGCGCCCATACTTCCACACATTAACATTGAGATAACAGACAGAGCCAGGCATGTTCTCCAAACGCGTTACGTAATCCTTTGAAGTAATTGTGTACTTCTTCCCTCCATCAAGCTCATAGACGAGATCAGGATATTTGTCCAGAGCGTCGCACGATAGAGTGTACCAGTCCTGCATGTCGGTGTTGTATCCAGTCGATCCCTGGCTTAGGATCTTTTCGATGACAGCGGTGGAGGCCGGCTTGGCACCCGTCTTGCTGACAAGGTACTTGTAACCGTTGAGGGAGAGTGGAGCACCCAGTCCTTCAGATCCTTCGTCCACGACAGCCAGGGGGGGTGTCGTTTTATCACCCTTGACAGCCTTGAAAGGAATAGCAAAGTTCTTTGACTTCTTTCCATCGCTATTGACCCACATGCCCGTAAGCGGAGTACTCCAGTAGTTGCTGCGCGGGGGCGTAACCGGGTAGAACGCGTCGCTGAGCCATTCTGGGTTCCGGATCCCATAGGTCTGCAACTGCTTGGTATCGTACATGGCAGTATCTGTACCCCCAAAGACGAGTTGAGCATCACCCCCTTGGCAGCTTGACTTTGAGGCCAACGTGGCGCACGTGTGCCAGCCAACCAAGGGTCCCATGTTGTCCTCCTGCCATGCTTGGTAGTTGGCAGGTTCTGATGTTTCGGCCTGCTTGGATGGCGGAGGGGCCAAGCCGAAGATGCCACCGAACGGGACTGCAGGCACGACACTCGCAGGATACGGGAAGTTGGAGACCTGCATAAGCGTATCGCTGTTGCAGAGATGTCCAATGCACACCTCATCTCGCCCGTAGTCTACGGTGAAGTTGGGCGCAAAGGCTGTGATGGGCCACGTCGTCTGAGCAAAGGAGGCATTGCTAAACGATTCCGAGTCACGCTCGTTGAAGAATGGCTGTTCTTGTCCCGCACAGAGGTCAGGATGGAATTGGCCGAGACATCGCCCAGATCGCACAAAGAGTGCCATCCATGTCATGTCGCTCAGCATCGTAAGTTTCTGGGGAGGCGAACCGACAGTGACATTGAACAGATAGCCGTACACGTTCCAATAGGCAGGTACTGCAACCGAGTTACCAGAGCTAAGGGAGCGGTGTTCCAACGTCAAAGCGGCTGCATGTGCCGGGACAAGACCCCCGAGCAATACGGCCAAGATGGTTGCATCAGCAAGCATAGTTGCAGACTCGTTTGGGTAAAAGATAAACGATGAAAGATCCAAAAGGAGTAGATTGAGGGGCAAGTGTCAGGCTTGATGATCTGTTGCGGTTGCATGAGCAGGGCGGTCATGCACACTTTATTTCGTTTTCTCACGACAGGTCAATGGAGGTCTCCGATATCAAAAGGACTCACTAAACAAGTTTCTTTCTACTTCAAGGTAGTACTAGCCCACTGGCTAATGAGTAGGAAATTTCGATCGAACGATACCATCCTTCAATGCAAGCCAATCCTTCGGGACCTTGAGCCTGCTTACACCCCCCAATATGTTTTACTTTTGATCTTATCTTAGCAAGTGGAACGACGCTTGCAGGGGAGGGGCTCAGCCTTACGTATCATATCGAACATGGTGGATGTTTCTGCTTCGCCCATTCTCACGCTTCGTCTAAACTGGAAAAAGCGAAACTGAGCGCCCTGACAAGAGAGCCAACATAATTTTCGAACCATACTAGATCCTTCGAATGATTTGCCATCGAAGGTCTTGGCCGACGGGTGTTGCGTTTCAGGCAGCTGCAGCGGTTTAGTCCGTGAACCATAATCTAAATCAGGTATTTCTTAACGGCACGATATTATCTCGGCTGCCTTGCTTATAGCGAAGCGTGTGATAGACAGTAGCATAAGAGGGTCCTTACTGAGATAGGCTGACAATTGCACATAAGCAAGACCCAAATGAAATATCCATCTCTCAATCTGCCCTTCGTATCAATACCTAAGTTTCTCTTCTGCCAAATCAGCTCAATACCATTTCCATCACCTAACGTCCCATCACTCCTCATCCTTCATACCCAAAAATGTCGCAGTACCCGCGGTTACTCTGCCTGCACGGCGGCGGCGCATCATCTCGTATCATGCGTGCCCAATTTGCCAAGTTAGAATGCGCCTTGAGCAACCGTTTCCAGCTTGTCTACCTCGAAGCTCCTCTAGACAGCGCCCCCGGCCCAGGCATCCTTCCCTACTTTGAGAACTGTGGACCATACTCTTGTTGGGTCAGCGATGACAAGACGCTATCTCCAGAGGACAAGAGACTCGAGGAAGACAATGCCACTGCCTATATCAAGAGCTTCATGATGCAATATGGGCCTTTCGCCGGTATCCTTGGATTTTCACAAGGTGCACGTGCGACTGCCAGCATTCTGCTTGAGCAACAACAACACCCTTTTACACATGATAACCTATTTGGTGTCTTCTTCTGTGGCACCTTTCCCCCTTTCGTCTCTGAGACTCTAGAGATTAAGATCCCTACTGTACATATCCAGGGCCTTTCAGATCCATATCTCGCGGAGAGCGAGATGTTGTTGAGTCATTGCACAAAACAGAGTGTTAGGAGAGTGATAAAGTTCGATGGTGGCCATCATATGCCCACCAGCCTTGGTGTGACACAGCAGATTGCAGATGTCATTTCAATGGTATACAGAGGGACCAACAGGAAAAAGGTGTCGAATCTTTGGAAACTGAAGCGACAAATTTCGAATGCGACCGCGATTGAGATTTAAGTTTGGGAATGCATTTATCTAGATAGGTACCATAGACAGAATGAAGCAGTTCACTATATAGGCAAAATTGCAACCTTAGTGTCGTCAAATGATTCCTTTTAAAGAAGTTCGTTTAATGTTGTGCTATAGTTACAGTATCATATATACGATGCTTAGGGAAGACCTGAAGAGTAGTATGATATATTCACACACAGTGATAACACTAATAGGTAGAAATAGTGAAGATACTTGTGTTAAGTGCTAATCATATTTGTATGAAGCCTGTTAAGCAATATTTCTCAAAAAGCGAATAACATCGGTAGTCTTCGCGCAACTCTCAAGGGCCGCCTCATGCTCCCATACATCACGATCACAGATATACAAGGGTTTTGCTGCCTTGAAAGAACAAGGGAACAGTCGTGTGTGACTAATATCGTAAGTGACGGTACCAGTCACGCCTACCGATACAGCTACGATAGCAGCTTCGCACATTTGATGAATCTTGCTCTGCCAACGTCCAGCAATGACTTCATCAACCCACTGCTCCTCAAGATTACGTTTGTGTCTCAAGGTGTCGGTTGACAATGTAGCTGTCTCGATATGACGTCGTGCATTCATGATGATGGTCGCTGCGGGAGCTTCTCTCAGCTCCAAGACCTTCTGACCAGTGGCTATAGCTTCGAGGCCGACCGACCGACCGTGGCCAAACTTCCCAACCATGTTGTTAAGAAGAGGGATCATGTCTACCATGGTGTGTCTGATCCCGTTCACGGCGACGGGAAGACCGTCTACGAACTCAAGTGTGATTTTCTCAGGGCTGTAAGCTTTGCCATCTCGAGTCCACTCCCAGACATTGTCAGGGACCGAGAAGCCCTCGGGATCATCTACTGAACCATTCTCAAACTCACGACACCAGAGGTTCTCATCACCACTAAGCTTTCGATGTGCCATGTTGGGGAAACCTGCATTGACCAGTTCCCATGCCTTGTCATCCCGTGAAATTGTCGACTTCACATATGGACTCCCGAAAGGTCCTTGAAATCCATTTCTTTGAATAGACTGGTTCAGCCTCGGAAGACTATTCTGAGAAAGATTGGCTGTATGAAGCAGCAGTTCAGCACCGACCTTGTTCGCATAGTTGGTGATAAGACCAGCAATGACAGGACGACTCAAAGAACTGCTGATGGGGTACAGATCATACGCCATGGCGTGGGCACGAACAGCCATTTCGACATTCTCGATGAATGGCTTGATACCAGAAAGACACTTGAAGATTGCATTGTACTTTGAGGCAAGTGTCTCCAGTGTCATCATATCAATCTCCCCACCGACATCGACAACGACGATGTGGATGTTTGAGAAGCCGAGTTTGTGAAGGCGATAGATGAGATATGTACTGTCCAACCCTCCACTGCACATTGCAACGACTAATGTCTTGCGGTCACAGTAGAGATCGATGTCTTCGAAGCTCTCAATTCGAAGACTTGATGGTACAGGAAGAAGAGGTCCATGTCCTTTGGATATATCGTCTTTTGCAAAAAGAGCATTCGCAAGTTTTACACTGCTCTTGCTGAACACAGGTTTGTCGAGGCTAATTGGTTGCTCCTGGAATGATTATTAGTTATCATCAAGCTTCAATAGGAGATAGAGTTACCATTATGCTTAGAGATACTGAGGTAATTTCTGAAGTCACAAAGATGATGCTTTGAACGGTGGCAAGTCTTCAATAGACGATCATTAATTCTTAGGAAAGCTCTTCAAAATCTCTATGATAAACAAACCCGACAACTTGCTATCTAAGCGCTTTAGCTATATCAGAAAAAATACCTAAGAGAATCCCCCGAGCATCGTATCACTATAGTAGCTGTCGCTAATCTCTATGGCATTGAACGAAAACATTCACTTTCTCGTACGAGGACATGAACAAACGTTCCCATCAACAAATGCAAGCAACAATGTTGATACATCACAATCTTTGGAACAACACCGCACCAGAAGTCAAAGGATTAAACTTGCATGCGGTTAAACAGTTGAGCCTCAAGGTGTTTCGAGTTTGACAGTCATGGTACGATGGGCGACTGCACTTGGGGTTGCAAAAGGATCTCCATGCTTGTGGGGTAAGATCATGTATACACCTTGATGGGCAGAACAGATCAGGGTGAGTGCATTGTTGTGGCGCCATCTTGTTATTCTAGAGCTTTCTGAAATGATTTGGGTAACATTGCAGGCCTCGATATGTAGTGGGACCAAACGCCCTCCATCATGGGTTCACAAGGAGCCGTTTTGGGTAATTCGTGTCATGTAAGATAAGATCGGCAATTTCGATGTGGATATGCAGGTCCGGATGGTTTTGGATGGCATCATTTCGGAGGATTTAGCTAAAAATCTGCCGAAGGATCTGTAGGATTGCTGACTAGGATGTTGGTAGCCAATGGCTAACATACCCTTGCGAGGTGGCAGCGATCCCTTCTAAAAGCTTCCGAATGCCCTCTGCCTTTTTTATTGTTATGTTTCTTTTTTTGATGAGGAGGAGTTTTACGTGGAACCATCCGATGATCGTGTCAGAAAATCGTGCCACTTAATTGTTGTTCAGCTTATGTTGAAGAAGACTGTAGTTAGTGTTGGTAGAGATCGACGTTGTGTTCTTGTCTTATTGTAAGCTTCTCTCCCGGAGGATAACGGAGAGGACAATACAGCAAACCAATTATAGAACTTATTTTTATCACAAAACTGTTCTACCTTACGACAAGAGAAGGCCTAATCGTTTCTGAAGTCCATTTTCTGGTACGGCGCACTTGTCCTACTGCCGCACAACATGGCTACTATAGACCACTCCTCTGCCGTAGCAGAGAGCGCAACACCAGAGAAACCGCCATCAACATCACCAGCAGGTGCTGCACCCGGCAAGAAAGGTGCTCGTTTTTGGCTCATCTTTGTCGCCATTGCGTTGACCACATTCCTGGCTGCCCTTGACACATCCATCATTTCTACCGCCTTGCCCACCATCGCGGCTGACCTGGGCTCTGATTCACTCTACGTATGGATCATTGACTCATACCTCCTGGCTTCAACAGCCACTATCCCCATCTTTGCCCAGGCAGCCAACATCTATGGCCGTCGTAGCCTTACTCTGATTGCTGTTTGTATCTTTACTCTCGGCAGCGGTCTTTGCGGTGGCGCGCACAACACTGCCATGATGGTCGGCGGTCGCGCTGTTCAGGGCATCGGCGGTGGAGGCGTTCTCACCATGTCGGAAATTGTCGTCTGCGATATGGTCTCCATAAGAGAGCGAGGCATGTACGCTGGCATCATCGGTGGTGTTTGGGCAATCGCCGCAGTTGTCGCTCCCGTCATGGGAGGTGCCTTTGCCCAGAACATCTCCTGGAGATGGATATTCTACATCAATCTTCCCATCGCTGGCGTTGCCCTTGTCGCACTGTGCCTATTCCTGAAGTTGACTCGCCCACCATCTGGCACCTTCAAGGAGCAGATGGCCAGAATTGACTGGGGAGGAAGTGTCCTACTGATCGGATCTGTGACCTCCATTGTTCTTGCGCTAAGCTGGGGTGGTTCTGAACATGCTTGGTCAGACTGGGAGACTATTGTTCCTCTTGTCATAGGCCTTGTTGCTCTACTTGCCTTCTTCGCATACCAAGGTGCACCTTGGCTAAAGGAACCCACCATGCCTCTTCGACTATTTGGCAATCGGACGTCATCTACGTTGCTCGTTATCAGCTTCATCCACAGCCTGCTCCTGTACTGGATCTGCTATTTTCTCCCAGTTTATTTCCAGGCTGTCAAGGAAGCTAGCCCTACCCGGTCAGCAGTCATGCTATTCCCTATTGCCTGTACTAGTGCTCCGGGAGGTGTCGCTGCTGGTATTACCATCACCAAGACTGGCAAGTACCGCATCTGGCATTTCTCCGGGTTTGTCCTCATGTCAATTGCATGTGGCCTGTTTACTCTTCTCGATGAGAATTCCTCCACTGGGCGATGGGTTGGATTCCAGATTCTGTTTGGGTTCGGCACTGGGTTTGTCTTCACCAGCACTTTGCCTCCAATTCTAGCTAGTCTTCCTGACTCAGATGTGGCTACAGCGACTGGAGCATGGACCTTTATCCGCAACTTTGGATCCATCTGGGGTGTTGCAATTCCAGCTGCTGTGTTCAACAATCACGTCAATCATGCAGCATCCAATATCTCAGATGAAGGAGTCAGGAGCCTTCTTGTAGATGGCGGTGCGTATGAGCATGCCACTCAATACTTTCTCAAGACCCTTGAGTCTACCCCACGGCTCAAGGACGAAGTGGTACAGGTGTATTTGAATGGGCTCAAGGTTGTCTGGCAGACATCCATCGCTTTCTGTTTGCTAGGATTCTTGCTTTGTTTCTTTGTTCGTTCACTGACGCTTCGCGATGAATTGAACACCGAGTTTGGGCTGCAGGAGGATAAGGAGTCTAGTCAGATGAAGTCGAGTGAAGAAGGCGTGGTCAGAGAGTAATGGAATAAGAGTACATCACATAGTATTTCTGTATATCTTATAAGTGTTTAATTAAACTTGGTTATATCGTTAAGTACCATTTTGTATCATGATTGCTGTGACAATTCCAAGAAGTATGTGATTCATGTCGTTATTTGACCCAGTAACTTCCAGTGGACTTAGAGCTCGTCCAGGCATAGGCCAATGTCGCTTCAGTGCACTTTGCCACTATAAGTCGTCAGCACAGCGGCTATAAAACGCTTCGCATTCGATCGTTGCAATATTTGTCTTCCAACAACTCGATTTTATAACTGTGTAACGCCAAAGATGGATTTTACTACTTTCCACAATATCATCGCCGGTAACCCTCGTGGTTCTGATATTACCACGTCGGGCACAAACCCCATCAATCAAGCTCCTCTGTGGCCTGCTCCTGTAGCTACCGCAAAAGACGCTGAAGATGCCGTGCGCGCTGCCAAAGGAGCATTTTCTACGTGGTCTCAGACCTCTTACAAACAGCGAACAGATCTGTTGGAGCGCTTTGCCGACCTTTATCTCTCGTATGCGAGTGGCTTTTGCCAATTACTTGCTACAGAGTGCGGTAGATCTGTAAGCAGCCTTTTCTTTCCATTTTGGCCAGGATATTGACAGTGTATAGGTCGAAAACGCAGCAATCGAAGTTTATTTTGCTGCACAATGGCTACGATATCCATGTTCGTTCCAACAGTGATCATGATGATTTACTCATTATTCTGACTTGGATAGCGAAATACAAACTTCCTGAAGAGAATATTGAAGACAATGAGAAAACTGCCATCGTTACCCACGAGCCTCTTGGGGTGGTCGCAGCGATCTGTCCTTGGAACTGTGAGTTATATTCGCGGCCTCGTACCAAAATGCTTGCTGATCATACTAATTGCTAATAGTTCCATTGATGCTTGGTACACATAAGAAGCTCTGCTACATTGGAGGTTATATCGACTAACGATGCTTTAGCAATCGGAAAAATTGCACCAGCTCTAGCTACAGGAAACTGCGTTGTTCTCAAACCCTCGTACATCAACCCTTTAATCGTATACTTTCCAACTCGCTGACTTGAACAAAGGCCATTCACTCCGTACACGTCTCTCAAATTGGTAGAGCTTGCTCAGCAAGTGTTTCCTCCATCAGTTCTACAAGTTCTCCACGGCGACAATGATCTGGGTCCCCTCCTTGTCAAGCACCCTGATATTTGCAAGATCTCGTTCACTGGGTCTACGGCTGCAGGAAAGCAGATTATCAAAGATGGCGCCGATACCATGAAGCGTATCACTCTTGAAACGTGAGTGCATCTGCAAATATCGATACTGAAGACTAATTGGACAAGTGCCGGCAATAATGCTTCCGTCGTCCTTCCCGATGTTGATCTCAAGGCCATTATCCCTCATATCGCAGGAGGTCTATGGTTCAACGCCGGACAAGTCTGCGCCGCCACACGCCGCTTGTACATTCACCAAGACATCTTCGACGAGGCGGTGGGTCAGCTCGAAGAGGCCACAGTAGAGGCAGCCAAGGACCTTGTGACAGGCATCGGTCCAATTCAGAACCAGGCGCAGTATGAGAAGCTTAAACAGGCACTGGCAGACGCAAGACAAGCTGGCTGTACACTGCTATCATCGGGTCGGACGGAACCGGAGGAAGGATTCTTTATCCAGCCGACCATCGTGAAAAGTCCACCACCAGAGGCTGACATCGTTCAACAAGAAAACTTTGGTACGTCAGACACGCCATCGATGGGCCCATCAGGAACCATGTTTGATGGCTATCAATCCGTCTCACCCAAGACCAATTACGAAATGGCTAACACCGTCTCACCAGGCCCCATCGTTTCATGCATCAAGTTCTCTTCCGTCGATGAGGCAGTATTCATGGCCAATAGCAGCAACAGTGGCCTAGCTGCTAGTGTGTGGAGCAAGGACATATCTGCCGCGAAACAGGTAGCGTCTTCTCTCGAGGCTGGCAATGTCTTCATTAACGGACCGCCCCGCCCTGATCCTCATGTGCCGTTTGGGGGTCATAAGCAGAGTGGACTGGGCGTTGAGTATGGATTGCAGGGTTTGCTATCCTTCTGTCAGACGAAGTCTATGTATCTGTACAAGTAGAGATAGAGCTACACCTGTTCCTTCCATTCTTGTTTCCATCTTGAGATGAGATGTCACACCCCTCAGCCAAATGCACGATCCTTCAAATGGAGAAATTTGACACATCTCATGGCGCAGTGTTTCACCAACAACCTTCCAAGAAATCATACGAATGTCCATTTAGAGTTAGTCTTCAAAATGCACACTCCCATCTTATATCTCCCATCTAGGCGAACTAAATCCTCACATAAGAGTGGTCGATCTGGGGCCAAAGGATCAGCAAAGGTGGAGAACAAGATCCTACAGCAACTACCGGGAAACATTCCGTGTGACTGTTCTCCACTTACTAACTCTGTGCTTGCTTTATTTTCCTTTCGATCGGAGGGTTTCATTTGTCATACGACGGAGTCCAGTTACGAAATTTGCCTGTCAGCTCACGCATGCAAATGTCAGTCACTAAATGGTTTGTTCCGGGGGATGCCGGCCAGATTAGTGGCACGGTCTGTTCCAACTTGGTATTCGATAAGGACATGCCCTGACAAGGCGGTATTGGTCACTAACGCAGCGGACCTATGAATTGCGGCTTATATGCCACGTATAATTTATTCATTGTCACTATTATTTGTTGTAGAGTCTTACCTTTTCTGGGCCAGAGTAGCTTTCATAGTACAGCGCTCATTGCATTATGTGGTCTAAACTACTGAACGATCATCTGGTCCAAGTGGCCAGTTCCTTACCACCAGAGGTCTCTAAGAATTTGAGCAACTTGACTTTCACTCAAGGTTTTGCCGCATTCATTGTCTTGTTCATCATAGTACCCAGGGTATTTGAGGTAGATAATTATGCCAGTACATCTCATTGACCATTGGTTGACTTTTTCAAGCTTCTACGAAACATCTTTTCCCCTGTCAGCCGCATTCCTGGACCTCTCATCAACAAACTTAGCCCTTGGCCCCTGGAGATTGCCACATTCAAAGGAAAGAGGTTAGCATCCAGAATAGCCGCCAAAGTCACGACCCAGACTCTAACAATCATCCAAGCCATCGTTTTGCTCGTGCTCTTCACAAAAAGTATGGGCCAATTGTTGTTCTCGCTCCCAACATGATCTCTGTTGGTGATGCCAGTGAGATCAAGCGTATCATCCAGAATGAGGACTGGGTCAAATCTGAAGCCATCTATGGCAATTTCAGACAAGACCCGCACCGTCCAACACTTCTAGCCTTTACCGAGAAGAAGGCCTACTCTCGACGCAAGCGTATGCTGTCTTCCATGTTCGGTATTCGCTACATTCGTAGTCTTGAGCCTCTCATGAAGTCGTGCGTCGATGCTGGTGTTGCCCATCTTGACAAACTCTGCGAGAACTCCAATAATAGCACTGTCATCAATCTCCAACACTTTATTCATGGCTTGGCCATTGATACCATCGGTGCTACTACTTTTGGTGGCAGCTTCAACGTTGTTGAGAACGGGAGTCACCCTCTCCCGTCTCGTCTGAAGGCTGGCATGAAGATCTCTGCCGTGATGCAGCTCATCTCATGGATCAAGTATATTCCTTTCCTCCCAAAGCGGGATCCTTATATCGAAGAGTTCACATTCAACATTGTCGACAAACGTCGTAAGGAATCTGGAGATGTCAAGCATCAAGATTTGCTTCAGCATCTTGTAGATGTCAGCGATGACTCTCCTGGCTCTGAGTTCCGCACTTCAGATGTGCAGGATGAAAGTGTGATTCTTTTGGCAGCTGGTAGCGAGACAACCGCCAATGCTGAACTCTTCACTATCATGCAACTTCTCAAACACCCCAATGTTATGAAGAAGCTGGTTGAAGAAGTTGACGAATGGTACCCTCCCACCCAGCCTGACCGTGAGACGGAATGCGCCTACTCTCAAGCCGGAATGACCTACCTCCAAGCTTGCATCGATGAGACTATGCGTCTCATCCCGGGCCAAGCCACGGGAAGTCCACGAGACGCATCCAGGCAGGAAACTGTTCTTGGATACCGCATCCCCAAAGGTACAACCGTGTTTCCCAACACCCAAGAGGCGCACCTCAACCCTGATAACTGGAAGAACCCCGACAAGTTCATTCCGGAGCGTTGGCTCGACATTTACTCGCAAAACCAGACATCATCTGTGCCTTACTGGCCATTTTCCGCCGGTAGCCGCGTCTGCGTTGGAAAACACTTTGCTTTTCAGGAGATGCATATTTCTCTCACGACACTTCTACGCAAGTTCAGCTTTGAGTACGTTTCGGGGCAAGATGAGACAACTGTTTTTCGCATCGCGCAGCAGTTGCAAGCGAATTCTTATGATGTCAAAGTAAAGAGGAGATTTGAGTAGGATTATCACCGAACATGGAAGGCAGCCATAATAAGTAGATGACGGTTTTTTGTATCGTGTGGTTAGTTCATGTTTATGCGGGTAAATAACACGGTGAAAGCGGATGTATTTTGACGAGATAAAACCCCTCCCATAACGGAAGAATCACTTCCTGTTTGAATTGAATCCCATTCATGCGGATAGTCCATTTAATAACTTGTGTTAAAGGCAGTATTTGTCCAGTCAGTTAGACGTCTGCCCAGCCTGTCTAGGTCCACTAAATCCTTCTAAGTACTCAGATAGAGTAACAATTACCTATATAAACTTGGTCTCCCCCTCTGGCTTGAACTTTTCAACTCACTCATTTTTGCAATCACTCTTCCTCTCTTACTAAGCATGTCGGACAAGGCCAACCAAAACGATGTACCCATGCAAGGGCAAGGTGCTTACAGCTCCCATGCTGCACTCCAGCACCAGGCGATGCTCAAAGCCCTGCCTCTCTTCGAGAAAGCTGCAAAGACTGTAGTGGGCCATGGCGGTGATCATACAGCCATTGTTGAATATGGATCTGCCCATGGCAATAACTCGTAAGTGACACTACAAAGGTCTATAACTGCATATTGATCTTTCGTCAGGTTGGAACCAATTCAAGCTATCCTTAGAGCAATTCCCACCCGTCAAGTGGAGCTGCTCTTCAGCGATCGCCCAGAGAACGACTTTAGTACTCTGTCTACTACCATTACATCATGGGCCGATGCATTGGACAAGACTGAATTCTCTCATCCCTTGTTTTTGAGCATGATACCTCGCAACTTTTACCAGAAAGTCGTTCCCCCTCAATCAGCACATCTCGGCTTTTCACTTGCCGCTCTGCACCATCTTGACCACGTTCCCTCTCCTACTGGAGTTCAATCGGAAGATGATCAGCTCCTCCAGAAACAGGCTCATCTCGATCTCTCTACCTTTTTGGAACTTCGTGCGCAGGAAATCATCTCGCGTGGATCACTTGTTCTCTCATTCGTTGGCCAGGCATCTGCTGGATACGAGAACTACAGTGGACCTGTCGACGCGTGCCGCAATGCAATGATCGAAATGGTTCAGCAAGGAATTATTCCTGTTTCAGTAGCCGGGGCTTTTCGCGTCCCGACGTACAACCGAACTTTGGAAGATGTGAGAAAGGTCCTAGACGAGATGAGCAACGTTTGGGACGTTGATGATCTGTTCGAGGCCGATATCGCTCATCCGGCCATCCACGATTTAAAAAAGGGGCAAGCCAAGGATGAAGATGCCAGTCGAGAGTACGCTAGCATCGTCATTGATTGGATGATGGCTGTTTGCTCTGGTTACTTTCTCAAGGCTCTCAAAGTCGGTAATGAAGGGCGCTACAGTGAAGGAGAGGAAAAGAAACTTCTTAATGATTGGGTTGCTAGGACCAAGGAATTATTCATTCGGGATCACAAGGATGAGGAGGTTGTTTGTTCATTTGTCTATGTTTATTTGTCCAAGGTTTAGTTTGCGAGGTTGGGCTTGATGAAGCTCAATTAGGTAGGGTGTTGTCATTAGTGAGATAATTCACTTCAGTGATTACAAATCGTCCAAGACAGTGACGTCAATTGAACTTCCAGGGACGGGACGATTGGAAGGGAAATTGGTCACCAATTCGGATGTTTCCATTCAATAGCGTATAGCTTCAAGGCTGGCACTTACTTATCTTCTTGATTCCTGAATGACAATATCACTAACATAAAGCGCTGAATATTTGTGTCTGTTTCGCATCAGCCTATCCTGTCAACTTCCGATTCTCCTACTGACGCAGTCCAACAATGGCGCAACTCAAGAACGACTCTATCCGGGCTTTCGAGGTCTCTATCCCACAGTCGGATATCGATGACCTACAAATCCGCCTTCGACTGACCAGATGGCCAGATAAAGAGCCTGTTGACGACTGGTCTCAAGGTGTCCCGCTTGCCGTCATTCAAGACCTTTGCAAATACTGGCAAACAAAGTACGATTGGAGACGATGTGAAGCCTTACTTAATTCATATCCCCAGTTTACAACGACAATCGATGGAGTGGAGATATACTTCCTCCACATACAGTCAAAGCATCAAAATGCTACACCTCTTTTATTAACGCACGGTTGGCCGGGCTCAGTCCTTGAGTTCAGGCATGTGATCGATAAACTTGTTGATCCTGAATCACACGGAGGCTCTCACGAAGACGCATTTCACCTCGTTATGCCAGCACTTCCGGGTTATGGATTTTCCGGAAAGCCAAAGGAGACTGGCTGGGGACATGAACGCACTGCTCGTGCATGGACAGAATTGATGGTGCGTCTGGGCTACCAAGATCGTGAATGGGTGGCTCAAGGCGGAGATTGGGGAGCTTTTGTCGTCGCGAGTCTTGGCCATCAAGCTCCAAAAGGACTAAAGACTGTTCACTTCAATTCCATATACTTCGAGAGCAAGGTAACATCTACTTTTCCCTCGCTTGAACGAGAGTAAGCTAATTATGTTATAGAAAGAAGCTCAAGTTCCAATCAAGGATAAGCAGGCTGAAGAACGAGCCACGCGCCTCGACGAGTTTCGGGACACTGGTTTCAAAGGTTATTCCCTGGAGCAGTCAACAAAACCTCAAACTGTCGGATATGGACTCGCAGACTCTCCTGTCGGTCAGGCTGCCTGGATATATGAAAAGTACCGAGACTGGACCGATCACGATGGCGATGTAGAAACCTTGTTTAGCAAGGATGAAATGCTCGACACAATCATGCTTTACTGGCTCACCAACTCTGCAACGTCATCTGCTCGCTACTATTGGGAGGTCGCATCCAGCACGACTGCGTGGGAGATACATATCCCAGTCGGCGTGAGCTGGTTCGGTGGTGATAATAGCTTTGCGCCGAAAGAATGGTGTGAGCGCTATTACAAAAATATTTTGTATTGGAAAGAGTTGCCTAGAGGTGGCCACTTTGCGGCTTGGGAGCAGCCCGATGCGTTTGTTACAGAGATACGCGAATGGCATAAACAAATCAGGTGAAGGTGTTCATGAGGGGGCGCTTTATCGCTATTTTCGGTACTGCTGAGTGCCTCAAATCATAAAAAGCAAATGAAGTATCAGGTGTCTGAGCAGAAGGCCATTTGAGCACAACCAATGCTGCCTGCCTCTGAGAAGGAAGTTTCAAGAAAAGCAGAAGACAGGTCCAGACAGCAAAGCAACATTTTAGGGCCCTTTCATTCGTAGAAGTTCGGCCGTGATGGATGTGTTACCCATGTCGGCTTGAAGTCTATTTACTTGTGTTCCTATGCGACCTCTAAGTATTGCCAGCCACGTGTATCAACCCAATCGATGAACAAGATGAAAAAGGCTCCGAATATCAAGGGGACCCCCTCCCCACACAACTTAGGCTGATTAGCCCAACTTCCTGAACAGCGTTAGCTCACATGCTCGGTACATCTTCGACCGAGGTTGGAAATACCATTTATTGTCCCAAAACCTCTTCCCTTGGCTGTTCCCAACCACAGCATTCTCCAATTTTAAAGATGAAGGTGTCCAGATTGATCCCCCTACTAAGCTTACTATCATGTCTCGAAGCAGCACCGTCGCCAGGTCGTCCTCCCAAAAAGGCCTTTAGTTTTTCCAAAATTACCAAGATTGTATCCTTGTCAGTCAATACTCTCGCAGATCCATTGTCTTACTATCATCTGACTATGTTCCAGTGGCGACTCATGGACAGACACTCGCTTTGATATCTCTGGTCAACAGCCCTCTTCCTCCAACCCGATAGGAAACACGGGCAAGACAAGCTCCAATGGCAAAATGTGGCCTATGTACCTGACCACCCAGTATAATGCGTCCTCCATTCTACTCTACAACATGGCTGTAGGTGGTGCAGTGGTCGACAGAGATATCGTCACGACTGGCCCAAATGACGTGGATACGCAAGTCCACAACAAGTTACAGATCTATGTAAACCAGCACCCAAACCCTTTCCCGCCAAAAGAAACACTTTGGACTATCTTCATAGGCATCAACGACATCTACCGGACCATAAATGAGGATGATCAAGAAGAGACTATTGTCGCAATCATTGCGCGCATTCGCCAGCTCACTCTTGATTTGTATAGCTATGGTGCTAGGCAATTTCTCTTCGTTTCAACGCCCCCGCAATCTCTGTTCCCAAACAACAGGCCCAAAGACATTGCACCCAAACTCGAAGCTGCTAGCCAAAGCTGGAACAAGAAACTCAAGAAGCTCGTGCATGACTTGGACCATAAGCTCAAGCATAGTACCTTTTTCTTCTTTGACATTGTTCCTCTGATCACAGCTGTTACAGAGGACCCTTCACAATTTCCTGAAACAGCCATTTACAAGAGTAACGCCTTTTGCGCCGACTACAAAGCGTAGGTAAAAACGGTTCATGTTTGACGGCCAAAGCTAACATTTCCCACAGAGGAACAACTGTACCAGATTTCAAGTCAGAGACTTGTGAGTTCAGCGCGTTGGAATACATGTACATTGACGGAGCACATCCAACACAAGCATTCCATCAAATCCTTGCCAAAAAGATTTCGGAGCAACTTTCAGCAGGAAATTCCATCAGCTAGGATCGAATACTTGTTTACGCGGCAATGTTGGATAATTTAAGAACTATTTAGGATTTACCGTGAATAAGTAAATTGTGTATAAAGTTATGTATTTAAGCAAGCTCCACTCGTGGGTCTCGCATTGGCGGATTCTTAACCGGTCGGCCTTCCCGCCAGTCATGAGCGAGCCAGTATCCTCAAACACAGTTATGAAAGTGATTATTTTATACAGACAAGACATTATTCACTAAATATTTGGCTTCGGCAAAGATCGACAGCAAATAACCAGGCGACTTAAACACTGCCTACCCCCAGAGCCCCCATAAGAATTTCCTCAGTCCTTTTTAATAGCGTTTCCGTCACAACTGCACCATACATAGCCTCATTCCACGACCCTCCAAACACAATCTGGCCCCTCCAAGTCCAAAGGAAAAGTTGCATAGATGGGGGCATCATGGTATTGGCAAGCCAAAAGTCCTCAACCTCCCACTGCCCAAACTGGCGGCTCATGAAATCCTCGATAATACCCAAGGATGTTAGCAGAGGGGTTCGGAAGAAGGCTGCGCCCTCGGCCACCTTTTGCATGTAAAAAGGCATAGCCGCTGGGATGCAAAGAGCGCCCTCTGCATTTGGGTGATCGAGAGCCTTCCTGTAGTACTCCGAGAGGTCAACCGTTGTCTTGTCAAACGTGTCCGGCTTGATGGGGATGTATAGTGGAATGACAGTGCAGTGACATGCAACCCTTCGAAGCTCTTCGGAATATTCCTTGGCAAAGAACCGACGAGCATCAATGTTGGCAAAACTGGCCCACACGCCACCTGCTTTGCCTTGTTTTTCTTGCTGATATTCTTGAACTGCCATACCAAATGCAACTTGCACCGCAGCTGTGACCGTCATCCCTCGCTGCTTGCAAGTGGCAATGACTTTGCTGCTGACCTCGGGACTGAGCTTGCACTGGCGACGAAAGAAGCCTTTGAGTGATGCGTTCGGATCATCAGCAGGTGTAAATATAGCATTGTCGGTAGAAATACGTTGAAGAAACTTTTGAGCGTACTCCAACACGTCGGGTGAGATTTCCTGAGGAACATCGAGAATGGTATCCATCGTGAGTGGCAGGTTCTTCTTTATAACTTCAGCAGTAACAAGACTGTCACTAGGGTCGGACAGGGTAGAGAAGAAGATATCCCAGAAGAAAAGAGCGCCTCGACCGTCAACCCAGGCATGGTTGATCTGAAGTGTCAGCTCCATCGTGGTCGGAAAATAAAACAATGTTGGATACCGCCGCGAGACGCTTTCACGAAAGATATCATCAGGAGTCTTTTCTCGTGACACTATGAAGGTCTCAGAAAGCCAATCGTCGAGAGCTTTGCCTTCAAATACCTCAACAATCTTGCCTGTTTCACCGTGACGCGCCGCCATTTGAGGCTCCTTGGCTCTGGTCTGTGACCATGCGCTTCTCAAGGAGGCCTCAACTTGGTCGGAGGCAAGATCGTCATGGTTCGTGAACTTGACCGTAGTGAACAGTATGGATGGAGCTGGTTTGCCGAATTCTCCTTGAGTGTAATAGTACAGCTGTTCAAAGGTACCCCGGTTGTTCTCAAACACAGTCGAAGACGTTTGCCTCCAATTAAGGGACATTTCGAAAAGTGATTAAGAGTATAAGAGGTTGTTGCGCTTTCTTAGGGTTAATAACAAATGACAATAGATCATTCTTCTGCAGGTAAGAGCAGCCTTTCTTATAGCAACCGCAATAATTGTCACTACTACAGCGTTCCTTGATCTATCTATCTGCGGTAAACGTTTTCCGAGATCCAGGCCTGAAGTTGATCCTCCAGGAGTAACTAATCTCCCAAGAAGCTGTAGAACTGAAAGAAATGCCCACCATTTCATGTGCCAATTGGGCATGTTTGGTACTTTAGCAGATTGTCGACTATGACTGGCTCGAATAGTTCTTACCGTCTTACGATTTCTTGAAAGATAATCGAAAAGTGGAAACCCCAAGGATCAAAGGATTTATACTGACGAGGCACAGCCATTCTATGACGATAATAGCGGGTCTACAATGATCAAGGTTCTTTTCAAAATATTTTCCGTATTGCTAGCTATGCCTCTTAGGACATTTTATCACCAAATGCCAGTAATAGGAAAGCGGTGTTCATTGTTGTACCTTACGTGAGTGTATTTCTTGGGTTTCTAAACTTGCACTTTCAGCTATATATCCTCAATTACCATGCCAAATTCCTTAGGTCGCGCGTTTCTTGGTCATTTCTTCTCTTTTATGTCTGGGAAGCATAATTAGTGCTTCAACTCTTGTCGATATCTACTTATATCTGATTTAATGTCACGCCTCTTTGAACCTCATACATTGGTAGCGAGCTCGTTATTCTTGGCAATCTCAATCCGAGGAAACCGCTGTGCCTCATCCTTCTCTATAATAGGTATGACAGTGAGGGTCGTAAGTTCGGGAGGACTTACCTTATTTGGCTTTGATTCCGCTAGATGCCTATTTGGAAGTAGAAATTCGTCTAGTTTATGTTGATTCGACAAAGAGATTGAATCCTTTCCATGACATACACAAGACTTCACCAAGAGACATGTTCTGAAAATCGCCGTCATGGCTGAAGAAAAGAGGTTAGTATGGTGCAATGATACAGACTCAGTTCATCTTAGTTTATCTTATCTTATTTTTCCTTATCTTGTCTCTATCTTATCTCCACTTGCCGGCATTGATCAACTTGTGGGTTCTTTCAACAAATTGCTTTTAATGCCTATGCAAGGGATAAGAAGACTAAGCCCAATCAGGGTACCTCTTCGCCCAGTGATGTCATCTCAGTGCATAGAAAGGGCTAGGTAGTCTTACTCGTAGTACTAATCTTGCAGTGTTTAGGGTAGGTTTAAAGATTCTTGTGATAATGCATATAACCTCCATGAGTTAGTACTCAATGTCTAGGACAGTAAGATATTTTAATACATAATACTACCACTCAGTTAAGATTTCAATTTCCTACCTAACTAGTTTTTTTCGCAGATAGTTAAATCCTGTCCATATAACTCTTCATTCCCACATCAAACATCAAACTAACAATATTTAGGCGTTAGCAACGTGTTCCGAAATGTTTCAAACCGTAAACATTTGTATGTCGTTCATGGCTACTGGTCAACAGAAAAAATGGCCTCCTAAATCTTAGTGTATAAAAATAAGTAGTTCAAGAACTATGATCTACGGAGCATAAAGTGATCTACTAGTTTCGTCTCTTATGCTTCCAGCGGTCAATTTTTCTAATACCCTGAGGCATGGAAATCCATCACGAGCTTTGAATCTCGCGTAAATTTGTTCTGAGTAACGATCAGTAAAGATAATACTACGTTGCAATTACTATTAATATGCCAGTGTAGGGAAAGAATGGATCAACATTGCAGTACTAGTGAAGCGGTAAGGACGTGTTCGAAAATGAGACTAGAAGCACGGATATAATGCAACCCCAACCACACGACTCGGTCGAATATGGTTTGATAGTAGCTATGTCATGTGCGTGCCTGTCTCTGAAATTAGTCACTTCGGATGGTCGGGACACTGAGACACCCAACAACGTAGTATCTCTGTGACATCATAGAATTAATACAGAATATTGATCCACTTAGCCACTGCCATTCCCGCCCTTTCTATCCAGATTCAATCTAGGTAGGTTACGGTTAAACATATCAATAACAATAAAAGCTATCAATATGGTAGGTACCTCACATGACCCTTGAAGTCACTTCCATTATAGAACCTTTGAACGCGTGGAAAAACCCCACCGGGATCATTTTCTTCAAGTAGCAGAAGATTCGGATAATATCTCCTGTGACCGACTTTCATGGAATTCAACTTAACGCATTGATTTGTTGTCTGTCCCTTGGCCACCTCAAAGAGCCGAGTCCCGTTCGGCATGTAGAATACGAGGTCTCGGCATCGTGACGCTCGGTTGCTTTCCCCACAAACAGGAAAATTTGAGGGTGATCGTCGTGGGATCGGCATTGGCCTCGTGTTTTGATGGGACGACATCTCAGGTACAAAAAGACGATGCGATGCCGCTTCAAAGGAATATCTCACAACTCATCTCAACTCAACTACAACACCCACCCACCCACACACACAAACAACTCAAACTCCAATCCATCCAACACCGCAAAAATGAAGTTCTCCGCCGCCGCTCTTCTCACCGCTGCTGCCTCCGTCTCTGCTACCTCCAACTTTGAGGTCCAGGACTTTACCGCCAGCTGTGTTCCTCACAGCACCTTCTGCAAGTAAGTTTCCACTACAGCTTCTCTTCAGTCATCGATCACAATACTAACACCACCAAGCTACTCCTTCAAGGTTATCCAGCCCAACTCCATGGAAACCTGGAAGAACGCCGTCGAGTGCAGCGCCCGAGCTCAGTCCACCGACTACTCTCTCCCCGACATCAAGGATGCCAAGTGCAAGGACTCTTCTCGAACCTTTTCCATCACCCGTATGGGCAAGGGTCTGGGTGTCATGATCTCTCAGCCTGTCAGCCCCAAGAGCAACACTGTCGGAGACTACTTGATCCCCATGGACCAGCTCATCCAGAAGAACGAGAACAACGCCCAGGTCGAGGCCTACAACGGACCTACAAGCTTCGAGCTGACCCAGCGCAACTAGACTGGATTTGTTTAGATTCTGTGCTTTGATGCAGGCGTGTTTAGACAACTGTTCTTAGATATTACTTTTTTACATATATTTATAAAGTATAAAATCTATCATTCTGATAACTCATTGCATGCAACAGCTTACGCCTTGCAAAGTCGTCCATTTTGAGTAGGCACTCCATCGACTTGATCTGTGACATACCATCTCTCACTTCCCACGCCCTGAAGAGCATAGAAAATCCCTTTGGAATCAACCTGGTCCTTGATATGGAGAAGCCTCTGGTACTTCGCAGAGCCATAGAAAGACTGCTGAAAGCCAGGCTCCGTGACATCGGCCTCAGAAGCATACGCACCACCACCAGGAGTGGCATCCCTCCAGGGCTTCATCCAGTCATTTGTCAGAGTTTTGCTCCTTTCAGAAACAACATCCCATGGACTACCTTCAGGGAAGTCAATGACTGAGATCGCCCACATGGCTGCGTTTCGCCAAGCAGGGTTTATGGCGTTATCAGGATGGGGACCTGGACCGCCAGTGATGCCAAACCCGATAATGTTTCCACCTTTGTCGGACAGGCTTTTGAGCGCAGCAAAAGTTTTGTTGAACTTGCTTGAATCTTCGAAGTTTTCACTATATGGACTGTGGTTAATTTACGCTACAGTATACGATGTGGTGAGTGCTTACCTAGGGAAAAGGCGGCCCGCTGTCTTGCCACTAGCACCTCCGACAGTTTCGCGTGCGAATCCAGCCGACCAAGCACCAAGGAAAGAATCATGTTCTGACTCCGTGACTTGAGGTTCGATACCAAGATCCTTCCAGACTTGAAAGAGAGGTGCTACCAGAGCCTTTAACTCAGTAAGGGTATGGTTTGGCGCAAACCAAGGGAACATGGCAAAGTTCAGTGTATCACCCTCACCATGCATAATGCCCCAGTATTCGTAGTTGCCAGCTTTGTTGAAAGTTGGAAAACGTTCCCAAAATGCTCGAATGGCTTTCCAAAATGTTTCTTGAGAGACAGTCGCGCTAGTCCCGAATGCAAAACTCATGACGGACGCTTTGAGCTTGGGAAAGACTTTAACTGTGTATGAAGTCACAACTCCGAATGTGCTTCCGCCGCCACCTCGAAGGGCCCAGAAAAGATCAGTATTCTGGAACTCATTAGCGGTAAGGAAGCGACCATCGGCAGTCACGACTTGAATACTCATGACCTGAACTTGAGTCAGTATTTAAGGAAGTAGTTTGTACTGTTCATCGTCTTACCTGATCCGCCCCTAGACCGTAGATAGACGATAGAGGTGAATGACCACCACCGGCCAAATATCCACCAGCGTAGCCCACGCTCATACCTTCACCTCCAACGACGGTAACATCATACTTGTCAGCTGCCTCATAAAGCTCAGAACTAATGACACCGGCAGCAACCTTCATTGCTGGTCCGCTGTAAGACGTGGTCTTGTAGTTTTTGATGTACTGAATGCTTTTGAAACGATGCATCCAGAGAGATAAAGCACCCGCGCCAGCAGAACGACCATTGAAGTCATGACCAGTATTTTTGATGACGAGTCTGATGTTGAGAGACCGAGCTAGGTTGATAGCTAGTTGTATGTGTGCGACGTTGTGAGCATCAACAACGTAGGAAGGGTAACCACCCAGGGTACATTTCCCATCGGGTTTATCGCTGGGCATACATGTTCGGCCTTGATACATCGGCCACATGACAGAAGTCGGATCAGCGATACTGGTTTTAGTTAATGGTGAACTTCAGATGGATACCAGCTTACTGACTGAAGCGAAGAGTTGCTCCATTGATTAATGATATGATTGCACCGAGCCTCATTATAAACTCCAAAGCTGTTGTAGCATGTTGCCCCAATGGGAACAGTCTTGATCAGAGCACCTCCAGTAATGCGATCAAGCAACTTCCAAACTGAATCACTAGGCCAAAGAGAGTCTCCGGGAAAGGTTTTGCATTTATTCCGTGCGTGAAGACCAAGTATCTGTCTGTCGGATTCGTTTTCAGGGTAGAAAAGCGGTGCGTGTTGGGATTCCAGGTCCTTGAGGTCCCCGACTGACGAGGCCGTCAGTTGAAACTTCTCTTCGGCTAGATATTTACCTTCGACAGCCTCTCCAACCTGACCAGGAACAGCTGCATTGGTAAGTTTAGGACGTGAGAGAAGAACAGCAAGCAGTCCGACGAAGAAACGAGGAGCGATCTGCATGATTTAGTCGCACTAAACACGCGAAGGGGACATGGAAACAAAGAGAGGATAAATGCAGACGAACACACTAAAGAGCTATTTGCAAGTAGACACACTTAAGGGTAGACCAGCATGTGAGATTTAAGAATGGGTGAGATAATTATGCGGAATTTCGTTTCTGCACGTTTGCAAGCATATACGTAAGGTTACTATTAAGATGCAATAAAATATAATATCCTTAGGTTCCTTCATCGGAACGTCTTCCATAATTGCCTATATTGGTTACGGCTGGAGGTGGAACACGTGTAATAGGCGGGAAAGGAGGACTATACCAGGGTTATTCATATCACAAGGATTATTTTCTCGGCTCGACGGAGGACGATCCGATGCGTGTGGAGTGTTCCCTCGGAACTGATTACTCCTTTGAGCCAACTGTAAGTTGCAACACGCAACGAACAATACCAAAGAAGAAGTTCATCGGTACACCTTGGTCGCAGTCAAAGGTCGGAAGCGGAAGAGTCTCAGTAATAACAGCCCTAGGCACGATTCCCGAAGGCGGGATAGTCCTCACGGTGATAGGTTCGGTGAAGACAGATGTGCTAGTCTACATAAGGTTGATAAGACCCATCAATGCAAAACAGAAATTCGGCAGGGATGCTTGACAAGAATGTTCAGCCCGATTACTGGTCACGATCTGCTTCACCAACCCGCTACGCTCTTGAGGTATCTGTGAGAAGGGCTTGCAACATCTCTGGCTGGCACTATAGTTGCTTAGCTTAGATGTTTGGAATTGCCCCAAATAGTCCCTATTGTCTCTGGATGCAGCTTTAACCTTTCCGATCCATCTCTACAAGGGATATAGACCGCAGGGATCATCATAAACATAACTCGTTTGGCTTCTGCCACGGTAGAGGAGAAATGCAATATTAGTTGCACTCACATCACCCAAGAGCGATGATAAACTGGAGAGCGACGAGAGATGATGTTTACTCAAGTTATTCACCTGTGTTTTCAAATAAAAGTATCTGTCTGGCGATTAACTATCATTTGAGACTGTGGAACAACATTGTGTAGAGGGAGTCCTATGCGAAGCCATCCACTTCTGCGCAAACTTGACTGCCTTCTTCAGGGAGAAAAGATAACATGATGCTGCTCCAATGTGTCCTCTCATCACATCACCCTCCCGTAAAAACTCCTTTCCTAACTCCAAAAAGTCGTCATCATTTATAGCCACATCCGAAACTGTCACCCACTCTCGGACTCCGTTCACTGATGCTGCAAACGAATTATCGGATGTTTGTGGCCCGATTCTATACTCGGCTAGGTGAAAACAAGTACACTTGTCAAAATCAACGCCAAGAAGTAGAACCTTTGCATCCAGCTCTTCCAAGCGTGCGAGAGGACTGCGCTCACCAAGCATACAATCCAAGAGATGAACTTCGGTGATGAACGTCGCGTTTGCACCAACAGCGCTGAAGGACGTTTGAGGATGAGAGCTTCTCATAGCACCAGGCCAATTTCTCACAGTTTCTGCCAATACACCCATTCTTTGAGTGCGACTTGTCTGCGGGTTAAAGACCGGCATGGTGTCTCGGATTGTTTGCCACCAAGCTTGAGGAACGGGAGGATTGACCCATGCTGCTGGATCTGAGTTGCTGCTTGTTTGGGTGGGCACAACCAACGTCCCTTCGGGGGTGAGAACATCCAACAGTGAATGAGTGAGCGTCTCAGGTCCTCCGTTGATCCAGCCTATAGTGCTGAGAGAACAATGGACAAGAACATTGTCCCCCTTGTGGAGGCCGAGATCAAGAAGGTTTTTCGTGAGGGAGGACCTGGTGCACAGCGGTCCGCTGAGAGGCTCAGGTAGCATAGCTATAGATCAGGGTTGTTGCTTGAAAAGAATTGTAAAGATCTTGTGTTAGGTGTATTTGATCGGTTCCCTGAACAAAGTAAGGGTATCGAAAGATTGGAGTCGAAGCTGTTGGATGCCATGACCTGACTTTACTGTGTTGATGTGATGTAATGTTAGAAAGCGCTCTTCGCACTAGGCTATTTACGCTGGCCGGGTGACTCATTATAAAAACCATGCATAACCCAGATACGGCTTCACGTTGCTCAAGTTTTAATCAAGATGCAAGAATTCCCCACGACATTAATACGTACGGCAGCTAGATTGTACAAGGCTACTCCATTGGTCGACAGACAATCACTCACTGCGAAGGAATCTTTAGTTGATTGTCGCCATAAGTTGGTGAGAAGAAAGGCATGTACGCACCATACGATGCCATTTTACTTTATTCTGATAGAAAATGGTACAGGTGACAATTTTAAAGAAATGAGAGATGCAGAAAACTTTGCATAGTATTTAATACAAACCGTGATGACTAAATGAGACGTGTAATCACTGCTAGACTAACTCCATAACGCCCTTCACCTCCATTTCAACGTCACCCTATCCTCCCTATGACGAGCAACGTTTATAGGCAGACCAAAATCACTGACATGATTTTCTTCTTTTACGCTTCTCCCTTTGAATCTTTCGGAGCTCCTTTTCGAGTCTTTTGTACTTGGCGTCCAACTGATGGAATTCCATTTCATTGGCCCTATACTGGTCAAGAATCTTGTTCATCTCGACGTCGGTCGAGATATCCCCAGGGGTATGAATAAGGCGCCGGAGTTCGGCATCCCAAAGAAGACCGTGACTCTCCGCCTTAATCTCCACCATGCTTTCTCGGAGCTTGCCCATCTGAGCCTTCTTGTCGCTCTTCAACTTGGACAGCTCCTTCTTTTTGAGGCGACTTAGGATTTGCCTATGTGCCTCATCGTTGTGGTCGGCGATCTGCTTGGCAATGCTGTCCTTGGTGGTACCAGATGTACTACCAGAGACTGGGCTGCCAGCAGCCGTGGGAGTGTACAGTCTGTATGCTTCTTCCCCGATGTTTTGAACTTCAAAATCGTCGATCTTGTCATCGGCGCCCACGCTCTGAAGACGTTGCAGAAAGACAGTAACGTCCTTGTTGATGTCATCTCTAAGTTCCGCCTTTGCAGCGTCGCTGTAGTCCGAAGAATCCATGTTGATTGTGAAAACAGGAATACTTTGCGTTTCGTTTCTGAGTGTGTGTATGCTGAATCTTACCTTTTGGGTTGGTCTGTGTTTTGCAAGCGTAGAGGAAATTATAAAGAATAAATGTTGGTTCATGAGGTGCATTTATATATGTTTCTGTGATATGGTGATCTGATGGCTGTGGCCGAATGGATACGTTGTAGCAGATACAAGGGCCTTTGTTCAAAGCCTTTGCCAGACGGTTATATGAATAAGGACAGTATCTTTGCAACCAGAACAATGGCAAGTCACTAACATGAAAAGATACGACTTCAAGTAAGTTTAAAATTTCGGACGATCATGGTCGGTTCATAATTCACACAGAATTCGCGTCAAAAGGACACACTGCATGCACTTACAACAATGGCGCTAATCCTCAATTCTTGTGCTGATGATGACAATAACAACCCAGTCCTTGTAGTGTTAGATCTATCAGCATTGAACATGCTTATTATGTCTGTGTAAAGGACTTTGCTCCATGTATATGGTTTAGAGTCATAGTTGCTAGCCACGATTGACCTGTATTTGGGTGATAGATGCCCATCCCTTTGATGCATCCCAGTGAAGGGTTTTATGAATTAAGAAACTAAAGAGCTAGTAAATCTTTATGTTCTTTGCCTCGCTTGTGTAGACTTCGGTAGGATGAAATGACAAAGCCCCTGAACCATGTTCGTGCATGTGCAGGCTCATTGGGGACGTATCTAAATGATGAAAGAAAACAAACGCCAATATTCATCAAATTGTGAAAATGCACCTTCCCTGGACCATCATCCGTCCTCTTCGCGCCGATACCAGGCGTGATTTTCCACGGCTTCACTCAGCTTGTACCAGCTCAGTCAATAGCTCTGTAGCTTTGGCAGCGCTCTCATCCAGCTGCCCCCCAAGAGTCCATAGGCGCTTGCATATATCGCCAATTTTATTCTCCAGCATTTCGCAAACACGAAGCCTCTTGTTGATCAAGTTATCCTCCTCGTCGCCATCAGAAATTCTGCTTTGGTGCTCTCGAATGCGAGACTCATGAGACTCCATTTGATCCCATAGACTTCGTCGCTCTTCGGTGAGAATCTTGGAGTACGCGTGCTCCGTGGCAATCTTGGCCTTGAGCGTGTCGGCTTTATTGAGAGGGGATTCAGACGGTGTTGATTTAGGGCCTTTTTATTAGGTTAAATGACTGTTGTGTCAAAGAGAGCATACATACTAGTTGTCTTGGGTGATTGAAGTCTTTTGTCGCATTTTGTGGCGATGGGCTTGCTACTATTCACAGGCGCACCACGCTTCGGTGATCCTTTGGGGGTCTTCTTACGCCGAGGAGCAAGATCTTTGTCGTCTTTGTCGTCTTTGGTATCACGCGCCATTCGAGATAGAGCCTGCACAGTCTCGGGTGGCAGATCATTGACTGCAGACACATCAGTACGTGGCAGCCTCATGGCACAGCTGACATGGAGACCGGGATTACTCACGATATCTAGTCCTCGTGTTCTTGTTCTCAGAGCGCAGGGATCTAGTACTCTTGCTGCGCGAATCCGGAGCCATATTCGCTGTTGGCTGAGCTGATGTGGACTGTGAGATGTAGAAGAAATGATTTGAGAAGTGGGTGAATGATTCTGCGTAATCGTAAAAGCGATGCTTGTTTTGGTACTCGTCCGATTTCGTTCAGATATCTGCTAGGCGGATAGGTATTGGTGCAATTTGCCTGCCAAGTGTTTGCGTGTGTTTAGCACTGCCAACAGATTTTACAGCGGTAAAACTGCCTAAATCTTCACTTTGTTTGCGATCACAAAAGGCAGGGGTCCCTGTCACTACATGACAATCGACACTCCCAAAAGCGATGAATTGTTACCTATTATGTCTTTGTCTGATTGCCCAAATTATTTAGCCATCCTCTTTATTGTAATGGCTTTTATATCGTTTGGCGGCGTTGACGAATTGTCCAGGGCTATTAGAATCGACAGGGTTTATAGAGAAATAACAAAATTATTCACTGCCGATAACGGCAAGCTAGGAGACACCAGAGACATTCACTACCTAGGCAGTTAATATAACCTAAAGATAATAGCGAGTTTCTCGACCTGTCATTGTCTTACTTTGATGGATGAAGTCGACGACAATATGGTCCTAGATAGGTCCATAGTAAGAAGATTAATAATGTCCTTATCTTTCCCCACTAAATACCGTGATTTTGGTAGGCAAACCGCTAAGTAATCAATGACCCTTGGGGGTTATCGCGTCATTCATAACCCCATCCGCGTGCTCTCTTTCTTCCTTTCATCATGAAAAACATCTTTTTGCATTGATATTGACAATATGCCTTCTCAAAATGACCCAGAAGATCATGTCAGAAGTGACGAGCAAACACCGTTGCTTACAGACCAACGTGCCGAAGCGGAACAAGCCGATATCGGGCCCGAGGGAGAGCCAACACCAGAGAAAAGACCCAAGAGCTGGTATGCCTGGAGGATCTTTTGGGCTGTTCTAGCGATAGTAGTCTTGTCTGTTTTTATCAAAGGATGGATCGATTCGGATGAAACTGAGGTACTTCGAAACGTGCGCCCATCAAGATAATCACTAACGAGTACAGTTCGACCTCAAGAAAGCCCTCAAGCGAGCACTTGGCGGGGGTCTCAGTGGTGCTGCTGCCATGGTGTTACAGGTCCTACTACTGATGGTGAGACGACCTGTCACTATGATAGAATCAACATGCCGCTGACTGTTGGAAATAGCCTCTGCGAACAATTATGAACTATCAGTACCGACACGGGACATCTTTCACCATTGCCACAAAAACTCTTTACACCGAAGGAGGCATCCGACGATACTACCAAGGCATTGCGCCTGCACTGTTTCAAGGTCCCATCTCACGATTTGGGGATACGGCAGCCAACGCGGGAATTCTCGCTCTCCTACAGTCAAACCCGTATCTCAAAGACCTTCCCTCACCTATCAAGACCATATTCGCATCTCTCTGGTAAGCCCTTCATGATACTGCTATAAGATGAAAGAGATGTTGAAGCTTCATACAGTGCCGCGGCTTTCCGCATGATCCTTACCCCCATCGACACTCTCAAGACAACCCTTCAAGCCCAAGGAGCAAGGGGAACAGCCCTTCTACAACGACGCATCAAGTCCAACGGAATAGGTAGCCTTTGGTGGGGAGCCATTGCTACCGCCGCTGCCACCTTTGTCGGGCATTACCCATGGTTCGCCACGGTATGTCTATTTAATGTAGCGGCCGGCAAGATACTAATTATCGGCAGTACAACTTCTTATCCGAGACTATAACAGAACCACCCAGACATCCTCTTGTGTGGTGGTTACTCCGACTAGCATTCATTGGCTTCTGTGCTTCAATCGTGTCTGACTCTATCTCTAATTCACTGAGGGTAGTCAAGACGTATCGCCAAGTCAACGACACCAAGATCTCATACTGTAAGTCGCCCATGCCAATGTCTCGCGTATGTAATCATACAAGTTACTAACAACAATATCAGCTGAAGCTGCGCGTGCCGTTGTCGTTCAAGATGGCATCTTCGGTCTTCTTGGTCGTGGACTCAAAACTCGCATCTTGGCCAACGGCCTACAGGGCATTCTTTTCTCTATTCTTTGGAAGCTATTCCTTGACTTGTGAGTGCTTTTCTACGCAGACATTGACATTGCTGACATTTATTAGATGGGAAAAGAGAACCTAACCATTGGATTGAATTGAATGTGTAGAGTAGCACATCTTGCTTAAATCAACGATTGGCTAGAAGGAAAGAACAACTTGTAACATCGCCCAATAGAAACATGTTGCAAATAGAAGACAAGAATCTACTGGTGGTCACTTCGATTTTTGGGAATGCGGCGTTTTTTTATACATGTATGAACTATATGATCGACTACTGTATAAATCTCTTGAACCAAGCCACCGCTTGACTAAAAGCTTGCTCCTTCGCGAACAATTGTCTCTCTTCGCTCATGTCTCCCTTCACGGCGAATCCATGGTGAACGCCAGAGAAAAGATTAATCTGAAAGTCTTGTTTTGACTTTGACATGATCCCCTCGCTCTCGTGACGTTTTTCCACAGTAAACAGATCATCTAGCTCGGCGGCCGCGATGGAAAGAGGTCCAGTGATAGAGGCCAGCTCTTCCGATTCCACAAAGGACGGATGTGCAATGAATCCCACGTCGATACCACTTTTGAAGTGGCGAACGAGATGCTGAAAAGTTGTTAGTCCTACTGAAGAATGGTTTACCACAATGGATGACACGAACTTTGGCACCTATACAGTATCCCACGGCAGCGATCTTCGCAACACCAATACTTTTGAGGTACTTGATACCGGCGACAACAATTGAGTCTGTTGCTTCTGTAGTATGAGGGTTCTTCCCGTCCGATCCCTCGGTAAGCCATTTCATGATATCGAAACCATCAGGCATCTGCAGTGGTACAGGGTCACCATTGTAAGTGTCAAGTACAAGACAGAGGTAACCCTGAGCAGCAAAGGCATCCGCCATGAGTTTACTGTTTTGCCATATTCCAAAAATGTCTGGAAGATATAGAATGGCCTTTTTTGGTTGGCCAGAAGGAGGATTGGCTACATAGCCATTGATCTTGTTATCAATCTGGATTATCGAACCTGTAGGCTCGCCTCTACACAAGTCAATACGGCGCACTCTGGTAGATATCGAAAAGAATTCTGCGTATATACATACTCGTGAAGACTAGCTACAGTGCAGCACGCAGCAGGAGGATGAGATGCCATGGTTGTTGTGGGTCGAGTGAATCTGTCCAATTTTGGTATCCTGATATCACACTGTAGTGAAGCCTCACATAAATACCGATAAGACTTACAGACCATAATCTTCTGATTGACCAATCTTCATGATCGGATACCATTCCTTTCTTCGGCATTTGCGTCAAGAGGCCCAAACTCTCGATGCGGAACTGCCGGGCTGGCATCGGAACGGCGGAAAGTGGGTCTAGTTCCGTTTGCCGACACGACGGTACTGACTCGAGACACGATAAAGAAACAGACAACAATAAACGTAGAACCTCATATCATATTCATCCTCATTATCTTCTCATACTAGCAAGAATTAACAACAATCAGAGTTCATCCACTCAACTACTCTGCTTCCTCTACTCTATACCAAACACCCCCACAATGTCTCCCGAACCTCTCCAAGATGTTCGTCCCATGTTTGAGCTCCGTGGCCGCAATTATATTGTCACAGGTGGTGCCCAAGGTATTGGGTTCGCTTGCACACGAGCCATATGCGAAATGGGCGGCAATGTAGCAGTGCTAGACATCCAGGACCAACCCGTTCCTGAGTTTAACACGCTCAGCGAGAAGTTCTCCACAAAGACTGTCTATATCAAGACGGACGTCACATCAGAAGAGAGCATTGATGCCGCTTTTGACAAGGTTCTGAGCGAGTTTGGAACCATTGATGGTGTTGTCCCCGCGGCGGGTATCGCGATTGACAAGCCTTTTTTGGACCAGACTTGGGATGAATTTACGCGTATTCAAGATATTAATGTTGGTTGATCAAAGTAACACCCATTTCTTACAAATTACTAATGATTTCAGGTTCGAGGAACATTCTTCGTCGTTCAAAAGGCGGCGCGTCAAATAATTAAGCAAGGCACTGCCGGAAGTATGGTTCTGCTTGCCTCACAGTCGGCCCACATCGGCCTGCCAGGCTACCGGATGGCCGCCTACAACGCCTCAAAGGGAGGTATTCTGATGCTCTCCAAGGCACTCGCTGTGGAACTTGCGCCAAAGAAGATCAGGGTCAACACTATTTCCCCTGGGTTTGTGGATTCGGATATGACAAGAAACGTGCGCGAGCATAAGAGTAAGAGAGAAGGTGAACAAATGTGGTTGTCGCCGCCCAATCAGAGATTGAGTACACAGAACGATCTCACGGGAGCGGTTGTTTATTTGCTTAGTGATGCGGCGAGACATACTACAGCAGCGGATATCCAAATTACTGGAGGCTTGCATGCGGGTACCATTGATGGTTTAATTAGTTACGATAACTAGATTCGGGATTCAATTTATTTGTTACACAGAATCTTGTTTGGTGATGCCAAATGGAACATGGGTTAGTCTGGGGTAGATCTGCGCATATAATTAGGCTAAAATACCTATGTTTCAATCCCACCATGGAGTAATTCTCTACACTGACATCTTGAGTTTTGAATCAGCCTATTTAGATAGAGTAGCATCAACATGGTCCTATATGCAAGGACCCCTCAAACCAACATGATTCTCGACAAGATCACCATCCAACTATGACGCTGTAACAAGGATGAATTTACTAGCGGTCAAATCGGCACCGTCAATTGCAACGACTTACTTCCGTTTTCGATTCAACCACATTCTTCCCCGCAATGTGGCTAAATTCTTGTTTACATATAAGCTAAATGTAGGACCCATAAGTAACTTGACCCGTTGTATGGACCATCGCTTGTTGTTCAATCGTCAAGATGCTCCTCACGTCTCTACTCTTCCCGCTTCTGGCGCTGGGAAGTGCCCTGCCAGACAAACCAAGCAAAGACGTATCCACATTCACGAATCCAGTTCTTCCAGGATGGCACTCTGACCCTTCATGCATTCAAAAGGACGGCATTTTTCTCTGCGTCACGTCAACCTTCATCTCTTTCCCCGGTCTTCCCGTCTATGCGTCTAAAGACTTGGTCAACTGGCGTCTCATCAGCCATGTCTGGAACCGTGAGAAACAACTTCCCGGTGTGAGCTGGAAGACAGAGGGACAACAACAGGGTATGTACGCACCAACAATTCGATACCACAAGGGCGAATACTACGTCATTTGCGAGTACCTCGGAGTTGGAGATATCATTGGTGTCATTTTCAAGACCAAAGACCCTTGGAACGAGGCGAGCTGGAGTGATCCTGTCACCTTCAAGCCCACCCATATCGATCCCGATCTGTTTTGGGATGATGATGGAAAAGTTTACTCAGCGACACATGGAATTACACTTCAAGAACTCGATCTCGAAACTGGAGCACTAACTCCCGAGTTGAACATCTGGAATGGCACGGGCGGTGTCTGGCCTGAAGGACCACATATTTACAAGCGAGATGGATACTACTATCTCATGATCGCCGAAGGCGGAACAGCAGAAGACCACGCTATCACAATCGCACGCGCGAAAAAGATCACCGGCCCATATGAGGCCTACAAGAACAACCCCATCCTGACAAACCGAGGAACAGACGAGTACTTTCAGACTGTCGGGCATGGTGACTTGTTCCAGGATACGAAGGGAAACTGGTGGGGCCTTTGCTTGGCTACCAGGATCACACAACAGGGTGTTTCCCCCATGGGTCGCGAAGCTGTTCTTTTCAACGCGACTTGGAATAAGGGTGAATGGCCTGTCCTCCAGCCTGTGCGAGGCCGCATGCCAGGAAACCTTCTCCCAAAACCAACCCGAAATGTTCCTGGAAATGGACCATTCAACGGTGATCCCGATAACTACGACTTGAAGAAGACCAAGGCAATGCCTCCACACTTCGTTCACCATCGCGTACCCAGAGAAGGTACTTTCAGTCTCTCACCAAAGGGCATGCGAATTATCCCCAGCAGGAACAATGTCACCGGCGTTATCGGAGGCAACGAGATCGAATTGTCCGGTCAGCGTGGAATGGCCTTTATCAGTCGCCGTCAAACACACACCCTGTTCAAGTTCAGCATCGATGTTGACTTCAAGCCCCAGAAGGAGGATCAGGAAGCGGGCATCACCGTCTTCCGCACACAAGTTGACCACATCGATCTCGGCATAATCCGTAACAAGAAGTCCGAACTGTCGCTTCGTTTCCGCGCCACTGGCCCACAAGCGCCCGCTCCTAAGACAGTCCCTGTTCCCAAGGGATGGGAGCACGGATCAATTCGGCTTTTCATCGAAACCGCCAATGCAACTCACTACAACCTTGGAGCGGAGCATGGCGGCAAAAAGGTCAATGTTGCAACTGCCGAAGCGAGGCTTGTTAGTTTCGGCGCAGGCCAATTTGTGGGAAGCTTGTTGGGTGCTTACGCGACTTGCAACGGTCAAGGCAAGGGACTTGAGTGTCCCAAGGGAGGAGAGGCGTATGTGCAGCAGTGGAAGTATGAAGGGAAAGCCCAGGAGATTGATCATGGAGTTTTTGTTAAGGCTTAGATCATTCCTCAAAATTTGACAGGATAGTTCACTACGGCCAAGGCAGTCAATACTACATTACTTCGTGTTCAGCCTAAAGATTACGTACACTTTTACAGTCTTATGCATCAAGGAGCACACTCGTAAATGTCTTCAGAAATAAATGTATTACGCCTCGCTATTATTTATTGAACGCACACACCGTCAACCAGCAGCTAGTGCTTTATACTGTATTATCTCAAGCTATCATGTCCACTTCCTACTAGAATATGCTTTCTGAAAACATATGATTCACGTCTCCCAGCGGCCACTGTAATCTCATCGGATCGTCCCACCCAATCTGCATATCTGTATCCACCCCTGACATTTCGATTCCGCTTCCGAACACAGCATTAGTATTGAAAGGCGGCGAATACTCAGTATAGCCACCCTCAAATCCAGTCTGCGCAAGACTCGCTCGTCTTACTGACTCCGTGACGCCGTCCAGTTCCTCGTGACTTCCAGGACTCGCAGCATTCAGAATGCCCAGACTGAGAAGGTTGCGCCGCATTTCGACAAGTCGTTTTGCTAGTCTGCGCGCTGACCGCGAGCGATTGGTGTATTTCGTTGTGAGACTAACTGCCATGCTGAAGCTCCCGCCCAGAGATTCTACCAGGTCTGGTGTCAGACTTGGAAGCATGGTGCTTCTGTTTTGCTTGATAAACGCCATGAGGAGAAATGCAAGTCCAGATGTACAAGCGAGAATATGTTGATAACATGGGTGTTGTTTCCTATAAATGTCTGTCGTAAGATCAAGCGTGTGTAAGACATTGATGATATCGTAAACTCGTTCTGTGGCTGCTCTGACATGCTTCTTCGTGCTTTCGATATCCGATTCCGAAAAGAAGAACGGTTTGAGGAGTTGGCTTCGGACCGATTCGGCGCGGAGATTCAGCAGTATGGCCCATGTTGGTGGTCTTGTAGACGGATCTGTTTGCCATGTGTGGCATTGCGCTATTGAGTATTCACCGACAGCTTTCTTGCGCCATTGCTCAATCTGAAAGGTCATCAGTTCAAACGAGCTTTCATCATTGTAACCTTCGCCTATTGCTGCGCTGGAAATTGGTTCACTGAAGCGGTCACTAATGAGGATGAATGAAAGCATAGCTTTCAGGTATGGATGTTTGACCTAGGTGTGTAAGTAAACGTGACACGAAATGCAGCTGATGCACTAACTGATGAGGTCGAGATTGAGCTGAAGCTCGTTTCGTGGAATTGTATCGGTAGCCCAGTCGCATAACTCCACTGTCGATCGAGAATAACAATACTGCTAACCAAAGTACAAGCTTCTGTACGTTGAGCTTCTGACTTTAATGTATGTTTGAAGACCGCAGCATTATGAAGTCCAAGCTCCATTAGCATCCGCCCTGCAATACCACACATACGCCAAGCCGAACGAGGCATATCCTGGAAAAAGTCATACCAGCCCTTGAGAAATATGATGGTAGCATGTTTGATGCTATTCGCGGGCGCCGCAAGCTTTGCGTTGACAGCATCTTGAAAACTGTCTCTGAGCAAACTCTCTGTGTTCATACTCCCCAACTTCGAATCCGCTCGTAACGCGATAGCAAGACAGAGGTTCATGATCAAGAGTAACTCATACGCTTCCGCTCCTGTGCTCGCAGCCACGACATCCCATACACCGGCTCCCGCATCGGCGTACCACGATCTAGTCTGCATCACAAGCCCATCAATATCGACAACAGGATGAAGCTCTCCGACGACCTCTTGGTAAACGTATAAAAGTTGTATAGCTTCTTGTAGGCCGATGACAGAGCGGAATGTGAGAAGCATAGCTGGATCGCCTTTGTCGATGGTATGTGGTGACATGGAAAATTGGCCATCCTGTATTTCGGGTTCGTCTTCATCTGGATCGCCGTCTTCGTGAATGCTCGCTAGTTGGACTTGGCGCTGATGAAGACTATGGCGTAGCTTTAGTTGACCGACGTTGAGTGCGTAGTCCGGACATGTTGGGCCGTAAAAGTTTTGAGAAGTAACTGTTTTTGAAGATCTGGGCGATTCTACTGAATCATCGTTATAGTTGGAGTTTGCGTTCTCGGCGTCAATTCGATTGATGGTAGCTGTCGCGTTCTCAATAATGGTAACAGGTGATGGCAAATTTGTCTCTTGGTGATGATTAGAGTTGACCTGCGCAGCAAGACTATTCAATTGCGCCTGTAGACTCGATAGCATATCCACAATTGCGTTCTGATCTGTCTGACGTGGCCCTGATTGATTCGATGGAGGATGTTGATCGGGTGCAGCGATGTTTGGTGCAACCAAAGTTGGTGCTGTTGATTGCCAATCTTCATTATTTTCTAAACTGCTGTTGTAGCTGCAATTCTGGTGACGGCTTGCGCAATGGCGACACGGTTGACGTCCATCGCATTTGCCTTTGCGACGACGACAGGCTTCGCATGCGCGGAGAGCATAAGGAGTCCGGCGTTTGCCGGGTTCTGGGTTGCTGGACTTTTTGACGCCTCTAGCCTGAGACATTCTGCCGCATTTGTATGTACAATTCGGTTACCCGGGTGTAACTTCGAGGATGAAGGGTCACCGCGTCGTGAAGGTGGACAAGTCAAAGGAAGAAGTTGACAAACAGAATTGATACGCGGTGTTACAATTATTTATTATCCCTCCTTTCTCCTTTGAGCGGTGGCTTTGATCTTGGGACCCATGCGGGGTAAACTAAACCGAGAATGTCACCGGGGTAGCAGGGATACGTTACTTGTTATCTCTTTGCAACTAGGAAATAGACTTTGCGATTCATACGCCCCGAGACTAGTAAGAATCTGGGAGGTGATCTTGGGACAAGTGGCCAATTAGAGAGGAAATGTTTTGAAGGGTCTTGATAGAGGCGGCCCGGTTTCGGATGAAGGACCGCGTTGATGATAGGAAATAAGGTAAATTATTGTGTGTATATGGTCAAAGTTGAGTTGACTACAGGGCTGCCTACCTGCAAATGCGCCTTAGCGAGACATCAATTGCCGTGCGAGTTTACCTACAGCCCTTGACAACACTTATAGAGACTACATCATAGTCGTATTAAGACTGTATGTATCTTTTGGGTACTTAAAACAGCGGACCCATAGCCGATTCGTCGGACTTGTACCTCTATCGTTTTTGATCCGAACCACATTCTAATGATAGAATGCAAATGACTGTGGAGCTACAAGCTGCAATCTTTCCCACAAATTTTTTATCGCCAATTACATCAGAGAGATACGCGAGATGCTGTCCCCTACATTTTGAAAAATAAGGGTAACTATCACGTACATAGGAATAGTCTTGGTATCTCGAGTTGATTTGTAGTAGGTATTGCACTCCGTCAATCGAAAAAATATGCAAGGTGTTGTTACAAAAGATACTATACAAGATACTACCTATCCCACATTTAGACCTCCCTAACTTTGTACCCAAACATCTCGTTTGAGGCCACAGAGTTCCGATCCCTCATTTTCAACGCTGTATCAATGCCCGTCACTGGAACGCGATATTCGTACTTGGCACCCTCCTTCTGTCCGTCAACAGGGTAAGGAAATGGTAAATATTGTGGCATCAAACCGATTTGGGCCAGAACAGTTCCTTGATCCCATGCGATATGTTCATGGTATAATCGGTCGCCGCGAATATTGACCACTGCTGTGAAAGGAACTTCCACTTTCTTGGAGGTTGGTGGAACGCCTGGAAGACTTTGACATATTAGTGATGTGACTCAATTGTTAGACGGGGAGGGAGAAGCATACAGCCAGTCAATAGGCTTGCTATGTGTGAACTTATAAAGAAACTCATCAATAACTCGGTCAATACCGACAGTGCGACTGATCAGTTCAAGCTCTGTGTCATCGGGATTCTGGAAGATGAAGTTATCTCGATAAAAGTTTGACAACGACGTGCGACCAACTCCGCCCGTTAGCTATTGCCCAGTCAGCACTCATCTCGCCAGTATACCCATATACAGAACTACTCACAGTGGGAACGTGATTAACATAAGGTTGATCAACCATTGTACTCATGGTATGTTCAACCGACCGATCTGCAAACTCATAATATGTATGCTCATCCCATATAGCTTCGAGATCAAAATATGGGCCGTTCGTCAACGGCTTAAGAAAGGTCAAATTCCTTGTATGCGAGACGGACTCCGTCGAGTAGTCAAAGTCTTCGGTGAAGGGGACCGCTACCAAGTGAGACTTAGCCGACGGATAGGAATATGTTGATGATGCACCATTTCGCTGGAGCTTCTCGGTGCGTGATGCAATATGCTTAAGTGTAGGGACCGCGGCATCTTGTAGCGTTGACAAGTCACCTGGATTGGCGTAAATTATAGCGCCTGCTATATCGTTGTCGGTAATAACAGGAGCAAGTTTGTTCCACAGTTGTGGATCACATGCTACCACATTATTAGATAGATTCACATGCTAATAGAAAAGGGAAACTTACCAATGAGTCCAATCTTGCTGTCATTCACGAACCCGTCACAACTTCTCAACGCTTGCACTGCCTTCTTCAAAACCTCGCCAGCATCACCTTTTAAAGCCTTCGTCTGTACTTCAACAACAGCATACCCTTCTTCAGCCCATTTGATCAGCGCCGAAGGAACGCCATCAATAATTTCCAAGTGTTTGTCTGAGTCAGGATGGAGAATTACAAGGCCGGGACCCTGTCCGAGCCTCGACAAGGGAGACAAAAGTGTAATGCCTTCAGTTACCGTTTGAGGCTTGGCTTGGGGAAGAGGACCGGGAGGCTTGGAGATATCTGCATACATGATGATGTTTGGCGTGTTGTTTGGTTGGTCAATGATGGGGAATCAGTGTGTAGATGGTATCTTGTTGTGGGATATATAGACAAAGCTATCCATGCACAAGCCTTCTCCAAAGTTGGTTACCCGAGCTGAGGACTTGGGGTATCTTCTTTATCCGCCAGTTGTAACTTTAGTGAAGGGCACTATCTCTCGTAGCTGGCTTTGGTTGAAGGAGACAAACTGTGGATTCCGTGCCTTCGGGACTTCCGTTCGGAAAGGCCGTACCCTGCACAACCATGTTAATCAAGCGCTAATTGGACCGAGAAACAATGAGAGTTCCACTAGACAATCAATTCAGCCTGGCCCGGAACCTCAAATTGCCTGTGACTTCTACATCCCGTTATCTCTAGCGTTCCGTTATTCGAGATAGGTGATCAATTACACTAGAACGTGGGGTCGGAATGGAGATCATCATTACTACGGAACCTCAAAACCCGGGGTAACAGCTAGTCTTATCGGTATTAGATTGGAATTTGTTTGTTATCGCGTGGCATTTGAAGCTTCCGAACTAGGATTCATGCGTGATACTCAACCTCTCAGGGTAGGCATGTCCTGGGGTGCCATTCGGCAATGGGCGAAACAGCTGTGTTTGGGGATATCCGCATGGGTTGTGACACGAGACAGATATAGAGCCCTGATTCGCCTCTCAATACACGACATCATAAACTATCTTTTCATCACAACAGAGGATACACGATCTTGAATATTCCCATTCATCATCCTCAAACTTATCACCATGACCGAATCATACGATATAGTAGTGGTAGGCGCTGGTACGTCCTCACTAAACCCTATCTTTCATACCCCAAAACTAATGTCGTCCAGGATGGTTTGGCCTCGCCGCTGCAAAAGCCATCCATCAAATCCTACCCTCCGCTTCTCTCGCCATCCTCGAATCGGCTGAGTCATGCGGTGGCACATGGTCCAAGAACAGACTGTACCCAGGCCTCAAGTCAAACAACATGAAAGGAACATACGAATACCCCGACTTTCCAATGAACGTCGAGACATATGGCGTCGGGCCCAACACTCACATCCCTGGCGCAATACTCCACCGATATCTTACCGACTTTGCGAGGCATTTCGACATCTACGACAAGGTACAGTTCCATACTGCTGTTGATCTTGTGGAACGAAATGGAGACGCGGGCTGGCGTTTAACCGTCACTTCACCTTCTGGCAACCGTTTCATCAACACTGCAAAACTTGTTCTCGCGACAGGTCTGACTTCGACACCAAACATGCCCTCTTATAAAGATGCAGAATTGTTCGAAGCTCCACTATTTCACGCAAAGGAATTCTGCAAAGAGGCACCCAACCTGAAAGTCAAGAAAGCAATCGTCGTTGGTGGTGCCAAGTCCGCTTTTGACGTTGCATATGCGCTGGTCCATGATGGCGCAGAAGTCGACCTGATAGTACGCCCAACAGGCAACGGCCCTGTCTGGATCGCACCGCCTTTTGTCACACCTTTGAAGAAGCGTCTGGACCAACTTCTGAATATCCGCTGGATGACATGGTTCAGCCCTTGCCCATGGGGTGAAGCTGATGGTTACCCTGGCGTCAGAGAGCTCCTTCACGGCACTGCCTTGGGAAGACTTATCGTTAATGGGTTCTGGAAGGCTCTTAGTGGCGATGTTATTTCTGCCAATGGCTACGATTCACATCCCGAGCTACAAAAGTTGAAGCCTTGGCACTCTGCTTATTGGATCGGCAGTGGATTGAGTATCTTGAACTACGACACACCTCTGTTCGATCTTGTCAAGCAGGGTAAGATCAGGGTGCACATTGACGATATCGAGCGGCTCGAACCCAAACGAGCAATCCTTAGTTCCGGCAAGGTCATTGAAACAGATGCTATCATTTGCTCAACAGGCTGGAAGAAGGAATCGACTATCAAGTTCGCAGAAGACGAGCTCGGTCTTCCCTACTCTCCAGACAAGAAGCGTGCACTCAGCAAAGCAGCCGATGCACAAGTTCTGTCGTTGTATCCCGGTCTGAAGTCACAACCTGAACTCAACGTCAAGGCCAAGGAAGCCAACCCTCTTCGATACTACCGCTTCATGGTTCCTTCACAGATGGTGAAGACTCGCGACCTCGCCTTTTCAGGCATGATATCAACCGTCAGCACTGCGACATGTGCCACTATTCAGGGCCACTGGATTGCTGCCTTCCTGGCAGGAAAGATCCGATCTATCCCCTCCTCCGATAAGGTGATTACAGATGAAATCATGCTGCACACACAATGGGGAAAGTGGCGCTTTCCATGTGGCTACGGTGCTGATCTGCCAGATATGGTGTTTGAAGGCTTGCCCTACTGTAACATGTTGATGAAGGATCTCGGACTCAACACCCACCGCAAGGGAAGCCGTTACGCGGAACTCACGTCGCCTTATTTGCCGGCTGACTTTAAAGGCCTGGTTGAGGAGTTTATGGAGAAGGAGGAGAGCTGGGGTAAGATCCAGGGAGTAGAAGTACAAGAGGTGGCGATGAAGAAGAAGGTTTAGAGTTATGTGATAAGAGGCAAGCGATGGGTGGATGTTTGTGGGTTTAAACTTATCTGTAGTTTTGTTTCGCTATCCCTTGACCGATCACCTGTATGTATAATACCAATTTTTAAGAATCATTAATTAGGCAATCTCAAGCCTGTGACATGGTGAATCTGTAAAGTGATCTGCATATACGCATCCGCGTTGGCTATTATTGATACATGGTGTTTGATGGGATTAATGGACGTACTACTATTTACAGCTTCTAGCTGTACGTTACTCCGCCCTTTACTCCGCAATAACACCGCATTTCCAGCCGCATGGAATCAATTTACAATAATGCGACAATATGTCACTTGCCAAGATAAGCCGGGTTACCCAAGTCCCGGCCCCAGCCTGCTATCCACCTTGTCAGAGCCAAGTCTGTTAGAGCTCTGCACATATCTATATATAACTCTTTCACAAAACCTTTTATAGCAGATAAACGAAAGCAAAAGTAAACCAGATAGGGTATGAGAGAACTCAATTGTAGAGAAGAAGGCTCGGCATGTGTCGTGTCCCTCTAGAGACTTCTGTTTTGGAGTGTATCTGGGGCGAGTTAGTGGAGCTTCAACATGAAGAATCAACCTTGATGGCTACTCCATCAGAGACGACATGAAACAATTATGAGAAATAATTCAGCATTATCAGAGGTGCCTTATCTGAGGACCAGGTCCTTCTGTAATACCCCATGATCCCAGATCTGTACCGATAGGCGGTTGCAGCCCCCAACGCGGGTCTATGATGACAACAGAGCCTCTATAGATACGACGTGTACGTTATCATAGCGGCATTATATCGATTGGTTCGATTCGTGAATTTTCCAAGTCGAGAGCGCCGATCACACATGGTCTGTTTTGCATCGACACAGCACGTTTCACCCCCACAATCAGCCCCGGGCCGGGTAGTCCGGATCACAACGCATAAAATAGCGGTCGCTTTGATCTTGAAATCCACATGAGTTGCGTGTGAGCATGATGAGGATGATCATAATTGTAAACATTATTCGCTAGCACAGACACTGCCACAGTGAGACATGTTAATGGATCTACCCCTTACCTGCCTGTTCGAGAGAGTATAGTATAATAGGTAATTCGATAAATGCTACGCTGTGATACTTGGGCCGAGTACCCCGTTGGTTCTTCTACGATTGTCGGAATGATGGAAAAAGATGTCCAAGCAAAGAGCGCAGCACCGAACAGCCACCTTGATTTGGAATCCTATAAGCAGGAGCTGAGTTGATTGCAAACTGCTTCTTGTCTTGTTCTATCTTATCTACTGTAAAATAAAATAAAAACTCGATTGTAACATCGTGCGGCGAGTTAACCCTATGAAGCAAGGTATATGCTTGGCATTCTTCTTTTTAAGCTTAAACCGACAGCTCTGCCCTGACATCGACAATGCGTCTTCACACTCACTATATCTTATGTTTGAGTAACATAGTCCTTCCTAGTTCCAACATCTCTCCATGATCACTTGCCTTTGTGTTGATTTCCTACTTAGTTTACTATCTCTTGGGTTGACTGTAATAGTCACAAAAGTTGGGAAATGCCGATCGCCAAGGCCATCTCATACGCCAAGACAGTAGTAAACTGTGATAACTCGAATACATATCCTGCCAAGGGTTTCAACCAGCATTCGTATCTGTATTTGTAAGTTCTCGACAAACCCTTGATACATTTGTTGAATCGTTGGCGCAGTGCTCGGCGTTTTGGGCTTATTGTTCTTGGCTTACTCTTCCTCTCTCATTTTCTTCTTCTTACGAGGACATATCGATCATAATTCTGTTTACGTATCTTAATTTAGCCACTGTTTGTTGTTTGAATCGTTTCAGAATCCGGGATTCTTGATTTGCCTTGACATCTTGGCAATAACACTAATCTTGTTTGCGATTCGAGTCCACTATAATGGCACTCTTGTTTAAAAAAAGAATGTCCAAGATCCCATAGAAAAGAGGCTTGGCCCAGCATCCTTTTCCAAACTCGTCCTCTCCTCTACTCTATTCTGTTCTTTTCTCTTTGTAGGCTGGACCTCTGTTATTTGTTTTAATTTTACCTGTCTTTTTTTGTCTTTCCCCGTTTCTTTTGTCTAATCTAAATTGCCAAATATTCCGTCGCCAAAATGCCTGTCCTGAGTCTCAGCGAGCTGAACATTGTGCTCGGCGTGCTTGGTACGTGTCCACGATAACGCTCCTACCTGACGCCCAGCCATTATCTCCTTGGTATGCACTCTTGGCTTACATAAATCCATCTAGGCACTTTTATTCTTTTCTACGCTATCATCTCCGTCAAAATCAAGCAGGCTTGGTATCTCGGCGAAGCTTGTTAGTACACCCGACCTTCATCGTGTTATCTTGACGCCCGTCTAACATCATCCAGTACCTGCTGTCGCATTTGGAGTTGCCTTGGGCCCTATAGCTGCCCAATTCATAGAAAGTGAGAAATGGGGTTCGGCAGAACCAGGCCAGACAAGTGCCATCACTCTGGTATGTACTCAGTCATTAAATGAGACCTGACATCAGTCATGTACGTACTAACCCGGCATCACACAGGGCGTCACTCGTGTCATGATTGGTGTCCAGCTTGTCATTGCAGGCTATCAACTCCCGGAAAAGTACTGCATCAAGAGATGGAAGGAGATGGCACTGTGTCTTTTGCCCGTTATGACCGTCATGTGGCTCTGCACGTCAGCCTGTATCATGTTCACCATCCCCAATATCACATTCCTAGCTGCCCTCGTTATTGCCTCGTGCGTCACCTCCATCGATCCAATCCTTTCTCAGGAAATAGCCAAAAGTCCTTTTGCCGATAAATTTGTTCCTCGTCCTCTAAGAGAGATGATCTCGGCGGAGGCTGGTGCAAACGAAGGCTTTGGTTTCCTCTTCCTCATGCTCGCTACGTACCTGATTCGACATGCCGATGTATCCGGCGCTGGTGCTGGTGTCAGTACAGCGGCTGCTAATTCTACTGCTGAGGCAGTCCATGCTGCAACCCATGCACTGATGGCACGTAGCGATGAGGTTGGTCGTCTTGGTGGCGGTGTTTCTCATGCCCTTGAGACCTGGTTTGTCGAGACTTGGCTATATGTCTTCGCTTTGTCCATTGCCTATGGATTCATTGTTGGATATGGGGCATGCAAAGTAATCAAGCTTGGTCTCAAGCAGTACGTACCCCTGTGTCACCAAATCTCGTTTATCTGTCTACTAAACTAATCCTTCTCCAGCAAGTACATTGACGACGAGTCATACGTCCTGTTCCCCACGACCCTCGGTCTCTTCATTGTCGGCAGCTGCGGAGCCATCGGAACTGACGACCTTCTCGCCTGTTTCGTCGCTGGTTGTGCGCTCAACTGGGACGGCAACTACCTTCGCGAAACCGAAACCCGCCATGATCAAGTCAACGCCTGCATAGCAATTCTCCTCAACTTTAGTGGTTTCATGTACATCGGTGCTATCTTGCCTTGGCAGAGCTTTCATGACCCCACTGGAACTGGCATCACTCTTCCTCGCCTCTTTGGTCTCGGGTTCCTTGTTCTTGTCTTCCGTCGCCTACCAGCCATTCTTACCTATTACAATGCCATGCCTAATGTCTGCAAAAACTGGAAAGAGGCTCTCTTCATGGGGTACTTTGGCCCTATTGGTGCTGGAGCTGTCTTTTATGTTGAGCACGCACTCCAATTGTTCCCACAAGACGGCGAGGGTGATGAAGAAGAGACCAATCTGGTTCGCGCCATGGCACCTACTGTTTACTGGCTCGTACTTTTCTCCATCGTCATTCACGGCCTTTCCATTCCTGCTCTCAATCTGATCTATCACTTCACCGGTAAGGAGATGATTAAAGAAGATGCAGTCGAAGTCCATCGTGCCTCAATTCGTGTTGCTACACCCAACAATGCGATTGCTGGCGATAACGATACATTTATCGCATTTAACCGCTTCAGTCGTCAGGTGGGCTCTGAAGCCCCTCAGTTACCCGTTCAGAAGGAGCTGCACTATTGGTCGGATGATGAACAGTCTATCAATGAGGCTGACATCGAGAAAAAGAAGAGTAGATTGACTTGGGCTGACAAGGTCTAATGGATAGAAAAGAATAGAGGTGGGCCTTGTAGTCAATACAACAAGAAGCAGGGAATCACTTGCTTGGCTCTCTCTTGGACAAGGTTGGTTGATGCCATGATGCTAGTTATCCCACAATTATTATCCGATCAAATCAACATGCCAAGGTTCTACGGAAGTCCTGGGTGCATCTCCAACTTTACACACTGTGGATCCCAAGTGACAAGGCAAGATGCTATACCGGGTGCTTTACCCATTCAGGGTTCCGCAAGTCCAACTCCATGATGCGAAACAACAGGTAGATTTTTGTACCGTATCAATGGTGCTGAAGGAAAAATGGATTACTCACTACAGTAAGTGATCTTTGGACGAATAATAAATAGACTCTTACTGGTTACAGAGGTGGTTCGGCCACATTCTCACCGGTCGAGCGGAGCCGCACCTTAGCTCTTGGTGTCTACAGGGGATCATGTCATTAGAAATAAAAACCTGAAATTGCGCTGCAAGAATTTTAATCTCAATGTCATGTACTGTCTAAGGTTTCTAAGAATGGTATAAAGTAATTAAAAGACTGGCGTGAATAATATTAACATCTTTCTTGCCCCCGTCCATCCGAGATTTGTCGAGGTGAGGCAGCTATCCTAGCTGAAGGCTTTTGATTAAGTAGGACTAAACAACGAAATGTTCGTCCTTCAAGTTTCGTGTGGAGCTTGATTCGCTCTGTAAATCATCATAATCCGTACGATCACGGTTTGGCTTGGCAACCTCAATCTGTGTAGTCTGAAACGTCCTAGACACTTTGATGCCGTCTTCTGTCCGCTGTGGCAATTCAATGTTATCACCAGCTTCGATGTAAGTCTGATTACCAGCGGGAAAGACAGAAGTAGCTCTCTTATTAGTTGCCGTCTTCGCACCACTCTTTCCACCGGATCGTGAGCCAGAGTAGTCGTAGCCATTAGGGTTGCTTGCTTTGACGACCTTGGTGATGAGCTCGGCCATATTCATCTCGATGTGGAGTTTGACAAGGTATGCTAGCGGATGAAATTGGAGATAGACAATATCATTGGGAAGGGACATCATCGCTATGAGTAGAACCTATAATGTTTTAGTCAAGAGCACTGATCATTAAAGGGGCAATACTTACATCCATCGTCATCGAGATTCCAATCATGACCAGGTTCACACGGTAGAGACGAGTATACTTCGTCAAACCATTGGCAACAAGTCGTGACCGGACAAGATGAATGAAATAAAAGTTTAATCCTGCATCAACGATGAGAAAGATGCCCTTCTCCACTCTATCCCAGATAGCATTGACATTGATGAGTTCTTTACTGATTTGGAGACGGGCTGGAATCCAGATACAGAAAACACTGATATTGATGACGAGAAGGACAAGGAAGGTTGTGATCTTTAGTTTCCACGCGTTTCGACGGTTCACCATCAAAATGGAGATTCGGTTGATGATAATCTGGAGAAGTGTTTGAATCTGAAAAGCCCAAAGGAGGACTACCCCATAACGTTAGCAAGCCTTCGTCCATGACTGGATATTGACTACATACCAATGACAAAGAAGACAGGAAAACCAGGTGGTATGTATTGACGAAGGTAGCACCAGGTGATAGCACTCATAATGACACTACTCGCCCACTCCATCCACAGCAAGGCAAGGTAGACATTCGTCCTTGTCCCTCTTTTCCAAGACTGGATGGTTTGTCGCATAGCCTTGGTCCCACTGAAGATGGACACCCCCAAAGAGAATCCCCAGGCGATACTGGCAATGTTCATGTCAGTATTCCCGGGCTTGTGAAACTCATAGTCGTCTGCCAACAGTAGTCCACCCATCCTGGCTGATGCGTGCAAGGAATGATGGTATTTGTGAAGGAGGGGAAAAGAAGTTGAGGAATGCAGGGACCAGAAGAGTTTGAGAGGGAACAATGCGTTGTATATTAGAGGCAGAGAGGCACCATGAACAGGGTCCAGGGGCTTCGGGGAACATTTGCTCCTGCAGTAGAGTGATTTACGCCTAACGCTTATGCATCTGATTTCAGACCGTCGAAGATCTTTCACTAGTCATAGCGGCTCCCAGTCGTCCGGAATTCTGAGACGTCAGCTCATCTCTTTTTGGAATACCACAACAACAGAACAAGGTACCCCAGGATATTGCATGGTGGCTGAAGCATGATTCAAGCCCGGAGGAATGGAGCAGGCAGGACGCTTTGATGTTGCTTCGTTTTTGCCTGGGAAATACCAGTTCTAGTGCTTATCTTTCATGTTAGTCCGCATGAAGCCTCTCAACATTTAATGGTGATAATTCTCCTGATTACTGATAACGGCCAATACCTTTCCTCTAAACCGAGTCATTGAACAGGGTCTGGATACGATGTCATTACCAAAGATCTAGACGAACCCCAGACCCAAATATGCAACTGCGGTTCCGCATCTCTCTAGCGCTGTATCATGTTGGGATTATCAACCCAACCTGCAGAGAATATTCTCCCACAAAACAAAAAGATTCTTCAGTGGCGTCAACTAAACAAAGGGATGGCTACTCTTGTCAGTATAATATGATACTTGGCGTTGTGATGGTCACTTGCAGAAGAACATCTCATTCCCGGAAACATGGCAATGGCTTGCTCCCTTGGCGCAAGTGGCTTTCACGTGCATGGTCCAAGCTGTATGAAGCTTGACTTCGGCTCCGCGGTGGATCCCTTTCAGCCCTGAGGGGATGATCTAGTGAAGTTTATTTTCATATTCGAGGATCCCGATAGGCTGTATGAGACATTCGGTAATTTAGACATTGGAGAGTGGGAGATTCTCGAAAATCGGTCTACGGTTTCTTAAGATCCCGGGGATGAAGCGCAAATGCCCCGTTGATCGACAAGGCCGAGATGATGTTCCAGACCCTGTTTGTGTTGAGAATCAATCATGAGCCCTGCATAAGCAAATTGGATCACGTGCTATGTTAGCATCCGGTTGTGCCAGGTCTAGGTTAAATATCATTAATGGCAATCACATGGAGGCTCATCTTGGGACAGTCAAAGCATAGGGTCATCGTTAACCGTTTCTATGAAAACGCCCAGTCTCTTCCATGTTCTGTGAGTAATACCAATTCACAAACGCTTCGTTCTTGCCTAAGGATAGTCCTTCTAGTCAAAGATAACAACGTACTTCTCGAAAGGTTCAAAAATGGATCAAAAATGGATCAAAAATGGGCCTCATCTAATCTTGCTTCTTACCAACAATGCCCCCTTTCTTTAAACCAAGCCAAACTACAATAGTGACAGTAGTGCAACTAGCAAAGATGGTCCAAAAAGCGGCTCTGTAACCCTTCATCAAAGCTTCTTCGCGCGCCGTAATCCCGGAGTGCTCAGTAACAGATGCAGCGATAGCAGCAGTGATCGCCAGCCCAACGGAGTTTCCAAATTGCGCTACCTCATTGAAAACACCACCAGCAAGTGACTGCATCTCAGGGGGATAAGCGTCGGAAATGACAAGATTTGATACGGTGAAGAGAACTATTTGGGTTAGTCTTTTTCTTCAAGTTAGTCGGACTTTGCCACTTACCATCTGGGTTGACGGGTGAAAGGAACATGGCCCAAAAGGGCGCAAGCCAGTAATTCTCACCTACGTCAACAGTCGCCATAAGTGGTGCTGCCACCATTGTTACGAGAGCTGATACAACAGCCAGTGTTCTCACTTTGACCTTGGCAATGAGAATACCAGTGATGATGTTTGCTGCCACGCCCATTATGACGTGGGGGAGAAATCGGAGGGAGCTTTGCAGGGCTGAGAGACCTTCTACTTTTTGGAAGCTGTAGCAGTTAGCATTCAGACCAGCACCTTGAGATTCTGGACACTTACTAAAGGGTGGTGAAATACTCGATGCCGTTGAGTGAAGCCCAGCAGAGGAAAACAGCGATACAAACAGAAGTAAAGGATCGGTTCCTCCATAAACTGTTGGGGATGAGAGCTGGCCTTCCATGCTTGACTTGATAGTCCATCCAGAATGGGAATGCCGCTAATAAGACAATTGCTATTGTCAAAAGCGCGATATTGGCAGGATCATCAAGTCTCTTGTAAGACGAAGAGATCATGGCCAGAACATAGAGAAGCATGCCGAGTGCCACACTCATGGTCGCTGCACCAATCCAATCAATCTCATCTTTCAGTCTTGTCGTCCATTTTCTTTCCGATGCAGTGTAAACAGAAGGTAAAGACCATATGGAACCCATTGACAAACAGAAATTGATAATGGCCATCATGTAATAAGCCCATCTCCAGCCAATAGTATCGGTGAAGATACCTCCGAGAACGAGACCCATTGCATAACCCAGAGGACTGCCCATACCATTGATGGCAAAAGCGACATTCCTCCAGGGACCTTTAGGAAAGGTGTTTGCTATTAAGCTAACCGCTGTGGGAAGACACATTGAAATGGAAGCCCCGAGCAATGTTCTGAAGAGAATTATCTGGATGCCTGTCTGAGCAAGTCCAACAGCCAATGTGAAGACGACAAAGAGGAAGCTTCCAGTAACCCACATCAATTTGGCACCGACAACATCTGCAATTGCGCCAAAGATGAGTAAAAGACATCCAGCTGCTAGCGCGTATACTGCTGCGGGCCAAAGGATGAGATTCTCAGACAGGCCGACGTCTTGAGCAATTTTGGGGAGAGCAGCGATAAGAATACCTGAGCCCATGGTATTAAGAAAACTGATACCGGCAAGGGTTATGATAACGATGACTCCTCTGGTCTTGGACATACCCAGGTCGCTCGTTTGGCCTTGACTGGAGGCATTGTCATTACTATTTTCGGCAACAGGGATGTCGGGTTCAGTGTTGACTTTGGGAGATGTTTGATTGAGGTTAGCTGTTCTCAGCTTAGTCTCCTTCACTGGTTCCAGGGGAATAATTCCGCCATGGATTGACGCGGTACTTGCGATGTCGAAACTGCGATCCATCTTGTTTAATTAACGACGATTAGCTTGAGGTTAAGCAAGAGATGAGTGACGATTTATATCCCAGACTTGTTGCCTCATGTCAGATTCGACGTCATCGTTTTCAGAAGGGCGCGCTATCGACACTGTTGACATCACGTTTAATTGGTTGTATCCTGGCAAAGATACTTCACCAAGCACTTTAGTATGCAAGCATCTGGTTGCAGAAATGGCCGAAATCTGATAAGAAAAGAACAGTCTTATTTTAGATTAATAGTATCTTATCTAATCGAAGAAACAAATTTCCAGGAGATTCCAACCTCCATTACTATAAACTAGGTCTCCAAGTTCTCAAAGTGCAATTACAGATCCTTGCGCTCATGATGCACTGGCTCCGAGGTCTCAATAACAGCCTGCTTCTCACTATCGTGGTAGTTGACCTGTGCGACGTTCGCATCATCGCCATCAAAGATTCTTGCGATCTCCTCGAGGGTAGGTCCCTTGGTTTCAACGTAGAAGAAGAAGACAAAGACGAGCTCGACAGCGATCCAAACCTATTTCTCTGTTAGTCTTTGAAACATTGGAATGAAGTGATGAAGTGGGCCTTACAGTATAGAAGCACCAGAAGTTCCAGTTGTTGGGAAGGTTCTCGAGAGCGATGGGGTTGGTCTGGTTGCCGATGGTGAGGGCAACCTGGATGAAGAAGTTCATGATCATGAGACCTCGGGCACGGAGTCTGAAGGGGCAGATTTCCAGAGCATAGGCTACAATCAGACCAGACCAGGCGATGGAGTAACAGACGTCGAAGAGCCAGATAAGAGCAATCTGGGGGTATCCGAGACGCTTAATCTCTGTCTCACCAGTGGCTTCAAAGCGTGCGGCAACGATTGTCCAGGCCAAGAAGAACAACAGCATACCTAGAGAACCAATGTTAGCTACGCGGCTCCTTGAGAACGGTTATGAAAGGGGAGTCTACTTACCAACAGTGGCAGTAAGGAAGAGTGGGCGACGACCGAAGCGATCGATTCCCAATGAGCATCCAATAGCAACGAAAAGCTTGAGCATGTTCTCTCCAGCGTTCAATCCAGTCTTCTGAGCTTGATCCTTAATTCCAGCGCCCTCGTAAATAATGTTGGAGTAGTTGCTGATCAAGGCATTACCAGAGTATTGCGAGATAATACCCAAAGAGATCAAGAGCATAAGACGGTAACGGTTGCCCTTAGTTCGAATGAAGTCAAGGTAGCTACCGGTCTTCTGGGCTTGGTATTCGAGAGCAAGGGTATCCTTGATCTCAGTGTATTCGAACTGCACCGTCGCATTGTTGGAATCGCCGTTGGCGTGGTATTTCGCGAGGATGGTGAGGGCTTCCTCATGGCGCTCGTTAGCCATGAGCCAACGAGGGGATTCGGGAATCCACCAGATAAAGGTGATCTGGATGAGGGATGGGACGGCCTGGATGAGGGTGATGGTTCGCCATGACCAATCGCTGTTGATGTTGATCGTACCGAGACCGATGAAAGCGCAGACTAAAAAAAAAAATATATCAGTAGGTGCCAAAGTCGAATTCTCACATGTTTACTTACGCGTGGCTCCCAAGTTCCAGAGACAGTTGTAAATGGCGGAGACGATGGCACGGTGCTGAGGATGGCAAATCTCGGTGAGGAGGACAGGGCAGGACAGCTGAGCCAGGGAGTTTCCGAAACCGACAAGGAATCGACCGCCAAGGTACACTATCAAGTTGGTTAGTCAATGCCTGAAACATTCAATTGGAAACTTACTGCCGTAGCCGTTGGTAAATGCCGACAAGAAAGCGCCAAGGATCATGATAAGACATCCCACGACAATGGGAATCTTTCGGCCAAAGTGATCGGCCATATAGGGACTATGCCAAGCAACTATTATTAGTTTTCGCCAAGTATGTAGGTCGCCAAGACAGGAAAAACGTACGCGAAGGGGAAACTGGCGATACTGCCAATTTGGTAGATAGAATTGAGGATTCCGAGCTTGGAGCCTGTGGGGTGACCAAAGTAATCCTGCCAGTCATCCATGGCCTGGGAAGTGTTCAACATGGAGCTGGAAACTCTCAATTAGCTTCAGCCATTCGTTTTTCGAAACCATGATAGCTTACCCATCATATCCGGTCGTAGCTGAACAGACACAAAGAATTGCGGCGTAAAAGTACAGCACGCGCATTCCAGGGTCAGCCCACCATTTGACCTTGGCGAGCTGAGGCGCCTCAGCCTGAGCGACGGCGAGGTCTTGTTTGGTAACAGATGAACCGACAGCGAAAGGCATCGTGGAGTACCTTGTCGATTTCGACTATACAGTGACAGGGAGTTGCTGCGATTGAGTCCAATTCGGATAAGTCGCAATGCAATGCAAAAAGACCAAGACCGCCAAGATGGAGTGCCAAGCAGAAGATTTAAATATGATCTGCTAAGGGTCTATATTAACCTATTAACCGAGGCTCCCTGTATTTACCCCCGACAAATAAAGGTATATAGGCTAAAAGTCCTAGCCTGTTACTTTCCACCACTCCGGGTGATTTCCCTATTTCCCCATGGGGGCGGGGGGTATCTCCACTCTCGCTGCTCATTCCAGTAGAGGTAAAGTGAGAATTGTAAGATTTGACGGCCCGGACAGCCGAAACCATCTTCCTCGTGGTACAATTAGCCGAAGACACGTTCAAATGAGTCGACAGTCGAATGCCGGGTGGGTAAGCAACTCATGCAGCTTCGTCCAGACACATGGATTTCTTCCAAAAACGGTTCATTGTTCGAGTAGTTGTATGAAGAACCCTCAGAGACATCACGAGGATTACCAATGAGGGTATCCAACGGCACTAATCAAGCCTAGTTTAGTTCCAACAGAAGGTTCTTAGTGATACCCGTAAAATAACAGCCTCAATTAAGCTCGATTTTACCCAGAGCTAACGTAATACCCTTCTTATTACCTCTTCAATTTGCCTAAGAAGCCATTCCCGTCTAACTCACCTAACCCAGTGGCACAAACGGCACGCCACCCGAGGATCTTACGGTAACAATAGCCACGAGGCCACGGAGCTGAGGTTGATCGTTGCGACGAGCCAAGACATTGCTAAACTCTCGGCAAGTATCTGCCGAATGGGCCATCCATTTACCATAGAAACCCATCAAGTCCAAAAGGCCCGATGGTTCTGTCAAACTGTAAGCTGCAAGCCACAAGAGACCTGGGTAACATCAAGCTAAATCTGACTCTACTCAGATCATCTGCTCTCTGTTTAGCAAATGGCAAATGGCGGAGAGTCGGCCAGAAACTACCGGGGCTGGAGCCTCAGCCTGTATGTGCTAGCTCCATGTCAAAAATTCATGGGGCGATTTTTCACGAGTTTCCACAGTCTGTCGGAACCAATGATAATGTCTGTTGTTCATCAGACCATTTCTATTAATATTGCTGTTGGCGAAAAGGAACACATGAGCGATGTTACGATCGATGAAACCAGACTGAATGGCACGGTGCCATTCCAATGCGACAGAACATACAGTCAGCCCGACGCTTACGCGAAACGCGGTACAATATGTATATGGCTATTGCATAATGTTACCATTACTAGCCACAATGCCATTAATCTTGCCAGGAGGCTGGGAGACCATGCTCCAGGGTAATTAAGAAAGCCACTCGAGTTTCTGTCGGTAGTCTTCCAAATCGTGAACAGGAATTGGAGAAAACGTTCCAATTTATTAAAGGGATACATTCTAGTGCTGTATTTTCATTATTCCAGTTCTCTTAAAGCAATAAAACGCACCACCAGATGATAATTGACGGCCTGGAACATAATACACTACATGTGATCTGACACTCCACATGGCAGGATGTTCCCCAACGTGATGCTACCCACCTGTTGTTGTATTAACCACAAGGTAAGCTATCAAAGTCTTAGCCTGGGTTAAATTGTCGGTTATTACTACTTTTGTACTCTCCCATGGTCCCATCAACATCGCACACGTGCCTAGTGGGTGTTTCTGTCCTCATTCTTCCGTTGCCTCGAAGTCTTACTCACCCTCCATTCTTCTTTTTTCCAACCTCACACACATCTTATTCTAATCGCTGGATAAGTCTGCAATCCTTCAATTCAGTTCCACCGACGCATTTAACCCAGTAATCATACATCGTCCTGTCCTCAGACACCCACAAGAATTCTCCGTTACCACCAACCTATGAGACAGCAACACAGGACAAACTATGCCTGGTTTTATTGGAATCCCAGTATACAACTTGCATCAAACACAGACTGCTTAATTAAACTCGTTCCGTTCCCATAAGTTGGCAATGCCTCTTTTTGACAAGAATCGGTCGACAGTTCAGCGCCATGATAACACGTCCTCCAGGGCACACTAGACAAGTCATCAATACTGGAGGCAATGGCATCTTCAATTCATTTCTCTTGGTCGCTTTCGCATTTCATACCAGCCTCAAATGATCGCCGCAGATATGGTCTTCTATCAGAACTCAGTGCCAAGTCCAGGAATTCTTTACGCCCCTGTCAGTTATGCAAACACATAATCGTCGAAATTGCTGAGATCTAAATGCTCATCTGGTAACTAAGCAACAAGAGACCGTAAGAAGAGGCTGGTTCATTCCTTTTGTCTTTTGTCGTTGGTGGGTATTATCTTATTCCAGATGCCCTCTACGTCTGACCAAAAGAAGCATCGAATGATTGCAGAAGACTCAAATTTGACCAGTAAGGACAATCGGCCCCCCTCAGGGTTGGCAATCAGACGGATATGACACGTGGAGTTGACATTAGCTCGCCGATTTGCTCCTTGAATCTTGTCAACTGGCAGCTTCTGCCTCGCAATTATGTAGCAAACTTCCGCAATGGCTTTTTCCGTGAGACAATCCGACTTCTATGACATGCTCTATTCCTTCACCGACACTCGGTCATGACGTTGATGATAGCGTGGCTTACACAAACAATGAAACGAGGTGAATCCGATATCTGAGAAACCGGAGCATGGTCTCCGCCGATCTGACATCTCAACGTATTGCGATCTAAGTCTAACCAGTTATAGGCCTAGGTCTGCTAATGGCATGCGGAGATGGCACTAGGTCTGCGACGATCGATGGTACCTGAGCGTTAATTTTCAGGGCCGTTCAAGGCTGGGAAATTAACAAAAGCAAAAGTCAATGACCACTGTAACCGCATCATATCCGTCGACAATAAGAACCAACACCACGATCGATTCGATTCATGACGTCGAGATGTTGATTTTCGAGTGAGACAAGAGCAGATCTGTTGATTGCCCGTTGCAGTCTTTGTGCTCACGCGTACCGCGACTTGAATCGTGACGTCAATGAATTTATGCAATCAGCAATCACGTATGAGAGTTGATGAGCAGAATTGTGTACAAAAGGACGTCTTTTTCGCTGATAGTTGTGATTCTAACTCATCATCTCACTCACATTCTCATCAATCCACTACTACTACTACAGCAACTATCAACTTCAAATCACCTTCCACAACTTCCAAACATCATCATGTCTGACTACAAGCCCACTGGTACGATACCCTCGCAATTCCTCCATCAATCACTCTTTACTAACACCTATGCCAGAGCACGACGGTCTCCGCAAGGATGGCCAGCCCGACGGCCGCGTCGGCACCGGCGAGTTCGCTCACGGCAAGGTTGACCCCCATGAGGCTGGTGCTCAGGGAGGCAAGACCTCTGACAGCGGCAGCAGCGGAGGACTCGAGAGCACCAGTGACGACAGTGGTGACTACAAGCCCACTGAGCACGATGGTCTTCGCAAGGATGGAAAGCCTGATGGACGTGTTAAGGGCAACTAGACACACATGTCTTGACGAAGCGTTTAACGAAGCGTTATATGCCTAGCATTGAATGAGAATTGTTAACAACCGAACTCGATCTAAAAATGTGAAATCTGTACTCTTAAATGTCTCGTAATGGCATCGCTTTCTAATCTTTATAAGTTATGTAATGTAACGTCTTGGAGTTGACGGTTGTACCTACAGACACAGGCGCAGTGCGATCTCCACATGGCTTATCCAATATCGCTCAAGCCTCAGTGAATGTGTATAACAGAATCCAGAAACGATTCCAAAGGGGGCCTTAAATTCAACCTAGGAATACAATCCTCATACGCCGCATCACAATTCAAGGTACCCTGTCTACCTGCAGGATGACCTATATAAAGGCTTACATTCCTCTAGGTGTACACACTCAGCCTGAACCTGATAGATCTCTAAGTTACTCTCAGCAACTTAGTGCTTCACTTCAATCAAATTCAATTAGTCTTACTCATCGTCTTAAGCTGAGAAATCTACAGTATCCACATAGCCTATACCTTGGGCACCGATACAACCAAACCCTATCATAAAATACAAGTTCCCAGAGTCAATTTGGTCTTGCGTGTAAGTGCATGTTGTAGAAACATACGTCCAATCGTCTGTCTTTGCAGTGATATCAAAAATCCCAGGTTCCGCCCAATTGTTATTTTGGTATGAGCATATCAGCAAAGCATAAGGGCAGTACAGGTTTGCGTTAACCCAAGCAGACATGGTATACGTAACACCAGCAGTGATGGAACCCCGGAGCGGCTGCCTAATATAGTCTTGTACGATTCCCTGTCCTTTGTTGATGCGAGCAGAATTGGGTCCATCATGTTTGACGTCAGTGTCGATGGATACAGTATCCTCGCCGATGTAGAGTTCCCAGGGCGCAAGAGATGAAGATTCATCGTCGAACCCAGTATTGCTGATGAAGGGTATGGTCGACGGTGCTGCCGATGTAGTCGACACGGCGGTAACGGTAGCAGCTTCAGTCGTGGCGATCTCGGACGTTATGCCTTCGGTGATCGACAGGGCGGTGGTGGATGTTTCCTCGGGGCGCAGAGATGTCTCTATGCTTATAGACTTCGTGATGATGACGCTTGACTCTTCATATGAGAGGTAAGTGGAGGAGGTTGCGACGGTAGTTGTTTCGGCGGAGCTGAATCCAGTTGTGGAGCCGATTGTAGTCGAGATATCACTCGTGATGAAGCCTTCGGTGATCCTGGAGTCAGGCTTACATGGGCCAGCTTGGGAGACAGCCGCCAAATAAGCTGTTATAAAAGCGACAATATATGTCTGTGGAACCACCCTGAGCGAGTACATTGAATGAATGAGGGTGAGTGCGTGATAAATAGAAATAGACCAAGACGGTATGTAAGTAGAAACTGGCAAGAATTGAAAACAAAAGGCTCAGTCGCTTCAAAAAGGGGTCTATTGAGTCTTGTTGTTTTTTCTTCGATCTTGGTGCACGCTAACCTCAGTTGTGGAATCAATAGTATATACTATATTAAGTGTAGCGTGATGGTCGACTCAACTTAGACCTAAGATTTCAGTCTGGATGCATGCTGGCCTCAGTTGTAAAATTGACGGTATACACTATATCTGGCTTAGTGAAATTACAAGCTCAACTTAATCTCTTAGCGTGCTGCACGAGCCAAGTCATTCTCTACCTCTTCCATGACATCCCACGCGTAGAAAAAGTCTCTGATCGGCTTCGTGTAGTTCATAGCCTCTGGAGGGAAAATTCCTTCTCCCCAAATGTCCTCAGCTTGCTTCCGCAGTACACTAGATATCCCAGGTTGAGCATCCGACAGAAGCTGTGTGACATGGATCCGGCGCTTCAAAATGCCATTATATAAGCCTAGACGCTCCGGAACTTGTTCTGGGTTTTCCACGTCTTTGAAGAGAACTCCTAATGCTGCTGCTTCCTCAATCGCAAGAACTGCACCTTGGGCTGTGCTTTTTGTTAGTAATGTGATGCTCTGAGAAAGATTTAACGTACCATGCGTTGGTTGGATGGGATGTGCAGCATCGCCAATTATAACCGCCCTCTGCCGAGTATACGTGTCAAGAGGCTCCCTCCGAAATAACTTGTGAACAGAAACACTTGTCGACAAACCAAACAACTTAGCTACCAGTGGATTATAACCCCCTACCATGGATATGATATCTTGCACGTTGGTACCAGTGTTCCAGTCGAGTGCATGCTCGTTCTCCGCCTTTGTCTTGTGTCGAAACGCAACGTTGAGCATTTTCCCATCTCGGCATGGATAGGTAACAAGGAATGTTCCGGTTGATAAATCAAAGGGGACCCAGAATCCTGGATCTTGGTCTTTAAATATGGCTGCGAGGTCTGGGTATTTGTTTACTTCGGAGAAGGGAATCAGACAGCGGTAGAAAGAGGAGCCGATATCTTCAAGAGGTACGTCTTTTTGCGTAATCTCGTTGATGAGCTTAGTCTTGGAACAAGATTAGTTGGCTGAACCTGGAATGTCCTAGGTATACTTACTCGAACTCCGTCGGCCACTACAACGACGTCTTTCTCAAAAGTTTCCCCGTTATCCAAAAATATCGTTCCGCCCTCACAATCAAGGCTGGTAACAGAACGACCATTGTTGATGATAACCGGCGAACCCGGATATAACTCATCAGTCGATGACGCCATTTCCTTCAGTTCAGTATGAAGGTCCACACGATGAAAGAACATGAAGGGCGCGCCATAATCATCTTCAACCTGACTGAAGTTTTCGACGATCGCATCTTTAAGTGTGTTCGGATCTACCATACGCATTTGCTTACTCTGTACACCCTGAGCTGTTTTGGGATCAAAACCAAAACGACGAATGACGCGCATTCCATTTGGAGTGATGGTGATAGCAGCACCTATCTCATCCTTGAAGTTGGATCTCTCGAATATCTACACGATATCAGGTGAGCTCAATCGTTGGATGTTTCTTATACTGACCTCAACTTGGGCTCCCGTTCGTCGAAGTGCAATGGCGGCACTGAGCCCACCGATGCCTGCACCAATGATTCCAACCTTCAAAGTCATTGCTAAGTTAATGGTAAGTCGAGCGTTGCTGACGGATTTTGGCAGTGGCACAGTGTCTTATTAAAAAGTTGCTACGCCTTACAGATCAGCAGCGTAAGCCCTGCCTACGGAAGGCTAATGCCGGGATTGGGCGCTTAGATATCAATTCAAATCGTATGTTGATCGTCAATGACGCAATTTGTAATACGCCGCATGCTCTATACGCCCACTATCCGCTAGCTGGCATTAGTGAGATGCAAGGGCTTACTACTGATTCTTCGCCTGTTCCGTCCTAATTGTCCAAAACCTTTCCTACTCCATCATGAAGTCGGAGAAAAGAGGGGTTAATCCTTGTTTCTTACTCAGTCTTATTAGCAGATACATTTCGAAAATCGAGAGTAAGCCGGGCTTGCATTAGCTTTTTCATTGACGAATAAGAAATGGTTCTCAGCTGTCAGCGTAATATCTGCTTCCGCGGTGATTGGTTTATCAATCCATTGGGAGAAACATGCATACGCAATAGCTCGTTACAGCCTCAAATTATTGTGAAGTAAACATGCTTGGCGAGGCGGTAGCTTGGAATATAAATTGGACAGAAGCCACCTCTAGTGTACTCTACTTGTTCCCTCCACAGAAACCCTATTCACGATGACTGTGACAACGTCTCTGTTTTCGGAGCTGAAAGCTCACCTCGCGGACACCAAAACCAAGACTTATGCACCTGATGCACCAGACTTTAAGCAAATTGAGCAATGTTTTGTTGAGAAACCTGTCCAAACTCTTGGTGTGGTCAGACCTCAGAACGGGGATGAAGTCGCATCAGTGGTCCGTTTCTGTTTAGAACGTAACGTCGAGTTTACTATACGTGGAGGAGGCCATGATTGCGCTAGTCGAACATTGGTCGATGGGGCACTGGTTGTAGACATGCGAGATATCAAACACGTCGTCGTGGCTCAAGACCAGAAAAGCGCAAGAGTTGGTGGGGGTATTCTCAGTGGTGACTTGGCCAAGGCTTTGGGCAAGGATAAGTTGGCGGCGCCCACGTAAGTGCTATGGCCCAAACTTCCTGGAACCTTAATGCTTATATCATTTAAGCGGCACAGTTGCAAGTGTAGGATACACCGGATGGGCGACTCTTGGTGGCTATGGCCCCTTGACATCGCATTATGGTCTCGGCGTTGACCAGATCATCGGGGCCAAGATCGTAAACGCTCATGGAGAATACGAGGATGCGAACGAAGAACTGCTTGTTGGTATCCGAGGCGGTGGCGGATCACTCGGCATAATCGTTGAACTGTCCGTCAAAGTTTATCCCATTGACAAGGTGAGTATCGTAACCCTCATGCCAGCCTCTCGCTTACCTCGGAAGATTCTCTCATCTACTATCGTCTACGACTCAACCGACCTATCCGCCGCTCTTGCCTCCTACACCCAACACTATGAAAGACTCCTCGAGTCAGAACAGCTCCCCGTGTACCTTCAGCTCCAGCCCATGATTGCCCAAATGCCAGGCCAGCCTGCAGGTCTGATGATCATCGCGACTTGGCACGGCGAAGACAAAGACGAAGGCCGCTCTTGGATCAAAAACATCGCCGGAGCAGCGACCTGCATTATGGAAAACACGCAGGAGATCTCACTCGCGGAAATGCTTGAGAATAATGAAAAGCTCGTAACGTGGCCATCTTACGGTCGAGTCTATACCCTTAACGTTAAGAGAATGACAGAGGATGCCGTTAAAATTGTTGGAAAGCATTGTATCAATGCTCCAGGCGGAAGTCTCATCTTCTCGTATCATACACTGCTCTCAGGACAAGAGCCAGAACAGAAGTCTGTTTTTGGAACACGGGCACGCCATCATATGCTTGAGATCTACGCTATTCTTGTAGACAAGGGTATCGCAGAAGAGCGGGTTCAGTGGGCTGCCGAGGTCAAGGCTAATCTTCAGGCAGAAGACGCTGATAATATTCTGGAGGGTTCGTACATCTCTCTCGGGTCTCATGAAGATGTTGATGTCAAAAAGATATATGGGAAACATTATGATACGCTGGCGGCGTTAAAGAGGAAGTATGATCCTGGAAATGTATTCAAGCATAGCGTACCGAGACTCGTGCTTGCTGGGGAGGAGAACGAGATCGTTGAAGCTTGAGTCCAGCGAGGCATATTGGGTTGTGTCTCTCCTCTCATTCACTACATTTGATACTTGTTGTCGATATGTACTGTGGAACTAGCAGCGATCAAGGATTATCGTGGAGTGATGTAACATACGCCCACCAATAAGCAAGAACACTTAGGCGTTGTAGAAGCGGGGGGATGCATGATTATACTGAGGTAATTATAGGCTCTCAGCCATACAACCCATTAAACATCTCATAAATGGAAAACAAAAACACTCAAGACCTGAACGATGGCAAACGCACCTGATGTCTTCTATGAAACTCCAGGCTGGGTGACCAGTTGCGAAACTTGCAAGGCTGTATGGCAACGACTGACGAGTGGCGATACATTTAAGCACACAATCAACCTTGGAAGTTACAAGGATGCACTCCCTGCACAATGTCCTCATTTCAAACCGATAGTGGAAGCACTCTACGAATACAGTAAAGACGAAAACGGAAATGCTATGTCCAGAGAGGTTCGGATCGAATTCGGTACCCAAGGATACACTATCGATCTTGATGAGACTGTCGATCATTGTGGATACCGCTGGACTCTTGCTCTAGTTGAGGAAGATTCTGCCCCTCATCATCCTGGTATTGCCCGAATACTGAACCCCGAGTGGGCGGATCTGTCTGTTTTGAATACATGGAAGGACAATTGCCTATCGACTCATGGCGCTTTGTGTCACAATCCCCTCAGGATATGGCATACACGACCTGCTTGGCTAATTGATGTTAAACTAAAATGCCTCGTTCCAGGGAACGTTCAGAGGAACTACGTTGCCCTAAGTTACACTTATGGAAATCATATAGGTCGTCCAGTTGATGCCAGCGTTCTCGCCATGCTTCAAGAACCAGATGCTCTAGAAAGCCCTACCCTCTCAGGATATGTTTCCCCCATTATACGAAACGCCATTTTCTTGACCGCGGCCATTGGGGAAAGCTATCTCTGGGCAGATGCAATATGTATTACCTACGAAGATCGAGAATCAACTGCTCAGCAACTGACATTAATGGGTGCCATCTACGCCAACGCAACCGTCACGATCATAGCAGCTGATGGTGATTCCCTCACCGGCCTGGCAGGTATCAAGGGTCTCTCAGCTGCACGGCAACTCAAACAGGGCATCATTCCGTTTGGTGACCAAAATCTGCTGAGAAAAGACAACTTTGGGCTGGAAGCTGAATATTGGCTACCTTACTACGAAAGAGGCTGGGTATACCAGGAAATGAGGATGTCCGCTCGAAAGATAGTCTTTCACGGTCAGCAGCTACACTGGATGTGTCAATGTGCTGTCTGGCATGAAGAATCGGCACAGAAACGCCAAATTGAAAAGGGCCCATACAGTCTGGTAACAATAGACTCATCCATGAGGATTCTCTTTTCTGGGTTCTTTGACTGGTCTATATTCAGCCTGCTTGTATCACGGTACAACGACATGACATTTCGATACGATGAGGATGCTCTCCCTGCAATATCAGGATTCTTTTCTGTTCTCAGTCGACGCTTTAAAGGTGGCTTCTTGTACGGAATACCAGAAATGATGTTTGAGCGTGGACTTGGTTGGAAACCGTGGCTTGACTCCATAAACCTTGAAAGACGCATTCAATCATCCAGGCCTCAGGAAATCCAGCTCAAACCTTCTGGTCTTCCTTCCTGGTCATGGATAGGGTGGAGCGGCAGTGTGGATCCAGGATATAATGAAGCAACATTGCTGGCAAGAGGTTATGATGAACTAGAAGAAACAACGCCCATCACTGAATGGTACACTAGCCACTCGCCAACAGATCCGCCTCAGCTGCGGCGAAGGATAAGGTCAACATGGTATGAGGACCGGAACAGCTACAAGGACTTTACCAAGCCGCTACTGCCAGGATGGACACGCCACAGAGCTCCAGACAAGTCAACGTGGAATGACGGGCCTCATTTGTTCCCAGATGGATGCAATGAATACGTTTTTAGACATGAGGATATGCCAGTTGATGAGTCGGATGTGGAGGAAGGACAGGCATGGTATTATCCTTTTCCTGTTATTGAGGTGACTGAATCAACATTGCCCGATATGCCTGAGCAGACAGATTATCTGTTTTGTGAGACGAAGAAGGCTCAACTACAGGGGATTCAAAAAAGGGGAGAACGGAAAGATGCCTTGCTCTATAATAACCAGGAACAGGAGGTTGGGTTCCTCAATTTAGTCAACGATGACTACGTGGCTCGCTTCCCTAAGACAAGGACTGATGGAGAGGGAGGTCTTCAGGTAGATCTGGTGGCTGTATGTAAAGTTAGGACATACGGCAGGACTCAGGATGAAGTCACCGAGATCTGGGACAAGACGTTAACCACGAAGGATACGTATCTGGTTTTATGGGTGGAGTGGATAGGTGGGATTGCATATCGTCTTGCTAGTGGACATGTACAGGTCGACAAGTGGGATGAGTTGGATTTGGAATCTATCTCTTTGATTCTAGGATAGTGTGGATAGAGTACTTTGCATTTCTTATAATGTTGGGGCAGAATTTCACTGCAAGGTCACGGGCTTTAAGGCAGATTTATATGTGCATGAATTTCCATTGAGAATGAATGACTTCATTTCGGCTTCGTAGTAAGAATTTACAATCAGAATCAACTATATACAAGTGAATGAGGGTCATAGGTAAAACACCATATACCACCCATGTGCAAAAGCAAAGACCGGTGGCCACACTCATGATCCACACGAGTGTAAGCCGCCAGAAGAAAGGTAAGTCAACCCGTGCTCACAAAGCACTGCTCATGACAAGAGCCCAGCGATTTATCGCTTGAGGGTCAAAACACCAGGGCGGTATGGCCAGCTGTCGTAGTCGGGAGCTGTGGCACTGGGGTTGCGGCCCTGGTACAGCAGCTTCAGGTTGCAAGGGTCGACGGGGAAGGTCTCATCGTTGTCGGTACGGACAAGCTCACCGTGGCTGATGTCGTTGGTCCAGGTAGCTCCAGAGTTGGCCTTGCCGGCGAAGGGGTTGGACTCGCTGGCAGCGTTGGGAGTCCACTGGCCATCGAGGGTGTTGGCAGTGAAAGAACGGAAATAGCGGCCGTTCTTGCCCTTGGCCTCAACAAGCATGAGGTACTTGTTCAGTCCCTTGAGGGAGTAGACCTGGACGGCCTCGAAGAGGTTATCCTCGGTGTCGCTCATGATGATCTGAGAGTTGGCGCCGAAGCTACCAGGGAAGTTGCCTTTGGGCATGCTGGAACGGTAGATCCTGCCGTTGTCTCCAGCGAAAAACAGGTACATGTTCTTGCTGTCACCGATGACAGTCTGGTCGATAGGGCCAAACGGAGCATTGGCGATTTCGCCAGTGAAGAGAGCCTGGGGCTGCGACCAGCCATTGGCGTTAGTGGGGTTGTTGGAAGTTCGGTAAGAGAACTTGTGAGGACCCCACTGGTGAGCCAAGATCCAGATACCCTTGGGCTTGAAGTAGAAGAGGGTAGGAGCAACAGCGGTGCCACTAGTCATCTCAGTCTGAGTAGCAGAGCCGAGCTGGCTGAGGTCGGAGACGGGGCTGAAGCCAACGGACTTCCAGGAGGTGCTGAAGGCAGTGGCGTAGACGAGCTGCTGACCGTTGTAGGGAGCAACAGTGAAGTCCTTCAAGTTCTTGAAGGGGGACTTGGGCTGAGCAACAGGACCGCTTGATGTCCATTTGTAGCTGGTGGGTAGGGCACACTGGGCTGAGACATCGCCAACAGCGGCGAGCAATAGCAGAGTGCTGGCGAGGATGTCGTTGTTGAGGAACTTCATCTTGAAGGTGTTGGAGCTGATGAGGAAAGAAAATCCAAGACTTTTGGCGGACGATCACTAGATTATATATATGTAAATCCTCAGACCCATCTCAAAGTATAACCCTTCATCTCCATTGGTTTGCCCCTTCCATCAACGACCTCACTTGGATATTGGAGGAGAAACTAGGTCTCCACTGAATACAACCCCATGTTTTGTCCTTTTTGCCGTGCTCTACTAGTGTAGTATCGTACTTAGACCAGGGACGGGTGTTCCTTGGTCTAGATCATAGCAAAATATCCAAACAAGGATGGCATTGCTCACATCCTGCTTTCTTCCCTTTGCAGGACCACGGAGGCGGATCCGAGCTTGCGATATGAGGCTAGCGTCATCGGGTCACTGAGTTGATCAAATACCTCGATGTTACGCTAATTTCGGCCGGACAGACAAGTATCCCTGTTAGACAGTGACTTTGACTCCCACGGGTAGTATTGACGGGAAGACTCTTATTCAATGATCAACGTTGAATCGTTACAAGATATCTTGATAGTATTCAAAGATATTGGAGTTGTAAGTCGAATCAGTCCTGGATCGTGTGTAGACGTCACCAAGCAGTGGAAATGTTTCTCGCTTCGATAAACAAACATGCCAAGCCTGAATCATAGACAGTTTCATCTTGGCTGTGTCCCGTTTCAGCCTCCACTCTTTTCGGTCCATCTCTTCTGGCTCGCTCAACGGAAGAAAATACGAGAGTCAAAGCCATGATCAGCTCACAGCCTGACCACCACATGACTATCTTCTCAGGCTATTTGACATTATTGAGCTTGGGCGCACCAATGGTCGTCTCTGTTACACGTAGCTCAACTGAATCATAGACATACAAATATCCAAAAATCAAACAGATTGGCGCGCCTGTAAAAGCAACATGCGCCGTGTCAGCGATATACAGATTGTCTAACCCGTCCTAGTCCACCCGGAAATGGAAAACAAATCGCCTCCTTATCTCCAAGTAGGCAATAAAGGCGGCGCAATTGCCGTCGGTACTGCAATTGGGAAGCCTACAGCCTCTCAAGCACCCCAGATTCGAAGCTGCAGTACCTTTGAACCGTCCCCCGGAAAGTGAGGCCTCATTAGGCTAAAGATGGAGCAGAGCGATTGGTTGAGTCGCTCAGCCCGTGCTTTGTCAGTTGTTACGGGACTTTACAATCTTGTTTTGGGAATAGTCAAGTCTCGATTGTTTCAAAAGACGGCATTATTCCGCCTATCAGAGAGACGACTTATATGATTATGGGGGCTTTTATCCAGATCGATACAAGCGGGCGAATTAGAGAAATTAAAACAGATCGGATTATACCAGTTCCAGAAGGCAAACAAAGAAGGCGAGTTCAGATGAATTGTTTTAATTGCCAAGTGTTTTGCCTGCCAAGAAGAGGGGTCATGAGTGAAGTCATGAAATTGACTGTTTACAGTAGTTTTGACATGTATGGCGGTGTAGTCTGTGTACTTTGTAATTATCCAAGCGGTCTAACAGTAAAAAAAGGTCCGTGATACTCTTAGAGTTTAATACCCGTGGAAAGTCTCCTATTGTTGGAAAAAAAGAAAGAGAAAAAAAAAGAGAAATAGGGGCAGTTCAATGCGTTCAACATGATGCGTTTAACTTGCTTCAACCTGCTCAAGTCCACGGAACTCGGCATATGGCATGTTTTGTGTAGAATGTCGATGGAAGAAGTGGGTAGACTGTAGTCTGACAATCTGACAAGTCTCTATCAACGTCACCCTTGAAACAAGTGGTAATTATATTAGGCGAGATGTGATCAAAGCAAAGACCTTGTCTAAGAGTTGGTACTAGCAAGGTGTTTATCTAGTCGATAGACCGATAAGATAAGAGTTCCGATAAGATTGCATCATGAACTCACCCTACACCGGAAGCAAAATGCAGTTTTCTCAATGAAATAAAGGAGTATATCAAGTTTCTAGACCAATTTCATGATTTTAAATTGTTAGTTGGACTGTATTTACTTTTATTATAACGACATACTTGTATCCTCATCGTTGTTACTTGAACATTGTTGGTTCTCTATATTCTCATAACTGTCCAACATGATCTGTGTAGTAAATGGATAAGAAATTGAACAATAGAACAACAATTCCCCCACTCGTTAATGGCAAATAATGTTCGAGAATATTCTAAAAATACATTCTATTCCACTTTCAGGCTAGAATACTTTACATCTATCCTACTCCCTTTTATGCACCCACTTTATGATCTTTCTCCCAATTCTCATTCTCTATCCTAATACTCCTCTGCCCCCATTTAATCGTGACCCATGCCCCAATTGCGCCCCAAACACTCGGAACAGCCCATCCTAGCGTGTACGCGATTTCGACTGGCAAAGTCCACGCCAGCGCAATAAGCGCAATACTCAAAAGCGACCCTGTAATGGCCCAACCCCAGAGCATCTCAACCAACATCCGTCGGAATCGAGGTGACGCGTTGTACCTTTTCAGCGCTGCCTCGCGGTATTCCTTACCACCACCGCCGTCGCATGCTGTGATATCTTCCATGATGCAGAACGTCAAAGGCGGGTAGACTTGGCCTACGACGTGAGAGCTGAGACGATGATGGCGAAGATGCCAGCCAAAGTGATGCGCGATGCCAGTCCACATCATGTATATCGTCACCATGAGGATACCGACCGGCATGATGATACTCAGTCCTCTCATTATCGGTGGATCAGGAATACTGAAGCCGATCATGAGCGCCGTCATGACAAAGTAGGGCTGTCCGAGGACGAGATGCACCGTATCAAAGTTCCAACGTCCTGCCCCAAATAGCGGCCGATATGTATCCTTCTTCAACGCCAGCCTCAATCCTCTTAGTCCATACTCGCCGCCCGAGATGAAGCCAAACATGGCCGTGATGATGGCGAACATAGCGCCGGGTCGCATGTCGGTCAAGTTGGCTATGCAAAAGTAAAAGATGATGGGGATGAGCGTGCACTCTGTGAGGATGAGCATCCAGAACAGGAAGATCATGAGTTTATGTTCTCGAAGGTTGTACGGCAGCGGCGGAGGACCTCGAACGACGGCGACATCGTCGTCTGGTGGTTCGGCCTCGTGCTTGGGAGGCATTGAAGGTGAAGTAGGTGCAGAAGATAAAGTGACATTCTCTGCTGTGGAAGAGGTATTGTTATGTATATTTGTAGTATTTGAAGCCATTGTGAAGACTTGTGGGAGACTTGCATAAGCTTAAAAATAAGCTTAATTAGTACAACAACATGGAGGAGAGGAAAAAAGGAAACCCAGTTAACTAAAACAACTGGCGCTGGTGCAGTTTTATTCCAGCTGATACTCGTTCATTCTCTTAGTAGAAAACGTACGTCAGTGGCGAGACGGGTATGCAATTATGTCAACAAGCAGGACGCAGATTGGGGGCTGATCCGCGCGAGTGATGATGCTATTTTTGCTTGGCGGCGATGCAGGATAAGCGTATGCCAAGCGAGTTCAAACAGGATTAGGTGGTCTTGGTATCTAGACTTTTGTCGCCGGTTCGGGTATTATTCAGGACAAAAGAGTTTAAAACCGAGTGATGGGTCATGCATTGCACGTCGCAGAAGAAAGGATTCGACACGCGAAGAATTGACGACCATCGTCATTCTTGTCATGGTTGTTATAAGAGTGCTCAGCCCCGATGTAACTTGAGTGACAGAACGGTGCATATTGAACAAAGCCAAGACCTTTAACCCCAGCCAGACATCGACGATCAGCATAATCCTGTGGTAGTCATGGACGTAAATCTCCGGGCTCGTCTTACGTAGACACCTCGCTTAACATCTGGTTGAAGTGAAGTGACATCGAGGTACGAGGATCTCTTTAGGACCTAAAGGTGTATATTTTAGTACAAGACCCTGATGCAGGCAAAGCCTCGGCCTAGGCATAGGTCTTCTTCCTTCTAAGGCTCTTGCTTTTGCATTTTCCAATTATCGTAGAGGGGGAATTGAACTTATACCCTCCGAGGGCTGGGGCTACAGCCGGCTTGCCTTCTGCGGCCTCCTTAAGCTGAGGGCAACCTAATCTATTGCCCTTGAGGCTCTAGACTATAGTTACTTATTTCTCGAGGTGCAGCCTTTCCCCCAGTGGCTTATAGGGCATCTTCCACTAACCTTATTTTAGTGTCTTTTTCGCTAGCTAATGGCGCGCCGAACTTTACGTTTTGACCAATTAGGTGCTAATGCCAGGAGGAGATTGGCCTCATTATAGAGAGGCAAAGCCGGAAAGAACTTCCATATACACTTCGTGATGAATTGCCTTCTTGGTTGGCTTTGCCTAATTACTATCGTTTAGACAGGACATCTGTGTTCATCTAACTCTTCTGCAGCTCAGTATTATCCTCCCACAACAATCAGTATGAATTGTTTATCGAAGACGAGGTGAATTGTTTCCCGTGCTTCCTGTGCTGCTCCTCTCGTCCTTGCAAGGTAAGCGCTCATACTCGCGCTTCCCAGAAACCAAATCACCAAATCCATCATCATCTCTCGTGCCCATTCACTTTCCCTGGTGAGCTTTCAACACCTCATAGCTTTGAGGGTATTCTGCATCTCGAGAGAGTCCTTCTTACTCATTGCCTCCATATCCTCCTTGTTCTCTTGCTGAATTTCGCCGAACTCATCAAAGTCATCTTCTGGACACGGCATGTAGCTACCTTCATAGTCCATGTCAAACATGCTGTAGGCAACAACGTTGGACAGATCGGCGATTACCAGAGCACGCGCCATACTTTGATTGTCCTCTTGCATAATGATTCGCAAGGAGGCAGGCTCTATTTTTTATTATGATGTAAACATCCAAGGTTCTCATAATGAAAGCAATACCGCCGCTTGCATATAAGCACAAACTCCCTTCTGTTAGCCAGTAATGTTGGCGCAATTGGGAAAGCAGGCTCATTAGCGAAACGAAGCGCTTCAGTGGTCTAAACTGGCAGTTTATGTACTTCTTTAGCACTATATCAGCCTCAGACTGTGATTGAGGCCAACTGCCTGAAGCTGAAGAAACGAAATTAGTAGATCAGTTCATGCTTTTTAAACGTGATTCATGTTATTTATTTTTATACTCTAAAGCACTAAAGCTAAATCCCTGTTCAATTATATGCTAAACACCAAATCGTTACTGCCATGAAAACGCCCCCAGAGAACGTTCATACAAGGTTCGTTCACTCAAAACTCCTGATCCGAATCTCCGCCGAACCAATTCAATCTATATCATTAAGTCAGGAAAGTACCTTTTAAGACTCCCGTCCAACATCTTGATTCCAACCGGCTTCACCAGATAGTTATCCGCCCCCGCCGCACTCGCCGCTTCGCGGTCCTTCTGGCTATCCTGCCCAGTAACGATGAACAGCACCGACGTTTTGTTGCCCTTCTTCTCCAGCGAGCGGATTTGTTGAGTAGCGCTAATTCCGTCACAAATTGGCATTTGGAGATCCATCAGGATGAGGTCGAAGGGAGGATCTGATGAGGAGGATTGTTGTTGAATAACCAGGTCGACCGCTTGCTGTCCGTCTATGGCGCTGCGGTAAGGGAGGCCACGTTTTTTGCAGTACATTTCGAGGATGCGGAGGTTGACGGCGTTGTCGTCGACAAGGAGGGTCATGGGCTTGGAGGTGTTTGGGAGGGTTCGGATGGGGAGATCAAGAGGTGTCGTCTTTTCAGCCCCGACTACTGCTGGGAGTGAGTCACCGGAGGTTAAGGGTGGCCCTTCAATTGGAGCTTGTGGCGGCGGTGAGCCGTTGTTGGAGGGAGTGGTGTTGGAGCCATAGCCTTCGTCTATAGAGCTGCAGCCTCTTGGTGATGGCCGACCAGGTAAAATGCCCTGGCCGTCTTTTGTAAGAGAAGGCGACGCCGAGGGAAGAGGGTTTGTTATTGACATGCGCGCCGTCGCGTACAACTCGTCAGCTTTTTTAAGGGCGTCATCAAGCGACGAGGTGCAAAAGGGCCCTTTGACAAAGACAATACCTGGCGTTGATTGGGAAGTCTCTATGTCTTCTAAATCCGGGACGGGGCAGATTGCAACTTGGCCTTCCGGCAACATGGTGTGATAATTCCGTCGCTGATCCGGATCACGAATGTAATCCATGACAATTAGACAATCGGTCGAGTCGTTTGACTGAACGAAACCATTGCAGGTGAGGTACTTCGATATGTGCGAATTGAGGTGTTTCTCGGGGAAGTCTGACGTCAAGTGATGGAAACTCAGTGGTAAATGCCTAAGTTGAGAAGCCATCGTAAGAGACGGCGTGGGTGACATTATAGGACGGATGCCACCAAATGTGCACCTGAAATGAGACCCGCGATCAATTACAGACGAGACCAGCTCAACCGAGCCATGAAGCAAAGCCGAGAACTTGGAAGCCAGCGTCAAGCCCAAGCCAGGGCCCGTCGAGTGTTCGCCCACCTTCTCGTACAGTTGGAAGATGCGGCCTTGGTCATTTTCATCTATGCCGCATCCCGTGTCTTGGACATCAACCACGAGCGTTTTGGTATCTTGTGTGTAGGATATCGTGACCGTGATCACACCTTCAAATGTATTTTGTATGGCGTTGACGATCAGAGGCAGGACACTGTCGTGGAAAAGTTCGAGATCGATGTGTAGACTTTGGCCTCCGAGGGGCAGATCGTGGTGGAAGAAGATGGGTGCTCGTGTGCTCGTGCCTCGAAGGGTGACATCCGACGAACCCTTGACTAATACGTCTTCGAGTTCTTGAATGCTGTGCGTGGCATATTTACGCTCGGCGGAAGCGATGTCGGCCCATCGATTGAGCGTAATCATGCTGTTGACAGTCGACATGAGTTCGCGGCCTGCAGTTGAGATGGTATCCAGATAGACAGACGACTTGCCCAGCTCAGCAAGTGGCTTCATCAATTCCTCGATATTTGGTGGCAGTTTTGAGCTTCCAGGCAATGCCAACGCCTTGAGATGCTCAGTGAGCAGTTCAGCGGCGCCGAGAATGCCGTGGATGGGCGTTCGGAGTTGGTGAGATACACCACGGAGGAACTTTTCTTTGGCGCGCATGACTTCGGACAGGAGGCGTTTCTGCCATCGTTGCGTGAGCATTGTAGCGCATGCCTGCACGAACCCAGAGTCTACATCGTCGAATATTCGTCGGAAGTTTTTCGTTGCCACGACGAGGACGGATGGACCGAGCTTGGACTCGCATTGTGCAGAGATGAAGCGAACGACCCTGTCTTTAGGCGGCTCGTTGCAATTCGATGTCGCGATAAAGTTATCGATGTATTCGTCGTCCTCCCATAATCCATGCTTCGGATCTGCTGCCGCGTATGGAACGTTGGTGTCGAATGAATCGGTGCCGGTTGATTGCAAAGTAACGGATTCATCTGGATATGCTTCTCGAAGTATTCGCAGGATCGGTTCTTGGACATCGTCGCCTTCGGGTTCTCTCAGCAGTGTTGTAATGAGATCTGTAAGCCGGCGTCGTTCTCGTTGGCGTCGGGCTCGTGTGCATTGTACTATGTCGGCAACAATCCAATCGCCGAGACGAGCGAGCGCGAGCTGTTGGTGCTTCGACAACGGGGGTTGGCTTGTAGCCGATGCGACACAAAGCGAACCGAGGCCTACCGACTCGCCGGATTCGTGTTGGATTCGAAGTGGGACGCCCGCATACGCTGTAAGGCCGCCGTATTCGACATAGGGAGATTCGCGAAATCTCCAATCCTCGAGCATGTTGGGGAGGAGAAAGACATTCTAAGTAGGCAGAAAAAAAGAGTTCAGCATATGCTCGAATGTGATGTCATATTTTGACGAGTGTTCGTACGCCCGGAGGTTGTGTCACCGTGTGTGCACAAAGAGTCTCCCCTCGAGGAAGGATAGCGAGTTGGAGACCAACCGTTGCCAAGCGAATGTAGACATTGGCGTCGAGGAGTCCAACGACAGCATACTCCCACCCAGAGTTTTCCTGTGCAAGACAGGCCTTCTCCTGCAGACCGGCTAGGAGTTCAGGATGTTGGTCGAGGTCTCTTGTGTAGTACCATAGCATGGACAATCTCAATCGTTCATTCTTGGCTAATCGCGTTCGTAGATATCGGGATGAAGGACATGACGGCTCAGCGGGTATGGCGGATGACGCGAAAGGGTGCTCCTTGGGAGGGTACAGGTTGGTCTCGAGGTCGAGGTCCCAAGGCTCTACGGGGGTTTTGAAGTTGTTTGCATCGAAAATGGGACCGACGGCCTTGGGGCGAGGAGGGAGGTCATTGTGATCGACGGTGGAGGAGAGGAGCGTTGAGTCAGCTGTTGGGAAGAAATGCATTTAGTGATCGGCGGCGGTTAAAATGAGTGGAAGAAATGGTGACTAATAATATTAGTTGGTAATTTAGGAAAAGTATTGTCGTTTCATTTCATGATTGTTCGTATAATCAAAATGCCACAGGATGATTAAAGACGGATACAAAACGGACAAGGAAGAGCAGAGAGAACAAAGCTGGATAGAGCGGAGATGGAAGAGAAAGGAACTGGGGGCCTGTCACTACTGAAAGACGTGACTCGTTAAATCGATCGAGAGAATTTCTGCTGACAAAAAATAGCGTCATAATTTATGGCGATCGAGATCGAGATCGAGACTCATTTTGTTGTGTGAGGGGTATTAATTGTAAACACAAAATGATCTTGAGGCTTTCGGATATAATTGAAGTTGAAAGGATACGACAAAAATGAGGAATAACATGTAGAACCGAATTAAGAAATAACCGTTGGCATGGGTCATGGCATGATTGATTACTATACAGCGATCAAGTTGCAGTCTCACAGCGCATGCAAGCCTAACAGCGGCTGGGCTGACATGGCTTAATTTGGTTTGTGGCAGGCTTGGCTTGATGAGCAACAACAACAGACAGTCTGCATACCTGTATTGCATGAGATGCATACTATCGATAACAAGTGCATTCTTTCCTCTTCTGGAATAAGCAAATACTATAATATACACCCCGTCGTGTGCAGTAGATCATTCAGCTCCTGGTCAGGTACCCGAAAACAACCACATCCCGACATCCTACATGCGAGACACCGTTAGTGGTAGATCACGCAACCACTTTATCGAACAATACAAGGGAAAGACATGGTATCCCTTGTCTTGCGATAACTCCGTCTCCCAAGACCAAGCACCTGAGATGCTCCCAAACCCCTCCGTGGTACAACACATGGACCACTACCTATGTCTTGGGCATCAATTACACCAAATCATCTCACAACTCACCCCATGACTCATGACAACAAATCCCTTCAATTCAAAACTGCCAACAAGCACAGACTATCCTGTTACCTCCAGAATATGCATGCCACATCAGAGGGATGCCACTTCTCGGTGGGGCTTCACCGCCAGATATGGGTCACTTACGCCAGCTTCTAGACTTATATTTCACAAGTCAATATCTCTTTGCTTTTGATAATCACTCAATCACATCTGCCGACCATCATTCATCAACAATATGCGTCTCCTTCATACCAAAACCTTCCAGCTAGAGGAATTCTACGGCCAGCCACCAGAATATGCAATCTTATCACACACATGGGGTCCTGACGAGGCCACGTTCCAAGACTGGCAGGGCAACCTGGAGCTCATGAAGCTCAAGAAGGGTCACCAAAAGATTCGCAGAGTCTGTGAACAGGCTCGCAGAGATGGTCACATGTACCTATGGTGCGACACCAACTGCATCGACAAGAGCAGTTCTTCAGAGGTGTCTGAGGCCTTAAACGCCATGTTCACCTGGTACAAGAATGCCCAAGTCTGTTACGTCTACCTCTCCGATGTGCCGCCTCTCGATACCGGTGCTTTTGATCCCATGGAGAATTTTAGAAAGTCAAGGTGGTTCACCAGAGGATGGACTTTGCCCGAACTTCTGGCACCGACTAGTGTAGTTTTCTTTGCCCAGGACTGGACCACCATCGGCACAAGGAAAACTCTTGCCAACACTATCTCTTTCGTCACCAAGATTGATCAGCAATATCTCGACTGCACCTTTTACAAGGCCAGTATCGGAGAGCGTATGTCATGGTTGGCCAACCGAGAGACCGAGCGAACAGAGGATATTGCCTATTGTATGTTGGGCATCTTTGACATCAACATGCAAATTGTTTATGGCGAGGGAATGAGAGCCTTTATCCGACTGCAAGAAGAGATCATCCGTGTTTCCAACGATCAAACACTGTTTTGCTGGAACTGGGACGAGCGTTACGTGCCACACGACTGGGCCAGCATTCTGTCTCCATCTCCCAGGACCTTCCTTGACTCAAGCATATACACCGAGTGGCCTGTCCACGATGCAAAGACCTACACCATGACCAACGCTGGCCTTTCCATCAAGCTTCCCATCATGAACACCATCACCGAGACCGTCGAGCAATGGCTCGTACTTCTTAACGCCCGAAGGGGAAACGAGAACCAGCAAGTCGCACTTCTTCTGAACAGACTACCCGGAAAGGACCGCTGTACTCGTAACTGCACACCACCCTGCCCCGTGCCTATATTGACAACCTCCACCAAGCTGCGCGAGGAACAGATGTATATCGCTGGTAGTCGCGAACGTGCCTCTATCCAACCCGACTTCCACGGTCACGGCACATACGAAATCCTCGTCACTCTCGACAGTGGCACAATTCCCTACGATAGCATCAACTCATCCCCACGCCTCGACTCAAGTACTATCAGCATGCAACAGTGGGATCAATCAGGTCACTACGGCTGTGTCCTCGCCATTCAAGGCATGCAAAGCATCAAGAAGAACGACCGTCGCGCATCCGTCTTCATCGCCACACTGGTCTTTGGCGTAGAAGTCCAAGGCTCCAAGGTAGAATGGTTCTGCAAGATCCGAGGCATTCAGGAATCTTCATCAGCCTTTAGCGCCAACACTCTCGAGGATGCTGTGTACGAGGAAGAGCAGGAGATTCGCTCGCAGCTGCGTCGCACTGGACACTGGCTGGCCATCTTTGACCAAGAGAAGGACACTTCCACGGATACGGTGCGAAAACACGAGATTGATTTGCTGACGAGTGTGTCATTGAGCTCGGGCGTGAGAATCGCTTCCAACTCAACTATGGCGGTTGCGCATCTGCAGCTGGCGCATATCGTTAGACCAGCTGAGGTGGCGCCGTGGGATGATGGACAGAAGTTTAGGACTGCAGATGGAACGAAGGATTTGTCCAAGTGGTTGAGTTCTTTGCAGTGAGGGATATAACAGAACAAAAAGTAGAAATGATATTATGTGCATGACCTTACGAAAATAGATACAAATTTAACTAGTAAAATATCTGACACCGTCTATCCTAATCCACGAACCTTTGCTTGTCCTTTGCTCGAAAATATAGAAACGATAGCCTCCAAGTCAACTTCTTCAGCACCACGCTAACGAGGATGAATTAACCATATTTCGCTAATTAGTGGACTTGCCGAGGACATGGACCAATATCAGTGAATAAACCGTTGGAATTGTCACTTTAGCCGATAATCTAATCATGGCTATCACGTGTGAAGACCCATTTTCTTCCCCTCAATTTTGAACTGATCTTCCCCCTTGCATCAAAAGGAGGCTGACTGTTGGTTCACGACAGAACTTCTATACATACGGTACATACATATAGCAAACAAACATGTCGGACACACCTGCTGCACCTGCACCTACAGCTTCTGTCAGCCCCTCTTCGGAGTCTGCCGTGCCGAGACGTGATGTCTCACCTGAAACGCCACTGACCACGCAGAATGACTTTATTGTTGCAGATGATGAACATGTAAGTTGATGAATTAAATGACACTGAAATTGGATCATTGGCTAATCATAAATACTGTTAGAATGCGGCTGACGATGATGATGCTGATTCGGCACTGGGTTCAGATGCGTTAGTAATACCCTTGCAAGCCACGTTTCGACAAGTCTTTCAACTTACTTATATGGGATGTACAGTGAGAGCTCAACTGCTTCAGTATCGGCAAGTATTCTTGAGTACCGCCGTAGCCAGGGTCGTACATATCATAGTGATAAGTTTACTACAAACTACTTTCTACCAAACGATGATCAGCAGTTGGAGTCTGTCGACTTAACGTGAGTATACTGTCTCAGTACGACCTGTGTATAGCCTCTAATATCTACATAGTCATCACTATTTAATGATCCTGTTGGATGATCAGTTGTATCTTCCTCCTTTCGATGCGGAGAAGTTGAAAGTAAGTCTACTTCACCGTCGCAACGACGCATCGTGTACCTCTAACACACATGCGCTACAATAGAAAGTGCTTGATGTTGGTACTGGAACTGGTAAGTCATTTTATAGCCCTTTGATGAGCTGCTATTGACATTTTTCTTTAGGTATCTGGGCGATGTGAGTCTGTCTGCAACTTGTCCCAACAACTGTACTTACCAAGATGTAGTGAGTTTGCCGACCGTTATCCCACCGTTGAAATCGTCGGTACCGATCTCTCTCCCTGCCAACCTGAGTGGGTACCCCCGAATGTGCGTTTTGAAATCGACGATGCAGTAATGAACTGGACTTGGGAGCTAAATGAGTTCGACTTCATCCATATCCGCTACCTCTTTGGCGCCGTCAAAGACTGGTCCGCTCTCTTTAAGGAAGCTTACCGCTGCGTTATACCTGGAGGCTGGGTCCAATCTGCCGAGGCTGATGTTGAGTTCCGTTGTGACGACGGAAGTATTGACCTGGAGCCCAACTTGAAGATGTATAAGAAGCTCTTTGAGGAGGGTGGAAAGGTGCTCAACACTCCCTTCTTTGTAAACGATATGCAGGTCCAGGGATTCAAAGACGCTGGTTTTGAGGAGATCCACACTATTGACTACAAAGTATGTTTTGAGTTCTGTCCTACCGCTATAATTTTACTAATGAGGCAACATCAGCTTCCCGTTGGTGACTGGCCCAAGGACCCCAAACTTAGAGAAGTCGGAAAGTTTGTTCGGGCTTGCTTGGAAAATGACATTGAAGGTAAGTTAATGAGCCCTCCTGTTCACATGATCTAAGTACCCTAACATATGGTTCAAGGTTACACTCTTATGATGTGGCAAGATGTGCTTCAGTGGCCAAAAGACGAATACCAAATGTTTCTTCTAAGCATCCGAAAGGCCATCAGAAACCCCAAGATCCATACGTACATGAAAGTGCGTTATGTCTACGGACGCAAGCCCTCCGAGTAATGTTTTGAGTATCAGTATATAATTGTTCAGCGTTTTTCTTTGCATAAGCACTTGCCTGGAATTATCATAGGCATAGTCGGTCTTTTAGGCATTATGAGCACACAAGCGAGTAAACGATCTGTTACAATAAATCATTCATCTTTGCAAGCTATCTTGCAATTTCCATGCACTGGACTCTCTTAGCCAAGTCTTGAAGTCCTGTAAACCAGGTTCTTTCCGTCGAAGATCATCTATGTTTGCCTTCCATCCAGCCGTCCTAAACCACTCAAAACTTTGAGATGCATCCTTTACTAACCACAAAATCGGCCAAGAAACTGCCTTGTACGTTTGTGGAAGTTCTTCTCCAACCACTTCTCTAAACATTCGTTCAACATCTGAAAAGCACAGATCATCACCTGCCAGAGCAAGTGCCTTTCCAGCCCAACTGTCCGGATCTAAAAGTCCTTTCGCTGCAAAGAGACCAATGTCATGGGTGCTGATTAATTGCATCTTCCTGTCCTTGGGCATGCCCTCTGCCCATAGCGAAGCCATCATCTTACCGAAGAAGCCCGGGTTGTAGCTATCCATGAACCCAGTCGGTCTGAGAATAGTCCATCGCTTTCCAGTCTGTTCACATAATTCTCGTAGTCTATGCTCAATGCGATGTTTGGCGGCGAAATGAGGAATCTCTGTTGGATGGGACCAGCTGGCTTCATCACCTCCTCGATCAACGCTTGAGAAGACAATGTGATCTACTTGTGAGGCCTCGGAAGTAGCTTCTTCAATGAGCGGGATAGCCTGCGCCTCATCGTCGGGCGGGACCGTGACGATAAATATGGACGCGATGGAAGCAAACTTTTCGAAAATTGGTTTTGGTGTTTGCGTGTTGCCTTCAACAAGGACGATACTGGGGTATTTTGAGACAAGGGCTTGGGATTTGGGTGATGAAATGGATCTTGTCAATGCTAGAATGCGGGTATTGTGTTGAGGAGATTGATCGAGGGTATTGAACAGGGCATTAATGGTGGCCTTTCCCTGTTGACCTGTTGCGCCCACAATGAGGATATCTCGCGTCATGTTGGGTAAAGTTTTAGTGAGGAAAATGTAATTAGTAAAATGCTTCTTGACAATTTGAGGCTAAACGAGCGTTGTTATATGTAGCCCGGACACTTCTCGGAGTCTTATTATGTGGCTTGGTATCTTAGTCTCAATCATGGATGCAACCAGCGATTGGCTTGGCCTGGAGACATATCTACAAGATTGAACATATAATTGTCTACTATAAATATCTGTTTCTTGTATTGTCTAGACTTCAAGTTGCAAGTAGAATTAATTGATTTATTTATGTTCGCTTATTCAATAAAAACTCCTACGTAATCTAATCCCTGCAAGATTCAGCCGTGAGAGGGGGCAGTGCCGGATTAATTCTCACTTTAATTATGACTCCCAAAATTGCCTCGTAATGTTATCCATGGAACGAATACACTAGTCATCAATGAAGCATCGGGAGAATGTCCGAAGCCATGTCGTCACCTGCCGAGTTTGTCGCAGTCGAAAACGTCAAAAACACTCAAGACGACGAACAGCCTATTCCTGCCACTGAGTGCGACATGTGCTCGAAAATCCTCCAAGTCTTCCATGGCCCTGCATATCTAGGGAAAGAAAATGAGGATGTTCAAGTCATCAGATTGGGAAAAATTGCCCTCCTCCTCGAAGTCAAATGTCCGCATACAACTTGGCTCAGAGATAAAGACTTTGTAAACGGCCCTGTTCCTTGTTACGAAACGCATGATCTCCTTTTCCATAGGTGGGCGCGACATCCCCGGGGTTTTTTCGGTGTTTCCTACCGAAGAAACGATTGTCCAAATTGGAGTATAACTCACTCTTCTGAGTTGGTGTTTCGACCTGAGATACCTGAGCATCCCGGGACTGTTCGGATTCTGGATGAGAGCTGGATCGACATAAATCTCGTCAAAGAATGGCCCTCCCGGTGCATCCAAATCCACGGAGAGAGGTGTAACAAGACTGTTGGGGATGTTCCGCCTTTCAAACCTGGACTCCTGATCGATGTAATCCAAGGCTGTATCGCAGAGTGCCAGGAGGCAAGACCCAGGTTTATTACCTTATCTTATACTTGGGGGGAAAGCAAGAATCTTCGTGTTGCGAAATCTAATCTCGAAGAACTTCAAAAACCGGGCGCGTTAAGATCCAAAAGTATTGCCATGCAGCTACCTGCAACCATCCTGGGCGCTATTGAACTTACAAGAGCTATGGATGTCAGGTGGTTGTGGGTTGACAGTTTGTGCGTTCCACAAGACGACGATATAAGCCTACAGCGTGACCTAGCAGCCATGCATCTTATCTATGCGACTTCGTTCCTCACCATCATCGCTGCTGATGGTGAAGATGCAGAGTATGGTCTGAGAGGCTTACGAGGAATCTCAAAGCCGAGAGTCATTGACCAAAGGGTCGAGCCACTTGCTCAAGGGGAGAGACTTGTCTACTGGCCGAGGGAATGGAGCGGTAAAGATGGCACGAAAGGGCTCATGTATCACCATCGCATGTGGACTTCTCAAGAACACCACTTTTCCAAAAGACGACTAATTTTCGAAAACGGACAGGCCACTTGGCAGTGTAATCACGCCGAGTGGACCGAGGACCACCTCTATAACCCAGAACATGAAAGAATACAGAAGAAACCGACTGAAGGTTACATTGGACATGAAGCCTATTTGAAAGTGCCGAGTTTAGATCGTCTAAGCGACCTTGTCGGAGGATTCAACTGGAAGACTTTGCGCTTGGGAGAAGATGTGTATAACGCCTTCTCGGGATATAACACATATCTAAACAGTATATTTCCTCACGGTCTGGTATACGGCCACCCCGAACTATTTTTTGATATATCGCTATGCTGGAAACCGAGCGGTTGTGTCCGAAGAAGAACAGTCTCGGCACGATATATCGGGGATCCGCTACGTACTGGACTGCCTAGCTGGTCGTGGATGGGTTGGGAAGGGCAAATACAATTTCCCGACGATGGCGAAGGTGAAATAAATATTCTCGGCGAAATGGGTTTCACCGAAGCTGTCACCGATTGGTACGCTATGGAGTATCCTGGATCATCCCAAAAACAACCCATCCATTCTCAATGGAGCCAGTGTAGAAATGCACCTGCTGGATCGATGAATGAAGTATGGCGATGCGAAGAATTCAAGCCTCCAGGAATTGACTACAACAAAATGCGAGTCCAAGATGATTATTCTATAGAGCCTGAGTCGATGCCAAAGGAGATACCGCACCATATATACCATTGTTCTCTTGGTGGTACTCCGGTATCGACGGCGCGATGGTATCCCGTACCTTTGAACTTAGATAAATCAGACGAGTCAGAAGCCGGGCTGCACAGCGGGTTTCAGTACCTATGGTGCCAAACATTTCGCGCATATCTCACAGTCACTCAAGATATTATTGCAAGTAACGTGGATCAAAAGTTTCACCTACTCAAAGGTCAGAGTGGCATTGTGGTAGGAGCATTGCTTCTCCATGACGAAGACGATGGAAAATTGTTCCAGCAAGAAACACGGGTCGAGCTTATAGCGATTGCCAAAGGCTGGACGGTCGTTCTGAGTTGTTACGGCGCCTATAACTCTATGGAAAATGAGATTGAGACCGAGTCAGAATCGGAAGACGAAAAAACGGTGACAGAATCCTTGAATAATCTACAGATGGAAGAATGCGATGTTCCGAGGATACTAAAGCAGGACCCTATTCCGTGGATGGAAACGTGGAACGATGCCAAGATGGATAAGCAAGACTGCTATCATGTACTTTGGATCGAATGGAAGGATGGGGTGGCTTACAGAAAGTCCTCTGGTTTTGTACTAGAGGAAGAGTGGGAAAAGGTGGCAGAAGCCAATAAAGTCGACATAACTCTGGGCTGAGTGGCAGTAAGATGGGAATAGTCTGGCAGCTCAGTGGATCATAGGCTCAACACGTTCGCAGAGACAGGGACACCTGTTTCCTATTCCAGTATAGTTTGAAAATCATCCTACTCGAGACATCGTATCCAATCTTGATGCTTGGAAGTATTATCAGGTGGATATGGGTCTTGACAACACCAGGGGGCCACCTGTTTCCTAATTAGGAAATTGGTGGTAGCTTTCCTTTATGTAATCTCCGTAAAGGTAGGACGTCGGACAAATAGATATGTGAATATAAGATCAACATTCCTGCAGTATTCTGATTGATATCACTCAACATCTTCTACTAATGAGCAGGCATCATGGCTATTGATACACTCTCTCTTCAAGGCAAAATCGCTATAGTCACCGGCTCCGGCAGAGAAAATGGCATTGGTGCTGGTATCGCTATCGCCTTGGCGAGAAACGGAGCAGCTGTTACAATCCACTATGTTAATGACTCTGTGACACAGCGAGCTCATGCAGTGGCCGACAGAATCAAAGCAGACGGAGGTAAAGCCATCGTGATCCAAGGATCAATCGAAACCCCACAGGGAGCTCAGTACTTGGTCAACGAGACTCTGAAAGGCTTTGATGCTGATCGTATCGATATCTTAGGTTAGTTGTTATTGCAATTCCTACAATGGTGACACTGACTCCGATTGATAGTCAACAACGCGGGAGTAGGCGTGTTTGGGGAGACATTGACAGTCAACCACAGCGATATAACGCAGACGTTCGACGTCAACGTCAAAGGGCCAATCTTTGTCGCCCAAGCTGTTGTGCCTGTGATGCCACCAGGCGGCCGAATTGTCAACATCAGCTCTATAGCATCCAAGATGGGAGATGATAGCATTCCAATCTATGGTGCATCTAAAGCTGCCATTGACAGTTTGACATGGTCGTGGGCCAAAGAAGTAAGTCGATCCCAAAGACCAGCCGTATTGCAAGGCTAATGATGAGTGTGTTTAGTGGGGGCGAAGTAAGAAGATCACCGTCAACTCTGTAGCTCCTGGGCCAGTCACCACAGACTCGAATCCTTATGAAGAATTCCAGAAGCCTTCTATCGATATTACAAGAGCTGCTGATAGGGCTGGCACACCAGAGGATATTGCTGATGCTGTGCTTTTGCTGGTGTCTGAGAAAGCACGATGGATCACAGGACAGTACATCTCGGTTAGTGGTGGAGTAACGAATTAGAATGATGAGATCAACCGTATAGTAATCTATTTTACTTATGCCAAAGAGTCGGGACCATGTAAAATAGTCCATGGACAGAGATAGATTATTCTTCATATCATGGGTGAACTACAATAAGTTGCAGCGAAGTCAACATTGTTGTCAACACATTCAGCAATTATTGATATGGCCTGCTAGACTTGATTGGGACTTTGCCACGCTTCACCACCCAGACTACTTAAAATCCACGCCACTCCATGTTCAGACTCGTAACGTTTTGTACTTTGAATCCCCAGATCTCTTCACATTAAAAAACATGTCATACAGCTCGTTTCCCAACCGTCGGCGGGTCATACAAGCATGCGTCAACTGTCGTATGCGCAAGACTCGTTGCGATGCTGCCCAGCCTAAATGTGGGCTTTGCACCATGCAGAACGTTGATTGTGTCTATCGCGATGCAAGGCAACCAAAAATCGATTACAATACTCAAGTTCTCCTAGAGCGGATGCAACTTCTTGAAGACCGTATCCTTTCTACCTCATCTTCGCCAGCCCGAAACAACCCTGTAGAGGCTCGGGTTCCGGGTATGGACCAGCCAGGCTCGGCCGAGCCAATTGAAAGACAGTCAGACATGTTGCATGACATGGCACAAGAACCCGTATTCGAAGTTCAGATACCCCTGTCACATACGGCAAATGCAAACCATGTCTTCTCGTGGCCACTTGTACAAGAGCTTATATCAGAGACGAGTGAAGACGGGCATGACATCCAACCCTACGGTGATGCAACCGATGTCTTTTTTCACCATCGACCAAATAATTCTCATCCTTCTACAACGTCACATCCACCTATCTCATGGAAACTGTTCGACAAGAAAACAGAATCATTCTACGTTCCGGTGAATAACGCAGTCTTCCGACTTCGTGAATTGGTCCACCTTTACTTTGCCGATGTCAACATTTTCTTTCCGCTCTTACTGAAAAGCGACATGACTGAGATTTTCGAAGCTGTAGCAGACAGAGAGGTCTATGGTGACGAAGGGGCTAGTATCGTTGATATGCCTCATTATGGACTACTTCTCGTCCTTCTTTGCCTCTCCCTACTGAATTATAGTGGCCAATCGAATATCCACCTGGACGGGCAAGGTAGAAGCCATCAAGCTTCATCAGATTCCGACAATACTATCAAGAAACAGGGCCAACTAATGCACCATCTTTGGGGAAAAGCGAAGCTTGTGCTAGGATACATCTCGACTGACATGTCCCTCGCCGCCGCGCAAAGCAGCATGCTAGCAAGGTAGGTTGCTATCTCAGTTTTGAGAAAATATATTAACCCCTTCTATAGCATATTCATGGGTGCGTGCGGTCAAGTAGCCGAAGCTTTTCACTGGGCACATGCTACTGCTGTCAAGTGTGAGAGTATGGCTCGATCGTACGCAAAGAATGAGACCATCCCGGACGCATTTCGGCGACTTTACTGGATCTCCTTTATCTACGAATGTGATTTCATATCCGAGATATCAGTTGTCTCCCCCTCTGGTATAGCAAGATTTGAGAACAAAATCCCATATCCGGATTTCACAACAGAGAACAATCCCATCTCCCCTTCAGCACCAGAGTCGTCTGAAATGCGTTCAACCCGAAGTCAGGAAGAACTGGTAGCCTTCCAGATAACAACAAACTCTGCCATCAGACGCTTCCTGAACACCGTCAACAGCGTGGTTTATGATGACAAAGAACAATTCAGGACAAGACAATCGAATTATGCAAGTTGGCTTCTCAGGATCTCAGAGGATCTTTGGTCACATCATTCGGCCATCTATCGCAACCTGCCCAAATTTCTCTTGACCGCTTCCTCACAAGACGTCCCTATGACAGGAACCGATTCAGGATCTCCTGCAAGTCTCCAGTCCCCAACTGCACGCATCCAAAATCTACCGACAGGAAACAACTCGTGGAACATTTTGAGACTCAAGGGAAGATACTACGCAGGACAGTACATCATTCACCGACCATTTATCGAATTCATCGTTCTAAACATGGATAATTTCGAGACGCACCCTTGCAAGGACGCTGTCCTAAAGAAATCCAAGTCTTGTTTGGATGGGTGCATGGGCTTCATAAACGTATTCGACGTGGAAACAGCCAATGCCTTGACCTGTTTATTTCCGACTGGCATGGTGTAAGTCTAGAAAGTGATTCCGCTTTGACGATCGCTGACAAGAATCTCTTTTCCCAGGACGTTTACCATGACGATCATCTTGATGATAGTAACGACACTTCCAGTTCTAAATGATCTTCTACCTGCAGACGTTGAAGAAGGTATTGCGACTGGAAAGAAAAACCTCTTGCAATTCAGCCAAAGCGTGACCCAGTTTAAGTGGCATATTAAAGTATTGGAAAACCTTGAAGTAGCTCGACGAGCTAGAATATCGAGAAGAGACACTTCCTTGGAACTATGAGATCAATAACGAAAGATCGGAATTAGGAAATAGTAAACCTGGCTAACTAGATGGATAGTAGTGTAGAATTTAAACTAATGTTTCTGAATGATCGGGTCTCGATATTGTCGTAGTAGCAGAGTCGCAATGGATGCATTGGCATAGAGAATAAGGGTTCATCTTGTAATAATCTCGCACACTTTGGGTAGGCACTTTGCACTCAAGGTTGCTCTCTACGAAAAAAGAAATTTCATATGATTATTTGCTTATATTTGGTAATGAATATCGTGGCAGGTTATGCTGCAACAGGTACAGCTTGAGCTTGTTGTAGCTGTTGCTTCTTGAGCTCAGCTTTAGCCTTTTCTTCAGGCGATAATTCAAAGATGCCGACTCCAGAAACAGATTGCTCTTTAGAGATTAAACCGTCGTTTAAGGTCTGCTCCGACTCAATGACCTTACCTTCCAGATGTTCATCATCTGCTGCCATTGGAGCATACTGTTTCAGCAGCTCGTTCAGTCTGCCTCTCTGCATGCAGTTCTCATATTTCCAGCTTGCCGCAAGCTCATCCAACTCGTCAAATGATTTATCCTTGAAGTAATCTGCCCACTCAGGGATCATGTACTCAGCCATTGTGATTCCACGAATACCGCGGAATACATGCATGTGCATACGCCATTGCCAAGGGTACTTCTTGGAATATTGTGCTGGGACGTTGTCTTCAAACCACTTGTGCAACGGACCGAAAAGACCATCTTGGAGGTGTGCATCGTCATAAGCCCAAGAATCCACCGCGAGGTCACGCTTCTTCTTGATCATTGGCCCGAGTAGCTTTAGCCATAGCGAGTCTGGAGAAACATAGGTCATGCCCATGACGTTGACGTCTTTGTATGCCCAAATTGACCATGCTAAGGAGATGTGAGTCAATGTCCGTTGTAACCAAGGCTGGGCGACTTACCAATGCTTTCCGAAGTGTAGATAGCCATTTGACGGTCAAGCATATCGTATCGTTCTTCGTTCTGTACCTCCCAATCCGGGTTGTATTCTTTTCGTTCGTAAATGGGTCCAAATTCACCTGAAAATGGTTAGCAAAGACCAAGAAGTGAGTGCGGTAAGATGACCTACCATTCCAGATAGGTACGTTGTGCTTCTTCATAAATTCGACCTTTCGGTCGTACATCCTCCGAATGTAACTTTCTTGTTCCTTGGTACCCTGGAATCGGCCGATGCGGTTGGGGAATCCGAAGCCGCAGTAATCGTGAATTGCATATACGGAATTTTCCCAGACCTTGTCGAATCCAGTAAAGTCCATGCTGAAGCTGCATCGAAGTGTTCGTTAGTATGTGGTGATTAGACTGGGCTTGAGGAGTATTCTTACGTGTTGCCCTCCAGGAAGAGAATGTGATCAGGATCAATGGCCCTGATTGCTGGCACGATGCGATCATAGAACGCCAGTAGACGCGTCCATTCGGAGTCAGCAGGCTCATTCATAGGGTTATAGCCAGCAACCCACGGATTGCCTTTGTACCGTCGTGCGATATGCTCCCAAAGGTTGATCGCTCGATCTTGGAAGTGCTTGTGGTCCCAGAAAGCAGCGTATCCGGTAGGGTTGTCGCAGTGCCAGTCCTGGTTTTGGCCACCAGGAAGCGCGTGGAGATCGAGAATGGTATAGATGCCATATTTGGCGCACTGGTCATGAAAAATTAGTCATGGATACTGGAATAAGATGGTTACATGAAGACTTACGAGATTGATGACTCTATCTACGTGCTTGAAGCCCTCTTCTTTGATGACAAAGGGGTTCATGTCATCTTCAAAATGTCTGTAGTTGAGACATAGACGGAGACAATTGAATTTGAGGGAAGCAAGAAATTCAGCATCTTTCTCGGCAAAGAAATACTCTAGGAACTTGTCGAAAAAGAAGTCGTGCTTTTCTTGGCCAAGTACTTTGAGAAGGGCGGCTCGGATCTGATGTTCTCGTCCGGGGAAACCGTTCATGAAATTCTCCATGAGCATCCATCCACCTAACGCAGTCTGCGAATTGGAGGTTAGCAATTGTCGTTGCAGGGCATGGTTCGAGTAAGGCCATGACGACTTACGCCTCGCAGTAAAACGGCGTCGCCGTTGGCGTCGACAATACGCTCATTGTCGGTCTTGAGAATTCCAGTACTCATGGTCTTGGATTCTTTATTTCTTAGTGTTTGGAATTAGAATACAAGGGCAATGCAAGAAACTAGAGATCGGGCATGATGGTCGTCTTCTTCTAAATAGTCTATGACAAGACCTACTCCCGGAACAGTTCCACTCTTGATTTTGTATCATCATGCCAATAATGTTGTCGCATGAGGAAACAGTGGATGTGTGTTTCCGAGTAAGGAAAAAAGTGGTCATGACACCACAGTTTCGGGGGAGGGATTTAGATGCCCCTATACACCTTGTATGGTAGTTTGTCCAATCAAAAGATTTCGGGGCAAGCTTTTAGCTGCCCCTAACCCGTTGAAAATCAAGCCCTTGTCATGTATGATGGGGGGAAAAGATTTAGCTCCCCCGAGCATATATGATTGGTTCGTTTTCTAGTGTTGTCCCCGCAAGATTCAAGGACGAGTCGAGTCCATTATCCGTTCACGCAAAGACTTCACAGCTCGCCCCGGAAACTTACCGTTACATGAACAGATGAATGAAGAATCCTCCATGATCTCTGTGCGGAGTTCCCCAGAAACTCTGATAAACCCCGCAAAAAGGTGGCCGTCACGCTATTGAAATCATGGGGTGGGTGGTCTACACGCTCGCGTATACTAACCAGATCCATTTAGGCTGTCCCGATGCAAAGGTAAGAACAAGAACTCCATTCCCTGTTTTCATCAAGTATATCCGATACATATATAAGATGATTCTTTATCTATAATGATTCCACCTCTCCCCTGCATCTCAACCGTCATTTCCATCATCACCTTTGGTCTTTCTTCAGTACTATGAACGTCCTTCGAAACCGTCTGCCGGCACCTAGGCAGGACTTGCTGTCAAAGCAGGCCCGCCAGCAGGGAGCCACAGACTCAACCTTTCAACCCTCGCGAATCTCTGAGCTCTCCAAAGAGTCTCCTCCCTGGTACACGTCGGCGGCTCGACGACGGCTCTACTTCCTACTCTTCCCAGCTTGTGTTGTATCGTATGCAACATCTGGATACGATGGAAGTATGATGAATTCCCTGCAAACAGTCTCGTACTGGGATGATTTCTTCGATAACCCACGAGGTTCTCAACTCGGCCTCATGAGCGCCATTATGGCTCTCGGAAGTATTTGCTCCACGCCCATTGCCCCTTGGGTTGCCGATAAATTTGGTAGACGATGGGGAATCACTGTTGGGAGTATTATCATGATTGCAGGTGCCATTCTTCAGTGTGAGAGTGTCAACTTTGCCATGTTTGTTATTAGTCGGTTCATCTTGGGGTTCGGGCTCTCGTTCGCCACGACTGCGTCTCCGAGTATGGTCAGTGAACTCTCCCACCCAAGGGATAGAGTCACGGTCACTGCCATCTGTAACACCTGGTAAGAATACTCGACGCTCATTTCATTGAACTCAAAGCTGATCAATTAAAGTTGGTTTCTCGGTGCAATTGCTGCCGCATGGATTACCTACGGAACTCGAGTGATTCCAAGCACCTGGTCATGGCGAATCCCTTCCCTTCTACAGATGGCTCCCAGCATTATTCAACTGTCAACTGTATGGTTCCTCCCTGAGTCACCTCGATGGCTCATCTCGAACGACCGCGGCGAAGAGGCTCTTGAGGCCCTTACACGATACCATGGAGAAGGTGTTAGAACTGAATTGGTAGAGTTGGAGTATGAAGAAATTCGAGCAGCTATTGAACAAGAGAAGCGTGAGTGTTTCGTCGAATCACTGGCTATAATATTGCTGACACGATGCAGTTTCTGGTAATACGACTTGGAAGTCTATGGTTAGTACCAGCGGTAACCGATATCGGATGTTCCTTGTCGCCTGTATGGGTCTTATGTCTCAATGGTCTGGCAACGGACTCATTTCTTACTGTGAGGCCCTTCTTTCTGCCACTAACAAAAGGGAAAGTAGCTGACAATTTGACTCTTTAGATTTGTCTCGGGTCATGGACACGGTCGGAATTACGGATAAGAAAACTCAGGCTCTTGTCAACGGCCTCATCAACATCTGGAACTGGGCACTCGCTCTGACCAGCGCCCTTTTCGTCGATCGTGTCGGCCGCCGCCCACTCTTCCGAATTTCTACAATTGGTATGCTCTTGGTCTTCACAGGATGGACCATTGCCTCGGCACGCTTTGCAGAAACAGAAGCCAAGTCTGCTGGTGTTGCCGTTATGGCACTCATCTTCGTCTACGAAATCTTCTACTGCATGGCCTTTTCTCCTCTCCCTGTTGCGTACTCGGTCGAGATTCTTCCATACTCAATCCGTGCCAAAGGAATGGGTGTTTACGTACTGGCAACAAAATGTGCTGTCTTTGTCAATCAATACGTAAACCCAGTTGGCCTGCAGAACATTGGATGGAGATACTACATCGTCTATGTTGCTGTTTTAATCGTCGAAAGCTTCATCGCATATGGCTGGTTCCTTGAGACCAAGGGGAAAGCCTTGGAGGAAATCGCTGTTATCTTTGACGGAGATTCTGCGGATGTTACCAGAGATGGTAATGCAAAGTCACAGGCTTTCAGCGGTGAAATACCTACTGCTATTGAGCAGGAAGATGTTAATCGAAAGGTTTAACAAGGGTGCCAGTGTTGTTGATATAATAACTAGCGTCGGTATTTTGAAGTGAGAACCGGAGAAAGTACTTCTATATTAACACGTATATAGTGATTTGCATAGGTAATTGACAGTTAAAACATCATATAATTGCAGTGTAACACATAACAATTCCAGGCGAAAATGAGCACCAAGTCTTCCGCTGGTTGCAAAATGCATGTCTTTAGCTGGCGATCGAGATGTGATATCAGAACCCTAATTTTAGCTACATGGCAAAGTAAGCCTCTTCGTAATACGCAACATTGCAGTATAATGTGGTTGACAGACACCTCAGCCATTATCAATATAGCCCACCCACTCGGCTGTCAGTTCCTTTGTCTTGATCTCCGTCTTGATACGGATCGTCCTAAACCACGTGAGTCTTATTAAGTTTAGCGTCCCATGTGGTTTTCGAGTTCAGCCTTGCCTAGAGACATCCGTTTCTTGACGGGTAGTTAGGCCAAGCCATAGCACCAGCTCCGTCATTGATCGGACTATTAGCTACAGCGCCCCATTTCCCTTATTGGTTCATCAATTGCCAATTTACCTCTGGCTGATAGATGATGGATGCCAAATACGATAATATTAGCTAGCGGCGAGCTAACTGTCAGGGCTGTGCTTAGTAGGTAGATTGGCAATGCCCTACAAGTCTGTACTATTTTGAGGGCTCGGGAGGCTCAATCTATTCAACAGAGTTAGCAGTGCCTTGACTTCGTAAACGCTCTATTACAGTGCTCTTAGTAAAGGAAAGAAGTATAAAATGCTGTGCTCTGTCGCATGGATATTGTTTTCATCATCTTCACTCACATCCCCATCACTACTCAAGATCATCAATCAAGATCAACTATTCAAAGCATCAACCAGCTATCAAGATGCTTCTCCAAACAGTCTTCACAGCCCTCGTCGCCGCTACTGCCGGCCTCGCTGCTCCCCTTGAGCCCCGAGCAAATGACTACTTCACCCCATCTGCACTATGGACATACAACGTTGCCAACGGCGCCATCTCCTCTACCTCTGAGGGACGTGTTACCAAGAGCCCCAACAACGGCGGTAACGACAACACTGCTCTCTTTACATTCACATACCCTGAATTTGCGAGGAACAAGAAATGTCGCTTCGCATTCTATCTCGCCAACGGCGAAAACGTCATTGGTAGCGGCAAGCTAGACTTGTTTTCCAGCCTCAAACCAGCCCCCGGTCCACGAGCAGGTTGGGGCCCTGGAAACCAGCGCAATGTGCACTTGGGACGTTTGGATGTCAAGAAGGGAGATTTCGCGACATGGGATGCTACTTATGGGACGTACATGACGAGCAAGACTGACTGCGAGAAGCCTGGAACAAAGGTCGGACTCGAGCTTGTTGGGGTTTACGATACCGATGCTGTTTATTGGAACCCTTCCAAGTCTGGACCGCGCATCATTGTAACCAATAATTAGTTTATTTGCGAAGGAGCTTAGGTATTTAGGATAGATTGGGTTTCATTGAGATAATCGCGGGTCATTTGGCTTCAGGGCTAATCGCTTGAACTATATGAAATTGAATTATTAAACGCTTCAAGGCTCGTACTGATCCATATCTGCTGGTGAACAGGCAAAGAGGTCTCATCGTAGGATCGAAAGTCATTGAATAACAAAAAAGCGCACATCATGCCGTACATCTCGTATTCCTGATATCCCCGCGCGCGCACAAACTGATGCACCCTGGCTGAATGGAAATGGAGTTGTTGGGGACAGTCTCGCTTCTCACTAGAAGTTTTCATTGGGGCTGTGTTGGTGAGGAGTGGAGGGTGGACAGGGGTTTAGTTGTTGGTCAGTGGTCCGTAAGGCTGAATTATCACTGTCTAGTGTGCCTTGTAAGGGAATAACAGTCGTAGTGGAATTGATCAATGGCAATCCAGTCGGATATTAAATCTGCCACTTTGAAGACGTAGAGTATTATCTTTTGGGTTGATGATGCAGAATGGGAGTTGAAAAGAGAAGTTTCTGTCAAGAGTGAGGTTTTATTCCTTGAAACTACTGTCATAGAGAAACAGACTAGAAAAAGACCAGACGAAAATATTAGTGCTCTCTTAGGCTATAGATTCACTAAAGTTAGCCTGATATTTCCTTCAACCACTAAAATTGGTACTGATGGTGAGCTAACTGATTTACCCCAACAGGTACGTACTAGCTTTCACTTCTCACAGCATGCCTCTACTAGTATTAACTTGAATATGTTCTGTTCAGATGTTACCACAAACTCAAATCCATCAAGACTTCGAGACATTCAAACTTAAAAGCTAATACAGTTCAAATGGTAGACGGAAATGATCCATACTTACACAGAGGCCGAAAGTCTGCATACCATGCAAGGTTAACTACTACCAAGCATGCATTCATCAAACATTTGAGTCGTTGACAATTCCTGCGATACTCGGACAACTTTCCAAGAAGTGACTCACCCGGTCCTCGAGGAATATTCGGAGACTTCCAAATGCATGTTGGTTCAGCAAAAGTTAAATGGTTTTCGTAAAGATTATATGCACTCGACTAGAGCTTATTCGCACTGCCATATGCAATGTGACTCACCCGGGCAGCATCCCAGAACCAAAATACATAAAAACATACCTGGGTAGCTATATAAAGCAGTTGCAATCCCCCAACCAGAGAATTTTTCATCCCATAACACAACGATATCATCATCATGGAAAAGGTACGCAAGACCTATTTCGACCCTTTGGCGACGACCAAGGGTCAGATACGCGACATTCTGGAGGGCCTTCCCGAAGGTTCAGCACATCCTTTCAGCTCCGAAGGCATCTTGTTATGCCGCACGAAGGATGGGATTGAAGAGATCCCCATCTCAGGTCACAGCGAAGAATTCTTCTACAATGCTGTGGATCTAGGAGAGATGGGCGAGATCCTGCTACGGCGGATGGAAGGGTTCAAAAATAACCTAGGTACGTAACTTATTCCCTGATCTGATCGAGAAGAACGACGCATATTTTGATAATTGGCAACCTTCATGCCATTTTAGCACTAAGGCAGCCTAGTTAGGCAAGACCTTGTGGATTTTAGGCGACGCTTATGCAAAATAGGCGCCGTTCGTATCGTTCAGACCAGGGCATTTATGTCTGATTCTCAGGCTGACCTCTCTAGGTATATTCAGCGACTTTCAGATCATGCAGGCTCCGTCCACCACGTTCAAGGTCCCTATCAAATCAGGAATCTCCATCCTAGCAATCTCGGAACGATATCCCACTTACTACGACTTGTGTTTCGGCGACGAAAAACGCAACACTTCTTGCTGGTGTTCTCAGTCGGTTATTGCAGGCATCACACACAGTGGTGATCGCACCACCGGAAATGATCTTCTTCAGTACGCTTCCCTGGATAAGGATAAGTTAACAGAAGATCCTGTCTGCGTTTTTATTTCTGGTTTTAGGAAGACCCAGATCACACGCTTCCTAGGCACCCACCCAGCACTGATGGTGGCAGACTATGAGGAAAAGGTATGTACCTATATTATGAGAGTTCCTATTGGGTAGCAGAAATGTTGGCCTCCGAATTCTTAAGTTACAAAAACAAGTGATCTAGGAAATTATGGTCTAAGGATCATAAGAGACGAAATTGGTAGGGTAGTTTATGCTTCTTAGACTAGTTCTCAGACTACATATTTTTGTGCCCTAAGACTGAGGGGGCCAACTTTTCTGATACCCTGAGGGTGCTCCAATATTTACACAACTTCAGACCAACATACTAACCTTTGCAGACATTGTACATCGTCCCAGTCCCTTTGGACAAGGCAACTATCGGCGACGCAATCCTCTGCTGTCCTTTAGTGGTAAAGCGCGATGGGGACTCACTAGTGTGCTCAATACTGCCTCGAGCCATGGTAGATTCAACAAACACATGTGAAGGACGACGCACCGAGACCACTTGCTTCTCTGAGGCCATTTCCAGCGCCGAGTTCACCATCACTGCCCTCCAGGAAGACCCTGTCCAGCGTAAGTTGTACCATATGTCATCGTCCAGATCATCAGCTGACGTCAAGCAGAGGCGGAGGAAAAGATTCCAGAGTCGACTCTAGTAGAGATTAAGGGTGAACCTTTGAAGAAGCGCAATGCTATCATCACCACTAATCCTGACACACTTCCTGATCTGTTCAGCTACTCTGACGTGCAGATAATTCGATTCGGTAAGGGCCTTGAATTCGTTCACTCGGAAAATACCGCCGAAAAAGACGAGAACAAGTCTGCCGTCGTTCTTCCCTGCATCTTCGGCTCTCAACTAGAAGGGCCAGTACTTCTCGCCACCGGAAAGGCTCCAATCAATGTCCCATTTAGCAAATCCAAGGCTCTATGCGCTTACTATGAGCAACTCGATAACATAGTCATTGTCGTCGATGAGAAGATGACCGACAATGCACGAAACTTGGCCCCTAGTTTGCGAATCAACGCCCTGTTCATTGTACAGCTAGAGACCAAGGAAAAGCTTGAAACCGCATCCCAGATATCAGATGCGTTGAGTGCAGCAAACATCAACGCTGTGACGGCATTGGCAGGACCACAGTCACTCATTTTGGTTCAGGCTGGCGACAAGTTTTACTTCTACCGCGGTCTAGCGAACCCAAAGGTTCTAGATACACCCAAGCTCGAATTTGGAGCTGATGTCACGGACATTCTCAAGGGCGCTGATCTATCTGCTCTATTGGTTGCCAATATCTCGAGACTACTTGACCTTGAAAAGGACAACAGTGTTGTTCTGCCCTATTCTTCCCAGGTCGTCAAGACTTATGAGCTGGTGAACATGTTCGAGAAAATGACTATCAACCAGGTCAAGGCCATGCATGATGATATGGCAGTGGTCGTTCCCCAGCTTCAGGCTCTTCTTGGCGAGAAGGAGCTACAGCGCTTGTCCAAGGAGCTCGTCGATACGCTCTCTGCCAAGGTCGACAAACTGATGGGCCCTATGCGAAACGAGTATGTCGCATACCTAACCACAGAATTCGACATCAGCGATAAGGAATCTGTACTCAAGAAGAACAAGATGCTGGGCGAGTTACGAAAGGCTAGCAAGCAAACCCAGAGTTCTCTAGAGACGGTGATATCGAGCTTGACGAATATGATGTCGTCTCAGACGACTTCGAAGAGAACACATGACATGAAGAGGCTAATTCGAAAGACCCAAATCAGCAATAACGTCGAGGCTACCAAGTCGATGACTTTCGAAAGTCTAACGGAGTTGTTGGAGAGTCATGCCCAGGATATGGGCGTCATGTTTCTCAACATCGAGACAACACCATACAAGGAGCTTTTGAGAAACCTGCAGGCTACTACTATAGATGCCAAGTGAGTGGATTAATTCTTCATTTGTTTGTTTTGAGAGAGCTAACATCTTCTCAGACCAGTTTGTGCTCTCGATGATCGGATCCTTCACCTTGACGGCTTCGATGCAGGCATCATCATGGAACAGTCCCAGAGCGATCACCACGGCCCTCTACGAAGCCAGTCTGGTCCAAAGCATCCCATACTTGCTGTCCCTTACCTCAATAAGACCCGTGGAGAAGGTTCCATGCTCGCATGGGTATGTTGGGATGAGTTTGTCAACCTGGAGAGTCCGTATACTGTGCGTTGGATGGAAAAGTGCAACGAGCCTCACATTGCTGCGCTACGAATAATGATGCGAGGCACCTTGAGTCAGGCTGTGGTTTCACGAGACCTTGATTTCCAGCCTGGTTCTCCTCAGATCGGCCAGTTGATGAGTTCACTCCTCATGGCTGCTATGGAGAAGCTGGCAGGAATGAGAACTTCAGCACCTGTTGTTCTGGACACGGCGGAAGATACTGTTACGAGATTAATGAGGGGGTTGTTTGGTAATCTCATGACTACAGCTGGATCCGGAGTTCGGCCTTTGAGCATGGTGTGGCAGCTCTTTGGTCTTACTCCACAGTACGACATTCCTGCCTCTTCCACCGACTGGGTATGGTATGAGAACGTCGTCAAGCTGTATCCTTACACCGGATGGCCACTGAAGCAATTCCACGACAACCTCGCTAAGCTTCTTGACAAGATCATTCTGCGAGTCATCACCAAGAACGAAGACACCGCTCAAATCAAGATGAGTGCCGCTCTAAGTATGGTTCAGTACTGTAAGCTTCGAAACATCCAGCTTGAGCACTGCCGCACCATCGTTACCGTGTTCGAGAGAATGTTTGCTAACGACAAGGCGGATGTCGCGATTATTTCTGGGCGACTGCTAGAGAATGTCCCCACCAAGCTGGAGAAGCAGACTTCAGGGTTTACGAAGATGATAAAATATCTGAGACATCTGTCTAAGGATGGTGAAAGGCGTTCCGCGGACGATCTCGTCTATGCTAGCGTTTACACAAAGCGATCCGCAGCATTCAAGGAACTCAAGACCACAGTTGCTGAAGCATGTGGGGAAAAGGACTGGGACAAGGCAAAGACAAACTGCCAGGCCCTGCTGGACGAGCATAAAAAGATTGCCTTGTTCTGGCAGGTTGAGCCTGGGAAGCTCAAGATTCAGAACCTGCACACTTATCACGAATTGATCGATGCAAACTTATCAGAGGATGCGGACCAGGCGACAAAGGTCAAGACAAGGAAGACTGTCCAGAGGATCCTGGATGATGCAGAGAAGACGAGGGTTGCTTGGCAGGTTGGCAAGGATGCAGAAAAGAATGGCATTGAGCCCCTCGACGAAACCTTCCTCGAATTAGTCCTCACTGGAAAGAAGTTCGGCACAGAAGAGAACACTTCTCAGTCACTCGTTGGGCCGGCTCCCGTTGACAAAGGAGAATTCTCAGAGTTTGAGGGCTCTGTCGTTCCCAGATTTATTTCTACCATGGAGAAGGACCTTTCCCCTGAGGATGTGTGCGAGGTTCTCAACGTACCCGTTTCTACCATGAGGGTGTTCATTAAGGCTTTGAACCCTGATTTTGAGTGGGATGACTTGGGGCAGCAGTTCAAGATGGTGATTTTGGGACTTTTGAGGCACAGGACCAACAGGGTGGAGAGTAGGCCTGCTTCTAGATTATTGCGTGTGTTGTGAGGAAGGAATTCGAGATGGATGAGCATTGATGTGTTATGATAGTTAATGTCTATTTAATTACGAAGGTCTTTCTACCATAGAACTATCTACTGTGAATCAATGCTCTAAAGCTTCTGTGACAGGGAGAGTCTGATGTCCCTGTCGATTATTTGCATGGCTTGTAGACACTCCTCGTCTCTAAACCGAGGTGCCACAATCTGGATTGCGCAAGGTGCACCGTCTGTTTCCTCTGGGACATCTATTCAAGTTAGTAGAGTCATCAAAGAATTGGAATCTGACATCACTCACAGTCTGGCTCGAAGGCGGTTGTGGCTTTGATGACTTCGTCATCGACAAGCTTGGAAGACGTGCCGAAAGGAATAATTCCAGCAGGGAACTGTACGAGGGTTAGTACAGGCTCTTTAAAGCTGGACAGGGTTTACTCACGTCCAAAACATTCCACATCAATGTATACACTGGGTTACCATATGTATCATGTGGGACAGCCGTCGACGAAGCTCCCGGTGCGAGAACAACATCGAGACCATTGTCGCGCCAAACCTCTTGCCACGCCTTACCATACTCCAACTTGACCTCGCCTAAGCTGAACAACTTATCAGCTAACTCAAGGTCCGGACGAACAGGGAACTCTCCCTTAGAGAATGGATGAACTAATCTGGCTACCGAAGCAACGAGCGGCTCACCGCATTCTCGAGAGATGGTGTCCGGGTCAGGGCCGACCAGAGTGAAGTACTGGAAGCCAATTCTTGCGCCGTGTCCTGCGTTGCGCTTGGGGTCGGCTTGGATTTGGACGATTTTATGGCCGGCACCTTCAAGGGCTGATGCAGCTTTGGCTAGAGAGCGCCGGACAGGTGGACTCAGAGGGTAATCAGGGTCTTCAGCCATGACGCCGATGGTTAACCTCTTATCAGCAGCACCACTAAGATCTCTCCATGGGATATCGGCGACGGAGGGGTCATAGTTCCAAGGTCTTTGGCCCATGGTGATCTTCATGAACAACTCTAGGTCTTCCACGGAGTTCGCCATGGGTCCACCAACTGGTGTCACACCAGGCAAATGAGGCCTTCTGAAAGGGTATTCTGATTGTCCACCGAAGGGTACACGGTCTGCGGTCGGTTTGAAACCGTATATACCGCAGCAAAGAGATGGAATGCGGATGGAGCCAGCAATATCACTACCAACTCCAAGTAAAGAGCCTCTGAATGCGATAAGGGAACCTTCGCCGCCGGTTGAACCGCCTGCTGTCAGAGTTGTTCTGTGAGGGTTGAGTGCACGGCCAAAGACGTTGTTCTCTGAGTCCGCCGTCTATAAACCTGTCAGAAAGGTCTAAGGATCGGATGCGAGATACGTACCATCATGGTTTGAGGCAGATTAGTCTTGCAATACAGAACTGCTCCTGCATCAAGAAGGAGATCAACTAGTGCAGAGTTTGTATGTGGAATAGGCTGTCGAAGAAACTCGACATATCCAACTGTGGCATAATGGCCTTTGACAACATATGAATCCTGGATAATCAGCACTGATGCATTCGGTGAATTAAACTCTGCTTACCTTGAGACTAATGGGAAGTCCATGTAGGGGGCCTGCCAATTTCCCAGTCTCTTTCAACTGCTTATCGAGCTGTCTAGCTCTCTCAATTCCCTCTTCGAAAAAGATCTCAGTCAAACAAGATGTCTAGGAAATGTTAGCCATCATGTGGGTTCGGTGTGGAGTGCAACGGACCAATTGTTGAGCCAGACTGGCGCGCTTAGAGAAGGCAACGACAACCTCCTCTGAAGTGATTTCCTGGCGGTGTATCTTGCTGAGCAACTCAGAAGCGGTGAATCGCTCAGTAATGTTGATCTCCTTATCAGAAAGTAGTCCAGATCTCTGAGCGGCCTTGGATTCTATCAGGCGATCGCCTTCCTTCAGAGTTTCGAGTTGCTTCTCTGGGAGCAACCATTCTTTGTGAACCGCTTCAACCTGCTTCTCACGATGGAGAGCGGCGATAGTTTTCCAACTCGTAGTAGCAGGCATTTTGATAACAAGATATGGGGTGGAGTATGATAGAAGGAAGGATGGTAGTTGCAAGATGTGTTTATCAAGAATGATAGAGTGACAGATATGCGTGGTTTTGGCTAGAACCTTGGCAGAAGAAATATCCGACTCCAGAACCCGTCAATCTTCCCCGCACGAAACGTTCCATAGATGGAAGAGTGCATGGCGACGACGCATTGGCACTACGAAACAGTACGACACTACTCTGGCGAAACTAACGATATAGGCGAAGCGCGTCTACCTTCTACTTTGGGGTATTAAATGCGCCCGGTAATCGGCATATCCCAACGGCATAAACTGGGCCACGATCGACATGATGCAGATGCATGTAATAACAACCCTTGATATCAAGATAAATGATGGTCTAGACTCTCCAAGTGTAGTTGATACATCCTGTATTACAGATGCTATCAACTTGCCCAAGATGTCATCCAAGAGTGTCCTTTCCGAAGCTATCGTCCATGTGCCCTCTCCCGGAAATGATTATTCTCATTCCGACCCTTCCATGCCTCGAATGCGAATGCCCCATCTTGAATTCATCTACCGCATCGTTGCCGAGATGGACAAGGGCGGGGTCGAAGCGATTGAAGGTGTAGATAGTACCGACAAGACTCGGCTCTATCTGCCCATTCAAGGGGGAACGGTGCATGGTCCTCAGATCAGGGGTGTAATAGTTCACAAGAGCGGCGCAGACTGGGCCGAGGTAATCAATCCCAAAAAGGTCAATATCTCTTCCTTCTTCACAGTTGTTATCATCTCACTATGAAACTAACAGAGAAGTGTTTAGTCTTTTGTTCGGTTGAACGCTACGTACATGCTCAAGACAGATGATAACGTACACATCCTTGTCAAAGCACAGGGGGTATACAGGACCGGTCCGGGGCTGGAAGATAAGGCCGGCGAGCAAGATATAGCTTCTCAGGACGATGTGGAGTATTTTACTCATATCACATTTGAGGCACCAGGAGGTAGTAGGTATGGATGGATGAACGGGGTTGTTGCCATCGGGGTCATGACCATGTGGCACGGCAAACCCGTTATTGACTGCTACCGATTGACCAACTTTCCTGGTAGAATTGCAGCGAATTTATAATGAACAGATGAAACAATGTTAAGTCTTTGAATACAATTTTTATCAATGACTAAACAAAAATAAGACCATGAAGCCATCCTAACTACTGCATTCCCAAACTCCAAACTAGACCTATTGCTGCAACAGCATGCATCATCAAATTTCAGACCGCTTTGCAACCAATTTCCAGTATCTCGGCGCCAAAGCCGTACGGATCTTCTTGCCCCAAATAATCATGGGAATGAAGAGACATCCAATAGCAAAGGCGATCATGCCTGCCAGGATATACATGTTAGATAATCCCATCGTGTTCATCCAAGGAACGATAGCAAAGGGAACGGCGACTGAGACGGCGTTGCGCATAAAGGCGATTCCGATAAAAGCTTCAGCTGTGAGCTCACGGTATGTATCAATGACAAGAGTAAAGGTGATGTCGCCGTTGGCACCGAGTCCGAAGGCGAAGAAGGCTCCGCCGATAGAGGGATATATCCAGTGCATGCCCTAAAAGTGTCAATAAGCGAATCAGTTGTGCTATACATGGGTTTACTTACTCGGTCAGCAGTCACACCAAACATGATGATACCACCAGCCATGAAAATGGTGGTGATCGCCAGAGGATAAAGTCTCATCTCGGGTTCAAAAAGGCCCCCGTTTCTTCGTGCCAACCGAACAATGGCCCAGTCAGCGAATGGTCCTCCATAGATGCTTCCAAAGACATTGCCGACAAATGGACCAAGAGCCATGTATCCAACCCCGGCAGTGGTAAACAGATATGGAGGCGCAGAGAACACAATAGATGTGACTTGCATGAAGACAACAAGCCAACAAACTCCAGAGGCGAACTGCAGAGCTGTAAACATGACGTGGGGCAGGGCGATAACGTAGAGAGGCATCATGAACAGCTTAGGAAGGGACTCGGATGTTGTGGTGGCAAGACGAAGACGTTGACGCCATGAGTTCATAGGGATGGTGGTGTCAATTTGTGTAGCGACACTGATGACCTTTTCCATTTTGGTCTTTTCGTCCATGTCATCTTTGGATTCGGGACGCTCTTCCGATGCATCATCGATGACATTAGTCTGGCCCAGGGTAACGGGGATATACTTTGTCTCTTCAAAGGCTACGAGGAACATGACAGAGAGGATGCTTAAGCAGATGGCCAGACTGTAGTAAGACCATCGCCAGCCTTGATTGGCAGCTTGAGTACCCGCAGCCATAGGAGCAAGGAAAGCGCCCACCATGACGGCAGTGAAGTAAATCGCATTCGCAGAGCCGCGACGATGGACAAAGAAGAGGTCGGCAATCTTGAAGAGACATTAGTGTATATACAATACAATGGAACGGATATGTCCTTACCGTCATCTGCACAGCAGTCTCATTGATAGCTCCAGCAAGACCAGTGATGATCTGTGTAATGATCAACTCCGCATAGCTCTCCATCCTAGCACTCCACCAAGTGACAGCCGCAAGAACGATACAAGACAAAACATAAGTAGGTCGTCGTCCGTACTTGATGGTGAACGGAATAAAGAACAAACATCCCAGTGCTAGACCAGCTAGCTGAGCCGAGGAAGAGTAGGTAAGCTGTGTGATAGTAACGCCCATATCAACAGTCATCTGCTGCCAAAAGACGGTTTGGATGGAAAGGTTGGTGAAAGCGGCCACCGTAACGGCGATAGTGAAGCCGAAGTTGAGACATTTGCGCCAAGAGGACCAATTCTAGAGTGGAACCCGTTAACTTATTGAGACAAGAACACTCAAGCTGGGAGAGCTAACCAACGGCTCATTGGGATCTGAGGAAGGTGTAGGTTGGAGGACGAACGTTGACGCGTCGGTTGATACTTCTGCTATGCTGAGTCAGTATGTAATTGACGATGGTGATCATCAATGGTAGGGGTATCGTGTCGTTGTGGGAACGTACCCAGGATTAACCGAACCTCGCCGGGGATAACCACGGGGTCGGGAGATGCCATGTCGATGATGATGATGGCAATGAAGGAAGATCAAATGAATAGCAGAAGAAAGATGACAGTCAATATAGAGATTAAATATGTTGAATTGATCTGCTGCTCATGCGCGAGGCGGCTAGGTTATATAACATGCAGTTGGAGGTTTGGAATAATGGGATAAAGTGGGATACGAGTTAATCGATTGTCGACAAGATGCCCAAAAGCAGGAGAGATCACCTAGTTAGATTACAGCCACACACACACACATGTGGAATATTGATGTTCGTGCGTGCATGCATGAGTGCTTCTTGGTGTAGTTCAAGGCACGAGACAAACTTGATACATTCGTAGCCTGACGTCGAGTCGCGTCCAACAGGTGTGAGACTTGGAACATAGGGGGAGGAATGAAGAAGAAGCAGAGATCAAAGCAGCAAGAAGTGGCCTGTACGCAGAAATTAGCTTTGGACTAGTGCGCACTACAGCAGTAATCTGCCGCCTGACCCTTGTCGGTACTTGTCTTGTTAGCCCTAGTCCACCAAACTGTCACTAACTGACCCTGGCTAGACAAGTCACTCGCTTCGCTTCTGCTCTGCTATCCCACTTTCTCTGGGTCGTTCGCTACTCTCCACGTTTTGACATGGCCAAGCCACCAACAGGACACAACCTGGTGTGTGTGGCTGTGATAAGATGATATGAGAGCCTGACTTGACAGACTAAACTCGTTTGGGTACTTCGTTGCGCGGCGCCTCTTTCACCCCTTTTCGGTCTATAAACTCCTCATGCGCGCCCCCGCAAACAGCAAGTTCGCTTTAATTTTCCCACTCTCTCCCCTCTTTTTGGGTAATCAATCCATATCCCTGAATTGCCGAGACGCGTCCAACCGATCGATAGACAAACCTACCATTACGAGCCCATACTATTCTTGTCGTTCATTCGAGCTATCCTATTCGAGCCCATTTCTTTTCTAAATCTCCCCCGCAGATCTTGTACCCGAAGCTAGCTGTCCGAACCACCCTCTCGGGGCTAAGGAAGGGTTCAGGGCCAGAGGTTGGCACCTGGGTTATCGCTAGGTAGAAGAGACTTTGGTCATGGCCCGCTCACGGGGAGGATGCCTGAATTGTAAAGCGCGGAAGCGAAAATGCGACCAAGGACGTCCAGAGTGTCAGGCTTGCTCCCAAAGAGGCATGAGATGCCAGGGCTACTCTACGCCTTTGAGATGGGTGAATGGTGTTGCGTCTAGGGGACGCTTTGCTGGAGCCTCCATCCCCGACGCGTCATTCGTTCAACCTCCCACACTTCCTTATCCTCAGCAACAACAGCAACCCCAGTATCCTCCTAGTGCTGCTGGTAGCAATCCAGATATGTCAATTGACTCTGAGAATTCCCTCTCTGGCGTTACATCGAATCACGACCCCTCCAGCACAGAGTCGTCGGCTTTTTCGCCCCGAAGCGCGACAGGCGTACCAGATCCATCAGATCGGATCTTCAAGAGATGTCATTACTCCTTCTCCTCTTTTCATATTACCGACCTCGGTAATGAAACGGATAGTCACTAAATCTCGGTCTAGTCATGCGCAATGGGCTCAATCACCTGTACACAACGGAAGCGAGTTCTTGGATCAAGCCCTTCTTCGAGGAGATGGCGCTCCAGAGTCCGGCCCTCGTCATGATCGCTGGCGCCATACAGGGCTACATGGATGATGGCATGTCGGTCAAATCGATGGAGTACGTCGACTTGGCTCTACAGGCGTTTCGTCAGGAGCTTAATACCCGGTACGAGAGGTTCCATGTCGCGACCGTGTGTGCTGGGTTGCTCGTCTGCTCCTTATGTGTATGTCTGCAATTTTTCACTCTTACATCTCACTTTTACCTGTTTGTCCCTTTATGCCGACAGTACCTGACATGACCATTGTTGTTGTGTACTTGCTAACTCTAGTGCAGTTGCTTCAAGCAAAAGAATGGACCATGTACCTCGAGCTCATGGTCAACATCTACGACTTGCGAAACAAGTTAAAAACCCCAGGTCAAATCCCCATTGACAATCTCTATCATCAGCACATCCTTGAAGTCCTGGGTGTCATGGACCTTCCCTCCATGGTCATCGGTAGAGCCAAACCACCCATCGGCGTCTGGAAGCTCCTTCGTCGTCTCCAAGCTGACACTCAGAGCGGTCGAGCCGACGGCATCGAAGTCGTGTCGGGTGTCCCGCGATCATTACTAGACATATTTGCAGGACTCGTCGATAACGATCCGGAGTATACTGAGAGTCGCTTTTGGGCATGGCCGGGTGACATAGGTGAGTCATTACACGTGCACCTCTGGGAGTCCTGGAGGCTGGCTGGCATTCTTGAAGTTCGTCGCCGTCAGAGAATGGAGCGAAAAGCAAGGGGCATTATTGACCTGTACGACGAAACACCCAAAAACTTTCCTAGCACAGAAGTTGTACTTTGTCGTCTCATTGCAGCAATAGATGCTCTTCTGAAGGCCTATGAAGAGCCTCGTAACCAGCACTTGTTAGTACATAACGGTTTGACGTATCCCGTCATCAACGCCGGTCTGGAGGTTCCGCTACTAAAGCTACATCCTACGTGGAAAAGGACTATGGAAGATGTCAAAAAATCCTTCGCGACTGACACTGTTGAGCTGATCAAGGTGATGTTTGAGCTGATCGACGCGGCGTGGGAAGACGGGACATCGACGTTCGATATCGAGAAGGTGGCGCGGGAAAGAAATATTGAACTTGCTATTTTCTAATTGCATATGGAAAAGCAGGCGCATCATGTCATGTAACAACATGTATACTATCATTATCTGTTATGATCTATGGCATTGTTAACCAACCAACTTCGGGGCTGGTCCTTTCTTGTTTATTTCCCAATGAACGACGCCACTCGATCGATGAGTGATTCGGTGTACTCAGTTTCGGGAGCACTGTAATCCACTGTATAAAACGATACAGACGCCTTTCCGTTCTCAACAACATACGTCTCACCGGGCAGCGAGCAGTTGCCATTGATACAAGCATTCACGCCGGCAGCATAAGGCTTGATGTTGGCCCACGTAAACGTTCCCTTCTTCGGATCAAGCACCGCTTCGTTAACGTGCGCATTGCCCGTGAACCTCGTCTGCACGAATTCGGGGTCGTGATCTTTCTTCGTCAACACGGGAAGATTGACATTGACGCCGTAACCGATGGGCAAAAGGGGACCGTTCTTGCCAGCTGTCGAAATAAAGTTCTCGACGAATTTTACAGAGGCTTGGGCAGCCCACGTAGCTGGGTTGGTGCGGTTTGTCAGTTCGAAGTAGGGAACTTCCTGGTTGCTCGCTGATATGGCAATTGCGGGAATTCCACGGTTTGTAGCGGCGTATCTACAGTCCTGTCAGTATTTTATACGTTTCACTGAGTCGATGTGTTGAAGACTTACGCAGCACCAGCAGTACCGGATAGAGTCCATACGAAACCGCCCAAGTTGGTGCCATAGTTAGGACCAGTCACCTAAGGAAGTAAGTATCAATGTTGGTCTGTCAAAAGGGTCAAAACGTACGACAAGGTCAGGAACGCTAAAGTTGGCGTATCGGGGGAGAACATAGTCGAGAGCAACAAATGTGCACGCAGCAGGAGTGCCATTGTAGTACCAGATTTGGCTATCCTTTGGATCACTTCCGACCTAAAAAAGATCTGTTAGTCTCATCTCATTGCGACCCGTGTACTTGGTGATCATACTGATGGTGCGCCCTTGGGAATTAGATCGTATTGAGAAGGTCCAGTCAAATTGCCCTCGGTGGTGAAATCAGAGGTACCGCCCTTGCCACTTTGCTTGGTGGCTGGTGCAACGAGCCAGACTGGTCAAGGTATGTCAGTTATTGGTTCCTGGAAAAATGAAGGAGGCTTGGTACCATTGTGGCCCTTTTCCTTGAAGAGACGGTACATCTCACGCAAGTTCGCAGATCCGAATCCATCATCATTGTTAAGAAGGATGTTCAGAGCCTGTGAGGACGAGAACAGGGCTGCTCCAGTGAGGATAGTTGACAGACGCATCTTGACTCTACACCTTTATGGTGTGATGGAATTGAGCTTATTTGGACAAGATCAAAGGAGGACATCCAGAGAACAAGTTAATTGAGAGAACTGACGATCTTTTATCTATAGACAACATAGGCGGAGTACGGCAATGTCCGTTATCACAACTGCCAAGACTTCAAAAGTTCCTTATTCCTTCACTCTGTATCTAAAGCTCGCGTGCTCTCCTTCCAAACGTGGGTAAGGTCATGTTGGGATATTAGTTCTGGGGGAGGTGGTTGGTGGATGATCATGTTAGACTTGCGATATGCCCTTATCTACAGTTATCCTAAAATTGGCTACAAAGAGTTAGTGCCATAACTTCGAGCTACTGTTATCTCTTTACCGTTCTGCAAAGCGGGGTTTTGGTTGGGATCGCCAGAGCTTATCGGCTACGCGGCTCGAAAAGGACCAGCTAGCCTTGCTTGCGGAAGAAAGATAACCCGTGTCTCCTGGCCTCTGAACGTACTTTCAACATGCAATATAGTTTTGTTTTATTATACTGATGTGTTTGTTCCCTCTTCTGTCGGAGCAACATCTTGATCTGTGTTTTACAGGGTAGTTTCGTAAAGGTTGGTTGTGTCTTATCACATGTGATGTGAACCGTTATGCTGAATAGTATTACGCAAGCCTCTGAGATGACAGGTGCAAGAAACCATTCAAAAGACTCAATAATAATATGATTGATAGACACATGTTTATTTTTAAGAGACTTTTGAACCTCACCAAAAGAGAAATGCATTTATTGCAATGAATTTGGCGATTAAGACTTCTTTTTAAATCGTTTACCCTATACACGATGACTCATCACGAAAGCTCCAGTCACCAGCGGATATTGGTCTTCAAACTTTTCAATCATCACGAAATCACAGCAACGATCATATTTTGTGACCAAAATGGACGCAACTACAGCTTCCGGACTCCCACCTAACGTGGTCATCTTCTCCCCCCAAAACTCCTTATTCATCAACTCGCTCCTTGGAGCAGGCATTTTCACCCGCCTTGTTACCAGCGCAAGCACCACTCCTGAGAAACTTGCCGCCCTCAAAAATCACGCTGGAGTGAAGGACGAATTTTCCTTGTTCCACCGAAACGCTGTCCTTATTTTCGACGCGAGTGGAAATGAAGATGTGCATCATGAACACTTCCGCACTATCTGTCTTGCGCTGAAGGAACTGGATATCGGATTGGACGTGGCAGGCTGCATAAACGATGCGACGGATTCTCTGGCAGCTGGGTTTCAACTTGACAAGGTGAATGACAAGTCAGCACTTGTTATTGATCTTGTCGAGAAGGATGAGGATAGCGACGAGGAGGAGGAGATGTTTGTTATGTGAGGATCTGCAGTGGTAAAAGATTTTAGTGCAAGCTGTGGACTGAACAGAAAAGATGACGTCTTATCGTCACGCTGCAAAAATAAATGAATCAGGGACTACGCTCAAAAACGCCACAAGCCGGCTCACTATTTCTGCCATATTAAATTTCAATCGACAATCTTTCTGGCCTCCAGAGACCCAGTCGGTGGCCAACCTGCCAAGACTCAGCTGGATCTAAGCCTCGTGAGCCTTGCAAACAGCCCTGCTGTGCCACTAAAACACCTACGAAATAAGCGTCAACACAAGAAATAAGCAACTTCAAACAAACCCCTCATCAACTCCAACAGGACAAAATATCGCCTCGATGGAGGCAGCAGGGCTTGCGATAGGAATTGTAGGCATCGCTGGTCTTTTCAATACTTGTCTAGATTCATTGGCAAGGTTTCAATCGTACAAATCTTCCTATGCCGATTCTCATGTTCTCGATACGCGGTTCCGCGCTGCTAGAACAAGATTCGAGCAATGGGGCACCAGTGTAGGAATATCGGAGGGAAGACTTTTGCCAGATCATCATCATGGGTTGAATGACGAAAATACAGCCGGTGTGATTCAGGATATTCTTCAAATCATTTCCAAAACCATTTGCGACAATGGAAATACACAGCAGAATTTGCACCACAATGAGCGGTTTGCTGGGATTTTACAATCGAGGCGAAAGAGACTTAGGTGGGCTCTTGGAGGCAAAGAAGATCGTACGGAACAGGTCGAAATATTTGAAAAGCTGGTGGAACACCTGCACAATCTGGTATCAGTCGATAACAAAGACCACAAGCACTATGAAGAGAAAAAGGAGGACGGTTGGTCTGATGTACGGCAAATCTTGCTCAATATGGAGCAAGGAATGAAGAGTAAGTCACTTTTTATATGATAGTTCGTGACCTAACACACTGTAGATGAGATGCGACGCGATATCTACTCATGGTTGGGAATACACTCTTCCAATGATACGTATCGAGACTCTTTGGACAAGCGAGTAGAAAACACATGCAGTTGGATTTTTGATCGACCAGAGTTTGAGACTTGGCTGTCTCCCGAAAACCCAACCTCTCCAGGTCTACTTTGGATCAATGGCCCCGCAGGATTTGGAAAAACAGTCCTTTGCGCCCGCATCGTGCAGCATCTTTCGAGAATCCTGACTTCACCCGTTTCTTACTTCTTCTTCGCATCCGACCTTGGCACTCGGGATGCTCCCTACCTAGCGTTACGATCCTGGATACACCAGGTGGCTGACGTCCACGAAGATGCTTTCGAATGCGTCCGTCGGGCTTGGGAGGCTTTCCCTACCGAAAAGGCTTCTCGGAGGAACCTGGTTGATCTATTTACTGAGATTGTCGATGTTGTACCTGGATGCACATTTATCGCTGATGGATTGGATGAGTGTTCACAGCTTGGAATTGACGATTCTTCGCTCGCGCAATTTCTTTCTGATGTGATACAGACAGTCACAGATAGTAGCGCCAAACTTTTGTTTATCAGTCGAGATGAGCCAGAAATCAGAACAGCTTTAGAAGAAAACGCACCGGAGCTCTTCACAGAGTACAGGATCATCCCAGACGACGTACAATCAGACACTGCAGCCTTCTCACAGTTCATCGTGGACAAGAAACTTTCGAACAAGAGCGAAGATATCAGAACGGCCATTTCAGATGCAATGACAAGAAGATGCGAAGGCCAGTTCCTGTGGATCCGGATGCAAGAAGAAACACTCAGGAAAGGCATGAGTAAGAAACGCTTGCATGAAGCTGTGGAGAATACACCTCCAGGGCTCGATCGTCTTTACGACCATAATTGGAAGAGAATCCTAGAGATGTCGCAGTGGGAAAAAGACCGAGTTTTTGCGATGCTACGATGGGCCGCGTTTGCAAGGCGGGCTCTTTCAGTGTACGAAATCACAGAGGCTGCCATAATAACTCAGTTCGAGGAACTAGATCCGGATGAGTATCCTGACGAGTTTGACAACGAGTACATTAGGACAGAAATCGTCGGACTGTGTGGCCCTCTGTTGGAGGTGAAGAATGTGTTCGTTCACATACCTCACTTCTCTGTACGCCAATACCTTGGACAGCATCTCCCACTGCCAAGTTGGATCCATCAAAATGGCCAGCTGCAAAGTTCCTATGAAGCTTACCACCACATAGTCATCGCCAGGGCTTGTCTTCAGTATTTTAATCAGTCTCAAGTATGGCAGAAGTCATACAATACCAATTCAGCCAGCAGAAGTCTTCGACGGTATGCCGCTGGAACATGGGTCAAGCATGTGAAGGACGCCTCTTGGGATGACTCTGTTTGGGAACTTGCTACAGAACTGATGAGAGAGGAGAGCCCAGTTTGGAAGCTCTTTTCTGAGTATGTGTCCGAGGCCATGAATGCGGAGTGTAAGAAAGACGGGGAGCTAGAAAATCACATACCACTAAGCCCTCTTGAATATGCCTTGAACTGCGAGTGGAAGGACATGGCTGATCGCCTCATAACCAAGACCAATGTGAACAGATTGGGCTCCAACGGAAGTACTCCACTTACGCAAGCTTGCAAAGCCAATATGCCTGAAACGGTGGAAAGGCTCCTCCAAGCTGGTGCCGATGTGATGTTTGCATGGGAAAAGACACACACTCCTCTGCATCTAGCAGTTTGGGATGAGTATGAAGAAATAGTCCAAATATTACTGAGCCATGGAGCAGACCCATCGGCGCAAGACAATTCTGGCAGAACACCGCTCCATGTAGCTTCAGTCAAAGGGAACTTGAAGTGTTGCGAACATTTAATTAGAAGCGGTGCAGATTTGACTAGGAAAGAATTTCAGGGTATGACAGCCTTGCATATGGCGTGCTGTGAAACCGGCCACAGTGAGGTAGCCAGACTAATACTGCAAACCGGACCTGATGGTATGGTACTGGAACCGTGCTCCGCAGGCCCTCCGCTGCACTTTGTCTGCCACACCGGTGATACCGAGATGGCGAAAGTCTTGATTGATCATGGCTGCGCCGCATCATTTACTGTTGTGAATCCCAACGGTGCTACAGCGATTATGTTGGCTGCCGTCCAAGGTCATACTGATCTAGTCAAACTACTCCTGGACCATGGGGCAGACACCACGCTATCCACTGCGACAAAGAATGATGGATTGACGCTACTACACTTAGCGTGTATTATGGAAGATTCGGAGGAGTTGATGAAAGTGATACTTCGTCACGGTGTTGAAGATTCGATGTTCATAGTTGACAGCGAGGGGCGTACGCCACTACACTTTGCAGCATATCATGGGAGGACCAACGCGGTCAAATCAATCTTTGAGTACAAACAAGAAAACAAAAGATCATTGCTTGATACTAGGACAACGAAACTTCACACTCCATTATGGCGTGCAGCGCGGAATGACCATTCGGAAGTTGTCACAGTTCTGTTAGACCATGGGGCTGCCGAAACTATTACCGCGACCGACGTGAATGGAAAGACTGCATTGTGGATTGCATCACGGTATGGTCATACCAGTACTGTTCAGCAACTACTCAGTCGAGGAGCTGCAGGAACGATTGACGTGGCTTCAGTTGACGGGGATACACCGTTATGGGTCGCCTCGAGCTACGGCCATGTAGATGTCGTCAGGCTGTTACTCGAGTATGGTGCCGAATCTACCATAGCAATCGCTGATATAAATGGTGAGACGCCTTTATACACTGCATCGCGCGGGGGGCATCTGGAGATTGTCAAGTTACTTCTCGGCCATGGAGCCGAGTCAACCATTGAATCAGTCGATGTCCATTTTGAGACAGCGCTCTACGCTGCCTCAAATGCAGGGCATGTGGAAATCGTCAGAGAACTACTGGCTCATGGTGCTAAGTCCACTGTTACAACCATAACTGCATTTGGCAATAGTCCACTATATGCTGCGTGTAAAAGCGACAAGTTTGATATTGTTAAGCAACTACTTGATCATGGCGCCGAGGCAACCATTATCGTTGCGAACGACAAGGGTAACACGCCACTTCATGAAGCGTTATACAACGGTCATGTTGAGATGATAAATCTGTTATTCGACCACGGCGCCGAACTGACCATTAGAGCTTTGGATAAGAATGGCGACTGCCCCTTGTATGTGGCAGCAGCGAGAGGAGACATTGGGCCAGTTGATAAACTGCTTCAACACGGAGCTGAGTCGGACATTGCAACTTTGACAGTTGACAACAGATCAGCAGTTTTCGCCGCAGCCGAGAGTGGTAGCTTAGAGGTGTTCCAAAGGTTGCTTGAGTATGAGGAAGCTGAGCCAACTCTGATGATCGTGGACGACTACAACAAGAGTCTTCTTTTTGCCGCATCAAGGGGAGGCAGCGCCGGGATTGTAACAGAGCTTCTTGATTGCGGACTGGAGCAGCATATCTCGCTCCCCGCAAAGTCTGGAGATACACCTTTATCCATTGCCGCACATAATGACCATGTCGACGTTGTCACACTTCTTCTGTCCGTCCCTGAAGTGTCGGTCAACCATGCCAATAATTATGGTGTTACGCCACTTTTCTCTGCCGCTCGCTTTGGTCATATCGAAACGGTAAAGATCCTTCTTTCTAGTCCAGATATCGAACTAGACTGCGAAAACTGGAAGTATCTTACACCCTTACACGCAGCAGTAGCCAACGGCCATGTCGAGATTGCAAAACTCCTTATTGAGCATGGTGCCGCCATCATTGCCTGGCCGACAGTAGGTCAAAATTTGCTATGGTGGGCAGGGCGCACAGGAAATCCCGACATGGTAGAGCTACTGCAGTCAATTGGACTGACTGAAGACTCTCTCGGCCCTTTCAGATACTTTCGCAGGGAAGCTCCACCGGACGATGCTGCGACTGTTGTCTGTAATGTCGACTTTGGATACTGCGATGTCTGCACACTGACTGTGGAGGACGACAAGGGTTATGGATGCAACAAGTGCTGGGAAGAGTTTTGGGACGAGGTCCTGATTTGTTCAGAGTGCTTTGATAGAGAGTATGATGTGTGTATAAACGAACATACATTGGTTCAGAGAAAGAAGCTAGACTATTGAATGATTATACCATATCTACTACGCAATATTTTTGCTGTATCCAATAGTCATGAAGACAGATCGCAAATCATGATGCCAAGAAGGGAGGGGTCTTTCAGCTGCGCTATATTTTGCCCACTCACCAAAACATCTGAGAAACGAGTACCGCCTTCAGAACAGACTACAGGTCAAAGCGTCGGAATGGCGCTTAGCAGGGGCTGCAACAGGTTCAAAGTTCGATAGCGCATTGCATCATCGTCATCGGCAAGTTCTTGCCCATTCGGTAAACCTTCATGCATCTGCCGTCCCCAGCCACTTACGGCATGCTCGGAAGATCAGCCTCGACTCTCAGCTTACTTTCGTTTGACTACATAGATATCAAACTTACAACTTCAATAATTTTCTGTATAGCTCAAACAAAATGGTTTCCAAAACAGAACCCCCACAGCAAACCAAAGGTCTGTACTTCCATTTCGGGGATATAGACTGTCACCACTGACTATTATCAGCAGTATGGGCGACTCTGGTGACAGACACCAACTACCTAAAAGGTGTCTTGACTCTCAACCACCGTCTCCGTTGTGTCAAATCAAAGTATCCATTGCTAGTCCTCTACACCAATACGCTATCTGAGGCTGGTCTCGAAATTATCAAGAAACGCAACATTAGAACACTAGAAGTGCAACGCATATCGCCAACTACCTCGCAAGACTACCTTGAAGATGTGCGATTCTCAGAGTGCTGGACCAAACTGGTCGCATTTTCGCTTACCGACTTCTCGCGAATTGTCCTTTTGGATTCTGATATGCTGGTACTTCGCAACATGGATGAGCTGATGGATGTTGAGCTGGATGCTCCCTCCGACGAAACTAGTGCTCTGGTTCAGGGCAACAGGCTCTTTGCTGCTTCCCATGCGTGCACTTGTAATCCCCTTAGGAAAGCGCATTATCCACCAAACTGGATACCAGCAAACTGTTCGTTCACAGCACAACACGACAAGCCCGAGGTCGCTCAGAGCCATGGAGCAAGTCTATCCACTGGTTTGGGCAAACTGAACAGTGGACTTCTCGTCATCAATCCGTCTCAAATTCTCTTCACGCAGGTTCGAGCCAAGATGGATGACCCGAGCTGCTCAGAGTACAAGTTCCCTGATCAAGATCTTCTCGCAGACGTGTTCAAGGGCCGCTGGGTGGCATTGCCATACATATATAACGCTCTAAAGACCATGCGCGAGCCTAGTGTGCATGGGACAATATGGCGTGATGATCGAGTGAAGAATATTCACTACATTCTGAGTCCTAAGCCGTGGGATGAGTTGGAGGCTGATGGTTCGTGGGCTGGTGGGCAGGAAATCCATAAGTGGTGGCATGATGCTTACAAGTCAATGCTTGCAGAGGAGAGGGCCTTGGGTTTAGCGTAACTTGAAGTTGACTGTAACCATAGGAACTCATTTTATGGTAGAAGGTTTTTTTGGTGTAAACCATATCACTTTTCTTCTAGTGTGGCTAAAAGAAAATCCCCCCGAGACAATGAATTATCCACGCCAGGTTACTCATCGGCGTGGGCGTTCCCCCATTACAACCCTTGTTAGGCTCGACACCAAGTTTGTATTTGTATCTACGCAACTACGATCAATCTTCAGCGTGAGGCTTCACAAACTATCTCTTAATAGGTCTGTCGTTGTGGAAATACCATCCATAAAGTTAAACCAGATTAATCTCCGAGTCACGGCCGAATTCTTTGACAGCCCTAACCATCCGTTCAAGTCCCTCGAGCAGATACGTTCTTTCATGGGCAAAGACAATTCGGTACTAACCAGACACATCAGTCCCAAAGTCGCCGCCAGACGCAACAAAGATCCTTTCCTTCAGCAACGCCTGCGTCATCTTCGCCTCCATAGTCCTTAGAGTGGCTCCTGCATCTGCTTGCTTCATTGCGAAGCTGTCTATCAATGTTCTATTGGGTTCAAACAAATCAGCCCATACAAAGAGACCCGAGTTGGATCCCTCTTTATAAGGGATATTGTGGCTGAACAAGAACTCGGTTACTATTTTGTAGTTCTGTGTCAACCGCAGCCGATTTGTCTTGACGAAGCTTTCGAGAAACATATCGTCTGAGAGGATGCTCGTAGCGGCAAGGTCCGATAGTGAGGAAGGACCCGAAAACCCGGAATTTGCTACGCAGGAGCGCATAAGATCTTCATTGCGAGTGATCAGACAACCGATTCTTATGCCGTTCGCACCAAAATCCTGGAGCTGTGTCAGATTTCTAGGTCGTCTCTTTGAGCCCTGCTACAAACCTTACTCATTCCCCACAGAGCATGGACAAGATTCACATCGATCAATCCATTGGTGTCTATTGAAAGCACCGACGTGAACCCAGGTGCATATGGAACGCTGTCGTTTTTCCAAACTGACAAAGCATAGATTTCGTCGCAGAGGAGATGAAGACTGTGCTTTTGGCAGAGTCTCATGTATGCTTGCAGGACCTCGGAAGTATAACAACGACCTGTCATGAATTAGGTCATGTTCTATTGTGGAGTGGGTTGTCTTGACCTAAGGGGTTATGTGGGTTGCATAAGAGCAAAACCTTGACGCGAGTTCCTTGTTCTTGCGCGTCGATGAGAGCCTTCTCATAGCATTCCACGGCCTCAAGGCTGAACGGATCTACATCTCCGAAAGACACGCCAACAATTTTCGCCCTGTTTTTCATGAGAAATGGAAATTGTAGAGGGCTTGGTGACTTACTCAGCCCGATAGCCAAAATCGATTGGGAAGTTTCCGTAGTGAGGCCTACCAAGCAAAACACCATCACCTTTATCGCAGAGTGAGAAGCCGCTGAGTTCAATCGCCTGACCTACACCTGAAGTAACAATAAGCTGGTCTTTAGTCACGGCTTCGTGTGGGTTGAAGTTCCGATTGATGAATCGCGCAAGGACATCACGTAGGCGATGGGAGCCAGAGAAGCCATCTCCGCAAGTAAGTGAGTGGCTGTTGATAGTGAACTTGAGGGGAATCAGCATCCATTTGGCATTGACGATCCGGGATTGCTACATTATCTTTCATGTGTTGCATCAACTCTTGGTGCATGAGAGTCTGTTGGCTATTAGCGGGTACACTGTACTGAATCTGTCACGTTGGTAGCTACGTTTTCGGCTATACCGAGACTGACGTAACCACTGCGGTTCGTCTCGGGATGCCATAAGTCACAGAGGATATCCAGCAGCGATTGTCTGTAGGCTGGTGAAGCGAATACTTCGCCTCTGGTAGAAAGGTTTGCGTGCGACGGTGTCATTATCACTTAGCAATGATCTTGTTGCGGTGTCTCTTTATGATCCCATTTTTTGTGAAGGATTGCGGGTGCTTTTTGTATATCACCAAGTTCATCAAAGGAGCGGAAGGATTGACATGATTGCGTAAACCCTTACTGCCAAGCTCGTTGTCACCTGAAGGGCGCAGCAAATGACATCAGTGTGTGTATTGGCTGACAAAACTGGCTGTCCAATGTATTGTTTTCATTGCAGTAGCCGGGTCTTTGATTAATTGTTAATAGATGGACAATGCATGTTCGACGCATTCGATGAAACTATAACTACTCGTCTTCCCCTTCAGCCCATTCGATATGCCTCTCTGAGAACTCATAGCGAAGCTCGAACCTAACCTTACTCAACATCTTTTGTATGACAGATCCCAAAGACCGTTCTTCGTTTGCCTCCCACTTCTCCAGCCCCCATTCTGCATCAGATTCGCCAGGGCGGCGAACCCTACACAGACCGAAAACTATCATGAAGACTTCATAAGTACCATTGTTGGGAACAATCATAAAGTTGTCGGGCCGGACGTCGTCGTTGAGAACATTGTGATCGCTGATGATATGAACTATCTCAATAGCTCTGTCGACGATGTTTTGCCAGGACGATCTGGGTGCCTTGTCGATCATGTCTGACAGTGTGAAGCCTGGTAAATACTCCAATAGGAACCAGGTTGGTTGGAAGAACGATTAGTCACGCTTGCTCAAAGTCGTCTTGTGGAGAGAGTTGTCGAGGTTGAAAACCGCAACAAGTCGAGGAATACATAGTCCTTGACAATATTTCAGGTGTCAGTATGTTGAAAGTTCAGTGTTGTAGGACTTTTGTGTTTCAGTAGTAAGGTAAGCCTCATTTTCAGCTGCATTCCAGGTGTGCTCGGTGTTTTCTACAAAGTCTGGCACAAGGTGTAGATTTCGTAGAAACTTTCCCACCGCTCCGGATTGAAAGCCTTCAAACAACGCATCGTCCATTTTCTTCGCGGAGTTGCTGCGCACCTCTGCGATCGAACAACTTCAGGAAAAATTGAGTGCCGTCGGGCTCTTCCGGAAAGGGCGAAATTGATTCCACTACCATTCCACAAGATAAGGTCCATAGGCACTGTTGGCGCTTTACCTTGACGTCGATGGTAGTCGGCCAAGGTGCAGGATCGCGGGAGAAGTCGGCTTTCAAGGTGAGGATCTTTCCAATGGGGTATAAGCAATCCGCCACATTCTATGTTGCCGGTTCTAAATCCACCATCCTGATCAAGCGTAAGCGTTGTTGCTTGGACCTTGATTGTTGTGTGTGTTTAGAAAGTTGTGGTTGGGAGGAAACGAGAAAGATGAACTACCAATCAATGCCTCCAGTAGGTAGACTTTAATACGAAGTACGCTTCGCTAGAAAATATCGTGACAGATGTAAGGGAGAGCAATGGCGGCAAGTGAGAGAGAGACGCGGTGTAGTGATTATACCGGTACTACAGTGGGCAGGTATGATATTTCGAGTCATGATCGGTCACATGACTACTTGATCAGTTGAACCTGTGTAGCATTTCCACCGCTATATCTACTAGAGTTGTACATGTGCACTGTGGCTTTTCTGATCCTCATTCACCCTCATCGTCATCGGATAGGTATCTTTCTCTGCAAAACTTTGGCCCAGATTTTGAGGTCCACCCCTTCATCTTTCAAATGCTTGCACCAAAAGATCCTCGAACTTCGAACCATGAATAACGACTAGTTGCGAAGCTGTGAACTGGCTCAACGTTACCAATGACGGGCCCGTAGTCCTCAACGCGCCACCTACCCACTCGTTTTCGGTTTCAGCATCCCAAAGGTGCGTCCGAACATCAAACGGCAGGGCCTCAACACAAAGCGAATGCATCGCATAGCCTCTCTTTAACGAGCTATAGACCGCAAGGAGTATGTTGCAAACCATGATAGTTCGACGAACACTTTCGGAGAATAGCCATGCTTGCCAAGGACTCAAGGTGCTGGGCAATTGGACGGGCGCATGTTGCCAAAGCTGGTGTGTGAGCGCCCACATGTCTTCGTTATCGCTCTCTGTTTGATCTTCAGATGTATCTTTGCAGACTAAAAGACGGATGATTTGTGCAAGACTTATTGCTTGAGCGTAGGCTAGTGTATCTCCAAACGAGGAAGTGCGTGTTGCGGAGCGAAGTAACCGACGAATTGTGGATCGTAGAGCATCGAGTCGATGACTTGCGAGATACTCGCCTCCGACCTGGTAACTATAGCATAGGTCCCGAACCTGCTGGAGTTGATGCGGAAGACGTAGTGGATAGATACCAGAATGGATGAAAGCTGTTTTATTGTTTTCTGCAAACTCAGCTGGGAAGCCTCGCAGGATGGCTGATAAATGATGGAGTGTAGCTGGTTGGAAAACGCGTACTACTTCAAGATGTAAAGGATTGAAGATCCGAAGGCCAGTACTCGTGGGTTTGCTGACAATACTAGACTCGTGAAAATGTAATGCTGTGAGTGGAGGTCGAGATCCTCGATAATACCCATCGCGGAGAACTTGTCGAATGCGCATTTGTAAGCCAGTGTCCAGCTCCCCACTATGAACCAGGAACGATAAGTTTTGGCCATTTGAGAGATCACTCAATCTTTTCGACTGTTTGATGGACTTGATCATGCTTGTTTGGCATATATCAGCGGTTGCAGGGGCTGGTTGGTTGATGTAGCAGCATTTGATATTTTTGGTGGAGCATCTTCCGCAACATGGGGTGGCGAGATTGCAGCGGCGCCTGGCTTTGACGCAAGCTTGACAGGATCTCTGTAGGAGTGTCATCTTTTGCCTAAAGATCACTAATATTTCAGGTTGGAAGAATGGGTGTAGTTTGATGAAGAGACAATCTACGATCAAGATGTTGTAATCTCGCCGAACACTTTATCTTATCAGTTAGCTACAGGCGCTGAAACCCAAAGAGGATAAGCGTACCACTAAGCTACAGGGGCCTGAAGAGCATTTGAATTAAATATCAGTGCTCTCTTAGACCACACATACACAAAAGGTGGTCTAGTATTTCCGTCAACCATCAAGTCAGCATCGGTTATATGCGATGATCCAGAAGAGGACTAGTCTCCACCATGGATCAATCTGAAAGAGGTTTAGACTCCACCACCTTGTAGATGCAACGAGTTTGATGCTTGATGCTGCCGCGCTGTGATGACGATGCAACAACTGAGATGCTGATAAATTCAAGAAAACTTGTCAAGCAAGGAGAGAGATATAATAGTTGTAGAGGTAATCAGGACTATAAGTAGCCAGTTCTATCTCACTCTCTGTCAGATTTTGCCATCGCACCAAAACAACACCACTTACCCTATTCGACACATACAAACAGACACTTCCTGCTTTCTTACTTCAACATGGCCACCCAAATCAAGAATGTCATGATCCTTGGGGTATGTATCCTCTTGCTGTAACCAACGATAGATTATTAACTCAAATAACTGCCAGGGTCGAGGAAACCTTGGACCATACCTAGTTGCCTCCCTGATCAAAGCCGGCTTCAACGTGTCCGTTCTCAGCCGTGCAACTTCAGTCACCACAGACGAAACATTCCATAGTGCCACCATTGTCAAGTCTGATTACACCATGGAATCACTTATCCAAGTCTTCACTGGTCAAGATGCCGTCATCTCTACTCTTTCCACAGCCAATATCAACGAACAAAAAACGGTCATCGATGCAGTAGCTACTGCAAAGGTGAAGCGCTTCATGCCCAGTGAATTCGGAAGTGACACTTCCATTGAAGGAATCGAAAATATGGCACCGTTTCTGAAAGGAAAACAAGACGTCATGGACTATGTCAAGGCTAAGGAAGTGGAAAGGTTGACCTGGACAGCGCTTTTCACTGGACCTTGGATCGACTGGGTAAGACTGCTGATTTATTTCTCCGTTGAGGCTTCGGTATGCTGACTATGTATCCAATACACAGATGCTGATCGAGGGCAAAGGACTGCTTTGCTTAGACATAAAGTCCAAGACCGGTGAGCTAGTAGACGGAGGGAAACCAAAATTTACCACGACCACTGTATCTCAAGTCGGCGAAGCCACCGCAGCAGCACTGATACATTCCGACAAGACCAAAAATCAGTACGTGCATGTTTCGTCGTACAATATTTGCCAGGAACAAGTCATTGAAGCTCTCGAAAGAATCTCCAGCACTAAGTTTACGCTTGAAGAGTTGAGTAATGTGGACTTGTATGCGCGAGCAACCAAGCACGTTGAACAGCGTAACTGGATCACTGGTTACTACGAGCTAGCTTCTTCGACTGTTTATAGCGATGCTGAAGTCACCTACTTTCCCGACAAGGCGGAATATTGGAAGAAGGTTTTTGGGCTTGGCGAAGTAGAAAGCTTTGATGCAATGATAGCTCGGGTACTGGATGTTGTGTGTTAGAGGAGATCAAAGTATCTATCATTCGGTTGGATTTTCCTAAGCTTTAAATGATGGACACTAAGATTATGCTTAACATCGCCCTGGCTGAGGTTCGATCCATTTGATGAAAGGCAATGCAATGTGTATTTATGTGTTTATTTATTTTCTTCCTAAGAGTATTTTGTGATATATTGCTTGGGACAAGTACTAGTGATCTTGTCGCCAGCCAACCCTTTTTCCATTGGTCATAAATCATGTTATAATAAATCTAGTGCCAGAGAGCATCGTTGGGCTTGATACCCTTCTCCTTGCAGTAGTCGTAGTACATCTTGGCGAAGCTAAAGATATCGAGGGTGAACTTCAAACTATCATCGTCGTTAAGGAACTCGATGGTGCCGGAAATAGTGAAGACAATATCAGTGTTGTCCTCGACAGACAGGGTGTGGATGACGCCAGGGTTCTCGCAAACCCAATCGCCAGGACGGGCAACCCAGTCGTATCTATTGATGTAGCATTAGCAACCTTGTACCTTGCCAGGGATAGACATAGACGAAAACTTACTCTTTGTATCCCCATTCACCAGACATGGTGATGGCTGTAACCGTACCTCGGTGTCGGTGCCTGCCCAGGCTGGCAGCAACCTTTGATCGCAGACCGACGACAAAGGTACCTGTTCTGTTCTCCATGCGAAGGGGCTTCAGCTCAATGGGTCCGATCCAAGGGAACCAGAGAGTATCGGTCTTTTCGTTGATGTAGACATCGGGGGCGCTGTACTTGTCGGTGAAGGCAAGCTCTTGGAGCTCGGCGGTGTTGAGGGCGGTACCAGGGCGCTCAGGGAGGGTGGTCTCCTTGGCGGCGACGGGCTCGGGGACGAGATCCTCAGTAGTAGAAGGAGCCATTATGAAAGATTTTGTGTGTATTGTTTGTGCAAGAGTGGTGTTGCTTGTGTATGAGGATAAAGTTGGAAGAAGGCGTAAAAACAGATTGCCAAGCTAGATTGTCTCGTCCCGTGGCTTGGTAGCTTAGATATTAAAAGACCCTGGGGGCAAAGAAGAGCGGAGCCGAGGAGGGGGAATTACAATTCATGATGGAACGATTGGTTAGTTTCAGCATGGAGTGAGGCGCGATCGCCGCTATGATAATTATTGTAGCCTCGGGCATACCGCCATTTCGAGGGTTAGGTCGGTTTATTCGGTTCTAGATACCCCGGCACTTGGGACATGGCTGACAGAATGTCACTCCACAAAATACCGCCTGATAGCCCACAGGCCTCTTCTGACAGGCCCAACCGTTGTACCGTTTGCTGAAGATGCGTGATACCTAAGTTCTGACTGAGATGTGATCGACAGTGCTAATGGTTCGAGAGCGTGGTCACTAAAGGAAATGTCTCAGATAATAGAGATCCTGTGTTGGTTGTCACAATGGCATAAATAATTTGTCACAACATGCACAGACTTATGTGCTCTCCCTGCCCTTATTATGTATGCATCCCTACAAACAGTCACAGTGAAGGAAGGGTCGAAGTATTAATCCAATTCGCGGAATACTCCACCACAACAAGAATTACACTAAGGTAGAGGCTAACCTCGAAAACGGGGAAGCAGACATGACATCTTCCGGATCCACCGCTTATGCTAATATAAGGGGGGACCCCAGATTCAATGCGACGTTGAAGGACTGAACACATTGGGAATGTATCAATGCGCCAAGATTCTGACAACCGTTTTACCGGAAAACATCATTCTCGACCGATCATTTCTTGGTTGCATAGTGATTGGATGGCCAAGCCGGCTGTTGGTAGTTAGTCATTGCTTGCTGTATAGAGCAGACTACATGACTTGGCTTTCAGATTCCAGATTTACATGTTGGTAGGTGTACGATTTCATACACCGTTTATCTACGGAAGAAGGAAGCGGACCCACGAATTATTAGAAACTGTTAGAGTCCATTAGCGTGTTCCAAGGTCCTTTTTACGCCTTGTTTTACCTGCCACGAACTAGACTAGGCTTTCTCCTCCACTTGACCTGTTCAGCTGCCGTAACGCCCACTGGGAAGTTCCGTTCACATCACCATCACCCGTACCTAGGGCTGATCCACGGAGAATTAGAATTTATGGCGCGAAGAACGGGATCATCCAGCTAGTAGAGCTGTTTGTTAGTTAGTTGGGCCGCAATGGCAAACTTGGCTCCGGTGGCTATTCGGTTAGACAGAGCCCTCGTCCCCCGACGGGACCCAGTGATACAAGGAGGGAATAATCTACAGGGGCTCGTTTATCCAGTATCATGTCGCCACTGGGATTGCGTTTGATGCTTTGCTTCTCGCCTGTGCGCTTGCTCGGAAATACCATAGGTTCGGAATGAGTGTGTGCCTGGTTCCAAGGGTAAAGTAGGAGAACCGGGTAAAGAGTGTTGACGGTGAAAAAAAGCAAATAATTATTTGTTCAATATCTAGTGCAGTGTTCAATTGGAAGGAAAGCTTCTAGCGTACGGCGGCAGCCTCATTAAAGACAACGTAACTTTGCGTGCTCTGTCAACCGCTCTGGCATAGCGCACTGTTGGGCTAGTTTAGTGCTTGCGAGCTGTTGATAGCGCGCGCTGATGAACGAATTAGTCTACCACTGTGACACATGGGTTGCGTAGAGTGCTAGGCCAAAGTAAAAGTACAACCAAGTATTGCTTTTTCCTCTCCCACATTCCGAGCATCAGCTCAGTTTGACATGAGGAAGAAGGGAAGTGGACTTCTCTAAACCTGCAGAATGGCAAAGTTTATGAGAATCCTGGCACGATATCACAAATCATAATTCATGCATATTATCAGATACTTATTTCCAAGATCCGAGATCTTTAAGAGATTCTAGGATTCAGTCCTTTCTTATTATCAACATGGAACAGCGCGATTAGATTACCCTGTGAGGGAAAACTGCTCCAAAAAGCGCCACAAAATTGAGTTTTAAGCCGTGACATTTCTGCGACCATTTCCACTCTGCAATTCAAGTGACCCCTCCCAAAGCGACCAAAGGACGCGCTGCCAGACTGGACGAACGGAAACTAGGACTCAAGTGAGTACTAGCTTGCTTGTTCTATCCAGGGGACTCCCGGCGTCTTGTGGAGCAGCTGGGGACATTGGTCAAGTAAGTTCGGCAGCTCTACCGCACGACGCCAAGCAGCCCTGTCTCATCTCTTTTAGAATCGCTGTTGAATTTCACTGTTACGAGATTCAGTCCTACCTGCTTCACATTCGGCTAAGCCCGACTAATTAATGGTCTTGGTCTGTCTTGCTTCTAGTTCCTCCGGTTCCACACGGAACCTAGCCCAAGTTACAACGCTTGGAGGGATTCGGACTCGTTTCAAAGGATCAGTTTAACCATGAGGTTTATTAACTATTTCACAAAGAGCAAGGAAAAGTGTTTATCATTGCTGCCCTGCATTGCACTGTACTGTACTGTAGACAAGGAATGGGTTCCCCTTGCGAAATTACACATATCTAGTATTCCCGTTCCACCCTCTCGGGTTGGGATCCCAGCTTTTTATTTCTTTTCTTTTCTCGCTCTCCAATCGATTGCTGCTGCTCACCCCCTCCAGTTCCCGAGCGAGTGAGCGGCATATGTAAGTGGCTTACTTGGCACCTGCGACTCGGGTCTTGTTTCTGTTGTTTTTGTTCTATTACGCTTGTCTATCAAAATGGAGTCCCGACAAACCGACCTCTGGGTCGTGACCTTTGTCACATTCTCAGCAGCCGTCATCATTACGGCTATGAGGCTTCTTAGTCGTCGCCTTAAGCATATCCCACTCTCGTGGGATGACTACTTTGCGCTTTGTGGATTTGTAAGTTTGCGATTGATTGAACATCTTTGCTATTCCCGTCTTACTATCCTTGCTAACTCTATTCCAGGCTGTTTCGATTGCTTGGGTCATCATCGTGCCTTACTGTAGGTATCCGTTCTTTTTTATATCAGCGACCAACAATTAGACGCGACTCGACCAACATGCTGACTCAACTTACAAGGGCTTAACCGCGGTCTTGGACTACACATGGATGATATCGTCAAAATGCACAACTCGACATTGATGGAGGAATTATACGAAGCAAAACTACTTCTCTTTATCGCCGAGCTTTTCTACGCCTTTGGTCTCTTCTTCGCCAAGATCTCTATTCTCAGTCTTTACTGGCGCATGTTCCGCGTTACAAACATTCGACTGCCGATTCAGATTCTCTTTGGATGCTCTCTTGTCTGGATCACCTTCCGAGTGGGTACCTCATCGTCGCACATCAGGTTATACATCTAACAATCCGGTAGATCTTTATGGGAATCTGGCATTGTGTTCCGGTGGAAAAGTTCTGGGATGACAGTGTTGATGGGTACTGCGCGATTGAGGACAAGAAGTTCTTTTTCGGAACTACTCTAGTGCACGCTATGATTGATATCGCTATCCTGATTCTTCCCATGTGGCAGATTGGACGCCTTCAGCTCCCCATGATACAAAAGGCTGGCATTATGGTCATGTTTACCTTTGGCTTCTTGTGAGTTGCTTTCCTAACTAAGGTCACTAATTTATATACTAACGAGTCTAGCATTTGTGCTGCAGCCATCCGACTGATCGTTGCTGCCCGCGTTTTCGACGACAAATCATACGACGTTACATGGAACATTTGTGATATTGTTATTTGGGCAACAGTAGAAGTCAACCTCATCAACGTTTCTGGTACGCAAACCTTTAGTATCTGTTTCAGTTTTGGGTATTCTAACATGGCCATAGCATCACTCCCTACGATCCGACCAGCTTGTACATTCATCTTCATGTGCCAGAACCCGCGAACCCGAACAGGCGCCAGCTCAGGCAGTTACCCAAACACATACGGTCGAAGTCAAACCAAGCAATCCATCCGTCTCGACACGATCAACAAGACAAAACCAAATGATGAGTCCAGTTCAACACACCAACTGGCCGAGTCTGACGACGGCAATGGCAACGGTGGTAGAGGTGGCTCTACCGACGACTTTGAGGCTCACGCTATGGATCGTTTTGCGCCAGGTGGAAACCAATACTCTTCTACTATCACGGGACATCGCACCAACTCTGGAGGCGGAGACTACGGATCTAGCTTTGGCGGTATCTTGGTCAAGAACGAGACGACGGTGCACGTTACAAAACAGTGATCAAATAGGAGAGCAACATGGAAACAGGTGCATAAAAGAAAGAAAGCGGAGTAAAGCGATGAACTATTTTGTAAAACTAGAATTAGAACGATTTAATGTGTAGACAGATCCTGTCTCAGAAGCTTCAGTATCATCCACAAGTTGGTTTTTACATTCCTTCTCCATAGATAATGGTTCGTTAAAGCAACATGATTCTTAAGGGCCCAGAATGAATCCACACTCGATGGGTCTATCTATTCTGTTTTGAGTCAGTATCGTACGGCCTTTACTCGTACTGTCTGACGATCCAGGGGATGAAGATCAGTCAGTGGGGTAATGTAGCACGGCAGTTGGGGACTCGCCAAGGCGTGCTTCTGCCGCTGCAGAAAAGTAGCGTGGCAGTTGATGCAGAATGTGCCGCATCATTTAGTGGCCCAGTCTAGCTCTAGCTTGATCGTCACAGTAGCATCCGCACCCATGGAATGTTTCGGCTTGCTGCTCGTGAACGGCAGGTCGACAGAATGGGACATCAGTTTAGGAAGCCAAGAAACGCAATTAATTAATGCCTAATCCTAGTGGTTAAGTTGCTGTTCCAGACGATCCGGCGCAATGCCTCGCTATCCAAATTGCGCCAGTGAATGTGCCGACATTAGGCTATCTCAATTTAGGTTTGCGTACCCCAGTATCCGTAGTTGGTCTGAAATTGTGGTGTGCTTTCTTATCAATCACAACCATTGGACTCCATACGTAGACCCTCCCCTTCCTATTGGAGGCAATTACGAGCATCCCAAACACTGTCTATATCTGAGACACATCGATCAAGACGAACCAACAAGTGACAAGTCAAAATTTCACAACCAACGGTTTGGGCCGGACGCCACCCAATTGCACTGTCATTAATTTTTTGTCAATGCTTGGTATTTTATCACATCGGCGCAGTCGCCGATCCAGAAAAACTTCATTTTCTGAAAAGTGAAGCTGTCGCCAGCGCAAGACAAGGAATATTCGCCCTTGCATAGATGCGACATTGTATAATCATGATCAGCCGCTCTTTGACATCTGTTTCCTTATCTATCCAATTTGACATGGTCACAGCGTCCACGCCTATGAGCCGCCAGATGCGGTTCCGATGTCGATCATAGGAAACACGGCACAGGTACGGGCCAGGCGCACATGCAGGGCCTGGGCTTTCAGCTGTTCTCCAAACATAGCACCCGGACAAACAATCTACAGCACAGGTCTTCCTAGAAGCGTTCCGTGCATCCCGGTTCGTCTTCATGATATCTTTGAAGAATATCCGAGCGTAAGCTCCAACCCACCAAGCTGATTCAGCCACGTACAGTATCCCTTGTCTCCCGGTGTGATCCCTTGCAGAGATGGACAGTCGAGATTCAAACAAACTGAGGGGAACTCAGAGATGTGGATTACCGGTCAGCCAGATGAGAACACAGACTCCACACAAACACGAACCGAGGAGTCGATAACTATCATCGCATACATAAGCTACCCACGTTAGAATCACTTTGGTTGATGATCAAATCGAATGTGTACTTCTGGCGACTTATGCGACTAACGAGGCCATACAAGCGCGGTACTAGCACCCGTTTTCACAATACAAGGACTTCATGATATTCAAGATCCTTCACGTTGCAATGTGATGCATCTGGCGACTGCTCATACCATTTTGATACAAATTTCAATCTTGAACATGACGGCTGTGTGACCTACTGTTGTTGGCCTAGAGAGTCTATCACTTGCAGGGCTATCTTGCTATCGACTCGAAGGACCTTCTCGAGGTCTGTTTGAGATTTATGATACCGCTGTAGAAGCGGGACGTATCATATTATCAAGTTACACGACACCCACATGATGTAAGTTGACTTGTGTTCTGTGGTCAAACTCAAGCCAGATGTATCAAGACTGGTTTTGTGCTCTCTCAACTTTGGTCATCATGCCATTTGTAAAACATTTCATAAAGCCATAAGCTATTTGTATATGTGACTGATTAAGCAATGGCCATATTATTGCTTGTCTGTAATTTTAGTATGAATAGTAGTTAGTGCGCATGGCCCGTTCGTATAAAGGCTTCATGGTTACGCGAGATCTTTTTTTATATTCTTTTCGTTCAGACAAAATAAAAGGGCTCACGTTGGATAAAACTATAACTATTCCGACTCAGATCTACCATTGTTCTGCACTAAGCACATTCTCCTTTGTAAAATGTGTTTGAGTGGTGTCATGTTCCAAAGTCGAGAGTGGGTGCCACTTCTCACGCAGATTATTTCATGAATAGACGCTTCTGTTTCCCTATGACTACATGTCTCTCTAACATTCTGGACGTTTTTTTGCAGATTGTACTAAGAAGCATAGATGCTTTCAGTCCTGTTTCTAGTCTGTCAAGTTGCACCCTACTGATCCAGGACTATATGCGGATATGGCGGCTTAGTCAACAGTGCATGACACAATAAAACCTTGTTTATAAACAGACCAGGACTCATAATTATAGAAAAACAAAAATATACACATGTTGTATCGTTCACGGGCCCCGTCCCTTGATCGCGTCACAAGTAGCTAGTGAGAACGGATGTCGGAACTTATGATTATCACTGAATCTTCCATATATATTTCATTATGGCAACATTCCTTAGCTAGTCCTAGAGAAACTCTTTCATAATTTTCGATTATCATAGACCTCGTGTCACCATCTAGTAATATTCACACACACATCTAGCATGTGCACTTGGCAAGGCAGAGCAGAGGGATGTTGGGGTCTTGGGCGCAAGTTCCGAAAAGGGCGCAGGTGCCACCGACACATTCGGACTTGCAAGGTTCGAGAGTCTTGGGGTCGGAGTAGTAAAGACCGCCGTTGTTGCAAACACTGTATCGTGTTAGTGTTAAGCAACTCCCAAGTCCTTGGTTAGATAAACTTACGCCTTAGAAGCCGCAAGGGCGACAGTGGCGATAGCCAAGATGCTGACAATAGAGAACTGCATTTTGATAATTGAACAAGTTTTTGGAATTGTTTCGAGAGTATTTCCCAGAATTCGGGTCGTCGGGTCTTTTTATACAGCCTCCGAAGGAATATCTGACATGCCAATTCCAAGGATTGGATCCTTCTACATCTTCACATTCCTATTCCTGACACTTTAGCGGCTATACGGTCTTGAAAGATCCATCATTCGTATGACGACCTCAAGGATTCAGGATGACAAGTTATGCTAGAATCTTGACCTGCCGGTTTTAGACTAGGGTCGCCTGAGGAAGGATTCTGGTGCATCGAACCCTTGCCGGGCTGTTCCCTTATTTCCGTGCTCTTGAGTTTAAGCATTGTGTTTGGCTGATGCGCTCCGATAGGATCCTCAAGTTCTTATGGGGCAGCCCGGGGGTATTCTCCTTTCGGAGGAGTATCCGGGGCCGTCTGCCGCTATACGAGATACACTTCCAGTGTTGATTTTTGCGCGAAGCCGAATATATCTGTACATTGTACTATGTATTGGTAATTATCCGAATTGCACGACTATGTAACAACTGACTATTGAAATTCGATTGACTTTCGCTTCTCGTCTCGGCGACACTTCCGGTCGACTCCCCACATGCGGACCAACCCTATAGTTTCGGAACCGGTTGAATTATCGGAGCCGACAGCCGAGGCCTTGATGACATTACCATCTCCTCAAGCTGACTCACAAGGAATTCTATTTCAACATCGCATCTCTCAACACGACTACTCTTGTTTTCTTGTTCATATCCAGGAAAAAATGGCTTCAACGACATATCAGATCGAAAAACCTCTTCGCAGTGACTATGACGAATGGTCAAGGCTGTTTCGCGCCTACATCGACTTCTACCACTCCAAGATTGAAGACGATCAATACGCGAGAACATTTGACCGCATCATTGAACAAAAGAATGGATTGCAAGCACTAGTTGTCAGGAAAGTGTGCGGAGAGGAGAAATCCCTTGTTGGAATCGCGCACTTCTTCCCTGAGCAGACACCATGGAGTGAGAAGCAGATTCTCTTGCTGAATGGTATTTTCCACAACTGCCATTTAATCGAAATTCTCTGACAATATATAGATCTATTTGTTGACCCTTCTGTACGTGGCGAGGGACTTGGTAGGAAGTTGACTGAAGCGGTCGCGGATGTTGGGAGAGAGATGGGATGTACGAGGGTTCAGTGGGTTACCAAGCATGATAATGCCACTGCACGAAAGCTTTATGATACTTTGGCTGAGAGCCAATTTGTTCAGTATAGAATGGCTCTGTAGTACCTTCTATATCTGTCTCATGAAAGCCTATCAAGACAGGGTGGGATCACTTTGACTCAGCCATGACAAGCGGTAGTACTGCGCGCATAATCTGCCCTCGTGTCTTGTACTTCTTTCCCACTTCTGCATCACTCCAAAACCCAGATTCAGTGATTGATCCGCGTAGGATATAATGAGGTAGATTGGGTAAATCGTTCGGATTGACAGCTGCTTGTCTGACAACATTGCCCTTCTTATCCATAAAGACCAGAAGTAATTGCTTGTCATTGAAAGCCTCTTCGTCAGCGACGATCAACCAGAATCCAATATTAGCTGTTGCACAAATGGCATCTTCGTAGTCACCCTCTTCTGGGTTTCGGGAGTCGCAAACGCACGACGCCAATTCCTTCGCCTCTCGTACGTCTTGATCGTTAAACTCTCGCTGTAGTTCTGGCGTGGCTAATTCTGGGAGGACTGTATATACAGCCTGCCATTCTTGAGAGCCCATATCGAAGAGAGAAGGGTCATCGAAGACGCGCCACCAGCGTTCATTAAATGGCCCAAACAGATCGCCAGATGGATCCATATCGTCGAATGTGTCGGACGCATCCTTAATCCAGCGACTGAACTTATTGTCACTGTCACCGCCATAGTAAGTGCGTAAGACGATAATTACGTCAAACAGGGACTTTCCAGGATTGTATTTCTCAGCTATGCGACGAAGCTTCTGCGAACGCCAGGGTACTAGTACTGTTTGGATCAGCTCTTGTCTGTCCACTGCCAGTGCTTCTCCTGAGATTGAAGTGAAGTCTGAGATGTCATTTTCTTGGATAAAGGCTTTTACAAGCGCCTCTCGCTGTTCTTCGACTGATAGGCTCAAGGAAGAGTCCCATTTGCTCTACGAAATACAGGAATCTGTCAGCAAAGGATTTACTTTTGCAAATACCTAGGTCATGAGACTACTTACAAGCAGATAACACTCAACGGGCAATGAGCCCCATGGAGGAGAAGCTATTTCTTTGAACTGACTCATTGTTTATTTGTCTGCTGATTTCGAGAGAAAGAAGAATACATGGGATAAAAATGAGAGTAGGTAAGACTTTAAGTTGCTGGCTCATTGGCTACGAATCTACTAGTCAGTAGATACAATGGGTCACTCAATTTAGCGGTCTGTTGCCTAGATCTTTAATTTCAACTAGCAGAGAGACATCTATTACGGTGCGATTATTACTGCCTCTCTAAAGACTGGTCTAAGTTACGAGTTAAAAGAATAAAAATATAATTAGATTATATGCTCTAAGTATTTTTCTTGAAAAAGGAAAGGGAAAAAAAAAGTTAATTGGCGTTAGAGTAAAACTCCTACCAGGGCTTGAAACGAAGGCCTTATATGAAATCCCAGGGCAATAACCTTTAATGGTTATTATCCTGAGAATGCAGGTAGCAGATTCTATAATGAAGGAGTAAATAGACTGTAATTAGCTACTAGTCAAATTTTGCATTACCGGATACTTAGAATAAAATATTAGCATGATGCTCTAACTAATTGAGCTATAGAAGCCGATCAACTTTAGTTATTATGACAGCGACATAAACCAATCTACAAGCCTGACTCCAAACAGATAGCACAACCATCTGGGATACGCTGGGTCAGATCAACTGTTTTCGAGGGATTCGACAAGTATCCGTTACAAACTGATAGTCTATTACAGGGCATAACCATTACTCCTGCATCGCAAGGCTCATCTGTCAATTCAGGTGCCGTATCCCGAAGGACCCAGTAACTCTACGATAAAGGAAAGAGTTAGGTGTGAACAGTAAATTCTAATCTATTTCTATACTAGTGTATACTTTTATATCTAAGAACTCTTTCTATCCTTCTCTATGACACACTGTAAAAGAAAATATCGTCTCATGTCGGCAGCTTCGTCTACCCAGGGTATCAAGCACCCAGATGCATCAACCAGGTTCTCACATCGTCCGCCAGCCTCTCCCCAACACTGTTCAGCTCCTCCAAGTCCTGCCACGAAATCTCAACCGTCAAGTCCCCATCCTTAACCGAAACCACATTGATCATCATTGCAGGCCCAGCTACGTCAGCACAAACACTAAACCTCGCCTTCTGAACCGCCCAACCATCTTCAGAACCGTTACTAGGTTTGTTATCAACCACACCGAGATTGGTCACATCCCATGATAGTTCGCGTGGCTTCTTTACGGTAGTCTTATGATAGTCTTGCCAATCTGTCACGAGTTTCATCAAGCCGACGATAGTATTAGTCAGACCTTGGCTGACACGCTCATTGACATCGTCCCGGATCATCCCAGCTGCGCGCCAGATGTGCGGCTCGAGGGCAGGGATTGGTTGAGTAGGCCAGTTGTGAACGCGCGCCTCAGCACGAATGTCGCTGACGATTTCGCGACCGAAACAGTGGTATACAGAAGACACGCAGTTCTGCACACTGGTCGCTGGATCAAGATGAGCGTACTTCGCCCTACGGTCTTCTTTCGTCACGAAGCGACGCTGATCCATTGACGTGGCGACGTTGAAGGCGTCGGCTTTGCCTTCCGAGAGGTGGACTGATAGACATGCCAGTACAATGCCATGGAGAAGACCGGTGAGGGTTGTTTCGTTCTGCCGACAAAGACCGAGCAGAGCCTTTAGTGTGATGGCGTCAATGTCGATGTGTTTGTTGCGTGTGATGTAAGGTGCTCGTTGGATAGGTGCCCATCGTGCCTTTGCAGTCGAGGAAGCAAGAGAAGAAGGACCAAAGCTGTGCCAGATCTCAGAAACAGCAAAACCCATGGTTACCTTGTGCTTAACCAGCTTCTCCTGCGGTTGAGGAAAGTGGTCTCTTGAAATAGCTGTAGCCATGACCCTTGACCCTTGGATGAGAGGTGAAGCTGGGGATGGTTGGGAAAGGTTGTTGAGCAGTGTGCGAAGAAAGATCTTTGCACCCATGCCGTCGATGTTGGAATGATTCCACACAAACATGACATCCACGAAGTGTTCTGCTTGTGTGCGCATTAAGAGCAATCTCCATCCCGGTTTGGTCTCAAGATGCTCAAACTTGGCATCAAGCTGATACTGTAAATTCGCCTCAAGCTCCTGTGCGTAACCTGTTGCGTCGGGTTTCACAACCCAGGTTATATGATCAGATAAGTCGACCGTATCAAGAGCAACCCAGACAGGCTTTTTTGAACCTTCGCCCACGAGACCAACTTGAAGGAGCGGAAATTCAGCGACTGTCTGTGCCACGGCTTGGTCAAATCTTGTAACGAGCCGTTCGTGATTCCGGAAGTTCGCTAATGCCTGCGGTAGTCTGAATCGGAACGTGGTGATGGTGCTGCAGTAGTGATCGAGGTGGTGCATTCCAGACTGGTACAACTCACTAAACTTGATGTTAGCCGCGACGGAAAGCACCGAATTGCATTCGATACTTACATGTACCCTAGACGGCGGAGATAGGATTTTGGCTTTGGAGACATGGCTGTTGTTGCTTTCGATGCTGAACAAGTTAGTGTGCGTGAATGAAAACTAATCGACAAATCCGTGGTGTCTATAATATTTTATATCATTCTTTGCAATACTTCAATTCCCATGTTCTCAAAGATATCATGTTGTTTCACCTTTTGCTTAGTTTTCTCCTCAATTTGCCCCCAAGTTCCGCGGACACATTCTCGGATTCGGTCGGCCACCCGAGCGAACTTTACTTGACCCATGTTCCCAGACTAGATACTATTCGGATACCCGGCATGTCGGTGCCATGACGAGTCGAGGCGGTGCAATGGGCATGGGTACTGATATAAAGCCCCAAGTGGGCCTAGTTCGGCAGTTAAGTCTGTGTCGCCTTTTCGAGCTGTGACCAAGTGCCGCGTACAATAGCTTCTATTTTGATGCCGGATGGTGAAACAGGGCTTGTCAAGCTTAATGCCTTTGAAGTGTCCGAGCTTCCGGAACGAAAAAAGTGACGAATTGCGTTGCCCTGCGTTGCATCGCGAAAAGAGAGTTTACCAGCATTGTTTGATCTCACGGTGAGACGATTCATGTTAATTTGTAGACGCTTCCTATCAAAATTTAAACATAGATCTATCGTTTTTCTACAATTTGCAAACTATTAGCTTCCTCTTCTGTATTTGACATTCATACCTCGGTTTTTCTTACTGTGGTCGGCTAGATCATTCTGATTTTATCGCCCCATCATCTCAACCATGAGCGCGATAACGCTAACTGATATTGCCGAAATGGTGGCCAATATCTCCAGAGAGGAATACGTCGCCGACTTCCTTAAACATCAAGTATCGAAACTCCGTTCGAGGGAGACATGTTGGCCACAGTCAGGTGTCTCGGGTCTTCTATACTTGTTGCGCGCGAACCTATCTGAGACGCAAACGTGGAACAACAGTTTTATAGAACAAGGACCATACCATTTCAACAGCACTGGAAACACATACTCCGTGGACTTTGCGAACAAAGAGTTTATTGTCAACGGCGTGGATCAGGATACATATATCACCCTGTCCTATGTCCATGGTAGGTTGGGCTCCTCACTTCTTTGATCCTGGTTAACCATTTTGCAGCGTTGAGCATGATTCTTGCATTTTTCTTGATTTACCCTATCATCCTGCTGATGGAGTCGAGCACGGTTCTTTGCGATCTTATCAATCGACCCGTGGCGAAGAAAACAGTCCAGAAGTGGGAGTCAGCCCTACGAGTCGTCGTCTTTACACCACTTGTCATCGCCGGCTTGGTGACAGGAATACTTGCGATGGGTTCCTCGGATCATTTCAGAACAGAGCACGGGGTAAGATCACCAATGAGCACAAAGAATAAACAACTAACGAAGAGGCAGGTAATCGGAATTGTCACAGTGGTTTTCGCAGGCTTCGTGTCAATTCTCTTCTTCCTTGGTTTCTTTTTCGACAAACATATGCGTCGAACTACACGCGGTATGCGCTTGCTTCAGAATGTTCACTACTTCGACATGTTTGTGTGTCAAGTGATTCTTATGTTATCTGGGCTTGTGCTCACAGATGGCTTCGATGATCTCTCAGTTATGGGGCTGTGCTATATCCAGATTTCTACAGCGTGGGCAGTTTCACTGGGGATGATTGCGGCGTTTGTGTGGAATAGTGCTATGGTGCTAATGACAGCCCAGTGGTTTCTTGTGCGGAGGGCGAGACCAGAACCTGTTTCTGCGGGGCCTGCGGCTGGAGTTAGAATGTGGAGGTTTGTAAGGTTGTGGAAGAAGAGAGACATAAGGGAAGAACAGGAAATGGGGTCTCTTTCCGGGACTTGTGAGTCAAGAATGGATTGAGGTTTAGCTAGATGGAGGATATTATACTGGCCACGTCTTGACTTGTGGATTTCGCACTATACCACATGAAATATCTTTATAAGAATTGCATTTCTTTAAACCGCAAATAACTACCGATATTTGAGGCCGAGTCCACCATTGAAGCCATGTCATACGATGTCAACTTCAAGAAATCAATAGTCACAAAGCCAAGCCTTAGCCAAGCATCTGAGAGATCCTCGACAGCGGCCCATCTTTATCGTATCATCGACACATGGGTTCCCATCAAAGAGCCAATAGATTGTAAACGATTCATCATCTACCCTAAAAAGCCATGGATTGACCTGAGCTTCGGAAGCCCGCGGGGTGCCGACATGGGCCCCGCGGGCTGGGACTACCCAAGGCTTAGCGGTTGATCCTTGCCTAATCCCAGTCCATTTTTAGCATACGCTGGTCTCTGAGACACGATACCTTGAACTCACTCAGGGCGGACGCCGCGGGCGTTCATATTCGGTAGTGATGACATGTCAATGCGAGCTGACGGTAATGGAGTGTCCGCAAATCCGACAGAGTTACGACTTGTTCTCGGGGAGCGTGGTTTTGACGGCCGAGAAATTGGTTACACAACTTAATTCTCACAAGTTCATTGAAACGTTTTTTGTTTATATCATGACCAAGTTCGTGACTTGATTGCTATCATCATCAACACATCCAATTCAACTACCAACACATTACAACAACATACAACAAGATTAATCAATTTTAGTACAATAATCGAATCCCAATATCCCCTTTCAAGACAACAATATACTAGAGAACCCGACAAAATGGCGATCAAAGATGGTGGAAAGAAACACGGCCAAATTCCAGGCCCCAAAGGTAGTACATCAATTCGATGCAAAAGTACCACACCACTAACCATCCAAGGCCTTCCTGTACTCGGTAACCTCTTCGATCTCGACCTCAACGACTCCCTCACATCTTTAATAAACATGGGTCAAAAATACGGTTCGTTATTCGCTCACCCCCACGTCACGAGATGAACAAGCTGACTTGTCCCAGCCCCCATCTTCTCCCTAGAACTCGCCGGCCACAGAGAGATCATGGTATGCAGTCGCGACCTCCTCAACGAACTATGCGACGAAACAAGATTCCACAAACTCGTGACAGGAGGTGTTCATAAGCTGCGTCCTTTGGCTGGAGATGGTCTCTTCACAGCACAACATGGCAACCACGAATGGGGAATTGCACATCGCATTCTCATGCCGCTTTTTGGCCCTCTCAAAATTCGGGATATGTTTGATGACATGCAAGATGTTTCCGAGCAACTATGTCTCAAGTGGTATGTACGCTACAGTAGTTCCAATGTGTCAGCGACTAACCATTCCAGGGCTCGTCTAGGACCTTCAGCAACCATCGATGTAGCCAACGACTTCACCCGCCTCACACTAGATACCATCGCCCTATGCACGATGGGTTACCGTTTCAACAGCTTTTACAGCAACGAGAAGATGCATCCATTTGTGGACAGTATGGTCGCCGCCCTCATCGACGCCGACAAGCAAGCCATGTTTCCCGATTTCATTGGTGCATGCAGAGTAAAGGCACTGGCTGCATTCCGCAAGCACACCGCCACTATGAAGAACACATGCAATGATCTCATTCAGGCACGACGCAAGAACCCTGTCCAGGGAACCGACCTACTGACTGCCATGATGGAAGGCAAAGACCCAAAGACAGGGGAGGGCATGAGCGACGATTTGATCATTCAGAATCTCATCACTTTCCTCATTGCTGGACATGAGACCACCTCTGGGCTTTTGTCATTTGCATTTTACTATCTTCTCGAAAATCCTCGTACTCTTGAGAAGGCGAGGGCGGAAGTTGATGAAGTTGTTGGCGATCAGAGCTTGAACGTTGATCATCTTGCAAAGATGCCATACGTCAATATGGTCCTCAGAGAGACTCTTCGCCTGATGCCCACTGCGCCAGGTTTCTATGTCACACCCGAAAAAGACGAGGTTCTTGGTGGTCAGTACTCTGTCGCTGCTAACGAGCCATTGTTCTGTTTCCTCCATCTCGTTCATCGCGACCCTAAAGTCTGGGGCCCTGATGCCGAGGAGTTTAAACCTGAGCGCATGGCGGATGAGTTCTTTGAGGCATTGCCCAAGAATGCTTGGAAGCCTTTCGGTAACGGAATGCGAGGTTGCATCGGTCGCGAGTTTGCCTGGCAAGAAGCTAAGCTGGTAAGTCTTACTCTTGAGTCTTTTTGACATCCGTTGCTAACATTCGAGCCTACAGATAACCGTCATGATTCTCCAAAACTTTGACCTCTCGAAGGCTGATCCTAGCTACAAGCTCAAGATCAAGCAGTCACTCACTATCAAGCCTGACGGTTTCAACATGCATGTCAAGCTCCGCAACGACCGAAAGGTTTCCGGTCTATTCAAGGCTCCCAGTCTATCAAGCCAGCAGCCCAGCTTGTCCAGCCGTCAAAGCATCAGCCCAATCAACGCTAAGGACTTGAAGCCCATCTCCATCTTCTATGGATCCAACACCGGAACCTGTGAAGCACTGGCTCAAAAGCTCTCTGCTGATTGCGTCGCTTCTGGATTCATGCCTTCAAAGCCTTTGCCTCTAGACATGGCCACGAACAATCTTTCCAAAGACGGACCAAACATCTTGCTCGCTGCTTCGTACGACGGAAGGCCTTCCGACAACGCTGAAGAGTTTACGAAGTGGGCCGAGTCGCTCAAGCCTGGACAATTGGAGGGTATCCAATTTGCAGTTTTTGGATGTGGCCACAAGGATTGGGTTTCCACGTACTTTAAGATACCCAAGATCCTGGACAAGTGTTTGGCAGATGCAGGCGCAGACCGACTTGTCGAGATGGGTCTTACAGATGCAAGCACCGGCCGTTTGTATTCCGACTTTGACGACTGGGAGAACCAGAAGCTCTTCGCCGAATTCTCAAAGCGCCAAGGTGTCACACCAGTCGACGACTCTCATCTCGAACTGAACGTCGCTGTCATCAAGCCTCAAAACAATGATATGGGCGGTAACTTCAGGCGCGCCGAGGTTATTGAGAACACACTTCTCACACATCCTGGAGTCTCCAGAAAGCACAGTCTATTGCTGAAACTGCCCAAGGATATGGAGTACACACCTGGCGATCATGTTCTGGTTCTTCCCAAGAACCCGCCTCAGTTGGTGGAGAAGGCCATGTCGTGCTTTGGGGTGGATAGCGACACTGCTCTGACAATCTCCTCCAAGAGGCCGACGTTCTTACCGACCGATACCCCGATTCTTACTTCTAGTCTTCTCAATTCCCTTGTTGAGTTGTCTCAGACTGTTAGTCGGACAAGTCTAAAGCGACTGGCTGATTTTGCTGACGATGATGAGACAAAGGCATGCGTTGAGCGTCTCGCTGGAGATGACTACACCGCTCAAGTTGAGGAGCAGCGGTTGTCTATTCTGGACATCCTACGCAAGTACCCGTCCATCAACATGCCTTTGTCGACGTTCTTATCCATGCTGCCTCAAATGCGTCCCCGAACCTATTCCTTCGCCTCGGCGCCGGAGTGGAAGCAAGGACACGGCATGCTATTGTTCTCTGTCGTCGAAGCTGAAGAGGGGCCAGTTGCTCGACTGGGCGGTCTTGCGACAAACTACATGGCCCAATTGAGACGTGGTGATTATGTGCTAGTGGAGCCGCGACCTTGCAGGCCCGAACTGCGCACAACGATGATGATTCCCGAGCCAAAGGTGCCAATCATCATGATCGCTGTAGGCGCTGGGCTGGCACCATTCCTTGGTTACTTGCAGAAGCGTTTCCTGCAAACACAGCAGAACCAGCGTAATGAGCTTCCACCCTGCACTCTCCTCTTTGGTTGCAGAGGCCCAAAGATGGATGACATCTGCCGCGATCAACTTGACGAGTACTCTCGCGCAGGTGTTGTCTCTGTTCACCGAGCTTACAGTCGAGACCCAGACGCCGAGTGCAAGTATGTGCAGGACTTGGTGAACAAGCATGGTGAGACTTTGGCCAAACAGTGGGCTCAAGGTGCTGTTGTCATGGTATGCAGTGGAAAGAAGGTGTCTGATGGAGTGATGGATGTTCTGAGCCCTATACTCTTTGCTGAGGAGAAGAGGACGGGGATGACAACCGCAGATGGAGTTGATGTCTGGAAACAGAATGTACCCAAGGAGCGCATGATCTTGGAGGTGTTTGGGTAGACTGGATTCTTGGGAACAATGTTCGTTTTGTCTTGTAGTTTGGGGAGTCATAGGGTTTCTTTTGTTGCACTATATAGATTAGGATAGACCGTTTCTTCAAAGCGTTTTTTGATTTTTACCATGGTACATGACTCAAGTTGTCTTATCAATATTATTGTGTAATTTTACTTGTAAGCAGACCTTCGTTGGGTTACTTATTATCCATATCCAAAGCTCGCGCCAATTTATGAACCCAAGACGCAACATTACTCATTGCATTGCATTACATGTCCTTTACTCCCGCGCACAAACAAAACCCCTACATTCTCGACCACATCTAGTAGTATCTTTCTTCATCTTCCGGTCTCACATGAACCAAGGATAATTGGGAGACACGATCTGTCGATACGTCAAAAGGCCCCTTGGGTTGTACATGCGAAAGCTTGACAGCATGGGACGATGCAGTAGTAGAATTTGCCGTGTACTGGGTATTACCACGAGTACCTCCTGTCCTACTTTTCATGTAGGTGAAGGCTCGCGACTCAGCCGCATACTTGAAGTAGGGCCTTAACGCAGGCAGGCAGGCGATGACAAGACCGATATACAGATCAAGAGAATTCCAAAAGTCTGGGAACATATAAGTATGAGGAGATCGACGAGAGAAGTGCCTGGACTTACGGAGCGTAATCAATGATACTTGTCCACCAGTATAGACCTTGACGTAACGAACTATACTGAGAGACATGTTGATCAGACCAAGAAGGAATGTGAAATATACACCAGCGCGAAGCCATCCCTTGATCATCAGATCGGGGACAATCAACCAAGGGAGCACAAAGACTGGTCTGTCAGCTCACGTTCATATCTCGTGCGAGTGTGGAAAGAGTTAAAGCTTACTAAAAATATCGCTGGAGAAGTTGAGGGCCCAAATGACTCTAAAGAACGACCTAACTGAATCCCTTTCGCATATGTCGTTGTGATTACTGGTCCTGTTCATGTCTCAGTATACATGGTTCTCAGGCAAAGGATATGAATGAACTAACCACCACCGGCTGACAGGAGTGCAAATCGTGAACAGAAGAACGGTTGTAACAACGAAAGAGGCGGCAACGTAACATACGGTCGCCCAGAGAAAGGTCCTTCGCTTTGTCATGAATCTCGGAATGACCTGGTGATAAACACAAAGCAGGGCAGCCTTGCAGAGGTAAAACGACATTATAAAGGGAAGAGCGCTTATCCAGAGCAGCTATCGATATGTCAGCTCCGATCATTCTCAGCTATCAGTAGCAGTGATATCTACCATGCGAATCAACTCCTTTCTGTCCTGCGATGCTTTGAAGTTCTGCAGGTCCGGGCGTATGCCTTCTTCCATGACACCCATGTGAACATAGGTGATGCAAAACGAGGCGGTGATGATGCCCATCGCCCATGCACTCGTCATCCACACATCACTTCCAAGCAGGCGCTGCTTTTGTAGGACTAATCGTAGCCAAATGCGGGCAGCGATTACTAACGTCGACAAGGAGATGAGGGTCCATTCCATGATCTGTCAAGAAACCTGTCAGCAGGTGTTTCGAGGTGTCGTCGTTGGGTACGGACAAGAAGGTCTGAAGCGCCTGGAGCCATGTTGTCTATAGTACTTTAGTCGTATAAAGTACTTTGGATGAAGTCGAGTTGAGTCAGAGAGTCGATAGATTCGATATGAGGCAGGGTGGTTTATGCTTATGATTAGCTGCAGTCGATAATGTATCGATACGAGTAGGTTGTGGTAACATGGATGCGAAAGAAAGCAAATCCGCAAGGGCGGGTGATCAAACCGGCTGAAATCTTGTTTATTAAAATATAAGTTACCGTCCGTCTTCAGACGAATATCACAAACCATCTAGGTTTTCATATCCATTCCATTGTTAGCGTATCCGGAAATTCATCGTCTGATCCTACCGGGTTGGGCTATATCGCATTCCAGTCAACGAACGCCCTTTGTCAACACCCAAGTTAGCCGGCTTAGTCAGGGACCATTTTTGTACCTTACATACAAATAAGTTGTTGGTCGGGTACCTGACACCGCCGGAAAAGACGGACTGGCCTTTCTCAAGTGTGGTAACAACCGCCACCTGAATTAAACTTTTGCTTATGAACAGGTTATGAACATGGAGCCAAGCCTGGAACTACGTGCACCTACTGTATTCATGCAAGTGGCTGAATTTTTTCTTCAGCTGAGCTGATATCACCAACACTATATTGTGATTCTACGTGTGCCGAGACTTTCACTCTTGTTGGTTGACAATACCTGGACAGCATGTGGCGTGGTTCCTGAAGACAACAGGGACTCTGGTAATTATCAGATCATATGTTTTCACCATTTTCAACTTACAAAACCAAACTGGAGTTGTCCCACTAAAACGATGAAGCCGATGATCCAAAGCTTGGCTGCTATATCCAAACAGGAAATGGACAACGACCCAAGGCATTCAATAGCAAGACAATCGTTTCACTGTACCCGGAGAGGAATGACTCATGTTAGTTATCGATGATACCAGTCATATGTGCTGGCGTTTCCGCTGCGGAACCGTGAGAAGGTTCCTTTTCGTGACGCGTCAAACTTTGAACTATAGCAGATTTCTGAATTCTAACGGGTTATGTTATTGGCTAGCGACAAGCCCAACCCACCACAGTAGGCCTGGCCTGTGTTCTGACACGCCACCATACCATTGCTTCATACACCGTGTTCTGCCCAGTAAAGATGAAAGCTCTATCGATAATACGCAGGAAATGAATGAAGAATTTGTTTTGGAGGCGTTCATCTTTGGAGACCCGAAGAATATCTCCCATGTATAGATTCTAGTGTCCTTCATTAAGTCAGGAAACCTACTACTATACTGAAAGTTAGCGGCATCTAGAGTCAGATACGAAAAGCGAAACAAATAATAGCGCCACGAGGGCAAAGAGATCAGCTGGCCGCTTGGCTAGTTACCGCCTTGGCGGCATCACATTATATCAGTGATAGACAAGCCAGCTTGCAATGATCAACGTCGTTAGAAACGTTCTGACCGCTTCATGCACATGTGACGTCAAGCGGATTTCTACTTTAATAATGTTGGCGGCAATGTCTATCTGTGGTTCTAAACAATGACGGTTCGGATCTACCGCTGGCCTTGTCTTCCTAGGTCGGGCCCAAAGTTGACAGGCCTGCTTCTGGAGCAGGCGTTCGTTTCAAATGCAAATACAACCCACTGCAAGAGTCATGCAAGCAGTCCTGGTTCTCATTAATGTCGGTAACGATGTCCTAGAAGACTGCGAAAGCGGGTAACAAGGCAATTAGACCTAGAATCTCGGGAAAACCTTTACTTAATACCAAATGTCTATTTTGAAGAGCCAGAGCAATAACGACGAGTCACTGGTGGGGCGGATTATAACAATTCCATTAGTTTCATTTACTCACTCTTGGTAGAAAATACATATTGTAGAAAGTCGACTCTTATGTGCTTGATACATCCGACGGCTTCCTAACGTGCTATGCATATTCAAAAGCCCTAAATCTTGCTATTCTGTACACCTCAATCAGTTTACAAAATGTATCTGAAGTTCCTATTCTCTTTATCAGTCTCATCCACTTGAAGAAGCGTGCCATCAGCGCTAAGATCCACGCGTCGAGACTCCTCTGGATCCCTCTTCACTCCCTGCTCCTGGTCTCGACGACGATTCTCCCAGTTCAAGTACAAGTATATTCCAACAACAAGTGCAATTGTAATTGCAAAGCATGCCAGAATGGTTGTATACGCAGTCTATAAAGATTAGCTATGCACATGCCACTCTCGAGTCGAGTACACTCACATGATAGTTGGGCGCTTCGGTGCTAATAAAGAACTGAGGCCCGGACAAGTTTCCTGCACAGTAGCCAAGGAAGATCATGGCCATGACAGTAGACTTCTTGGTAAAGCCGGCAATGTTACTAGCCGAGAGTGAGAGCATGAGTGGGAATGCTGGGGCGACAGCCATGATAAGCCAGAAACCTGCCAGACGGGCGAGTTTCTCGGCGTTGGGAAGCAGCTTGATCATGAGGATACCAGCGATGGCCATGATGTAAGTCAAAACAAGGGCGATGTGGCGCGACTTGCGGACATAGGTGGTAAAGACGGCTACCAAGATGACAGTGGTGAGTTGGAAGGCGGATGCGGGAAGGCCCATTAGAATAGTCTGGTGCTCATCGTAACCGAAGCTCTTGATAACAATTGTGCTGAACTGTGGCCAAAGTTGTCAGTTACTATATAAGAGGTGCATAAGGATAAACATACGCTGGTAGTTCCTCCATTGGGAACACAGATGACGAAAGAAAAGATGAAGAACCACCAAGACTTGATGTCCTTCATAGTCTCAATAAATTGACTGCGATCCCACTTCTTGGTCTGTGTTGTGCGCTGGAACTTCTTGGGTCGGAGAGAAGCGAATTCCCTTTCAGAAGTAGTCAGGAACTTGGCAGTCGAGGGAGAGTCGGGCAGCATGAAGAATGTGAAGATAGACCATGCGATCGTAATGAGACCAAAGATGAGGAAGAGCATCTAAGCTTGTCAGTAAACTAAACATGTCTACGGGAACTTTTAAACTCACCTTCCACTGAGAGATCGGTCCAGTGTACCCCAAAATACCATAGGCAATCATGGCGCCCACCATGCTAGCCGAGGCATTACCAGCGAACCAGAACGAGTGGCGAGAAACGTGCTCGTTGGGAGTGTACCACATGCCGGTGATGAGCGAGAAACCGGGACTGATGGCACTCTCAAAGACACCGAGGAAGAACCGAAGGACCATAAGACTGGCGAAATTGTGTGCGACCGAGTGAAGGGTGAGGACGATACCCCAGATGAACCTATGGGCTTGAGATTAGTGTTGTACACACACGCTGTGTTTGGAAACGACGTACATTAAAACGCTGAGATATTTGCCAAGAGGGAACTTGACGAAGCCGAGCGAGATGGGGTATGAGGCGACGAGGTAGCCGATGTAGAAGACACTGGAAGCCCAGCTGAATTGTTGGCCAACGAGTTCCTGATTTGTACGTTAATATCTGACGTTATTACAAATGCAATGGCTCAAATTACTAGGTCCTCTCTAAGTCCAAGAATAGCACTGTACGCCAGACTGGTCTCTGTTGCTTGTTAGTGACAGTCATGAAATTGGATTCCTAGACTCACTGTCCAGGTACTGCAAACCATAACTGATAATGAGCAATGGCATAAGACTGGTCTCTGGTCAGCTAGCCGAAATCTCTCTACTGCCAAAGATACATACCGAAGATCAATCTTGCGAACAAGTTTCTTCTCATCTTCTAGAGACAAGGTATCAACAGTCCCGTCATTTCGGTCGTCCATCTCGCAAGAAGGCGAGGGCTCCTTTGCGTCTTGATGCACCTTGTCCATCATGATGTGTTGTGTTCAAAGTGTATGAAGATGTGATGAACAAAGTTTCGAGTTGTTGACGGGGTCTTAAGGCCCAGTTATATTCATTTCTTATCGTTGCACCCGCTAAGTTAGTCTCAAGCTTGGGGCTTTTATCACCACCTGGTCTAGATACGGGGTCATTACCCCGGATTTCTGGATCCAGGGAGGCCAAGTCTTTGATTGGTCAGTTTAATCGACGAGATAAGAGCACATGAGCAACCCGACTCATTTCGCCTGCAGCTATGCAAAGTGGCTGAACCTAGTTATAATTATTGAATAACATATCGATAACCACCTTGAATTATGCTCTATCTCGCATAGCACCCATCGATCTCCTACTAACCAAGTCTCGAATCGCCTCCATTGAGACGCCCTCATCCGACCGTCCCTTAGCCGACAATACAAGATTGAAGACGCTCTTGATAACGGGGTCTGAAATATTCGCCGAAATCCAATCTCTGTGCACGGGATCGTGTGTTTCTATCCCTGCAATCAGGAGCGCCCATTGAAACCTCTCGAGTAACTGCACTGGTCCAGTAGCAATAGTCTGGTATGCTGCAGTCACCAACTCCTTCAGAGCTGTGTCCATATCTTGTGGTATTGGCGTTTTTCCAAACACATTATTGCGACTGCGATAGAGATAAATCTGGAGGGCGTAGAAGATAGTGGCTGTTACAGGGGCCATCAAAGGTGGTTTTGTAGATTGCCCCGTACATTGTTTAGATATCGTGAAGAGAAAGCCGTGCTCCTATGGATTGTTAGCACCCCCATCTGTAAAGTCGTCACAGTTACTTACCTCTCTTATCTTATCCAGTTTTCTCTTTATCTCCAACTTTTTACCCGATGATTCTGGACCACGACTTTGGCTATACTGATTGATCTCATACTGAACAGTAATCAAACTAAAATAAACATCCACTATTTTTCTCTGGCTCGTCTCAGGCAGTTGCTCTGGTCTAAACCATGTCCCCGTCTGTTCCTCTGATAAGATTGGCATTCGCGACAACTGCCATATCCGTTGTCTCGTGTCATGCTTTTCGGTAACGTAGCCCGCGAACTTCTCTCCACAGCCAAAGAAGCCACAAAACACGTCTCTGTCGTAGATGTACGTCAATATTCGCGACAACGTCACAGGTTCTGACGTGCCACCGCTGTTTGTGGAACTGGCGCACATCTCATCGAGTGAGAAGGTCGTGACATAAGCCAGAATGGAGCTACTCAACTCGCGTAGTTTCGAAACGTCAAATGGAGCTCTTCTCATCCAGAACATGTACAGATACAAGAATGAAAGCATCATGGCGATATGGTCAGTCGGTGTCAAGTCCACTAACGCCTGGTTGAGCAGCTGCGATCCGTGTTGAAAGTGAAGATGCGACTCGAGAGGTGGCTTGTCGCTGAAGCCGTGGTGGATGGCCAATTCACTATGCGAAAAGGCGAGAAGAAAATGCAACGCCATGGGATTTTGGACAGCAAAGTTGAGAAAGATGGAGTGTGATGATAATGCTGCTTTGCGAGTGGATTTCATGGGCGCAAGGACGGTGGAGTGAAATGTCATAGCTTGTACGTCGTCGCTACCTATGGATGGTGATGGCTCGGCTGGGTTTGTGAAGGAGAATGACGGGAATATGGAGAGAAGGTTAAAGGATGGAGCTGGGAAGAGGATGAGCTGAGCAGTATCGAATGAAATCTCTTCATCAAACTCAGGCAAAGTGAGTGAATCGATATCTTCTGATAGTAAATCGGGAAGGTTCTGAATGGCTGGTACACCTCCCACGTCTGTATCCGGCAGAGCAAATGTCGTGTGTGCATTCATGCTGTCCGTTAGGCGTAGGACATGATTTGGTGTATCTGTCAAGGCTAGCTCTTGTGGTGACTCTTGGTCTGCCACAGTATCAGTTCCAGACGATAGATCAACCTCACTACTGGACGCCTTCGGAGTAATAGCCTTAGGTGTCCAACTCGATCGTTCCTTGATGGGCCCAAAGCCTCGTCTTCTTGATGCCAAAGGTAAGTGTTGGGCCGCCCATTCGCAACCTAGGCCCAGTCGCACACATCTTGCGCACTGGGGACGTTTTTCATCGCATTTGACCTTTTTGGACAAGCACGTTAGACAACCTAGACGCGTCAGTGAGAGCCTTTGCAGGGATTCAAACTAGACTCACCATTCTTTGACCTCCCCCGCTCTACTCGACGACGCTTTTTCGGCTGGTCATTTGTGATGCATTCCATTGATTGGCGATATGGACTCTCAGAGACTCGAACGATCGAGGCTCAATTTAATCGATGGATTGCTGCCCCAGATTCCGGGTCCTCGGCAGGTAAGACTTGGGGCCGATCTCGCCTCCTTGCGTCTCGAGCTAGGAGCTTGTCGATTAAACTGACCAATCAGCTAGATAGAACTATCAAAGCTAAAGATACGATGAGATAGGAGGGCATAAACAACAATTCCCTGATATCCCGCTTCACTTTTGTTGAATTGTCTCTTCTTCTTATCTTTCTCCTGTTCACTTCTTGTTAATTTTACCATCACCATGGGCAATCACATCTCATACACCGCCTCTGGATGCAAGGTCAATCTTCCTGAGAACGCTGGTTCTCTCAAAGGTCTTCAGTTCGATTCCAAGTCTCGCAGATTTGCCGGTGTTCCTTACGCCCAACCACCAATAGAAAAACTTCGATGGCGCAAACCACAGCCTTTTCCCAAAAACCACGTCTATGGTGCTCCTTTTGACGCGACACAATTTGGACCAGTTTGTCCTCAGGCGAATTACTCCAAAAATGTCAGCGAGCACATCCCCAAGCACGCCTACAGCGAGGATTGTCTAAGACTCAACATCTGGACACCTGTGCCTGACCCAGACGTTCCTAATCCCAAATGGCCCGTCATGATCTGGTTCCATGGTGGTTGGTTCCAGGTTGGCGATCCTAGTCAGGAAGAAAGCATGGATCCCACTGAGCTTATTTCGACTGGCAAGCTGCAAGCTATTTTTGTAGCTGTGGGATACAGACTAAATGTCTTTGGCTTCCTTGCTGGCGAAGCCCTTCTTGAGGAATCGAGAGGTGAAGCTGTGGGAAACTACGGTCTCTGGGACCAGCGCCTTGCCATGGATTGGGTGTACGACAACATCTCGGCTTTTGGAGGTGACCCAGAAAATATCATCCTAGCTGGTCGAAGTGCAGGAGCCTACTCAGTCCTCGCTCAGACTCTTTATGACTTCCGAGGCGAAGATTCCCAAAGCCGCTTCACGCGGATGATCATGTACTCGAATGCCATCCCAACACAACCCAAGAGTGTCCAAGAATGCGAGGAGCAGTTTGATGAGCTCTGCGAGTACTTCGACATACCCAAAGATCTGAAAGGGTCAGAAAAGCTGGATCGTTTGCGAAACATCAGCTCGGATGATCTCTCTTCAGCCATCATGGAGTTGAAGAACCATACGTTCCGTCCAGTTACAGACGATCTCTTTATTCACTCTGGAATCTTTGGCTATTACCGCGACGGTTCGTTTGCATGCGAATTCAAGAAACGCGGTCTGAAGTTATTGATAGGCGAGGTTCTCGACGAGGACACGCTCTACGCTGTTACGAACCCCCCAGACCCCAATGTTGCTTCGTTGCGTCTGCAAATATCAAACTATTATCCCCCACACGTCACAGATCGTCTTCTTAAGCATTACGCACTGCCCCAAACTAAAGAAAAGGAGGCTTGGCAGAAGATCTTTGGACGTATCGTCGCTGACGGTCAGGTCAGAGCACCATCACGATATCTAGTGGACAATCTTGTGCGGAATGGCGTGGACATAAAGAACGTCTGGAGGTATCTCATCGCGTACCGGTTGTCGTTTATAAACAACAATGTCGCGCCAGCATCGTTCGGTGTGAGCCATGCGATGGACCGTCCCATCTGGAAGTAAGTTTTCGCATAATCTCGTCAAAGTCGGGGAATATCACTGTTAACAATACAGTTACTCCATCACTCACAGCCCAACACCAGAAGAAAGGCAACTCATGGATGAGTGGATCAGTGATCTACGAGCGTTTGTCAATGACGAGGATGGACACGATTACGGCACTTCAGAAGCTACAGAGTATAAAGTGATGCAGCCACAAGGGACGATTGGGATCGAGACGGACGGACGATGGGAAGAACTTTTGCAGGTCATGGATATCTTTTCCGCTTAATGTAATTAGCCTATATGATTGTTCGTGTCGGGCTTATGGTGATGTTGGCCATATTGAGTGGCGATCGGAGGACGAGTTTGTCCGGGTCAAGGGAATAATTAATGACGGAATAGGTACTTTAACTGCGTCATCTCGACTCATACAACTACGAGTCAAGAAGAAGTAGATCTCCGATTTCTTGCCCCAGCATTTTACATCCGACTGGAACGCAAAGCAGATCTACAAAGATACAAACAAAATGACAAGTTCATCTTCAATTAAAGTTTTGCTAGTCACCAAAACGCGGGGTTACCGACATGATTGCATCCCCAGCACTGTCTCTGCCTTGAAAGAACTTTCATTCACTGTGACAGCCACCGAAGACACAACCGAGCTATTCTCACTCTTCAACTATGATGTTATTGCTCTCGGTCATAACACGGGTGAATATCTAAGTGAAGAAGAAGTCAACTCTCTGACCGAGTTTGTTCACAATGGCGGTGGTGTTGTTGGTATTCACGCTGCGACAAGCGGTATGTCCTCTTGTACCAAATATTCCAATATTCTTGGACAAGTCTTCAATGGACATCCGCCGCCGGAATGGATAACTCTTGAGGTTGAGAGCACTGGTCATTTCATTAATAAATGCGACACCCTTCCTGGGACGGACGCCGCACCCGACTCGGCTCAAACGTGTCCATTCAATACAAATTTACTTTCAGCAAACCAATTCCCATGGTTTGATGAAGTGTACACTTTCAAATCTCACCCTCGCGTCCCCGACAAAAACCGCGAAATTCTTCTCTCTGTGCACCAGACGACCATCGAAAACGATGAGAGGCAGAGTTTTCCGCTATCGTGGACTCAAACTGTTGGAAGGGGAAGAGTTTATTACACAGCGCTTGGTCATTTTGATGAAGCATATCGCAATTCGTGGTATATAGAAACAATTAGCCGGGCCATTGTTTGGGCTGCCAAGCAAGACCAGTAAAGAGAAGCCGTCTTGGAAATCGACTTGGCAGAGCTCTGCCGTTGAATGGCACTATTTTCCTGGGCGGTGCGGGAGCTACTGTAGCTCATGGCCAAGCAGGCAAGCATCAATTACCCCAACTCAGCTTAGCTGAATAAGCTTTCGCAAGGAATTCGGCGAGTCAATGATTGGAGAATGGACGAGTTTCGAAAGGTATCGCTTGGAATTTGGCAATTGATAGAAACGTTATTAATGAAAAGCATAATCTGTTCCTGGTCAATTGGCTGTAGCACCCAAGGCGGCTTGTAGGTAGGTTAAAACTGTCTAAGACTTTTCGATCTATCTTTGCAATGTTAGCTGTCTTGGGAGGAATATACCTTCGTCTAGCAATCTCGCTCAGCGGCAAACAAATAGAAGTTGTGCGCGTACGATGTAGAGTACATTAGCATTGTCCAGGAAAGGTTGAAGTCCTCAATTAATCGAATAATACGTGTCTCCGTCTTTGAGAAAGTTCGTGTCAGTAAGGTCGTCAGAGCCTGCCAGACGACGGGTTTGCTGAAGGAGATAAACTTCGTTGTCGCAACATGCATAGTTTGGCCTCAGACTCAACCTCGTGATTGGGATCGTCGTAATCCTCTAGAGTCCATGTCCTGACAAGGGTATGGTGCTGCTCGGACCAGTGCCAAATAAAGACTTCCGAAACAAAGCGCGTGCTCTCAGCCAATATCGTCGATCTTGAGGTCCGCGGAGGCGACGACGAAGAACTTCCCGTCTTGGCGAGAACATATCAAAAAAAGGATCCCGAAGTCCTTCAATTTAGGCCAAGAGAGCGTCGTTGACATTACTCGTGGCAAGTAATATGTTTCGTTATCGTCGAGAGTAAGCAGAGACATAACAACCATCTGCAGCCGATGAAGAGTAGCTGTGGGGCGAGTGTGGGATGGGGAAGGATAATGTTGGCTTGGCTGGAGGTTGGAGCCAACGCCAAGATGCAAGTGGTGAAGACAATCTATGTATTATCTTGATCCTACACCGCATTCATTTCCGATCTGTTTTGTTTTATACGCACACACATGTTGCTATAGAACGGATACCCGTATCAATGCTCTACCGAGGTGGCTCCCCGAGAATTATACTAGCGCCTGTAAGTGCAGGGAGACGATCAAGTGAAGCGGCCCAGTTGAGGCAAAGATCAGTTCTAACGTTAAGCTTAAAAAGAACCTTTGATAGGGATGCAGCAACTTGGAGACATTTCCTGATGAGGAAGGACAGATATCGATCTTGTAACTTCAGATAAACCAGTCATTTCGGAATGATATGGCTGACGCGCATGAGTAGAAATGGCTGTAAGTTTCGGCATCTCTGTCTGCCAAGATAGAATGGAGTATCCTGAGGGTAAAAGCCAAGACGGTTGCCTCGACACCCCTGACTAGTGAGTGGTGCAAGCCGTGTCAGAGTTGAAAGGTGATGGATGATAGCTTTAACAATGAAGCATCAAGAGTATTCTTTGTGTTGATTGTAAGTCTGATACCCCAGATTCATTGAGTGTACTGTAAAAAGACCCTGCATTTACAGCCACATCTGATACTGTCGTCACAATAAGGTGACAAAGTTGAATGCGGGACTCCAGGTCCGCTCATAGGGAATAACCCACTAAAAGCACTGATTATGTGGTGCTCTTACAGCGGGTCTAAAGGTCTCGCTAAGCACATGGAGAACAACAAACGGAAATACGTCCTTTAGAGGCCACTTTTTCATTTTCGTCAGAGGGTAATAAAGACTGGGGAATAATGATGATCGAAAAAGACAAAGTCCGCCAAGGAATCCACCGGATTACCCAATTAGTATTTCCGTGTCTCCTCCATTGATGTGTTGCTGGTGACACTTGACGATGGCAACAAGATCAGCGTTGCTTATTGTAGAGGTTAATTTCACTTTAATTGTTGGGAATCCTCGTGGGTTTCTGAAACCATTGAGGATTTGATATGGGGAAATACCTCGACCCCATGGGAAAATGGCACTATGTTATTTGGAGGGTCTTGATGATATGTCTCTCATGATCTGTCCCACAGGACAAGGGCAGATGCATGTTGAGCAGTTGAATCACACGACGGAACAAGCACAGTATTGGCGATAACATCGTTACAATGCTTACTTGCAGAATTTTACACCATTATTCCCGAGAAAAGATACAGTCCATTGATGGCAAATTATTGCCTTGATCTTGGTTCAAACTTCAAAACTCATCAACCTACCCGATACCATTTTGACTCCCAATTGCCACGCTTACCTCCGGATTAAACAAAAGAGGACCCGTAAAAGACAGTTCAAAAGACCCACGGGATTCCCTGAACGGGTGTCTCCCAAAACAAAGGTCCGAGATTGCAGCGGATGATGCTATGACGTTGGACGCAAGATTTTAGTCAAAATCTTAACCAAAACCCTGCGGCTCTCCATAATTCCTCGTCCGCACCTCGGCATTATTCCCCAATTATTTCTCGGCGAGGGATCAATGAGGGGAAAAAGAATAAAGAAAACTTGGAGTAATTGAATGGGTATTCTCGGGTTTTAACCGACAAATTACAAATTGTTTTTTTCTTTCTTTTCTGTTTCTGGTACTTGTAAGGAATGATAGTATGAATGTTGTGTTGTATTCTTGTCTCTACAATACCTACATTATCAGGTGTATGCAGTGATGTCGATCCTGACGATCACTCTGATAACCCAACCGCATCTCAACAGATATTTCTGATATATCTCCAAGACAAACGGTGAAAAAAAGGGAACCGCAGGCCAAGGCGTCATTCTCCAACTGTTTAGCAAACTCTCTAGTCATGCAATAATTGTGAACAGACAAGGATAAATAATCGAGGAAATGGGGCATCTTGATTCAAGGGTCTTGTACTCTTTTAGGAGATTTTCGAAGATCGCGGAGACTATGACGTATACAAGTCCGCCAACCCCGGGTACCTCTTTTTAACCAACTCTAAATGAGACGTCATTTATACCCAGTTTAAAATTTTTACACAGTGAGTTATTAGTTAGTCTCTGGTTGGATTATCGTGATACAGTGCTTGTTGGGTTAGACGACCCGAGACTTCAACTTTGTCTAGTCTAGTAATCACTTAGTAGACAGTGCTGCTACAGTACGTCATGCGGGTCCCCTGAATTAGCGTTCGTTCTCTTTTCCAAAGTGACGTTATTTCTTGCTATTGGTTCGACTGTCTAAAATTCTTCACTCTCCAAGTCCGTGGCGATCTACTTTATCTAAGGTTATCTGAAATCTCTGCTCCAGGGACCCAGACAGCAAAACAGTACCAACAGTTTCCAAGTTTCCCGAGTCATTAACCCTGGTATACCTTTGTCTTATCGGTTCCACTGTGCTGTGACATACGTACATGGAGAGTCCCAAAAACATCGGGTCTCTCATTCTGTGGGACGCCCCCCGTATCCACGCACGACTCCAGAAGTTTTGCTTGGCGTCATTCTCCAGAGACTCCTCGAGCTTATAAGAAATGTAAATCTCCCGCTCTAGAGTCCGTCTTCTTCTCTTCAGTCCAGACCATTCAGTCCATAAAAAACCATAAAAAACAGAACCACTATAAAGGTTGTTCAATATGGTTCACGTCGACAACGAAGAGGGTATCCCTCACTACTGGGGCAAGACTGGTAAGGGTCTGCAAAGACTCATTACCATTGTCGCTACCACTGACTTTCTTCTTTTCGGTTATGGTAAGTTTCCAACGTTCCCGTGTCCCACCTGTCAGGGAAAACCTAATCTATGAGTCTAACGTGCTGACCGTTGAATGTTTCATGCAGATCAAGGTGTCATGTCCGGTATCATCTCCGCTCCCGCTTTCACAGAAGACTTCCCCCAGGTGCTCGACGAGACATACGAAGGTTTCGTCGTCTCCATCTACGCTGTCGGTTGCTTCCTCGGTGCTCTCTTCATTCTCAACTTTGGTGACCGTCTCGGTCGTCGTAACTCCATCTTCCTCGGTGCTATTGTCATGATTATCGGTGTCGTTGTTCAGATCGCCGCTGTTCCTCCTGGCGGCGGTGCCACAGCCCAATTCATCATCGGCAGAGCAATCACTGGTATTGGAAACGGTATCAACACATCTACCATCCCTACCTACCAGGCTGAGTGCAGTGAGTCTCACAACCGTGGAAAGCTCATCTGCATTGAGGGTGGTAACGTCGCTATCGGAACGTTGATCGCTTACTGGATCGACTATGGCTGTACCTATGGTCCTCATGCCTTCGTCTGGCGATTCCCTATCGCTTTCCAGTGTGTCTTTGCTACCATCGTGCTCGTCATGATGATCAAGCTTCCCGAGTCTCCTCGATGGCTCCTCACACATGGTCGTCGTGAGGAGGCCGAGACTATCCTTGCTGGTCTTAACGGTTCTCCCCGCAACTCCCCCGAGGTTGTCGCTCAGATTGAGACTATTGAGAAGGCTATTGCTGCTACTGGTAACAAGGGCGGCAAGACTCCATTCTCTGCTCTCTTCACTGGTGGAAAGACTCAGCACTTCCGACGTCTCATTCTCGGTGCCTCTTCTCAGATGATGCAGCAGCTTTCCGGTTGCAACGCTGTCATCTACTACTTCCCAATTCTCTTCCAGAAGTCTATTGGTACCGACCACAACATGGCTCTCCTCCTCGGCGGTGTCAACATGATCATCTACTCCATCTTTGCCACTACCTCTTGGTTCGCTGTCGAGCGTATCGGTCGCCGCAAGCTCTTCCTCATCGGTACCGTCGGCCAGTGTCTGTCTATGGTCCTTTCCTTCGGCGCTTTGATCCCCGGTACTGCTGCTGCCTCCAAGGGTGCTGCTGTCGGTCTCTTCACTTACATCGCTTTCTTCGGTGCTACATGGCTGCCTCTCCCCTGGTTGTACCCCGCTGAGATCAACCCCCTCAAGACCCGCGCGAAGGCCAACGCTACCTCCACCGTTTCCAACTGGCTCTGGAACTTCTTCATTGTCATGATCACCCCCGTCATGATTCACGGAACTGGTACAAATGGTTGGGGCACCTACGCCTTCTTCGCCGCCATGAACGCCATCTTCTTCCCCATCATCTACTTCTTCTACCCTGAGACTTCCGGTCGCTCTCTCGAGGAGATTGACCTTATCTTCGCCAAGGGTTACACTGAGAAGATTAGCTATGTCACCGCTGCCAAGCAGCTGCCTCGCATGGCTGACCACGAGGTTGCCGACAAGGCCCGTGAGTACGGCTTCGGTAGTGACGACGAGAAGGCCGAGGCCTCTGAGCGTGAGAACGGAGTTGTTGTTTAAGCAACTCAAAAAAGATTCAACCTTTCTTGTGTGTCCAGCATGTCTGGACTTTTTGCATTATAGACTTTTGCATTGCATACCATTTATGATGTAACGGATCTTTACAAGCTGCGGTTTCGTAGCCATGATTTCTTTAGATACCACATGACTCCAAGTAGTCTAGTTTGCAAATACAACTCTTTTATATGACCTGTTTTTATCCATGATTGTGAATATGTTCAATTTAGACTAGAGCTTCGGAAGTAAAGAAACTATTTTACAATGCGAGTAAGTCGTTATCGATTCAATAATAATTGAATGGACTTAAACTTGATAATGTCCTTGAGCACTGCATTATTCAGATTCTATTCCTTCTAGACCCAAAAAGCATACACGAGTCCCATGACGAGGTGAGTCGTACTCAGTTGACTTTTTCGCCATTCGCTTTACGACTTAACATAATGGCAGTGTGGGTACATACAAGCAACTCTGCAAATAGTTGGTATCTTACACAGTGGCTATAAATAAACCATGTAATATATTTGTGAAGGCTAACATACATATCTCTATCGGCAGTAAACCAGGGCATGCTCTTGGTATGATATGCATGTGACACTCTGACTTTTCGGATCTGTCCCGGAACTTATTATAATTGAAGTGAGCTTCTGGCATATTTCATCGGGTCAATGCCGGCACTAAAGATATACTTAGTGGATCCGAAAAGATCTACACGGGTCTTTCCCAGCCCCCAAATCTAGTATAAAGATGTGCTTCCTAGCCCAGGGAGAGGATTTCCTAGATATCTCTTTGTGTCCTTGTGTGCAGCTTACTACATGTCACCAAGACAGAAACATGGCATGGTTAAGTCTCCAAGCTAACAGAGTTGCTAACTATAATGCTTGGTGTTGGTATGTAATGATGTTTCTATATAAATTTGCAACTGTGCAATCCCTAAGAGAGTCATTACCTGAGTAACAAGTTATGGTACCGCAGAATATTCTCATTCATGGTCTTCTTAAGAAGGAATTTCTTTCACCTAGTGGCAGTATCGATGCCGGCTAGATGATCTTGACCTTGAACGACTTCGATGGTGGTGGTGATGGTGACCAGATGATCGCGATCGTGAGCGACTGTGGCGACGACGATGGTAGTCAGATGATCGTGAACGAGAACGAGAGCGAGAGCGTGAACGATCACGGCGAGAACGATGACGAGAAGACGAACGAGAACGGTTATCCCAACTCGCCATTTCGGCAGTGTGCTTCCTCTTCATCTCCTCCTCTTCTTCACGTTCTTTCTCTTCCTTCTCCTCTTTATGATCACGTCTCCACTCCTGACCCTTGTGACCCAGGAATGCACCGATGAGAGCACCGGCTACCGCAGCGGTTTTACTTCCTCCAAACTTGTTGCCGCCGAATGCACCAGCGGTACCTCCAGCTAACGCACCGGCAAGACCTCGCTCGCCCGTCTCATCGGGGCCTTGATCGTCGAACTGGCTTCCGGGTTGGGTTTGAGGTGTCCAGGTATTTGTCTGGCTCTGGTCTTGATACTGCGAGTTTGACATGGCATAGTAAGATGAAGCTTCTCCTTGAGGGTTGAAGTTCTGAGGGGGTTGTCGATAGGGAGAAGAGTCTTGTTGATGGTAGCTTGGGTGCGGGCTTGGAGAAGGTTGGAACCCTCTCTCTTGTGGTGGATAAGGGCTGTGAGGATCTTGGTATTGAGGAGGTCCAGACTGATAGTTTTGGTAGTTGTGTTGTTGGTAGTCGACTGGTCTCTGTTGGTAATCACCCTGGGGATGACCACCCGGATAGCCACCCTGGTGATAACCACCACCTTGGTAATCTGACTGCTGATGATAATAATTTCCGCTCATTGTGTTGATGATTTCTGCGTGATTCTACAAGTGCAGAGTGTAGATTTTTCGGCCTAGATATACTCAACTTCTGTGCATGGGCCATTCTTCTCGAACACGTTGTCGTCAGCATATGGCTCCAGCTTTTGTTAACCACCTTGGCGCCAAGCAGCTGTTCTGTGAGACTATTCGATCAGTACAGGACAATGGAGTCTAGTGAGCATTAATATGGTGATGTGGTTTACTTGGCCGGCTTCTAAATGCCGAAAGACATGGTCTTGGCTTTTCGAAGAGTGCTTGGGCCTTGGAGTTAATGAAACCTCTGACACAAGAGTTGTCGCTAACAATTATTTTTTCTCGAGTCAAGGAGAAGCCACGTCGTCCACTATTTACTATATCGTCTATAGTGCAGAGATGTGATTGGTTTTCTCGTATTAAACTGCCATTCTCCATAATTATCTCTATACTCCACTCCTCGCACTCTCCGACGGTATCAAGGCTGTCGTGGCTGTGTCGGTACATTTGGCAGGGGTTAAAGAGATCAATTTCCGCGATTTGACTGGTGTTTTTTGCTATAGCGGAATTGAAAAGGCTAACAAGAGACGATTCTGTTACCACATTGAACTGAAACTCACAGAGATCTGTGCTTATTGGCTGCTAAAACGAACGGCTCAAGCCCTGGAGAATTGGCTATATCAACGTTCTACTCTCCGTCCCGCCCCAATTCTTGATTTCCAATTGGTAGTCTCGTGTTCAACTGAGTCTCTGAGTATACCGCCACAATGGCAGCCAATAAACCTCTCGCGATTCGAGTCGGAGGCAAATTCAAGCGTGCTTCAGCACCTAAAAGCAGAAAAGGATGTCTCACCTGGTAAGTTTGATAGGTTGTCGTCTTATTTCTCGTAAAAAAGACTTACTGACCACCATATTCTATAGCAAGTAAGTATAGGCAATCTGCGAAACAAGTTTCCTATAAGACTCATACCGTCTTCGATAGATTCCGACATTTAAAATGCGACGAAGCAAAACCTGTTTGCCAAAGGTGTCAAGACGACAAGATGAAGTGCGACGGTTACCTTCCTCCAAAGCCCAGAGCTTCTAAAGGATCCAAGAAAAAGAAGGAACCCCAATCACAGGCTGTCGCGATTGTCAATCCAACTTTGCAGCATTTCGATCAGACGCCGATATTGACAAACCCCGAGAGACTATACCTCCAACACTTCCTCCACTGGACCGTCAAGCAACTCTCAATTTCATCCAGCGCCACGAACTTTTGGTTGTGTTATGCACTTCCCATGTCATATCAGTTTGATGCTATCAGGTATAGCATGATTGCAGTGGGTGCTTCCCATCGAGCATTCATGTCCCATTCTCTTGGCTTTGGGCGTCCTGAGTATCTGCAACGCCCCGTCATACAGCACTACAACAAAGCCATATCGTCTATCCTACCTATCATGTCATCTCCAAAACAGTGGGACATACACTGTATCTTGATCTGTTGTATGCTCTTCATGACTTGCGAAGGACTTACTGGCCGTTATGACGAACTCCTGAAGCATCTTGCCGCTGGTGACATGATACTGCAATCACTTCAAGATCCTACTACACACGAGGAGTCCACCATGACGAAGAAGCTAGTTGCCATGTTTTCTCAACTTTCCCCTGAGTCATCTGACTTTATGAAAGATCCCACTCTATCTGGTATCCAGAAGTGGTGTTCCAAAGATGTAAAGCATAGCGTCAACGACACGGACCCGTTCGAAACCCTCGATGAAGCTTCATACGCACTACACCAGCTGCGATTTCTTCACGATTTCGCACCCCACAACCCCCACAGAGAAAACGGCGAGGCGAATGATAAAGCCTTCCAGCAAATACTCAAACAATGGGAAGAGCGCTTACAAGGTCTAGCCCAGCACGGTATATTGCATTGGACGGATGAAGAAATGTGGCAGTTCCAGAATCTTCGACTTCGTCAACTTGATTTTCAGATGCATATGGATTCTTACGAGGATGAAGAATGGACAAATCCAACAGACCGACCTTTTTTGCCCTTCTTGAAAACTGCCGAACTGGTGGCGGCGCCTCTGATAGATATGGGTCAGCCTACATATTCCTTGGATGGATGCCTCGTCTCAGGTCTTTCGTTCGCGGCGTTTGCGGCGCCGGATGAAGCTATGAGAGAACGTGTCCTCAATCTGCTTGGAAAGCTTAATCATCGAGAAGGCATCTACGATAGCAACGATGTGGCTGAGATGCACGCGCTAGCGGCAATGGATATGGGCGAAAATGGACCTGACGGTTATGACTCTGATGGTGAGTCTGTGTATGATGAACTCGATCCACCATTGACGTCGCCTATTGGAATACCAATCATGATTGAGGGGCTGGCTCGTAAGGCTGGGGTCACAAGCAAGCGCTTAGAGTGCTATTCATAGACCAGACCGTTTAATAAACGTGGAGGAACTTTTATCAATCATTGATTCCATTTCGGCGACTGTATACTATTTTATAAACATGCTATATATCGAATAATCATTATATCTATCCTATCTTTTCTTATTCCTCCGTCCTCAACGCCTTGGTTCTAGAAAGGCTGTTAGGGTCCAAGTAAGGCTTCTCACCAATACCAACAGCACGATGACCCTCTCGCGGACCAAGACCATCATAATCATTAGTGGCGCTATGGAATGCGCTGCGATTATCCCAGAATGCTACACAACAATCAGCTTTTGCTTCAAAACTTGTCACGTTTGATTACTCACCGATATCGTTAGGGCTTCTCCATCTAAAGCGCACCTGCAAGTCGTGATTCTCTTCAATTCGTCTGTAGAAAGACTCGAGTAGCTCTCTACTCTCGCGAGCACTCAACTCGTTGATACGCTTGGGAAAGTTGCCCACTGCGAAGAGCGACTTCCAGCCTGTAACAGGGTTTGTCCGGACCACAGGATGGGAAGTCTGGAGCGCATCGCCGATATTCTCGGGATGACCACGCGGCTTCTCGTAAATCTTAAAATGATCAGGACGAGCATCCCGGGCCTTGAGAAACCCTTCACCCGAGAATGTCGCAGTCAAGCCTTCAAAGAACTTTTGGTACGGATCGCTGTATCGATCATATAGCTCGTATCCCGAAGCCCAGAGCGTATCACCACCACCGGATGGAAGGGTAGTTAGGCGCAGACTCGTGTAGTCCGCTGGGTACTCCTCAAACTGAATATCGCTGTGCCAGCTGGCAGCGCCTTGCTTGCGGTCATCTCTGTCTTTTTTGTCATGGAAGAAGTGAGATTGGGATGAGATGACGCTGATTTCATTATCTTCTACACCAAACTCATTGCTGCCGTTTAGAAGAGGGTGAATGTGAAGGCTTGATTCTGACGGCTTGTTGGTGAGTTGGCCAAGACGGTGGACAAGTTCCTTGTGGAGGTCATCCGTGAGATTATCTTGGGCACGGAAGAAGACGACTCCTCTTTCGGAAACTAGTATATAGTTAGGCAAGGGACGACAGTGGGATTTACGGCGCCTGTGACTCACTGGTAATGGCAAGATCACGGATCAGTTCATCTGCATTCTTTGCATTGATAATATCGTCAACAAGGTTGACAGTAGGGTATTCACGTCCGATGACGGGCGTGGACTCTTCAAAGTTGAACTTGTCAAGTGCCCCCGAAGCCTTTAAAGGCTCTGGATATTTGTTTGCTTGAAGGCTGATCGGGACAGTGCGTTGTGCCTGTGTCTCTGTAGTAGTGGTAGTCGACATGCTGGCTAGCCGATTGTAAGAGTTGCTTAGTTGTGATGTCCAGATCAAAGGAATCTATGCCTGAACTGCTATGATTTATAGTACTTGCTAGTTTCAGTTCCTCGGGGAAATATGATGGCACAATCTGTCATATCTGTTGCGACATGCAACAGCAACCAGTTAAACCACATCAAGGCCGACGAGATCCGACAACGGTGAAGAGTCGTGACGCTATCTTCCTTGCGCATTGTCGCAGGTTCTGGCACCATCAAGTCTTGAGACTATTGGATGAAGAGAATGGGGCCTTGTTGACGCTCGTACGTCTTTGTGCGATAACAATTGACTTACCGCGCGTCGCTTGGTTTTAATTATGGATTCCTACGTCTCTAAACTATATCGGGCATCTGATTAATTAGTTTCGTGTCGTCGGTATCATCGGTTTCTCGGTCAAGTCGACCTCGCATTGGTTGAACTGCATAACTAACGATGGCGTGCGAATACCCCAAGATTAGATGCTATCCACTTTGTCACCCCGTGCTTTTGTTGCGAAATCCGGGGTGAATCATTAAAATCACGTAATGATATGTCGAGAGCTTTGCAGGATTGTGTGTCGTCTTTTCATTACAACCGTTTTTGCTTTGTTGGGTGTTTAATGAAGGGAGACGCGTGCGAAAAGAATCCTTGTCTTTCATCGAAAATAATTGATGCCGTAGTCAAGTATGATCGCAACATTAGGGATAATCAAGATCTAAGTAGAATCAATTAGAGAGAAAGTGTTGACATGATGTAACTACTGTTTATACCATTGTCGTGGCTTTTTTGGAAAATGTCATATAAAATTCATGACACAATAAAGGTATGAGGGTAGGCAAAATGCTTGATTGACTGCAAGTGGCCAATCTAATCTCACTCACTACGTATTGGCATCAAGATAAGATAACATGACAGGTCCACTGGTGGCAGACACGTGAGTGACGCGCTCGTCGCGACATCCGGCTCAAGATGCTTCTCCGGAGCTTGTCCCGAGAATGCCGGTCCGACCTTCCGAAATGACGGCTCCAGGCCTCAAATTCTTCCGTTATCGATAAACAATCGCAGCGGGCCTCGTTCCAGGCGGGAAAGATCCGCTAGTCTCCGCCGTAACTTCCGCCCGCCATCCGCAAGAGATTTTACCATGAGTGTGACACACTCACCCCAACGAGGCATGGACTCTGCAAAGCGGAAGCGAGCCGCCAAAGCTTGCAATTACTGTAGAAAGAGGTATTGGCTTCTTTTGATCATTGGACGATGTCGTTTGTGCTGATGCTCTTGTAGAAAAAGGAAATGTGATGGACGACAACCAGTCTGTACGCTATGCGAAGAAGCAAATAACTCGGAATGCGAGTATCGTGATGAAGGCAATGAGAGCAAGTATGTTATTTACATCGAATTGTCATTGAGGTGAGAGATCTGTGCTAAATGACATAGACGCATTGCAATCTCGGTAGACAGAGTCGATGAAATCTTTGACCGCCTTGAATCTCTCGAATCGACATTCCAATCCGCCTTAGCAAGACAACAAGAGAAAAGTCCAGTCCCAACACCATATTCCATCCCCAGACCTGCCGAGGCCATCAGCCCAGAAGATGGCATTATCGCAGCATCGTCAGTTCACTCAACAGGTCCTGGGACGCAAACATCATTATCGCAATTCGCCAACAACAATGTCTTCAACACCACAATGGACATACCCCTGTCCCATTCTTCGACGACAGGGAATCTACTACGGTCAGCTCCCGCAAAGGCATTGCTAGGTCACTATCCTCCTGATTTGTTTCTTCATATCGAGTTGAGACGCCCGGTTCCTGAAGGATTGAGATTGAATGCGACACCAGCTAGTCAGATCGATATCCCTTCACTGTCTCCGAATGAGACCGATCATCTCGTCCGCAACTATTTCCAACTGGTGCATCGATTCCATCCTATCCTCGATCAACGAGCCTTCTACGAGCTGTACGATCGCATTCTTGATCGGGGACCACAGCCGGACCTTCCTTCAGCTTTGGTGCTTGTCGTGTTAGCTCTTGGTACTGTCGCGGCCGAGACACCGAATCGCATGGACGCATGCTGGAGTCCTGGAATACGATTCTTCACGCCAGCTGTACGACTACTGCTGACCGAGTCTTTGGGTTCCTTTGGTGGTGATCCTCTTCTACCCCAGGCTTTGTACCTAGCTGCTCTGTATTACAGTTACTTGTCACGGCCTTTACTCGCATGGCGGTTGGTACATATGGCTTCTACTGACGTGCAGCACTATTGGATCAGGTAAATCAACTCTTCCGACAACCAACAGCGGTGCTGATTAAGATCCAGATCCGAGAAACTATTACGAGACGGCCAAGGCGGGTCCCAAGACCAGTCCATCCTGCGTGTCTTTTGGGCTATCCTTGTACTTGAATGGTGAGCCATCGCCTCATCATTCCAAATCAACGTCTCTCTAACCGGCACAGTGATATCCTAGCAGAACATCATCTCCCTCGTAGCGGCATAGAAAAAATCGTTGATAAACTTCCCTACCCATGGTCTGATGGCCCTTCCGAACCCTACATGCACCGCTGGCTGGCCGACCTCTCATCCCGCCGACTCCTCAATCGAATCCACTACGTTCTTTACGCCGAAGCCGAGCCAGGGACAGGAGACCCAGCAGACAGTTCCGAAGAAACACTGTCCAGCCTTCCGAATCTAGCCCACGAGCTAAATCGTCAGCTGGGAGCGTGGTATCATCTCCTTCCTCATAGCATCCGACCAAATCTGGACAGTCCACCGATCGGTATTGATGATACCATGGTGTCTATACGGTACCACACTACTGGAGACATCATCTACAGACCGTTTCTGTACCAGGTTTGTGCGCTAGCGCCAGGGACGTCGCCGAACCCAGCAACTCTTGAGAATGCTAGACAATGTCTTGTGCATTGTCGTAGGTATCTCAACGCCGTGGAACACGCAGTTCACGCACCAACGGCCTCTTTGGAAAACCTTCTGCATGGGTACGTAAAGCCTCTCCCAGCTTGAGACGTCGATCACTAATGAGATCAAATAGAACAATGGCTGTTGTGTTACTCCTCTCATTCGCCGCCTTTTCAAGACTGGATGCATTGAGAGTCCCAGATTTGAACCAATTGCAGGACAAAGGCATCAGGATCTGTGAAAGGTGGGCGTTTCCAGGGTCGAGCATTGAGCAGATGGTTGTCATTTTGCGCGCCCTGCGAGCCAAATGTATAGATACAGGTGGATGATGACTATAAACCAGCTCCAAAGCATCCGGTCGCATTGCCGGTCCCGGAAATAGTCAATCGAAAGGCGAACAATTGACTCCCAGATTTGACAATAAGGGCGCGCACTAAAACTTCGGTAGCGGGGCCGAGAGAATGTGGCAAGATCCTTCTGGAACATCCAGGCTTTGACAAGATCTCTCTTGCATTCCCTGTTTTTAATTGGACTTCAAGCCTAGATCATTAAAATACTCGATCTCCTGCACTAGCCAAGTTCTTTTGTCACCGTGCTGTAAACTCTTTCAGAGCCTCTTCCGCATATTGGCTGCTGGTCAAGTTGGCATATCCATACCAGTTACTGCAGATCCTCCCTTCGAAAACATCCCAACCACACACAAAAATGACTGGTAAATCATCAAAACCTGTCGATATCCGCCTGGCCACTCTCTCAGATGCCAGCCACATCGCAGAACTCGGCGCACGTGTCTTCGCAGTCACATTCGGCCACTCGGTCGAGCCTCACGAACTAGCAGCTTTCCTCGAAGAATCATACACAACAGAAGCAATCACAAATGATATCAATAGCACAGATAAAGACGTCATTGTCGCTACCAACTCCGACGATGAGCTTGTGGGTTTCGCGTATCTTACCCGGGGAAGCACTGAGCCTTGTGTAGAGGACTTGGACATGACTGTCGAGTTACAGAGGATATATGTTGACCTCGACTTGCACGGTACTGGTGTTGGAAAAGTGTTAGAGAAAACCATTGAAAAGATGGCGAGGGATCAAGGGTTCAAACATCTCTGGCTCGGGGTGTGGGAAGAGAATCCCAGGGCGATCAAGGCGTACGAGAAATGGGGCTATAAACAGGTTGGAGACCATGATTTTACGATTGGGTCTGTGGTGCAGAGGGACCATATCCTGGTCAAGTCGTTGTAGCATGGATATTGAGGTGTTAGAGGGTTGAAGCATGAGATTGCAACTTCGAGGTGCGAATCCAATCAAGACAACATAGATCGCTTTCATTTAATATTTATCGAGAATATGTGTTTGGGTTATATATCTACTTCTACTCAATCTAAAAACGCGTATATCTTATACACTTGTTTCAGTTTTAGCCTTGGCGGTCAGTCCCCTCTATTTTGCGACGTCCAACAGGCCCTGTCCACCGAGCACGAAGAGCATGGGCTGCACTCTTGGGTCTGCGATCCCTGGTAAAGATACCCTTCTTGTTTCCGTCAACTCTAATGATCATGGCCGATGTCTGGAAATCAGCAAAGTTCCACACGTGCTCGCCAACAATATTATCAATGCGGTCAAAGACGCGGTGATACATATCCAAGAAGCGAACCTGATATTCCTCTGTCCATGGAACATCACAAACGGTGTGCAAGCCTGCGACTGTGTCGGTACCATACTCGGTCATGATTATAGGCTTGGCAGCGTAAGCTTCTTGCCAACTGCGCAGCTCAGCTTCAAGGGCAACTTCTGCGGCTTTCAGGTTGCCTGTCTGTGTGTACCAGCCGTAGTAGCGGTTCATACAGACTACATCAAATAGGTCTGCGATACGGTCTGTGTCTGGCTTGGAGTGGATCATGTGAGAGTAGCACATGGGTCGTTTCTGACTGTCCAGTGAACGCGCCAATGTGACAAGAGGTTCAAAGTATTCTCGGCTTCCTTGCTCGCTGGCCCCAGGCTCATTTGCCAGCATCCACATCACGACGCAAGGGTGGTTCTTATCCCGGCTGATAAGCTCGCGGATAGCCTGTTCATGTGAAGCCTGGGTTTTGCTACTCATTGTATCTGGGGAGAATGTCGCAAGTTGTTTATTGCCAAACATACCCGAGACGATATTAAGGTTCAGACCAACGGCAGCCGTTTCGTTGATAACAACAACGCCGTGCCTATCAGCATACTCCAGAACCTCCTCTGCATAAGGGTAATGGGAGGTTCGGAATGAGTTAGCACCGATCCACTTCATCAGACGGTAGTCATGTATCATATAAGATGCGTCATAACCACGTCCGCGAACAGGTCCGTCCTCGTGTTTGCCAAAGCCAGTAAAATAGAACGGTTTCCCGTTGATAAGGAAGCGGCCATCTCGAACCTGAACTGAACGGATGCCTACGGAAAGGTTGTATGAATCGAGAATCTCGTCCTGATCACCGTGTACGAGTTGAGCCCGAAGTTGATAAAGGTATGCAGCACCAGGTGCCCAATGTCTAGCGTTCTTGACCTCAAGCTTGCCCCGGGGCTCATTGGCCTGGCAAACAGTTGTGTCCTCTTCGTCGTCGAGCAGGATGCGCCATCTTGTGCCAGTTTGCAGATCGCCAGAGGTCTGGATGTCAAAGTCGACAATGCCAGTGCCGTCTTCAAGTAGGTCAGTGACAACACTAACATCATTGATGAAGACCTCTGGTACCGAATAAAGCCAGACAGAGCGTGCCAGTCCAGCGTAGTTGAAGAAGTCGTGCTGGTAACTCTGTTTCCGTGTTCCATCGCTTTGAACCTCAACGCGACCTGGAGGTATCGTCTCCCAAGTGAGTTGATTGTTTACCGCAACTGTAAGACGAAACTCCGACCCTGGCTCGACAAGTCCAGTGAGTTCGATCTCAAACGGGGTGTAACCGCCGATATGCTCGACGACAAACTTGTCGTTGACGTAAACTCTACCGTGGTGGGTTGCAGCATCTACGCGTAGAAAGAAACGTTGGGGTGTAACCCAGCCGCGGGGAATAACTGCTTGACGCTGATAGTAGACCCAACCGACGTGGTCACGAATGGTCTCATCAGCAAAGATGTCGTTATAACTGGCTGGTACAGGTACTTGAAGCTCTGGCGAAATTCGCCTCTTCCATGCTTCCTCAGTCTCGATGTCATGAGAGTTGGCTAGTGCAAAGTTCCAAACACCGTCTAGCGATACGAGGTCGCGAGCTCTGTTGGCTTGTGGTCGTAGCATATTTGTCGTGTTGTGCTATTAAAGGGGAATCGATGTTACTTCTTGATCACTATGTTATAGAGATCAGTTATAAGTGACAGTGAGTGCAAAATTGCCTCGGTTTGATTTGCTGCTAATTCCGAAACAATTGCCGTGTAAGAGGGGAAACGTGATGGTCATTGTTGTCGTCCACACCCCGGCGGCTTTCTCACCGAAACACCAGCCAAATCAATCCAAGAAAATATTCCCCGCCGCATTGAAACCTCAAATCGTTAAATAATTATCTCCACATCCCGGAAGAGGTTGCAGAAAACCAAGATAGGCAATAATCGTGGGGTATGGCGGGGAAGACTTTTCTGGGGAACCTCGTGAAGATCACCCAGATTGCATTAATCTCTGTGGGGTCATCTGTAGGGTCTCAGTCTTGGAATACTTAAGAAACAGTAGACACCTTTGTATTGATCGAATCTGACTCTCCAGTCTCGGTAGTCATCTCTCACTCAAGATCTGACTCCATATTATTTCATCATGACTCTCTCCGGGACCAAACATTCATCTTCTGTCCATGTCGAGCAAGCTCTGCCGCAGCATAATGCTGATGCAGAGAAGCCATGGCAGGCCCTTACCAAATATCCCAAAGTCTTTCTTTATGCCGTGCTTATCAACATTGGTCCTCTTCTCTTTGGCTACGACATGGTCATCATTGGTGCTGTTTCATCACTAAGACAGTTCAAAATGGACTTTGGTGAGCCTCACGGTGAGAAGTGGGTTATTCCAGCTCTCTGGATTGCTCTTTGGAACAGTTTCCTCCAACTTGGTGCTGGTTCTGGCGCTATATCTGCGGGAGTTTGTCAGGATCGTCTTGGCAGACGAGCCACGGTATTCTTGGGAGGTCTGCTTGGCTGCGTTGGCGCGGCTCTGTCGTTCACATCGTGTATGCCCGATACCATGCTGAACCGTCGCATCTCCTTTATGATGGCCAAATATGTGTTGGGTGCCTCTTGCGGTCTTCTCATGTCAGCTTGCCAGACCTGGATTTCTGAGACAACTCCCAAGCATCTTCGTGGAGTCTTTCTTAGTTTCTATGGCTTCAATGTGGTAAGCAACTACTAGAAACACACCGAGGACCGTTTCTCTAATAATTCGTTACTAGTGCTTTGGCCACTTGATCGCCATCGCGGTTGTATTTGGTGGATCCAATGGTGTCACTCGCGACTCATACCAGATCCCATTTGCTAGTCAATGGGCCTTTGGGGGTTGGGCTATGCTTGTCGCCCTAGTCCTCCCAGAGAGCCCTGTCTGGCTCGCATCCCGCGATCAGATTGATCAGGCACAACGGTCTCTTCAAAGGCTCGGCGTGCCCGAAATGCTCGCACAGATCATGCGGACCCTCGAGGAAGAGCGTGGTCAGAATGCCTTGAATGAGGGCTTCCCTACCTACCGCGAGTGCTTCCGCAGCACTGACCGTCGTCGTACGTTTCTTGCCATGTTCCTCACAAGTATCCAACAGTGTATCGGCATGTCTCTCATTGCCAACGCTGCCTACTTCCTCACAATGGCTGGCATGTCGTCTCGATACCCTCTCATGGTCAACCTGATTGGCATCTCGTCAACCATGGTCGCAAGTATGATCTCGTGGTACACAATCCCCCGTTACGGCCGCAGGAGGATGATTCTCATCAGTCACTTCCTTGACAATGCTGCCTGGTTGGCCATGGGTATTGCCGGTTGTTTCTCGACTGGGGCTGCAAAATGGTTTGTACTTTTATCTGCGATTCTTCATCATATGTGCTGACCATGTAATAAAGGATGGTTGGCGTAGGCCTCGTCCTAGTCGGCTTCTTCAACAGTTTCGGAGTCGCTAGCGCCGTACCCGTGCTCCAATCCGAAGTCTCATCTGTCCGGCTACGTTCCAAGACGTCCGGTATTGCCTTTACCTGGCAGTCCCTCAGCATGTGGGCTTTCAACTTCTTTACTCCGTACATGTACAACACAGATCAGCTGAACTGGGGAGGCAAGATTGGATTCTTCTTCTTTGGGCTGGGGTCCATATCCTTTGTCGTGGCATGGTTTGCTATTCCCGAGACCAAAGGCAGGACCTTTTTGGAGATTGACTACCTCTTTGAGACTGGTGTCAAGCATCGCATGTTCCATAAGACGGTCATTGGCAGTGGTGAGATGGACGATGATGAAGGCGGAAAGTCTAAAGCATTTTAGATGGATTTAGAGTGATGTCAGTTCGGATTCATCATCGGATGAGGACTCAAACCGGTGTTCAAATGGCATTGGAAGGATGAAAACTCTGGAGACTGCAGTACACGATGTTAGTTGAGTAGTGTTGAGGCATTATGTTTCGCCACAGTAAGCCGTAACTCAAATCCTGTTATTGTTCGTTTACCATTTTGCATGTTCTTGCGATCTTAGCTTCTATTTTCGCATTCATAGTGAACAGTCCTCTCTTGTGTCATAACTCCACCGTGGTCCTTGGGGGTAGGCTAATTCACCAATTGACATAGCAACATATTTATATCACTGCCCGTTTTAGGCTATCACAACCTTAATAGTTAATGGTAACTCGATTTCAGACCTCGCCATGGTGCAATATCGCTTGTACTGATGTGTCTGTTGAGCTCTTTGGAAACTCATTACGGCTGTATTAGTGTGGCAGGCTCAATAGAGCAACCAAAACCCAACACGCAGGTCGAGCCTATAATACATTGTCATGGTATGAATGAGCGTGGCACAGGCAATCGTTGTATAACCCAAACTCTGCGACAACTCATCTGGAAGGTATCTATGTGCATGCTGAATAGAGGTTGCTTGAGCCGCGGCATCCAAGTGTCGCTGTGAATGCCGATGTTGACACAGGTGTCTGTTGCAGGTGACAGCTGACAATGTTGGTTGACCATACATTGGAAACAGCCTAAATTAGCTGTTCAAGAGGTTAGTCCGATCTGGGTAATTATTGGACAGATACGGATATACGGGAACGAAATTGGCAGGATGGAACCGTGGTTCAAGTTGTTGGTCTTGAAACGGTCCTTGGAAAACGAGAATTTACTGAAGAAATAGATGATTGATCACCTTGACATTCTAGGTTGTCTCTTTTCCCAACAAGGGTCGGTCATTGTGCTTGCGTTTTCAGGTCCAGAATGGAGTTGCCCGGATTCATATCGGGACAATCATCCATGCTAGGTGTTTTGAATTCAGTCTTCTAGAATAAAATTAACATGATGATTGTCGCATATGAAGCTAGTATCAAGACCGTCGAAGCTGATGTGCTTTAACAACACCATGACATGGCAAAACATAGCCGGGATTTCGGAAAGTGGAGGCTTCGGGATTTGATAGTCATATGTCCATGAACATATGCAGGCGTTGGTTGACGATGAATGTCCCGAAATTCACACGTCGGACTTCACTCCGATTTAGTTGGACCCCTGCTTGCTGTGATATCGACGTAGAAAATAGTGGTATTGCAAGATGAAGATCTCGATACGTAGGCAGCATGTCATGGGATTCTATCTCCTCAGTAAAAGGGTTTGTAAGCCAAGACAATTGCATGAGTCAATATTACTGATGGCTACCTACTTCTCAGTTTGTGTTGTTATTACTCATCCTATTCCATGACGATATGGAAATACCCAACTCTCAGAAGGAGATCATCTGGTCTCTTTCTCAAACGTGCCACTTTAGTGATACTGGGAATGGTCTTCCATATCGCATAACCGTAATGGTGAAACGTTGATCTTCGGCCGTATCAAGTACAACAGAAGGAACTGTCTGTTGTTCCAATAGAAAGGTGCAAAACATAAAATATAATGAAGCTTAAGGACCTAATGCGCAGGTGTACGAGTGGAATCTCCCCGCCCCCTTCAGGTTCTTCTGAGAGTCTGAGCAAATACTCATACCAATCTAAATCAATCATATTTGTGTATTCAACACAGGCTTAGAATGAGAACTTTCATGGTTCTAGGGGGAATTTTGGACCGCACTTGCTGCTAGTATATCTGATAGGGTAGGTAGTGGGCGGCCATTATTTCGAGAGAGAAAATAAACGCCTTCAAAGAAGACAGCTGGCTTTGAAGGAAGAGAAGCCAATGGAATTGTTCGAGGTGATACCGTTTTCCCTCTCTTACTGAGATGAGGAACAAAGGAATGTCATTCATGACTGCAGCCGCTTGTTCGCAAGAGTGACCAGCTCGGAACATCAGTTGCCACGTCAATGGTTCGGTTAATAGAACGAATGAGGTACAAGATGTTAATCAGTGGTTGGTAGACAATTATGTGCGCGGTCATCATATCTGGCTTCTAATTATCAGACTGTAGTCTTCTCTCGATGCCACTCAATTATATATGTGCTTTTAGCTATTGTGGTGGTTGCAGATACTATCCTAGACCCTATCTATTGCTCGAACTGCAGTACAGGTCTTCGGAGGAACATCCGAGAGAAGACTATGCAGTGTCTCCGATAGGGCGTTGGTCAAGCAGCGAATGATCAACATGTTGCACCTGATTCGTTGCTGTTGTTGCTGCGAATGACTCCAACTTTGATTCGCTAGTCACGACCGGCCCGGTCCAGACTTTTGGATTCCCAGGGAGTCATTTAGAGTGGCGGCCCGCTTTCTCCGCCAGGGCTTTATTATCCACGCTTTCCACTGACTACAACGGCTTTACACAAGATATCTAACCATTCACCAATTAAGCTTAAAGACAAAAATATCCCAATAAAAGCCAATCATGTATATCCGCGCCACTCACGCCGAGACAGACCTCCGTGTCCTTCGTCGTCTCATCCACGAAAACCCACTCGGAATGCTTACAACCGGAATCAAATCCCCAACACACTCGTTTTTACAAAGCAGCCATATTCCATTCCTCCTCGATGTTCAAGATGAATCAAGCGAAACCGAACTTGGTCGTTTAAGAGGTCATCTGGCACGACAGAACCCACAGAGCAAAGCCATGATAGAGCACTGTACCTCGAACCCTGGACTCAAAAGCTTTCTTGAGGACGAAGTTCTTGTCATTTTCACCAAGCCCACACATCATTATTTGACGCCAAAATTCTATACCGAGACGAAACCTGCTACAGGCAAAGTTGTGCCTACATGGAATTACGCTGCAGTGCAGGTCTACGGGAAAGCGCGAATCTACTACGAGAATAACGAGGAGACATCAAACTTTCTCGGCAAGGCTGTTTCAGATCTCACAGATAATAGCGAGACGAAGATCATGGGTTATACAGGTGGCGATAGACCTACACAGTGGAAGGTCACGGATGCGCCTGAGAAGTATGTTGAGTTGCTCAAGAGGAATATTATTGGGATTGAGATCGAGGTGACCAAGCTGGAGGGCAAGTTCAAGATGAGTCAGGAGATGGGAAAGGGCGATCAGGATGGGGTTATTAAGGGTTTTGAGAGTTTGGGAACTGAAGCTGGCGATGATATTGCCAAGATTGTTCAAGAGCGTGGGAGGTGAGAATTGTTAATGTGGTCTGGAAGGCCATAGCTTTCGAAAGGATTATGAAGGTCAGATAAACAATCCATACCCCAGCAATCAGACAACATGGACATGTATCAAGCGATGTCCTGTAGAATCTGAGAGTGGGTTACACAAATTCTGGCAGCGATGACTCCCAAACAGAAGTTCCTGCGACTCCATCTCATACGGATCCTGGAGCTCGGTTACTCCAAGCATAGATTGATTTGTCAGTTCGGCTATCTTGTGTCTATCAACTTGAGCAAATAAAAGGTTGAGTTGTCAGTCTATCGGCCCTTTCTTAATTAATTGATCACCCCCATCGTCAACTGATACCTGTGACGCGTGTTCGCAGATTGACGACAAGTTGTGGTAGACGAACGGAAGACTCGGCAGTGGCATCCAAGGTAAACTTCTTTAGAAAAGGCAAAGACTCATGATGTGGGTTGATACAAGGTGTTGAACTAAGGGATTGGAATTCTCCGAAGCCCGATAGATGACATGCCACAGCACACACCGTTCATAAACTCTAGTGTTGATTCAGATTTGAACAGTTTAAAATATGGTTAATTCGAGTTGTTTGGATTGGAAGAAATGATTGAGCACGTGAGATATAAATATGCATTACATGATGAATAGAACCAATTGCAGAATCAATTCTCTATGCCTTGAATGTAAAACTGGTTTCCAAAGGGCTGAGGTGAAGAGGGTGGTGGCAGGTCAGCTTTAGCACCAAAGGGATTAAACACCGATGACGCCGTGGCTGTGGGAATACCGGGCATTGGGTAAGCGGCTGAAGGAAACATGCACTCGATGGTATGTTCATTCTTGATGCTGACAATACGAGACGGAGTGTCTGGAGGTCTGGGGAATAGCGGAGAGAGTCGTGGAGAAATGGAGAAAAAAATGGAACAGAGGCATATTTCGGCCGAGGCAGGACCGTTCGGATCTTGGCCTTGACATGTCAAGAAGAAAAGAAGAATATCCAAGACGGGTAGAAGAATATGTTTCGGTCAAGGATCAGCAGAAGTTGGAGAAACAAGACTTGGCGTCATTGCTACTCATGCCAAGATTTGAACGGGGTGATCGGCAAACATGACTTGGCACGAGTACCAAGAGATTTAACGATGAAAGTCTGGGGTAATTGAGAGACTTCACAATAGAGGGACAATACCAAATGAACCAGTACCAAGAACATAGCAGTCACTACATGCGTGTTAATTATTTATTACACTGACGAACAGGATAACAATAAATGACATGCCTTGTGTATGACTGCCAATGTAAATCTCATCTCGTCTTGAACATAACCATTTCTTTGACCGGATCTCTCGGGTGTCGTCATTAAAAAAAGGTCCAGTAGGTTCTAGTCTAGTCTGGCAGGGATCCCCAGGTCCTGTACCAACGCTGCTGCAACCTACAACCCCCCCAGTCTGTCACTCTCAAGCCTCAAGGCACCAAAAACAGCCCAAATCGGGCACTTGTTAACCTATCACTGTCTTCACAATACGCCATAGAATTGATCCAGACTCGAATTGCATCACATTCTATCGTCATATCTACCAACAATAATGTTTGCAAAACTTACCGTTGCAATCCTTCAACGTTAGCTCAGATATTTCCCCAGCTTTTGTAACCCCGTGGGTATCAGAGCTATGCTTCTCTCGCAACCCCACAGACCAAAATGGGACGGACCGATTTGATGGTCTCGAGACCATCTACACTCCAGTTATTCCTTATTGGACAGTCTCTTCATGGCCTGACATCACCGTCATCCCTACAGACGACGCACAACGTCATGGGCACGACTCGAGTATGTATTTATTTATTTATTCACGACGTACCGCTCCCATTCTACCTACTTGAACATCACTAACATTGTTCATCAAGCCTACAATTTGGCTTAACAGGCCTAACTACTGCCCATCATGGCGCCATCTTTCATGACTGTTTATTTCGATGACCAGAATCCCAACTCAGAAAAGGGCAAGGAAGCTGGTGCTCGTCGGTCCCTAGCTGGACTCGACTATTCGCCCTTGCCTCGTATAACCGGAAGATCCTTTCTTCTCGCGACCTTTGTCTCTATGGGTGGTCTCCTGTGAGTCGCATTGTCTCATCCCATTATCCACACCCGCAAGCTAATGCACTGCAGCTTTGGCTATGATACCGGCCAAATCTCCGGCTTCCTCGAGATGCCAGACTTTCTCGACCGCTTTGCTCAAACCAACAGCGATGGAACCAAGGCATTCAGCACCGTACGCTCAGGTCTGATCGTCGCTCTTCTTTCCATCGGTACTCTCATCGGCGCTCTCGTCGCTGCACCTGTATCCGATCGCATCGGTCGCAAGTACAGTATTTCTGGCTGGACCTGGATCATCGCTATTGGCTTTATCATCCAGATCTCGTCCAACCGAGACTGGGTGCAGATTATGATGGGTAGATGGGTCGCCGGATTGGGAGTTGGCGCTTTGTCGCTTTTGGTGCCCATGTTCCAGGCCGAGACTGCTCCTCCATGGATTCGAGGTGCCATGGTTTGTTGTTACCAGTTGTTCATCGTGAGTTGTTTCTATCCCGAATAACCAACATTGACTAACAAAGACAGACAATGGGTATCTTCCTAGCTGCATGCTTCAACTACGGCACAGTCACCCACCAGCGCAACAACTCAGCAAGCTGGCGCATTGTCATCGGCCTCGGCTGGGTCTTCACCCTCATTCTGGGCATCGGAATTCTCTTCCTTCCCGACACTCCTCGATTCGACTACCGCAAGGGCAAAGTCGACCGCGCTCGCGCCACCCTCTGCAAAGTCTACGGCGCCACACCTAACCACTGGGCAATCCACACGCAGATGGAAGAGATCGAATCCAAGCTTCGTGCAGAGAGCCAGATCAAGGGAAACCCTGTCAAGGAGTTTGTACAAATGTTCAAGGCGCCGCGCATGGCGTACCGCATCTTCCTCGGCATGGCGCTCCAGATGTTCCAACAGCTTACGGGTGCCAATTACTTCTTCTACTACGGTACTACCATCTTTGCCTCTGTCTCCATTGACAGCTACAAGACACAGATTATTCTCAACACCATCAATTTCTTGGTCACGTTTATCGGTTTGTACATTGTCGAGCACTTCGGTCGTCGCAAGTCTCTTATTGCAGGAAGTACCTGGATGTTTATTTGTTTCCTCATTTTTGCCTCTGTTGGCCATTTCTCGCTCGATCGCGAAAACCCTTCCACAACCCAGGGCGCAGGCGTTGCCATGATCGTCTTTGCCTGTCTCTTCATTCTCGGATTCGCGACGACCTGGGGACCTATGATCTGGACCATCATGGCTGAGATCTTCCCTTCGCGCTACCGAGCAAAGGGCATGGCTCTTGCTACTGCCAGCAACTGGCTCTGGAATTTCCTGCTAGCATTCTTCACACCATTCATCACAAAAGACATTGACTTCCGCTATGGATACGTCTTTGCTGGATGTAACCTTCTCGGTGGACTCATCGTCTACTTCTTCGTTATCGAGGGCCAAGGTCGCACACTTGAAGAGATTGATACTATGTATCTTGAAAAGGTGAACCCCATCAAGAGTTCCAAGTGGGTGCCGCCTCCTCCCGAGGAGATGTCGAGGATTCGAAAGCAGGCTGGCACGGATATCGAGACTGCTGTTCACGGTGGTTCGAGTGATGATGAGACTCTGGCACGTCCTTCGGGTGTGACTGATGGCGACCACGGGCACAGGAAGGAGGAGAACGCTGGAGCTACTCACCGCGAGTAGAGGGATTATAATGAAACTGGATGATGACGATGAATGAGTGTCCGATGACAAGTTTCAGATTGTATAGTACCTACCGACCCATGAAATACCATCAAAAAATAATGTACACATTTAAAGGTCCCCGAAGTGTTTGCGATGCACGTAAAAGCCCGTTTGTACTGTAATGAATCACAGTATGCCAACCTAGACAAATAATGGTTACTGGTGGCATCCTCTATCTCGCCTTTCCAAAAATGTATGCTTTTTACTTCCAATGATTTTCGATCACTGTCAAAATAATGTGTGAGCCCAGCTTTCCCACAGCTGCTATTGTTCTTAACGACAGTCTGGGTCACTTGGCGGCAGTTGGCAGTGGCGGAGCTACTACCTCCAGCTTCTGCTTTTAATGCAACAAGTCTGGCCTATTCACCATGTTCGAAATTCCCCGCTGTTCAGACAATGGACCTGATTATGGAATTGACCAAAGGCGGGCCTAGTATGGCTTTTTACGGCTAATCACTCCCTCTAAAACTATTGACGATGCAGAAACAATGTTAATCGTGCCCTCGATGTCACAAAAGATTCACTCTCCACTGCCCTCCTAAATAAAATTACAAAACTTCCTTCGAGATGCCGAAATACTTTCCCCTTCACAAGACCCAACATCATCCGAGCTTCCTCCCAAGTATCTTCTATCGAATCTGCAGCATCATAGCGTACGACAAACCGCCACCATGTGCAAAACGTCCGCATACTTCACCCGTTGCGAGACTTGCAAGCAGGACATCGATCACTGCCTCAAGGTTGATCAAAATTGCAAGAACAAGAACCGCGGCTTGCCCTACTGCAGCATCATTTACCCCGTCAACATGAACATCGATTGGGTTGACTAGACTCACTGTCTCCCCTGCACTATCAAGCGAGGTATGCTTGATGACCGAATCCAGGCCACCATCGACCAGGAGGCCAAGGAGATGGCAGAGCAGCCTCCGCCCAAGACCGAGAGTGATGATACACTCATCATGAAGCAGCTCGTCGACGATATCGATAACCGGGTGAACATGGAGAAACATGGCCGTGTCGAGAACTGGCTTGACGGACATCCCAACGTTAAAGCTGGTGAATGGTTTGACGAGGTTGAGGAGGACGTCATCGAGGAGGAAACCGGAAGTGACCGTGGACGCGGACGTTCTCGTGGTCGCGCTCGTGGTCGCGGCCGACGTGGTAACTAATGAGGTACTGCGCAATCCTGCAAGCGAGGCGACATATGCCATTCGGCACTACTGTCGACGCATGATATCTGTGAGTCTGTTCTTTGTCATGTCTCCCCGTTGAACGTCTGCTAATATCTGCAAAGATCATCAAACATTCACACCCTTTCTCGAGTAGTATCGCCAACACATGAGTTTCTCAGTTGCCAGCCTCTGAGCTTGGTACGGTTGATAGTGATATCACCAAGACGTCTCGTCCGGGTAAGCGTGGAATGGGGATATGGAAGCAGGGAAAGTCATGAATGAATGAGGGAATAGTCACCGATATACGCTCAAACAGTACCGTTAGAGATCTGTTACCATAATAGCAAAGACTGACTATCTTCAATATTCCACCCTCTGAACTCTGTACAAAAGCTTTAAGACATGTCATGACATGCTTGTAGCGCCAGGCCGTACCGGGCACTGCATCTGAATGACACGACATCGCCAATTGAACAGGAATGCAAGTAGATACATAGCTACAAGCAGTACCATACGATTTCCGGCACCAATATGGTCGATCCGTGATCAGTGTGCTGGGACAAAGGAGGCGGACGAGAAAAACAATTGGTGAACAAGAAACGAAGTGCCTGGGCCAACCGCCCTTTGAGATTGTGAAGTGTTCATTGTGACGTTTATTTGAACATGCCTCTACCCTGATTAAAAATTTGCATTTCTGTGCTCGATATTTATGGACAGATGTCTCAAGGTTCCAGAACGTCAAGGCTGGCTTTGCTGTTAAGAAGGTTAATAAGACTTTCGAGGCACAACGAATTACGAATACCTAGCGTTCATTCAAAGTTCATGTTCTGAGATAAGCGCATCGCTGAATCTATTTTTCATTGCGGAATTTCTGCGTATAAGTACAGCTTGCTTCCCATGTCCAGTTTGTTTTTGAACACAATAACCACTATCCATAAGCCATCCACTCAACACAACAAAGACACAAAATCTCGGAACAACTCAACATGTGCAAACAAAGAAAAGAGAAATGGGTTTGCAAATATTGCCAAAAGCCTATCAAGGAACACACGTACTTGATCAATAAATGTAAAAGCCAGTCGGATATAGGCATCTGCCGGGAACAGAGAACTACAGACTATGAAACGATTGATATGTATTATCCTGGGTGTACGCTATGTGATCAGCCGCGAAAATGGCCACCAACAGATTTGGACAAGGAAATTAGACCTTGGATGTTGAAGCGCGAATAGTTTCTGAAGAATAATAAGAATCAGTCGTTGTTTAAACTCTTGTTCTGTGAACTTTGTGAACAACAAACTCTGCCAAAGTGACTATAAATCACATTGCCCCTGCCCTGCCATTTGCACGTTATATCCCAGCTTCCACCAAAACCAGTTCCAAAACACCAGAAATCTTCAACCACTCGCTCCAACGCATCAGCAATAATTCGACAACCCAATCATTCGATATGTGTCAAACCGTCGAAACCAGATGGATGTGCGCGGGATGTTCCAAGTCCATCCTGGATAGGAGCTCGATCAAACGTCCTTGCAATGCATACAAGAAGAAAGGGATCTGCACTGAGTCGACAATAACTCTGGTGGAACACAAGTATGTGGAAGATCCTGATTGCGAGATTTGCAAGAACTTCAACAAGGATAAAAACGAGAAGGAAAAGTCACGAATTTAGGAGAGGGGCCTTCGATGGGTTGATGGATACTCGAGGTGATCAGTTGATGCTGACGCAGGATCGTCAAGCAACAGCATGGGTATCTAGCTGGTTTTTGAATGGAAAGACAATTTTGCTCCAATCTACACGGTTTTCTTATACTGTTAGTGATTCTCGCCAAGCTCTGCATGATGATGGGTGATTAACTACGCGAAAGTGAAACAATCCGACCGCCAACAAATCTGATTTACGTATTATCAAGATTTAGATATAAAAGGGCGACTAAATATTGATAATTCTCTCCCATCTACAATAAGCCAAAGAGTAATACAGCCAAGAACTAAATCATACATTTACAAAACTAAACAAACCATGTATTGGGTAGTCCAAACCAATCTTCTTTGCCATCGATGCGATTGCCTCATTTTAACCAAGAAATCCATCAAACGCGCATGCCCGTCTTTGAAGAAGAACGGAAAATGTAGCGGTGATATTAAAGAGGGGAGTATTGATGGACAAGTCAGCTCCTCGCAGTGCAAAAATTGCGGAAAGATAAATGATGACCAGGGTTTTCGCAATTGGTTTGATAGCAAACTAACAATTGCTTGAAAGTAGGAGAGTTCAAGGAATACAGACCCAGGCAGTTATAAAAGATAATATGGGACTTGAAAAACATTCATCGAGTTTAAAAAGAAAATAATCAAGACATAGTTAGTTAAATAACATTCGTATTGACTTTCGTAATATGGGTGTGCTTGTTCGGCACAAGGTAAGTTGTTTATGTCGGGATCGAAGCCGATCAAGTGACTCGGTATTCAATATCCATAATCTTATCTCTCTTATCTCGTTATCTAGCGAATCATATCCCTCTACAGTCCTCTGAACTAACCTGATCCCGATCAATGACCGAGTTTCTCGGCCGACATCGAGTAGATCATCTTCAGCTCCCGCCCGGAATTTATTTTACTTTTCATGTCCCGGAATTCCGAACCCTCACAATCATCCTCGCCTAATTATAAACACCCATGCCACGAACAAAGACGCGTGAACCACGTGTGAGACGTTCCTGCGAGCGCTGTCGGTAAGCCACTTAACAAGATTCATTCGAGAACATGACAATTGACGATTGTTAGTCAGAAAAAGATCAAATGTCCTGCTGAAAAGCCGGGCTGTTCGCATTGTCGTATTGCGAATGAGATTTGTACTTATCTTCCTCGCAACCATGTCAACAACAGCCACCCAAGACCCATTTTGTAATTATCTATATCAAAACAACGTCGGGTCCATATAGGCTAAAGATTTCTTAGCAGACCCCTCAAAGCGCAACAGAATGGTATCTCACCAAGTACATCGGCTGAATCTTATAGTCGCGAACCTGAGTATGCTGCTCGATATCTTGTGGAAAACCATGGCTGATCACATTCTAGATCTTTGACGAAAAGAGGCAATGGCCAAGATGTCAATGGCTGGCATAGTCGAGCCGGCTCATCAAATAGCATTCACCAGCAGCTACCTCCGATAACAGCCATGCTGTCTGATTCTCCATCATGGTAAGACACCCAGCCTCATACTCCATCCATTACTGACAAAAGAACAGGTCACCGGCAAATCCAGAACCGCCAGTAGATCTGCTTAGTGATTTCGTAGGCGCTTACCGTGAAAAGCTCTATTTTCAACCACTTCCACTCTTCGATCCACGACGTCTCCAGTTGAAGATTGGCACATTACCGCATTACCTCCGATGGAGTTTCCTGGCCCTCACCCTTAATTTTACGAGTCATAACTTCTACTATGGTCTTGAGGCAAAGGCGATTGAGTACTACACTACTTCCGCGCGGAGCATAGTCGTTGATATGGCAGCTGAGGGACTTGCGCAGCTTGAGGTGATGCAAACTCTGTGTCTGCTCGCTCTTTGTGATCACATCGGTAAGTCGCTTCCGCGCATTGTATAAAGACAGCTTTTGACACGGCGGAACCTAGCCGGAAAGACATCTCGGGCCTGGATGATGGTTGGAATGGCAGCAAAACTCGAAGCTCTTCGACTATCCCACTCAAAGACTGATGCCAACTCTCGGCACCCCGACGACGCAATCTCAAGGTGTCATTGGAGTATTGCAATCCTGGAGAGTACCTTCATTCCCAATTGTAACACCCTGTCCGACATAACAGGCGCCCCAGCGTATCCTAAAAGCGTGTCGCGTCCAACGCCACTGCATTCTTCCCATGGTATGAAGAGTTACTGCGCCGACTTGACTGACGCGTACGAGGGGAATATTCAAGACGTCGGGGTTAACGCGACATGCCTCGGGTACGTCTCAGTTTGGGGGAGCATAATATCTTATCTGAGAGATATCCGAAACGGAGCCAACGAGTATCCATGGTTAGCAACTTCGAAACATAGTCAACTCACTGTCAAGTTGTACGAGCTTGAGAACATCACATCGCACAGACATCTCATCCGCAACGCGCCTTTCCCCGATCAACCGTCGGAAGATTTGAGTGAGCATCGAGAATACTGGGCACCGTGGGTATCGTTCCAAATAATGATGCACGCGACCCAAGCCGTTCTTAACAATCCCTTCGTTCAACTCGTCGCTCTCCGGAGAGCTGGTCGCAATTTCCAACCACGATCTTTCCTACAAAACACAGTTGATCAAGCGCTGTTCCACGCAGAATGGGTTTCCCGACTGGTTCAAATGTGCGCAGATCGGCAGTTCGAAGTCAACGACCCTTTGATCGGACAAGCTGTTGCTGGCTGCGTATCAATATTATGGATCTTCCAATTCGCCAGGGATCGGAAAGTGTCAGAGAAGGCAAAGGAGAATTTGATAACTTGCGAGACATTCTTAGGACACTTGGCAAGGAAGTGGCCTCATATCGCCGAAAAGGTAATTCCTTATCATCCCTCGTCGATATTTCTTTATAACTGGATCGAATTATAGCTCGAAATTCTACGAACCCTCAACGTCAAAGTAGCAAAGCAGCAACAAACACCCCAAGAGGACGAATCGACCAGCGCAACTATAAAGTTCGAACCTGACATGATGTGGGAACTTCTTGATCCTGCCATGTCGGGCGTTGATTGGGCCAACTTGTGTAGTGCGGCAAAGGAGAAAGGCTCTCACGCGACAACGAGTGCTACAATACGAGTTGCCACAAAGTTTGTGCATCCCATCAACAACGAAGTCGAGAGCGCGCCGGTGCCAGACCCTGAGCATAACTTGTTTGATTTGGAAGATATTTATGGCGAGCCATTTTTGGATCAGTTCTTTTCGGATTCTTTGCTAGTCAACATTTCGTAGGTAGTTTAGTACATATGGAATCCCGTCCATTTACTATTATAATCCTCGACACTACCCACAGTCAGCACATCAGATAACGCTCGTGCTTCCAGTGGCGTACCAAAAGCTGTAATGCAGGAGTGAAACATTGAGAGACATCACAATTGGTAGTTTTTGGGACTCTAGCTACTGGGTAGCAGAAAAGTTAGCCTCCTAAGTCTTAGCGTATAAAAATAAGTAATCTGAGAACTATAGCCTAAGGGTCATAAAGTGACCTACTAATTTCGTCTCTTATGCTTCCAGCGGTCAATTTTTCTGATACCCTGAGGTCTGGCTGAGCTGAAGCTCACCACAATTAGCCAGAATTGACTTCAGCTTAAGCAGTGGCGTCGGCATTAGCGCGACACTGATACCAGTATAAATCTCTCATTTCCCTCCTCAAAAACCGAAAATCAATTTCGCATCCATACTAAAAGAGAGCCATTATGCGTGCTGAACAAACCATCCTCGCCTTCAACTCTTTATTTGGCGCAGCCACAACACCCTTTGGATGCGGTGAAGTAAACGTCTTTTACACGTAAGGACATCCATCTCTATTACTATTGCAGTATTTAATGATTTTATTTTATTTAGTGGTTTGCCAGGTCGTCATCAATATGTTACTCAGCAAGGCTACGATGCCAAGCTGGTAGAGGAGCAAATCTTTAATCACACACGTGAACTTCGAGAGGCTGGATATAATGTTCGGGGTAAGAACAGTCACAAGCAGGAGAGATAGACCTGCTAAAGAACTTATTTAGCTGTTTGGCGAGGACCCGAGATGCCACCAAATGAGTTCGTTGATCAGATGAAGGACGTTCACTGGCACGCCGCTGGTATAGGCTTTGGCGTGAGGGGATCACAAATCCCAGATGTCATCGGGCTTTTTGAAGGTAATGAATGACCTGACGTTGAACAGGGGTGTAGTATTAATGTGACACAGAGACTATCGATATCTTCCGCAAAGAAGCTCCGGATGCCAAGTTTGTCTTTAACTACAATCCTCTCACGTTTCTGTGGTCCGTCAAGCGCTACTTTCCCCTGTCAAGCGACTGTAAGGAACAGCCGGGCAAGGACTTGGTAAGTTGTATCTCTCCTTGCAGATTTGCCTGATGCTAATGACGGGGCATAGGGATATGTAACGCTTTGTGAAGAGGCTTGCCCCTAAATTACAGGTTACTAGCAAGGATAACATTCTTCAGCAACCAAATCGTATTTCAGTTATGTCCCACTCAAGGTTGATAGCATGTTTAGTTTGAAGCCTCGGTGTATATTGCCGGAGTTAACTGGACCAAGGCACTTTTGCATTTGTTTTTGGCTTCCTACTCGATAAAGACACATCTTCTAAAATAGGGAATTTTCTTTTGACAACACGTTAATAATGAAGAGGTCTTTGACGAACTTCAACCAGTGATCGACTGTGCAGTCCAGTGATCGATAGATTCTCGTGTAGTCTCGGTCTGTTTTATCACCTACAAACCCCATTTTATGGGATTTCCTGCCAATGTTCACAATAAGTCTATGTTGAGATAACCCTAACACTTAACTTTCATGGAAATCTCATTCTTACATGTTGATGGGATATGCAGCTCAGCGGCTAGGTTGGTCGGGGTGATCTTGTGATTAAGCTCAGCTGGCTTTTTTTGTATATAAACCGAAGCAAAGATAAAGCCCATAGAAACCTTACTATTCAGAGTGTAGCTAACTTAATCCAATACGTTTATCTCATGAGATTAAATAAACACGGCATTGAAGTGATCGGGGACACCTATCGAATTACGTTTGCGAAGGCACAGTTGGGATTATCAATTACGGACCATTCATTGTGCTGAAGAAAGACGTCATGAGATCTACGGATGGTAGGTAGTCATGATAAGTCATGCAAAATAGCCCTATCTAAACGGGAAATACCTTGGACCTTTCCAGAAGAACAACCCGCCTACCTTGGCACACCATCAAGGGCAGATTCCGTACGACAAGAGGCGACCACACAGTGTCGAGACTCCTGCACCATCATACATCAAGCATGAGCCTCGCATGACACGGGAACAAGTAAATAATACGCCTTGCCACTTGTTACAATCTCCCGTCCCTCCCTTACAGCCCGAGACGCTAGGAACTGCCGTGTCAGTTCTGTCAAAAGAGCGTTGCAACCTCAAGCAAGCCTCTTAACCGGGTTCCTGGGGAAATATGTCAAACGCGGGGGCGCAGAGGGTGCAGTACTGTTATGTATGGGGTGCAGGTGACAAGTGATGAGTCCAAGTGCAGATTTACCCCTGGGCCTAGCAGAAGGGGGGCACTACTTTGGAAAAAGGAAACACATGACATGGATTAAAGGAGGCTGGAATTAATGGTTGCACAGGGTTGGACGTTTTGGGACAACAGCCTAAATCGGGGGCGGCGGTCGATGTGGTCTGTGAGTAATCTCACGATAGGGATACCACTCTGGCGTGTATATACACCTTTGGGCTTATCAGATATGGTGGGGTGGGATATCCCTGCGTATCTGGCCTGAGTGGTAGCGACTGATACAAAAATATATTGGAGAAGTTCAATGGGCTTGAAAGGAATAAATTGGTGAATATTGGATGATATCCAGGTTGTTGATGTGTTCGAAGAGTGGAGCTTGTGAATAGTGTCGTTGTTTATGGTTTGGTGTTCTTACTCAAAAGTGGTGCAGTGACGTACAGGATCACGGGATAGTTACAGTGCATTTGGAGAAACGATCGACAAGCAGGTACTTAACTACATGGATTATCATCAAGTAATTCCTCTTCCATTACTGGTGGTATCTACCTAACCTTTCCAAAGAAATACACCGTACAAGAACTGCATTACTACTTACTAAATCATCAATGGCACACGAAACATTCACCCCTTGAACGCCTTTCCAGTACTGACATTCAGCTTTGTCCAAACAGACCCAGTCGACATGTACCAGGCAAACTGCACAGGCCAGTAGACATGCATCATCCACAACCAAGGCATGGGATCCCAAGACTCAAAGGTACCATCCTTCCAGTATATTAGATGCTGTGCAAAGGCATGAATAGACTTCGAAACATGGGACAATCCCGTAGTTCCTCGGAAAAGAGTGTGGTAGAATGGACAGAGAACAAGCTCGATAAGATCTTGACTGACCCAGTAGTAGTCTTGAGGATTGATGGGGTACAGAGGGGGCTTTGAAAGCGATCTACGCTCAGAAGAGGATGATAGGACAGAAAGGTACTCGTCGACAATCTCGGGGGTATTGTTAAACAAAACTGTCGCTGTGTGGACTCTGGGGTTGCACTCAATAGGGTATATCGTAACGTCTTTCTCGGCGCCAGATCGAGTACCATCTTCATCTTCCTGGTTAATCAAAAAGTCAAAGCTCATGTGCCCAGTAAAGTTCTCGCCACCCTCCTCAGCCTGCTTGAGTGTGAAGTCGAGCATAGCCTTGCTAAGCGGAGAGTCGGCAGGGAGAGCAGAGTAATGCATAAGAACATCTGCAGAACGGCACGCGACAAAAGCGCACACGCGACCTCGGATAATAAGTGCGTGCGTGCAGAATTCTGGACCGGTAATGTACTCTTGGATGATGAAGGAGCATTTGGCCGTATCGAATGGGATGGTGTCGATGCGCGCCAGGGTAGCGTCTTCGGAAGACAGAGGAAGGAGAGGCATCGTGAAGCGGGCAACGTCGTCTACACCAACGGGCTTGACAAGATATTGTCTCGCGCCAGGCTTTAGTTCAAGACCGCCATTGCGTTGTAGGAAGTTGATGACATCCTCCTTATCTTGTACAGCCTCAGTATGCGGCACCGTCAGACCTAAAGACTTTGTGTGCTCAATGAAAGCATCCTTCTCATGTAGTCTGCGAATATCTTGGATACCGAATTGGATCGCTTTGGCGCTTGTGCGGGCTTCAATAATCTCTTTGACGGCAGCATCCTCAATCGCGGCATTGACGTCAGAGACTGACACCCAAAGATCAACATCCTCGTGTTTGATGATTTCCGTGATTCGGTTCAGGTAGGGGTCGTCCAAGGACATCGTTGAAGGATCTGAGGGAACGGGAAGACGGTAGTAGACATCGATTGCACGGGAAACGCGACCGGGAGAGAGGGAGTAGCAGTCTGCGCCGATGACGCGATGGCCGCGACGATGGAACATTCGTGCTAAGGACAATCCCTTTGCCATATTGACGCCCGTGACGAGGATCGTGGTCTTGTCCAAATTATCTTGATCATTTTGGCTATGGGATGTCGGAGTAGGAGGTTTCGAGGTTAACCGGTTCCATAGGAAAGCAGTCAACGCGAACAAGAGGTTTGTCGGCAGGAAGATGAAGCTGAGAAGAAACAGAGAAAGATTCTTGGTGAATTGCGTCACCCGGGAAGTTTCGGGGTTTGTCATTGTGAGTAAACTTAGAGATGCAATGGTAAATTGTGTTTAAACAGTCAATTTCGAGCTTCACTTTGGCTTTGCTTGAACATGGTAGAGAGCTTGACAAGCTTGGAGCTCTAGCTATGGCGGGGGGGACACAAGCTCGAGGAACAAACAAAGTCAATTGCAAGACGTCATGACTTTGGAGTTCTTGTTTCATCAAACGCTGCCTTTCTCGGCGTTCTGTGGCGCAAATCACGGCGCAACGCATTCCGGGGTCCCTCCGTAAGACACTCCCACTACTAAAACCGAACTAGATCGAATATGAACATTTCAGAGAGCTAGAGACAAGATGGAAAGAGGGGATAGATCTTAGCTTGATCGCCAGGAATATAAGCTCCGCCCTCGATCCAAAGCGGATATTGTCTGAGACTTTGTGATTGACATTGCATTTCTCTCTGTCTTTTCCGTTGACGTTCAAAATGCCCATTCTCGTTCTGACCTTTTCTGCATATGATCCCACATGCGGGTTTCCACACCGGTAAAGCACAACGAGCTTCTGCTTCAAGTCTCATGTGCAGTAAAGCACGTACATGCACCAATTGCAACACCCACGCTGTTCTCTCGTGGTTGCACAAGTTGCTCCCGGGTAGTATTCTGTATCGCCACCATGTGTGAGAGACTTTGTGAACAGACTGTGTGCAGTGCTAAATACCGATAGGATGGGTCGAGATTGTTGCACTTCTTAGAGTAGACACCCGGAATCGTCAACAGCCCATAGGAAGAGGGGTTTGACTCAATCTGTTTGTTTTATTTACACCGGTTGACGAGGTTCTTGTCTCTTCTCCTCTTTCTGTTGCGTACCTTGCTTACTTCTATGACGTATCGATTCTACAGCGAAGTTTCAAAAAGACCTGGGGGTAAGAGTGGATGTCAATTCTTTCAACCAAAGATGCAAGAGACCGAAAGCAATAATAATTCAGAGAATTAATAGAAAGAAAACAAAAGGGTGTTCTCTTCAACCGGTCAATTAAGTTGTGTGTGTTGCACAAACTCTTGTACAACATTGAATGGTCCCTGAAAATAGAGATAAGATAATATGGACAGTTGCAGATCATCTATCACAACATTCCCATTTCTCTTTCATCTACTAAAACAAATTCCCCATCTTCACTTCAGGGTCTAGAATGGCCAATTTCAGTCTTTCTAGTTCCTCACTTCGCATGTCCTTAGTCTCTCACCAAAACGTTGGACCGAGACAACGTGGGGTAAGCTCACTTATGGATGACGCGCACATGCAAGAGGAGCTGTCTAGAGGTACCTTTTCTAAGTGTAATTGAAGCAGCTCCATTTCAAACTGACCCGTCTTTACGAGAATACAGTCTAGACAGTACTTTCATGCTCAATCCAGGCACGCATACAATATCTAAATCGCCCCACGCCCGCGGATCTTTCCCTCCCCCAGTCTAAGCCACAGATGCACCAAGCTAAGATCTCGTCAGATTTTCGATACCCGAGTCCAGACCAGAGAGAAAATAGAAACCCCTCTCTCTAGATCACCCCTGGAGATTCTAAATCACACCCCTAGACCGCTCTCAATGTGTCGACTCCAACGACTTATATTCACTCACTCAACTGAACTCAGTCTAGGTTGTGGTTACTCTACAGCACCTATGTCCACGGTACTTTCCCTTGGCGTAATACTGCCCCTCTGTTTCTCAGTATATGACACCTCGAGACGTGGGATGCGCAACAACCTCGACGAATCAAGATAGGATACAAGATGCCGTGCTCAAACGACTCAAAGGGTCCAGCCACTAACTATAGTCCACTACACTTGCACGGCGGGTACCTATCCAGCCACTTCTACCCGTAGCCGTCCAATGTCATTCCACGGAGCACCGCCCCAGAAACTAAAACCTTTGAGCCCCATCATAGTAACACCATCATGACACCAACATTCGTTGTACGACATCCTGGTTTGTTCTATTTGTTTGTGTGGTTCATTTTGTCTCCTCCTGTTCCTGTTGGCTGTGGTGTGTAAAGATGAAGAAATGCACCTCTCAACCCCCAAATTTCTAAGTCGAGTCTACAGGTCTAGTACCTGCTACCTAGTCTATCACCTCATTCTGGCCTCAAAAGTGATCCCTTGGATATTATCCATGACCAATGAGACATTTTATAATGTCTGAAATGTCTCTATACATATATCACAACCATCCCTTTGCGTCAAATCCAAGTACCTCTGACTTGTTCTGGTCACGACCCTGGCTTGAATCTTCTTTCCGTTGTCGGCAGTTGGATATTCACTCTCTGCAACCGATCGAACATTGTCTGTTGCGAAACCATCCGTCAAGACCCTCTTTCGACGGCCTTACTACCTAGGACTCCTTCCAACTGAGGGGTTTCCAGATACATAAAAAGCTGCTTATCCCAGCCCTGATTAGAACCTGTCTCTTCTATAATCACAGTTCAACCTGCACACTCTCCTCCTCCTATCTCATCTCATCTCTCCTACACCCTACCACCTTTTTACCTCTTTCTCTCACCTTGTGTTACCTCCCTCTTACACCTGCCCACCATGTCTGATATGAATGCTACCGTCGAGCCCACAGCCAAGGGTTTTGCTGTCTGTGGCTACGAGAAGATTGAGTATGACTTCGAGTTTCTCGATGGCGTCTTCAACCCCGTCAACCCTCAGCTGTACCAGCTTTACTCTCCTTGGGGCCGCTGCTTGGCCGTCATGGATCTGAACATCTTCAACCTGTATGGCCAGCAGATGCAGCGTTACTTTGACCACTATGGTATCCCCCTCACTATCCACAAGACCATGATTGGTGAGAAAGCCAAGTCCATGGATACTCTTTTGTCCATTGTCGACTCCATGACCGACTTTGGAATCTACCGCAAGGAGCCCGTCCTTGTTGTTGGTGGTGGTCTTGTCACCGACGTTGCTGGCTTCGCTTGTGCTGCTTACCGCCGCAACACCAACTACGTCCGTATTCCCACCACTGTCATTGGCCTCATTGATGCTTCCGTCTCTATCAAGGTCGCTGTCAACTACGGCCGCTACAAGAACCGTCTCGGTGCCTACCATGCTCCTTCCCACACATTCCTTGACTTCACATTCCTTCGCAGTCTCCCTGTGGCTCAGATCCGAAATGGATTCGCTGAGCTGATCAAGATCTCCACCTGTGCTCACAAGGAGACTTATGACCTTCTCGAGAAGTACTGCGAGCAGCTCATCGACACTGGCTTTGGTCGATCTGACGATGCCTCTCCTGAGATCAAGGTCGTCGCTGACAAGATCTGCCGTGCTGGTATCCACGAGATGCTCAAGCTCGAGACACCCAACCTTCACGAGATTATGCTCGACCGTGTCATTGCCTACGGTCACACCTGGTCTCCTCTCCACGAGCTTGTTCCCGAGACTCCTCTCCGCCACGGTCATGCCATTTCTATTGACATGGCCTACTCTGCCACTCTGGCCAACATCCGTGGTCTTCTCTCTTCTGAAGAGCACAAACGTCTCTTAAACCTCTTCTCCCGCGCTGGTCTCTCCATGGACCACCCCGATTTCGATGCCGATCTTCTGGAGAAGGCTACTGCTGCCATCCTCAAGACTCGTGATGGTAAGCTCCGTGCTGCTGTCCCCGTCAACCCTATGGGAGACTGCGTCTTCCTTAACGACGTCAGCCACAAGGACATGGTCGCTGCTCTTGAGGAGCACAAGAAGATCATGAAGTCATACCCCCGCGAGGGTGCAGGTATTGAGGCGTTTGTCGATTCCAGCGACACCGGCTACACCCTCAACGGTGCCCCCGTTGAGAACGGCCAGGCCAACGCTCACCAGGTTGCCATGAATGGCGTTGAGAACAGCAAGCTCCATGCCTCCGGCCCCGAAGGCGTTGACGGTCTTCAGCAGGACTCCAGCAGCAGTGACGAGGATTACGTTCTCGGAAACTCCAAGACCAACGGACAACAGGACAAGGGTATCTTGAGCGATCTCAAGGAAAAAGTTGGCGGTCTTCAGAACCAGGTCGCCAAGGCTGTCACTGTCCAGAGCCAATAATCGCATTACTAGTATGAAAGCAAAATTTTGATATTATGGGAGCATACGAATATCAGTGGATAACTTAACCATGGACATTACCCAAAAACTATATGGGCATATTTGTTGGATCTGGGTTTATTAACACCCTTGGTCTGTTTTTACGTAACATGATACCGGGTCTGAGAACGAGATGATAAATCACTCAGCATCCACGGTTTTACATTCGATTCAATTATACAAACAAGGATATTTATCCAAACTTATATCTCTTTGCATTGTGACTGTTACAGCATCTTAATTAAACGGTACTGTAAAAGCTAACACATTCTTAAATATGACCTCTCATTGATCGTGGAATGTCGTTCAACTGTGATGTGTTGTCTCGTTTTTGCCTCGGTCTATCACGCTGTTGACCATGTCGATAAAGTCTTCAGCTGCATTCTCAGAAAAGAATTCCCTTTCACGGGCGGTGCACCGCGAAATATGATGCCGACCACGCTCCAACATTTCCATCTCGTATTTCTCCAGAGCGTTTTCTAGTTGAATCTCTTCAGACTCTCCAAGCTCAGCTCTATTCTTGCATTTGACGATGGCTTTTGATAACATCAACGCATCAAACATTGCCATGTTTACGCCCTCGCCAACAAGAGGAGCAGAAAGATGAGCGGCGTCTCCCAAAAGTGTGATACCTGGAATACGCTGCCACGTCAGGGAGGAAACCGGCAATCGATACAAAGGCCACGCGTGAAACGGCCCTTCGGCGTGACTAAGATAGTCCTTGAGCTCTGGGGTCCAATTTTCAAAGAAGTCGTATGATGATAGAAACTTGCTGCGTATGTTGTCGGTATCAGTGGCAGTCATGTGTTTCTGATATTCACCTTCTGGGGTATCCATTCCGATATAAAAGCGATAGGAATTATCAGCTAGCTGCTGGACTGCCAGCATCTTTTGCTGCCCCGTTGCTAACATTGTTCCAGGTCCGGCGTCTTTGACAGCAGTTTTGTAAGTAGGATTATCGTGAGATATGCTTCCCTCGATAAAGACTTTACCAGAGTATTCAGGCTTCGTCGACGTGACCTTACCAGGGGTTAGTTTAGGTACGCACACAATAGGAAAATGTACTCACAAGAGATCGAACCTTGCTCCATGCTCCATCACAACCAATAATGAGACGAAAGCCTGAAGAGGAGCTACCATTCTCAAAGAAAACAACGTTATCGGTAGGAGTAGTACCCTTAGTGACACTTCTGATTCCATGTCCCCACATGATCTTGTCATTTGGAATAGAATCGAGCAGCATCTTGCGAAGATGTAGACGATCGATCTCAGGCGCATCGCGGTCCTCTCCAAACACGGATTTGACAGTGCCCGATGGATTCTGCATGCAAACTCTGGACCCTTCCCAGCGGGCAATGCTCTTGAACTTGTCAAAGAGTCCCCCTTCCTTGACTGCAAGTTGGCCTGATGAGGCATGGATATCCAGAGTGCCACCTTGGTTGATGAATCGGGGTTTAGGGTCAGCATCTCGCTCGTACACGATGAAGTTTATGTCATTGATGTGGAGCAAACGTGCTAGTGTGAGACCTCCTGGTCCAGCTCCGATGATGGCAATAGGTGCTTGTTTGCCGACATGTGAGGCCATGTTGGACATGATGGGAGGTGATTCTAGTTTGATTTGATGAAGTTGATGTAGGTATAAATGGCCGAATAAAAACAAGTTGAAACAATTACTTCGATGGGACAATAGGGATCCTCACAACTTTTTATACCTTTACTCCTGTCTACAGTCGAAGCAACCGTCTTGCCGAGTAAGTTTGACTCGGACGAATCTCTCGAGTGCCTTGCGATCTGATCTCCGACATGAAAACATTTGATTGGCTGATCTCGGAAGGTAAGCACTTACATTCCCGAGGCTGTCCAATCAAGTTTCTCCTCTTCGGCGTTGATGACAGAGACCATTGTCCCTCCTACATCATCGTTTACATCTTCTGTTCTCCATCCAGGTCCATACACATAGCAATATTGAATTTCTTGTTGCCTCTACGATGACTGGCACTGATTTAGCTCGCTACGCGGTAGGTTGGTGAACGCGCAGTTCCCAACTTTGTGCTAATATGACTTTCAGTGCAACTATTGCAGGCAGAAGAAGTTCAGGTATGATTCTTTACTGGTCCTATGACACTGTACCTGATTACTTCAGATGTACGAGGGAGTTTCCCAAATGCGGAGCCTGCAAGCCATGGCCTGGTCCATGCAACTATGCCCGGGATATTCCGAATACCGGTACTAGTTTAACGACTACGGCTGTTTTGGCAAATAACCAGAAGCCCGATGATGTACAGATTCGATTGCAAAATATTGAAAACGCAATTCAAGACTTAACCGATGTCGTCAATAAAGCGGTAGTGGCCATCGATGAGATCTCCTCAACTTCGCTGAAAGGCAATACCATTCTTCAGACTACCTCAGCTGACGATCAGGCTTCAAGATTGTATGTTGGCAAGCAGAACTCGTTCGCGGTGTTGGATGATGCAACCAATTCTGTTCATGGAGCGACTGGAAATTTGTCTTCATCACTCCAACAGAGCGCTGCTAGCGAGTTACAGTTCTTATCAACTTCATTGACAACAGCAGTAGCTGATAACCAATTGAGAGGAAACTCCTTCTATGTTCCATCAAAAGCCCAGGGTTACCAGTTGATAGGAAGTAAGTACGACGTCAAAACACTCAGGAAACGTGGTTTGATAACATATTTGCAGAGTTTCTCGAAAGCGTCGGCCTAGGCGATGCATTCTTCGTGCCACCATCAGAAGAGCACCTACTCCAAGTTTTATTCAATCCGGGACAAGTTGTACGAAAGTCTTGGATCGTGTACATCGACTATATGATCCTCGCAATGCTATCCGAGGATCAGAGTGCCGAAACCAAAGGATTCCGAAACAACGTGAAGCTAGCCCTTAACGACAGCAGAATCTTCCTTGAGCCGCACCTCGTACACTTGCAGACTCTCATATTGCTAGCCATTCATGGTGAAGATTATGCATCTCCAAGTCTTTCGTGGATGCTCGTGGGTCATGCGTGTCGCCAGGCTGAGGCACTGGGTCTTCACTTGTCTAATAGCCCGGACTTTGAGACTCATCAGAAACGACTAAGTCTATTCTGGATGCTTTTTGCTGTCGACAAGTCTTGTTCGTTAGCATTTGGCCGGCCATGTTTCCTTCCATCTAACACATATGGAACCGTTGTGCTCCCAGATTTTGGACACTTAACACGTTTCCAACCTCGATCTAAATCAGCAGATGGGCAAGAACAATCATTTGTCTTTGGAGCCCATATGTTTATTGCGCGGGTGAAACTTGCTCGCTTGACAGGGGATATTCTAGATCTGGCCAGCAACACAGACATGATCTCAAAGAGAGACCAGTTAGAGACAGACCTGACCGAGTGGCAGACTCAAACCAAACATGTGAGAATAAGCCCTTGACTTAGAACCCAATACTTTCAGTACGCATTGAGGTGCTAATGATGACCAGTTGTTGGACGGTATCTTGGAAGGCGAAAGGGCTTCATCTAGTCCGAACCAGTTGCGGGAAATGTCACTAGGCATAAGCACCATGACTTTTGAGTATCTACACGTATTCTTGGTTCTCACTAGAGCTGATCCATCTTGCGTCGGCCCAAGACTTGAAGCCGCGCGAGAGGCTATTTCTCTTCTTCCCTCATTGGTGTCTAATTGGACGTCCATATATAACCCCATGACTTGGTGAGTCCCCACAACAGAGTGCTCTCGATCAAAGAGCTAACGCCTTGGACCACAGGCATCTACTCTACTTTCCATTTATACCGTTCTTCGTCATATTTGAGAATCTAGTACATGACCATGCCTTTATCTCTACAACTACCAAACAACATGACATCGAGCTTCTGTCGTCGACAGTTTCTTATTACTCTAGTATACGCAATCAGTTCCAACTACTGGCCCCTCTTTGTGAACGCCTTAAGAAGGTTGCAAAGGTGTTCCATCGTTTAGCTGTCGTTCTAGTTGGTGGCCACGGCACTTCAGAGCAGGACAAAGAGTTGTTTCAGCCTATCCCCGATGGGGACGTATCGAGCATCGGCACCTTGAATAGTAATGCCGCCATGACTGTCGAAGATATTCAAGTTGACTTGGGCGACGAGATTGGGGTTGACTTGAAACAATATCTAGAGCGGCTCCCAGCAGATCTATTCCCCCTTCAATCTGTATCACTTGGACAAATATCGACTGGAAATGTGACCAGCGAGATAATGAACAGTTTCCCAATGGGCGAGCAAGAAGGTTCACGTGGTACGAAGCGCCCATTTGACGTCATGTTTGACTGGTTTGCATGGGACTCTTATGAGTAGATAGCGAAGAAGGACAGTTTGGATATCAACAGAATCTATTATACAGAACACTACACCACAGGTCCCTGGACTGGGTGGTCTGCTTTGTCGTACGGGTGGCTGACCAGCTCCAAGACTTGTGTCCCATTTTGCTTGTCATCAGTCTGTTTCACTTCTTTTCTTGGCCCAACTGCGCAGGTTAGTGATACGTCAAGTAAGTCCATAGATGCTGTAGACTTACCAATATTCAAGCAGAGAAACTTGATCATGACAGGGAACCAAATAGCCACAGCAACAAGTTGACCGAAGCCCCATGTGGAAATACCACCTTCTGCTGTGTGCATATTAAGTAGCTGCACCATTTCTTGCAGACTGATGAAAATCATGACTACAGTGAGAATTTCCGTCATGGCCCAGAAGATACCCAACCCGCGTCTGGCGCCTCTCGTCTCTGTGAAGGAAAGGAATGGCGGCGCAGTTCCACCAAGTTGCGTATACTTGACCTCATCTTTAGCAAAACGTGTCTTGATAAAGTAGAGGATGTAGTCGATAATGAGGCAAGACATGACGACATGAACAACATATCGACAAGTCAATGTGGTCGCAAAGAACTCGTAGCTCTTCTTTTCCTTGATACCCTGGCAGAAGCTCATCGGCCCAGGCATATTTCCACAAGCTTCTACCGCAGAAACTTGCTTAAGATGCTGCTCAAATGCTTCGGCGTCAAAGTCCTGAAACTCAGTGATGGCAGTCATGAATATCCATGAGAGGACAACGAAGAATAGGGTGTAGAAGCGACGCTCTCCAACTCGATGCATGACCAACTGCGCCATCAGCACAGGATACATACCAGCTGTGATGAGGCCCTGAAGAATGCGATGGTTGAACATCCAAGAAAAGAGAGTGAGCATATTTGCCAAACCAGCTTTGTTGCCGCCGTCAAAGGTGATGATGGCTGTGATGGAAATGGTAGCAGCGAAAAGAGCTTGGGACTCTTGGAAGTCCCGCATAGCGGATGATGCAGCGTAGGCGAATCGAGTTTTTGTTACTCTTGTTTGTACTTGGTGGCATGTATCGCGTAGTGAAGAACCCTTTTGGAATGAGGTTGTCACTCGGCCAAACGTCCGTATCCATGACGTTGCGAGTTTAAAGCAAAGACAAAGGAATAGGACAAGGACGAGTTGGATGATATAAGCCGTCACAATCTGTCAACCATTGTCAGAAATTTGTCTCTGCCGGTATCAAAGAGAACTACTCACTCCTTGGCCTGCAATATCCAGATCAATACCCGCACTGGCAGCTTGACAGTAAGGCTTCGCCATGACTCTTCCGAACTTTTCAATATTGCTAGGCTTTATTGATGAACATCTAAAGTCATGTAGACTTCCTGTGCAATGTCCGTATGTCGAATCGGAGCACGATGCCCAAGCACAATTCCTCACTTTTGTAAAGACATTCAGAGTGTTGAACTTTTCCACGGTGCCAAAGTGAAAGATTTCGTCCATCTTTTTCTCGTTCTCTCGATCAATCGTATCATTTCCAGGACCAACCAGCATACCGAGTGTCGCAAGAGTCATACAATTCCACAGATTCTCTGGTTTGCTGTACATGAGTGTCGCGTTGGCACAAGTCGTAGTGCAGTTCAGAGCATCCGGATCACCATTGTTGCAGCCGTAAGAAATCAGTCGTGCGGGTATTTCAGGCTGCTCGGCGATGGATTTTACGCGGAACAAGTGTGCTGTTTCCCATGCCTGCCATTGTTTTGGAATGTTGATACCGTGATATTTTCGTGATATGTCGTAGTCGTTAATTAGTTGGAACTTTCGTTCAGGCATTTTGAGAGCGTATAAACAGACAGATACAAGAGAAGTTGAAGTAGGAGATTCAACTAGATTTTGTAATCATTTGATCTTTAGACCCCTGGAGCCTGCAGCAGAAAGGATTCGCTCTAGGTACGAGCCGCAGCGATTAGTCTAGACTTCAGCCCCCAAATATGACCCATAGTAAGCAATGCTAACCATTTTTTTGCTTTTTAATTGGTGACTCGGAAATTAGTAAGTTGAAAAGATTGCAACCATTCAGCCCTAGGCAGACAGATGATCACCAACTAACTCACTGAGTTTCATATCCCTGCAGTTTCCGATATGCAGCAGTCAAGTCACTAATCCTTGGTTGGTAATTCAAATCAGCATAGATAAGAGTGAGTCTAAATATGGACTATGAGGGAATATGATCGCCGACTGAAAACATGTCTAATGTATTAAAACTGCCAATAAGTGGCTTTGGAATAGAATGTCCACCGTTACCTCTTACCAAACAAAATAGAACCCAAATAAACGCAACATAAAACTGAGTCCTGGGACTGAATTCTCTAGATTCGCCCGTCATTACGACGAGCCGGCAGAAATCTTCTTGTTGATACCTAAAGTGAACCAAATAAGCTACCAAGAATGCAACATTAGGATCAACGACAACTTACAGTTGAAAAGAGTCTGAAAGGTAGTTTCAACCTGACTTGCGTACCGGGCGGATATCTCAGCAAAGGGTATCTTGTTTTCACCTGCGATGGATAAGCTTTAATCACTCAATAACTCGGAAATCATAATAAGGAACATACGAGCAAACACAGCAGCTTCCTCGGTCCTAACAGCCCTCTGGGTCTCTACAACTCTCAAGTTGCCCAAATCACTCTTGTTGCCAACAAGCATGACGACAATGCCAGGCTCGCCGTGTGTCCGGATCTCTTGAAGCCAACGAGAAGCATTTTCAAAGCTCTTGCGATTGGTAATATCATAGACGAGCAGCACAGCGATAGCATCATAGTAGTAGTTCACAGTGGCACGATATCGTTCCAGACCAGCGGTATCCCAGATGCTAGCCTTGACTGCGTTGGAGCCCACTTGGACTATTTTATTGGTGGGCTTGATACCCAGGGTTGGCTTAGACTCTGCATCGAATTGGGCTTGTGTGAATTGGTTGACGATGTTTGTCTTGCCTACTGCAGAGTCGCCGAGGAGAAGAACTATTGATATTTAGTAAGAGCTGACGATAAGCAAGATATTTGGGAGGTATTACCTTTCCAACGAAGCTGTAATCAAACCGTGTTAGCATAATAGATAGAGTATAGCACAATTTACGTACGTCATAAGTGTCTGTCATGATGCTGGTTTGGTTTCGAGGTTCAATGTTACAATGGTTTCCCACGATAAAGACAAAAGGGGCTGATGAAATTTGCAGAGACAAAAGGCTGGAGGCCTTACCGCTTGTTTGTTCGCATGCTGACTAACTTTGGCTCGTGTCGTGGCGAAGCGAGCATAGACGAGATAATGCGAACAGGGATGTTGGAGATTTAGCGTATTAAACTAACTATCAATTGCCGATGTCTTTGGTTAGAAACATGTGATATATTCAATGATAAACGCGATCTGATAATATTGTATAGCATCATTATTTAGGTTTTGATATTGGCCGTAATCAACCTACATCCACTAACTACACAGAGAAAAATGTCAGTTGATGAGGAAAGGCGATCATTTGAATATGAACTAAAATTGATGTAATTTGTATTTAGAAAAAACGATATATACAACAAAACTACCAAGTACGTGATGAGAGGCGCGATATCCGGAAAGATAGGCAGAAAGAAAGGTAAAGGTAGAAGACCTCCAGATGGTTGACAACTGCTGTTCAAAACTGAATGTGTATTTACAGCTTCTCAAGCAAAGCCAAGAGTCCTCAAGCAGTTATCGGGTCAGCCTCTTGGACTACGGAAGTAGAGTCTGTGTCAAAACGCTCAGAAATGAGTGAGCTCGAATCACTTGGATACTGCGACGCACGCCTCTCGTCTCTTTTCCTTCTACTCTCAGCTCTCTTTGCAGGATCTCCACCCTCGTAATGGCCCAGCCAGAACATCTCTATGGCATGACCGATTCTTTTGAGAATTTCCAAGGTCCGAACCATCTCGTTGACTTGCTCCTGATACATTACATCCATAGTTGTACCAGTCTTTTCCCTGACAAGGTCGTCGAGTTCTTCGAGCGTCTTTCCTGTCATCTCCGGCTTCAAGGGATCGTCGAGATTGGAGAAAGATGCTGAAGAGAAAGTCTCACATTTGACTTTCTCCAACTCCAAATCTACCTCCTCCAGGCCTGGCACAAAAAGATCCTTTCCTAGGCCTGGGGAAAGATCCTGAACCTCGTTAACCGAAGGGAAAGTCGCGCGCAACTTTTGAAAGAAGGCTACAATAGAGCATACTTCATACAAACCGCGAGACTCTCTCTTCGACAACCGCTTGAGTTCCCAGGGGTCCAATTTATAAATACTGCCAAGCTTCCTCAACTGGTACATAGCGTCGAAAATGTTAAAAGTATGAAAGAGTTCTAGGAGATAGTGAAGATGCAGATCTGTCAAAATCAGCTCTGCTCTAGACATTTCCATCCTGAGATAGGTCAAGTCCCGGAAACGCTCACAAGTGAACCATCCCCATCCCATACCAGTAGCAACATGGTGTTCGGCGGACTTTTGTGCGCGGAAAAATTGTCTTTTGCACATCTTCAACACTTGTTGATGGCTTTTCGTTTACGTAGTTTTTCGTTGGAGAACTTTTCAATGATGCAAAGCAAGCTCTCCATAGATTCCCAAAATGCGATACCGCGTACCTTGGCATGAACTACGTCTAAGACGTCCCTCCCAGTGGCTTTGAGATACGTACTTGGTCCCATATCTCCATATCCGTAACCCTCAGGGACATGCTCGGGTCGACTAAGGAATTGAGCCTCCGCGGTATTGTAGAGGACAGTAGGTTGTGTGCAAAGAAGTGACAGTTGTGGTTCGCAATTTTCTTTGTGTCTTACAGCGTAGTCAAGCAAGTCCTGCATCCTAGACGCTGGGGTCGCTTCTTCCGTATCCTGGGCGTCTCTCTTTTTGCCTGATCCCCTGTTTCGATGTTTGCGCTGAGACGTACCGTCTAGTATCGCGTCGACGATTGTATGGAGATTTCGAAGCATTTAATCTTGTCTGGAAAGTACGAGCCTTCCTATATGTACCGGCACGAGGATACCAGCTTCAATATCGTCGTCAAACTTGTTTAAGATCTCTTCATCACTTTCCTTTGAGATCGGAATCGTCTCCGTAAAGGTCTTGGCTGAAGTAGGTATACGCGTCCCAGGGGCACGGTTGTAATAGATCATCATTCGTAGCTTCTGTGATGGGACCTCCATCGACATCTTCCTAGAATTACTGTTCCAGAGACTTAGTAGCTCGGTGCGTGATCATGTCAAGAAGATAGTCTGACTTTGCCTCTGTGATATCGAGGACATTCCAATCAGGGCAGAGACTCATGGATGAGCACGGTCTATTGATTGATGAATCCTTGGGGATGTTATAGAAAGATGATTTGTTGGCTCTCAAGTACTGTTCACACTTGGCTTGGTTGGATACCCACCAGATCTTTTGGATTCTGGGGAAATGTTTCTCATACTTCAGCGTAAGGTCGCCATGCAGTGCTTCAATGTTTGGTAGGTTTGAGTAACCCATAATCGTTTTTGATTGTGCTGTTCAGTCAATTTGAAGTTGATGTTGAGGTGATGAGGTTGTTGTGTCTAGATGAAATTTCCATTCTATCAAGTAGGGGCATCCGAAGATTTATATATGCGTGAGGATGCAAGATTTGCGACAACTTCTTTTGACAATGAGATTTATTACATTTCTTTTTTCATGCCCCATTTGAAGTTAATTCCCGTGACAACGAGGATATTTTCAAACTTTGGGGTAATAAACTGATGATAAGGTTTCTCTACAATGCCCTTATGGTAATATGGCCTGCTGCTTTATGAAGCCTATTTCTGAATCGAATACAAGTTTACAGTTCAACCCAATTCTTGAGCCATTCATGTGCGCAACATATGTAAAATTTCACCTTGAATTTCTTCCATTATGATTCAGCCTTCAGAATATATCTCAGCCCCATACTTTGTCATATCAAATGTACTTCCGAATACCAAACCAATAGATGAAAGGCGGCACAACAATCTCAGTGATAGTAGCTCGTTGAAGCCATGGAACAGCCCAGCCAAACACCGCACCTGATACAGCCCTTGCAATACCAGCCAGCGTCAGTGTTCCTATAATGATAGCCAGTGGGACATGTCTTTCGGAAATTTCAAAGGATGTCCAACCAACTACAGCCCCAAAACCCATGTACATTGCTCCCAAGAAGCGGTATTGTGAATCCATCAGAGTGACGACGTCTGATGGAAGTTTGGCTCGTTCGTCTGGTGACAGATATTTCTTGACACCTTGGGCGACATGGTCGCCACCTTGGTAAAGAAAAACGGCTGAGATGCCTTTAAGTATGATTGGTGTAAACTGGATTGAAGTAAGCCCAGACATGATGGTTGTTTTGTTGCTAGAATAGAAGACTGAGAGTACTGTGGATGTTTGGCAGGATCAATGAAGAGACTTTAAGTGTTTATTTATACTACAAATACCCCAGCCAAATATCAAAAGACAGACAAGGCATATCGTATGGCTCGGCAAAAATAGCTATCCTATTCCGCGCGGTTGGGCTGGTCCTGACAATCAACGCGTAAGAAAAGTCTCCGAGGTCAGACCACGAGGCACGGCCAATGTCAGCAAAGCTTACCAACATTCCTCCGATCCGGAATAACTGTCCGATATCCTACGGAGTATCTAGATAGATTGCAACGGTATTCTTCGCATTCGCGAGTTGTCGCCCCTCTCGAATTGACACTTCCTGCTAGCCTTACAACAATTCCATTCTCGCCATTATTGGAGTTTACACAACAGATATATAGCATGCCACGTTAGCGATCCCGAACATATTATTTCTCTGGTCAGGTTATGTCATGCCAAAATAGATTTCTTTCTCATTGGAATTTCTCATTTGTGTATTAATTATCCTGTCCGTTGCGATATGACTATAGAATTCGACTTGCAATTTAAGTTACACTCTCGATTCACTACGACATCAGAACAATACACAATGTTTCGAAAGCTTTCTCTTTAATATTTCCATTCAAATCTTATGAGATCATGATTACGATGATCCTGGCCAAATGCCTGTGCTGTTTTATGGAGCTGTGACGACGCCGTGGTATGATATCATAGGTAATTCCACATTGATAAAATGACAAGAATCCTGAAGAAGTATTAACTATTCATCTTCAATTTCATCGATAATCATTTCAACCCTCACTCCAAAAGTCTAATCATAATCTACAAGATGTCAAACCTTCCCACCAAGGACGATATCAAAGCCCAAGCCGTCGATGGCCGCCCCATCACCCAAACTGAGGCCGCAGCCATCGCTTCAGAAGAGTCCAGCTTGACAGGCGGTGGTCCCATTAAGGGTGGCGCTGCTGCAACTGCTCAAAGTATGCACGATAGACAAAAGAACTTTTTGGAAAAGGCTGGCGAGGTTGTGAGGAAGGATCCTACTGAAGTAACCAAGGAGGATGCCGCTGAGGTTCAAAGGGCCGAGGTAAGTTGAATCTAAACTATCATTAAAAAAACCAGTTTCTAACCTTGTATCAGGCTCGAGCAAAGGGTGGACCACCTGGAAAAGGATCAACAGCTGCTGATGTGCAGTCTGTTGCCGATACGAATGCTCAGGCATAAAGAATAATAAGTCTGCATGATAGTAATGAAACGAATGTACTAATAGTCGGTTTATCTCTCAATTAAATTCGGCTGTTATCATACGCACATATCATTAATTCCATCCATGATAAAACATCTACGAGCTATTCCAATCCACCAAAGCATCATCCCCAAGCTTTTCTTTGATGAAACTCGTGCTGAGGTCCCAAAGATTACTAGCCAACTCAGGGTTAGAAGCTTGACTTGTCTCTTGACCTTCCTTATCAGGGTCAGCAAAATAGTAGCCGTTTAAGTCCTCCTCCTCAATCTTAGACGAAGTCAATGCCCAGAGGGCACTGTAAGAACCCTGCTCGACGTCACGACCAACAGCCAGCATGGCCCAGGAAAGAAGCTTTCCTGTAAGGCCCGGGTAGGCATCCTTCCACTGCTGCTGCATCGCAGTGTTGACCTATGTGACATCAGAATCCAGTTTGTGGTAACGATGCAAGAGGGACTTACTGCTCCAGGATGGACAGAGAGAGCATAGATTTTGTCTTTGTTCTCGGCAATGACCTTGCCAGCCAAGCCGTATTTTGCAAACAAGATCATAGCCAGCTTGGTTCGGTTGTATCGCGCAGTTGGATCTAGATCCGGGTCATTGATCTCTTCCTTTGTCCTGAATTGTACATTTGACAGCTGGGCAAGACGATGCATCTCACTGGCCTCAAAGACAACTCTAGGAGGTGGCGTGTTGTCCATCTTGCTCGTCTTTCTCAATAGAGGCCACAACTGATTGCAGACATAGAAATGACCAAGAAAGTTGACACCAAAGTGCCTCTCAATTCCATCAGAGTCTAGACCAAACTGATTGGTGTTGATACCGGCTGAGAGTACCAAAAAGTCAAGTCGATCAAGAGATTCGCGGAAACCTCCAAAGACTTCTTTAATCTGAGACAGGTTACCCATGTCACATTCTTTCCAGTCAATGTCGGCGCCGTGCTTCTCGTTCATGACAGCTTCGATAGCTCTTGTGCCTTGTTGTTCTTTGCGGTTCACCATAATGACTTTACAGCCAGCGTGGGCGAGAGCACGACTAACTTCATAGCCAATACCCAAGGCGCCACCGGTTACGATGGCGACGCGGCCTTGCAGGTTCTCAGGTTTGACGACCTGCGGGCCGATACCCGTTGCTTTTTGGAAGATGGACTGCATATCGTATGTGTTTGAATTTAGTTTGGAAGAGATCAATTATGGATTTGTTTTTGTATTTAAATGTCATTTGTTTCATGCAGTCGACTTGAAGTGAATCATGGTGACGTTAGCGAAGATGCGAACAGGGAAGGATTGTTACAGATGACATCATGATTTGTTCAACAAATGTAATGAATATGAAGCAATTTGATGTTATCTGGAGTTGGGAATAGGCTAGTTGTTGCAATGATACCATCATAATAGTTTATTTTGCGTGTTGTTTTGAATTAACACATCCGAGTTTGTCAAGTATCAAGGATAAAGATGTGGAAAAACCTGGGAGTACAATGTGAACCTTAGTTACAGTTTATCTTGAACTACATAAAGAAACTCTTTATCGCATTCAAGATAGTTCTCTATCGTTTCAGTCCTTCTTGCCATTTGTTGACTTCACATGCTTTCCAAATCCATTTGATGCATGTTGTCTAGGGTAAGCTCGGCCCCATTACAACTGTGGATCGCCAAGCTACCCACGGAAATTGCCTAAAACATGAGCGCGAATAGCTTCAAAACGACACTAAACCAGATACTCCATGGCCAACTCTTATCTTGACGGGTCTTGACAAGGCAGACGCTCCACTAATCATCCACCCACCAAACATGCTAAGAAACAAGCTCAAAAGAAACAAAATAACGATCAGCTCTTTTCTTTATAGTATCACCGTAGTATTCCCCTCCCTAGACGGAGATCAATGAAGGTCTTAATGTCACTCTTTTGGGCAACTGATTCAGTCCTTGTCAAAACGTCACTGCTGCCTTGCACAACCTGACTCGCCTATTCAACAAAGCGAGCGATGTTACGTTATAACTTGTTAGGACCAACAACCAGCAAACCAACAGAATTAATAAGCCTCGGGCCGGTGAAGTGTTCGCCAAGTTTTTTCGCGGTTGGACCCTCGAAAGGGCTGAGTTTCCAGAAATGGTCTAGTATCTGGAAATATCGAAAGATGACTCAGGAAACGAATCAAAAGAAACGGGTCGTCGGTTAATGAACTATCTCTTGGCAAAGGAATCGGCCGCTCAGCCGAAAGGATTCAATGGGATGAGATTGCTACGGATACCATGTCGAGATATGGCAATTGATGTCAGTGGCTGAAAACGGTCAACTACACTAAACAAGACGTGTCAATATTCCCCAGAAGGTGGCTTTCGTGTCAGGAAAACAAGTGTCATTTTTAAAATTACCCATCTCATCAAATGATGCGAGAGAGAAGAAAACACGTGCATCCTAAGATGGGCATGTCCTGTGATGAATTCACAAGGGGTTAGTTCGTGCCTCGCTAAGAATGAAGCAAAGGATCCCTGTCCCTTTTTACTCGTGAAAAAGCGCGACAAAAGGGCCGCTTTTCCTGAGACTAGCGGTTAGATTGACATATTAGCCTGTTAGTTGCAACACACAAAAGTGGTGTAGATACTAACAGAACGTCGAAGGATCACAGCACCAACAGCCTGATTAACTTGTAAAGATCTAGACTCAAAATGCGAGAGAAAAAGACTTGCGCTAAAGAGGAAATCACCGGAGTTAACGAGCCATACAGGGGCAAGAAAGTCTGTCTGTCGGCCGAATCCCATTGTAACCAAAGGGATGAGAAATACTGACAATTATTGAACCTGTTCATCTTCAACGACAACGACAATCAATCACTTCATCTTTCAATATGCGGCTCTGTACAACCATTATCTGCATCCCAGGCAATACCTCTCCCTCTCCCTTGGAAAACCGAGACAGTTCCAGGGTCTCGGACATGGGTGTCAGCAGCAGCCTTACAGAGAACCGGAACTGCACTAGCCAGGGGTAACAGCACAATCGGGCAACTCGATATGACTAGACCAACATTGGACTCCTCTCTGACCACACACAGAGACACAGACGCAGGCAGACACATGCCAGACTACGCCTCTTTCGATAATGGCTGAGATTGCGCCGCTCTATCTAGTCCTGTCTGTCTCACTCACGGAGCCGGTTAAAACCACGATACCCCATCGATTCTTTGCTGTGTCTCAACCGCTCACTCACTCACTCCCTTCTTTCTTCCCTTATCACCCTCACGTTCTTTACCAAGCAAACGAATTCCATTGCGGAATTCTTTGCTAGCCAAACATGGCTCGAAACCAGTCACTCTTTTCTTTTCTCCTTCTTACATTCCTTTCTTCTGTCGTTTCTGCTCAAGATAACTCCACTAACCCCGGAGATGTAAACCCCGTCCCACCCGTCGGCGAAATCAAGACCGAAGATCCCATCTCTAGTCCCCTCACCGAAGGATGTCCTCGACCATGCAGCGAAGCTGGTGGCGATCCCGTCAACTGGACACAGCTTCACAGCTTGGAAGAGCTTGCTGGCTGTGATCTCCCCATGCTCTTCGCTTTCAACGTCGAGAACGACTACAGCGACTCTGCTACTCTTTACACATGTGTTACATCCACCTCTACAAACACCCGTCGCGAGTTAGGAAGCCGTGTTGAGGCGCGTGCTGCCACGACGTCTGTTTCTCTGGCTAGTAACTGTGGTGCTGAGAAGGCTACTGTCAAGACTACTTCTGCCTTTGGCCGAAGCGGTGCACTTCGATCTGGAAAGGATGTCGCTGCTGCTGCTGGTCTTCTCGCTGATTATCTCGACAACGGTGCTGACTGTGGAACTACTATCATTTTCGCCAAGTCTGGTTCTTCTATCGCTGGTCTCTATGTCGGTGCCGAGGTTCAGAAGGGTAGCGCTTCAAGCACCCTCCGTCAGTCCCAGGCCCGTCTGCAGCAGGGTGTCCAGTCATTCCAGGTCTGCGATACCAGTGACAAGACTGCCCAGACTCTAGGTTTCTTTGCTGCCAACGCTGTCACCGATCTTGAGTCTGTCCAGGCCGCTGCCAAGACTTGGTCTAACGGCAAGTGCATCACCATCGCCGGAGCTTCCAAGTCATCCATCAACCTTGGTATTCTCACCACCAACATCATCAAGGCCCGCAGCGTCGAACTTCAGTCTCGTTTCGCCGGTGTTGATAACCTCCTTGCTCCTCGTGCTGACTGCCGAGCTATTCAAGTTGCTTCCGGCGACAGCTGTGCTTCTCTAGCCAAGAAGTGCAAGGTCACTACCACCAACTTCAACAAGTACAACAACAAGAAGAACTTCTGCTCTACTCTTGCTCCTAAGCAGTGGGTTTGCTGCAGTGCTGGTACCCTTCCCGACAAGACTCCCCAGCCCACCAAGGACGGAACATGCTTCATCTACAAGATCAAGTCTGGTGATGGCTGCTACTCTCTAGGTCAGAACTTTGGCATCACACAAAAGTTCATCGAGGATGTCAACAAGAACACCTGGGGCTTCAACGGTTGCAACCGTCTTCAGCTGGGCCAACCTATTTGTCTCAGCAAGGGCAAGAACCCTATGCCCATGGCCATCGCCGGTGCCGTCTGCGGTCCTCAGAAGCCCGGTTCCAAGAAGCCTTCCAGTGCCAAGACAGGTTGGGACCTTGCTGGCATGAACCCTTGCCCTCTTAACGCTTGTTGCTCTGGCTATGGATTCTGCGGTGTCACTTCCGACTTCTGTACTAATACTACAGTTAAGGGTGCCGCGCCTGGTACTAGCCAAGTCAACACCCCTGGCTGCATTGGTAACTGTGGAACCAACATCGTTGGTAACACCAAGAAGCCTGCCAAGTTCCTTAACGTAGGATACTTTCAGGGCTACAACCTCGGTCGACCTTGCCTGAACATGGACGTCACCAAGCTTCCCGAGATCAAGACCGCTTATACGCACATTCACTTTGCCTTTGCCGGTCTGACTTCTGACTTTTCAGTTCTTATCGAACCTGCTACACGCGAGCAGTTCATCAAGTTCAAGGAGGTCAAGGGAAGCTGGAAGAAGATCATCTCCTTTGGAGGCTGGGCCGGCTCTACCGATGCCTCATCCTTCCAGCTCTACCGCGACGCCATCAAGCCCGCCAACCGTAACAAGTTTGCGTACAACATCATGACTGTTCTCAACAATCACAAGCTCGATGGTGTTGACTTTGACTGGGAGTACCCCGGTTCTGCCAGCTCCGCGGGATCTTCTACTGACACCACCAACTATGTTGAGTTCCTCAAGATCATGAGATCCAAGATTGGAAAAAGTGGAAAGACCATGTCTGTTGCTCTTCCTGCTGCGTATTGGTACCTGAAGCCTTTCCCTGTGACTCAAATCGCACCCCTTGTTGATTACATGGTCTACATGACTTATGATCTTCACGGTCAATGGGGTAAGTCCCTTTATGTTCTCATCTCATAGCTTTTACTAACTTGACACAGACTATGGTAACCCCACTATCAACTCTGGCTGCCCCAACGGTAACTGTCTCCGCTCCCACGTTAATAAGACCGAGACTCTCGACTCCCTCGCCATGATCACCAAGGCCGGCGTCGACCCCGCAAAGGTAGTCGTCGGAATCTCCAGTTACGGCCGCAGCTTCCGAATGAAGGACCCCAAGTGCACTGGCGTAACATGTCAGTTCACCGGCAGCTTCAGCGTCTCCGAAGCCGAGCCTGGTGTTTGCACTGGCGAGCCCGGATACCTCTCCGACGCTGAAATCCGCCTTATCGCGTACGATGCCAAGCAGGGCAAGGCTGGTGTTACTGCAAAGACCTGGTATGACAAGGACTCTGACTCTGATATCATGACATATGGAACCCAGGGCAAGGGTATGACAGATTGGGTTGCATACATGGGTCCCACGACCAAGCAGAAGCGTACCCAATGGGCTCAAGGACTCAACTTTGGTGGTGTTGTTGATTGGGCTGTGGACCTGGAGACTTGGTTCTCCGAGAAGCCTTGATAAGAGATACTGCTGATACAGGATGGATCTTCGTTTCTTAAACTTGCCGGTAGATCGTATGACGCTACGGCCTTTTGATAATGTATATTTATTGCTATACTAGCTCATGAATGTATGATGAACTATACGGCCTTTGGGCTTTCAGTTTTCTTTGCGTCTTCTTCGTACTGTTTCCATCGGTACTCCCTCTCGACTCCATTCCGTCGCTGTGCTGTGTCGCAGAGTTTAACGTTGCCGCATTCGCATTCTGCACCAGGTCGAAGCCATCGATATGTGAAACTCCACCGAAGCTGTCGTAGCCTAACAGTACCATCAGGCAGAGTATCTGTCTTGCGGGATTTGATGCCATGGGTCCAGTGTAATCGTGAGTCGCCGCTCATCTGCATCATGCTCCGCGGTAATAAGTCTACCTCGATCTTTTCTCCAGTCTCTTTATTGGCAAATTGCATCATAAGTGGTGAGCCAAGAGACAAAGAGTATAGTTGATCGAACGGGCCATGGGTGTCGACGTGAGGTGGTATCCCAGTGCCCGGAGCGTACTGTTGAAGACAGACTTGATCAGGTGGACGGCCTTCAGTGGTGGGTAGTAGAGGCACTAGCCAATCCGGAAAGGGCTTAAAAGGTGTTTCCTCATCGATTCCGAATGTCTTATAGCTGAAAGTGTAACCATAGTGTAGTGATAGTCGTCCTGGACGAATTGGCCAATCTAACTCATTCTCAAAGATGTGCACAAGCTGTTGTTCATGCTCAGGTGTGATGAAGTCTTGCTGCATAAAAATACCTGAAGGCTTGATCGACAATTCTTCCATTTTTTTTAAAGTTCTATAACTGATCAAGTTCCATCATTGTTGTGAAATGGTTTGTTACGTGAAATTATCAGCAGTTGAAGATTGTGGTTCGAGTTTGCTCACCAGATAACTCGACTTTTTTAGTCACGTGATAGGCTGCCACACTTGAGAACAATACATTGATTAATTAATTACCCAGTTATAGGAGTATCTTTCATAAATGGTGTTGCAAAACTACAGCCTCAGATACACATCTTCATATACGTCTTCGGAAAATCCACCGTTCCTGGTATCCCAAAACTCTGCAGGTGCAATCTTGAAAAATCTCTCCACCGTCCTACTGGCTTCTGCAGCAACTTCTTCACACAAACGGAGATCTGTCGATAACTCATAGTCTTCGACGCCGTTTAAGGCCTCCCGATAAAAACGCAGGACTTGTCTTATCACACACTCGTCATTTTCTATCTCATCATACTCAACATCGCTTCTGTTGGGGATGGTTTCTTCCAAGTCGCGCTCAGGGAGGGCGATGAGATGAGCCGCCAGGACAGTCGCAGTAGCCTCAAATACGGGAGCGGAAATCCTAGGCATCGTTAGATTCAGTTCAAAGGCATCTTGAGTCTTGATAGAGGCTTACCATCTCAAGGTTGGATTCTTTTCTGTTATGTGACCCAGCACAAGTTCGTTGCAACATCGAGCGGCGTCTGCCAAATTACGCCAGTTAAATGGCAGCAATGGCAAAGCCGAAGTCAAGATGCGCGTATCTTGTCCACGATTGAACATGTAGCTGAAGTCTTTCAGTTGTCGCAACCAACCTGTATTGCGAATACTGAGATTGTCCACAGAGTAAAGACAGCGGTAGTACGCAAGATGCAACAAGGTTTCATGCAGCAGGCAAGATCTCGCCTCCATGCTGATCGAGATCTTCCCAGAGATAGAATCGAAGTCAGGCTCATCTAAGCCTTTGTGCCACTCCTCAAGCATTCGGTAGAGGCGCTCTTTCGCCGATTGCTTCTGGCTGTAAGAGAATTTCGAGGCCCTGACAGAGTGCACGAGGTCGTATAGTTTGCCCTGAATCCTAGCTAGTTCTGCTCTTGGTCGAAGTATTTCCTTTTCACGACGGAAATCCGTAAATACGTTTCCTGCATACAAGCTACAAGGCATTGTTTTGAGATCCAACCCGACTTCGTGGTCTTGCAGAAGGTATGGCTCAGATGTGAGTAATGACAAATCACGATCAATGATATAGGCAATCCAAAATAGCCTTTCACTGTCGTCATGCTGTATGATGGGTACATTGCGAGTCGGCGGCAGATGAATTTTCAGCCTATGAATCATCTTCACAGCTATAGCGATTAAGTTGCTAGCAGACCGAGGATCTTGACCAGCCACGAAAACCAAAGCCAGACCGAGGGTGATTTGAAGAGTGAGGATAGAGGGTTGTTGAGAAGCGAATTTGGACACGGCCGACTGGACATTCGCGATGCATAAGGATTCTGTTTCATTGCGATGGTCGTCAATCCTGTCCGAGGTATATCTAATGGCCAAAGCAATGACAACGTTAATTCTGGCCCAGTTATCGTGATTGCGTTGCTCAGGCACAGCATACCACTCTCCCACAATCGAATTAAAATCAACTTTTGGGACAAACAATGGTATACCTTTGTTGAAGATGGAAAAGTAGTTTTCAACATATGCTTTTACTTCTCTCGAAGGCGGCAGGGGGAACGGATCTGTTTGCTGGAAAGGAAGGGCCTCTGCATCAGATTCGACTTTGAGAGTGTTGTCAGTAGTACCTTTTGCATCATAACGACCTTCGGTCAACTCTGCTGCAACCTCAGGACAGAGATAGTTGTCAATGATGGTGGGCTCGGCTGAGTTAATCCGCCGCATTTGTGCTTCGATAGACCTCAGGCGGCGTTCAATGCCAGTAACCCTATCAATTTCAGCTATGTAGTTAACTTTCAGCCGTCCTTGACTTACCTATCGCTTGACGATTCTCGAACTGAGGGTGTGCTCGATTTCCACACACATGAGACCATGTGTAATACACAGTTGGAACATTTGGGCTTCTTTGTATCACACTTATACTTCCTCTCCGAACAGAAGTCGCAGGCCTACCGAAGCAACACAGATGTCAGCCCCAACTCTTATCAATCCATTATAGTGGTGTACCTTTCTACGATCAAGGCCTCGGGCATCATTTGATCGATCCATGATTCAATTGTATGTCGCTCTTGGGTGGTTACAGAGGACTGTTAAGCATGTGAGAGGGTTACGAATCCGCCGTCGCGTTTTTCTTGGAGATTTGAATAGATGAAAGAGTACAGAGAAGACAGCCCCTGAGACTTGGTGGTTTATCATGCTAATAATATCCCGTTGTCCCAGCAATGTCGGAACAATAAGGGGAAAGGTCCTTCCTATTCTTCGTAGACTACAACTCAACTGACTACCCCACATAAAGTTGACCTGAACATTGCTGTGGGTATTCGACCTTGATATGGTCAACATTACTTTATAAGAAATATTATAAAAAATGTAAAGAGGAAATAAACTTGAGAATATTAGTGATACAATTCAAGTACATTTTAAGAGCCTAATAACATACGATAATAAGTGATAAAAGCCACAAAATGTCATACATTGAGGTCGAAGACCCACAACAATGGTCGGGTGAGATGAGAGGGCAATGGTCAGGTCAGGTCAGTTTAACCCTTCACTCTATTATAAATGTCAAATTGCCCAACGCTATCCCCCTTCAGTCCATCTATGCCAAATCATTCTAGATATAAAAATAAATAATTACAACCATGAAATCTAACATCAGAGGATAGGATTGAAACTTTGTCAAACGATTCATATACATTTAATAACCATGCCATTGGGCTTCTCATTGAAGAGATAAGTATCTTGGAGTAATCATTGAGGGTATGAATGGAGGAAAAGTAGGAATATATAGCAATACTGCACTTTCATCATAGCTCATTGCTTACAGCATCGGTTCCAAAGCAACGGGTTCCTAGGTACTGAGATATTTCTCAGCAATTATACAACAACATACAACTATCTCTACTGTAAAACTAACAGCTAATTGGACGATTGTTGCCTATGAACTTTATGTGTTCGTGTGAAGATACACATCTTGGAATATCTGAGCGCAACACATGGAGCAGGCCAACCCATGCCTCGAACAACATACTATGTCTTTCCTTCACAATATATGTAGGCCACACTACAGTAGTGTAAAACGTCAGGTTGTATTAACCAAACAACGAAATACGATCCCAAAGTACTACTGGTGCCGCAAATCATGCTTAGCAGAATGCAACATTGAAAGGAATGCTAACAATTGTCTGGGAATAACACACAAGTTCGTACTGTAACCTGCACCAAGAGAACAATTGACATCTGGAAACACAGTCTGTTTCATCACAACCAATACTAAAATAACTCATTCTAACCAAACCACCGGAGAAAACCCCAACCATGACAGACTAAACATAATGATCGTAAAAGACAGACTTTTCAACGCCTCTTCCAGAAAAACACAAGAATCAAAACATTGTACGAAAGCTTCAACACACCCGCAACAATAAATGCAAGCCAAAACTGATCCAACCCAGCAAATAAGCCAGTGACATATAATCCCAGACAACTTCCTATCGTCTTGACGATATTCACGACACCCATGGCTGACGTGCGTTCATGATCCAGAACTCCCGCGGAGATGAACGCCTGACGAGGCGCATTGTCGATTTCTCGAGTAACAATGCGAAAGATAAAAATGACGAGCGCGACGTACTTGTTCCCGGGGACGCTGACCATAAGCAGGGAAGCAGAGTTGATAGCGTGGCATAACACCATGGTCTGTACTTGACCAATGGCGCGTGAGAGAGGGGACGACGCGAGATTGAGAATCGATGAGATAATGCCCGCTGTGAATGTTGCAAATCCCAAAGCGCCTTCAGGCATCTCGTACTCGCGTTTGAAGAAATAGATCATCCAAGAGATCTGCGCAAGGCCAGAACCAACAAAGTCCAGACCCATGGCGATGGAAAGTTTCCACATGAAATCAAATGACTCGCGAGTGAAAAGACGTTTTTCCTGCACATCAGCAACAACCTTTGCTTGAGACTCAGGACTCTGCAAATCATTCACAACGCCACCATAATTGGGGATATTCTCCGTCAACAGTGGTGCATCCTCTTCCTCGTCGGCCTCTACAGGGTGAAACCCGGATGGAGGCGTAGCACAATGCTCTTTTTGTTCAACAATTCGCTCAACATCTGCGCTCAAAAACAGAGAGCATATCAATTTGATGAGACCAATGGCAGCATAAGCGAGAAACACCACGCGGTGACACGAGACCTTTTCCAGACCCGCATCTTGAAGAGCGTTGATGACCCAACCGGTGAGGAGGTTGCTTGCGGCGGTGCCAAACATGCCTAGCATGGACCACCAGGCAAACATTTCGTTGCATGTGTGAGACGTGCTCAGGCGAGCAATTGCTGATTCCTCAATCGCTTTGAAGGGATCAATCTCGTTGGCACTGGACAGTTAGTTAAGCACGGTAACATGAACGCGAACACAAGAGCAAACGTTCAAGTGTGATTGAGCATCAAGTGAAAAACATACCTCGGATTGATGACAGCTACAATACTGGCCAGCAATAATAGCCAAAAATTCTCCAAATACGCAAACGCCGCACCACCAAGACACATCAACAATGCGCCGACGGCAGCAGTCAATCGAACACCAACACGATCACCAACCCAAGTGAGGACAAAGCTAATAGCAAGGTCTCCCACGAGAGTCAGTGTCATGAAAAGTCCAATTTGGTTATCATGGAAGCCTAGCGCGTTGAGATACAGCGCTAGGATGAGGGTGGTGCCACCATAACCTAGCAGACGGACGAAGCGCAGAAGTATGAGGATCTTCAGGTCCCGGCTCGATTGCCAAAGGATGTCTGCACCGATGGAAGAGAGAAAGCCTCTAGCGGTTTTCCATCCGGCCATTGTGAGTGGGAATAAGGGAAGGGAGGATGAGGAAGACTACTCTTGGTGTGAGCAGCTGAGGGGATTCGGGGGGATGATGGCTCTGTGAAGCCCGATTATGTACAAACAAATGGATGAACAACAGAGTAGTTCCGTCAATCCTTCTCTTGCAAACCACGCTCGAGATAAATACTCAATTCAAACCCTTCAACAGAGTTTTCTGGCATCTTCATCGATCGAGTCAAGCGGCCAATCCGTCGACTGGACTAACTAGATTAGACCAACTCCATCTCCGCCACGGACGGCACGCGCGGTAAAGTACAGTAGAGTACATGTGTGCGTTGAATCATGTATTCTGGAAAGGCCGCGGCTGCTAAGCCTAACCAAGGTACTCAGGGTTACAAACATGTCAAGGGGCGGTGTCGTCAGCTAAGAGGAGGACTCCACAGTGGCTGTCTTAAACAAGCTAAATCGACAGTTGACACAGGCGAATGATGTTCCAAATCTGGTCTCTGTGTGATTTTAAGATGATCTCCTTGGCTGAGACTGCAGGACGGACTAGGACCGCTACGGTAGAGCAAGTCATACATGGCACAGCGCATGTTGTATCAAAGGTATCGATTCAAAAGGATATGACGGCTCTGGGGCTCCTCCACACGAGCGCATTGGGAAAACAAAAGGCCCTGTCTGTCTCGCTTCCCTGCTTTCTGGATGCCCTCACAGAAGCGCCCAATTCTTCTCACGCAAGGGCATCTCCTCACCAGATCCGACATTTCCATCCTGGACCCTGCGCCATGCCTCGTATTCAGCAAAGCGCTTCTGAGCATATCCTGCGTAGTCAAAGTCGATAGTTCCGGTCGCTGTCTCAGCCTGGATGAGAGCGCATAGACCCCTACCGCGGAGGCGGGTTAGTCAGATATGTAAAATGTCTTGGATGGATGTGTGTCTCGCCTGGCTGTGTACCGACGCACAACACATCGTAGTACAGCTTGATGTCACAGAACTTACCAGTAAAACCCAGGGAATCCCCTGTAATCATCAACCTGACGCATAAGCTTCTCCACCTGGGCGTCATTGGCACCCGGTAGATCTGATTTTGTTTTTCTCGCCAAGTCGCAGTCGGCGATATGGCAGTCTTGTTTGTGTTGGTGTTGCCGATGAAGGTCGGCGTGCATCTTGAGGTACTCACGAACAAAGTCTCGGCGGGTTGACGTGCTTGGCAGCTTGGTGTAGTCACACTCGAAGCCAGTCCATTCGGCGAAATGATTCGCAAGTTCAAACGCCCGAGGGCAGTAGGTGGCATGTCTGTAACACAAAGCACAAAAGGGTTACTTCGTGTTCGGCCGAGCTTGACAGACTCTGGATGGGTGACGACTTACTCGTAATCTATGAAGCGCACTGTTGCGACATCTGTAGCACCATTCACAGCCTCCATGCCATCAGCCGACTCTTGCACAATGATGTTGCCACATAAAAGGTCACCGTGGCCGAGCACCTGAATTCACTCACATGTTAGAAGATATCTGGATTAAAGCAAAGAAGATGAGAGAAAAAGCAAATGCAACGACGTACCAAGGGCTCCGGCATAACATCAGTAGGCAGCAGCTTGTCGGTTAGGTACTGAAACTTTTCCTGCAGGTCTTCGATCTCGGCCTTTGACCGCTTGGGACTATTGGAGATCGCATTAAGCCATTTCTTCGCAGTCGACCACACACTCGCCTCATAGTCAAGCTCTTTCCTTGCTCCTTGAAGATCAACAGGTTGAAGCAGGGTGTGCCACCTTGCCAGCTCCCTTGCAACCGCACGGAAGATTTCTGTCTTAGACACATCGCCTTCAGAACAGACACTACCAGGAATGAACTGGTATGCATGGCCATTGGTAAAGCGGCAAAGTGGTATGGACGAGAGGCCGCGATCGGCCAAAAGCTTGTGTACCCATAGCTCCTCTTTTTGTCGCAAGTTGTGTTAGACACGGGTCAAAGAAGGGAAGTTCCAGACGAGACAGTGGGACATAAAACGTACTTTTGCGATCAATCGTAATGTCGGTGCCATCTCCATAGACCTTGACTAACACAGAGTCTTGGTTGAGGGATTGATTGGTGACTTTGAACAACTGTCAAAATTTTAGCATGTGTAATGACGCTGAGACAAGCCTAAAAAGAAAAGGCTGGGTGGGAAATAAGGCTTCTCACACTGTTTGTGGTTCCTTGGGCTAGAGGCTGGATACGGAAATCTATGCCAGCCTCGGCAACATGAGGGAAAAGATACGGAATAAAGGGTAGGATAGATGCATTAGAGGCATCGGAACCATCAAAGACATGGTCTAGGAACGGGATCTCCATCTCGTCTTGATCGAGATAATAGATGCAGCGCAGTAGGGTAGCGACTAGGGATATTCACAAGTAACAAGGTAGGTAAGAGAGAAAAAGAAACGACAAGAGAAAAGCAGGCGGCTTAAAGTAGCCACAGCTTTGCTAGAGGTGTGACGGGGAAGGCCGGCTTTCCTGCCTTGAAGCCCGATCTAGGTCCAATGAGGAGACCTGTTCTTTTAGGCAATGGGGGGCCTCTGAGACAGCATGAAGCTAGGGGAGTTATGGGGGCTGATATACGCCATTGCCTGCCCGTAGCCTCCCTAGCCTGCCACTACGGGCACATTCCTTCCCGCTGTGTAACTAAAAGCAGGGAGGCACATTTCTCTAAGACATTTCAGCTGATGATTGGAGAGCATCTCTGTTCTAATCTAGGCTTTTTTAGGTGACACCAAAACACGGCACATCATCTAACAAGGTCCGACCCGATATCAATCAAAATAAACAATCTACTAAAATGACTACTATCAATCTTCCCTCGGTAATGTTTCTTTTGACCGGCATTTCAAACCTCCGTGTCTTGCAACTTTCACACTATCGAAAACTAATGCACGCCATGGCGATCACAGCGGATACGCAGAGACCTCTCCCTTGTCACAATTACGTGCGACGACATATGTCCTTGATTACACTGCATGCTTTGCAACAATTGCATTGCCTGGAACCACAGTTAGTCAGCATGGAGAGAAGCAACTCTGGATCTGATCTACCAGTTGTTAAACGCTAAAAAGCGTGTTTGTTGGAAAATGGAGGGATACGAGCTATCAAGGAGATTAGCTATATAAGAACGAAAAGGCACACGACCACCTTCTCGAATCAACTCATCATTTATTTCCTCATCTGTGTGGTAGTACAACAGCAATTATCATGGCCTCCTCTACTTCCAAGCCGACAAACAGTCTTCTCTACAAAAACTTTCAAAAACACCCTGCAGCTCTCATCGAATCTACTTCGGGCATCTACCTCAACACGAGCGATGGCCGTCGCATTCTCGACGCGACCAGCGGCGCGGCCGTCGCCTGTCTAGGCTACAACAACAAGGATGTTCAACAGGCCGTTGTTGAGCAGCTGATCAACGTTCCGTACTGTCATCCTGGCTTCTACAAAACCAAGGCAGCCGAGGATCTTGCTGATTTCCTGGTTGAGTCAACAAATGGCTTGATGTCCAAGGCGGTCTTGTGCGGATCAGGTGGGTTGGGGATACACAGTTGTCAAGTTTCACAACCATTACTTACGATATACAGGCTCCGAAGCTGTCGAAGTTGCGCTCAAACTCGCCAAAACTCACTTCTCACACCTCGCTATTCCCCAGACAGAGCGAAGCCACTTCATCGCTCGTGTAGGAGCATGGCACGGCGCAACATTGGGCGCCCTGACTTTGGGCGACTTCAAAGTCCGAAAGGACCCATTCGTGCAGTTGATCTCACAGAATTCGTCCCAGGTGTCAGCTTGCAGCGAATATCGTGGCCGAAAGGATGGTGAAGATGACGAGGCGTATGTGAAGCGGCTGGCGCAGGAACTCGACGATGAGTTCCAGAGGATCGGTCCTGAAAAGGTTTGCGCCTTTGTGGCCGAAACTGTTGGCGGTAGTGTGAGTTTATTTGTTCGCTATATGCGCTGTGCCTTGACTAATATCCGACAGGCTAGCGGGTGCGCCATGCCGATCAAAGGTTATTTCCCAGCCATGAAAGCCGTTTGCGAAAAGTACAACGCTCTTCTCATCCTCGACGAAGTAATGTGTGGTATGGGTCGCACAGGCACCCTTCACGCGTGGGAGCAGGAAGATGTTGTCCCCGATATTCTCGTGGTCGGCAAGGGTCTCGGTGCCGGATACGCGCCTGTCTCAGCAGTCCTCCTCAACAACAATCTCGTCGAGTCCTTCCAGAAGTCCGGCAAAGGCTTTGCTCATGGGCAGACATACATGGCCCATCCCCAGGCAGCGGCAGCAGGACTCAAGGTCCAGCAGATCATTCGCGATGAGAACTTACTGGCTCATGTTCGCACCATGGGCGAGTACCTCGGTGCACGCCTGAAGGAACGTTTCCTTCCAATGCCATATGTCGGCGACATTCGAGGAAGGGGTCTCTTCTGGGCCATCGAGTTCGTCACCGACAAACAGACCAAGATGCCCTTTCCCTACAGCCTGGGTCTGAACAGCATGCTACACTCTCGGGGAATGAGCGCAGGCTACGAGATTGCTCTGTTCAACGCCAACGGTGGCTACGACGGGTACAGCGGCGACCATTTTCTCATCTGCCCGCCTTTCATTGTCACCAAGGCTGATGTTGACAACATTGTTGAGCGAACTGCACGAGTGGTCGAGGATACTTTCGCCGAGTTGGCCAATTCTGCTGTTTGGGAGAAGGTCACTTTGCAGATGGAGATTGACAACAGCAGCGAGGTGAAGGCATTGGATGCTGCTCCTGTGGTGGGTGTTGCTGTTGGTGTGGCTGCCCAGTGAGCTGTCATGGGATGGGTTCGGGATTCGAAAGTTATAGAGTTACCTGTAAATCGTTTATGTATATTTCAGATGTTTCATATTACTGAGGTTCTTATACGAGCGCTGTGTTAATTAAAGCAGGACGAGTATTGTTCTTTGCGATTTTACGTTCACAGTGTGTTTTTCTCCGTCTTCCACCCATGAAATGTCAACATGTGAGTACCAAAAAAAAAACATTCCATTTGACAGAGACACAAAAAGAGGATATTTAGTGGATTTTAACCACTTGTGTTGGACGAACAGGGAATCGAACCCTGGACCACTCCCAGATTATTCGGTTGAATTATGCTAAGGGAGTATTATACCACTAAACCATTCGCCCGGAATTTGTTGAAGACACTGCCACCAATTGATGCTCAACAATGGCTGGGGCAATATCCACAACGACTACTTACTCATGGCAAAGGCACGACTGCAATCATTTGTACTTGTAGTTTGATCAGATGATATGAGTTGATAATTATTCATTATTCGTGTACTTTCATGACAAGTTAATACAAAAATCGCCTCAAACCAGGGTATCATTCAGTCTCTCCCACTCTTCCACAATATTTTCTACTGGTGCCTGCGAATATTGGCAGCACTCGCGCGACGGCTTGCAGATGGTGTACCACGGGGAGTTCCACGAGGTGTAACACGGCTCTCCCCAAAGAAACGGTTCGAGTTGCTGTACTGTCGTGCACCGTAACTAGGACGAGCAGCGACAGGAGGACGTTCAGGATCCTCAACGGTGCCAGCAGAGCCTGATATAATGTTAGTGTCTGTGTACCCTGCATCAAACCGAGATAACTTACTTCTTCGTCGGGCATCGTAAGCGACACTTCCACGGCGTCCCTGCTCAGCATTATACTTCTTCTCACCAGCCAGGCGCTGGGCGAAGGGTGATCGTGCTCGCAGAGCGGGTCCCTTCCAGTAAATCACATAGACGGCTACGACAAGAACGAAAGAAATACAGAAGAGAATTGTTGAGGCGTATTCCAAGTTCTTGCCAGAGGATGCGCCGATGTTAGAGAAGAATGGAATGGCAGGAAGTGTGAGAACACCAGCGAGAAAATCTCGAGCCCAGCCGTTACCACCGGTGGCCGAAGCAGAGTAGGGGCCGTCTAGGTATTGTTAGCGAATGAAAACCGATTCACTTCATCGAGAAATACTTACAGGCACAAATCATGTAATCAATAGTAGCCATGTAAATAGCATAGTTGGCAATACCGACAATGGCAGCAAAGATCATGGAGCCAATCCAGTGGATAGGAGGACCTTGAATGGTCCAAGCAAATCCAATAAGGCCGATGGGTAAGCAAGGAGCAGTGTACAGCAAGAACCACAATCGCGACTCGTACTGAGCACGCTCATCGTCTGGCTTTTCTCGTCGCTCTTTAACGTTCTTCTTGATAGATGGAATGAACAGCAACCAGGCGATGACATAGCCAACACCAATAGCACAGAAACTCAGACCGACCTGAACAGCATCAAATCCCCATTGCCCATACACAAGGGCAAAGGACTGGATGAACATGAAGATCAGAGCGTCGGAGAAACCAGACAGAAGAGACAGAACCAGCACGATGGGCTCGGTGAGGAACATTTTGAACGGGCGGGTCCAGGTGATAAGAACCTCCTTGGCGGAAAAGCGCTCGCGGAAGGGAACAAGCTCGTCAGGGCCCCAGACGTTGGCACCAGTCTCCTTTCTTCTCTTCTTGGCGATGCGGTTCATGAGAATGGTACTTCGTGTTTCGGGGACAGTCAGGAAGTGGACGATTTGAACAAAGCCGCCAAGGATGAGCTGGATCCAGATGGACCAACGCCACGCGAGGTACTGCTCACAGAAACCACCAACAATGGGACCCAAGACGGAGCCGCCAACGGAAGAAAAGACAACATATGCAACAGCGTACTGCTGGTTGTCCGACTCCCACATGTCGGCGATCATACCGAGAGTGACAGAACCACCAGCTGATGAGAGACCACCAAGTGCACGGCCGACTAAGATTGAAGCAAAGTTAGGTGCCAACGCGACAGGGAGCTGCCAGATGTTGACGAGGAGCAGCGAAGCCTGCATAATAGGCCATCGTCCAAACTCTTCGGACCAAGGGGCCCAAAGCTCGCAACCAAAAGCATACAAGACCAAAAAGATCATAGCACCACATCTAGCTGCCTGAGCACTAACGCCAAACTCTTCAGAAATTCCAGGGATGGCATTCGAGTAGAGTGAAGTGTTGAAGTTCATCGAGACCTGGACCCAGAAGACGACGGTGAGGATGTACCACTTCTTCCACTTGGGAAAGGAGAAGCCAAGCTCATCGTAGCAGTCATCTTCTGTTATCTCGTACTTATCGTAGGTGCCGAGCTTTTCGAGGTGGGCCCCATTGGTGTTTGTGTTGTTGCGTGGGCTATGTTCGTCACTGCTGTGGTCTGTTGAGCCATCTAGAGCACCGTTGTGTTCCTCTAGACGCGAGTTGGCGAAGTGTAGATCGTTTTGGTTGATGACCTGAGGTGGGTCATCAGAGAAGTGAGTTGGCATTTTGGACAAGACAATTGGTCTGTCTACCAGTCGAGAAGAGATGATGGAATAGTGTTATTAAGGTTAATTATCTGGGGACGGGGTAGCAGCTTGTTTAAAAGCCGGGGATCAGACAGCATCTTACAAGACAAGATGCTGTGAGCAGCACCCAGGTAGTTGGGTAACATATCCACTCTTGACATCATTCTCAGAAGAAAAGACCATACCCCGGAAATGGCGTCGTTGACGTGGAGTTAGTTAGTCAGTGTGTGGAGTTGAGAATTGGTTGTGCCGCTCTATCCGGAGTACTCAGAAAGAAACATGAGAGATCAACGGTCAATGGTGAGATTTACAAGATGCGGGTGACGGGTTACCCAGAGTGGACAAGCTTGTTGGTTGTGGTTATTCCATCACGCATTCAACGCCGCTGATCGAAAGACTGGGGTGCATCTGTCTTTTGCTGTCCAAAGGTAGAAACTGTAGAAACATGGGAACATAAGACTCGGCCGAGTCATGAAGTTTGGATTTCTAAAATGACGTATGAGAAATTAGTGACGGATATAACCAGCAATTTTCGTTTTTATTATTATTTAAATATTATTACCTTTTCCAATCCCAATCGGTCAGAGCGAGATGTTTCCAGGCAGCAGAATTCTTCTCTCTCAAAACTCCACAATGACATGACTTGATGAAGTCTTCAAAACCAAATTGACTAAGGCCTGCTTATTCCCCTTGTTTTAGCACATCATTGCGTCATATTTGTAACCCTCTTCCCGCGTTTAACCCCTGATGGTCGGGTCTTTTTGTAAAAGGATTTGATGTCTACAACTTGGAAAGCCAAGATGCCAAGGTAAAACGTGCCGTCCTGGGCGATCACAGCTGAATTCTAGGCGTTTCCTTGGCGGTAACCAAGTCATGACAATGTCTATTTACCAGGGAGAAATAAGCATACTCTCCATTAATCTACTTTCTGCCCGCCTATGTCCTGCAGAGCCTCCATCGGAAGTTACGATAATAATTAATTCCCATAACGTGAAATCAATATTATCCAACACAAACACTCCCAAAACGACCCGAATTATTATCTTGTTTAGTTCCAATCGGTCAAATTCTCGGTCGTCTACTCCATGGGGATTTTAACCAAGCGGAGCCTCAGCCATGGGGTACCAGGGCTTTATGCCGCTGCCTATTCTAGTGGAGATTTTATAACAAATCTTGTGAAAAATCTTCTGATTCCATCACGAGAAGTTGAGTTTTGGTGTTGAGATTTTTCTCTTCTTCCGACTGGACCTGATAAAACAGGTTAAATAAGGTAGCATTTAGCCCTGCTTACTCCATGTTAGTGCAGATCATTTGTGACGTCATGATGAAGCCACTGACATCGTCAATAGATATTCACGACTCTACGCTTTGATACTATCAACATGCATCATGGGAATTGAATGAAAGAGCCATAGATACTCCGCGTTGAGTATGAATCTCAATTATGTCAATCCCAAAGTAAGTAATTTCAAACGGTTTAGTAAGATCATAACTGCCATATATTTTATACTATCAAATGGTAAATCGCTATCAAATACCAGAACTAGCACTGCAACCAATCACTAAACATATTCGCAGAGCAACATGAACAAGACAAGACATCTTTTAGTAGAAAATTCATGGGATATCGTCACAAACTTTGCGCCGTCCATGATGATGCGACAAGTGTAACTATCCTAAACCTCTCCGGTAATGTTGACACTAAACATGGAAAGATGAGGCCGAAAGAGACCATCAAGGCGGCAGCGGTTACTACCGTGTGAAATCATGGTTCAGTCGACTGTTATTGCACTTTTCGTCCATGTCGTCTTTTATCTGCGCCAAGGAGCTGTCATCACATTTGACGCCTCACATACCACAAATATGGGGCTCAGTGAAAAAGCAATACAACCAACAGAGGGAATTGAACAACAGGCCAATCATCTTAGAGATAAGCAGAACTTGTACAACATATGCGCATATCTCTATCTCTATATTGAGCAAAAGTTAACAAACATCTAGATGCCTAATAGTTGTAAGCATCATGAAAAAGAGTTCTGGATTACCAGCCACGCGTGGCGCATTATCGATAACTATCAAATGATTTTAGCGCCATCTACTTTTCTTTCTCTTCCTCTGTCAACACCAAAAAACTTCACAAGTCGCGTGTCACCACACAAACAGCCATGTCAGGTTTATCGCGGTCAATCAGGCCTCTGAGCCATTGCGTTAGTCTGCGAACAGCGCGAGCACTACCACGTTTTTCGTCCCACTTCACAGCCAAACCGCTGACACAAGAGGAATTCGTCAAAAAAATGGCTTTGAAGAATCAAAGACAATCGGCGCGCGAAGCGTATCGAGAAACCCTTGACAGCCATGTTTGCCATACAATTCGACGCAAAATACCTCCCGTTCCAATGGATGCACAAGACATAGAATTTCCCCAACAACAAGAACCTGAATTGACCGAGCTCGACGAAGATCTTGTCGGAATAGACTCTTCGGACCACGTGTTTCTTAACAACACATTTTGGCCCCGTGAAACAGGATTGCGATTTGCGGCCATCAGAGAGGCAAGAGATCAAAACCAACGTTTCGCAGCCGCCACAGAGGAACAGTTCGACACTTTGTGGGAAGACTTTGTGAAATATTGGCCTCGGATGTTCTTCCGAATGCGCGGATTCCTATCACCTAACCTTCTCGAGGATCGGGTAACGATTCGACCCAGTGATGTAGTACGTTTCTCCCTCTCTTCCGTACATAGAGATATGACATATGTGGCAATTAGTTAACTACGATGTTGCAGGACTACTCAGTAAGTTACTATAAAAGCATTAAATCTTTCCGCAGCTAACCTTGTTCTAGGGTACGATTGCTTTCTCCAGTGTAGCAATAATCAAACTGAAACAGTTCCAGGTGATGTCGGCATGCAATCACTGTACGGTTTTCTCCATATAGCTCATATAAACTGGCTCAGGAACACGGGCAGAGGTCTGAAACACCAGAAATGGGCCGAGATGATTTCCCCGTCCAAGAATCAACCTCTGATGAAGCATGTTAAATCTAAAATGCATATCCTCAAGGTATATCCTGCGTCGTGTCATGCTCGAGACCAAGTATGCGTTTAACTAACCGTTGGAAACCAAAACAAAAAGGCTTTGCAATATTCCGACGAAATCTTTGTAAGGTACAAAATAAGTGCCTTACCGCTTAAAGACAAGTCTGAAGTTAGCCTCAGCTCCTCAATTTTGTCCACTAAAGAATGTCTCGAGGTTGCGCGCTCAATCGATACGTTTACTTTCCTAGATCCCAAGACGAACTATGTTTCACGTCTCACCCCAAAAGATTTTTTTCCTTTTTACGAAACATTGGAAGACACATGGTTTTACCAGCAAGAGGTAGCGCGAGATGCTGCATTAATGGTCAATGATACGATTCATAGCGGTCTCGAAGACCTTGAGGCCAAGATGACACAGATGGTGCCCAAGACGTTCGGCGAGCTGCGCAAAGCTCTCAACAGTCGCGCATCCAATTTCAGCAGTCGATCAATCAATATTAACCAGAATATGGCGGGAGATGGTCCTGATGACAAGCCGATTGAAGATTATTTTCTTAACTGGCTTCGGGATGATATAGCCAAAACGAAGCACAAGCAGCCTCAATGATGGACATTGTCTTTGAGATGGGGCGCTTCCAGTTGTAAGAGGAGAAAGACGATTCAGCCTATATCTAATAGATCAATTCAAGGATGGGCTTGAAATGTATTACAATTACTACTCAACAAAAAAAGAACTCTATGCTATGTAGGCTGTGCTAAGCAATCAATGTCAGATTGTATTTACTCCTTAACAACAACCGGTCTATTATGCCACTTCAACTCTCCTTCTTTAAAGCTCGGCTCGGGCAACCAATCTAGCGTAAAGGCCTTTAGAATCGTTGGACAACACATGTGTTTGGCCAAAATGGTATCACCGTTGATGTACGGTAGAAGATACTGGTCCAGCAACTTCCAGAGGATGTTGTCCCACATGACAGCTCGTGTCGACGTGCCAGCCAACTTGACATCGTTGGTGACGTGCGCAAGACGAATATTTTGGTACTCATCAAAGGCTTTTGTTAGGTCCTTCACATCCGGGTTCTGGTTTTCAAGGAGAAGTGTGCGAAGGAGGTTGATTAGCACAACAGTGGACTGCCACCCTGTGTTGAGACCGAATCCAATGTTGGGTGTCATCTTGTGCACCGCATCACCGAGAAGAACAACGCGGTCTCTAGACCAGGTCTTTGCAACACCTTCTTCGAATGGAGCGGTGTAGAACCACTTCTTTGACTCCCAGACCTGCTTGAATGTGACGCCAGGTGCCATGTAAACATCCTCGTACTTCTTGGCCAGTTCATCAGCCTGCTCATTGGTGATCCAGTGTCTTCCCGTGGTCGGCTTGTCGAGCTTGAGATAAATTGTAAAGAAGTATTTTTTGTGTGAGGGCATGATAAGCTGGGTACTGAATCCTTCCGAGTGGCACTCGTAGTCTGTTCCCTCGATAAGATCTGTTGAGAGCTCTTCGCCGTGTCCGTAGAAGCCGTAGAATGTAGTCGTAAAGTCTTCGTTCTTGGTCTCGCTTTCTTTAGTCTCTTCATTGACAAAGTCCCTGGTGATGCTGTTGATGCCGTCGGCGCCGATGAGGATGTCTGCGTCGTACGTGCTACCATCTGAGCAGGTGACTTCGACTCCCATGGGCTTGGATGATATGGATGTGACTTGTTTGTCCAGTAGAAGTTGGTTCGTTATATCGGAGAGGTTGTCCTTGAGTAGGTTGACCAGATCACTACGCTGGAACAGCATCCATTCATGGCCGTGGCTACTGAAGTTAGTATTATCACTGCAGTCATTAAAAGGATCAACTTACTATTCACCAATATTCTTAATCATGTCACTCCAACTCATTACAGAGCCATCGCGTCGTAGATTGCACTTCTTGGCCATAGGCAAATGACGGTCATAAGCATCCTTGAGAAGACCGAGCTGATCCAAGATGCGAGAGCTGTGAGGCCAGATACAAACGGAAGCGCCCCAGTTGAGATCGGCTTCTTTTCGGCGCTCCAGAATCTTGTACTCAATTCCAGCTCGTTGAAGAGCTAGGGCCGCGAGAAGGCCTGTTGGGCCAGCGCCGACGATGAGGACTTTGAAACCCATTTTGGCAATATAGATGAGACAGAAGAGGAGAAAGAGAAGCTAGAGGGAATTCTGGTGATTTTTTATTAGTTTCTGGACCTCCTATTCTAAGGCCTAACATATGCACATACACTCGCTGCAGTGCAACTCGATTAACTAGTGATGCTACCCCAGGTGCCCAGTCGTGGTTCGACACAAGGTTCATACCCTTGCCAGTATCCAGAACCGTTGGACCCAGACGTTGGGATCGGCACTCGCTTGTAATCTAGTATGGTCTTCTAGTGGCTTGCTATTCGATAATACGAGACCCTTGAGGAAAAGGAGGAATCGTTTTATGTAGCTGAGAGAAAAAGTTTGACTGCCGAACGCTACGCTGTAAATTGTGATGCTCAAACGCAATTCGGATCCAACTCCGCGGAATTAGTTTGTTGATCTGGACCGGCAACGCCGGGTAGTGCCTTTCGTTATCCTATTTCCGCTGAGATAGTCTAGCACTTAACTGACTATATAACCTGTATTCTATGTAAAAAGCTAATCCAGACACCCCCGGCATCGAAGCTATCATGGAGATTGATAGATAAGCTCTCTAAGTTGGTACTGTGCCTAGGCCCATCCCGTAGGCATGCGAAAGACTACATACTAAATGTCTAAGGGATACAACAATATATCTTTTATGCCTTGGTCGACGCCGGTCTTGGGCCATTCATTCACTGTATCCTGCATAGATTTGGTAGTTCTCAAGGTTTCTGCCCACTAACCATCTTCCAGGTCACCACGAGTTTTGAATTGCATCCCAGTCACGTTCGCCCTCTCCCAGTGCTTTACTATTGTTGAAATCGTCTAGATCCTCGCAAAGCATCATATCGTGATCGAGGAAAAACTCCTGTCCATCACAGGCGTCGAGCTCTTAGAGGTCCATATCTTCCAAAATCTGCCACATTCGTCGCCGATTCGTCATGCCGAGAGGCATGTCCAATCCAACTTGACCATAGTCCCAAAGTTTGAGCGAAAAATCATGACACCCGCTGTATATCGGCCTCTGGAATTTGACGGGACGAGCCATGATCTGCCGGACTAAATGCTCCCAGTCCCATTCTTTGCCTGCTTCAATAGGAGAATATGGGAATTGTTGGACTTGTTGCACATCTAGATCCCAGAGGAAGGGTAGCTTGATGAAAAGCTGCTTCCAAAAAGATCGAGACAGCAGGTATGTGGGTTGCAAGTCTGTGGATCCGTACCGAAGATATTCTGTGATTTCTTCTAGGAGTTCTTGTGGCAGATTGAACAGATTGTTCTGGAACTGGGAGGCTCGAATTGATGGTGACACAGGCCATCACTGTACATTCTCGAGTAGACGACCTATTAAGTTCGGTATTTGGAAAGGATCATGTTTCCACTAAACAACTGTCAGGTAACCTATAAACAGAGCTATAGAGCTTGGTGCTTACCCATTCATATGAAGGGAGGCTGGAACAACCTGTAAGATAATATGCAGCATAGTCTTTGAATTTGGGCCAAATGTATGTTCCCTTCCCAGTCTTTTGTGGTATGGAGGGAGGATAGCTTGTGTGTAGGTGACGTACTGGATCCTTTGAGTAACGTGCGTTTATAATGACCCAAATGTCGCAGAAGGTTTCCAAGGTTGTGATTGGTGATAGTTGGATAAATTGATAAGCGAGTGAGGTGCAAGTTCTGTGGAAACCATAAAGAATATGGCCACTCTCATCTACTTTATTCGTCTGCGCCCCCTCGTCGCTGGGAAGCAGTGTCAAGTCGCCCCAGCCCTGGTCTTTACCATCTGTCCAACCAGTGGCCGCAAGCCATGTGAGCAGCTCGTCGGGATGACTGGTTGCCTCTGGACGTTCGCCCAAGCACCGAGGTCCCTTAATTACAACGGCATCTTGCAGCCACATATCGGGTATCATACTTGCATAGATTGAATATCCACAGATTGCACATATTGGTTCCTCTCTATGTTGATCCACCATGTCGACTGAACCAGGTACGAGAGTTGCGTTTTGAGCTGCCGGATCTGTGAAAATCATGGAACGGCGCGAAGGCTACTAGGTAGTTGATTGACCTAAGTTGATCCTCCTGTTACAGCTATTCAAGTACCTAGTGGTGGACCCTGAGTTTCGGCCAGAGTAGTCATCAGTGAGAGATAAAACACGCTATCCATAATTCATTGACATCCAAGCTTTAGCTAGGGTACAACAATAGTGCATCATCAGCCATTTTGTGAAGATTGTGTAAAAATCATGTATTTATGTATCTATAATCAAAGCAGAAATTCTTGATCGGTCTAGGTAGATGTAAACCATATTATTCTAGTAATTATCCAACCATACCCCTACTCCTCATCCAATTTCATTATCCAGTATGTTTCAAGCACAATGTTTCGATCTTTTGACGGTCATGAAAACATGGCAAGAGACGGAAGATACTCTCCACATCTCACTCTACCTTGAAACCCAATACTGACGCGCCTTGTAGAAAACCAGACCCAAGAGCCAGATGGCCATGATAACGAGGGCCTGCACGGGCGCAAAGATAGCACCCCTGACAACGACGAACCCGCTAACGATTACAAACACAATGGGGTTGACGGAAAAGGTCTTGTACGGACGCTCCAAATCAGGCTCGCGGTATCGGAGGATAATTGCTCCGAGAACAGTGAGGAAGAAGAAAGAGTATTCTCCAAGACCATTGAGAGTCAAGAGTGCTCTAAAACTGCCAAAGAGGATATAGAAGCTGGCAAGAATAACTGAAAGGATAACGGCATTGATCGGCGCATCTCCAGCATCTTTGCCTGACTCATCAAGTGTAGTCGTTTCTTCTTCGGCGGAGGGTTTCAGGCCGACCCTTCCAACGATGGTGAATAGACTCGGGATCCAGTCCTTTCTCGCTGCAGCAACACACATTCGACTGGCGACGAAGGAGTTGCCCAGCAGAGAACCTGCCACGACTAAACATATGAGTATAGCGGTAACAATACCAAAGCCTTGGCCCAGAAGGCGTGTTATGGCGGTCACTGCTACGCTATCTGTGGTGCTGACGACGTTCCATGGGAGAAGGATGTAGTAACCAGCGTTGGCGGCCAGGAAGCAGATAATAGCTGTTGGGATGGATGTGTTGATGGCAAGAGGAAGTTGCTTAGCAGGCTGTGAAAGCTCAGCGGAGACATAAATCGCCTGATAACATTAGTATATGGACTTGCAAAGAGGAGTCAAAACTAACCTTGTCCCAACCCGAGTAAGCCCACAAAGCTGCATATAAAGCCGCAGAGTAGTGTCCAAAGATCTCCCACTGGCTCAACTTACTCCAATCCGTGTCTGGCCCATTAGGATTGTACGTGTCACGATACTTGAACCACGATTTCTTGTACCAATCACCTCCACCAACTTCCTTGTTGGGATGCGCAATGTGAACGCCCACTGCAGCAAGGGCGGCGACTACCACAACAAGGATGCTCAGGAATTTGAGGACAACAAAAAAGCCGTTGAGACGCGTGCTGGCTTTTGTGCTAATGGAGTTTGCAACGCTCATGACAACTAGCACAAGGATAGAAAGAAGCTTATGCTCTAGTCGGCCGTCTTCGTTGATGACGCCTGCAGCTGAGTAAGCGCTCTCGACAAAGACAATACTGAGAATTGCGAGTGTTGCGGGCATGACGGCGACGATCCATGTCCAGGCTGCTAGAAAGCCCCATATGTCGCCATAAATATGCTGCAGATATGGCTGGACTCCGCCTGTATCACGTTAGATTATATGACTACCGTAGCAAGTGACAGATGTCTGACCTTCTCCTGGGATAGCGGTGCCGAGCTCAGCAAAAGTGGTAGCTCCAGTCCAAGCCAAGATACCTCCAATGAGCCAAATTGCCAGAGCGATACCGGGTGATGGAACATTTGTATCGATCGAGCCGGGAGACGTGAATACACCACTTCCGATGACGATGCTCACAACAATACCAAAGGCTTCAGCGGCGCCGAGGTTACGAGTGAAGGTTCCTCGGGTCCGAGTCTCTCGCGACGCGTCGGATGAGACATTCTCGTCACGCTCCGAAAGGAGAGGCTGTTGGACAGCAACATCCTCAGATTGGTCTGGTGGCATTTTGAAGTCGATATCTCCGATGAGAGGTTATTAACCAGGATTGGGAGATGTTGAAATAAGGTAGATTGGAGTGGTCTGTAAGATGGAGTCATCAACTAACGTTACCTACTAATGTCGTTACTAGGGTAGTTGCGTGACAACGCGGTTAATTGTCGGTAGACTATGACGTGACGGCATCTTCCGATGATACAACAATAACCAGGTTATCTTTTATCTTGTTTTATTCTCTTCTTTACCTACTATTGGGCCTGATGCTCCGCTCCAAGCATCAGAGTATTTCCTCAAGATTGATTATCTCATTGAAGAAATTGTTCTTATGTCGATCGCTGTTAGATATGGATATGAAACAGTGACATTTGCCCTTTGCAATTAAACATGATCCCTGTTCTCCAACTCCTGACACCGCATTACAAGGTTATCCTCGCAAGTCGACATCGCACAGATAATTAAACCCATCGGACTATTTTTCAAAACATTTTAACCTTGAAGTGAAACCGTTTATCTAGAAATCTAATAATCCACCAATCAACATGAACTTGGTAGCATGTTTATTTAACTTAAGGCCATCGGCTAGCAGGTTACATAACAAGCATAAACACCTTAAGTAGACTGTAATCCTCCTGTTCCGAGTTCGATTGTCATTCATTTCTATTCTTCCATTCTTTACTTCAAATACATTCGTTTATACCGCCTCCGTTCGCTACAATGGGTCTCGTCAACATCAACACAGTAATTGGCCTCCTCGCCGTCGGGGCCAACGCTCTCCCCCAGAGTATCCCATCATCTTCTGCCCCGGCGGCAGAAGCGGAGGCATCTTATACCGCGAACCCAAACGTTGGCCCAGGAGGCAACAACTTCAAAGACTCAGCCCATTTCCGAGTCTACGCGGGATCTGCCGAAGCGACCGACAAGGCCCTGGACATGCTTGAAGGCGCATTCGACTGCTTTGTTGGAACACTCAAGTGGCGCTCTTCTGGACTCTCTTTCAACGAACAAACCGATAGCGGCCCCTTGCACAAGACCAATGTTTACACCGTCGGAACTCTAAACGAAGCGGCTGGTGTAATGCACTCTGATGCTGAGAGCGGATCAGCTTGGTTGGAAGTTGTCAACGAGTATCTTGCTGTTCCCGGCGTGACCGTTCACGAATACGGTCACGGGCTACATTACCACCAGCAGGCCTGGGTCGACCAGGCGAATACTGGTGCTTGGTGGGAGACTTTGGCCAACTGGGCAGCTGACACGTACAAAACATCGGATATATGCGCCAGCGCTCGCAAAGCCCATAACCAAGAGACTTCTCCTACCGAGATAGAGCTCAAGAAGCTTCTCGGTGACTCTCACCAGGTTATCGTGGACGGTACCCCAGAGTCTGGCAACTACTACCAGGCCTGGCCTTTCCTGGCTTACTTGACCAACAACCCCGATGACTTTGCAGGTTTGGGCCAAGACACTGTTCGTCAGTTGCAAATTCAGTATGAAAAGGGAAGCAACGAAACTCCTCTCCATACACTAAGCCGTGTGTCTACGAATGCCACAGTCGGCGATATCGTTGGTCGATACTGGGCGCGCATGGCCTATGTCGATATTGGCCATTCTTCCGCTCAAGAAGTCTTCTTCCAGCAACGTGCAGAGATTGATTTTGCACATGTCGAACCTTCTGGTGACGGCTACAAGCCTACAGCGGACCGCGCCCCTCGATACATGGGAGCCAACATCATTCCTCTGCAAGTTACTGGTAACCAGGTTGGTGTCAACGTCGCTTCGGATGGCGAGTTTGTGGCGACTGTCGCTATTTACCGTGAAGGTGGGGAGACTTCTTATACTACTCTTGTCAATGGTGCTGCCACCGTTAGTGTCCAGGCTGGAGATGATGTCAGTGTTATTGTTGCGAATGCTCCAGCCAAGCCTATCATGTACAATGGCTTCGAGTTGACTCCCGAGGTTTCTGAGGGGCTTGATTACACTCTTAATCTCACTGGCGCGAGTCCCCAAGCTTAAAAATAAAGGCACCTTCTATTCCTGTGCATATAACATAGTTACAAGTAAATAAGACCAAGTAGACATACAACAGGTTTCCCCCTGTCTCAATCCTCCTAGTATTATCATTGCTCAGTCTAGAAATCGACGCATCACATTTTTTCTAACCGTCTCTCGAGTCTATTCAACACCAAAGTGCTCGCAGTACTACTCCAGATGCAGTCCTTAAACTCGTTAGCCGCCTCCTTCACCTGATGCCGAATCTCCTGCTTCACATCATCCAGGATCTCTTGTCTCATGCGCGCCATTTTATTGTCCTCTTTTATGCTCAAAATCCATCCTGGCATCGGCCTATACACCCATCCGTTACTCTGATGGCGTCCACACGTCGCAGCAATTGACCCTCCTACCATGATGCAATTCGCAGTCCTGTATTTACCCATCAACCGCACAGGCATTCTCGCTGTTCCAACAGGGATATCCGAGAGGTTGACGGTTTGATGGAATATATCGTCTTCCTTATCTTCTTCGGACGTGTCTCTGGTTTCCGAGACTTCAGACTCAACATCTTGATCAGATGGTTCGTCTCCATCCTTGTCAGATTGCCGATTTTGGCGTTTTGGGTTGATATGACAAAAGGCAGTGATCCATCCAGTCACCAAATGAGCGTCTTCGCCATTTGGGGGTGTTTTCCTAACCATGGTCTCGATAAACTCGCGCGCTATTACGCTATCTGGTTCACGAGCAGTATAGTGAAGAAGGCTCAAAATGGGCCGTATGTTTTTGATGAAGAGCTTCACCTCTTCACCCTCATTTCTGAAATCTCTCAATTTATCCAGGAGGCTACCCCAATCTAGAGGCGTTCCAGAGAGGGTCGCGAAATGAATGCCACCCTTTCTGAAGCGGAAGTCGCCGAGAACCTTCTCTTTGAGCTCTCGACCGAGGAGCAAAACACAAGCAGCCGTAATGTCTTCTGGACACGTCGTACTAAAGCCTGGCATCAAGGAATTCGTACGTTCCCTCGAGAAGCATTTCCTGTTGACGAGATACTTCATTTCCTCGGCCAAGGTAGAGAAGTTCCGAAAGTCCTCCTCGTTCAAGGTCGGAACGTCGAGCTTTGCCTCCGACAGGGATTCTTCTGTGCGAGGGAGACTGTAACGGCCGATATTCTGGAGGATGGCCAGCCAGACATCATCAGGGCGGACGATCAGGTGCTTGCCCTCGTTGTATGCGCGGCAGGTTGACCAGACGAATCCATTTTCTGAAACCGCAATGGTCGTGTGGTCTGGTGTGCTTGCGCAGAAGTTGCTCTGCGCATAGCTTGATCGTCGAAAAACGCATGGGGAGGTGCCCCAAAGGATATCGCGATGGGTCCTGGCGCATCTGAAGTGCCACTCTGGGGGTTGTGATGAAGTTGAAATTGTTGCTGGTTTTTATTAAAGTTTGTGATTCGACTTAACAGGAATAAAGCATTCTTTTATAATTCAACTAAACTTTGTCAGGAAGGCCGAGTCTAAGTAAATGGCTGCGGAAGTTAGAATATTGTCAAGCAAAAGTTTAGAATGTTCATGCGGCATATTGTTTTTTGAACCCTCGTTAAGCAGAAGAACTTAAAGCTATAGTGACTCATCTTTCAAGAAAGAGAGTCCATCGATAGTTTGGTAAAGTCTATTGACTACTTCTCATACATGTTCCACTTAAGTTTGAATATAAGCTTCAACTTTCAATGAGGATTTGAAAAAACCCGCAGTCTATGCGTTGTCACAGTAAGAATGAGTCTTCAATTTGCTAAGCTAAAGAATCTTAGTTTGACCAAAGCATTTGACTCAGCCCTCTATCCAATGATAATGTCAAGCTCAAGGTTGTTACCCTCCTTAACCTTGTAATTGGTCTTAATGTTCCTGCGATCAATGTTCAGAATCGTCTGCTCAGTACGCTGAGACTCGCGAGATCGGGTACGGTCTGACGCATTGCCGTAGTATTCAGGCAGAGCCTTGACACAGGTGATGTCGTCACCCAGGCCGGTCACTGTGTCGACCCAGGGCTTGTAGTTATGCACGCCCAGGGCGACAAAGAAAGCCTCCTTATTTTGCTCAGTCTTGAAGCGCAGCATACCGGAAGTACCACTGCTGCCCATAGTGAGAGTCAAGACGCCGTTCTGCTCGGTCCACTGGCAGCCATTTCCATAGTGCCAACAGGCTTTTTCAACGATGTGGAAAAAAGCGTTGGGGTTGGTTTGAAAGACACGGACTTTGATGGTGTAGGACATTCTGAGTAGGTTAGCAGGGTTCAGAGAAGAAGAAAAGCGTTCACTGACTTGCAAGATGTGAGTCTTCAAGTTGGGTTTGTTTGAGTTCAGGCTGAAGTTGTTGAGGTTGTGAGGTAAGGATGAGAAAAGATAGGATCAGCTGGGGAGAAGTCGCCTTTTATGTCCATCGGAATCAACTGAGAGCCAAGTATCATCTCTTTCTACTCGGCCTTGAGATGCTCCGTCTTGCACCACTTCATGTCTCTGGCGTCTTGCGGTGAAGGCATACTTTGATGATCAATCGTTAGGCCATGTCTCACATTCTGCCTCTGCATTGAAGACCAGTGGTTATCCCGATAATTGATTGGTTAAATGTTGATATACGAAGCTATGCAGTGGGAAATGTAACATCATGAAGGATGGTGCATTGGAGGCAGACGATGGAAATGTGGCTGGCTGTGTCTTTGCGCATTTCCAGTGTCGCCCAGGCTTTGTTTACCGTCAAGAGATCATTCTCAGGATCTACTATGATGGTTAAGGGCGGACAACTCATCAACAAGTTGATTAAGTGTATCTTACAATCGTACAGAATAAATCCAGGAGTTCCATTCCCTCAGTTACTTACTAACAACACAAAACGCACCCATAGTCACCGCGCCCCGATCCCACAAGAATTTGCTGTTCGATGATGACCTACCAATAGCGAGTTTCGTCTCACTGCAGGATATGTAAGACAGTAACCTATTCGCTGATGAATGCATGTTCCACGGCTGACCGAATTGTGCGGGGTAGAGTCTGAAAAGTGAAAACCATCTATATCTGACAATATCGGAGGATGAACCCACGAATCCAAGTTGCCAGTCTTTGTTGCCATCCAGATCGTGGAGTTGCTTCTTCCTATCTACATGGTCAAGGGGAGCGAAACATTGCCATTTCACCCTATTTTGATAGGCTTTTCACGTCAAGAATACAAGAATCGGGCGCTCATTCTCTCACTGCGAGGTCGGACTATTGCGGGTACTCTGATTAAGGTTTCAAAAGCATAGGTCTCACCCAACCACATACACCTCTACGATTTCAACATGCTCAGTCAATATTGATCAAAAAGAGTAATAGGTTTGCATTCAGCTCCCATTAACCTGTTGATTGACATGTAAAGTTTCCCAGATCGTTGCGAATTGTCTTGGATCCCCTCAACTAAAATATGCGCGTCGTCAGAACAAGTCTTGCTTCCGTAGAATCCACCACGGCCCGTGCCTAAGATTGAACTCATTTCTTCCATGGTATTCCTTCGTAATGTCCAATTAGAATGTTCCTGCATGCAGGCTGTGTAATTTATTGGCCACAGTTAAAAGTTTTGATGTTATGGAAAGACATCGGTTAAGGTCGGTCAATATTATCTCAATCGATGTAACCATGACTGCATAATGTCTCAGAGAAAGGACGGGTCACCCAGTTGGAACTGAGAGCAAAAGAGGAGTACGACTGCTATATTCTAGTTAGATGCCAAATTTTCTTGACGTTGTTTTCTCTTCAACTTTGATGGAGAAAACAATGGGACAGGAGACCTTGGTTTTAAATGTGCCTTTTTGAAGCAGTTCAGATGACCGGCAAACACATGCGGATTTACAGCACGGAATTCTAAGACCCTTTATACTTCATCTATCTATAAAACAAGATGCAATTGACGTGTAATCAAATACAAGGAATGGAAATTGAGTATCGTCAGACTTCATAATGTTGAGTGATAACAGGTGGATTACCAAGAGGTCTAACATTGTCGGACAATCCTGCCTCCGAGTTCCTGGTTTGACGGACACAACTTCAACACCACAAGCCTAATATAGTAATTACTATTTTCTACTTTTGGATAAAGTGCTTACAAGTTACCAAACTCTCAATACAGCCAAGAAGATAGGTTAAGGATTCTGCGGTTACATCACAATCTTACTACACTTGAACTTACAAATCCATGATTAGAAATCACGATTGCACCATAACAGCATTTCATCACCACTCTTGGACTATATAAAAGTCGACTAGAGTAGCTGAATTTGCAAGCACTACATAAAATCATTCGATTCAGAAAAACACATCATAGTAAAATATAATCATGGCCCCCATTCGCACCGCCATCGTCGGCCTTTCATCTTCCGCAAAAACAAGCTGGGCTTCAAAAGCGCATCTCCCTTACCTTCTGTCTCCCCTCGGCCGTTCAAAGTATCAAATCGTAGCTCTTCAAAATAGTAGCGTTGAAGCGGCTCAGAATGCAATCACACACTATAATCTCCCCTCTGACACCAAAGCTTATGGCACACCCGAAGATCTCGCAGCTGACAAAAACGTTGATCTCGTCGTCGTAGCCACACGAGTAGACGTCCATCACTCAAACGCTCTTCCTGGCTTAAAAGCTGGAAAGACGATTTTCGTCGAGTGGCCTTTGGCGCAGGATGTTAAGCATGCGAAGGAGCTTGTAGATGCGGCCAAGGAGACTGACGTCAAGACTCTTGTTGGGCTTCAGGGGCGGTTTTCACCGCCTATTGTCAAGATTCGCGAGCTACTGAATGAGGGTCGGATTGGAAAGGTTCTGAGCAGTGAGCTTCATGCTAGTGGTGGAACGAATGATAGAGAAATTCTACCTTCGACGTTGCAGTACTTTACCCAGCGTGCTATAGGTGGAAACGATTTTACCATCGGGTTGGCACACAGTAAGTAATACGAAAAAAAGATGACAAAATAAATAAAGCTAATGAGTCTAGTATTTGATTCGTTCCAGTCCGTTCTTGGGGATGTCACAAATATTAAAAGCCGTCTTCACTCGCAGAGACCCAACGTCCGAATTCGCGATCCGACGACCAACGAGATTATCAACAGAGTTACAGCCGATGTCCCAGATATCACCTTCGCCACAGGAACCCTCCAAGAATCCAAAACCGTCCAGAAAGACGCTGCTGTATCGATCCGCTTCCGCCGTGGCCAGCCGTTCCCTGGTGAACCCCCTCTGACCATCACCATCAACGGTGAAAAGGGCGAGATCAGGCTCCGAAGCTTTGGAGGTACTGCTCTAAATGCGGCAGGGTACTCCAAACCTGTCACCATCGAAATCCACGATTTTGAGACAGATACTGTTGAAGAGGTTGAGTGGAAGTGGCAAGCGTGGCAGGAAGAAAACGATATCCCGATCATTGGAAGGAGTATTGCAGCGGTTTATGAACAATTTGCTAACGGTAGAGGGGAGGGCCTGGTCTCATTTGGTGAAGCTTTGAAGAGACATGAGCAACTTGAGGGGATGCTCAAGCAGTGGGATGCTGAGAAGTCTCAGTGATTTTGTCTAAAGCTTTAGTTAAATGGTCGGACATAGGATAGGCACACGATGAGTGTATGCTTACTCCTATCTCTCGTTACAACATTAGGCATTTTACTTTATCAGAACACAATACGTACTTCAGAACTGGTTGATGAGAGATCGGAGTTATGAAAGGAAATTGGTGCAGATATCATTACTTTCCTCTATATAATCTTTTCACTCTTAATCTTCAATGTTCTTCGAAGCAATTTATTATCATTGATAACAATTCCGTAACTCATAATGCTTTATGTACCATAATTAAGTATCCATACTCCAATATTAATATCCTCAGCATAGGCTTCTCTTTTTCTCGACTTTTGTTAAGTCTATTGGTCAAATTCACCAGCGTAGAGCATCTCACCACGCTTTTCGTTCATGGTCTCCCACAGATCCCGCTCCTGGAGTTCAGCCTCTCGCTTGGGCAATCCAGCGAGCTCAACAGCCTGTGTCTCCCTCTCAAGTTGAACTAAAACAATTAGTATAACCCATGATTAAGCAGAGTGTAAAACTTACCGTGCAAAAAGACAGCAGCCCTCTTACCAGAGAAGAGAGCATGGGGAACATTAGTAGTGTTGTCAGTGTTGGCATCACCAATGGCGTAGATACCAGGGACGTTGGTGATCAAGCCAGCACTGCCGTTGGCTTGAAGTCGTCCACCGTACAGTGTAACTCCAGCCTTCTCTCCGACGTCAGAGCGCTGCTCATCAGGGAAGCTTGTCAAGAACGCAGCGCGCTCAACGGGCTTGCCCTCGGTGAACTCAACGCTGAAGAGATCAAACTCGGGGACAGAAGGAAGGCTGGGGTCAGCATTGTGTGAGTCACCGTTCTTGAGACGCTTGACCTCTGTGATAGTTCTGTTGTCGACTGTAACGTTGTGCAGCTTCAGGTACTCCCTCCACTGAGGAAGATCCTGGTCTGCGAGGGCTTGTGTGGTACTGTTGTCGGTTCCGTTGACAAAGGCGTACACGTTGGAGTTGAGTGTGGCCATCTCTCTAACAAGGCCGGCAACCTTGTTCAAAGGTGCGATGAGACCGAGGGGTTGGTCGGCGTGCTCGTGACCGTCGCACCAGGGACACCAAAAGATGCCCTTGCCCCAGTTTTCAGCAATGCCGGGAGTGTCAGGAAGAATGTCCTTGATACCGGTGGCAAGAACGACCTTGCGGGTTGTGATTTTCTTGGTGGGTTGACCGGGGTAGTCAACTGAGAGGGAAAAGGAAGTGTAGTCGCCCTTTTGGCTCTTGATGTCTGTGACCGTGGCATTCTCCATCTTGACAGTGTCGTAGTAGGACAGCAATCTTCTCGCCTCATAGCGGTAGTATGCAGGTTGAACACCTATTCCATTAGTTTTGGTCTTGTTGAGATGGGGCATATCACTCACCATCAAAGCCGATAACATCGTGCATGTGTCGAGTAGGTCCATTTCGGTACAGTCCATTGTCGAGAAGAAGGACATTTCTTCGTACACGAGCAAGACCACTCAAGGCTGAAAGACCAGCTGGACCACCTCCAATGACAACGGCATCGTAGTCAGTCTTTGGTAGCTCTGGGACTTTTGAATCTTTGGCAATGGCAGCAGCATTGCCGAGGGTGAGAAGCGCTGAAAGCGAAAGAGTCTGGAAGAAGCGCATTGTGAAGGACGAAGTGATTGATGCTTTGGATACTCAGATGAGGTGAGAGTAGGGCATAGTAGAATATATATATGCAAAATAAAGGCTCGTATGTCTAATTAAGCTGATTCAGGTAATGCCATCTCTCACACAATCTCTCATTACGGCAGTTGTAAGTTGTGATCGCCAATGCAACCAAGCGGGGATGGGACGGGCCTCTTAGCTGAACAGGGCCCTTGTATGCCGTGTCTCACTCTCAGCTTGCTCGCACAGCAGGAGTCTAGCCGTAAGTGATAGTGGGTGACAGTGGGTATCTCCGTTGTCCAACGCCATCTTTTCCCTGCAAGATGCCATTACTGGGGGGTTCACGCAATGTTACATCCCATCCCATCCCATCCCATCTGTCCGTCCTCGAGGTAATCAAAATGAGATGGAGGAGCGGGAAACACGGGATCTCCGCTTTGCGCTACTGCAAAACTAGATAGAGTAAAGTCAATGCACTCTCAAAACTCTGTAATGAGAGAAAAGGGAGCCTCATTTTCGTCTAAACTTGACTAAAGTTGAACACTGCATTGATAGCGCTTACAGGGCTTGACTGCATGGTACTCGGACCTTTTGGTCAGTTACTCTGCAGACCGAGTGCGAGGTATTGAATCAACCAAGACGTTTTACACTAGAAAACTCCAAAAGTCAAGATACGATCGACACTTTTTGTCTTGGGTTCTTTGATCCATGCAACGTTGATCTTTTGACCAGTCAACCAAAACGGAAGAGAATGAAAATATGGAATATATTGTCTAAATAGCGAATAGCTCATATCTTTCCGATCGTGATGGCATAGATCTTTGTACAGATGCGAATAACAAGACTATAATAGATTTGCACTTGTGTCGAAACATGCTCCAACCCCACGAAGTACTGATGGTTGCTGATGGACTTCAAGAGCCAGACTAGCGGTATCAATAGTCTTGCTGCAAATACAGCACAAACCATTGTCAAACTAGAAGCCTCTCAGACAATGAAATGTTTCACTCATTCCAACTTGGCATTTCTATAGAAACTGTTTCCCAGATGTTTCCTTGTCATAGAAACAGTACCTCAAGAGCCTCGTCTGTATCCCAAGTGACCTCTACGATTGAGACAAGGCGCTCATTACCAGAGTTACCAGACACAACTAGACCTGCACTTCAAACGCCTACATTTCAACCAAAAGCCTCTGAATAAGATAAATGCTAGTATAATTGGTATATCTAATCACTGCAGTAATATGCAATCATGCCATACCATACCCATGCATCCAAACACCAGGAAATAATTGACACGCTTCATCAACAATGCTACCCTACAGAGACATGCCTTCGTTAGTAATCCTACTATATGCTCAATACCCTGTCATTATTTACCCTTGTCTCTCTACTTCTTTCTCTATCGGACTCCTAGTCCCATAGTATCCAGCCCGCACGCGCTGCTGGTCCAGGATGAGGTTCCTCTACAGTCATTGCTTTGTTTGGAGTGTCCGCCAATTGATAAACTTTGTATGCTTCAACGTCACTCGCATCTGTATCCTCTCGGTGATCGCTCGAGGGAAGGTTCTCGCTCATCTCTGCTTTTTCTGTCGCAGAGGCAATGCAATCTTGTAGTGTAGGTTCCAAAGGTTCTGGCGTCGCCTGTTCTGACCCATCAGAGATGCTCTCTTTAGAGCTTCTTAATGGCGGTGTAATAGGTTTGGAGAAGTTAAATGTCGTGTTTACTTCTTCTGCATCGACAACAGCTGATAGCGTAGCTCGAGTGTGAAGATGAACATGAGAGCGCGATGCGCGCTTGAGGCGAGAGGGCTTGCGTTGTGCGACCGGTGACCCAGATCGGCGACGAGATTCCATCTCAATGCGCTCTTCCTGTTCTGTCTCGTCATCTGTAATGGTACTTGTATCCAGCAATAGCCATTGCCTAGGCGCGACATGTAAGCTGCTTCCAGACTTGCGACGATGTCGCTTCTGGTCCTTCACCTCAGCGGGAGGCTCAATGACTGTCTGCCCCTCCTTGATTCTAACAGGTAGTTTAAGCGGAATGTTTCCAGCGGTGACGTTCAAACGTCGAAGATCACGTTGACTTTCTGAGAAGACCACTCGGGCGCGAAGTCTATGTACAGCTCGATCTAACGCCAACTCAATCGCACAACGGTCGCGTACTCGGCTCAATTTGGGCCATGTCGCACGCTCACCCATTAGGCAAGCTCGCATCATGAACTCAGGGCTGGGATTGCGTAGTAACCGAGGCAGATCATTGATACCCATATCGGGAAGAATGTTGATATCGCCAGAGTACTTTTGACTGAGGACACTCTGGAACTTTGTGGTAAGGTTGGGCATTATACCCAGCTCAGCCAGAAAATGAAGTCGATGCAACGCTTCATCGCGCGCAAGCGATGTCATTTTATACACCCAATCGTAGTTATCGCCAGTGGTCTGTTGTGTATGGTCGGGCTTTCTGACAGGCGACAAGTGGTCATCCTTGGAAAGAAAAGGCACAACATGAGGATTGACCTGAGAAACGATAAAATGGTTGACGTTGAACATTTCGGATAATCGAGTCATTGGCAAGTCATTGTCCACAGACCCATCAATCCATCGCTGGGGCGTGGGGTTCCAGGGTTGATGCTCGCCTGTAATCGGATCCTTGACAAGTAGAGGTGCAGCGTTAAAGACAAGCGGAACAGAACATGAAGCTGCGACTGCAGACCAAATCATGACATTTGGAGCCGTCACATAATTGAGCAGGCGCGGTAATTCGTACATGGATGCAGTCGACACGCAAATATTGAGAATGCGGCGCGTTCGGTTGTAGGCTTCCTGAAACGTCATGTCGCCCATCAATCCTCGCATCACCCGGGTGAGATGCTTGATGTCAGACCAACTTCCCTCTGTCAGCAATCTGCGCAAGTTGCTCCAAACACCATCTTGGCCACTCGGATCCTCGAACACGGCAAGATCTCCGTATGGAAACTCTTCAATAAGGAGCGGAATTTCTTCGTCGGTTCGTGTGCACATGGCGGCGCAGACAATGCTCCCCGCGCTTGCGCCTGAAATGATTCTTGGCAGCAATTTCGCTTCGAAGAGGGCCTTTAGAACACCAATATGCGACATGCCAAAGGTGCCGCCCCCGGATAGGAGTAATGCGCTTCGGCCGTAGCTTTGTCGGGCGAACAGAATGCCTTCGAGGAGGTCTCTGTTTTCAATGCTTTGGTCGAGCCGGCTTTGTGTCACGACGGCGTCAATTGTTTTAATTGTTGACTCGACGTATCGTTCGATAAGACGTTTCGTTCCCGTGTAAGAGTGTCGGTACAGATCAACGTTGTCCATGCCGCCGAGATCGCGAGACAAAGCCGTGCGGATCAAGTGCATCATTGTGTGGACGTCGCATTTCGTCCGGGCATCGTCCAGGGCATCGAGCCGCTCTTGAATCAGTTCGGGGTTATAGTCACCTGTGGAGGCATCTCGCTTCCATTCGTCGTTGCCTTCGAGGCTGTCTAGTTCTTTCGCTGCAGATTCCCATTGCGCATGGGACTCGGCCTGGACGGTCAGTCAAGAATACAAACCGGGGACACGAATAACGTACATTTTGCATGCGCAAGCACAGATTTTGCTTCCTCTCTTCCAACTGCTTGATCTTCAAGCGCTGATCTTCTGTTAAGCCATCTTTGCACCACTGCCATGTATCGTTCGCCTGTCTGATGGCCTTTTGTAGGGTGTTAACCACAGGGACCGAAGATACTGGAGGTCTTTTCGCTTTCGTATTTGACTTTGTAGGAGGTTTTGTAGATTTGTTGTAAAGAGAGGGAACCGCACGGGTTTGTAGTAGTAGGTCGGACATGGCGACAGCCTACGCGCGAGAAGCGCAGGTTCGGCGGTCGTTTCAGAAGTGGGAAGAGGACGATGTTATAGCATAGCAGGTTCGTTGAGTGATTCCGTATGTATGGTATACAGTCAGAAAGGAAAGTCGTGAGAAGTCGTCGAGTTATGAGCGTTATTCTAACAGTCGTCGGGTATCAAGAATCGGGGTCACAAGCCAACAAACAATTGGAGGTGCGTAGCGGTCGCGGAAGTGGTGGGGGTTGAGAGAGGAGGGGGCGCTGAGACAGATGGAGAGGAATAAAAGGCTAATAAATGTACAAGTAATGAACAAGGACGATCTTTGAGGCGTAATAGTAGGTAGTAAGCGTTGAGAATGTTGGATATTGACACAGAATCAGAGTTTAGAGAAGGAATTCCTTGAGTTTGCGAAGCAGATGGAAAACATCCATGGAATCCAATCTTCCAGCGAGAGTCCACTTTCCGAAAGTTAGGCTAGACTACCGGCCTTCAACGTGGGGAAACAGGGTTGATCAGCGACAGTTGTCCACTAAACACCCTGTAATTGCTGATTTGTTCAGCAGGGTTCTTTGACAGCTGAAATTGCTTTTCCCAACAAAAACCAAGCAAAGATACAGATATCACTGTTGTTGTCATGTACTGTCTGTCTTTGAGCCTCCGTAACACATCTGACCTCTTGCCAGCCCAAAAGAAAATAAAACATGCATTTCAAGGCATGCTCACCGCTAAACAAGAGGGCCACAAAACCCAATCACAGCGCTATGCACAGCAGCCCTTACAGCGGCACGTGGTACGCTGATGCAGTGTGGCTACCAAATGCGTCATGGTTTTATATCTGCATTTCCCATTTCACATGTCAAGACTGTTTTCTGCGTCTTCATTGGACCCTCCACGTTTTATAGACAAAGCCGATGGTCGGCAGCTGATTACAAGCAAAAAGTCTGGGGAACTTGCGGGGGAGAAACGAGGTAAGAATACGACTGCAGTGATATGATTACACTGACGGGATGAACAGAAAGAATTCATGGAATGATGACACGGCAATGGCGGCTGATATGGCTGACAATGTCTTCAACGTGACCAGCCCAGTTCATGCACTTGCCCGCACATCACTTTTCGCGTTCCGAGATTCAAGACCTTTTTTTACTTTGTCCATCTTGTTTATGTGCATTCAGCTGAATAGATTTGAGACATCTGGCTGGCCCGTCCGTATTCGAGTGGTTGACACTGGATCATGTGCATATGTTTCCCGTCCGAGGTTCCCCTCCCTGTATTGGACGTGATGATCTTCAAACGATCGAGATTTGGGTCAGTCCAGATCTGCACTTAACTTTCCAGGCAGCTGAACTCGACGAGCGGTAGAATGATATTCCGTTTCTTCTACTGAGCAAACACTCCGGAATACATGGATAATTTGTCGGATGAATTGAACGACCCCCCGAAAGGTTTCAGAGACTTTAGCAAGTGAGATTACTCAATAGACATACACTGGCTATTTCTCCGAGACCTGGGACCTTGATGAAGTATCGTGGCGGGTATCTGTGGCTACAACTGGTCTAAGAGGTTCTAGCCTGACATGGAAGCTCCAGAGTCTAGACTGGATAGTCTTCAATCTAACCTTTGTAGGAGCTGTGTGTGACGCAAAGTCTGTGGCTGTAGCTATCCTTTTGCTTGATATTGGTTGGCTTCGTCTTATTCTTGTTACGCGTTGCTTGCATACCTATCTTCTGTGTTACTGTTATTGAACCAGGTACGGCGGGTTACACAATAACAGGGGAGCCTCATGTCAAAGCTCAAGCTATAGCTCCAGCAGGTAAATCACTGAAAACATGATAACTTCAGCGGTCTTTAACCCCGATTGCAAATGATTGATGCACCAAAAATACCCTAAATAGAATTGCAGATCATGGTATTAATTAACTGTACCATGATACAATTAAAACAAACCGAAACGCGTCTCGTCTCTTCCCCTCTTGGTGTTACACACACAAAATTACGTAGTAGTGACGCCTCTTACACACGATAATTGCAGCATGCGAATGCAGTTCGTCTTCCCCCCGCATCAAAAAATACCTGCTTTTCTGTGTCAAACACCCGCAATCGACATGTCATTGATGACGTTTTGTAGTATTTGCTTTGTTTTCTTTTACTTCCTCCTGAAGTAACCGGAAACGAAAGGAACGCCTCAGGCGACGAATGCGGCGTAAGCTTCCGCCTCATCTTGCTGCCTCGTCTCTCCTCCTCTCCTCTTTAAAGCTCTTGGGTCCCAGCTCTTCTCCACGTCTTTCTACACTTCTTAGCTTCATATCACATTGACCTTGACTACATTGAAGGAGAAGACTTGACTCAACAGTTCATTGTCAATCATGGAGGCTTTCAAGACTCACGGAGGCGTCAGTCCCATTCCCACTGTCATCCGTATGTTGTCCGCCACTATTATCAGCTTCACCATGAACTCATACTAACACTCACACAACAGCTGAACCAACTCACTACCAAACCATCGGCCACAATGGCGTTCGCGCTCTATGGGTTCTCTTCGTCGCCATGACCGTCGTCTCCGCCATCTTCGCCATTATGTCATGGAACGTCGCCGTCCAGCGCCGCATTTTCTACTTCCTGTCCACCTTGACCACCATCATCTCTGCCCTTGCCTACTTCGCCATGGCTTCCGGTCAAACCTCGTACTTCAACTGCACCAGCGTGCGCGACCACCACAAGCACGTCCCCGACACCCACCACGATGTCTGTCGCCAGGTCTTCTGGGCGCGCTACGTTGACTGGGCTCTCTCCACACCCATTCTGATTGTTGAGCTTTGCTTGTTGGCTGGTGTTGATGGTGGCCACACCATCATGGCCGTCATTGCTAATGTCATCTTTGTCCTCGCTGGTGCTTTCTCTGCTGTCGGACATGCCAACACTGCTCAGAAGTGGGGATGGTATGCTATCAGCATCATCGGCTTCGTCTTCACCATCTGGCACGTCGCCGTCCACGGCTCGCGAACCTCTCGAGCTCGCGGTACCAATATTTCGCGACTCTTTGGCTCTATCTCTGTCGCTGCTCTCATCCTTTGGATCGTCTACATTGTGTAAGTCCTCTTTGTGTTCGTGTTAATTGAACTCATACTAATAGTATAACAGTGTCTGGGGTGCTGCTGGTGGCGCTTGGCAGGTCAAGGTCGGCACCGAGGTCGTCATCTACGCTGTCCTCGATGTTCTTACCAAGGCTGTCCTCGGCCTCTGGATCATCACAGCTACTCGCCGAAACCGCGACATCGCCCCTGAGATTGGTGGCTACTGGGCCCACGGTGCTGGTGCTGAGGGTACCATCCGTGTTGGCGACGACGACGAGGGTGCTTAAACCCATCGTTAAGAATCTCGATCGCGACCGTGGGGCTTATCCGCATTCGTCACTATATCCAAATATTTTCAGCTCCACCTTGATGGTGGTTGCTTCACGAAACCGAGCCAACCGGTAGGGAAAGAATGATTGAGCAAGAATGTATGGTATGGAGGGAGGACGTTTAGTTTGCGTGTCCATTCTTGCTTCCCAAGGAAGGTAAAAAGTCATGAGTTGAGGATCACGATGGACCAATAGGACTTTTAATGGAGTTACGAGATAAGAATTTTAGTGAATTACAAGTAATGAAAGCCGTCCAATTATCTCACTCTCACTCGCGCAAAGGAGCATTCTGTAAAACACGTCCACGAACCCTGGATCTACCCCATATAACACCCAGTACTACCCAACACAGTCATGGCGCCAGCTGTCACACGAGCGGGAAGGAGTCTTACTGAGTGGAGACTGTTAAAGCCAACACGTAAATTCCATCCGTGTTGGCGTTTTGGCCGTTGCACTCAAACCATAGGTGTTCCATGAGGCCGTCGCAACACTAGCCATATCATATATGGAGTCCCCATCACATCATGTGCTTCTAGAGTCAGACTTTTTACTACTGGAGGTTTCGTTTGAGACATTGTTCCTTCAATATATTAAGAAAGCATCCATATCAATCTTGCGCCCCCATTGCCTTTCTGAATCAACCCTGCCAGTTGACACGCTTGTCCCTGAACAAAGTCACCATTGCAATGGGCAACAACTCAGTGTTCACAATATTGAGCCTTCCAAAGCGGTCCACGATATCTCTTCCGTAGAACATAGTAACCCAAGTCCAATAAGCGTCCATATTATTCCACCACCCCGTGATACCCCGAAGGTTCGGCTCCGTGCGCAGCCGCTCCAGTGCACCTGACTGAGTTTCATCAGTATCAACCTTGCACTCTTTTGGTCTCTTGAGAAGGTTTCGAAAGACACGATGCAGTCTTCCAGACCCCTTGAAGTGGTCGAAGAAGTATGATTCTCTGTAGCGAGTGAACTCTTGGAAAGGCATAAAGTTATCTTTATCATACTGTGATTCAGGTTCCCAGTCAGGTTCGTCAAGGGAGTATTTCTCCCGCCTGGGCCATCCTTTGGCAAAGAGCTCCTTGTACTTCTCGTATGCGTTGCGCTCAGGTTCCTCGAAATCAAACATGAGTTTGGCAGGGTCGTCGATGAGTTGGTCTTTGATTTGCATGAGAGGGATGAATGGGGACTGCAAGTCGAGGCCACCTAGCTCCATAGGGAAGTAGAGATAGCCATCGGGAATGTCCTTAATGCCGAAACGTTCACCAAGTTCTTTCTTTAGGTACTCGGCAACACTTGTAACTTTACCTCCCGAAATTTTGGTGAATACGTCACGCTCGATCTTTCTATGCGTCGAAAGCATGTTGTCGACATGCTCGCGCCCAAAGCAGTTTGCTGCTTTACCAAAGTTGGACGTAAAAAAGGTCGCAGCGTAACTGTTCCACGCCTGGATGAAGCCAAGAACACTCTTGCGCTTGTCAAGCAGCTGCTTGTGCAGCTCTTTGATATGAGAGTCGACCATGGTCTGGTCAATCTCGAAACGGCCCGTCTTTGGCGACAAGCGTAGGAAGCCCCAGCGAATATCGCCTTCAGGCAGTGACTCGTCGATAGCCAATGTCTTGTTGCTGTCTTTCGAGATCCGGACCGATCCACTCTTTGCGGGATTGATTTCAACTCCCGTTACGGTGATGAACTCATCAACAGTTTCCCATGCCCTGACTGCGACATTGTGATCATTGGACCAGAACCAGAAGTTGTCTTGCATCCTCCACAAGTTGCTTGAAGTGGATTGATTGACAGAGAAATCTAGACAAAACAGAGTAGTTTCGCCAAAAACATCACTGAGCACATGAGAAGCGGGTGTTCCTCTGCAACGTTTACGTGCAGTCGAGTCATCCTCGTCGACAAACTTGAGGGGAGCTTCGAGGAATTTCCTGAAGAAGCTGAGCCAAGTGTCTGATACGCCGAGATACTTCAAAATTGTTAAGACGGTGTCATGTGGTAGCCTTGGATTCCAATCCTCAAATACGGAGTGGAAAGCCGTCATTTCACCGTAAAGATGAGTGTTGATTGTGATCTCGGACGATAGAAGGTGGAGCAATTTTTGCTTCAGAGCCATTGGGCTCCGAATATCGCCTTCATCTTCGCCATCGTCATCGCGGTCCTCGTCCTCGTCTTCCTCCTCTTCCTGCTCAGCCTGATCAACTTCAGCAGACATCATAAACCCAACTGAAGGAGCAGCTTTTCGACATGCCTTACTAGCGAGTTGCCTGCGGGGTGCTTTCCCTCCTGTAGACTTTCGGGCTGTTTGCTTCATTCGCCCTCTCCGTTTCAATGGCTGCGCGGTGCTAAATTGTTCGTACTCGGCCTCTTCCTCGCCATCAGCCGTATTGAGGACTTCGTGTTCATAATTCATGAGCTGGGCCATGAAGTATCTTTCCTCATTAACCTTGTCTCGCTGACTCTGTAGGGAGGGTTCGGTCGCCAGTGGGCCCAAGTAGTAACCAAGGCGTCTCACCTCGTCGATAGTGATATTCTGACGCATCGATTTCCAAGATCCAGAGTTGCGGAATGTGTTGAATGCGGACTTAAAGAAAACGCTCCACTTGACGCCAATATACTGCAGGAATATCGCCTGAAGTAGATCTTCGTGCATATGAATATTATAGATGCCGCTGATCTTGCGCGTCATTTCCAAAGGAACTGGGGATTCCGAGTTCCAGGTCCAAGACTCCAAAGCATTGATGCGCATGTTGAGAACGTCAGCAATCTCTTTGAGAATCATCTCATTTGTTTCGAAATCCTTGAGAACCTCTCGTTTCTCGTTTGATAGGAGGTCAGACGATTGGAGACCTGCAATGACCCATTTCAGCGAGTAAACAGTGAACTGGTCCGGGGTTGAGATGCGTGCTTCATGGTTTAAGACAGACTGTCGAAGCCGCTGCAGACTACTAGCAATGTTCTTTTTCTCTTTGACGCTGACGCCGAATAGGTGGTCCAGATATTTAGTGATGGCGTTAGTGTCAACGCTAGCTGGTTCAAATACAATGCTCTCCCAATCGATCTTGGATTGCAGCTTAGCTTGTTCACCAACATCCTCGAATGCCTCGCCCATTTCGATGTCTGCTTCTTGGTCTTTCTCCTTGTCGCCAGACAGCCACTCAGTCACGAGCTCTCCATAAAGCCAGGCATACTGGTACTGAAGAGACTGCATGTCTAGCTGACGAACAAGCAGCTTCTCCCAATCAGCCAGCATCTTGGGGGAAACAGAGGGGTCGGTCCTGGCTTGACCAATGAAACGATCAAGGTTCTTGAGGTCAATCTCGAGATGCTTGAACTTGGTACGACCAAGAATGACCTTGTTGTCTTTGTCAAGCTTGACGGCAAATGATTTCTTGACACCATCGCTCAGGGCGACAAGACGTTTGACGGCATCATGTTCTGTGTCGATTGAAGTCAAGATAGATATTTTTGCTTCTTCAAAACGAGAGCGACGCTTTGATAGCTCTTGGAGTTTGGTATTGGTAATCTCCTGAAGGGTCTTGGAGAAGACACTACCAGAGGACTCCATGATGTAAGTGGATGGAGGGCTGAGGGAAGAGACCTTCTTCTTGTTGGTTTGATACTGGCCACCAATTATAAGAGATGGAGTATTGATTCTGGAAGATGAAAAGGTTTATAAGAAGGAAGGAGGAGGGAAGGACTGAGAGGAGGCAGGGTAGGATATATATACCTACTAGATAGGTAGTGAAAGGATGTGGTGTCCTCAGGCCACCAGTAGGCAACGAGCTGCGTGTAAGCCAAGAGCGTTCTCTAACCAATGGTTACCACACTTGGTCCGTTTTGCCTGATACCAAGATACTGCAGGGAGCCACTGAGCATGCCTGTTCAATCCTATCGGTACTACCTTCTGAGGTAAGTAGGTTCGTTGATACGTGATCAAGACGAAAGGTTTGAAGTTGTCGAGGTGCTCAAGTCAAGAATAGCTGAAGTTGAAGAGAGGTTAGCGTAGATGCTGACTGAGCTTCAATCGGTTGTTTGATTCGTCTGCCGTGTTAGTTAAGTGGGGTTGGATTAGGCTGCACTGTCATCGAAACTGATCTTGATATCACAGAGACGAAACTCCAGCTGACAGTAAGTGGTTGGTATACACTTGGCTATTGGAATTTACTTCTAGCTTCCAATGAATATTCTGAATTTCAGCCAAGTGGTTATTTATCTTAAAGGAAGAAGAAGTAGAGGCCAGCCACGAAGCAAAGCTCTTATATGTTTGACAACAAGGACTATTTGGTCGTTGTACATGATTTGCAAAACCTGATACTGATTTGGTCCCTAATCCTGAAGCTAAGAATCCTACTAGGTAAAGTTTAAATAAGAAAAGCTTTACCTACTATAACTCATAGTTGCTTTGAAACTTGACGTTTCAGAGCGGGGAGAAAGTCGGTACTAGACTTCAGAAATCGTGTAAAACCATCAAATAACTCATAGTGGCAGAATAAGGGATAGATTTGGGATTACGCTTTAAAATTCATATCAAAAACACTAAAATGAAGAAGGATAGTGAGTAGCAGAAACGCTGCTGTCTTAAATCTTAGAGTACAAGAATAAACAACCAAAGAGTCTAGTCTAAGTCACATAAGTTGACTCACTAATCTCGTTCCTTATACTTACAACGGCCATTTATCTGATACATTGAGGCTTGTATGAGTGTTTTTTAGTGCTCTTATCTCTTTCCGTTCTCATATTCATCACTATCATCATCAAGGCCGCCATCGTAGATATCTCACTACATAAATAATGCGTTAAATTAACTCTCTTGGTTATTAAATTAAGTCCTGTCTCTCAAACGCTTAATCAAACTTTCTAACCTTGAAAGGGCTAGCAGAAGCTTGGGGAGCCTGGCACTTGTTGGCCAAAGCAGCCTTGCCCTCGGCGCTGGTAGCACTAACACAATCAACACCAATATCCTTGACACCGTCACACAGGAAAACAGGCTTTCCACCGCAGGGAGTCTTGATATCGTAGTTCTTGAACTTGATGTTCTCGCAGACGGCGTCCTTGCTGGACGAGCAGGTCAACCTGGCAACAGCGTCACCGTACTTTCCAGAGCTGTAGCCTGAGAAGTTTTCTATGCAAGGGTTAGCCAATGTGATAAGTAATGAAGAAGTGAGAAAATCTTACCAAAAAGAACGTTGGTAATGTTCATCTTTGAAGGGTATTGGTTGCAGGTGGTGGCGTTGATGTTGAAGTAGCACGAGTCAATGAAAGCGTTGTACTCGTTGTTTCCACCGTAGAAGTTACGGAAGGTGACATTGTCGATGAAACCATAGCCTACATCAGGTCCAGCCCAGGTCTTGAGACGAGAAGCGTGCTGGCCGTTGAGCATCCAGAGGTTCTCAATGACAACGTCCTTGACGAAAGACATCTCGCCCTTGTACTGGCCAAGAGATCCAATTGATTGACCGTGAGTACCATTGCAGTACATAGTGTCAACGTGAACATCAGTGGCATTGCTCTTGGGGGAGAAGCAATCGTCACCGATATCAACCCAAGCGCGCTCAACCTTGACATGTTCGACATTCAGGGAGTCGAAGAAGTCAGTGTTCTTGGGGAGAGAAGTAGCGTTGTTGGAGACAGCAGTGCAAACAACATCCTTGAAAGAAATATCCTTGGCTAATTACTGTTAGTATACAGATCTTTTCTCGTTGATTTTAGTTTGCTTACAAGTAACAACAAAGTTGGTCCAGCAGGGAGAATCCTTGAAGTGAATGCCCTGGATATCAAGGCCAGTCGCATTCTGGGCGTAGAAGAGAATGGGTCGCAGATAAGCATTATCCTTGTCCAGAATCTCCTTGCCGGCGAACTCGTTCCACCATCTCTGACCGTTACCGTTCAGAACACCCTTTCCGTAGATCTTGATGCTCTTGCCACCCCACTTCCAGAACATGATAGAGTTCTATAGCTGTTAGCTCGCATCCATTATCGTTCAAAATAAAACATACCTGGAAAGGATGGGTAAAGGCATTCTTCTGCCAGTAAGCAGTGTCATTGGTAAACTTAATCTCTCCATCAAGATGAACGTGCACATCGTTCAAGAAAGTAAGATCAAGAGGCTTTCCAATGACAAAGGTCTTTCCCTTGGGCAAGTGAAGAGTACCTCCGTTGTTGGCCTTCTTCAGACCCTTGTAGAACTCGGTTGAGATGTCATCACGGTCGTTCTTGCTGTGACGGATAGTGACAACCTTGCGGTGGTTCCTCTTGATGGGGCTCTCGTAGGGATGCTTTGCGCGGAACTCCTCAACGCTACGGGGCACGCCAGCTGGAAGATCAATTGCCTCGGCGATGGCGCCTGCAAAGAGCGAGAGGGTAGTGAGGAAGCTTGAGACCTTCATTTTGATCTTGAAAGAATGAAAGACGAAGAAAGAGCTTGATGAGGACTGTAGTAAAAGTTGTGCGGATTATGGGATGCATTATATAGTGGATTGCTTGGGTCATTTCGGAGCACGGTCTCAATCCATCGTGATATCCACCCCCATTCTATCAAAGTTGCCTCATGCATGTTGAGATGAGTAGTTCTGTTGCATTACATGGTTATACCCCAGATGAACGGTTCGTAGAAATATCCTCCAAGTGTAACTGTTGCGCAATAAGGTATAAGCTTGTTGGAGACGATTGTATGATTGGTGGAGACTCAATTATCCGCGGCTCAGGATACCCGTGGGAATCGATTTCCCCATCTTTAGCTGTCGATCATTCGTTCATTTCACTGGTTGCCCGCCCCCATTGCTCTCAAATTCTAGTCTCCCCCGCAAAGAGAACCCCAACTTATGAGGGGGGCATTGCCGGCGGAAAGTTGCCGGATCGCCTAGGGGACGAAAGATTAGAGATGGGATGGTCTTTGGCGGTCTGGATGCCGAGAGGATCCTTGTGAAACAGACAAGGTCAGGTGGATAAATTCGAAATGCAATTTAACTGATGCACTCTATTCTAGAGTCTATGTTCTACCATCCTGAAATTGACAAGTTTAAATTATTCCTTCTCTATAGGCCGCATTGTAATTCGTCAAGTTAGTTCATTATCATATCCAACATTCACATCAACTTTGGGTCTGCTCAGTAACCTTGCCTTGCTCTCTCCGGGCTTTTTCATCTGCTGTGAGATCACTCTTTGCTGATTCCATCTTCACCGTCATAAAGATAAGCAATGAAGCAACAGCCAATCCAGCCCCTGTCCAAAATCCAATCTGATACTGACTTCGTGCATCAACGTTCTCTGCTCCTTTGATATCTTTTCTCACAGAAACGGCCATCTCGCCAACGCCCAACCAAAAGGCCATACCAAGGTACAGCAAGCTGGTGATAAGAGCACCTGCAACTGCTTGGAGATGACCAGGTAGAGACGTCGTGATAAAGACATTGGTGACGTTGAAAGCAATGTCAACTCCAACTGTGGCAAGAATCATGGCTGGGAAAACAAAGGCCCAGTAAAGGAAACTGTTAGACCTTCCACTGTCGGGGATCATTGCAAAAAGAATGGTTGATCCAAGGAATCCTAGTCCTGAAATTATCAAGAGCAGTCGTCCACTGAGAATGTGAAGGACAAAGCCGCCAACAACGGCAAGGATGAAGCCACCCGCTGCAAGAGGGATGAACCAAGCAGCAGTGAGTAAGGGTCCGATATGCAAGACGGATTCAATACTGTCCAATGGGTCAGTCTGTGCTCCAGAGGTTTCGGGGAAAAGAACTTACTAGAAGGACGCGTAGAATAACCAAAGTCCAAAGCAACCGTAGCACATAAACAATGCAAGAATCAAGCGACCCATGTATTTCGTCTTGAACACTTCTGCTGGCATAAGAGGCTGACTAGCCCACCAACCTTCAATGTAGACAAACAATGCCAAGCACACGATCCCAAGGATCAAAGTAACGTAGACATAAGGTGTTCGCCAACCCTGAGGAGCATTTCCACCGTCTGTCAATGCAAAGACGGTAAGTGAAAGGCCTGATACGATAGTAGCACTGCCAAGCCAGTCCATCTTCAAACCAGGCGTAGGGTCTCCATGGCTCTTTGGAATAGTCAAAACACCTGTAATGAAAATACTGGCGCAGACAAAGGCTCCAATGAAGAAGTACCACTTCCACCCGAGGACTTGGGCAGAGAGAGCACCAAAGAAAATTCCAGAGTAGAAGCCTATGCAAGAGAAGGCGCCAAACATACTGAAGACGAGATTTTTGCGAGGGCCAGGGCGATAGATTCGAGACATGATGGCCACGCTAGATGGCAAGAATGCTGAAGGTCCTAAGCCCTGCATTGCTCGAACGGCGATGAGCATAGTGGGATTCTGGCTGAAACCACCGATGATGGACCAGATGATCAACCAGGTATGTCCGCCCAGAAAGATGAAGCGTCCACCATGAATTTCAGCCAGCCGTGCAAAGGGAAGCAACAAAGCTGCTGTGGTGAGATTGATCACGGCAGCAGGCCATGTCCTCACAGAGTCTGGTATCTCGAGCGTGATTGCAAGTGAAGGTAAAATGATATTAAAGCCCGAAACAAAATATTCGCTGACCATCATTGATCCCACGACAGCAAATATGAAGCCTAGCTCGGACCAAAGTGAAGAGAAGCATGCTGGACGCTCTCGGCCTAGACGATCGAGTTCTTTTTGGTCGTAGAGGGAAGGTTCCCGGGATTGAGGATCATTTCGCTCTTGATCGAGAACGCCAGACGGCAGTTCGTCTTTCTCAGTCATATTTCGGTGAAGCGAAAACTTTTGACAAAGATAAAGAAATGTCTTATTGCGTCAAGTTATAGCGAATTTGTTGTGGGTCTTGTGAGATTTAGATCCGCTATCAGACAGAAGGGGTTGGTTGTTCTGTACTGGAGTTGGACGATTCGAGTTTGACAGATGATGAATAAAGTCGGAACTCAGCATCCCTCATCGATTCGGAGTTCCATTATATATCCTTGAAAGATTATAAATCCTCATCTTATCTGAAAGGCATCTAAGCACCTATGACTCGAAGAAGCCTCCAAAGTGGTTCCTGGACATTCGGGCTTTCGGACTCAGCTAGTCCCAGAATGGCAGTTTTCCACGGACCAACGAATAAGCTTAAACCAACTGAGATCTCTTATCCCCGGACAGGAGTGGGTGGATATTTACGAGTCCGACATGGCAACTTGTGGCTTTTCCGTCTTTTCAGTTATCTGTGACAGATACGTAAAGCAATCTGACTCAGACAAAAGTGTTTCTATCGATATGTTAAGTCTTAAAAGAGGTAAATAGCTGAGAACCAGTGTCAAGGGTGATTTGCAATAAGGGAGGTGGGACACACTAAAGGGCGATAATGAATGTATAGGTCGTTCAAGAGAACGCACCCTGAAGTACACATTGGCATTGGAAATGAAAGAACTACAGAGGGAATATCATGAGATGTAAGTCAATTGAAGAGTTCTATTAATAAAAGTGCTACTTCTCTATCAATGAATTGATGAATCTAGAAAACACAACCGAATACTTTGAACTGTAGGGTAACATTGAAGCCTCGGCGTGCTTATCAGATTAGATAGCCAGTACTGATAAGGCTCTACGGAAAGTGGAGTGGAACCGTTGTACCTGCCGTGGTTGCCGGGCTGTCACTTTCCAATTAACGCGTGAGGACGCGCACCCCTGCCATGTCCCTTAACTTTGCCGCGACAGGACGCGACAGCCAAATGTCAATTTAGTGAAGCGACAATGGATCTTCCATCTTCAACCTTCCTCATTTCACCCTGACTTACCTATCATTCTATTACATCTTGACTTTTATTCCATTGTCGATTGTTTTTAATTGTTTCCCAATAAAGTCGGCAAGCTTCGTAAAATACAGTTCTTGATCGCTTTTGGGTGATTCACCGTTGTCGAGTCCGTTGCCTCAGCGTCCAGCACCCTCAAACCGACGCATTGTGCTGGAGCGATACACCATCTTCGAACCCATCATGACGAGCCAACGATCAAATGTGGCCCGAACGCCTGCAAAATCGGCAAAGGCCGCCGCGCCTACTTCCTCAGCCAAACAGCGCACAATCGTTTCCTTCTTCTCGAAAGCTCCGCCTTCGTCCCCCGCTGCCGCATCTTCCCCTTTGGCAAAGCCTTCTCCCACCCCCAAGGAATCCTCATGCTTGAAAGAAACTACAAAAGCCAACAACCTTCCCAAAACTACACCTTTATCCAAGTCCAAGCCGACCCCAACCAAATCTGCTAAGCAAACTACACCCGTCCCCGACAGTGACGCTGTCGATCCCTCAAGCTCTCAAGAGAATCTTGATACAGCTGTCAAGGTAAAATACCTACCTCTCTCTATAGAGTCATGGACTAAATGATTACTAGAAGACCGCCTCTAAAATGGATTTTGACGCTCTGCCCAGCAGTCCAACTCGAAAGGTGAGACATCCGCAGCCTCATCTCCTTGAGCCAGTCACTAATACTCCAAAGGTGAAAAAGGCTGTTAATTATGCCGAGTCCTCCGACGAAGATGAGCCTTTCCAATTCGGTGGCGCTTCAAGCTCACGTCGACGAGCAAGAGTTCGACAAGTTGTCAAGGACGAAGATGACTACAACGAAGAAGAGGACGAAGTTGTTCAGGATGAAGATAGTGGTAAGAATGCCCTGTCCGGTGCTCGTATTGCAAACAATTCTAACTTCTGCAGACACTATTGATGACTTCATCGCATCAGAATCAGATGAAGATACCTCTCGTCCCAAGAAAAGAAAGCGGCCCTCGAAATCGTCAGCCCCACGCAAACGATCCAACAAATCGTCACCTATCCCTATGCCTGAGCTCAATATCAAGGACAGAATTCCCGAGGAGGATGAGCTGATGGATGATGCTGAGCCTTCAACCGCGTCTCAATGGAACTACAATCCCAACTCTGGCGATAAGCAAGCAGTTGTCAAGCCTGCTGAAAGGATTGCGAGCAAGGATCCAAAGTTCAAAGAAAAGGCACATACAAAAGATCCCGATCAAAGATATCCTTGGCTTGCCAACATTATGGACAAGGAGAAGAGGAAGCCCGACGACTCAGAGTATGACAAGCGAACCATCTACATCCCTCCCGCGGCTTGGAACAAGTTCTCTCCATTTGAAACCCAGTACTGGAAGATCAAACAGAATCTGTGGGACACTATTGTCTTTTTCAAGAAGGGCAAATTCTACGAGCTTTATGAGAATGACGCCACCGTGGGACACCAGGAGTTCGACTTCAAGATGACTGATCGAGTCAACATGCGTATGGTAGGAGTGCCTGAGAGCTCGCTTGATTACTGGGTGAACCAGTTTATCGCGAAGCAGTACAAGGTCGCTCGTGTTGATCAAATGGAGACCAACTTGGGCAAAGAGATGCGTGAGCGACAAGACAAGAGCAAGAAGGCCGACAAGGTCATCACTCGTGAGCTTGCATGCATCCTCACAGCCGGTACTCTCGTTGATGGTGGTATGCTGCAAGACGACATGGCCTCTTACTGTGTAGCCATCAAGGAATCTGTTGTGGATGATCTCCCTGCCTTCGGCATTGCCTTTGCAGACACCGCCACTGGTCGTTTTTACCTTGCCAGTTTCGTGGATGATGTCGACTTGACCAAGTTCGAAACGCTGATTGCTCAGACTGGTCCCAGAGAACTCCTCCTCGAAAAGTCACATCTGTCCACCAAGGCACTGCGCATCCTCAAGAACAACACCAGCCCCACGACCATTTGGACGCATCTCAAGCCAGGGACCGAGTTTTGGGATGCGGATACAACCCGCCGCGAACTTGCCTGCGCAAAGTACTTCAAGACTGATGATGCTGACGAGGAAGTCTGGCCCGAGGCTCTCCAAGCACTGCGGGATGACGATGTAATCATGTCAGCGACGGGAGCATTGATCTCATATCTTCGTTTCCTCAAAGTTGAAGGACCTCTGCTTTCGCAAGGCAACTTTGAACTCTACAACCCCATTCAGAAGAACGGGACTCTTATCCTAGATGGACAGACCCTCATCAACCTTGAGGTCTTTTCCAACTCCGTTAATGGCGGTTCCGAAGGTACTCTGTTCAGTCTTCTTAACAAGTGTGTTACACCCTTCGGAAAGCGTCTTTTCCGATCGTGGGTGGCCCACCCACTCTGCAACATTGATCGCATCAACGAACGTCTTGACGCTGTTGAGATGCTCAACGCCGATCAGACAGTCCGTGAACAATTCGCTTCGCAACTTGTCAAGATGCCCGATTTGGAGCGACTCATCTCGCGTATTCACGCTGGCGCCTGCAAACCTGAGGACTTTGTCAAAGTTCTGGAAGGCTTCGAGCAGATTGAGTACACCATGGGCCTTTTGGGAGCTTACAAGGGTGGTAATGGCCTTGTTGACCGTCTTATCTCGTCAATGCCAGACCTTGACGAGCCTCTGAGCTACTGGAGGACAGCCTTTGACCGAAACAAGGCTCGCGAGGAGAAGATTCTCATTCCCGAACGAGGTATTGAAGAGGATTTCGACCAGAGTTCGGATCGCATTGAGGAGATCAAGCAACAACTCGAGGACCTGCTAGCAGAGAAAAAGAAGGAGTTCAAGTGCAAGCTTCTCAAGTTCACAGATGTGGGCAAAGAGATCTACCAGCTGGAGGCACCCAAGAGTGTCAAGGTCCCCTCTAGTTTCCGTCAGATGTCCGCTACGAAGGATGTCAAGCGATATTACTTTCCCGAGCTGTCTCAACTTGTGCGAGAACTCCAGGAGGCGGAGGAGACTCATTCTCAACTCGTAAGGGAAGTTGCTTCTCGATTCTTCCAGAAGTTCGATGTTGACTATGAGACCTGGCTGTCTGCTATCAAGATTATTTCACAGCTGGATTGTTTGGTAAGCTTGGCCAAGGCGTCGGCTTCCTTAGGCCAGCCCAGCTGCCGCCCTCAGTTTGTGGACGAAGAGCGCAGCACTGTCGACTTCCAAGAACTTCGACACCCTTGCATGATGAACACTGTTGATGATTTCATCCCCAATGACATCAAGCTTGGTGGTGAGCAGGCTAAGATCAATTTGTTGACAGGAGCCAACGCTGCCGGCAAGTCTACAGTTCTTCGCATGGTAGGTACCCTTCATATTCCTTTACACTGTACCAAGCTAACAATTCCCCACAGTCTTGCGTCGCTGTCATCATGGCTCAAATCGGCTGCTATGTCCCTGCCACTTTCGCTCGTTTGACCCCCGTCGATCGAATCATGTCTCGTCTTGGAGCCAATGACAACATTTTTGCTGCTCAGTCTACCTTCTTTGTTGAATTGTCTGAGACTAAGAAAATTCTGTCTGAGGCTACTCCCAGGTCGCTGGTCATTTTGGATGAACTTGGTCGTGGCACCAGCTCCTATGATGGTGTTGCTGTCGCCCAAGCTGTTCTTCATCACGTCGCTACTCATATCGGCTGTGTTGGATACTTCGCCACCCACTACCACTCACTTGCGACAGAGTTTGAGAACCACCCCGAGATTCGAGCGCGCAGGATGCAGATACACGTTGATGAAGACGAGCGACGTGTCACCTTCCTGTACAAGCTTGAGGATGGTGTTGCCGAGGGCAGCTTCGGTATGCATTGCGCTGCTATGTGTGGCATCTCATCGCGCGTAATTGATCGTGCAGAGGTAGCTGCCAAGGAGTGGGAGCACACCAGTCGACTCAAAGACAGTTTGGAGAAGGCCAAGACGGGTTGTTATATCCCGTTGGGTATCCTCAGTGACCTAGGCGCACTACTTGGTGACAAGGGAGGGATGGGTGACGATGGAGTCGACGTTCTCCTGAATGCTATAGAAGCATTGTAATAAGATATAAAGATCAGTTGGGGGAAAGGGAACAAGAAACTGGACCGGGCAAGTTTAAAACGGTATATGGGATATTTTGCAAGGCGTGTTGGCGTCGTTTTAACATGTAATCAGAATGGAACAACCTCTGCTAGAGTTGTCAAAGGGATAAACAGGCGTTGCAATGGAGTGTATCCGTCATTCAAAGACAAAGAAGTCCTTCGAACATTTTGATGTCAGGGCAATCAGATGCAATTCAGATACAATAAGATCTATTCTGCGGTAAATAACAAGACCATTAACTCTCGTTCCCTCCAATCTAAATGCGACAGAACCCCACAACATACAATTGAGTACAAGTAGAAATAGTCAGATAAAAAGACAAATCCGGCCCAAAGATAATACCCAAACCCATACATAGTCTATCGAATGAACTCAAGATCAATCATCTCCAGCATTGGAAGGAGGCCGAGTGGAAGGCCCGGATGGGGTTTGCGACGGAGTAGTTTTTGTACTCGACACCTTCGACGACACCTTCGACGACACCTTCGACGACACCTTCGACGACACCTTCGATGTTGCCTTTGATGGTGCCTTCGATGTTGCCTTTGACGGTGTCTTAGACGACGCCTTAGATGTTGCTTTCGAAGGTGTCTTTGAAGCCCCTGCTGCTTTCTTACCACCGCGGGGCTTCTGAGTTCCCTTTGCTTTCGGCGTCTTGGTTGCTGCTGTACACTTCAGTCAGTCATCTCTTCTATTCACCAGAGTGACGTACGAGACTTACCAGTCTTACTGCTCTTGGCTTTCTTCGGAGCCGGCTCATCAGGTGGCTCATCCCCATCGTTAGCAGACCTCTTCAAGGGGTTCATCTCATTCTGGAACTCTGGAATGTCATTGACATCCGGCTTCAGATCATCATCAGAGTCGGTTTCACTCTGGTACTGATATGTTTGATCGACGGTTCGGTTGCCGATGTACATGGCTCTTCGTTGGCGACCTTCCGGGCTGTCATCCCAAGGGAGACCAGGCGCTGTCCATTCGCCTGGGAAAGGTGGCAGGCCCTCGTACGGAGGCCAGGGGACGTCGTACCAAGCATCATTTTCTGGGTTGTTGGGGTCAGAACGCCAGACAGAAGCATGGTGGTCCCTGGATTGTGTGGGATACATGGTGCGCATGTAGGATGGGTAGCGGGTAAGGAATGTTTCCTTGATGGAACTAAGTGTTCCAGGGAGTTTGGAAACATGAATCCAACCACTGCGGTTCGGGAGACTCTCTGCTGAGCCCACGCCGTTACGGATGCGGCAGCATCTGGTTTTATCTGTGTGAGCCTGCGAGATGTTAGTGAGTGTTTGTAGTACGAAGCTGTAAGATACTGACCTGGAGCTCACCCGTGCGACCGATAGGCGACCGATTTGGACTCTTTGGCCGCCTCAGAGGCGCCTTTCGGAGACACTTTGAACAGTACATCTTATCGTCGGGATCGAATTTGGGGTCCTCAGGACCAAGCACCTTCACCCAGTCAGGGGACTCCGCTCGACGACGGAAGCGTCGCCCGCGTTTTCCCTTCCCCTCTTCATAATCATCGTCCTCGTCACCTTCGTCCTCATAATCCCCATCGTTGTCCCCTTTAGGTCCACGTCGGGCCTTTTTAGTAGATCGGCCTCGGCCTACAGTGTTGGAGCTCTTAGGTCCACTACCACCGGCTTCGCCATCCTCATCAGCATACTCATCGTCGTCATCGTCCCCGCCCTCGTTCTTGTCATCGTCCTTGCCGTCGTCATCATCAACATCCGGGTCAGTAGTCTTAGCCGCTGCTTTAACCTTTGACTTCTTAGGCGTTTTCTCGGATCGTCTGCCACGAGAGACGCTAGAACCACACAGCTCTTCGGTGCCTGAATCATGATCCGGCGGTGGAGTGTGGGGAGCCCCCTTCGTGTTCTCCCGGGGCTTCTTAGATACCACCACTGCAAGCTCCTTAGGTCCACTAGACTCAGCATCGATGTCATCGGTATCAGCCGAGGTATCCATCTCCTCTGGGTTCACAGCTGGAGACTTTTTGGGAGTTGTCTTCCGCTTAGGCTTAGAAGAAGCAGGCTCTAGAGTGGGCTTGGGGGTAGGCTTCAGATGATGAAGCCTGATAGGGGCTGTCTTAACACCACCATCTTCACCATCATCGTCTCGCTTGTCGTCGCCATCATCCCCCGATTCATCGTCATTTCCATTGCTCGCTTGGTCTTCCTTGTCAGTCTCTTCTTCCGAAGAAGAGAATTGAGAAATCTCCTTAGGATGAGTGACGCGGAAGTGATGGCGATACTGCTTGTCAGTCATGGACCCGACGTAGGCACCACACGTTTCAAAATAGGCGCACTTCTTGACAATTTGTGTGGCATCAGCTGGTTGTTCCCGATTGACCTGAGGAGGTGTGGATTGACCAGCGAAGCTCTTCGTAGCACCAGGCGGATGAGCAACAGCATTCTGTTCTGGCATAGGCTCCAGGATATCCCAGAGCTGGTAGACATGGCAGTCCATGTGCTTGATACACTCATCGACAGGGCGTGGAATGAGGGCCCGGACGCCATCCTTGTCCTTCTCACCGTACTCATAGAAGCTTAGCTTGCAGAACGGACACGCATCCATCTTGAAGTCAGTGTGGTAGTTCTTGAAGTGCGTCCATACGCCATGGGAGCTGAGATGTTCAAGATGAGGAACACGGCAGTCCGGGATTGGACATTTGTTGGGAGGATCTTGAAAAGCAGTGGTCCCAGGATTGTCAAACCAGTCAAGGAGAGGGTATGTAAGAAGGCGCGGGGGCTTCGTGAGCTTGTACTGTGGCCCCCATGATCTGATCTCTTCCGCGAACGCCTCTTTGATGAGATTGGCGGGAGCTGTTTTGGACACATGGCCTGTAGCAACCGGTTTTTTGGTTGAGGTTGCATTCGCTCTCAGTGGCACCGATATGTTGTTGCCTCTCTGGTTGCAATAACCATTCATCTTACTCACTTCATCTGGGTGCTTTTCTCCCAGGTGCTTGATCTGCTGATCCTTGTCCCACCAGCCAAATAGAGCGTTATCGCAGAAAGGACACTTGCGCTTTGCATGGGCAGTCAGAAAATGTATGGTCAGCTCTTCATCCTCATCGAGTCGCCAAGTGAAGCTGCAACCCTTGTAGGGACACATGTTTGTGCGCTTCAAAAGCATGTTGCGCAAATCCCAAAAGCTACGCTGTAGTTCGGCTTGCTCCGTAGGTGTCAGGACAGCCTTTGAAAACATGGGGACGTTGCCAGAGAGGCGATGGATCTTCTCAGCTGGTGCTGCGGTGAGAGGAAACCCAATTTCAACATCTGCTGGCCAGGCTCGTTGATCTTCAGTGGTGAAGATGCTGGGTTGCGTGGACCACGTGTGCGCTCGATCATCAGGTCCAGCAACGTTGCCGGCATGTAAGGGCGGCTTGGAAGTAGGAACAGATGGTGGGGGAACGGCCTGTTCAGACTTGTTCTCTGGCTCGTTCACAAGCATGTCCAGAGGCATGTCATAGACAAGGTTCTTTTCAAGGAGTCTTGAATCTTGCTCATCCTCGTCCGCATCTTCATCGCTGCCACTGACGTTCTCTTGACGAGGACTTGGGAGTCCGAACTCTTGCATTTTTTCATCCCCATCATCGTCCTTGTTCCCGCCACCGCTGCCGTCTTCTTCATTGGCTTGTTCATCGTCGCTTTCGTCGCCAAACAAGCTCCCGTACATAGAATCGCGTCGACGTGCATTTTCCTCAACCGGACCACGCGCAAAGTCCTCGCGGTCCTCAGGTTCGGTGTGACGAATTGTGAATCCTTTAAATTGAGGCTGGCTAGTTGCCAAGATACCGACGTCGTACACCGGGTCACCGTCAGGAGTAGTTGCACCTTCCATTACCAGGGTGGAAGGCAAACGAAGACTGTCTGGACCGCCAACCGACTTGTTCCTGACCTTCAGTAGTCGAGGTGCTTTGAAGGCTTCTGCCCGATGTCTGGACATGGGAGACCAGATTTTGCCGCGTGTAGAGATAGAAAGGTCGTCCTTCAGGTCGATCGACTTTAGTGGCATTGGATCTACAGGGTATCCAGCAAGCGTGTCGATGGAATGGCCATCCAGATCTTGTAAATGGAGAGCCTCTCGCCTAAAACCACCTCCGGTCATCTCATCTTGCCTGAGGGCTTCCTGGTCGAGTCTCAAACCCCAAAGGTTGTGCCGGTTTATGGAGGTGGACCAGTTCGTATACTTCGATTTCTTCACAATAGAGACCGTTATGATAGGAGATGTGATTGACTTTCTGATGTCATGCCAATCGTCATCTGTTGCATCAGCTCCAATGAAATAAGACGGCGAGTCCATGTCTTGGACCTGAAGACTCTCAAACGAAGGTGTCTCCGTCAGCAAGAAGCAGCTGTCTTTGGGATCTTCATCTTTGAAGTCCGGAGGTGTCGCCAACAGGTACAGTTTCCTGATGGCGTCAAGAAACTGATCCACTGTCGACGTCAAACGAGGCATCTCAACAGAGAAATCCCCCCCGCTGTACCAACCTGGGAAAAGACGACAGTGTCCGGGACGCCAGTTCACATGGACAGTTCTGTAGAAGTTTGGAGATTGTTCCAGTTTGCTGCCAAGGCTCTTTGGGACATCTTGATGAGGGATCCCTGGGATACTCATCTTCCACGATCTCAAATCGCGTCGAGGCTTAAGCTGAAGGCCTTCAACGCGAAGCTCGTCAGTCGCTTTTTCTTTGTGGCCTTCAATCAAGAATACCGAGTCGATTTTTCGAGAGACAGATGCATCAAAGGCCTCAGCGGTCATCTCACAAATTTGTCGGTATGCCTGGTCAAATGGCGCCGCAGAAACATGTAATTGCCGCGAGATAAGGTACGGGTTAGGATCCGGGTAGTAGTTGGGCATGAGGATAGCTTCCAAACCAGCACTAAGCCAACAACATTGAACCATCCAGCTGGCGCCAGGATTGTTCCGTGGGTGTAGCAATTCCCACACCCATTGGGGAAGGCTCATGGCACCGTAGACAATAGGGATAGACCAACCAGTTTTGGGCTTGTTCTTGTCAAAAAGTCGAAACAAGGCATGGTGATACGCCGAGGTCTCAGGTGCTCCGAAAAGAACGTTCAAGGTTTTGGTGAAGTGAGTATTGTACTGATTAGACCCATATTTACCAATCTTAAAGGTTTGTGTCTTGGACTTGGGGAAGGCCATGTAGGCATAGCTAACCACTTCTTTCTCAGGGCCATTCGGAGCATGACCAAGAGAGCGTCCAATTCTGATTGTGTCTGTTAGAAGGTTACCAGCGATAGGCTCCCAATGCCGCGGGCCTTTGTTGATTTCGGTGTGCATGTCATCGGCAAACAGAGCACAGCAATCCTTGTGAGACATGGTGCTGTCGGCGAAGTGCTGTTGAAGAAAGGCTACAGTAGGGCTGTCCTTCTTCAGAGGTAGTTGATCATGAATCACTTGTGGCTTGTATACGTTCAGACTGTACCACAGAAGAGAAAAACCCTTCTCTTCGTGATCCTCAGCCTGCAGCAGCTGGCGTAGAACTTTTGAGAACGACCGCCACTTTTGGGGAACAAAAGGCAAGCGACCGTAGAGGCCGTGTAAGTATGTCCATCCGTCTGAGAATAGCGCAGGTGTCTCGTCTTCTGGGATGTAATCATCGCTCCAGGTCATGGGATCATCGTCATCTCCTCCTCCGCGAAGACCCAATGTTGGTTCCATAGCCCTCGGGAGTGGCAAAGGGTAGTTGATGGCTTCGTTGGCTCCGGATTGTCAGTTATGAACATGAGTGTATCGGTAAGTCAACTTACATTTCAGGCCATCCTTTCCCCAGTTGCGACGTTCATGCGCCGTAAGGAAATGCAATGGCGGCCTGACATTATATCTAGGAACCTCTTTTTCATCGATCGCCATCATCTTGGCAATTTCTTCGAGAGGATTATCGACAGGGGCTGCAGGTAGGCCAAAGTACATGATGGTGAGCCTTGTCGCCAGCGAGTCTTCGACGCCCTTGAAGCGACCAGCAAGTAATGCGTTGTATCTCTTCGTATTGTCGACTTGTATCTCCTTAACGTCGGCACGTTCAGCGGGCGCCAGCATGCGGTACTGGTGATGGGTGAAGAATTTCCTTATAATATCCTCGATGGAGGTTTCTGTCGTCAAGGCCTTGGTAAAATACCTGTGTACCTTTGCCCATCTCTTGCTTTTCGGATCGATCATGAGGTCGATACGCTCTGCAGGCGGATCGGGTTGCTGTAGCCAGCTGTCCGAAACCTTGGCCGCTAAGGACCTTGAGACATCAGTGAGCTTCCCCATCGGGTGGACTGATCAGGCAATGGTTGATAAAAGAAATCACTGGCCGAAAGGAAAGCTCGGCAGAAAGTCGCGTGTCTTTGGGTATAACAAAAGATGAAAGAGCAGACACAAGAGAACAAAACTCAATGAAGAGGATGTACGAATACGCTAAGATCAGTTAAGTGAGGACAGAAAAGAGTGAGAAAGGATACAAATAACGAGAATATAAACGGAAGCGAGGAAAAGTGAATGACGGGATGTGCGGTATGTTAAGTCCCACGCCATGAATGTGTGTTTTTGACCGCACAGGCCCGAGTGAAATGCCATTGTTCTCGAAGCTGGTATCTGACGCATACCGAATGTGGTTTCTGGTGGTGTCGAGGACAAAGAGAAGTACTTGGCTCTTTGATAAGCTGTTGGAGTGGTCTGTGTTTCTCTCGTCCTTAGCCGGCATCACCGTTGGTTCTGGTTAGTTGCCTTCAAAGTCCATACATCTAATAACTGGATGCTGTAGGGTCGCACATTAACACAAGCCTGGCAAGAAACAGAAACTCGTTTGGTAGTGTCGATAATGCAATAAGCCATCACGATCTGTAGAAGTGCAATCGAATTACAGGGACGAGTGTTATGGTATGCGAGTGTTGTTGAGATTGGTCCTGGCTCAACCCGAAACGGGTTCACAATAGCGTCTGTTGACACAAATTTAGTAACAAGCAAGGTCAAAGCTTCCAGTGCCTTTTGTTCAAGCCACAACCCAACCTCTCGTGCCTCATTCTAATTGAGGGTGGGTATGTTTCTTTGTTTCCTTTCCAGGCGTGGTCACCCGAAAGGAGGGGAAGCTGAGCCAATGTGAACAAAGAAACCAGACCTCAATGAAGCATCAATAACGCGAAGCAATCTGGCGACTCGGCGCCTTTGTTGGGAAAAGTCCCAGAGAATTTCGACATCACGAGAAGGCAATGATCGAGGTCGTGAATGAAGTCGTCCATTATGGTATTATACGTTCCTTTATTTCACACTTGACATCGGGTACTTGCTACGTCAAGTTGCTTGACTAATGCGCCCGACTCATTCCATATTCTGTCGCACCAGATCTTCCAGTTTCTCCTGGCAATCGGCAAAGTAATTGATAGCCTGGATGATCTTACCTTCGCTTGTGCCAAACCCGCTTCTGGTGAAAGCCATTCTCCATTTGCTTTCATTTTTGACCAGTGCATTGTAGTCTTTTGTCTCCCAGCTCTTATTGTCGGGGCCTTGCGCAAAGTAATCTCCAAGCTTTCCGTCCCATCCAGACATGCTGGAAGAAGCAAGTCCGTTAAGCAGATTTGGGGAGATTGTAATGTGTTGGATACCTGCAAGCTGCATAACTTCATCGACTGACGTGAGCGACGCAGCTAGGACTTGCGTGCGGAACGAGTGTTTGACGTAGTAGGCCTGCGCTTCACGACAAAAGTCAAAGGCTTTGTGTTTGTCAACGTATCTGGGATTGTTAGGCCAGTGACAGCAACGTGACAAACAGCAACTCACCCTGCTTCGAAATGAACCTTGAGCTCATTGACATAGGGCGCAATATAGGTGCACTGTGCATCGGCGGCCAAAGTCGCTTGTTCCATGCAAAACATTGTGGTTGCAAGTGTAGCAATGCCTTTCTTTTCCAGCGCACGACAAGCTTGAAGGCCTTCCCAAGTGGCAGGGATCTTGATGCACACCCTCTTCGTATCAAACTTGGGTGCCAGTACCTTGAAGATATCGACGATCCCTGAATAATCGTAAGTATCTACGATAGTAAAGGACGGAACACAGCTTACTGTGAGCATCACTTATTGTGCCGTCAATTGAATAAGACAGCTTTGGGTTGGTCTGAATGTGCACGTAGCCCGTCACGTTTGGGACGATTAGCAGTTGCAATTTGACCATCTTCCCTAGTCAGCAGTGTACCTGTTTCGAGTGTCTGGTGCCGTACCAAGATCTGAACAACAAACTCCTCAAATGCCGCGGGTCCTTGAAACTCTTTCAAAGACCCTCGGGCCTTCTCGATGGCGTCTTTGACTAAACTGTCGTGATGCAAAAGAGGCTCTCCTGCAAGCGGCCGGGAGATCTCGGAGAATGCAATTGCCTAAAGACATGTTAAAATTGTATCGAAGAAGCAGATTGAGAACCTACTTGATTGGAAGTACAGTCCACGAAAGGACCCAGTTGATGAGCGACTGCGTCCAGGTCAGCCAGTCAGTGTGTAGGAGATGAGCGCTTGGGTTAGTACCATTAGCATCAAGGGTATCGCAATCGACCTGAGTGGTCTGTCGAAGAGCGTCTAACAGTGTCGTCATTTTGCGGGGTTGAGAGATCAACCAATAATAATAAAGATTCTGAGGAGATAGAATACTGTATCTTGCTATAAATGCGATCCAAGCTGGCAGTCGAAGCATTTGACTGTATCGCGAGCTTGCTGATGGAGTTGTCTCACTCAAGTAGACAACGGGCTGAACTAACCCCCACTCAAGACGCCAACATCTTTGAAAGCTTTAGCAGTCATTCGCTCGGCTTGACTTCCCAAACGACCATCAGCTTAGGTGGTCTTTCGCCTCCATTTCCACTATTGCTGGGTCGCTGTCGCAATAAACATCGCATTAGGAAGGGCTTCTTTTCCCCCAGCTAGTGGGTAGTAGAAAAGTAGCAACTTCCTGGGCCAATCTCGAGATAACGATGTGGTCATGCGGGGAATTGGTGGGTCGAGATGGTAGTAGTTCTTGAGATAGACTCCATCGCTGTACTGTCCGACTGTAACTTTCTTTTCGTTGAAAAAATAGACCTTGGAGTCGAATCAGCAATTGCCAGTTTCTGCAACCACCACTAACAAGAAGGGTCTCTTGTGCTTGAAGATGATTGACGACATCGGGTTTAGCGGCGATCAATGAGAATCCATGGATTAGGAATGTGCAGAAGTTGGGGGAGCATCTCCAATTGAATGAACACGTGACGAATCACGTTTCCTTTCCCCAGGAATTTCCCGATTGGGTCCATCCAAGAAATCTGCCATCCATAGCAAATCGAAGTCGAACCACTCCGTCATTAAGCTCAAGCTCAGCTTACGTCCATTCTCTACTCGGCGTGTCGCTCATGGACTGAGTCCCAGTCTCCTCCCAGCTCAGGACGACCATGAACCCATCCGTCAGGCCATAATGCGACCACCAAGATGCCTCTTCCCCGCCGCGGAGATCCTCCTCAAGGCTCCCCCAAGTAGACGGTGCATGTCCTCTGCCGCAGCCTTCCAACCGCCCAGAATAGTCGCTGCCATACCATGGAAGGGCTCTTCGTTTTTTCTATCAAATAGACTGTTTGATCGATCAACATGCCTCGATTTCGTCGTACTGCGCCGCGCCAATGGCATTCGCTCGACGTCTGCTTCCGCTTCCACATCCGACTCGACATTATCTTCCTCCTCCATAGCGGATCATCCTACCTCTACGCATACAGAACATAAAGTTGCTCCTCATCGTAGACGACAGGCTCAACGTCGCGAAAAAGCAGCAGCCGAAGCCGCAGCTGCCGCTGCTCAGGGCGAAAAGCCGCTTCCTCCCGATGCATCCTCTCTACTTGCAGCACATGCTGCTTCACAAACCAGTCCTTTACGCCGTCACCTCTCCGCATGCCTCTCGCTCTCCAAACCTCGATTGACAATGCTCGTTGTTCTTACCGCCATGGCGACATACGCTTTATACCCAGTACCTGAAATGCTCGCGCCGAGCACTACCGAGACGCCGAGTTTGAGTCCTTTAACATTGTTATTCCTCACTATTGGTACCATGTTATGCTCAGCTAGCGCCAATGCCTTGAACATGCTTTACGAACCCTCAACAGACGCCAAAATGACTCGAACTCGAAACCGACCTCTAGTGCGAAATCTCATCTCCAAACGAAGCGCAGTTTTGTTCGCCATTCTATCTGGATTCGTTGGAACAGGCGCTTTATACTTTGGCGTGAACCCTACCGTTTCTGGATTAGGTTTTGCCAATATTGTAATTTACGCCGGGATGTATACACCTCTCAAGGCTGTCACGGCTTTCAATACCTGGATTGGCGCTGTGGTTGGTGGTATTCCTCCTCTAATGGGTTGGGCTGCGGCTGCTGGTGAAACAGCAACCAAGGACGGCTCATGGCGTGAGTTGCTATTTGCTAGCGACGGATCCTCTATTGGCGGTTGGGTAATGGCTGGCCTCCTATTCGCATGGCAGTTCCCCCACTTCATGGCTCTCAGCTGGCCAATCCGTGAGGAATACAAGAAGGCCGGTCTTCGCATGCTAGCATGGACAAATCCCGCCCGCAACGGTCGTGTTGCTCTACGTTACAGCCTCGTTTTCATCCCACTCTGTCTGTCTCTTTGCGCTGCAGGAGTGACGGAGTGGTCATTTGCGGTAACCAGCTTCCCAATCAACGCCTGGCTCATTCGAGAGTCCGTGCGCTTTTGGCGGTACGAGGGCAACAAAGGAAGCGCAAGAGGTCTTTTCTGGGCCTCTGTTTGGCATCTTCCCGGTGTCATGATCCTTGCTCTGTTACACAAGAAGGGAATGTGGAGCAGGGTCTGGAGGAGCGTGTTTGGTGAGGAAGAAGGAGAGTGGGAAGAGGAAGAGCTTGATGAGATGGTGAGCATGGCCGTGGCAAACACAAATAGCCATACGCAGAACCAGAAACCCGTGCGATGATGTGTAGGATAAATGAACGAATACTGTAACAACAATCGTATGTATGTGTTTGGAGGTACATCTAGCATTTTGGCTGTTGCATTGCTATTTCCGCAGCTCATATATCACCAATGTATTATCTCAAGACCAAATTTTCAAGACATTTGTTGGAGAATATTGCTTGACAATCAAGCGAGTCAATTGATTGCAGAAACAAGATGCGCTACTAAATCCACATGCATCCTCATGTCGTGGTATCTATATCTCTAGTATACAAAGGAGATGTACGTTGACTATTTCTCGTCGCCACCATTTTAAAATAAAATAAAAAGACAAAAAAGACTGTGAAGACATTACATGCCCAAAACAGATTAACCATGCGTTATTGTCGTGATAATCGCCCAGAGCGCCATAAACACCAGTGTGACCCATGCTGCTCGCCATGCAGTAGAGAGAGTTTTGTTCTGAATTATAAGGACTGACGGAAGGAAAGGACGGCGAGAAGGGTTGAAGGAAGCCTTGATTAGGCTGGAGTTGTAGAAAGATTCGTCAAGTAGTAAAGTCGGAAAACAAAGGGGGGGGAGATGTAGTGAGTGTCAGGTGTTAGATACCTCGTCCTGGCCTGTTGATGAGATTTCCAATGCCCATGTCCGAACTTTGAGGTCGCTGCGTCATGTATTGAGGGCTGTTCCCCTGGCTGTGACCACCGTGATGATGCCCGTAAGCGTGTCCCACGCTGGTGTTTGAGCTCACGCTCGACGAGTATCCGTGACCGCCATAGCCGGGAGCATAGGTAGGGGCGAGGTTGTATTGAACAGCGTTTGACATGTGTTGAGGCGGCATTTGCTGGAACGAGTTGCTGGCCGGGGCCACAAGGGAGGACACGCTCGTCTCGGGGCTGCTATTGCTATACGATGCGTCTAGTTCGTCAACCGGTGTCAGGCCCATTGAGACGCCGCTGTCGTCGTCATACCCTGAGAAAACGCCGGACTCAAGTCGGTCACGACGGGCTGCGGCACGGGCGGCGCTTTGCAGATTCTTGAGACCATTCGACATGCACTAGAATACACATTAGCAATCACTCATGTAGGGTCAGAAAGTCATTAATTACCTTGGCTTCGACGACGTTCCACTTCTCGCCTGTGCGAGCTGCGAGACCGCTCCAAATCTCTTTCCTCATGGCCATGTACTCCTTGGCCAAGCGTTGAAGCTTGAGGTTGTCCCAGTCATCAGCACCCTTACGCTCCAGTAATCGCTCATGACGTTTACGGCAGGCATTGGGTGTCTTGGAAGGGAAATAGTTGGCTTGGATCTGTCCCCAGTTGAGGCCTTGCATACGTGCGGTGAGCAACTGCTGGTCGTCTTGGGGTGTCCACGCTCCTGAACTGGCTCGGTGCTGGACAGGCTCCTGAACTGGCTCAGGAATAGAGACAGGAGGGGCCGAAGATGTGGGGTAAGGCTCGTATGTAGGTTGTTGTGTTTGTGCTTGAAGAGCGAGTGAAGAGCCAGCTGTGGTACCCATGCCGTAGTAGTTGGGCACAGTCATACGCTGCTGGTTGTACATGGGAGAAGGGGCCAGAGACACTGGGATCGCATTATAGCGATTCTGAGAGGAACTAGGAGCTCGAGTATGTTTCGGCATCATGGAGACGGTTGTGTAGTAACGAGTAGTGAAGGGATTCAGAGTGAATCCTTGTAACGAGATTACGGATTAAGCGTAAAATAGGGCGAGGCCAAATCGTCCGGGTCAACCGGTCTGGTCTGGTCTGGTCTGGTCTGGTTCGGTCTTGAAGAGGCGGCCCAAAAAGAAATGGAGACTCGACCAAGCGAGAAGTCCTTTTTTTAGTCGTGTAAGTGGTAGCGAATGGGTTTCTAAGATGAGATCGGGTCAAGGAAACAAGCCCAATAGGTCAATAAAGCGACAGATGGAAAAGCGCCAAGTGAAAATCCACAAAGTGACAGGAGTAGGAAAAAAGGAAATAAAGAAAAAACAATGAATATTGCCTGAGCGAAGGAAGAGTTGTTGTTGTGATGAGAATGGAGAAGGAAAGACGAGGCCAAGGGAAGGCCGGATATGAAGCAGCTTTAATGTCCCAAGACGAGGGTCACGACATGGCAGGAAAGGACAAAGACCAATCTTGACCTGGGCGGCTCTGGCACTGAAACTAGAAGAGGAGCTGAAAGAGGCAATGAAACAACACACTCGTGTCTGAAAGAAGTGGTTTTCCTCAAACGGGTTGAGGATATTGGTCTGAAAGGCGTTTGTTTGAACAGTGGGCGGTTAAAGGGAAGACAATGGGCGGCTACAAAAAAAGAATTATGGATAAGTGTCTCCACGGTTGAACACAAGAAGAGATGATGTTCATCCGGTACTACGAAGTTTGAGCAAGCGCCAGCAGTCAAGGTTATGGCTACGGACTGTCTTGGTTAAAGTGTATGGGTCAAAAAGTTGGATAACAAAAACAAAGCTAAGAGGGAAAAGCCAGGATCTCGACAGCCAGCCGATCTGCATATGCCCGCCAGGCCCATGACAGTTTGAGCGCCTGGGGAAATTGAACGGGGTCGCTGCATTGCATGTGGTGTGAAGACAAGACAAGAAGAAGCGCGAGAGTGACAGGGAAGCAAGAGCGGGAAGACTAAGACAAGGTGGGAAGAACAAGGATGTGGATCATAGTTGCACCGGCAGATGAAACAATGAAAGATGTCTTGATGACCTCGAATGTCATTCACTAAGAGAGAGGAGCAGCTGAGCAAGGTCTATCAAAGAAAGGGTTCTTGGTGTTTAGATGAAGAGTGTGGATCTCTGCGACCACTAATTGGACCGTTAGTTCTGGAGGCGCGCGTCTAAGTCAGATTAGGCGACTCCCGAAATAGTTAGCTCGTCTATTTTGAGATCTTTGGCGGGTCTTTAATTGGGCAAGTACCGTCCCTTGTATAATTGGTGAACAAGGTACTTCTCATGACGAGCGCTTGCGATGGGCCTTAGGAACAGGTGACAGGGCGTATAACAGAGCAGAGAATGGCATGTTTTAATTCCTACAATGACACATAATGACTTTTGTCCCAATTCATCTAATGATTAAGCTTTGTCAATAAGTTTAAATAAAAGATGTGATCATGTCCACTGGACTTGCTGTCTGTAGATCTGAATGTATGAATGTTTTGGGTGTACCTTAGTAGGCGCGGGGGTAACTCTTAGCGTCCGTCAACTGTGGCTCCTACTGTGGCTACAATTCAGGGGATCAAGTCAGGGCAGGTTCAATCAAATAATTAATCGCATCGTTAATAACCGTTTCAATTATCAGACGACGAACAAGACAATTAAGCTTCAATTTTGATCCCATTCTCCAGTACCACTCCTCTAATACTCTAAGCAATGAAATATTGTTCACTGAAGAGGCTATCATTATAGCCCGCTTCCCGTGCGTCAAAGCTGTCAGTGTTCATTAACGCGTCCTCACAACGCGATGTCCTCTCCAATACAGCCCTCTCTGCGTCTGCAAACAACCGACCACAACAATATAGAGAGCCCCAAGAAAAAATCTCTACCAACCATCAACGTCATAAATCATAGTCAAGAAAGGACACCAAAGTCCGAGTCCTTGGAGGCCCCTGTCAGGTTGCAAGTTACCAAGTCCCCTGTCAGAGTGCCAAACTCCAACTGCAGCCGCTTCAGCTGCCTTCGCGGTCTCGAAAGGCATGACCTTTCCGACACACAGATTGCAAACAGGCTAGACTGGTGTATGCGCGGATCTACAGTGGACAAACGCCCATGCGATGTGTCTCGAACTGTTCTGCAACTTACGGGCATGTGGCCATGGGAGTTTGCCGCCGGTTTCTTACCTAAAAAATGGGATATGAGCATGTTGGAGGATATCAGACAGCTGTTGAGAAGCGTCTGTAAAAGTGCCCGAATTAACGGTCCGGGACCTCATACCAAGATTGTCCAAAACTTTCTCCTGGGGTGCGCAAAGAAGCGCGATGCACAATGCCTACATCTCCAACATAGCGACGTGCTAAACGCTATCAACCACTTCAGCTCAGACTTTTATACGAAAAGGGGAGCAACAACACCCATCCATACTCCGTCTGTCCAGCGTCAGGCCGAGCAAATAACAGTGCGGGGGTCTGATGAGGAAAGCGAAAGTGATGAGAGCGATGATGACCAAGACGAAGCTATTGAAATACCCGATTCACAAAATGAATCGGAAGATTGGACCGGCCACCACGTTGATGATGTTGTTGGACCGACAGATCAAAACGAAACGGCCACTGTCACTGTGAAACGCTCAAGATCACCCTCGTTGACTACTCTGCTGGAGAAGCGTCCACGGACAACAGGTCCAAGCAATCCACACCACGACATTAATGCTACTATACTTCAAGACCCAGCACCGCCGAGAAATACATGCGACAATAGGAATGTCACAGTGGTCCAAAATGCGGCTGTAAGTGAGATTCGTTCACCTCTGCGACCGCTCTGCTAACCTTTACAGTTACAGACTAGCACAATACCAGCACGACGTTCAAAGACTATTGTGAATCTTGTTGATGAGTTTGAGGTGATCGAGGCTGAAAAGCGGAAAGAGCTCGATGTCGTCACTTATTCACTTCACGAAGTCAGGACCTCAATCGAAGATAGCGAGGCCAATGAAGCAAAACTAGGCAGCGAGAAAGTTCAAAAAATATGCACAGACGTCAAAGCATACGAAACAGAAAGGGAGAAGATAATAAAAGGCATGCGCTTCGTCGAAGAGCACCACGAGGATATGGCCATGAGTGCCAATGACCTCGAAAAAGCATTGCATAAGTACAAAACAAGACTTGAAGAGTGCGACCGCTTGATCGCCCAAGCTGACTCGGACGTGCTGGAGGAGCTAGAAGTTATTGCGCAAAATGACTTTAACCGACGAGCTGAAGAGCAGTGGCTGAAATCTCGTGCGCGAGAGCTCCTTCAGGAAGTGCAGTATTCCGCCGCTGTGAAAACGTTGATGAAGCTAGGACCGTCGGGAATGGCAACCCTACTAGCCAGACTAGAGACAAAGAATGTGTCCCTGGTTGCTATGGCTGAGGAAGTCATGATAGAGCGTGCTGTTTCGTCTCTGGATAGTGTCTTGAAGAACAACGGAACACGACAGCAAAGACAGGCAGCGGAATGATATATCGACCAGACGACCTGCATCCTCACAAAGACTCACGATGACATGAAAGGGATTATTACACTAAGAACAATTGTCGACGAGACGACGAGGCATTGCTCTCGCAATACGCTTCGTGGACGTGGTCAGTCAGTCCTACCAACTAGCAATTATTCATGGGCGACTCTTCTACACTATCAAGCACACCCAACCATACCAGAGCATTTGCATGCATAAGTTATTGAACAGAGATACCCTGCATCATAGCCTACTGCACCTACTAAGAACATCGCGGTACATCTATACTGCCGCATTCCCAACTTCGGGCTTTACCAACCCGATTTAGACACGAGCAATAGATAGCTGAATACCACACTCCAATTAGCGCTCATATAGACGTATATCGCACTTCCACATTTGATCTTGATTATTCATATACAACCGTAATAGGCGAGTGGATGTAGCAGTAGTATCTATGTATGTTTGTCTACCGAGCCTCCAGTCCACGATTATTTTCCCACCAGTTCCCGTTACTAAATTTTCAACAACTTCGCTTGTCGTTACTTTTATCATGGGAATATAGTCATATGAAAACTCGTTGACGATGATTAATTGAGCTCCAGCTCTTTGTCTTTGCTCAGCTGTTGTTGTCCAACTACCCTGCACTGCGCGACATGCGCGACGACCTACTTGCAGTAGTTCTTCACTTATTGCTGCCTATCCTCTCTAGTCTTTGTTCAACAATAAACATAGTTGTAAGGTACTCTCTAAACACTAAATTCAAGGATCCATATATGTTACAAACTTGATATATTGAATTAATGTTCACAAAAAACTAAGGTTCTCAATGAGTCCACGCTGTGGACACGGGCTGAAGTTCTTCTAACCTAAAGACCCTCAAAGTCGTATTCCAAACTATTCCAATAGCCTATAAAGTCTCACATGGGAATATTGCCTCGTGGATACAGAGCAGGGATTACGCATATAGGCATCCAGGTACGCTCAGCCTGTTTATTCTTGTGACCCAAAGCTTAGAGGCTAACTTTTCCGACAGCCTGAGTGAGTTTTAATACACATCTAGAGTGAGGCTGAGTGGCGACACAGATATACTGACAATTGGTCCATATCCATCTCGAATGGCTGCCTTTTTGAGTTGCCTTGAAACTGCGAACCTGGTGCTGTTGTTAGTGTGCAGTGCAATATGCAGGGAGAGACTTGCTTGACAGCAGGCAGCCAAAGGCAATTCTTTGTTTGTTGGTAGCAGAGTTTGCCAGACAAAATTAATGAGTTAGCTCGGAGCACAATAAAGTAGCTTTCAGTTACTCTTTTGTGTTCATCCCACAATTCACCTGCAGTGCCAGAGAACTGGCACTGCCAACAGTTGTCACGGCATCAACTTGCAACCTTGAACATCTATAAAGAGGCCTCATCTTCTTTTCGTCTTTAATCTTATAGGCAAACTTTTGTTACACTGATCACCACCATCTCAGCAACATTTTTTATCCCGGTAGTCCATCGATAAGACAAGATCCTAGCCAGTCTACCTATCTACTCTGAGGCTATTCTTTTCTCATTCATTTTCCACCAATACCCAAACTACAAGACTGGGCTAAGATGCCGTCCTCATCCAGGAGGCAGAGTAGACAATCGCAACCGCTTGCAGGAAGAGCCATAAATCACCTCTTGGAGGCCCTCTTGCCCGGTGGCGGCGGCATTACCTGCGTTGAATTCTTCGCCTACATCGCACCCTACCTCATTCAGATGGCTGCAGAGACCTTCTACAAGCAGTGTGTATCGACTATCGAAATTCAAGGAAATGACGAGATCTTTACCTATCTTATGAACTGGGTTGCTCAGAATAATAAGCTCTCCCGCCATAATCATCGCCTTCTTGCATCCAGCAGCACTAGCAACGAACTCTCTCGCGCCATGCGCGGTCTTCCCAGAAGCAACGAAGATAACGAAGAAGAAGATTCAAGTGATGATATCGACTCTTCGGCCAGTCCGGATGTTCTCCGTTCCAAGATCTCACTGTACAATGCGCAACCTCTGCGCTGGACCCCGGCTATCGGGACACACTGGTTCTGGTACGAGAACCGTCCCATTTCATTCATGAGAACTTCTACCGGCGATTCACCCATGCCTTTTGGTATAAGTTCTGGGACCATCATTCTCTCTTGCCTAGGTAGAAACCCCGACATACTCAAGCGCATCATCTACAACGCCCACATCGAGTACCTGGAGAAACAACGTGGCCGGACAAGCATCTTCCGCCCTGTGAAGTCTCATGGACAGCACTGCTGGGCCAAATCTATGTCCAAGCCCACCCGTCCTATGTCGACCATCGCCCTTGAGGAGCACATCAAACAGGGTCTTGTTAAGGATCTCGCTCGCTATCTGAACCCGCGCACCAAGAAGTGGTATGCTACGCGAGGCATTCCTTATCGACGTGGCTATCTCTTTTCTGGCCCGCCCGGTACTGGTAAGACAAGCTTGGCGCTCGCAGCTGCTGGACTCATGGGTCTCAACATCTACATGATCAGTCTATCGTCTCCCAATCTATCAGAGGACACTCTTGCAAGCTTGTTCCAGGCTCTGCCTCGGACCTGCCTTGTCCTCCTTGAGGATATCGATGCAGCAGGTGTTGTAGCCAAGAGAGTAAAAGAGAAGAAGCCCAAGGCTGAATCCACTGGAAAATCAGGGCTTGGCTACCTTCCAACTTCGAGAGAACCAATCACGCTATCAATCTTGCTAAATGTTCTCGATGGCGTGGCCGCGCAGGAGGGTCGCGTGCTGGTCATGACATCCAACCACACCGATAACATCGACCCTGCTCTTCTACGGCCCGGACGAGTCGACTATACCATCGAGTTTGGACTCGCATCCTTCGAGACCATTAAGCAGATATTCCAATTGATGTACGGGACACCATACGCCGAAAGTGGCGTGGAACTCGTCTCCGAGAAGATTGATGCGCTTTCTATTGAGTTTGCTCAGGTTATCCCAGAGCACACATTTACTCCCGCGGCACTTCAAGGTTATCTTCTAACACACCAGGATGGCCCTATTAAAGCTTTAGCTGATGCTGGGGCGTGGGTTGAAGAGCAGAAGCGTCTCAAGGAAAGGGCTGAGGAGAATGAGAAGACAGAGGGCATGGATGAGTCCGAGACAGACGCCAATGAGAAGGCAGACTATAAGGAAAAGTCAGAAGCAAAAGTCAAGCTGAATGGAGGCAAGCCTAACGGAGTGGCTACTGATATCGCGAATGGTGTGTAAACCAGTAAGTAAGACAGATGCAAGGAACTTGGGGCTTCAGTGAGCTCGGACTACATCACCAAAAGAAAGATCCTATATCCCAGTCAACCACCTTTTGCGAGAGGACATTGGGATGGAATTCCATAGATTCCTATATGCTGCAATTTAAAAGATTAACTACAAGCTGAAATACTTTGAATCCTTAGATGTACGTTGACTTCCTATGGGAAATTATATTCTCAATACATTGAACACGTTGTTACACGTCCAAAAACAGAACTGATATATCCCCTAAACTAGTCATGATGTTCAAGCTCTTGCTTGTGCTCTACCTTCTCAACACGACGCTCAAGATCCTGGCCAGCAGCGAATTTGGCCGTGTCCATAAGAGGAACGAACAAGGGCGCTTCGGTAAAGAGATATCGCATTTCCTCAAGAGGGCGGTTGGCGGTCTCGGGGAGGATGGCCCAGAAGTAAACAGCGTTGGTAAAGTTGCAGACCTGAGACTTGTTAGTTGGGACTCCGGGTTCGGTAGGTATAATAGGGACCTTACAATAAAGACTATATACCATTTCCAGCCAATACCAGTCTTATCGTCAAGAGCAACAGATGTGGTTTGGCCAATCATGGTGTTGAAAGCAAAGGACATCATAGTAGCCAGCGACACTCCCTTGGCACGAGTCTTCATATCAAAGATCTCAGCAGGGATAATCCAAGATAAGGGGCCACATGTAGCGCTGAAAGAGAAATTGTAGATCCATGTGACAACGATGAATCCCCATCCAGCAGCACCGCCACCGTTGTTGGACCCAGGAGGGAAACTGGCGAGAAGAACAGTTGCAATAATGAAGGTGATGCAGTTGAGAATGTTGCCGCTGATAAGTGGCCAGCGTCGTCCTGTGCGGTCGATGAAGAGCATGCATAGGAATTGAGCCACGAGAGCGATGACGGAGGAAATCATCTGGTATCGGAGGGTCTCGTCACCTTGAATGCCGATCTTGGCGTAGATGGCAACAGAGTAGTACTGGATAGCGCTGACACCAGTCATTTGCGCAGCGACCTGGACAGAGATGGCAAGCCAAAGTCGTCGAAAGCACGACTTGTCAGTGAAAAGCTCACTGTAGCTCTTTGCAGAAGCTTCATGCTCAAGAGCAAGACGCTCCTGGATCTGGTCGAACTCGGCTCTCACCCATGTGTCGTTCACATCACCGTTGGCGTGAAGTTTCGCAAGAGTCTTGAGACCTTCCTCTTCACGGCCGTGATCGATCAACCATCGGGGTGATTCGGGGAAGAATAGAATAAGAGCAGCCAAGACGACGGCAGGAAGGTTTTGAATGCCGAGGGGAATGCGCCATTGGCCTGAGTTGTCGTCTCCGATACTTGTGTACGTTCCGTAGCCGATTGCTGTAGCGATAAGTGCGCCTACACCGAGCATGAATTGCTGAAGTGCTGTTACACGACCTCGGATATCGGGATGGCAAAGCTCGCCTTGGTAGACTGGGACGATCATGACGAGGAAACCGACACTGAGGATGTTAGCTTTGGTTAGAAGAGACTAGGCAAGACACATACCCGAGACCAGCAAGACAACGACCGGAGTAGAGATAGTTGATGTGATCAGCGGCAGTCTGCAGACTTCCTCCGAGGATGAAGATGAGGGCACCGATCATGATGGTCCATTTTCTTCCCAAACGATCTCCGGCATAGCCAGCAAACATGGCACCAAAGAATGCACCGCCAGTAAATACCGAAACTACAGCGCCGCTACAGTCTGTTAGATGAGCCTTTGTGGATGAGAGGGTAGACATACGTCGCATTGGGATCATCGCCGAATTTGCTCTTAAAGTTACCAGATGCAATAACTTCGGCAATGACACCAAGATCATAACCGTATAGCAAAGAACCTAGCGATGCGAAGACGGAGACAAGGAACTGGTACCACTTTGGTGGGAGAGCCATGATGAATATGGTGCTGCTTTGTTGAAGCAGGCGATGAAGAGCTAGAAACGTAGGGTGATGGATGCTTCTTATATATAGTGCTCCTAGACATGCTCCGTAAACAATGAGATACAGTCATGACTAGACAGGGGCATGATCCGAGTACCCGACTTTCCGCGGTTATGATACAAGGCATCAGCAGTAAATGGGACTAAGGCAGGGAACTTTTCAGCAAAGACCATGAAAGAATCCCAAGCGGAGAAAGGGAATAACAAGATTGACGCAACCATCGTATGTCCCTGCCCATGGGGAGAAGATAAATTGGAGTTCGCCTAACGACTTCCCCACGGAGGTGGAGATTGATAACAGTAGTCATGATGGGGAAGGATCTTTTGCCCGTGGGGATGGATATCTGGTGATAGGTCTAAATGGCGGAGTGTCCTGTAGTTGAGTTCCTGTCACTCGGAAATTAAAGCGATTCGAGTGCCGTATATTCCGATTGGAGCGCACAATTGCGGCTCTTCCTTCACTCTATTCAAGACTAAGACATAATCTCGTTGCAGGCAAGTTTGGTTGGTGCGCGAAGGATAGTGAGAGCGGAATCGAAGAGAGCTTGTTGACTGACTTACATGGTTTATCTTAGTTAGTGGAGAGGCCGTTGAATCGGATCCCTGTAGTCTCCATTATTAGCGTTTTTATCGTGCACATGTCAAAGACCAGACAGTTTAGCTTCTACAAAGGGTATCAATGCAATGGAACTATAAAATATGCATAACCATAATAGCCATCGTCTCTCATGTACAGACTATGTAATAGATGGATACAGCCGGGCCTTTCTTCAACTGTATATCATATTACTGAACCACAACTGCAGAATACAAGGATCTGAATAGCCTCGGAATTGAGTTCCTTAGTCTCGTGTTGTGGGAGAAACCAAGCGCACCAATCAACATGTCAACCCACACCAAAGAAGCGCGCGAACCAGGGTCTTTTAAGCAGGGATCGAGGCTTGATACAGTAAACGGTACACCTGACGACTGACAGGTTTTAGTGGCATCTTTAAAGGTGAGGGGAAGTTGTAAGTCGACTGACTGACTGATAGCTAGCCAAGTAGACACGCATGCCAGATAATTAATACTGGAGATGAGGGGCTAAGAGTAGACATAAATTGTCCTCCTTGTATCAGGGCTTTTCTTTTCTTTTTTCTCTATAACATTCACTCTTGCAATTGTTGTCATTGCAAGTATATAGATCAATATGGCTACATTTACTCGAATTGCCGACGATGAGCGTCCCAGCATCTCGGTTGACCCCAGTGCTGTCATCTCCACCATTGACGATAACATCTATGGTGGTTTCACAGAGTATGTCTCACATTTTTCACTCTTGTCTCACTCATACTGACATGAATCCCTCAGGCACATGGGTCGCTGCATCTACGGCGGTATCTACGACCCAGGCAACCCCCTCTCTGATGAGAACGGCTTCCGAAAGGATGTCATCGAGGCCATGAAGGAGCTCAACTGCCCTGTTGTTCGATACCCAGGTGGCAACTTTGTTGCAACATACCATTGGCAAGACGGTGTTGGTCCTCGCGAAAAGAGACCTGCCAGGTGAGTTTTCCTCCGTATCAAGTTAAACAGAACCAGGACTGACGTTTGGGAAGACCCGAGCTTGCTTGGATTGGTACTGAGAGTAACGAGTTTGGTACAGATGAGTTTATGAAATGGTGTGAGGTTGTCGGTACCGAGCCTTATCTATGCCTCAACTTCGGAACTGGTGAGTTTTGTATCTTTCGGCTCGTTGTTCTATATATGCTAATTACTGTCCAGGCACTCTCGATGAAGGTTAGTCTAGCTCCAAATGAGTCCTTAAGCGCAAATACTAACCTCTACAGCCCTCGCATGGGTTGAATACTGCAACTCTGACCGACCAAGCTACTACGCCAACCTCCGTCGTCAGAACGGACGTGAGAAGCCCTATAACGTACTTCCCCCCAATTCTTCCCTTCAAGCCTCTCACTAACACATCTTTACAGGTCAAGTACTGGGCTCTCGGAAACGAGATGTGGGGAGCATGGCAAGTTGGCCAGATGACAAAGGAAGACTACGCAAAGAAGGCCTACCAATGGGCCAAGGCCATCAAGCTTCTAGACCCCAGCGTCACCCTCATTCTTTGCGGCGAGACAGGACACAGCACCTGGGACTCATACGTTATCAAGGAGTGCATCAAGTTTGATATACACGGCTTAGGCGGCAGCACCACTGCTAGTCTAATTGATCAGCACAGTATTCATATCTACACTGCCAGCTCAGATCATTACAAGAACGCCACAGGTGAGTTTGGCTTGAGACAATACGCTCGATCGCAGTATACTAACGAACACAGCCCCTCGTTCTGCTGAGCGTGCCATCGAAATCACATCCAGCCTCATCGATCTCGCCCGCATCGAGAACGGTGTCCCTCCCACCGTCCCTCGTCAAAAGATCTGCTTCGACGAGTGGAACGTGTGGGATCCTGAGCGCGCCCCCGGTGAAGAAGGTGCCGAAGAGAAGTACAACCTCTCTGACGCCCTGGCAGTCGCCATCTGGCTCAACGTCTTTATCCGTCAGAGCAAGCACGTCGGCATGGCCAACATTGCTCAGAGCGTAAATGTCATTTCGCCTCTCATGACCACCAAGGACGGTCTTCTTAAGCAGCCTACCTGGTGGCCTCTCCTTCTGTACAGCAAGTACATGCGCGGTTCAACTATCGCTATCAACCTTCGTGGAGGAGAGTATCTCGGTGAGACGCATCCCAAGTGGATTCGCGGTACTATCGAGACGCCTTGGTTGGACGTTAGTGCGGCGCTGGATAAGGATGGTACTGTCAACCTTGCCGTGGTGAATATCCACGAGGAGAAGGACTTCGAGACTGAGCTCAAGGGCTTGAGCGGAAAGGACGTCGAGGTTCACAGTGTTAGTGGAACAGATGTCAAGGTTGTCAACACAGCGGAGAAGGAAGAGGTTTGTATTAAGGAGTCTAAGTGGAATGGTGAGGGTTTGTTCAAGTTCCCCAAGCACTCTTTCACTCTGCTACGGTGGAAGCAGTAGACAGTCTTTAATCAGTTAGAAGGGAACAAAGATATAGATGTCTAGATGCAAGTCATGAATCCTGACCAAAAGTAAATTATGCCAATGCTTGTGCCGTCAACTCTAACCTTTCAAATAATGCATATACTCGCCATTCTCATGGGGTTAGTTAGACACTCGTATCTAATTGTCATTAATATATCATATTATTTACCTTGTGCCTTGTCCTTCTCTTTGAAGGTAATCATTCTGACCATTGCTTAAACACAAAAACTCACGTCAAACTCCTAACCCGCAAGTACATCAATAGCAAACTTTCCAACCACGTCTCTTAACTGATTCAAAACTCCCTCCTCAGTCCAAAAATGTCCCGCCGTTTCAATTTCGACTCCTCTGAACCCGGAGTCCGCTTTCTCGCGCAACCTGGCCGTCCAAGATCTGAACCTTGACGCAGCTGTGAACCCATCCTGATCCCCAAAGATCACTAATGATGGATTCGTGATAAGCTTTTCCTCCGCCGCCGCATCATGCGGATCCTTATTCTTTGTGAGCGCCGACGGAAGAACTGACATGGACAGTGCGTGCATGACGATGCCTTGAGGTGGTGAGATCATGAGATAAGCCGGCCTCGGTATGGTGAGATCCGTAATTCTCGGTAGACTTTCTCCCGGTTGGGGCTGTTTAGGAACCTTTGGCGGAGACGTCTGCGAGACATTGCGAGAATGCCTGCCTACCCGCGCCTTTGCGATAAAGTCATGAACGCCCCTTCGGAATCTCTCATCGTCCAAGGAAAAGCTTCTTCTTGCGCTTGATTGGCTTCGTCGGGGACTGCGACTACCACTCTCATCACCGCCAACTCTGACACCGCGCTTACTCCTCCCTCTCGACCCTTCCATCATAGCAGACCGCGTACTCGACAGGATGACATTCTGCTGTTCGGCTAAATGCTCAGCTCGAAGGCGAACTTCTGCTGCATCAGAGCCTGCAATTGGTGAAATGAATGGCTGGAGGATCGCATCGAGCGGGGGTATCCGAGTCGTTACAAATGCACCATATGAATAACCACCCATAAGCAAGACTGGTCGTACTCGAGGAGCTGGAGTGATGACCGCATCTAAACTGATTGATATGTCTGGACTTGTCGGCGTCGAGGGTTCGCTCTGCAGACCGTTTTCTATATGTGGTTTGAAGGGATCGAGATAGTGGACGTAGTGTAAAACAAAAGCCACAACGGTCGCATAGTCATCTCGTTCGGGTTTCGAGGTCCATGAAGTCCGTCCGGCAGATCCATGTGCACCTCTGCGTCTATTAGCATTCCGGAAGTTATCGCTTAGAGAGCAACGCACCGGAAATTAAAAGTCGCTACCAAGAAACCCTTCCGAAGCAATTGCGCAGCCGCAGCTCCTACCACAGGATCATCATAGCATCCTCCCATGGGTGCATACGGATGAGCCACCACAGCGGCATGTTTCAGCCATGTTGGCGCTTCTGGGTTCGCAGCTAGCGAGAGAGGATGGTAGATACGGCAATCAAGATGGGTTCCATCGTTTATGCTAGGAAAGGTAAGTGCGATTGTTGGTTCCGGAAGCATCGTGACCGTGTCATGACATGTTGGTTACAAGTCAATTGGTTTGAGTTGAGATGAACAGAAGAAGTTGGAGAAGAGAACAATAAATGGGAAACATGACATGGGATTGTGGAGGGAATAACTACGTCAAATCCTGGGGAAAGCTGGTGCACGGACACGGCAATACAGCCGAGAGTCACAAGCAAAAATAGCTTCAATACGTAATTATGATTGGGGCATTATTATTGATGTCATTAAATATATCCATAAGGATATCAGCTCAAAGATAATCGCATCAAGTCAATTAGAAGTTTGCTTCATCAAGATGATACCCATATTGTCAACAGATGACATGGTCTTCACTGTTATGTAGGCTTAGACGCAAGCAGAGCTGACACGGATGCTTTAGTTCGAACACAAGAAACATAATATTAGACTCATATCTATACATCTATAACAATTCAAAACATTTCTTATTGTGCCTTTTTCTCTCCGGCATCCTTTGCCCTCTGCTTCCTCCTCTTAATCCATCCTCTAAGCTCGTTGATCAGCCCCATCACCAGCGGCACACCCACTGGTCCAAGGAGGGGCAGGTAAACTGCAATTTTATGCTCATCAGGGAAATACAACTGACCAACCATGCTCTTCTCAAAAAACGCCCTTTCTGCTTCTTCCTCGGCGATTCTAGCATGCAGGAGTCCAGAAGGCGCGCCCAGACTGGCGCATGCTTGTTGAAGGTGCTCCATACTGGATGAAACGCCTTCGGCCACACTGTGAGGGATAGAGATGGAGGGGAGGGCAAGTGATAGTCTTGCCAATGAACCCAATGTGGATGACGCACGGAGCAGCAGATCTGCTGAACGGATGCGAGATAGTGTAGACAGTCGAAGAGGCAGGGATCCTGATTGAGGTGTACCTAAGAGCGAGAGCAAATGTCCAGTGAAAGTCAACATTGGCTGCTTCAGCGTCTCACTCGACACATGGGCTGTTGTCTCCGGAAGACTGAGCAGGTATACACTACCCCACTGAGGAAACATCCACGACTGAGCCGTCTCAGCTTCCGAGTCAAGGCCAATCTTCTGATCACCAATGTAAATAACAAAGTTGACAGTCGGGGCGCCAGCAATGGAAGGCGATAAAGGCCACTCGGCAGCATTGATGAAAGATGCCAGATCCTCCTTGCTCAATACCTGGGACTGAGCACCCGGTGTAGCATAGAGCTGCACCTGAGTATCAATTGTAAAGTTGTGGATAGGGCCCAACACATCAAGCATGGGCTTCATGTATTCCTCGATCGCATTTTCGATATCCCATGTACCAGGTGCAGCGCCGGCAGTGAAGAGCGAAAAGGTAAGGTGGTAGGTAGGCGAGTATCGTAGCGATCGGGTAGTTCGCTTGGAAAGCATATCGACGATCTCGGGGGTCAGACCTTGTGGTTTCGCATCGGGGGCTGAAGACGTCGAAAGGAGGTAGGAAATAATGGATTGTTCTTCCCGGAAGGTAGATTGGAGTTCGTTGGCGATATAAGTAGCAAGGGCGGAGGAGGAGGATGAAGCGGATGGTACAGCGTTGGAGGGATATGCGATATTGAGAACAGCTGAGTCGGGGTCGAGAGAAGCAGAGTTGCTTTCACCAGGCGCAAGCTGAATCGTCAAAGCGACGTGCGAGTCGTCGTCGGCAGCAGGTGATGGCGAAGCGTCGCTTTTAGGAGCGAGTTGGAGACGGAGGTGGTGACCGGAGAAATCATTGTGATCGTCGAGAGCGTGCTGTGTCAATCGCACAAGATTCTGCGCTTCGTTGTCCTGTAGCGCATCGGCCTTGACAGAGATCTGAAGGGGAAACACAGGGCGACAAGCCTGGTACCATTAGCACCTATACAATTCACCTCCAGAAACCCAAAACTAAACACACCTTTCCCTCAGCCCATTGCATCATCCCATCGATCGGAAGGTTCGCGCGATAGATCGTTGTAGTTTTCCACCATATTGGCACACCAAGACAGAGGACAAGCAACCAAAAGGAGATGACAATGTGGGTTCTCCTTGAAGCGTCGGATGGTTTCTCGGGGGGTGGCTCTTGGGCCTGAGGCGCCGCGGAAGTGTCTTTGACGTCGCCGGGCGCCATTATGCCGTCCGGGAGAGGTAGATGTTGAAGATTTAGGCGGGGGAGTTTGAACGATTGCTCTTATCAAAGCTCCCTGTCGATTCGATGTACTTGGTGGAGGGAGCTTAGCTTAGACACGACATCACGATATCACGTGAGGTCGGTAGGTCTAAGCGCCGATGCCGATGGTGACATGCCAGGAGGATTCAACTTGCTTGAATTACCTAGTTAATGACATTGATCATTTTATCTATTTGTCTGTTGTTCAATGGACTAGACGTAGGTATTATCATGGCAAGCACTGAAAAATGTTGGACCAAAACAAAAAGCCAATTGACCGAACTTTACAAAATAACGAGCCTTCTCAAAGGCTATTCCTCTCATCAGGTTGTACCAGGGATGAAATTAATAGGTCAGTTTATGCTACTTAGGTCAGACTTCTTAGGCAGTTTATTTTTATATCCTAAAGCTTGGAGGTCAACTCATCTGATACCCTCTAGATACCTAGGTAGCACTATGACACAAAAATATAGTCTCATTACGATGTAGTATAGTAACGAGACAAGTCTTCTTCTATCTACTATGTGCTTGGAACGATGACACCCTACAGACCAACTAATTTTCGAGAATCACCTCCCCATCTGATCTAGTCCAGCCCTGTAAAAGACCGTGCTGATTAAATTCAAGGTTAATCTGATGCAGGTCAAAGATCGCCAGGAACCGTCAGCACTCTCTTCTTTTCTTTTTTCGCCTTCTCTCAACTACTACATAGAAGCATCTCTTGGCATTATATCTCCCTCTCCATATTTATTCCCGTAGGCTCGGCACTTGGCATCACATCGGCATGGCTACCGAGGCAGGTGAAAGCAAGCAAGTTTCTATGTATTTGGCTTGGCATATGCAGCATCAAGCAAGGCACTGAATATAAGCATATCGGCCCTAATAACCATCATCCTTTCCCAACTCTAACCTCATCGATGTACCTAGAATCAACGGACCTAGGTAGATTACCTTCATTCGCTTAGAACCCCTACACGACGTCGGCACTTTTGTGGAGAGCTCTGTCGTCACCTTTGACCTGTTATCGATATCAGCCCATCCATAGACCCACGTCACTGTTTATCTTTACGTCCTCTCCCTTCCTCCCCTCCTAACCCTCAACCACCAACAATGCCTCGTACGTATAAACCCAAGCCCTTCGTTTATACACTCTCTAACACTTCTCAGTCCCTCTTGTGGTAACCATTCCCGCAATCGCGGCTTCCATAGCCTACCTGAGCGTCCGCGCCTCAGTATGGTACGACCTCTTGCTCCTGCGCTGCGTCACCTTCGGCGCATCACGCATGTACTACCGCGAATGGACCGACCGTCTGAACCTCTACTACCTTCTCGAAAACATTGCCACGAACAAATCCACGGCTGATCGCGCGCTGCTCATTTTCGAAGGCAAGCGCCACTCGTACAAAGATGTTTACGAACAGGTCCTGAAGTACGGACAGTGGCTCAAGAAAGAAGGTGTCAAGAAAGGCGATATCGTAGCGTTGGACTTTCAAAATTCGGATACATACATTTTTCTCTGGTTGGGACTCTGGAGCATTGGTGCGAAGCCAGCTTTTTTGAACTATAACCTCTCTGGTGCATCACTGGTGCATTGCATAAAGGCTGCTACAACAAAGCTATGCATCGTGGATCCCAATGTTGAAGAGAATGTCGGAAAGGATGTTCGCGATGAGTTGAAGGATATCCGCTTCGTCGTCTATACTCCTGAGGTTGAGGCGCAAGTCGCTTCCATGGACGCTGTCCGCGTACCAGACTCCGAGCGATCCGAAAAGAGCCTTTCGGCAATGGCAATTCTCATCTACACCTCTGGAACTACTGGTATGCCCAAGGCAGCTATCGTATCATGGGGAAAATTGATCGTTGCTGGTTCAATGGCCGAACAACTCCTCGACCGTTCCAAAGGCGACATCATGTACTCCGTAAGTGCAAACCTTTCTAGACTCTATGCCCTGCTAACCATCTAGTCAATGCCTCTTTATCACTCTTCTGCGACAATCTTCTCTTTCAGTGCGACACTTCTCTCAGGAAGCACCCAGGCCCTCGGTCGCAAGTTCTCCGCAAGAAACTTTTGGAACGAAGTCCGCGCTTCAGGCGCAACATCCATTCTATACGTTGGCGAGACTCTTCGTTACCTGCTCTCTTCACCACCACAATATGACCCTGAAACTGGTGAATGTCTTGACAAGAAGCACAACGTCAAAGTCGCTTTCGGCAATGGTCTGCGACCGGATATCTGGAACGAATTCAAGGACCGGTTCGGTATCGAAGGAATCTGTGAATTCTACGCTGCTACAGAAGGAACTTTTGCGACTTTCAACCTGAGCAAAAACGATTTCGCTGCGGGTGCCATTGGCCGAAACGGCTGGATTTACAATCTCATCTTGAGTCAATCCGTCGCTCTCGTGGAAGTAGACTGGGATACCGATCTTCCAAAGCGCAACCCCAGCACAGGAAGATGCTACAAAGCGCGCACCGGCGAACCAGGCGAGATGCTTTTCCGCCTGCCCTCCGGCAACCCCTTCCAGCGATTCCAGGGATACTACGGCAACCGCGCTGCCACTGAAGCAAAGGTTCTTCGTGGCGTGTTCAGCAAGGGTGACGTTTGGTTCCGAACAGGCGATGTCTTGCGATGGGACGGTGAAGGTCGCGTCTACTTCCACGATCGCATTGGTGACACCTTCCGCTGGAAGGGTGAAAATGTCTCTACGGCTGAAGTGAGCGAGGCCATGTGTAAGCACGCCAGCGTCAAAGAAGCGAATGTTTATGGTGTAAGCCTGCCTCATCACGATGGACGAGCGGGATGTGCATCGGTCCATCTCGCCTCCGATCCCACGCCCAAGATCATGCAGGACATAGCGACGCATGTGCACACAGAGTTGCCCAAGTATGCGAGACCTTTATTCCTGCGAATCGCGACTGAGTTGGGTGGCGGACAAATCACTGGAACCATGAAGCAGCAGAAGCACGCTTTGCGAGAAGCAGGCGTCGATCCTGCTGAGAAGAGTTTTGGTGACGTATATTGGCTCAAGGGGGGCAGTTATGTCCCGTTTACGGAGAAAGACTGGAATGAGATGAACGGCGGCAAGGTAAAGTTGTAGGATGCCTATATTAATATGTATATATGTTGACAGGATACCCATGAAAATAATATAATCGCATAGTTCAAGCTTGTTTCAACATACCTATATTGCATAATTAATGCTGAAATGATGGCCTTGATCTTTCAGCCAAGTCTTGGTTTAAATAATGACTATTGACAGATGTATTCATCTATAGACGTATTGATATAATATGTAATATGATGTGATATGTCCATTGATGCATCATGTACGCTCGAACCAAATCCTCCTCTTACACAGTCCGTGAGTGGGTTCATTACACGTCACAATATTTTGGTAAATCTTCTTCCTCAATGCTCTCCACCAATGAATGAATGACCTGAAAATGGTCTTGTCTGATCAACTTATGATCCTGCTATGCCCAAGCCAACACGTTGCTGGCCGTTTCCACTAGGGGCTGTGCCGGTTCGTTCTCGCATCCTTCTACCCTCCATCAGCCCTCTGAGTCCTCGCTTCTGAAGTCCAATCACACTGCTGAGTTCGCCGCTCCATACAAAGTTGTCGCGCTCGCTACCTCCAACCTCGGATGAGCTCCATTCCGAACCACTCTGGCTTGTTGTAGCAGATAGTTCATCACTAGAAGGTCGGTTGAATTGCTGCACATTCGTGTTTAGGGACAACCCCTCGGTTCGATTCTGCAGGTCCGATGAAAAGCCGTCACCTCCAGATTGTCCCAAGGAAAAGTCCGATGTAGCTGTAGGCGAGCCGACGGGGTCCAGGGTTCCAACAAAGAAGTTGGGGTTGAGGGATCCATCAATGCCTCGGCCACCACCAGCCGCCATAGCCGTCGCATTGAATACTGCTGCGGCGTTTCGGCTATCGAGTAGGGAATGGAGTCGTTCAACGACAGATTCCAGTAGTCCATCTATACGGTAGGGTCGAGCAATCTGCAAAAGCGAACAAAGGATTTGAGGTGTGCAAAGAGGCGAGGTTTGCGGGGGTAGAGAGCTTGTGTAGAGGAAATGGAGCAATGCTTGAATCGTGAGATAAGTATGGGGGAGGTAGAGACATCGCGGTCGTGAATTTGGCGGTAATGAATGAGGCGTAGGCGCCGCGTTGATGTTCGTCGGGTTGGCTTCATGGCCCATAGCACCTGACGAGAGACTGGAGGCTACTGTGCTTGGTGGAACACCAGAAGAGCCCAAGGAACCTATAGTGCTGATCATTGATGCTGAACTGTCGGCTACCCTTGAGTTGGGCGTGATTGTTATAGCCGACGCACGTAAGGGGTTGCTGGACAAACCGGACCGAAGAGTCATGGCATCGCTTCCGTCTTGTGTCGCTGTTCCTTCGCGAAGAAGTTGCACGAAATAAGGCCCCCATCGTCGTCCAACAATTCTTGAATTGACAGGGATTCGTTCGCCGCCGATGCAAAGAATATCCATATCTGCGAGTTCCCGCATGGCGAATGATTTCTCGCCAAGCTCCTCGCTCGCCCTCGAATGGTATCGCCCGCCCGCAGTGTATCCGGCTTTGCGTGCCAAGCTCAAGCCCGGCCCAGCGTAGGGGCTGCTTGCTGAGATGAAACCGGAAAGGGGGCTGGTCTTGCGGGGGTTATCGTAGAAGCCGAAGGCTTCCAGCTCAACCATGCATACGTTGGAAAAGTTGATACGTCGGTGATTATAGTCATCGACGAGACTTCTTTTCCGATTGCCCAAGATCACAAAAGTGTTTCGGCGGTTCCACAAAACACCACGGTTCCAGCTGCCCTGGCTAAAGACACTTCCTCCCGCATCAATTCGACTCCAGGTCAATGTTCGTAAATCGAGAGCCCAAAGCGCGTATTCTTGTCGCGATGAAGTGAGATAAGTGCCGCTGACAACGAAATGCGTATCAATAATTCCTCCGTTCGGGAATCGCAGTCCTGGTGGTGAGTAGTTGCCAGTCATTGGCCTTTCTGTGAGAGTGCCATCTGGTGACCTAATTTGTAACTCCAGCTTGACATCCAAGAAATTGTAGTTGCAGTAGATCAGCATTGATGCGCCTGGCTCGCGGGCTTCTTGGCTGATACCTCCGTCGGGGCCTTGCATTCCATTCGACTGTTGTCGCCCAAGCTTGGAGGCCACCGCAGGGGGCAGAGGGGCAGTAACACTCCTGTATGCGCCCCAGCTTTTATTCAGAGGCTCTGTTGACGTCCATTTCAGGCTTCGCAAGTTGAAGACACTAATCTGTTCAATATAGTTGTTTCTGCCGTCTTGTCCACCAACAATCACCATTTCTGCACCTCCTGACCCATCAATATTAATGCCGATTCGTCCTTCGTTAGGATTACTGGTTGAGGGATTGTGTTGTAGAGCGGAAAGAGGTGCGCGGTGTGAAGAGAATGAGGCCGCCGAGGGCAGGATACACGCGCAATGGGCGTATCGGCCCTGTGGGGGATCCTGTGTCGGGATAAACGTCCAGGCTCTAGTGTTGACGTCGTATACATAAATATCCGACATGACAGTAATTTCAGGCTGCTGCTGGTCGGCACCAGGAGGTTGGTTCGGAGCGGGTGACATGCCTCCGTAGCAAACCATCTTAGTATCGCCCAGCGCGCACATAGAGTGGAAGTATCGTGGCGGCGGCACGTCGCCAGTCGTTTCCAATTTTGTCCAATGTCGTCGGATAAGGTCCAGCTCGTACATGTCCGATGTCAGGGGAGCAGGACGACTCCTAGACAGAATCCTTCCTCCAAAGACATAAAGCTTATCTCCTAAAATGGTGGTCGTCGCTCCAACAAGAGCATGAGGTTCGCGTCCGGTCGTTCGGTGAACATTGCACATAAGGCCAGAAAGATGCGTAGAAGGGCCATTAGACGGTCCACCCACGGTGTTGGATCGGCCTTGCGCGACATTTGGTGATGGTCCTCCAGAACCCGACCCGGTACCTCTTGGCTTTAGGTCATTGTTGGGATCCTGAGAGTCATACCTGGCGCTTGACACGCTGCCCATGCTGTTGTTCGTTTCATGGCCACCGTACGGATACTGCGCTTGAGGACCGGACATTGATTCCATAGTGCTGGGCCGGCTATCGAGATAGCTGTAGCCTTCTGGCTTCGGAGGTGGTGTTGGTAAGGGTGATGTTGAAGGTGACGGGTCGGGGAATTTCAAGTCTGTGATCTCCCCTTCTGGCACGCTAGGTAGATTAGGGGAGGTCGAGTCGTGCGGGGATATTGAATCTCGGCAAGGAGGTGATTTCGGTAGAGGTTTCGCGAGGCTGTATTGAAGCGTCAAGTTTCGAACATGCTGAGGATTTTGTATCTCGCTTGCTGTCGGAACACTCGAGGTGGAAGAAGTCGCAGAGTGCAGACTATTGGACGAGTTCTTTAAGTTTAACCGCGAAGGGCTCCGAGAGAGCTTGACAGAGGGTAGCTTTCGAATGCCTCGATAAACGCCAGCGAGGATATCGGGGGTGTATCGGCCGGAAGGTTTCTCGTCGTTGATCTCAGAAAAGCGAGGGAGCTCGATGTTGCCTAGTGAACCCTTGCGGGACGTTAGTTCTGGAGTGTCGCCCATTGTGCCTGGCTTGTGGCAGTGAATAGCAAAGCATGAGGCGATGCGTATGTGGTCAAAGAAACAAAGGACATATAGCAAGGGCGGGGAAGAGTAAAGGAGCTTGCACAAAGGCTAACCAAACAGGAAGCAGAAGCAACAAGATAACCAGCGAGACGGGAGCCAAGGCAAAGGATATGCCCGAGAGGTTGCGCTGGAGATCGTGAGTACGATCCGGTGAAGACAGGGGCGTCACCGCCAAAGATGGGTCAGGACAGGGCAGAAGGGCAGGGTCAGGTAGGGTTAATTAGCGAGGGGAGACTCACAGAGGCTCCAAGGCTGATGGAAAACGTGGAAGGGCTGAAGCTGGAGTCGTAAACTCAACAGCCAAGGGAGAGAGAGACGAGGCGGAGGAACGGAAGAGTCGATGGTCGCGGGGGAAGAGGCTCCGTCTGGAGACAGGACCGAGATGGGCGACCCGAAGAAGGATAAGAACGACAGGGACGGGGCGGGACGGAGAAAGACCAGGGCCAAGGGCCACGCGGTGGAGAGAACAAAACAGGACAGGGCCTGAAGTGCGACAGTGTTGAGATGAAATGGCGTATGCAGCACGTACGTTATCGCTGTAAGGGAGAATAGCAGCCAAGATTGATCGTCGCAGAGAGGAATAATAATATGTAACTTGTTGCGATGCAAAGTTTAAGGAGGCAGACTACTGAGGAGAAATGCAAATGCAGGCGGGACACAGTATCGTCCAATGTTAGCGCCGCTGTGTTCTTTTTTTTTTTTTTTTACCCCTTGACGACTACTACTGACCGACATACATATGCCAGGCACGGGACAGCACAGCACACGGTAACAAATGAAGCGAAGGCATACGACTGGACCACCGTTGGGTCCTGAAGTTGTGATCAAGGGATTGGACCAACGTAATTGGATATTCTAGTCAGGGTCATCAAGGTGAAGACAATCTGACAGGGTTAGTTTTGGCAGCGGGCAGAGGTTTGGCAGCTGAACGCACGGGCCAAACCGACACCAACAATAAAGGAGTTATACATATGAGATACCCACCTGTTGATCAAACACCCATTGTACCATATAGATAATCCTACCCAAGTTAAACGCACGGTATCAATGATTTTCTATCTTCCATCCACCTGCAAAGTAACTCACTTTTGTCCTCGTGTCCTAACGTTAGGTCCCTGGACGGGAACGATAGAGCAGACCCGCATGGCCAAAGTATATCTGTTAGCTCTGACACCTTTTAGTCTACCCTGGAAGACGGCTCGGTTTCGGATACAGTACCTCTGCAGGGGCACTACAAAGCTTCTGGAACAAACCCTGAAGCCGGGTAAGATCGACTATAGTACCGTGTCTACTAAGGCTATGACGACAAAGGGGGTTCTACTATTCGTGTTTCAGGAACCATGAAGGAGAAAAAAATCCGGTAGTTAAAGGACATACCGACTCCATCTCAAGAGTAACCAAATGACAAAAAAGTCGACCTATAGCCTCTAGACTGAGCGTATATTGGCATGGTGCTTGATAACCAGTAACATCTCCTCAATTTGAGTTACCTGAAGGCAAAAAGAGTCAACTGCGGCACAATTGATCAAATGCTGACCCCCAAGTTCCAAACCTGCTAAGCGCTAACTGAGCCACAGGGGAAACAGTCAAGGATAGCACATCCCAGCATGAAGGAACAGACCAAAACATTTAACAAAACATTAAACAAATTATTCATAAGCCAAGATATTTAATTTTGGCGTTACTATTACTACCCTTGCTATATGTAATGCAAAGTCAGGACGATGGAGAAGTCTTAAAATGCTCTCGCTATAGGTAGTTCTTCGGACGAACCCCACCTGACAGATGGAGAGGGATATTAGCTCACCGATGGGACCCCCTAATTCAAAGGAAAAACCGGTAATGTTGGCCCTTGAGCCCCTAGAATCTCGGGTAGAAGAAGTTGGGCACTTTTTTCTTCAGTAACGACAAGGGTCACCCAGCTTTCTGGGTTCGCTGGTCCCGGGTCCGCACAACGGCCAATCTATTACGACGTCTCTTATGGACGAATCATTATGAAGCTAAAGACAACACCTAGAGAGATGCAAGGGCTATATAATCCAAGCTCAAGTTCAGTGCGCGATATAGCTATGCTCGCAACGATCATAAGTATAGCATAAATACATATCTTTCTGCAATAATTTGATTGAAATTATCAATGCTTGCTTCTGCCACCAACATAGTTGAAGTTGAAGGGTTTTTCGTATTCGCACTTCGGGCCCGTGAGCATTCACCACACTTTTCTTAACAGCTCAGGCCCTCCACAACACCGAGTCATTTACGCGGTTGATCTGCTGATTCGACCTCCTATGGAACTTATGATAGAGAAATTAATTTACTAATGACAAGTGATATGTAGATCTGTTTGTTCCCAAACCGACCCTCGGTCGTGGCACAAACTAACGTTAGAGAACAAGGGCTCAAAGCGTCGTCACCAGCAAAACAAGGCTGACAGGTCAAGAAGCTCGTACGTACACGGACTTAGCTGAGCACATACTAAACATGATATATGATACCCTTGAGCCTCGTCAGCTGAGATTAGGCCGCCAGAATTCCAAACTGCCTGAGAGTTAGCCTCCTAACTCTTGGGGTACACAAATAAGTAAGTAGCCTAAGAGCCATGGTCTCCGGAGCATAAACTGACTCACTAATTTCGTCTCTTATACTTCCAGCGATCGATTTTTCTGATACTATAAGGACTGCATACTACCAGGTATGGTGTGGTCTCTGATGTATATCATGAAATAGGGATGCCGATCAATGCTGTACAAGATGATGACCCCTGAGCAGCCTTCAGCATTGAAAATAACCCGTCAAGTAACAAATGATGAGCTATTGTTTGTGAAAGTCGTGTCTAGATCCAAGCTTCTGTCCTGTAACGCAGTGGAGCCGTGGCTGCTTACTCTAAACCAGCTTGAGTAAACAGTGCGATGGTGTGGCAAAATGAAGTGAAATTGTATCAAAGAGAGTACTCAACAAACTCGATAGGACGAGTGTATTGTAGTGAATAACATAGTAGACTAGTAGGCGGCTGAGTTATCAAATGCACCCTCAAAGTGCAGTCCAATTGACTGTCCCACCTTCCAATTACGTCTTGTCAGAACTTCAACCCCGCACAAGTAATCAACCAACTGAACAACTTCTAAAAGACAAGAACAAAAAGGAAGAAGATGCCAGTATCAAAGCAAATAGTAGACGATGTCTTGAAGGCCATCCCTTCCCGCATCCGCGGTCCAGGCGGTGCCATCGCTGTCCTCTCAGAAGGCGCCCTCGTGGACCATCGCGTCTGGGGTTATGCAGACTTCAACCGCCGGATACCCATGACTCCAGACACTCAAATTCCCATCTGCTCCATATCCAAGCAGATGCTCTGCGCCTTGGTCGTGGATCTAGAGCGCAATCCGACTCCAGCTCTCAAGGCCAAGGGTGATGTCAGGGAGCAGTTTGAGACTAAGCTAAAGGAGCTTCTACCTGAGCTAGCCAAGACCGGAAAGCTGAAGCTGGATGACCTGTGCAACAATCGATCTGGCATTCGCGACTACTGGGCTATCACTTTGCTCTGGGGTGCAAAGCCAGAGGACCCGTACTCCTTGGCTGATCACAATGGCCCCATGCTTGATAGTCTCAAGTCATTCCACTTTGAGCCGGGCACTGAGTACTCTTACTCCAATACCAACTTCAACATTGTAGGACGAGTAGTCGAGGCTACGACTGGGGAGTCACTTGTATCCTTATTCAACGAGCGAATCTTTGTGCCTGCGGGCATGAAGACTGCAGAGCTGTGTGCAGATTCAGCAAAGCTACCCCCACCATGTGTCGGATATGAAGGGGATGAGCTGCGCGGCTACATACCCGCCGAGAACCGCATCGAATGGGCCGGTGACGCCGGCATCATCGCGTCTCTCACGGACATGATTGCCTATGAGTCATTCCTCGATCGTAGCCTGTTTGATCCTGAGAGCTGGTACCGCAAGATCTTCCAGCCCTCGACGTTCAGTGACGGTGTCCCTTCGACATATGCGCAGGGTTTAGCTCATACCGAGATTGGAAGCGTGGGGGCTATCGGTCACGGAGGTGCTTTGCGTGGCTACAGACTCTATCGAGCTCACGTACCAGAGGAACGATTGTCAGTCGTGGTCATGTTCAACCACGAGGCTGACGCAGCAACGCTATCGGAGTATATTATCCAAAACATCTTGAGTCTTCAAAAGCCAACTGCGCCTGCTCTGGTTGAAGCATCCCGTGCCTGGCCGGGTGTCTATCTCGACGAGGGTACTCAGTTGGCTATTACTGTGACCCTCGGCCAGAAGGGTCAGGTCCTGGTCATATATGCTAACTACGTCGAGCCTGTCAAACTAACCGACCCCGAGCGCGGCGAATCCAAGGGTATGGCGGCTGTAATCAACGGTGACATTCTTCGCATCCAGCGTCTAAAGGAGAACCGAGCCATCACCGCCAAGCGTCTCACTCTTGGAGCCATCGCTATAGATAGCTCGCCATTCGAAGGTGACTTTTACTCCCCAGAGATCAACTCGACTTTCCACTGCGTCAATCAAGGCGGTCTAGTATTTGGCACGTTCGATGGCTTCTTGGGCCAGAGTCCGGCTCAGTTCATGAGATATCTAGGTGATGATGTGTGGGCACTTGCAAACCCGCGAGGTATGGACGCAAAGCCGCCTGGTGACTGGACACTTGTATTCCGTCGTGATGATAAGGGTGCTGTTGTTGGCTTGACGATTGGATGTTGGCTTGCAAGGAAGATCGAATATGTCAGAAAGTGATTACAGCTCATACCAGCAATTGAGTTATCGACAGACTGCTTCGTGTTTCGAGGCGAATTGTCATGAACTGTTTTGCGTTGACTGCTTGAGAACTCAGACTTCAACAGCCAGTGTATGCTCCGCGATCATGTGCGAGCTTGATAGACGGTTACAGTAACAGACACAGATAGAGTTCAGACGTTGAACTTTCTAATTAGTCTATTCTATTCATAATATGTGTTATGACTATCGTCCGCCCCAGCTTACCAACTCGGAATGGCACTTGTCCCATCCATCAAAGTAAGGCTTTCTCTTCTCATCTCCTGCCTCACCCACACGGGCAAGATACTCAAGCACCATGTTTCCCCAAAGCCAACTCGCCGGTCCTCGTCCAGGATGCGTCTGGTCCTTGTATAGCATCGAGAGGGAAGCAATCATGCGTCCCCATTCAAACACTTCATGTCCAGCCTTGGCCGCAATCGCACGGGATAATCGCTCGAGATCGTAGATAGATCCATCCCTGGCGTCACTGACACGATGGATTGTCATGCTGCGGAACATGGTCGGCGCGTCGCCGAATTCGGTGGAGATGCGCTTGACAAAGTCGCGGATACGAGCAGCAGCGAAGCGCACTTCTTGCCAGACCAATTGGCGCTCGCGCGATCCCATGGGATACACATCCTTCTCGTGGTTCGCTTCACCAGCCTCCCAGAAAGCGCGCTGGTCCCAGAGGCCGTTCTGCCAGAGAATCAGGTCTGGTCTGTTGTTGGGACCGCGAACCTGGTCGTACATAGGTGTCCAGTACTTGTCCCAACGCTCCTCAAAAGCGATCTCCTCCATATCGTCCATCCACCACCAGTCCGGGCGGTACGTCATGGAACCGGCAAAGTGCCAGTGGACGAAGGTTAGGTTGAACTCGGGGATGCTGCAGCTGGCGATAGTGTGGGCCTTGGGCTGCTTCATGTTGTGCTTGAACTCGCTGCAGAAGAATTGCATCATGAATCGATCGACAGAGTCGCTGAACAGAACAATGCGACGACCCCAGAGCCAGCCAAAATCGCCGTCGTTCTTCATGGGAGCATAGGCGTCAGCCTTGGTGTCGGCGTTGGCTTTTATGGCCTTCTTTCGACGAACGCTCTCGGCGATGGCGTCGGGTAGCCATTGTCGCGGTGTGGAAGAGTGCTTGGTAAAGTCAGGCTCGGGTTCGGTCGCATTAAAGATGACCTCGCCGGCGGCAGGATAGACAGCGTAATCGGGCGATTCAGCCTCGAGGAAGTCGTCGGTGAAGGGAATCCATTGCGTCTTCTTGTATTGGTCGGTACCGTTTATATCAGCTGGGATGTAGAGATATCCAGGTTGACGATAAGGATCGTTGCAGTTCAATACGGGAATATCGGTTTGCTGTGTTGGTCTTAAAGTTTAAGATTAATCGTTAGCGTAAGCCAAGAGAAGTTGCCAAGTTTGTCTTCGGCGGGGTGGCGGAATAGCGTGATGGACTGAGAAAAGACGTACAATGAAGATGTTGGAGTTGTAATTGCTGTTGTTGTGTTAGGGTTGATGTACTCTTCTGCTTTGCTGTGTACATATGTCCAGGGGACTTCTAATGATTCTTGGAAGAATGTAAAGACGACCAGGAAAAGAGAGACGCTGGCCGCGATGATAACGCACGTCAAGACTGATGGACGTGACATGGTGAACATCATCCTCAAGACGGATGTTCTACCAGGATAAAAAAGAATGACTGTATCCCCTTGTAGTTACAATCCAAGACACCAAGAAGAAACAAAATAGAACAAAAGACTCAAGAAGAAGAAAAGATCAATTAACAATGGTCTGGGGTGTCTAACTGTATTATCTCCTTGACCGAAAAATATCCCAGTTCCAAACTAGAAGATCCATGCCTGTCGTTGATGGTTTTCTCCACTACCCCTTAATCCATGACGGTATTTGATTCGATGTTGATGAACCGTGAGTGACGATTGGAAACAGGGAAAGTTTACCCCCGACGCGTGTCACATTTACAGTGCTTTTGGTCACTATACTAGTAGATTTTGCTACGCAGACTGCGGTAGTATTATTTAGCTTCTGGCGCTAAGTTAATCTCTAAATGTCCCAAGTTTCAGATTATGTCAAGAGCCTTGATTTGCGCCGAGATGGTCAAGACGATCGCAATTGAAGTTTGGAGAATGTCACCGGTACAAACATTCTGTACTTTACAGGGCTCCATCAAACAAAATTGCCAAGATTGCCCCTTGACTTTGGACATTCCTCAAAAGATGAAGTGATGCAGAATGCAGGATTGAGCTAGGTTCTAATTTTAAGCTTACTATAGTGATAGCGTACGCCTCAGCCGTACATGCATGAGGCGAAAGCGAAACAGAAAAATGGCGCCAAAAACAGTCTCGAATTTAAACAGATTTCCGTTTATGCGTGGACATGACCTGAACATGAATAAAGCCATGGAACAAATGACGCACGGCTTGGCAAAAAGAAGCGAGACTTGATAAAGATATCACCGGCAAAAGACAAAAAATCGACCACGCCAGGAGTCGAACCTGGAATCTCTAGAGATTTCACGAATTGCTCGAAAGCCGAAATCTAGCGCCTTAGCCATTAGGCCACGCGGCCTGATCTAATTGTTGAAGACTAGGATCATGTCTGTGTCTAAGTCTGGACACTGTTGTTGCATGTCGAGTGTGAAGATCGTGCGAAATGAAGCCCGCATGATCTCAATGTGGTGGTGGTTCTGTAACTTGCCGGAAGGTTCAAGATTCTTCAGCTACCTGTTCTTTCTTTTCTCCGTCGGGAGAGGACCTCCAAGCTGGGGCTCTGCTCCGTCAGCAGACGGATCTGGCTCGACCTATCTAGGGCAATTGACCAAAACGTTGGATGCCGCGTACTGCAGGTCAGCAACCGGATGATTCATGCTATTGTTAGTGAATGGATCAATTAGATTCTACTCAACACTAGCATTTATGTGAGCGATGTAGGTTTCCTTTGCTCTTTTCTGAGGTATACGGTCGGAAGTCATTGTTCAAAGAGGCGATCTGGTCTTTCGTATGGAATACCCTAGACTTACTATCAACAAGACAGACACCAACCTACGGTCGATATTGTCTCTTTCAAAACAATGCTCAAGAGTGGATTAAAATGTCATGTGAAATACTATAGAGGTCACCTTCTGATTATTGTGTGATGACCTGGTTGCCATGGCGTCTTCAAGATAAGCCCATCTTACATCCCCGACTTCCGAGTCTTACAAATCTCGCCGGGTCATCGCCCAGGAATTGCGTCAGGAACAAGTCAATTGCGACAGAGGGCACAATGCGCGAGAAACAACCAATCATGTTGTGTCTGCAGCACGCAATACTGAGCCTTGCCCCTCTGAGGTTCAAGTGAGGGGCGGAGAATGATACGGATGGTGGGGGACCTTCTGTGGACGTCTTTTTATTTTGGTGGGGTTGTCATGATGGACCTGGGGAACTATCTAGGAACTGTATATCTGTATAACAATAAAGAGCCCAAGGAAAAATATATTAAGGGATTATAAGGATGGAGTACATCAAGGCAGGTGTATTTGTAAAGTAGTTAATAATAATAAACAGCAATATATGGAGTATAATCCTCAGGTCATGGAGGGGGCACGGCTGCAACGCCAGCATCCCCCAAGCTTGGCTCTCCCAATCACCAATATCACAGGCCTCGTGGCGTCTTTCAACAGCGCGGCCATAGAGCCCAGATCGTCATTCACTAGCTCCAGTCGCGCCAACAAGGTAGGTATCATCTGTAAGCTCTCCCTAATCGTCAACTGATGCCAAGCTGGCACCTTTTTCGTTCCATCCTGTCCCATACCAGTCTATATAATCCCTCTCCCCCGACCCCCGCTGTCTCTTACTCTTTCATCTCTCTTCCTCTTCATACCTCTTCTTCACAAGATCCTTCACACCCACACACAAAATGTCTGCTCCTGCTCTTCGTCTGGGCTCTACCGCCCCCAACTTCCAGGCCGAGACCACAAAGGGAAACATTGACTTCCACGACTTCATCGGCGACAGCTGGGTCATACTCTTCTCCCACCCCGAGGACTTCACTCCCGTCTGCACCACTGAGCTCGGTGCCTTTGCCAAGCTCCAGCCCGAGTTCACCAAGCGCAATGTCAAGCTGATTGGTCTCTCCGCCAACACCATCCAGTCTCACGAGGGATGGATCAAGGACATTGGTGAGGTTACCGGCGGTAACGTTGAGTTCCCCATCATTGGCGACAAGGAGCGCAAGGTTTCTCTCCTCTACGACATGTAAGATTGCTACCTATTTAAGCGTCTTTCTGCAAAAAGCTAACACTCTACAGGATCGACCAGCAGGATGCTACCAACGTTGATGAGAAGGGCATTGCTTTCACCATCCGATCCGTCTTCATCATCGACCCCAAGAAGACCATCCGCACCATCTTCTCCTACCCTGCCTCCACCGGCCGCAACGCCGCCGAGGTCCTCCGTGTCATCGACTCCCTCCAGACCGGTGACAAGTACCGCATCACCACACCTATCAACTGGGTCCCTGGTGAGGACGTCATTGTCCACCCCTCCGTCAAGAACGAGGAGGCCAAGACTCTGTTCCCTGAGTTCCGCATCGTCAAGCCTTACCTTCGATTCACCCCTCTTGCCAAGGAGAAGGTTCTCCCCCAGTAAATTAATTATATCTCTACTACAAAGGACACAGCAAAAAGCATGAGAATTTTATGATACCTTGCAGATGAGCGAAAAAGGATTGAAAGGTCTATTGGGAGTTGGGATTAGTACATTTGGACACAACATGATGGAAAGACCAGTTTTCCCATATAGATCATTCACAACTTGAGCCATCTGCGATTGCTCTGAGATGAAGAATAAATGAAGAAATGAACAAAACTTGCACTTCCCCAACAAAAGTGAACATCATAATAAATTAATCGTCATGAGCCCCTCAATCTCGACATGAGGTAAATTAAATTCCGGATGCGGGGTTCCGGACCATCGGTCGCCGATGCCGGCGTTAAGCTCAAAGTTCCACTTTCAAGGGTCCACATGAGCTCAGAGCTATCATGACCCTGACGATAGAGCTGAGAGCTAAGCTATATGTGCCATCAATAGCTGTCTGTGATAATCGGATAGTTGCAACTTTCGAGTAAATCCATTGGGTTTCTGTGCAAATTCTTTTACTTCGCTCAAGTAGGTTGACTATCACATAATCTATCAATGCAATACATGTCTACCAGGAAGGTACACAAACCCGTTGGATCTTTCATCTCCCAACTGATGCTTTTATTCTCACCCACTGAACACCAACGTTCTCATGGGTACTTGTCAAAGATTACTTGAAAAGACTTTCCGAAAGCTCCTTCACTCTATTCACCGCAGCTTCTCCCCTCACAGGATCCGGGGCTTCGCACGTAAATACCAACGCCAGCACAAGCGCAGCATCTAGTCGAAGCAAACACTCTTCTTGCGCAGTCACTTCAGGAAATGTTGCCACCTCGGAGTATCCTTTGATGAAGCCCCCTCCAAGCTGGCTGAACTCCAGAGTGCGATAAATATCAATAGCTGCTGGGCCTATGAGCGCATTGGTCCAATCAATGACAGCACTAATGCGACCTTTGTTGTGACGAAGATTGACGTCGCGGAAGTCCATGTGCAAAAGACTCGACGGAAAGCGTTTTAGGCCGCTGAGTATGGCGTGGATATGACTCCAGTCTTGTATCCAGGTTGAAGCCTCGGGAACCGTCGTTGATAAAACAGAGAAGCGCCGTTGCAATCTTTGTTCCATTGTCAAAAAAACATCCGGCGTCTCCGAGGCCACCGTCTTGAACAGTGGGTTATCCAAGGGTGTAGAATGTATCAGTGCTACCACACGACCCATCTCCTCACAAGTGATGTCTGTTCCATCATCGTCCACATATTCGCACAGCATGGCCGGATATCCATCATGTTCGAGGTACTTGTACGGCTTAGGCACAGGAACCGACCCGTCCTGAAGAAGACGATATATGTAAATTTCTTGCCGAATCAAATCTTTGGCCTCAACGTTGAAGTCATTGGCGTTTTGGTAGACTTTGACTCGTGGTATCTTGAGAACAACTGAGCCGTAGGTTGGACTTGTTGCTTTGTAGACGAGGCATTCTAGACCTTGGCCGGCGGTTTCGACGTCTACCAGGCTTTCTAAGCGGATGAATTGTTGAGATATTTCCATTTTGAGCTGCTGTAATAGAATTGATAATTAGGAAATGTCCAGGTTGTCCGTTGGTGTTTTGATAAATGTCAACATATACTACAGAACTATGCAAAATTCGGATCCGTATTCGCAAATAGCGTAAGACGAACCAATCCAACGCTTCTTACCAAGTCTCCTGGTGGCCCATACTATTAAACTATCTAGTATGTAAAGTTCAGAAGGATCTATAGGGATGAGTCACTGTGCCGAATATCCGTGATGGCATCTTATTTAGGCAGGTAACTTATTTGTTAGTCCTTTGCCATATCCCTCACAAAAATAAGAGATGCTTAAATTTCGAAGGAGAACAATGATTGATCATTCACTTTTACCTAAGCACAATTATTTTATCCCGGCGAGATGAAAAACACAGTAAGAAGAGATCAATACAAACCTGCAAATAGTATCACGGATGTAAAGAGTCATGTCATTGCCTTTTCAAATAAGTATAATTTCAGTGACATAAGAAGGAAGAAAACTCCTCCCCTTCTTTATCATGACACTCCAAGTAGTTACTCTAAATATCTAATATCCTAACCTTTCCATGAAACAAGTCTCTAGTAGTGCTCTCCCATGGATACTGCCTCAGCCGGAGGGGCAGCAGGAACCTCAGTAGGAGCTTCGGCGGCAGGGGGAGCTGCAGGTGGAGTCTCAACTACAGGGGGAGTATCAGCTGGGGGAGCAGGAGGGCTTTCAGCGGGAGGTGCAGGAGGAGCACCATCTTCAGGGGGGGCGGGAGTGAAAGCAGCTTCAGCTAGAGGAATCTCTCCGACTGTTCCACCTGTAGCATCACCAGCATCAATATTAGCCAGAGCACCGTTGGCCTTCTTGTTGAACTCGACCAAGTTTGCCTCACTGGGACTAGATAGAGTTAGCAGTCGTTTCGAGGGTATGTCCACTTGTACACTTACGGATTGATGGCCATAACTTGGCCAAGCTGACAATGAGGTCCAGTAGCACAGTAGAAAAACAAAGGATCCGTGCTGGTAAGGGGAACATTAAATGTTCCAATAGTAGTCTGCCCATCCACAAAAGGAATGTGGCCACTGTGAATCGCACCAGATTGTGTTGCCTGAAGAGGCTGACAGGGAGAGTCCTCAGAGCTTTGTGTGACAGTATGGTTTCCATTGCTGAACTGAAACTGAATCACATCACCAACGGCTGCTCGAATCATGTTGGGAACGAAAGTATCCTGGGGTCCTCCAACCACAACAGGGATGATTCTGTTGGCTCGGGGCGCTAGAGATGGATTCTTTCGAACTGCCAAGGTGTCAGACCCGATTCTTTTGGCGAGACTTAAAGTGGACTTACTCGTCAAGGGTTTGTTCTGTTCCATCATGTGGAGTTGTCGAGGGGACATCTCGACAAGAGGCATAGCAGACACGGCTGCAGCCCACAAGAAACCTTTGATCATCATTTTTATGAAGAATAAAACAAAAGAATCAACAAGTTAGGAAGATTGGAGGATTTAGAGAAGTGAGAAAACTGATAAAGAAGGCCCAGCCAACTGAAAACAAATAGTATAAAACCTCACCGGGAGGCAAAAAGAAAGACACTAAAGAAGAGAAGAATATTAAGAAAGAGGAACTAGAGAAGGCTGATTTTCCCAAGTCAGACGATTCTACTCAAAAGTCATGCGGGCCCATCTTTATACTGCATTTCTCATCATGAATTTTTCTCTCTTTTTTTCTTATGGGACGAGACGAAACTTGTGGAGTGTTTTGAAGTTGACACATAGACCAAGCCTTTGCAGAGCCGCAATTGCAACAGATTACGATGTAATGAATCTCATCGAATCGATGCGGAAAGAAAAAGACGAACTTGGGTAATACTCGCGAGAAGGGGCATGCTTTAGCCAAGAGGTTTGTTTCAGAACATGTCGCGGAATATCGCCCAGCACGTTTCATCAGCCACAAAAGAGTAAAACAGAACAGAAAACAGATTTTATATCCGAGGGGGGTTATATTGATTTGCGTAATGATTTGTTTGACACATGTTCTAAGTGGTAAAACAAGATGCGTGGCTATCGGGATGTGGGAGGACACACGGGCTAGGCGACATGGAATCAAGATAAAATGGCGTGATTAATGTGATAAGCTTATCAATCAACTGAAGAAGGCTATAATATGAAAATCTACTGCTCAATTCCACACAGGTCAAGTATCATACATGATGTCTTAAGATGGGGTTAATCTAGTAGATAACAGGAAAATCAACATACAAGTTTAGGGTACAGAAATAAATTACCCAAGACTCCAGTCTAAGCAGCATAAGATGACCTACTAATTTCGTCTCTTATGGTTCCCGCGACTAATCTTTCTGATACCCTGTGGTTGATCTTAACAGAGTGACATGCACCACTTTTTAAACAATAGTTGATCTTGTTATACGTCGGAGCCGCTTAATGCAACACTGCATTGATCACCCTCGTCATTGAGCTATAGTCTAAGTATCTTGTGAGTGGGAATTGTTAGAGATACTGGCAGATGACGTTATGTAGTAACGATAACCTTCCTTTTTGTCTTGGTATGCGGATTTGCATCATGACAAGAGATTGATGATACAAGGAGAGGCTTGGATGTCTATTAAAAGAAGTGTGAATAACGATAGCAAGGAATTATGCAACAATTGTGCATGTCAGAGGTGTCAGGTAGGTATGTTTGTAGTAAAAAGCGAATCATACAAATATGAGTTTAAAACCAGCATCTGGAGAACCACACGCTATCCGCCTATTTTGCCAATAGATCAGATTATTGGGCAGGTATAAGTACAATCGACAATCACTCACCTAATTTAAAATTGATCCTTGTTCAACAGTAATTACCCCGTGGGGGTTTAAAAGATGAATCATCTCTCCCCGCAAAACCCCAACTCATCAACCCCCAACTAGCTGCATCCCCAAATTTCCGAATAGCGTCATGTTCCTTTTGCTAGGATTAACCTGTAATTTTCGTTGGTGGAAATTTCAAAGACCGATCTAGTCTTGTCATGGTTCATTGCCGGCTTCCATCGACTATTAAGTCGCTACGGCATCTCATATCCGGATCTCTATATGTGAGAATGCTGGTTATGGAGATTCTTGATGATGATTTGTGGATTTATACAATTCAACTATCTTTCCCTGAACGCGCATCTCCTTAATATGTATCCATATAGAACTTGAGATTGATATATCTCAGATGATCCCACGGACATTAAGACCTGTGTTCTTGAATCGACACCTAACTCGAGATGAAAGGCTTCATCCTAAAAACGGCATTTGTTGCCGCAGCTCTCCTTTCCCCTGCCGATGCTTCCCCCAAAGGTCCTGTGGACACTTACAAGAAATGTCAACGTCAGACAAAACGTGCCACGGAAGGTTGTCCAAAAGGAACTCTCTTCGTCGCCAAGAATGATCCCCGCTCCGACTTTTCTTCTATACAGGACGCCATTGATTCTCTGGGAAACACCACAACAGCTGGACACATTCTAATCGCCCCTGGTGATTATACAGAACAGCTGAACGTCACCAGGAGAGGGCCCTTGCACCTAATCGGCGCTTCTAACAAACCTTGGACGAAAGATCTCTACGCAGACATCGATGTCAACACCACAGCACAGAACGATGTGCAGATTTGGTGGAACTTGGCAAACACCAACAATGGAAGCATGAGTGACAATGTGTACACGAGTGTGCTGACTGTGGGACCAAACCTGGATGCTACTCTGACCGGAGCTGGTCCAACGGGTTGGCCTGTTCCACCCAATACTCCTTTCGGCTGCACTGATTTCCGAGCGTACAATATCGATTTCAGGAACGACTTTGCTCCGAGATCGGTTGGACCTGCTCACGCTGTTGGCGTCAGTAGGGCGAATGCCGGGTTTTACTCTTGTGGATTCTACAGCTATCAAGATACCGTAAGTCTTCCTTTTCAAGTCGATGACTGAGATCTAAGCGGCTCACGTTTTGAATAGGTTTATGTCGGAAAGCTTGGAAATGCCTTTTTCTATGACAATATCATCGCTGGAGAGACTGACTTCCTGTACGGTTTCGGGACAGCATGGATTGATCGCTCGACACTATCTCTTCGAAACTGCAACGGAGGAATAACAGCTTGGAAGGGTACAAATACAACTTTTACTAACAAATACGGCGTATACATCGACAACTCTCAGGTCATTCCCTCAAACGCCACCATTGCCAGAGACCTAGTTGGAAAATGTCCGTTGGGACGACCGTGGAATTCGCAGCACAAGTCTATCTTTATGAGATCCTACTTTGATAGCGTTATCCTTCCCGCAGGATATATCAAATGGAACCCAGATACACCTCGTGTGGACAACTACACGTTTATGGCTACGTGGAATGATTACGGCCCCGGGTACAATGTCAAGGCTTTGAAGGACGGTGGAATTACAAAGGTGTTGACTGACAAGGAAGCAAAGCCTTATAAATCTCCCAAGGACGTGTTCCAAACACCAGAGGGCAAGTTTGGTTTTGTGAGCTGGATTGACAAGAAGGCATTGTAAGCTTGTCGTCTTGAGTTGAGCCGAGGTTGACTATGACAGGTCTGCTGGCTAGTGGGTAGCAGAAAATGGCTTCCTAGGTCTTAGGCTAAAACAACAAGTAGTCTAAGAACCATAGTCTAAGGAGCATAAAGTGACCTACTAATTCGGGGGCCGGAAAAGAGTCAGGCTTGTCGGCAGTTCAAAATCACTTTGTATTAGTTTGGGCTTGGACCCTCCATTGAACCGAATATCACGTCAGATATATATTAGCCTCATGAATGCCAAGAATAGTTCCACCATTAAGAAAGGCATTTTGTCGCCTTGTTTTAGTGATTGAGTCTCAAGTGACAGGGCGATCAAATCTCAAGCGAGATTAGCAGAATCCATCGACAGGGGTCAAACTCCTGTTGTCTGCAAAGTACTGATGCTCCTACTGCCCCTTTGCAACATCAATCTAGTCTTTTCTTTCAAGAATAAAGTTTAAAAGTGAAGACATAAATAAGAAAAGCCCCAAAGTGATTCTTAGTATGCTTCCAGTAGACAATATGGCGAAATATCAACAACGTCCACCAGGTAAAAAAGACATTAACAATTGGGTTTAATTAGCCCGTCTTGGCTTGACGGCAAGATTACATCCAAGACAACGGCTCAGGACTGACCACACCCAAAACGAAGGATTAATTACAGCGACCAGTCAACTCTCACCAAACAAGCCACTTTATCATTAGCACAAGCGTCTGGGGGAAATGATCCCGGTAATAACGAGGCTTGTAAAACGGTTCCTCGGTTCATCTGTGATGTGATTTATCTTTTCCTCTTTTCCGTTTCTTCAACCTCTTTCGAGGTTCTCATCATGATCCTCAAACCAATCTCCAAGCCCCGAAGGCGTCCTATTTACAGTCATCATGGGCTATTCTGGACGCGAGGACCATCATGAACTCTCGTATCTGTTACCCATTGCCGTGTGTATGGGCATTTCTCTCTACAACGTCCTGGAACTCAATCTGGTCATTTTAACGACGTTCAAAACCCGAAAGAGCCTCTACTTCTGGAGTTTCATCGCAGCTACGAACGGTATTGCGCCGCATACCATCGGTTTCTTGCTCAAAAACCTTTGCTCATCGGATAATTTCATCCTCTACATCTCGCTTATCTCTGTGGGCTGGGTCATGATGATAACAGGACAATCACTCGTTTTATACTCTCGACTTCATCTCATATTCTGGAACCAATTCTATCTCAGGCTCGTGTTGGCCATGATCATCACAAATGTCGTGGTTATGCATATTCCCATCATCATTCTCATGTATGGCGCCAACAGCAGCGCTTCCAACTCTTGGGTTCACCCGTATCAGATATACGAGAAGATTCAAGTCACTGTCTTTTTTTCACAGGAACTCATAATTTCGGCACTTTACATCAAAGCCTGTTTCTCATTCTTTAGCACCGAGGAGTTGCTCCACGGAAAGGGAGTCCAAAGAATGCGCAGGCATTTACTTATTGTCAATGTCGTGATAATACTGCTCGATATACCGATTTTGGTCCTTGAGTTTGCCGACTTCTACGACTTTCAGACAGCGTACAAAACAATTGTTTATAGCATCAAGTTAAAGCTTGAATTTCACTTACTCAACCGACTCGTTGAGGTGGCAAAAGGCAATGAAGGGATTGACTTGCAGCGTGGAAATCAAACCTTGCACGGTCTTCGGCTGGAAGCTTTTGAAAGTGATGGAGATTTCTCAAGGTCCAATGACTACGAGCATGGTAATATGAATAAGGTTGTGGGTTATCAGATAAACAAGAGAAAATACTTGGGTTCGGAGAATGATATTTTGACGACTACAGATATATCTGTTAGCTATATCGAGCGAAGGGACGACAATAATGAGAGTATGGATAAAGGACGATCGATATTTGGATAAAATAATACAAGCTACATATCTCAGATTGCTGACTTCTGTCATGACTGTCTGAATCCGCGAGAGACGGTGGGGGAAAATCAGAAGTTGAAGAGTTCACTATAAGCATATCCTGGAAGAATGTCCTTATCCAAAGTTTCAGTCCCTGGGGCTCCAATGATAAACCACGCACACATTTCTGGACAGTAATTGCCCAAAATACAAGGCTAAAGTATCAGCCGTAGCTCTAAGACACATTAGGTAGATGATACGTACGCCGTGCATGGCCGTTGGACAAGTCTGACAGGGTTCTTTTCAGCTCAAATTCCACGATGCTACAAGATTTTGGACTGATCGCTGATCTGGTGTTACCTTCACTTTCTTCCTTCAATAGATATGGCGATCAATCTTGATAGAGGATTTTCTTTTTATCCTACTTTATTAATATGAAACTATTTATTAAGTGTATCGCCATAGCAGCCGGGCTCCTAAGTTGCTGGGCAGCTGAGACATCAGACCAGGCTTTCTCCCATGTCTTTGAAAAATGACTATCAAAACGCCTTGTTCTTGGCACCAATCAACTTTTTCATACAACAAGGGTCCAAGCTATGGTTAGTAACACGACTTCTTTCAGCTGAACCTGCAAAAGGCTTGACAGACCCCGCTCGAGGTGCCTTTCATCTTTCTTTCCATAGTTACTCACAAAAGCCTTTGGTCAGAGTAAGATACCATCATGAATCAAATTCTGTACTACTGGATTGCCCTCTGCTTCTATGCTATTTCGACTGATGCGTTGGCCATATCTGAAGCCACGAAGCGGCGGGATGCTGGGTATATCTATCAGCCTGCACCAACTCCCATGCCCGACTTTCAAGCCTTAAAGCATCTGGATCTAGGGAGGAGACAAGCTTCTACTATAGTAGAAACGACCTTCACAGTTGTTGTCAGCCCTGATTCGACATGTGGTTTCCTATCAGGTTCACCAGGGAATGCGATCACCTGTTCAAACGGAGCCCAGTGCAGCTGGGAACTGGCTCATGTTACCGCCATATTCTGCGGCACAACTGCGCATCTCCAGTGTTTGGAAAGAGAATATGCTCTCAATACTGAACTTTGCGATGACGTCTGCCAGGAAAATTCTTATAACCTTCTCTGGTAAGCTGATCATGTTATTTGAGAGTACCTAACTAACGGTCAACAGCACTGATAGAACAGCCCCGTACTGTGGAACGTATGCCTATCCTTCTGGCATACGAGCATTCAAATGCTCATCCCGTACGATGACAAGATATCAAAGTGTATCTTTCATCTACAACAACCAGAATGATCGTACTTTCTCAACAACAATATTTAGTGCCGACCCGACGGATGTGACGCCTTCAGAGCCGACAACCATCGGATCGTCCACGCTTTCGTCAGAATCGTCAGCAACTGCAGACGCAGAGCCCACAGAAACGATCATTCCTGGTGGTAGCGGCGGATCTAAAAACAATATTGGAGCCATAGTCGGTGGTTCTATCGGCGGCTTCCTCGTCCTCTCATTTCTAATCCTTGGGCTGGTCTGGTTTCTCCGAAAGGACAAAAGAAACGAAAACTCCCCTCCTATTCAACAAGTCCAACCGGCTGTGGTTCCTCATCAAAACGCTCCCCAGACTCCAGGGGATAGCGTGTTGCCAATGAACCAGAACTACCCGAAACCTGGAGTTGCCTCGCCCACAACAACTGAGTGGCGTGAATCTACAATCACAGCACAGAATCCAAGCAGCCCTGTTTCATCTTGGACAGGGCAGTATCCGAGCTCTGAGATGAATCAAGTTACCTATCAAGAGATGCCTGGTCATTCTCCTCCTTATACCCGTTGAAATTGGTCTCGAGAAATGGAAATAGTGACTACCATGGTTGAAGTATCAAACAAGCGTTCCTGGAATTGTTGGCATAACCATGGCATTTCGATCAGACAAAGGATGTGTTGTCAAAGTTGTTGGTCTTCGTTTCGGATGTCTATTTCCACCATGTAGCCGCGGTCTTTAAGTCGTTTAAACTTGCTCTACTTTTCATGCACCTCGGTAGTCGGTTTTTATTTGTCCACCAATACTTGCTAGATGAGTGCGCTGCACACGGTATGGATATGATTGTCATTGATTGATAACCAGATATGCCAGGGACCCCTTGCTTTACCCCATGGGGAAACAAGGGAACGTCGGGATAGACCCTGAAGCTGTTGATCACTTGACTCAGGCAACTACCACTAACTTTGTAAGGTCCAAACTTTGATTAGCAACACGAGACCTGTAGACCTGAGACAATCCGCAGGAACCGAGCAAAGCCAAGGGACATTCCACCATCCATCTGGAACACATAAACCACACTCTTGTACCATGAGAGACGAAGTAGGTCGGCAATGTGATAGTGTTTAAGACCCACTCTTGGCATTCTTCTCTGCACCCCAAATTGAGATGTCAAGTTCTCTATTGACTTCTAGCCATTTCACTGGAAGATGAAATGATGCGGCAATACCCTTTGGGAGGAACGTCTCCGCTGCTGACGCGGACGCAGTGCAGCGTTGCATTGCAGCTGTACAATTTGGGATTTGAAAAACAAACCTATCATTCCAGAGGGCGACACACCGACATGGGTTGTTCAAAGCTTACGGTTACCATTCCTCCGGTGAAGCTCATCGATAGGAACAGTGTTAGATTTCTGGGTATATAATCAACATTTGGGATCACAGCTTGCACATACGACCATACCTATCAGAAAACTCGGGATCCCGTCCGCTCTCCCATAGATAAGCTGGTAAGGGGCGGATTAGTAGTTGGGTCGGTGACGACCAGCGAATCCCCGCTGTTGTATGTTTTTTGTATAGTTTATATTTTTTGACCTAGTATTCCCTTTCTTACTTAGAATGTGATGTATCAATCAGTTGTAAGACCAGAAATAGACACCGATGAGAGTTGTGAACGATGGTTGGATTGCGGAGAAGTTATCTATGCAAACCCTGTTCATGTAAGCGAAGCTACAAAACTAGTCCCTCTTTGTTCATCGTCTTCTCGTGAACGTCAACGCCGAAACCTCATGAGAACTTTGACCTCTTCGTTTTTCTTGGCCTGGTCTTTCCCCGCACTTTTCTGAAGCTGTCTAGTTTAGTCTCTCTGGGGTAGTGCATGTCAGTGGGAGGGTCCGGGTGTAGTAGACGACGATCCTATTTGCCCGGAAACAAGACACATGGGGGTTCAATGTTTGGGGGTCCTAAGCTTAGGATACAGGAAATAAACAGTCTGAGAGTGGGTCAAACATGATATGAAATATTCAAATTATTATGTCCTCTGGTCAAGTTGTGTCGTGTCTGACCAGGGTAGCTCTGGGGAGGATAGCTTTGACAAGGGTAGCTTTGACAAGTCGACGCCCGTAAAAGCTGGGGAAACGTCGCAATCTGACATGCAACAGCAAAAAAGTCTTGGCTTTGAGAGTTTGGTTGGTCGATTGTTGATCATCAACAGTTTAGTCTGCCTCGGGACAAGGGAAGTTTGGAAATTGCCTGATCAAGGTGACTACATTATACAGTATGTATATGCACATGCAGGTAGCCAGACCAGATAAAGTCCTTGTTTTTTTTTTTACTTATCCGGTGGGGGGATCAGACTGAAGATCGGATATCCATTTGCGAGTCAGCAGAATGTCTGTGCATTGTCTGTGAGTTGATGAACATCAAGAATTTGAAGTCCGGATATCACGGAACTCGACAACATCAATTGATTCTGTCACCCACTCAATTGAAAACTAAGACCCCTAAACTCCTTTAGTTTCTAGGTAAACTTTCTCTTAATAGAAGAAGATACCAAACACCCGGGTATCGTTAACCCGAAGGCCAAGCGGCAAAGCAGATGATATCCTGGACATGCAGGCCAAGCAACAGCTCCTCCCATGAATATCACAACTACGTCGCATACACCCAAGAACTGATTGACAGGCAATGAAACCATTACCCACAGTGCTATTACTCCAGATGACTTTATGATGCATTTGCCTATTGGTGCCCGCAATCTTCATCGAGAGGGGTTCGCAGATGTTGATGATGCTCCTGCCAGCATCCGTTGGATATCTACACATCCTTCGGCGTTCGTTCGGCATCTAGACTTGCGTTCAGATCGATATACCCTGCTTCAGTGATCTAGTCAATGTCTTGACGTGTGTATAAATAAGCTTGGTGTCGTCCACTCCTTCAACAGCCACTCAAGCAGAGTAGTATCTCTCTAACTATCTCTTCAACAAACTTTCACCATGGCGTCTTCCAACTCGTATGCGAGCCATGCAGGCACTTTGCCTGAGGAGTTCGACATTATCGTATGCGGCGGTGGCTCATGCGGCTGCGTAGTGGCTGGAAGACTTGCCAACCTCGACCACAACCTCAAAGTCCTGCTCATTGAGGCTGGAGAATCAAACTTGAATAATCCCTGGGTAAGCAATCGATTTATGGGAATCTCTTAACGTTACTAACGCTTCCATAGGTGTACAGACCTGGTATTTACCCTCGTAACATGAAGCTTGATTCAAAGACTGCATCATTTTACAAGTCGCGTCCTAGCAAGCATCTCGCTGGCCGATCCGCGACGGTTCCCTGTGCTCATATCCTTGGAGGCGGCTCGTCTATTAACTTCATGATGTACACTCGTGCTAGCGCCTCAGACTGTAGGTAACAATATCCTTATCTAGGGAAGGAATACTAATGTAGGCACAGACGATGACTTCCAGGCCAAGGGGTGGAGTAAGTCTCTTTATTCACAACTAATATCATATCAGTCTTGCTGACAACTGCAGCTACCAACGAACTTCTCCCACTCATGAAGAAGCATGAAACTTACCAGCGTCACGCCACCAACCCCGAAGTCCACGGCTTCGAGGGTCCAATTAAGGTATCTTTTGGAAACTACACATACCCTATCAAGGATGACTTCCTCCGAGCCGCCGACTCTCAGGGCATCCCCTTCGTCGACGATCTTGAGGATCTTAGCACCGGTCATGGCGCAGAGCACTGGCTCAAGTGGATCAACAGAGACACAGGCCGTCGAAGTGACTCTGCTCATGCCTACATTCACTCCACTCGTGCCAAGCACAGTAACTTGTACTTGGCTTGCAACACCAAGGTCGACAAGATCATCATGGAGAATGGCCGTGCTGTTGGTGTCCAGACCGTTCCCACCAAGCCTCTTCACCCGAACCAGCTCCAGACAAGAACCTTCCGTGCCAGGAAGCAGATCGTCGTTAGCGGTGGTACCCTTTCCTCACCATTGATCCTCCAGCGCTCTGGTATCGGCAACCCCGAGAAGCTCCGCGCTGCCGGTGTCGAGCCCAAGGTCGATCTTCCTGGTGTTGGTCTGAACTTCCAGGATCATTACATGACCTTCTCTGTTTACCGAGCAAAGCCTGAGACTGAGAGTTTCGACGACTTTGTTCGTGGTGACCCTGAGGTTCAAAAGGTAAGATAAGATGACTCAACAGGCGAATGGCAGAAATTAACCATGAATACAGAAAGTCTTTGACGAATGGCACAGCAAAGGAACAGGTTAGATTCTAACTCTTGCGCGTCGATTTGTTTGGTAGCTGACTTGATTGCTGCAGGGCCCCTTGCCACCAACGGTATCGAGGCTGGTGTCAAGATCCGACCTACTGATGAGGAACTTAGGGAATTTGAGAGGTGGCCCACTCCCCGCTTCACTGAGGGATGGAAGTCCTACTTCAAGAATAAGCCTGACAAGCCCGTCATGCACTACTCTGTGATTGCTGGTTTCTTTGGCGACCACATGCTCATGCAAGTCCCCTTGATGCGCCAAACTTGACAGAGACTAACAAGACATAGGCCTCCTGGAAAGTTCTTCTCCATGTTCCACTTCCTCGAGTATCCCTTCTCTCGTGGTTTCACTCACATCAAGAGTGCTGATCCTTATGACACTCCCGACTTTGATACTGGTTTCGTAAGTCAATTTCACTCCCAATTTGCGCAGTGTCCTAACAAGACTAGATGAATGATGAGCGAGACATGGTCCCTATGGTCTGGGGATACATCAAGTCGCGTGAGACTGCTCGTCGCATGGACGCCTACGCCGGTGAAGTCGAGAACATGGTAAGTCAATTTCTCACATGCTATCCGACCTTTTACTGACTTTATCAGCACCCCTTCTTTGACTACGATAGTCCCGCCCGTGCTCATGATATGGACCTTGAGACCACCAAGACATACGCCCTTCCTGGTAACCTCACAGCTGGTATTGGCCACGGAAGCTGGTCGTCTCCTCTCCCCGAGGCAGACCGCAAGCCAGGCGCCAACATTCTCAACTCCAACAAGGCCCATATCCGAGAGGAGCTCAAGTACAGCGAGCAGGATATCAAGGCCGTCGAGGGTAAGTCACACCATTTGTCCCATTATTTACTCCGTCACAGTCACTAACTATTCACAGAATGGGTCAAGCGACACACCGAGTCTACCTGGCACTCCCTCGGAACCTGCTCCATGGCTCCCAAGGAGGGCAACAGCATCGTCAAGCACGGTGTCCTTGACGAGAGACTCAACGTCCACGGCGTCAAGGGACTCAAGGTTGCTGATCTTTCCATCTGCCCCGACAACGTGGGCTGCAACACGTACTCTACTGCTCTGCTCATTGGCGAGAAGTGTGCTATGCTTGTTGCTGAGGACCTCGGATACTCGGGCGAGGCTCTTGAGATGAAGGTCCCTACTTACCAGGCACCTGGTGAGCTTGAGGTCCGACACCGCCTGTAAGGGATGGAAGAGATACTTTGTTACTTGAGTTGTCCTGTTTGACGGCCAAGATTGGATGTAGCCGATCTAATGTCAGTTTAGCGATTA